GTACTCTGTATGGAGTGGAGTTCTAGGATCCAGTCGCTTGAAATTTCTTAGACATATGGCCTCCAAAGCCAAGACCACCTGTGATCAAAGCTGTGATCATTAAGGACTGTCCAAGATGGACGAGATATGTCCCAGGACCATTGACTCGCCACAGTGACCATACTGATGCAAATCACAGTGGCCGAGCTTTAGCTGGGTCTCTTGTGTTGAGACAGTAAGATTATCCCCGAGGTTTAGGGAGCATATCTGCACGACTGCCCTCACTCATCAGTTACTCAGGCCCATAGATTGCCTAGCAATCTCCCCACGGAAGCTACATTATTTGATGTACGGAGGCTTGCATGTAGTGTGTGATCATTACTTGATGGGTTGCTCAGAAGTAAGGGATACCTTTGTTGAATTCAATGAAACCAGCATCAGGTAAAAGAGAACGATACGAGCGAGCTAGATGAGCATATATGCTTTGACAGCAGTTAGCGATAGCAGATCATGTTTCGAGCCTAAATCTTATCGACAATGGTAGGAAGTTGAGACATTAAGCTGAAGCCCAACTTCCTGCTTCAGCCTTTAAGCTCATGGCAGAAATCGCCTAATAATGTACATTATAACCCCTGACCCCAGAAACTCTGGCCCAATCTGGATGGGCGAGCGTAAATTATTCTAGTTAAGGGTTAAAATAGGAACTTTATATCGAGTATTAGTTTAGCGATGCAACAGAGCTGATTGCTTGAAACGTCCAATTTGATATGCACTGTTTCTAAGTATATGTAGAATGTAATTTGTATTTACATGGAGGGAAACGATAGGTCCCAAGAGGCGTGAGTAGTAGACTGGCAATCCAGCAGCCATGATTAAAATCGCCTCATGGAGTAAGAGAATGATAAAAGATATGTACTGCTTCAACTTCTTGCTCCAAAACGAACGACTGGAAAGAATCGTTTAGCAGCCAACGTAGATAGCTATATTCATCGTTAGTCAGGATCTATAATAAGCATCAGTGTAATAAGATTGAGCTTACCGTTAGCGAAGAGAGCGTAGCTGTCAGCGTTCTGGACAGCCTTCTCAGCAGAGAGGGCGGTGGCACGCTCATATCCGTAGCCGTTGTCCTCGCAGAATGGCTCCTGGACAGCAGGGTTGTGGGTAAGCTCGTGGAGGGTGGTGGTAGCCTGGTCCTGGGCGTGGCACTCGTTGCTGAGTGGTGGGAGATCACTATAGTAGATTGGGCAGTTGAAGACCTCGTTCTGAGATGGGAGAGTGTAGGCGAGGACACCTTCCTCGCAGCCACCCATGGTGTCGGAGCAGTGGTAGGTAGTGCCACCACCGGTGGTGGAGCTAGACTCCTGAGCAACGGCCTGGAAACGGCTCTGGACGGTCTGCATGTACTGAGGGTCCTTGAAGTATTCCATGTACTTGTCCTGGTTCTGGCTGACGGCCTGGGCAGACATGCTGGAAAGCTGAGCAGAGGCTTTGAGGGCAGCAGTCAAAGCCTGCAGCTCCTGGCTGTTGCCGCAGGACTGCATGTCGATGCTGGTGCGCTTGTTGATTCTGGTGAGAGGTCCACGCTTGACAATGCCAAAGGCATTCTCAACGGAGGCGGCCTTCTCGCCGTCGATGGTCATGTGAAGCTCGTTGGAGTGGTACTTAGCAGCACCAGTGATTTCGGTGCCATTCTCCTCGGCAATTGGGACCATTCCCTCAGCCTTGAGGGTGAACTTGCCGCCACGGGAAAGGTCGTGGGTTCTGGCAATGTCGAAGGAGTGCTCAACGGTTCCCTTTGGTGGGAGGGAGATGAAGTAGCTTGGCTTAAGATCCTTCTCCTTATATGTGGGCATCATTCCGGTAAACTGGATCTCCTTACCATCTATCAAAATGTTAGCATTAAATTCCCGATGGAGTCTTCGGTATTATCACTTACCCTCAGACTCAATGGAGACCTTGCGGGTTGGGTTGGAGTCCATGATGGTATGGAACTTCAGGAGGTTCAAGGCACGGTTGCCATTGTTGGTGATGGTGGCCTTGACCATGGAGTTACCGGTAGAGCTGAGCTTGACATCGATCATGGACTGGCTGACTGGAACACCACGGGGGATGGAGAAGCCAAGGGCTGGAGCAGCAAGAGAGCCGAGGGCGGCGAGAGCAACGATGACTTGCATGTTGACTGAATTGGAGAAGAAATAATCGGGAAAAAAAAAAGTATAGACAAGAACGGTAGTGATTCAAAAAAAAGAACAAAGGAAGGTAGAAGATTCACTGGGAATCTAGAGGCTGATTGAGAGTTGGTTTTTGCTGTCTGAGAATGTTTCCATCTTGAAGGGTTGACAAGCAGGTTATATATCTTCTGGACGGGAAGAGACCCGCCTCCTTCACGGTATGAAAAACATAGCATATGACATCTCTATTCTCTCTCCCCGAACAAGTCCACACATACCAAGCCCCTGTGCAATCAGGAGGGAAGGTTACATCAGCTAACCATCCACCAACCCAACCGGAGGTCCGTTTCAAGCCAGTAGTAGCAAAGTGTAGGAATGGGACATTGCGTATGTACAGCAGGTACTGACTTGGACTGGGGTACCATAGCCTGGCCAGGGATATCATTTGCCATAACTGTAGGCAGAGCGGAGGGCCCCATTCTGCAACTTGATGCTAAACACCCCCGGTCCTACCATTTTGGCCAGGGGACAGAGCGGGTAAAGAGGATACCTGAATTGAAACCAAGCATTGTTTCGTGGGCTTCTTGAAAGCTTGAGGCCGCTCCCCATGGCGGACTAAAGAAGCACAACTGGCTCGGCAAAGCTTGAGTCCACCATCCAGAGAGCCCACCCGCGTATATAGAGTTGTTTCGATCCATGGGCGACGACCACGAGCCAGAAGTCTCCCCGCGAATAGTAAAAGGCCCGTTGAAAAGGTTCCAAACGGGGAAGAAAGAGAGAGAGAGAGAGCAAGGCTCCCGGGGGTATGCGCCTTGGGATCGTCAGAGGCATAGAGAGAGAGTGTGTGTGTGTGTATGAGGACGTTCTCCATCCGCATTTGCTCGGTCTCTCCACGATGGACGCTGTAATTTGGCTGATCACCACGACAGGAGAGCAGGAAGTGAGCAGGCACAGCAAAAGGCCCGAGTTGGTCTCTTGCGGCAGCTTTCCCCCTGGCCCAGCAGGGATGTCTCTACAGGGATGCGGCCAGTCGACACCAGCGTTGACCCGAGGCACGTCCGTCTGCTGTTTCAAGTCGTGGCTGATCAGCTCCTATCAAATTCCCCGTTGTTCTGGAGTCGCGAAGGGACGGGACAGACAGGCAACGGCCCAATCACCATAGCCAGCCCACTTCTATCGAGACCGTCTTGATGCCTGGTTCATGGTCAGACGGGGTGGAGGCGAGTGTTCGCTTCTCTCTTTTTTTTAGCTAACTCGTTAGTTAACTTAGTTAACTAACTATGGAGCAATACCACTCCGTGACTAACGGCCGACTCTCTTTTGAGACGATGAGACGCCGGTCGATGACTCGCATAAAGGGGGACGCTGCGAGAAAGGGAGTCTGCGAGATGGCATTGCTATTGACGGGGTCGGGGATGCTGTCCAGAGGGAGATGAGAACTGCAGATACTTGCTCAGAAAGGCCGTCTCTTCCATGCGTTATCCTGGAGAGGAGGCCACTTCGATTGGATATGGGACGGCACAGCTAATATGAGCGGATGAAGGCGATCGACCAGGCCACTCCGCACTTCTAGACCAGCCAGGCTGAGACCATGAGACCATGAGACCATTTGACCATTTTAACCCATGAAGCCATGGGTTGGTTACTAGCAGCCATGCCAGGGGTGCAGTCGATAGGAGACGTCGGTACCGCGACTCGACTCGTCCGGCATCAACAGACGGACCTGCACGCAAGAGACGCTCGTTGGCCATGCCCTCTGCACATCATTCAGCTGTCATGTTCGAGGTCGCATTGACAGCAGCGATTGTCACTCGCTAAGCCTCGGGATTAGCCATACAGTTTTTATGTTACGAGAGTCCGATGATATGTGATGTGTTTGGATCTGCAATTCCCATGAAATGATAATCGCCGTTCATACTATCCAAGGAAGCTCGAAATTTTTCCCGGAGTGAGCCGACTAGCAGAGTCCGTCCCCCGATGATGATCGAGACGGAGTTACTTTATATAACTACGGAGTACATTCGGACGCCTTCCCATGCTGTCATTCTCCCCGATGGTGGAGGTCTAGGGGGATGGAGAGATGCATCCTGTTCTCCTAATATATGAACAATCCCCCTCCTCCTAGCTTCTCCGAAGAGTTCTTCACGGGCGTCTATCCTCTCCTTTTCCAGGGGTTACGGGATTGCTGCATTCCTTGTCAACGTGGGGTTTGCAGGACCATTAGATATGGAGGATGGTTGTTGAGCATGCACTTCGATGCCTTTCTGGGTCATGTCACCGGTCAATCGTCCTGTGAAGTGACGTTTACGGGCCTTTCAGGGATGTAAATTCTTCTTGCTTGATATCATCGTAGATATCAGCCTCGAATCTAAGCCCGGGAGCTGTCTTTAGTTAGACACGATGCCCTGTGACTCCGTGATCAACTAACTCACGGCGGGAGGTCGAAGCCCTGCGAACTGTGCGTCAAACCCCTTAACTAGTTATGTCGGTTGTACGGGAAAGAAATTATTCTCATTGCTGTGTTTGAGACCCTGATGCCAATATCTTGACTGTCTCACTGGCTCGAGATGGGGATGATATTTTTTTCTGACGCTGATGACGACGACCAAATATGACCGGTTTACATTATTAGGTGCTTAACTGACCAGGACAGGGATCAAGGGGCTTCAAGTCAAACTCCGGAGTTTTATTTCCTCTTCGCTTCGGCGCCGCCAACTCCACCACTAAGTTAGCTGTGTCGAGTCACCACCGCTGCCCAACGCGCACAAACTCGGTCTGTTGATCACTAAGAAGGAAGAAAGGCATACTCTGTAACCCAAAGGGAAAACTGTCTGTACATCCTAAACCAGTATGACCAGCCTGGTAATCTTCGACTTCGACGGGACGCTGGTCGACACCCATGAGTCGATTGAACAGTCTATCAGGCTCACCTTCGAGGCTTTACTTCCAGCCCATGTCCCGCTTCGGTCAGACATCCACTCTCTGATCTCCCGTGGGACAGGCCTGTCAGACACGTTCCGGTCTCTGCATCCCAATATCGAAGCCTACACGGCGGCAGCGGATGAATGGACAGCCAAATATCGAGAGGTTTATGCCACCCACGGCCAAAAGCTCATTAAAGCCTTCCCAGGAGCCCAGAAACTGCTACAAACCCTCAAAGAATCTGGCATACCGATGTCCATTGTGAGCAATAAGGGAGTTGGTGCTGTCAAAACGGCGCTGGAACGGAACGGTATGGGCGGATATGTGCCTGAGGATTTGATAATAGGAGACAGCACGCCTGGAGCAAAGAAGAAGCCTGACCCGGCTAATTTTACGGATATTCTGATACCCACGCTCAAGAGCCGATATGGGATCACCGACCTCGATGTTGGCAAAGTGCTAGTCATCGGGGATACAGTGGCGGATATCCAATTTGCGAAGAACATCGGCTGTCGCGCATGCTGGTGCCAGTACGGGTTTGGAGATCAGGAAGAGTGCCAGAAGATGGGTCCCGATATGATCGTTGGCTCTCTAGATGAAGTAGCGTCATATGTTCGTCCATCGGTATAGAATGGCATATTATACATGGGGAAGCTAGGGGGCCTACTAACTAAAGATGGGTGCAGGGGCAGACGTATGCTATAGAGCGGTGTTTTATAGAAGCTGACAATACGACGTTGAAAGTAAATCAATAACCATTTATAGGCGCCCCTTTAAATATACACTAAGACAAGCCCCGTACGCTAATTGATGAAGAGAAAAGACAGTTGAAATGAGTGAAAACCAAAAGGAGGTCGTAATTGTGGTTAGAGTTACACTGAAGATGGAGTCGTTAATGGGGAATAGACGAGATGATGAGGAAGCCACTCCAAATGACTACGAATGCGAGACAAATTCAAGCTCGCTCTGGTTTCTTTGCAATGGCAAATGAGCTATAGACAGGAGACGGGTTAATATCACAAGCACCTCATAATGGGCTAGGAGACGGAGATGAACATACAAGTGGGAATATATATGCATCTTATTAGACCTGACCTCCTCAGTCACATTATTGAGGAGCTTCCAGAGGTCATCGGCACTCCAGCCGCCAACGCGAGTGAACAGCGACGTGCTGTAGGACTCCATCGCATGGCCCAGGAACTGTGCCATGAAATAGCGGCCCCTCATCTTCAGCTTCTTGTCCTTGGGCCAGGTTCCCAGGGGCATGACTTTTTCCGTCTCCTCGACCTCGATGAACCCTCCATCTCGAAGCCAGCCGGCAAAAAATGGGAATACATCAAACTCACGCCCACAGGAGTGGGAGATGCGATCAAATTCGTTCTATCACTGAGGTTAATTGAAAGTTCAATGGGTATAATGACGAAGAAAAAGGACATACAAGCCAATGTCTAGTCTTCGAATCCTCGGGGAATGTGTCATCGTCACAACAAAAGTGAGCACGAGCTTCTGATACTTCTATCCGGCCACCAGGCTTTAGTCGTCTAAGCCGCCGAATTAGAACTGATAAAAGATGAAGTGATGTGTGCGATACTTCTTACTTGTAACATTGCCCCATTAGCCGTGGCCAGTCTGACAGACTTCCCCCAAGCGTACGTATGTGGATAAAATCAAATGAGGACTCAGGAAAAGTCCAGTCCTGCTCGGCATCGTCCATCATGAATTCAACATTGTCGGGTCGCCTGCGGATAGACATCAGCCCTCAGGCTCCGGAAGCAAGTGAGGGAACATAGGAGACTCCATCTTCAACTCACCAACTTGGTTGGATGGGCGATATATCTGTCCCAATAACCTGGGCTGAAGGGTATAACTCTGCCACTGAACTCAGGGTTAGACTTGATAGACTACCCCCCTTATTCAACTCGGTCAGGTAGATAGAGAAAGGTGACGGGGCTTGACTTGCTTTCGATGGCCCATATCCCTGTCCCGGTGCCAATGTCGAGGATGCGTTCAGGATTGTCGAGTTTGGTAAAACACAGCTCGCCATCGAGGGTCAACCGGAAGATTTGGTGAAGAAAATCTAGACGTTCCTGTTCCCGTTCATCGTTGGGGAGGAACTGAAGGTATCCAAAATAAGAGCGTTTGACTAGTCAGCGATCATCTAGTCAAGTAACCATATCCAGCCAGGGACATCATGTATGGAAAGCCAGTCGACATGGGAACAACGCACGTATTGATCTACACAGTAGCCTTGATAGCGCCGTCCGTTTTCATAAACGAAGTTTGGGATCGTGGAAACGACCGAAGCGAAGTCAGTGGCGATTGTTGACGTCTGTTCAACATTGGCGTCTGCCTCGATGGTCGACTGGGAGCATCCGTCTGATCGATCGTCTTCCTCAGCCGCCATTCCGAGTTATGTAGAACGATACTTAAATAACGGTGAGTAGCTTGCTAAAATAAGCGAGATGAAGCTTTCTCTTCTAGAATAATAACTAGAGGAAGCAGGAAAAGGAAGGAAAAAGCAACTTCAGGAGCAAGCAGACCAGGGAAGAGGAAGGCGACGAAGAGAGAGAGGGGGGGATAATTTATACGGAGTCAAGCGAGGATGATCGGGCAGTGTTATTATATCTGCCTCTTTATTCAGTGACACACATACAGACAGCTGTCTGGTATGAACCATCGCAAGCAGCAGCAGCAGCGGCAGCGGCAGGACGCAAAGGTGCATCAAAGGACAGCAACGCCACCGGGAGCCATATCATGCAGGTTTGTTGCTCACAGCACGCAGCCTCCCAAGCCGTCTCTCTGTTTGTTGCAATTGCAAGGGGGCCAACTCGTTATGGGTCCAGACGAGTGCATGAAGAGCGCATCTTGAAATTGTCTTTGGTCTTTTCTCGCCGGCGGACGAGCCAATTATTAAGCGTTTCCTTGCCCACAGCGTCGGGTCGACCCTTTGGGCCCTTTTCCACGGCCCTGGGACGCCAGCCGCAGGATGGCTGGTTGGGTACATGGCGGTCGACTCTGGCGCAGCGTAGGCGAGTCCAGCACATCGACAACATTGGGCGGAAGGATGCTGGCCTCAGGAGTCGCCTGTTCCATAACTAGTTAACTAGTCAACCATCCATTTGGCCTGCAGCCAGACTGAGTTCCTCTCGGGCCGGCCCGAAGTTGCCTGCTAGCTAGTTAAACGGCGGGAGTTTATGGACGTCAGGGAGTCGACATGACACAATGATAGGCGTGGCTGCAGGTGAAAGGCCTTGCCACGTCAAGTCCGGTGTTCATATGTCGACGGGGGTGCACGTATCAAGTGGGAGCCGTTTATCTGCAGCTGGTCATCCGCCATGGGGCCGTCGAGCCGATGCGTATGATTGTATGGGGTGGCGTAAGGTGTATGGAGAATATATCAAGTATTCCGACGTATGTAGCAGTGAAGTTGCCTGCTGCGTAAACCAAAAGCAGTCCAGGAAATAAGTAGAATGTCAAGATCAATGGTAACTAGAGCTGATCTTCTGTAAGAACATCCTAGCAATATGTGCGCATCACCGCACAGTATTAACCAGAGTAATAACAATTCCAAAGTTATGCTGTCCATGCAATGCAACCAAGCACCAGAAAGAGTCCAATAGTAGGCTAAGAAGAGAATATTAATATTTCACACTCTAGCACATCGTACAGCCAACTTTGTGTGCCGTTGCCGAACCCGACCCAGGGTGGAGCAATGGAAACAAAAAGCAGATGGTTTCGTTATTATACACAGGAGAATGCTTAAGATATACTCTGGCAGCGAGTAAGTAGGGTTCTGAGGAATAACAAAGTCGGAAAGGGTGACAAAGGCGAAAGAAAACCCAGAGAAAAAGCCACTTTATTTACCGGCCCCTCCCCAGCGTATCCAACTTGACCAACTTGAGTTCGAGGAGTTAGGGTTGGCCGTTTCGCCCCCTTGAGGTTCTGTAGGCACGGCAGGCGTAGCAGGTGCTGTCTGGGTTGTGCTTAAATCGGGTATTTGTTGTGACTGGGTGTGTGGTTCGGTGTCTGAGCTGGTGGTCGTTATGGCATCTGGGCCATCGAAGAGCCAGCTCCGGGCCTTATAAAACATGGTCTGCTTCTTCGCCTCATCCCGCATCCGCTTCTCCTCGTCCGCGGCCTTTTCTTTCCGTAGCAGCTCGATCTGTTGTGCAGTCGCAGTTCCGGCAACATATGCCTTTCTAGCATCTAAGAGACTCTCCAATTCCTTTTCGATAAATAATTCCCGCTGCCGCCGGTTGTGCATGATTAACGATGCCATTGAATAAATGGTCAAAACTCCAGCAATTCCTGAACACACACAACAGGTCAGTTTATCAGTCTATCAAACAGGCCATTTACGCAGTGCAAGGTCAATGACAGGAGATCAGCTTATCCATACCAGAGGCAGCAATAAGCGAGTAAACCGCTCCCCTGTGAAAACGATCCGCCCACGTCCTTCCGCTGTTTACTATCTTATCCATTGGAGAAAACGACTGTGCAATGCGATTGGCGCGAGCCTGGGCCCGTAGCCGTTCAACCTTTTCTCTGGGAGTCTCTTGTGTTCCCTGGCCGGGAGATGGTTGTGACGGCTGCGAGGACCTGACCTTCAGGCCGGACCATTTCGACGACGAAGCGGGGGAAGACATCGAGGATTTCGAGTAGGCGTAGGGTCCGGTGGCCGTGAACCGAGTTGCATCGCTCGCTGACCGGGACATCCTTTGTCTGCTATGTAATTGCTAACTGTTCGACGTTTGTAGCAGATATGTTCGATGCTTCACAGGACGTTCCGTCTTCTTTATGGTTCTGGTCAAGCAAATCGAGAGATCGGGGATCGCGAAGAATTAGCAGATACAGCAAGCCTCATGCTATAGCACAGCCCACATTCGACTGTGACAAACGAGATATAGGGACTTCCAGCATAGAAAAGCTGGTCTCGACAGCAAAAAGTCGCAGCTTTTGGGTGTTTTTTGTTCTTTTTTCGATTTTTTTTTTTCCCTTTTCGAGGGTTGGATATTATGTAAGCCAGTAACACGTTCTGCCATCCTTCGCCGCTTTTTATGTATGGCGAGCTAATTGGACCATCAGTGCAAACTCTATTTCATAAGATCCAAAGTTAAATTCTGCTTATATAGATTGATTATTAATGGAAATGAAGAGCTACTATTGGACGAGAGAAGAAACGTTACTTATTCAGCTTCCTTCGATGTATTATATACTTGGCTTACCTAAGCACCTTTTTCCTACGGAGCGCTCTCCTTTTTGCTTGCCCTGCAATAATATATAGACACTTTACTCCGTACTTCCCATTAGCTATCTATGGATGCTTAGTGTAGAGGCCCTTCTCTCGAGGCCTCGTTTACTTAAGATTCCTCCTGCCTCTACCTAAGTAAGGTGTGGGTAAAGTATTTATTCTAAGAAGGACGTTTATTATAACTGGCAAAGTGGAATCATCTCGGGCAAGTTGAATAGTTACGAATTTTGGCCGGATGGCTCATTTTTAGTCCGCCATGTTTTGGCTACTTTTGATAAGATGTAGAAGAAGATATCTTTGGATAAAGATTCAAAGGAATATCAAGGGTAATAGAGATGGAGGTTGATTATGATCGACTTGCAGCTTTCCCCATAGCTGGCCAGGCAGCTAAGCCTTAGTATAGGCCCAGATCTGGTCGATTCAGGGTATAAACTTGCTACGATTTAGCCTGTACCAGCTGTCTCGCTCCGCAACTATCCCTGGCATCCGCGATAGAACTAATTTGTTCTCTCCTTCGAATCAGTGTCCTCCTGCGATGGAATTAATAAGGATACGAGGGTCCGGTTGGAGTACGGTGGGAAATCAATAATAACAATAACACGCTGGAGGTGGTGTGATCCGGCGTATCCAGCTAGCCGGCCTTCCTTTGCGCCCAGCCAACAACATTTAAACCCGCCATCCTGTGTCAGGGCCTGTCACTGCAACTCATCCGCCCTGTGTGCTACCCATTACGCTCCCTAGGTGCTTCGGGCTCTTCGAAACAGACAGCATCACACTCCTTTTGCATTTCCCGAGCAAGATTGGTTTAATTGATTTCGTTCGTTGCCACGGCACAGAGAAATAATTCGTTAAAAGCAAAGAGAAAAAAAAACCTCACAGATCCGCCCCCTAGAATACGACAATAAATTCTTCTGAAGAGCCTTTCAAGGGCACAAAACACGTCACAGCAACCCGTTGACAGACAAGCCTACCATGGATGTGGCTCTCGATCTCCTGGATCCCTTGGTCCTCGATAAAGCATACGCCTACTTCGTCCCGGCCGACGGTACCGCATCCTCACAGCCAGTGTCAGCATGGCCGCGAGACAGCATCCTCCGACAATGCATCTCGATCCTGGTAATCACACAGCTCGGTGCTTCGCTATTATACTGGATCTTTAGCTCGTTCTCATACTACTTCATCTTCGACCGGCGACTCGAATACCATCCGCGCTTCCTCAAGAACCAGGTCCGACAGGAGATAGTGTCCTCGATGATGGCTATACCTTGGATCAACATTTTCACACTCCCCTTTTTCCTGGCCGAGGTGCGCGGAAAGAGCCTCTTGTATACCAGAGTAGAGGACTATGGATGGGCGTGGATGGGTATCTCGGTTGTGCTGTTCATGATCTGGAACGACTTCTTGATCTACTGGATTCACAGACTCGAGCACCACCCCAGCGTCTACAAATACATCCACAAACCACATCACAAATGGATCAGTATGGCTCCTTACTCGATGCAGATGTACACGAGGGTCGATTTGGCTAACATTGGTGACTAGTGCCGACTCCATGGGCTGCTCTCGCCTTCCACCCTCTCGACGGATACGTTCAGTCGCTGCCATACCAGTAAGTTCCCACCATTGCCCAATCAACCAGACTCGATTGACATCTCTAATAATTTTCCTTCAGTGTCTTCGTTTTTGTCTGCCCCGTGCAAAAGTACCTCTATATGACCATGTTCATCCTGGTACAGATCTGGACAATCTTCATCCATGACGGCGACATGATATCTGGCCATTGGCTCGAGAAATACATCAACAGCCCCGCCCACCACACCCTCCACCATCTCTACTTCACCGTCAACTACGGCCAGTACTTTACTTGGGCCGACAGCTACTTTGACTCACACCGAGCACCACGCCCCGAACTTGATCCCCTCCACGATGCGCTGCGGGTCATGCGCGAAAAGGGGCTCGTAGATGAGAAGGGCAACCCCATCCCCGCGAAGGACAAGAAGAAGGAGTAGATTTAATTTTTTTTTTTTTTTTCATTAACCGGGGTAGAGCTCCCTTTTTTTCACATTCGATAAGCGGACGGTTGCTTCTTGATAATAGAGTATGTAATTTATGTCACTTAATTTACCCTGGCTGGCCATGAAACATGCTGCCTGGCAGGTTTGCTTGAGCGCGCCTCTTAATATCAACTAATATCACACACGTTATCTTTTATCTGCTGCTCTTTAACCGTCATTCTGTTCGTTTTGATATACTGGGGTTGAACTCCCATCGTCACGTCACGCCGCGGGCCGAGACTTCCAGCTTCTCGGCGTTAAGCTCGAAATTTTTTTTTTTTTTTAAACCGCCACGCCGGCTCTTTTGATATCTGTATGGATCAAAGAAACCCCAAGCTTTATTGATTCCAAATCCTTTCATGACAAGGCTTCGAGATGCATATATGGCCATGATTCATTATTGGGCGCATATATAAACACCATGGGAGCAGTTATATCCTTCATCTTCTCTATCTAATCAGCATCTTATCAATCACCCCGCCATCCTCCCATACAGCCGCCCATAAAGACCGACCACGAGCCAGGTTATATAAAGCAACGTATATATACATATATACCGATAAAATACCCATTACAGCACATATTTTAGACACCATGGGGGGTCAGTATCTCCCGGTCTCCAGCGACCTGCCACCTCTTATCATGGGAACAGCTACTTTCAATGGCCAGTACAATGCCAACCCCTACGAGCTTCCGACCACCGAACTTGTCCACCGTGCTCTCTCAGCTGGGATTTGCGCCTTTGATACCTCTCCCTACTATGGTCCAGCAGAAGAACTTCTTGGAAGAGCGCTGTCCACGCAGTTCGTCCGGGAGAATTACCCAAGGAGCTCCTACAGGTTGCTGACAAAAGTGGGCCGGATAGCAGCATCAACCTTCGATTACTCGCCAGCATGGATCAGACGCAGTATCAAACGAAGCCTGTCGCGCCTAGGCACTGACTACCTAGACGTCGTCTACTGCCATGATGTGGAGTTCGTTACACCAGAGGAAGTGCTGGGTGCTGTCCAAGAGCTACGAAGAATCCGTGACTCGGAGGGGACGATACATTACGTTGGGATATCGGGCTACCCGGTCGACGTGCTCTGTTCTCTGGCTGAGATGATTCTGGAAAAGACAGGCGAGCCGATAGATATCGTCATGTCCTACGCGAATTTCACGCTGCAGAACACCCTCTTGGCAACGAAGGGGCTTGAACGCCTCATTGCAGCTGGTGTGGACTGCGTACTTAATGCCTCGCCCTTGGGGATGGGGCTGCTGAGACGCAACGGTGTGCCTATCGGGAGCATGGGGGATTTTCATCCCGCTCCCAACGAGCTACGTGAGGCAATTCACAAAGCGAGTCTTTGGACCGAAGAACAAGGCGAGAAGATCGAGGTTGTTGCCATTCGATATGCGCTTGAGAACTGGCTGCATGTGGGTGCTGCAGTTGGTGCATCAGGACTGCCTGCCGGTGACCAGACAAACGGTACCAGTACCAGTAGCACCACGAGTCCTCGCAGGCTTGGAGGCAGCGTGATGGGGGTAAGCAATATCGCTGAGCTGGAGGAGACGATGCGGGTCTGGAAAGTGATTCTGGACGCCCTCTCTTCCGAGAGTATCAATCCACAGTGCAGGAAAGGGCACGTTGTGTTGGACAAGGACCAGAAACTTCCGGAGAGCCAGCGGATTCAAACCCTAACAAAGGGCATCCGGGATATCCTGGGGGCCAAATGGGTTGATTTTGCATGGGCGAGTCCGGACGCCGACTATGTCAACACCCCTATACCTGAACACCCACCACCAATTGAGGATTGAAACTCTCGCCCGGGACTCTGACCTTACTTGGATTGCCTTGTGATCTACACGCATATTGTTGTCCTGGATTTGCTTGTTGGCGCCAGCCTTCTTTCCCACCATTGCAGTGGTGAAGGAGTTATTCGTTTAATCATATTGTACATAATTTATATAGAGTGATTAGAATCAATTGCCATAGACACTTGCCGCACTCCGTTCCAGGAAATAACTCCCTTATCCTCCGTTTTAGCAAGCCTCCAATGATAATGACAATGGCAATAAAAAGGAATAATGGTACACCGAAGATGCAGGCTAGGAGCCGGAGAATGCAGAAGAATGATGCTCTTGGGTAACACCGACTAATTCAGTGTAATTCGTTGCCGGTTGGTTCTCGCAAGATTGAATCTTGCAACACGAGGGGTGTGTCCATACTTACGAGCATTAGCAAGGAAGTCTAGCTGAGTAAAAACCGTGTGCGCTGACTTGAGAAAGGCAACAACGTTTGGATATCAAGGACAAAGAAAAACGCTGGTTCGATGCTCCCATGACCGGGGAATGATGTATGTAGATGCCAGACCTATCCAGTATGTGGTGGAGGGGGTGGGGGAGAAGGAGAAGACAGTGGAGGAGGCGGTGGGGGACTGCCCAACCCGACAGTGGCATGATAGCCAGCAAACCTACGTTCACTAAGGAAGAAATCACGCAGATGCTTTCTCTGCTCCTCATATGCATCATAGTTTCCGCCTATTATTGTTCCAAGCAAGCTGCTTGGGGAGTGACGTGGTCTGCATGAAGCGGCATATAAGCTCTCCTTGAGCGATCGGTATGCATCATAGAATGTTAGGAAGATAAGTGGAATCTCTTTGGTTCCACCCGAGATGTCATTATCCGGGTTATTGGGGTCAATTATTGACAGCCTAGTCCCTTTGTTTGCGTTATAAATGCCACGCGCAGCCTGATTTTCGATCAAATTAATAACCCAGTAGAACAGGCAAATTTAGGAAGGGGAAACGATGGGAGTGTGGTGTACCTTGTTGAAATAACCTGGGGGATCAAACTGTATGCCCACGGCGCCAGCATCAAACCTCGAGCCATACATTTCAAAGAAGTCAATGAGAACAGAGCCCAGGTTTGGCTCTCCGATTCCACGGGGTGAATGCTGTAGTATGCTTGTGACCAAACATATGATTGAGAAACCACCCAACCCGCCAGTGGCCACGTCGTTGAGTCCTCGAATCAAAAGGAAATGTTTAATGATGGAAGCTATGACGGGCATAGCGGGATATTCTTGCTTCCAAGCTTTGAACGTATCAATGGCTGCCAGGCCACTGCTGTTATCGAAGGATAGGTCTACTTTCAGACCAGTGAGAGCATCCACGAACTTGATGATGGGAACACGCGCATGGGCAATTGTTTCAATTGATCCGGGCACGGCAATTCCCTGTCCGCGGATATATTCAGCAAAACTGTATATTTCCCGGACTTTCTGACAGATGTACTTTCTATTTGAGGACATGAACTGGCGAGAGAGAAGAACAAGATCCATATCTGCTGTAGGGAGATAGAGACCTGATGCAAATGATCCAAAGGCGTATAGTTTTGCACCATAGAACCTTTGCCCAAAGCATGCCTGAAGTCTGGATATAAGATCTCGTCTGACAATGTCTTCGTACTCTGTAGGTTTTACCCAGTGGTAGAAGTCCAGTATCTCCTTGTGTAGCCTAGACAACATCAGCATCATCATAGAGACAGAGTAATAATAATAATAATATAATAATAATATGAGAGCTCCAGTACTGACATGGTTCCTATATGGAAAGCTGCACTGGACCGGTCGAACCAAGGCGTTGGATCCTGGCCATCTAGCGGTTTCCAAATATCCAGTGGTGACCCATCCAGATTGAAGAATTTGGATCCTTTCTTTCCACGCCTGACAGCAGGGCCTGTAATCTCATCGTCTCGATTCCTCTTGCGGTTCCCAAGCGCAGAATCACCCCGCTCCAGCTCTGCAGCTCTGGGGCCACTGGGGGCACCTTCAGGGGGCCTATTATCCGGCTCATCCACACCCAGGGAGATAAAGTCATCATTCGTCACTGCAGGGTTGCTGCTAACCTCCGGAGTCGATGTGACAGCAGGGGTGATTCTGGCCTTGCGGATCAGCTTGACAAAGTCTCGTCTCTTCCCTTGCCTTTCTTCTTCTGGCGGCAGCACAGTGTAAGGATCTGGGTTGGACCACTTTGGTGCAGGCGGCGCAGCAGCTTCAGAGTCGCGCTCGATGGCCCGTTTCTTGCGTGGGGGCTGCGCGGTACCGTCGTCGTTATCCTGTTCGTCTGCAGTAGTAGGGGTAGACACATCCATCTCCGCCTCGTCGCTATCCGTCAGGTCTTCGGGGGCCATGAACTTCTTCGCAGGCGCGTCGCTGTCCGGACCACCCATAAAATCAGGCGTCGTCTCTCTTTTGGCCATCAGCAGCGGCCGCGACGAGGGTGTTGCCCGGAATGTGAATTCATGGTGAGGACGTCCGCCGCGACGACGGCCTTCGCGCCGGTGGTCTCGATCGCGACCACTGCGTCCCCCCTCCCGGCGGCCTCCTTCGCCATCGTTCCCGCGGAAGACGTACGGCTGCGGCATGCTCGAGTGCTCGCTCCGCCGAAACTCGACCTGGGCCAGTTTCTTTCACCTTGCGCGTTGTTCTGTAGCGAAAAGATGTTTTTGCGGATGTTTCTTTTTTACTTTTTTTACTTTTTTTTTTCTTTTTTGTGAATTTTCTGGTTGGTTGTTGGAAGGCGGTAAGTTGCGGCAGTTTCGACTGTTCGACGTTAAGAAGACGAAGACGAAGATGATGAAGATGATGAAGATGGACTCTACAAGTTGATGGAAGATACTGGTTATATTTATTCGATGGCAGTGGACAGTGAATACGGCTGGGAGAGGCTACAAGAGTGAATAGAGGACGGCGTTGGTGCGACAGTGACTGTCTATAGAAGTGAACGGTTGAGTTTTAGTCATGGTATCAGCCACAACGGAGCGGCTCTTTGCCTCGACGTTCACCTAGACTCGGCTCGAGAGGAGTGAATATTGCTAGAGTGACTATCGATATTTACTGTCAAAGAGATGATACTGCGTCCAGAGGATCCTGACATGTCCGTTTCTTGGCGGTTGTTGCACCAGGTCTCTCGACTGAAAGCTACCTTCCAACAGATGCGCTGCATAACCAGAAAACAAGACTTCCGACAAGAAACAACAAAGAAGGGATAGGGCCTGACACTCGGACAGGCCGACTGGGTATTTAGTAAGGCGCTGATAGAGCTGCAGTCTATTGGGCAGCAACCGGGTTCCCGCTTGGGCGGTGGATGGAAGAAAGTGAAGCTTCCATAGAAGTTCGATGGCGATCTCCGCACGGTTTGCGTACAGATGACCGTGGAGCCCACGAAAAAGAGAAGAAGTAGAACAAGAAGAGGCCAAGTCCAGTCGGAAGAAGGAGAAACCATGCCTATATCAGGCTACTTAAGTCTCTGACTCGTCCTGCATATCGTCATGCTTTATAACTCGCGTCCCATGTGCAGGGCAAGGTGGGTATCAAAAACGGGGACGACTGGCTCCGGATAGGCTGATTACTGCGTTTTCTTGGGCCCCCCCCGCTGGTTGATTTTGAGATGAACGAGATCTGAACCATTCGCAATAATCCCTCGAGAAGTCAAATGATGGGTTTGAAGGTGACATTCAGCGTATAAAAGCTCTTACACCGGTTGGAACAGCCGCCCACATCATGGATTGGCTAGTACCCTAGACCTTGCTTTAGTATAAACACAAAGTTGTTAATTGAGAGAGCCGTGACGGAGTACATACCTAGTACAAGTCCAACTCATCTCGACAGGCCCGCTTCTACTGCAACAGTAGAGTCGACGTTTCTTCCAGACTTGACCGTGATCAGGGAGTGGCGGGAGCCATTAGTTGATTAGACCCCATAGTAGTCGGTAGAGCGGCGTATTAGTTATCAATTTGCAGGTCGGATTCAATGCAAGGGTCTCGATTAAGTAGTGATAAGGAGCAGAAACATGGCTGATATAGATACTCCTGTACACTCGAGGCAAGGAGTGACTCTATATGACCACGATTGACCGACGTTTGTTTGACCCTGCTCAAGGTGCCATCGCTGCCTAGCTAACCGCCCACCCCCTGAGCAAGCCGTAAACGTATAATGGATCCTGGTCATCTTCATTCCATGTCCAAGGAGAAATAGAAATAGAAGTAGACGGGTATCCTGCTGCCTGGAGAATCCAAGAAAGACGCTGGTTATGCTCTTCTCCGGGTGGGACCGCATAACTACTAAGTAAGATCTTGGACACGGTCCTGCAGGTTCAGCATCTCGTTTGTCTTGCCCCGGAAGAACGCTCCTCTCCCGCAAGAATAATAATAATGACGATAATAGGCCACCTGGCGGACCCAGAGAGTGAGGCGTCCGGACTGCCCACCGTCCACTCAGTTAACTCGTTACTTACTCCCGATTACTACTGACGTAACTTGCTTACCTGCAGCCTGGAGACTGCGGACCGGCAGGGATCGCAGTGGACGGGGGAGGCGAAGGAAGGCAAATAATAGCACTGCTGAATACTCCGTACCGTCAATCTAATTAATCTAATAACTAATAACTAATCAAACTAGCTGGCTACCCCGCTGCCAGCCTTCCTCTCGCCCTATCTTCCTTGTTCCAGCGAGGCGGGAGGCGTATATAAAAAGGAGGCCGAGATCTCCCGTCTCAGATGCGCCTCTACTTTTCTTTTCAGAGCGAACAAACACCGAAATAACTATTACTTAACGACTTAACGACGGAATACGCCTATCAAAACAAATAACCAGACACCTCGTTTAGCTACTCGCACTCTCTACGATCAAGATGGGTGAGTCGTGGCCGTCTCCGGGGCCTCTGCTCCCTCTGCTCCCTCTGCTCCCTCTTATAACTGCCTACTATTGGAGAAGAACGTATCTGGCTAACGAGACTTGCCGTCACTAGGTGACTGTGGATGCAGCTGTGGCTCTGCCTGTACCTGCCCTCCCGGCGGCTGCAACTGCGTAAGTCTGCCGTCTTCCCTTTGAGAGCGTGGAAGACATTCAAGTAGAGCATTGCTGACCTCTTTTTCTATAGAGCTAAATTGCCTTCTTGCCTGCTGGTGTCAAGCACAGAGATGAGGCCTCTCCCCTTGAGCCTGGAGACAAGACATCCTCATCGACCGACAACCGAGTCTTATCAACCTGTCCATCTCTCTCTGGACTTGGACCGTGTTTAAACTGTCCTCGGGAGCGTGGCAATGGGAACCAACATCAGCTGTTTATTGATAGGACTTCGTGTTTCGCTTAGGCAAGATGCAATAAAATAAAACATTGCTGTTTCTCTTCGGTGTTTCTCTCCTCAGCTCGCCTCTCTCTCCGTCTGCTCTGTACTTTTCCTCGGGATTCGATAAAATGTAGACGGGAAAGTAGAAGAAACGGAGGCCGTGCCGTCTCTGGCTTGAGCAGAAGCTCGTACGGAGCTCTCGCTGCCTTTCCCCAGCTTTTTAGTTCAAAAAGATGGCGCCTGAAGAAACCAGATGTAGATGAAAAAAGTATGAAAAAGAAGCAACGTTTTTATGATATGCCATCCATTCTCCATGTCTAGATTGTTAATAATAAATGTGTCAGGCGAACTTGAGCCCCGTATACGAAGGGATGGAGTAGATAACTAGATAGCGGACTAACTGCTGCATCCGCCGGCCTCACGCTAACTAACTAGCTAGCTAGCTAGTCGTCGCCTTCGGGGCTGTCATTGGAGACGCTCGACGGGCGCCGGCCCTTGTCGACTTGGTCCCAAACATGTCATCTCGATCCTCTTCCCTCCGTACAACAACTCCATGTATACATACTTACACGCACCTATACGATGCGACGACTTTGCAAGGCCTCGGGGGATTGGAGCCGGATGGCAGTGGCCATCTCGAGCCAATGAGTGCCGGGATCCTTACACCAACTGGTACGATGCTGTCTGTACTGTACAGCTCAAAGACGACGGCTGGACGTCTCGCCATCCACCGCTATACTCGGCACAGCAGATAAACACGCAGAGTCACACGGCCATCTTGCCTGGCAGGCCTCTCCTCTGCCCTCGAGCGATGGAAGGCGTTGGCAGACGTTTCTTTGCTTTTCTTGGTTTCTTCTTGTTCTTTTTTTTTTCTTCTTCTTCCTCCCGAACACTCGATGACTGCGTCTCCAAGCAGCCGTGCATAATTAAGTTAGCTAAGATAGTTGCAGCGCAAGTGTAACTATTGCTTTTTTTTCTCTTTGGTCGACTTGATACCCCCCTAACGGAGTACTGCTACACACTACTTACTACGACTCTCTGGCGCTGTCTCCTTGTGACTCCATCCCGATCAGCTCCCCTCCCCGTTTACAGCCTCGACCCCGAAGCGAGCAGCTATATGCTTGCCTCCCTGGCATAAATCGCGCGCTATCTCACCAAGCTCCACTGGCGGGCAGCCGGGAAGCCTGTCCTGGCGATGTCATAGTGCAGATTCCACGTCGTACGCAGTACACCAGACATCAGACCCCATATCTCCCCTCGTAGTTGGCAGTGGGAAAGCGTAACTAACTACGGGGGATGGGGTGTTTTTTTGGGGTGTTTGGAGGTTTGATATGCCGGATAAACTACCTAAACCGCACAGCATGCATGCATTTCAAGGCGCACAGCACAAGAACAAGGGAATGCAGCAGATGCTTCGAGGCTATTCCTCGGTACACAGAACATAGCGCCCTTGGAGGGGGTTGCATAGATGGAGATGGACATGCATAATACTTTTTCGTGCCTTTTTGCTTTTCTTTTCTTCTTTAATAACTGCCTGCACAGGATACCCTTGCCGTTATGGCGTCTCATGGCACAGCTGATTGCACTGGGAGAAAATAGGTTAGTGTGTACACTCAACCTTCGCCCAGTCGCATTTCAAGGAACAGCAGTACATCGTCGGGCTTTCTGATTCGGTTCCGAGTCTTCTTGCTCTCCACATACGCCCCGTCTCCTTCCCCGGGTGGATGTATGTTCCCTTTTGGTGAGGGGCTGTCAGCTCAGGGAGGCGGATATCAAAATTACTCGCACTCCAGTTCAAGCATAAAAGGGACCTCCTCGCCCTGCATCTTTGCTCCCTTTTCTCTCTCTCTTTCTTCTCCATCCCAGAGAACCAGACCTACAAATCCAAAGCAACTCATCCAACACTTAAATCTTTTTAACTTGTTAACCCAAGTCACCCCTCAATCTACCAAAATGGCCCCATGCTCTTGCAACTGCTGCCCAGGAGAGTGCTCCAGCTGCTCCTGCTCCAGCTGCTCCGTGAGTGTTACCCCGTTCCTTTGAAACATACGGATATACAGCAGGTTTCAATTAGAAGCAGCTGCATATAACAGCCTCCATTCCAAAAAAATGGTATACAAATGCTGATTGATATACTTTAGCACTAAATGACCTATGATTGTCATCCTTACCCATCAAATACTTTCTTCCACAATATTGCAGCCTACGACAATTAATTTTCCATCCGAAGACCAATCTGCAATGACAAGACGCACCTAGCTTTGACCGAAGACCATACGACGAGCGGGAAATTGGGAGACCACGGGGAAGGGATCAAACGACTTTCTGAGAAACGGCATTCGACATTGGAATCTTCTGTTCTTTTTTCTCTTTCATCCTTGTTGGCTTTCAAGCCAGCGAGTCAATCTATTACACTCATTTCCATGTATCCCCCCCAAATGACTTGGTTTAGACAAGCCTTTACACAGTTACCACAGCCAGAGAATCAAGTCACCATACGCAGGCCTGCAAAGCTCTTCCTTTTTTTTATTTTTGCTTTATCTTCTACCAATTCCGCGGAGGACGTTGAAATAAGCAATGTAGTTGACCGTCCGTGTGTAACGCTAGGCTTTGCATTTATCCTGATGCAAACGACATGCATGTAATTTTCTAGTCTCTAGTAATGAACGGTAACAATCTCTAAATCCAGTAATTTGAAGTATTTATTCAGACATGGGCCCATTGAGTCCCAAATCGACATGGCGGGGAGTAGTCAATCATAGCTCATCCTTTCCACTGCTTTCCTGGCTGTCCTTGCCAGCTACAGGAGACTCACAAGCAGCTGGAGTAGTGGCGAACATCGAATATACACACTTCTCGTCCTCTGTAATCTTGGTGAGTTCATTGTTCTCGCCACACTCCAGAATCACAGTTGTCGAGCGCGCAGGTCCGTTCCAGCATGTCTGGCCATTAGTATACAAAAGAGTAACCTTGGTCTTCTGAACAATCTGGCCGGACGGAGTAGCCTCGTCCACAACAATAGATGAGATCTTCTCAAATCTCCCCATAGTGGTGTCGGCGCGTCCCTTCCTGGATTTCTGCTTGGTCTGCTCCATCCAGCAGAGTTCGTAAGTGTACTCTCCTGAATCCTGAGAAACGCATTCCCCCTTGAGTGCTCTGAAGACGGAATCAACTCCAAAATCTTCTTTGAGGTCCCGCTTGAGATCCTGAATCTCAGATTTCTTCAAGTTGAGAGAAGCCTCTGCACCGTTTACTTTGTCTTTAGCATCTCTCACTTCCTGTGGTTCATCTGAACCGTCATCCATTGAGCTGTCCGCGAGTAGACCATTCGAGACTAATGCAGACCGGAAGCTAACAAGACCATCTTCAATGGCATTTGCAATGCCGGCAGGCAAGAAAGATGCCAGCTTGTGCACTGTAATAATCATAACAACGTCAGAAACATCTCCCCCCCTCCCCGCCCCCCTCACCAACGGGAGCCTAGTGGTCTAGGATACATGGACTTACCTAATCCAGGTTCAGCTTCTTCTGCCCACTGCTCAGGGTTGCCGAACGGCTCATCATGTTCAGGTTTAAGCGCATCGAGCAGGGCATCATCTCCAAACGAGTCACTGCCATGTTCTCCCTTTCGGGCAACGTAGTCTTCCCAGCTACGAACGGCACGTTTGACACCCTCGTCATTAAAGTTAGGGTTGTACTCTTCCTTAAACTTAGACAGAATTCCCTCGGCTTCCCGCAGGAGATTTACCACCTGGTCTCTCTGCAGATGCACCTCCTCTAGTACAGTGCGAAGAGTGTCAGTCCTGGCCTTTGCAAGCTGTGCCAGTTCATAAGCTTTTCCTTGCTTCTGGCCACTGGCTGTCTTCCCCCTATTCCTTGCTCTGGCTGTTTCCAGCTGTGCTTCGAGGTCCGCAAGGGAACCTTCAAGATCTTCAGCTTCCTTCTCAAGGGCCAAAATGCGGTCCTGCATTTCCTTTTCCGTCTTGGATGCCTGTGCCGCTAATTCCTTGCGTTTGCGTAAGGCTGCAGAGTATGACTTTTCCTTTTCTTCCTCAGTCTTCTTCCATTGCTTTCCAATCTCTTTGCATCTGTCCTCACACTTTAGTCCACCAACGTGGGCCCACTCATCGCTCCCGTCGCAGCATATATCGTAATCACACACGCCATCGTTTACTCGCTGAAAGCTAAGGTATAGAGGCATGTGTCCCTTATTCTTGCAGTAAAACCCAGGGAGCGATAGCTTGTTGTTCGTCCTATCGTTCCCAGGGTTCGAAGAGTATGATGACGAGTAAGGAGATATAAACGAGCATGCTGATGTGCCAGGTTCATCACTCCCGTCTGGACAGTCACAATACTCGTCATTGACGGCGGAAAATGGTATCTTGATTGAGGGGTTAGAAATACAGCTAAAGCTGTTGGCGTCCTTGTAGAACTTGGCAACTAAATGGTGTACAAACGTCCAGTTAGACCAATTGCATTAACCATGAGAACGTCATGAAGGGAAGCTGGGAATAGCGGTAGTTACATTCAGGTCCTACTCCCCTCGGACGGGGTCCTTTGTCGCCTGCGGCTACACATAGCGTAGGACCCACGGCCGCTGTAAACAAGAGCAAAAGGGAGCCTCGATTCATGGTGAGCGCATTGGGCCACGTCTGAAGTGTAGATAAGTAGCCTACAAAACTTCGTCCAACAAAGAGTTATTGAAAATGCCGCCAGGGCGGGTTGTTGAAAGAATGAACCTGCAACGAGTTTGATAGCGGACAGGTTGGCATGTCTGAAGCTTCGTCCACCGCGGAGCTCGAGACCATCACGTGACCCAGCGGCGACCTACCTCGGGGGTCAAAACCTTTAAAGATAAGATCAGGAAAACTTACCTACGTAGAATAGAAAGTCAACCCTTTGAACGAACCCACAGACTACAGTTGAATACCTGTCAAGATGGGTAATGATGGTGGAAGGTAAGAAACGCTTGTACGCAGTTTGAAGAGTGCCCGTCTAACTTTTATGCCCTGCAGCATCCCTACTCGCCGAGAGCTGGTGAAAGAAGCTGCGCGGAACCCAAATACCACCCAGCTGAAGGAGACACTCCGTGAACACCTCGAACACTTCTGGACTACGTGCCCTATATCCCATAAGAAGCTTCTCTCGCCTGTGGTGTCAGACGCTGTCGGAAATCTCTACAACAAAGACGCCATCTTACAATATCTTCTTCCTGGTGACGATAGTGAAGCCATAAGCGCAAAGGCCGACTGTGACGAAGTGCTGCAAGGAAGAGTCAAATCGCTACGTGACGTTGTTGAGCTCAAATTTGACGTTGATGGGAACCCCGATGTACCGAATGGAGGACGGAAAGGTCGCTGGATCTGCCCTGTCACTCAAAAAGAACTTGGCCCAAGTGTGAAGTCAGTGTATCTTGTCCCTTGTGGACATGTCTTCTCTGAGGGAGCCATTCGTGAAATGAAGTCGGATAAGTGCTTACAAGTGGGTGCAACCTTATCCTGCGGTACCTATTGACGCTTTACTAATGAATATATGCACAGTGTAATGAGCCGTACGAACCTTCGAATGTTATTCCAATTCTTCCAACTCAGGAATCAGAGAAAGAGCGGCTAAAATCGCGGGTAGAGGAGTTATCCCGGCAAGGCCTTGCCCATTCATTAAAGAAGCTTTCTGGCTCGAACAAAAAGCGAAAAAAGAACCGCACCGATATGAACGGTGATGTCGACAATGATTCCAAATCCGAGTCTGCGACGAATGGAAAGGTTAAAAACGACAGCAATACACCTACTCCATCCTCCACTCCCGCGCCAGTGGGTATCAAGAACGCTGGAACAGCTATATTGACTGCCAAAGTGCTAGAGGAACAAAACGAACGTCGCAAACGTGCAAAAACGGAACGAAGTGATGCTGTCCAGTCCCTATTCACTTCCAAAAGCAAGAAGGAGAATGGTAAAAACGTCGACTTTATGACCAGGGGCTACTCTATTTCACGTTAGTCCACGTGCAGATGTGGAATACAAGCCACAAATCACCCAGAAACATTTTCGAGACTTTCCAAATCTCGTCACACCAAGAGGAGCATCAAGAAGGCAACTTCTACATCGCTACACAGGCCATTCATGGCAATATTTTCGTTCGACGCAGAAAAATTGCCCGGCTTCAGGCTGTCCCAATCTTCGGTAAATTCAGAGAGAAACCCGGCCTCGGCTGCCGGTTAAGCACCAGGCCCAGGATGAACTTAATCGGCGAATCGCATGACCATTTCCTTGAGATACCTTTGGGAGAGCTCTCTGAAAAATTGTGACTAGCAATGCTTCAACCGAGCCGTGACATCACGCAGGTCACCAGCTTTATTTATTCGCATTTGTCCAGTGGATAAATCGAGATAAAAGCTTGGTACAGCTACTACATACCTTGACTGATTTGTTTGGAATTCTATTAAACATCGGAGGACTACCTATAATGAAGCTTGCACAATGACCCAAAAGATGGATAACCTGTGTACGCCCAATAGGAATCACGTACTGTGTTCCCCTCAATAGCGTACATTATGAAGAAAAGACGAAAGTCAGTAACTGATTGCAGTACATTATCACATCCTTAACATAAAATACATTTATTCTAAAATTAATCCGTGTTGACGAAGAAAAAGGTCCTATTTTACATGCAATATCAAACTGCTGCCAAAGATTGCTCCAGGAGGCCCGACATTCACTTGTCCCAAATATATAATAATCATGCAACTTTGCGGCCTGTGATTGGAAGTCCTCTTTTCGTAAGCTCTTCCTCAATGACTTTCCATTGACCTGTTTCGATTTCGCTGTCAATGGGGGTTTGTCTTCTGTCATAGATCTTGACATTAGGGATACCATCGAAGGTTCCCTCAACAATAAGCTGCTCCGCAAGCTTCGTAGGTTTGGGGGTCGAAGCGCGGATAAGGAAGTCTTGCACGGAAGATACGCTGGATATGGATGCAAGCTCCTGGTCCGGAATGAAGTGGCCGGTCAACTGGCTAACTCTTTTCAAGTACTAAAACATCATTACGTTAGTAAAAGCAATAGGATAGTCGTTCTATGGAAACCTACCGCAAACTTCATGTCTGGGGACATGAGAGAAATGTTCAGGAACTCTGTGCTAGCTGGAGGGCTAAGCTCGAATGATGAGGTTTCAGATACTACTTCGGAGTTGGCATCCATCTCGGGTTCTGTGGAAGGAAGTTCTTCAGAAGCAACGGGTTCCTCAGCCGGGATGGAGTCAAATTCACGGAAGAATTCATACACCTTGGCTTTTGCATCTTCACTTGGGAATGCCAATGCAGCTCCGGATTGTTCCTTCGAGGGGACTATCTCAACTTTGTTGATTAGAGACAGAATCTGGGGCTCATGCTCGAGGATGTCGCAAGAAGCTCCCAAGGGCTTGTTAAGCTCCTTCAAGACACTCAATTCAACCAGGGCCTGATGCAAGATAGCCAGTATATCATTATTGTCCGTAATCTTTTCCCTCCGCATGAATCTGTACGCAAAAGTTCCTTTAGCCTGTGTGGATCGCAAAAAAGTCAAATATTCACAACTCACGCATCAAATTTATCCATCTCAGTTGGTGGTTTCTCCCACCATTCACCCAATGATCCGACATGCTCTAGTCCATCCCAATTAATCGCGGGAGTGTAATCTTCCATGGCCTCGGCATTCGTTTCCTCTGCCATAGCCTCGAGAGATCCTTCCGGGACTTCTTGCGATTCATCCGCCCTGGCTTCCCTGGCTTCCCGGAGCTCACGAGCTCTTCTCTCAAGTATGCTTTCTCCTCCATAAGGGTCCTTTAAACCTGGAGGATTGTCTGTGCCCCACAGCTTTCGCCGTACCTTTTCGGTGAATGGAAGATTGCCGGACGAGTTGTATCGACGAGATGGCGTGGAGATCAGATTTCGGGCTCGTGGGAACGATTGCCAGCGACAATTCGTGCAGACATAGCGAGAACTATTTAGTTGTGAGGGTAGAGCCTCTAATGACCGCAATAGAGACCTTGATGACGGCATTATAGCAGCTCCTTGTCTCGCAATAACTGCTTGCATTTCATCTTTGTGAATTAAATCAATCGAGAACTGAAAAAGGACTTTTATGCCAAGATCTATCACGTGAGTATATGTGGAGAAAGTTTATTTTGGTCGTGTAATAAGAGTAGAGCTTGCATCAACAACTATGGGATTAATTTAATCAATTCTAAGTACAAGAGCTATCCCTAACGTACAGTCTACGACCCCAAGTTACATTAAGACATAAAGAAACCAAGGAGCCAGCCCTCTTTGTTGTAAAGAAACCAACACCAAACACATAGAAAGGTCGTTGGTGAATAAGCGGAATAGGAGGGAAACGGGGGTATCTTTGTAGCAGAAAGGCAAAAGCAAAATTCAATAAGTTGAAGAATGCAGAAACAATTGGGTTGTATCTAGACGCTTCGAACGGCCTATTCACCCAGGAATTTTGGGTGTAATGCAAAGCCAAAGGGGTGTATGTTGAGTTCTGTTGTCGGAAGTACGCTAGGAATAGACGATGTGGCTATAGTGGCCAGGTTCTCTGCGCTGACATTTGTCGCAGTCAGCTCGGAACCCCATAGCTATAGTAGGTTTTTTAGGCGGTTTTGCCATCAACGTAGCGGTATGGTTGACCGTGAGATCGGGGCATTTCCGAAAAGAGTCAGCTTCTGGGTTTGTAGGAGGCTGTAAAGTTGGACTATTTCCTTGTGGCCCGCCGAATTTGTGGGTGGATTTCGAAGATACAGAATTGGACAGAGATGTATTTGAAGGCATGCTCGGATCATCAAGGTGGGAGCAAGTTTGGAAGGGATGTAATGTAAATTTGCTGGTATATTTCTTCGTCTCGGCTTGAAATTCACTTATGGGACTGGGAAAGCTGGAGGCTTCGAGATGCGTGATAGCAGATGCCGGAGGGTGTAGATCACTAGGAGACGAGGAAACCACGGGTGCATTGACAGAGGAAGACTTATGGCAAGCTTGAGTAACCACTAAACTTGTGTCTGTAGAATTGAGGGAGCTGCTAATATTACGCCTCCTGTCTCCATCACCATGGCCAGTGGGAGGCCATGCAGGCAGGGCGGAGGATTCTGTAGACGCACAGTCCATCATGTTCATGTCGGTATCAGCGTCGAGGTGTATATGGCTGCCGGAGGAAGGAAAAGTATGGGTATGTGTCGGCTGGCCATCCCAAATCTCAGCCGCGTCACTATCATTCCATTGGTCTTCCGTTCTCGCGGGAGTAAGAGGTAAGGCTGCGGAGCCCTGGGGTTGCGTTTGCTGGGATAAAGGTCGGAGGCATAGGGGTTTAACTCTCTGAATTGCAAGTTAGCAAAGAAGGTATGGGTATTAGGCCAAATGAGACTTGGTGGGCACATACTTTTCGCCTTAACGTCAGCTCATCATCCTCTGAGGCTTCGTCTCCCTTTTCTTCCTCCCTGGAGCGTTTAATAGCAAGACTCTGCATGAGTATCAGCGCCTGCCGAGCCGTAAAGTCTCAAAGTACATCAAAAAAAATCTTGTCTGTAGCCCCGGGAAATTCTGAAGCTCATCAACTAGATGGCGAAGGTTAGAGCAAAGCGACCTCAAGCAGCTCTTTCGTTTTTAACCTTGGGAAAGAGCACGGAAGCCCGTGGTAATGCAACGAGGTCTCCTACATCCCAGATGAGGCTAACATCAGCTAGATATAGACTCGTCACTCTAAGCCAAATCACCTCTTTCCTGCCCAGTGAATGTTCTGCTGTTTATCAATTAAAGAAATCCAACAGACAAAAAACATCTTCAAGATCAGATAACTAACTAGCTGAAGATTGACAGGGCAAAAGGTCAGCTCAAGCTTGGCGTTGATTATATAATACCCATTGAAGAATGAAACGGCATCGAACCAACAAACGTTTTCAATATCAAAACAATCACTCTTTACTCATTAAGCAGTACAGGTCACTAAACAGCTGAGAGTACATTGCCTGAATTCTTTGGAGAAAGGTGAAAAGACTTTGTTGTGTGGTGGCTTTATGCTTTGATACCCATAAAGTACAATTACTGGAACACAATCAACGAGGAACGAGATGAAACATACTTGATATCAGATTGATAGCACCCGAAGCACTGCGCCTGGCATTTGGCAGCTGTTGGCTATGGAGGTTCCAGATAATGGCGCGCCGGATCTCGCCACCGTCTTGAAAACCCTCTCTTCATTCAGCACTCCACAACCGAGCCAACCCCAGACGGCCAGTAATTCGCAGCCAACAGATCATCCTCATCTCCAAAGTGCACATAGGATACATACGCCCACTCATACGAGTTTAACTTCTTCGTCAAGTAGCCAGGAGAGTGGGTCTGGCCCTTTGAATAAGAGTTCTGCTAGTCCGTCTGTAATCACAGCATGGCCTACCGCTCTTAAATATGTGATGAAAACCGTGGCTCAGAATGAAACCGTGCAATTCAGGATTAGACGGCTGATCGCATCACAGCATGAACATGAGAAGACTTGGTGGCAAGGGAGACAGAGACTCCTAGCGAAGCAAAAAGCTCGAGCTGGAAACCAGAAGAAACTTGATGAAGTCCTGTATGAATTCCAGGTCTTTCATCTGTTTGCTTATAGAGACACGAAACTAACGTAACTGAGCTAGGCGAGCCGTGGGAGGCAAGGTGACAGATAAACCGCATGAATCTGTAAGAACTGTACGGTTGTAGTTTTATTGATATCTAAACTGATAATGTAGCAGGCACCAGAAGAAGATGAGCTCGAGATCAAACGTTATGACGATAAAGTGTACAAGGCATCTGTGGAAATGTCCAAAGCTCTTCATTCGGAGCTCAAGGCAATGGGAATCCCTTTCTTTGCGATAAAAGAAGAGCTTATTCAGCCTGCACCTCCAGACCCCAGCTCGAAGCCCGAAAATACAGGTAACAGCACTGAGAGATGCATTACTGCTGAGGAAGCAAAGGCACTCCAGCTTCGTATGTTGGATCTATTACAGGACCTATGCAAGGAATGACTGGTTTCTTGGAAATGCATGTATAAACCGGAGTCAACGGGGATCTCAACTTTGGGTCTTAAGGATTGGTATTTCGATAGCGCTCATAAATAGTTAGTTACAAAGTGCTCCGTACACTTATCGTCCCTTCTGGCCTCTTCTGATATCTGCCGTGCTCCGTCCATTTATTCGATGAAATATGAGAGATGCATGCCAACCGTTGAGGGCGGCTTCTTGGCCCGCGTATCCCTGACAAAATATCCGGTGCCGGCATGCTATTGGACCACATGTAGGTGGGTACGGGTGTTTCGCGGCAATTCAGCCGTATATAAAAGGCCAGGGGTCGCGCTTTCGCTTGACTTGGTTTTTTGTGTTGAAATCTCGAGCAGCGAGTGTGGAGGTTGAAGAAGACGCCTCGTAGCCTTCTACGATGATCGAACGCCCTCGATGTTTAGACGGGATGCCTCAATACGGCGTCATTCTCCTCCACCCTAATGACGGGATTGCGACCGGCTAAGGCTCCTGACTACCAAAGAAACCAGCCGAATATGCCACGAAAATATATACCAACGGAAGAATACCAATTATTGCTGTTTTTCTATTTCATCTTTTCTTCCATATAGGACCAAATCTATCGCTGCCTGCGTGCTAGAGGTATAACCAGAAGCAACCCCCGAATTCAAGAAATAATTTTCAAAGCCAGAGAACGAATTTTTGTTTGACACCCTTTCCCTACGAATGATTAATTGCTCCCTAATTCCCCGAGATACCCAACGTTCCTCCATACCTATTCCTTCTTTGAACGAACTTCCCTTCTTGTACGCACAGCTTCGGCGAGCTGTTCGAGGACATCGACTGTGGTTTCCCAGTTGATACAGGCATCAGTGATACTGACGCCCTTCTTGAGGCCGGACGGACCTTCTGGAGGAACCTTCTGGTTGCCTTCAGCAATATTGGACTCAATCATGACTCCGATGATACCCTCCTCGCCCTTGCGCAACTGGTCGCCGACACACTGAGCGACCAGAGGCTGATTTCGATGGTCCTTCTTGGAGTTACCATGCGAGCAATCAACCATGAGGATCTCACGCTGTTTCTTCTTCGCTAGCTGTTCACGGGCAGCAGCAATACTCTCTGCGTCATAATTGGTGCCCTTTGTGCCACCGCGAAGGATGACGAACCCATGCTCGTTGCCTGTTGTCTTGGTGATAGCGGCCAGGCCTTGCTTGGTGACTCCTAAGAAGCGATGAGGCTTCTCTGCAGCACCAATAGCATCAATTGCAACCCCAATACTTCCGTCTGTGCCGTTCTTGTACCCAATTGGGAAACTGAGACCCGAAGCTAGCTCACGATGCAGCTGGGATTCAGTGGTACGGGCACCAATGGCACCCAGAGAGATCAAATCGGCCAGATACTGAGGCGAGATTGTATCCAACATCTCGCTTGCAATTGGCATACCCATACCGTTAAGATCAGCATAGAGTTTTCGGGAGATACGAAGTCCCTTATTGATGTTGTAGGATTCATCGATGTCGGGATCATTGATCAGTCCCTTCCACCCAACAGTCGTTCGAGGCTTCTCCAAGTATGCTCGCATGATGATGCAGAGATCTCCCTTCAGTTTATCGGACAGTGCTTTTAGGCGTTCAGCGTACTCGAGCGCTGTAGCAGGGTCGTGAATTGAGCATGGGCCACAGACGACGAGAAGGCGGTCATCACGCTGTTCAATGACCTCAATAACCTCCTTACGGCTTGATCGGACAGTTTCTACCGCAGAGGTAGACTAATGCATACAAATATGGCAGGTGTTAGGAAATTTGCTTGTTACCAGCGACGTACATTGCGGGGCCGGACTTACAACTGGCACTTCCGTCTGAAGGAATTGAGGCGAGAGCAACGGGTCATATCCCAACACTGAAGCTTTATATCAGCCCTTGCTTGACTGGCGATACCAATTTTACGCAGGAGAAACAGGGCACATACCTCTGCTATCATCGTTATCCTCGACTGTGGGCTTAGCGAACGGCATGGTGCTCGATGATCCTGAGACACGCACTGATGAAAATAAAGAAGCAATGGAGTAACTGCCGGAGGTATCCAAGCTATCTACCTCAGAAAACCCTGAGGACGGAAATCAAGAAAGAAATAAACCGGCGAGTCCGATCTTTATATCTATGAGTCAACCTTTTTCGCTCTTCGCCCAAATTTTATGAAAGATCGCGCCAAGACGATAAAGTTGACTTCGCTGGCAGATAAGACCACGTGACTGCTTCACCGATTTCTCTTCTCTCACCCAAAAAGCAACGACGAAAACACGACGAAAGATGAGAATCTGAACCAGCTGAGGATGTGGCCAACGTTACGAGGTCACGAAGTACATTAGTGTACGCCACGAAACCCCTATCAGGAGCAGCCGCTGGCAGCGTGGGACAGCGAACCACTGGCGCAGACCCAATGGCCTGCCCCAACGGATGGCTGATAATACCCCCTACGACCTCGCAGTGTTTTCAAAACACGTCGACTCTTATGGAGTCATTGGATTTTCCTTTGAAAACACTAGTGAAAGCTACTTGAGGACTGCTCAATGGATATTCTCGGGTTTAACCATAATATAGTCTACGCTTCTATATCATGGACATTGCCTGCTGTAATGCTGCATCAGAAGAACCTAATTTAATGGGCTTTCCAATCTTAACCACTGTCTTGGGGCCATATATATTATAAGCAGTTAAGAGCGACAATAATGAAACCTATTGTCCTCTCTCTACCCTATATGTATTGATGATATAGGTTACTATTACTTAATAGTGCCTTGTGATATGAAGCAGGATAATTCATTTAGATACATTATCTAGATATTCTATAATTCCTTTAGTCCTATATTTTACTATAACTCCCTTTATTCACTTATACCATATGAGTGACTCTCCACTAGTCCTCTTCATCCTTTTATTTCTCCTTCCGTGAAAATAGAAGTTACTCTTTTATAAGCTGTGCTTCTATAGTCTAAAACCCCCTACTCAAGGGATTATGAGCCTATCCTAGGTCTTTCTCTTCCATATCATCCTCTGCCTTTTTCTATGCCTCTATCTTCCCCTTCCTATCAAAAAGCCCTTGTCCCACTTTCTTTACTGTCTCGACTTTATTTATGCTGAGTCAGCATGTCACTTCCTATCTGGGACTAGTGTCTTCACTTGCAACTTTTCTACTGTGAAAATTTTTCACGTGATGAAAACTTTCCATCACGTGGTCAGAGGTTGAGCTTTCGGATTATCAGAAGCTCCGGCTATCACACCTCCATGAAAGGGCAGTTGAAAGACTCATTCACAGCCCTGCTATAAAGAGAGTAAGTCATCTTCTTTTTTTTCTTCTTCCTTTTCTGCATCTTTGTTCAGAGTCTGGAGAGGAGGTCAGGCAAAGGCAACTTTGCCTGGCCGAGGGTGGGTGGGTGGATAGAGGGAGAGGAAGACGAAGGGACCCACGGTTCTCCCGATTCTTCTCCCTCGAACCATGGCCATTCTTTACGCCTCAACGGGCGGTAATTATCGCCTTTATCGTTACTATTCCAGTTACATACGATTCCCTTGAGTTGGCGGGCTCTACTATACCCCCATTATGGGTTAAAGGACATGTATGACTCGCGTCAGCCGACTATATATACCCCCTAAGTTTCCTATAGCCCCTCTCCCTTTAGCAGGGCGAGTCCAAATTCCCCCAATCATGTTCAAAATCGCGTCTTGTGTGTTTTCTAACTATGTGGCTGGTTTACAGAATACTATCTGACCATTCTATAGGTCAGAGGATAAAGTCCTCTAGAAACAGCAGTTCAACCTGCTGTTAGGCCAAAGATGGGGGCAAAGGGGAAGCGCCAGTCCATCTCCAGGAGCCTGTGGAGGAGGAATAAGCAGGAGAAGGCGCGTCGGGTCGAGGAGGCCCTGGAGATGGAGGGCGCGGAACCTGCCAAAGAGGGGTTGGGGGTCTTGAAGACCCACGAGGCTGAGCCTCTTCGTGCAGCGTTTGGCGGCCTAGAGAGGCCCGCTGAGGCACCACGCCAGCCAGCCATGGATAAGGAGAATCTGCGGCCAAACAAGGCGAACCGGGCTCCTCTGCTGGTTCCCTATTCTTCCTTTCCTGGTGGTGGCGGAGGTGGCCTTCACCGTCATTCTCTCGATATCTCGCGGCCCTACCATGTCGACCACCATGTTCCATGGTTTCCTACCTCTGGCCAGTATTCACTCACACATCAGAGCACGCCATTTAGCCAGAGAATTTCTCGCTTGGGACATCCCTCCCCTCCTAACAGCTACAGTCCAAGCGAGGATCCTACAAATACTCCATTCCGTAGCTGCCATCTTCCCCCTCCTTTCTCTCCTCACTTGTCGACCACACGCAGCCGTCACCGAGTCATTTCCACTGATCACGCACATTCATACAGCTTGAATAAAATACAGGAAGTGTCGACTCCCTCTCACCAGTCTAATGCACCAGATATGCATTCCGACATCAGCCTCACTTTTTATTCTTGCTCTGGTGCCTTCGCCTCGATCTCTCACTCTGTTCATAGAATCGTTGCATCGAAAAACCAGCGTTTATCCTCTGTTCTTCTCCAGCTTGAGGATAGACAGTCTGCCCAAATCTACATCTCGGCTGGAAGAGCTTTCACCTACCCGTCTGCATTTGTCTCGGCTCTGCTTCACTTCTATGAACAGCCCCTGATCAGCCAAGATCAGTTATTCTTTCACATACCCCTTTGCGTGAGCCAGTCTGTCCAGAATCAGCTTTGCAACGATGTTGTAGCTTCGGCTACAAGTATTTCGCGGATGAACTTTGTCCTATGTTTTGCGACAGCCGGTGTATTTTTTATGGAAAGCCAGATCGTGGAACATGCGTTAAGCCTGCTTTCTAGTGTATTGTCTTGGGAAAACCTGGACACAGCTTTGTCCTTTGGAACATGTCCAATACCCTTCGAGCTCACCGTCATCGACCAGGATACCCAGAACAAATCACTTGGAAATTATTCGATTGACTCGAAAGACAGCGACGGCTCAACAACCTCATGCGAAATCTCTCAAGATACCACCACTCTTACAGCCTTAGCTAGAAGAGTCCTGAACATTTCACTCCGTTTCGTCGTGGACAATATCCCGGTGGGATTCAAATTCGAGAGACCCAACAGCTCATCTACATCATCTCTCCACCACACTGGCAATCCAACCAATATATCCCTACTTTTTGTCTCTCTCCCCTTTAACCAATTACGCAAAGTATTCAAGTACATGCGTTTTCAGGGAAAACTTAATGAAGAACTAGTTGTCGAAGTTATTCAGGAACGTGAAGCGCACCGAATGCAGATGCTAAGAAAACTTGCTGGAAAAGGGCCATTACCTAGCCAACTTGATTCCGAACACGAGGTTCTTGGATGGGAGGAACAAGCTTTATTCAAAGCAGAGCAGCCCCTGGGTGCTATTATAGGCCGCGGCTGGACTGGTTCAGAGATTCGTGCAGCGCTGCTTGCGTCTTCCCGTTTAAGACGATCGAAGAGCCTTTGAAGTTAACCTTTTACAAATACCTCTTTATTTTTTTATATGCTCTCCAACTGTTCACGAAGTACGACGAGGAATATCTCTTCGTGCTGCTTACAGGCTGGGAGCAGTACTGCTGCTATAATGTTTCTTCACTCTCGATTCTCAAAGAATTTACATTTAGAGTTCTGTCCATTATCCATTTCCTCCTGGATTCTTGTTTCCAATAAGATATTCCAGCTGCAGTTATCCTATTTGTGCGTCTTTGGTATGATTTCGTTGTAATTGTAACTCTCCAGACTAAGAATAAATAGAGACTACCATATCAGACTAAGCAAACAAGGAAGCTATAACTATGGAACATTCTAGATTTAAAGGGGTCTCGTTAGTCAGAGGGGAATAAAAGGGGGGTATTTGACATAGTGGCTAGACAGCCAATCGGTTTCGGATAACAAGAATCTTAAAGCCTGAAATATAAATTAAGAAAGGGGAAAGGGAAAAACGAACAAACGGACACGTCGTACATCAAATGGATAGAAAGGTAAAAGGTATAAGTAAAACATGTACACTAGAAGAAGAATGAAATTTTGTACACAGATTTTTGAAGAAAAGCCTAGGTTGATCTTCCCGAAGGTGTCATGGAGTTAGTCTGGAGACCATTGAAAGTATTGGAGGCTGGGGAAATGACGGCTGAATGTTACAAAATAGAGGTATTATAGCGAGGGAAAGTTGAAAGGTAAATCTTCACAGTAGACCCTCGACTCGGTTATGTCTTGGGGGAGGTGGTAAGGCTGGCTGGTTCCCATTCATTAAATGATGTCTAGCCTTAGCGTTAAGGTTCCCTCCTTCGCTTGAAATCTTTCTGAGTCTCTGCCGAGCCCGAGGACGTTTCTCATCGTCTGAAAACGTGCTGTGTTCCTCTGATCTCCGAGATGAATTAGGGTGATTCTGGTTGTGATGCTTAGGACTGTGGTGATGATATTGATCAGATCTATCAGAAGGCGAGGATCCCTTGAATGCGCCAAGGATGTTGTGTGTGGTTGTCTGCCGCCTTCTCCGGGGGTTCATCGGAGGAATTGGAGGTGTAGGAGCTCCATTGGCGAGGCTAGCTCCTGCAGGCAATCCAACGGTGGGAACATTTGATGTAGTTGAAACGAAAGTAGGCTCGGATATTTGGGACTTGTCTACCACTCTCTTATGGGAACCTAAACTCTGTTGTGTGGCAACGGAGCCAGGAACAGGAGGGTTTCGCTGTGGGAGGGGGTATTGCATGGGGGGTCCCCCATATCCTCCCGCAGCTGGGGTAGATGATGCGGATGAGGTTTCAAGTATAGGAGGAGTAGCATTAGTTGAGTAGGGGTGGGAGTTCGGGGAAGGAGACGGTCTCGACGAATGCGTCATAGCAGGATGCTGAAGCGTAGGACTTGGCCCAGGGAGAGATTGGAGGTCAATGTAGTTCGGAGCCACTGATCGAGAGTTACTCCTATATCTACCTGTAGATGCCGAGCGATCTCTTGTTCTACGGTCGGTCGACTCCGTAGAAGGCCGGCTTGATGAGCTCCTAGATGCCTTGTCTTCGATAGATGGCCTACCCATCCGTGGCTGCTCAGCGCTTTCTCTAACAGCTCCCAGATCTTCACGGTATCTAGGCCTACTCTTTGAACGGCCAGAGGTATCGGAGTCAGATCTATCCCTAGGTCCACTCCTCCAGGTTGATGACGCACTATCCCGAGTAGAATTCCTAGTATCTTCCTCACTCCGGCGTGATTGGGGAGTGGTTGATTGCGGGGGCTGAGGTTGCCGTCCCAAGCCAATTTGCCGATTCCCTCCCATTGGCGATTCGGCTCTAGATTTTCGGACCAAACGCCTCATCCTTTCATCCTCCTCCCGCCACATATCATTGCTCTGCTGCAGATTCGGAGCTGAAGAGTTGAAATGTGGCTTGTCCAACCCTAGGAGTTTCGACGACTTAGCCAATGGGTGATCCTGTTTTGATTGGTTGTTCTGGTTTCTGGACGTTTTGGCCTTGAGAATTGCAAAGGCATTGCCAGCCTTGCTGGGGTTTTGAGTACTGTTTCCATTGTCTGGGAAACGATAACTGGATGCCGGGCTGGTAGATCTGCTTTCATTCTCTGCAAAATTCCTGAGCTTTTCCTGAACTTTCCGCCGCCTTTCAGCTAACTCATTAGCGAACTCTTCCCTTTCCATCTGGGTTTCTGTGCTTCCGCCGCGACGATGACCGAACTTAATATCTTCTTCCCAAGAGGGCTGGGAAGCGGTAGGGGATGGTTTAGGAGGGGTAGGGACGGAGGTAGCGGGGGCTCGCTCTTCCTGATTTTCGGTGTTAGTGTTTCTTTCTTTCTCGTTGCCCTTATTGCTAAGAGCGGTTGCTTGGCCGAGCATTTGTTTTGCACGTAAAGACATGCTTGAAAAATCTGATTCCGGCTGACTGAAACGTTCGGCAGGCTCAGCAGGGTGGTAAGTCGGCCTAGCCCAGTCATCATATTCCCATGGGTTGCTATGAATGCTAACCGCAAGGTCTGAGGATCTCGTTCCATGGACATGAGGGTTACTTGGGTGAGAATTTTCTGGCAGCCGATCCATGGAGATTGGTGACGGTGGAGGGTATATTGTGGACTTGTCACTATCCTGCCTTAGGTGAGCCCGAACCAGACTACTTAGTCCAGTTGGACCTAGAACAGGCGATTCAGATTCTATTTGTTGGGGTGGTTCTTGAACAGTTGGAATGGGGTCGGCAACAGGTTCATCCTCCTTGATTGTGTTTAAGTCTCGGGATTCCGAATAGAATTCTCCAAGGGCAGGATGAGATGGTTTGTTAGAAGAAACCGGAGTAACAGAGTCACCAGATTCCATGCTAACCTTTAGAGGAGACCCAACACTTTCATGAGGATGGAAAAGAGGAGAGACACGAGCATTCGATACATCTTCTTCTACCTCACTTCCCGAGTCGCTTCCACTGAAGTCTGCCAAAAACGTGGAAGGGTTAATCGGAAGTCGTGGTTTCTCGGATTGCGCAGGTGCTGGGCGGAAATCTATGCTATGGGTCGTTGAGAGCGGGGAGTTCTGACTAGTAGACAATCCTGGGGATTCTGGTTTCGATTGATGACTAGTAATAGATATGTCCCTTGGTCGTCTAGAATCTGTAACGTCAGAGCCTCCTCGAGGCAAGCCTGGTCGTTGCAATGATGAGTTGCTCCTATTCTCATGGATCTGAATCTGGCGTTGAGAAAATTGGCTTTCATCATACTTCGAGAGAGGCTTATTGAATAAGCCTGTGGCTGTGGCTTTCCCTCGGTCCTCTGGTTGAATTGCAGCTGCGAATGCAGATCCTTCTTCTGTCTCGCTCGCGGGAGGGCTTAGTGGAGATCCCATTGCGAGTCCCTGGGCTGAGTTGGTTGTGCTGACAGGCGATAACCTCTTGGGTTCTGAGTTCCCTACAACAGAGGAAGTTGATGACGGCGGAGGGCTGGTTGGTCTAAACGATGAGGAAGAATAGACTGGAGAGAGTTTCTGATATCTTTCGTTGAGATTGACAGCACTTTTAGACAAGGATCGTTTGATGAGACCGTTGTCACTTGCAATGGCTCGCTGGCGGCTGATGCTCTCCAACCTTGAAAGTGCAGAAGGCTGGTTCTGAAGCTCCAAACCACGGTCGTACAATCGTCGTGATTTTGTAGGGTTTCTTTCAAGGTTCATTCCAGCCGAATTCTGGGCGCTTCTCGTAGAAGTTTCAGCAGTCACCGACCCCTGTCTAGATGTAGGGCCCTGAGAATTGGCCGAAGTCGTGGAAGCAGAATTTCTGTTTTCAGAAACAAAAAATGAGGATGGCTCGGCCTGTCTATTAGACGGAAGAGATACCAGAGTTGTAGACTCTGGACGCAGATCTGGCTCCGACTTCGAGTCGTCATCATCCTTTGGTCGTTGAAATATAGATCCAATATCATTCTGATATAGCTGTTTCCCTCCCATAGTCGGACTCCGCGGACCTCCTTCTGATCCACCCTCATTCTCTGAAGCAGGCTCACTCCGGGTATTTGGTATCTTGTAAACCTTTTGACGCCCTCCAAAAAGCGTATTGCCTTCAACCGGCCTCGATCTAGTCATGATGCTTGATGGGGTATGGCAATCGTCATCCGTCGAGCCAGATGCATAGGAGGACCGACCAATGTTGAGGGAGGGTCGGTCAGATCCGTGTAAAGACCCAACTTCAGTGATGTCGGCCAGCTGCGAATTGGCAAATAAGTTCAATCTAGACGCCCGCTTTGGGAATAAAACGCTGTCATCGTTGGCCTTTCCGATTTTCGAGTTGGGATCATCTTGTTCGCGCAGCATGCTGAATCTCGCCGATAGATTGGGCATCAGCAGACTGGTCCGGAAGTCATTATCTGTAGGAAGTGCCGTTGACAGGTCTATCTTCGGCGGCTGTTCTGGCTCGGGTTTCTTCTTGAAGAACTGCTTGGAGAATATAGGGACCGGAGGGACGTCTGATGGTTCAGGCCCATCGCCACGTTTCTTGCTCTTTCGAAAGCGATTCATAGCGGCGGTCAGCAGTGGATGTCCTGGTTAACCCTTTCTTTATTAATACGTTCTCCTTTCTGTCTCCTGATTCCTCCGTTGGTCGTAGAAGGTGTAATTGAATAGGGCGCTGTGAAGAAGATCGGAGTCAAGACTAGTAGACTCAAGTATATGGACAATCGGTTCCAGCCCAGCGGAACGGTGAGATAAACGATCGGTGTGGAATCCTCGCAGAGGAGTGTGACGGAGAGTAGATAGTCGCTGTTAATGAGAGACAAGAATCAGAATATTTCGGTTATTTCGTTGCTCTGGCTGGCACCGAGAATTAAGCAAAGAGAGCGTTGAGGTCCTTTTTTCCCGTTTTGGCCGAAGACTAGAATTAAAAAAAAAAAAAAAAAAAGCCACAACGTCAACGATGAGATACACAGAAAAGACAGACACACCAACCGCACGGCACGAGCGTGTTACATACGCGAATGTGATGGGAGAAAGGAGTGACTTCGAGTTCTGGGGAAAGGAGGCCCGGTCGATTTGAAGCAAGTGCCAGCGCAACGAACAGACGGTGGATGTGACGAAATAACGGTGCCTGAGGCGAGTCAGGAACAAGCAGACTGATCTTAACGAAAGCGCTGCAAGATCTCGGGCCGTGCTACCTATTCTTCAATGTATGCCATCCTATTGCGTGGACGGTTAAAAAGAAAGCAGGCAGAAGCAAAAGCGCAGTGTTTCTTTCGCTTGCCCGCCCAGCAGCCAGGGAGATCAGGGTCACACGGCGTCGTCAATATTCGAATCGATAGTCTGCCTGATATGCACAAGGAGGGCCGAAGTCGATGGCCAGGACGAAGACAAGATGCCTGGTATTCACCCGGACGAGCATAAGAAACAGCCGTTCCTCCAACACGGTGACGTCGGGATGCAGCCGAAGAAAAGAGAGAGAGGACTTCAGGAAAGGGAAATATGAATGTGATACGGCCTTTGCCTCTGAAGTATTTGCTGCACTCCACCAGCTGGCGGTCTAAGCGAGAGGCTCCAGCAGATTTTCAGACGCGTCTCTTTTGATTGCTGCTTATTTGCCTCCGCTTCCACTGAATTCTTGGGAAACCCTGGAATTACAGCCCGAAAGGACGGCTAGGACCAGGAGAAAAAAAAAAAAAAAAAAAAAAAGAGGCTGCGAGCCGTTAGTATCAACTAGATTTACGATACTTCTTGCTAGACACTAGTGACTCTGGAGTACGAGCTTGTTCTTCGACCAGGGCTGATTGCTAGTTACCCAAGCTGTCAATAGCAGACGGATTATCAGCAGGCTTTCCAACCCTCAAAATCCTAGGGCGTGGACATGGAAAGCTGGATGGGCGTCCGCCATCCGCCGCCAGTCCGAGAATACCTGTGGTTTAGCGCCAACGAGGAGGAATTGAGGATAAGGATTATTATTGTTCAGGATTGCGGAACGTTTGTTTGCTTCCCCTGACTATGCCTGTTCGAGTTTAGAGCCAGCTCCACCGGCCAGGAACAACCTGACCCCTGGACCATCCTGCACTTCTATACAAGGATGGACGATGCCATCAATATGAGGAGCGAGGCCAAGAGGGGCCAAGGTCCTGCAGGCAACTCATGCAGTTCGCCGGCGAGCCTGGGGAAGGCTGCACTGCATTTTATATAAAATGCAATATTGTACTCATTCAGGCAACTTACCTATTTTGCCGCGGATACTCCGTCTAACTGTTGGATGGTAAATCCGGAACCTGGCAGGGTCCTCCGGCCCACGACCAGCGCTAACCTGTTTAATATCGAATCAATCCTCCGTTTTTCTAGTGGGAACGAGGGCTGGGCCTGGCCCATAGATGGAGCGCTATCCTCGTGGGATCTGCTTGCTTAATTTGCCTGGTAGTTTTTGGTCACTTGGGTAAGCAACCGAAGTCCATGTCAGTACTCTCTGTCTATGCATACTTTCTCCCAAACCCTCTCTCATCCCGGTGAACATGACACAGGATGTCCCCTGGGGAAAGTGTAGGATAGGATAGCCCGTAAGTGATCTCGCATGCAGGAACCTGAGCAACCATTGTGGCAGCCTTTCAGCAATCGAAAGACGCAGGGGGGGCGTGCGGACTTGAGTCGCATCTCACGAAACATTCGACTTCATAATATGGGCCAACTACATAATACGAAATCCAGATATTGGTTTATTTCTCCGCAGGAATATGACTGGTAACTAACGATGGGGTACGCACTCGCTCGTGCATAAAAGTCGCTGTTGGTCTCGTACAACACTCTGCAGTCGAATTGAACCTTGGGGTGTTGCCGCCAATCACTCTTCATAGCAGCACTCATCTCCTTATCCATTCCTGCGTCAGCGCAAGCCACAGGCCTTGAAACAAATTCTTGTGGATACCTGCGCCTAGACGGAAAACCCGGGCCAGCTAGATTGACTCATGGTATTTTCGCTCTGTGGGCTTTCCCCTTTGACACACCTGCTCAAGATGTACTTATTTCCCCCCATACGATATTTCCCTTCTTGATCATGGTTGCTGTGTTCTTCTTCTGACTACCACTGACGATTATTATCTATTAGTCATAAAAAGAGAACTGCCTCTGGTGTACGGGGTACTCCGTACATTCGGCAATGCCCCGCCCCGACTGCGTCTGTATTGATATATCTAGGAACCCTCTGGGTGCCTGTATTATCTAGTTACACATGATGTTGGTGAAGAGGATAGCATCATGTTTTATCGCTGCTCCAGGTTCTCTCGCCACCCGCGCACTGCCTTTTCCTACTTGTCCACTAAATCCACTGGAACTTATACTTCCACGTGGGAACCACCACAGTGGCCTTGCACGGTGCTCCCTGTCAGAATGAAAAGAAGTAATCATGCAACAGACGATATCAGGGGTAAACTTGCCCTGCCACAAGTCAGTCTTGACTGCGGATAGGCTGCTGCACAATGTGATCGATATACCTGACTGCAGCACCCCCTGTATCCTTTTGCAATGCACCTGAAATTGAGCACCCCAACTGGCAGCCAAATAGACCGAGAAATTCAGTCTCGCATATATCAGCGTCTCATATTATGGGAATAATGGCTCGCCTTTGGTGCGCCTAATTTTAGTAGAGTGACTACGAGGTTTCGGCTGGTGCAACTAGTGCAGCGGCAACAACCCCTTTTTCGTTTACTTTTTTTTTGGTTCTGGTTTGACCAATTTACTGGTCTCGATAACTAGGCATGTTCCATGGCCGCGTTGATGCACTTCTGTGTCCCTCGGTTAACTTATACTTGACCCTTGGCAGTTCTGGTTAATTTACTCCAAGTCAGCCAGATTGCTTCGACCAAAAAGCCAGAAACACATTGTCACCAGTCAGCCCACGTCAAAGGGGCACATAGCACAAGGCACTCTTGAATGTGTTTGGGATTAGACTTCCATCCACCTAAACTACGTGTACAGAAAAGGCAAACTGCTGTATCCCTCCAGATGACTATCATCGGCTATTTACACACAGAATGTTTATTCCTCGACGATAAACATGATTCCCTGTCATTAATTTAATTAGAGGGGCGCGATATCATAGCTGGAACAAGCATCGGAAATGAGACACTAAATTAAGCCTGTTATTATTAACTACGAAGCAGGCATCGCAAACACCAAGGGTCGGGGATATTTTTACTTCGTTAAGACACTCGGCTATAGCAGCCCTGGCACGAACTATACATGGATTTGGTCCTATGCCCGTACGAACTCGCGGCTGAGAGATCGAGCCGGCAAAGACAGCCGAGAGAGGGTTTCTATCCACCATGAAGAAATTACGAGGCCTTTCAATTTTGTTTAGTTATCTTTTTGAGACCAGAAAAGGGACGGATGCTGTGATCGCTGGAAGTACGAATATTTAATATCGAACCGCCAAAAGCCGCCGGGGTTGGAAGGTTTTATCCTGGGCCTGCTCCATAAACAACATCCCTAGTTACAAGGGGAGTCAACATCACATCATCGCATGGGCCGTTCGTAAGACTTAGAAGATGATACGGTGTTCTGATGGCTATCATACTAAGTAGTTTGGGTTAATAGACAGGTGATTAACAAATATATATATATATATACCAATGTCCAGCATAAAGAGAAAGAGGAAGATGAGAAGACTCCAGCACTGGCCTTATACGACCCCATCACCTTGGTCTTTGACCGACGGCATTTCCCATTTCCCACGTTCACATCGTAAAAATAGGAGACTCTCATCCTCCTGAAAAGGCAGTCGGGATCCAAAATGATCCAGACAAGACATCGCTACACCAAATAACGTAAAAGGAACTCGGTCGAAATTCGTCAGCTTAAGCTCATATGGGCGTCATCTCCCAGTCCCCAGCCTCTGCCCGCTCTCTCTGCTGCATTGCCAGATTGGCTTCCCCACTTGTCAGGCATGTTTTCAGCTTCTTCAATTTCTCTATCACGAATGCTAGAGGTTTGGCTTTTTCTGTCACCGTCTGTGTGGATGCTGGCAGGCCGTTTGCTTCGAGCCCGTATCGACCCATTAGTGTTGTTTGAGCTGCGGCCACTAGAGACACTCAACGCCTTGGGTAGACTTGACCCTACCATTGACAAGGAAGCTGATGTTGATTCGGCATTGATAGGCTGAGTCGAGCTAGAAGGCTCAGGTTCAACGGCCGAGAACCCTTTCAAGTCGGTGCTACCGAACCATCGTCTTTTGCGGGCTTTGATGCTGTTCTTGTCATCTCCTGAGTTACTGTCCTTCCCGCTATCACCCTTACCCTTACTTTCATTATCTGCTGCTGTATTTGATGGTGTTTCTATCGTCTCCCCCTCAGGGGATATTTCGACAAGCTCTGCATCTCGACACCATTTTCGACGTCGGGTATATCTTCCCCAACCGTCTTGGCCGCGGCGACCATCGTGCCACTTCACAGCTCACGTCAGCGATTCATTTGCCGATGTACATACGTAGGTGAAAAGTAAATACCTTATTATCATAGTAGATCCATCCACTGTCGTCTTTATTATCATTATTTTTACCCCCTTTACCCTTTTTCTTCGCCGACGGATCTGATGAGCCATCAATACGCCATTCGCTCCCCTCAACCCACCTCCACTTCGAGTTGCTGCCCTGAACTTCCGGAAGTTCGAATTCATCCTTCGGAGGCACCGGATTCAGGTGCTCATCCGACCATGCTGGCCTCTCGTATGCAAACAAAGAGTAAGTCCACCCAATACCCAACCACCGTCTTTGGTTCTCATATACAATGAATGTGAACCGCACACCCGATGAATTTGCGCGACGCTTTGTTGAGCCGTGCTGTGAGGGTTGCTTGGAGCGGAAAGGCGTCAAGGACAGCAGCGAGGATTTAGTGAAAGAATTGGATGATTGATCGCCACTATGCTGTAATGATGAAAATTGCAGGCCGGTAATAGTTGAGCAGATACGCCGAATTGTCAATGACCGCCAGAGTAAAACTCGAAAAATGCGCGCGGGCTTGGAATGCCATGTCAGGATGATGGTACCGACAGTTATGACAACTCTTTTGATAGTGATGAGGTATATGGGGTGAAGGGTAAGTAGAATCCAAATAGGTGTAATGAGGATTATCCGAGTAAGTAATGCTGTTAGGGCAGGCCTGGTTGTAGTCGAAGTTGCAGTTCGCTGCGTAGAAAGAAAATCGGTGAGATCGCGTAGAGGCTCAAGCAAGATATTACACCTTGTTGTGAACTCCCTTAATGTCTCCACGATTTCATCCAGAGTTTTGTGAGGCCTAGATGATCCGTCCGAGCCCTCTCTTCTATGTTTCTCCCCAGTAAAGCCAGTGGATGATAGAGGGGAGTACCGTCTAGAGTAAAGCCCCAGCATCAAAGCGACAACCACTAGAATTGGTCCTCCCCATAATATTATGGCACTACCGTGTAGAGTAACAGCCCAAAAGGCACCGACCAGAAGAAAGCTTTCCCACGGATCTCCACTGGTCCATGATAAGAGTCCTGCAAGCCGGTTTAGAGGGAGAAGAAACGGATGAGAGTATGCTAGCGCACGAGTGACTGCAGGAGGAGTCGCTACCAGGAGAGGTGACTTTCGGTGAACAATGATAGTAGACCTCTGTTTGGACGTTAATGAATTACCCGATATATTGGTGGGCGAGAAGGTCGCAACGGTAGGCGGGAGACCGTCATTGGAGCCGAGAGTCCCGGTAGCACCATCATTCTGGGAGTGAGGATCTGCGGACATGGAACCTAGCCACGGTATATCTATAGACAGCATTAGAACTGTGCGATCAAGTATGTCTATGGTTCGGGGGGGCTACACCGCGGGTAAAAGGCGTATACAACCTACCGAGAGCTGCCATGCAACTATAGAAGCTTCCTAGTTCCCAAGCCGCCGAAGCTCATCCTAGGCGTCACAGTTGTATGTATGGTAAAGTTGAGTAATCCACCGAGCGCAAGAGCAGATACCACAAAGGTCTCAGTCCGAAGCCGTCGTTGATCCTGTCTTTCTTCTTCTCCTTCCTGTGAGCGTCGACTTTGTTGTCTTCATCGTCAACTCCAACGTCTTCTCGGCTTCAACTTTTTGCACGCGACAAAAACTACGTCACGTGTGGATACCTTTCCATGTGATTCTTGATTATGTAAACATTATATAATATATCCGGCGCTAGTCCTCTTTAGGCATATAAATTTTTGCATGAAAGTTTAGCTTTTTTTTTTTCAACCTCGAAGGAAAAAACGGACGACGACGGGGACTCTTGATATCGCAACTCGTTCGCCTTTCGGTTCGAAATACTTAGGAGTCGGGAGAGCTGTGGGCTTGTATTTCGTTCTTTTCCTTCGTTCTTGGTGGTTCAACATGGTAAGCCTGGATACAGACGTTTCCTCCATGATAAAAAGTAAGGGCTGGAATTGACATCTTCCGGGACAGGCTCATCGTATCCTAACTCAGATTGTCCTCACCGGCACCAGAGTGTTTGGTCGAGCATTTGCGGAAGCGTACAAGCAAGCGTCTGCATCGTCTAGATATCAAGCACATGCACAGAAAACCGGCAGTTCCACGGGCGCATTCTCGTCTTCCGGTTTGACACTGGAGGAGGCTTGCAAGATCCTCAATGTTAAGCCGCCAATGGGTGGAGAGGCAAACCTAGAACATACAATGGAGCGATTCAAGAAACTATTTGACCTGAACGATCCGAAGAAGGGCGGCAGTTTCTACCTCCAGAGCAAGATATTACGCGCTCGTGAAAGAATTGAGATGGAGGTTAGAGATGCAGCAAGAAATGCGAAAATCGAGAAAGAGGTACGGGAAGGCTGGAACCCGAAGCTGTTTAAAGACCGATGATCGATGTTAACCTGTGAAGGTGAAATAAACCAAAATGGCACTTCCTTGCCTACACTATGAGCGTCCGTTTCGCCAATATCTCGACCTCTTCCTCCTCCGAATACCCTTTTTATCCATTTTCATTTTAACATCCTTCTATCTTGGAGCATTAGCACTGGAGTTTTGCGGATTTTCTTTTTCTAGAAAGGATCTAAAGGCCATCTACATCCTCGTTTTCACGATATGTTCCATCCGGAAACTTCACCTCGTTCGACGCATACATCCATGCACCCTTACCTGGAAACCCTGAACTTGGGAGCCGCTATCTAGGAGAAATATTCTCTCCAACTGGCATCTTCGGATATTCACGTTTTGGTATTCTTCCATTGAATGCACCAGAAGATTTCAAGCTCCTCTAAGTAACTCGACTCCGGCTCTTCATTCTCACTATTGCGCGGGTGGGTTCAAAGAAATCTGTATTATCACTTCTATATGTACATCAATTAACATACCTGGCTGCTGGGATTCTAATATCCTCCCCTTATTCTAGCTAGGCCGTCTTTTTGTTTTGTTCTGTTGTTCTCTCACTCCACTCTTCCGTGTCTTGAACGCTACGGAGTACTCCTTTCTATATATCCTCATGTTGGTGTATTCATAGACGATAAACTTCTAAGATCTTACGATTCTACCCAAGATTTGCTTGATAGATATATCATTACTCACCATGATTTCCTAGATCCGCACTAGTTGTCTACTCTAATATCCTGGCCGTTATGTCCAATAGCCGTGCCACCTCCAGTCCCGTCAGGAAATTCCTTTTTCTCCTTAGAGAATCCATGCGGCTGCCTGTTCTGTGCTATGCATGCTTTTTCGCTGCAACCCATTACAATACTCTCTGTGCAACTTTGCAATTCTGGATGTGCTTTGTTTTTTCGACCAAGCAACACCCAATGGGTTACCTCTGGTTTTCGGGAGCATGTTGCATGGGGATAGTTACGCGTTGTCTTGACTACCCCCATGTTCGTTTCATGTAACGCATCCGTTATTGTTAACATATGATACACTCCGATAACTTAGTGCTTTGGTCATGAGAACTTGGTCGATTTCTATGGCGTGAGCCTAGAATTTGGCAACGGAGTCGCCGCCTGTGCATTTTATAAATCCTTGTCGGTAGCAGTCAGTTCAATGCCTTCGAGACAAGACCATTCTAATCCCGGCTGCCTATATTGAGTGAATGTTGGCTTCACAAGCTTGATAGCGAAGATGCACAGGGTCTGGCCCTTGCTCTTGTGAATAACAGGCCATCATGTAAGGACCTCGAGCATTACAAGCAGGAAAGATCGCCATTAGGCACACTGGCCCTCCTGTGTCGAGCGTGTGAGGGATGAACAGGGTGGATATTTCGTGACTAAAGCTTTGGAAGTAGGTATTTGATCACGCAGCCAGATAAGCAGATACCAGGAAGCTACGTGATTCAACGTAGTTTTCTTTAATAGCATATTAGATACCACCAGGCGTACAAGCGATAAACGTACGTAAGTGACCGTTTGCTGGCGCTGTAGAAGTTGCTGGGTACGCGTGGACATCCATTTCTCAGAGGATAAGGATTCCGGTATCCTTGTTCCTAGGCGGGCTTCATTATTTTGAATTTTTGATCAAAATAAATAAATAAATAAACACCCCTATTGAATAACATAGGGAGACACTAGACGGTTCTTTGAAGTGCGGAGGCCATGTTGGCGTTTGCAGCGATGTCCAATTGTTTTTTGATAGAAACAAGGGGCAGCTTTTCTGAATTGGAGATAACTAGTTAACAGGTACCTAGGCTGCTAGGTAGTTTGCTTGACTAACTACTGTTGAACGGCCAACTTTGATCAACTCTGATCTTGATATCAGGTGGGAGAGCTTCACGCAATCTTCATTCTAAAGGCAAGAATTTTAGGGAACTGTGTAAACTGCCGGAGCGATCCTATATCCAAGTCCCTTGCCTTTACATATGCCTCGTCGAAATTTGGCTCTTCCAAAGCATCCAGGACAAGGCCTGCCTTAAAGAATGGAGCAAAGATTTCGTGCATTGGACGGTGGAAGTATACCTACGTGGGATGGACTTTGATTAGCACTAAATGTTAAAGAAGATGTTATTCATGGGAGCGCACTTATTACCTGCGGGTGAGGCTGGGATTGAGTTGCGACGCCTTTGTAGGGTGGTACATGCAAGTATTTGGTCATCTTCAAGGAATGAAACACCTCCTCTCGGCCTGACTCGGGATTGTCCTTATATTCGACTGCTCTTGTTACGCCGCAGGTAAAGAGAGGGTGCAATAGCGTTGCAACAAAGCTATACCAAGGGATAAGTCGGCGAGGCCTGTCTGTCAACGTTGGAGCCGACGGACTTACCGACCCCCATTCCTTTTCAATAATTTAGGCAGTGCGTTAGCAAGGTGCTCTAAGGTAGAGACATCCATGATTGCCATATTCATCGTAATAATATCAAATGCTCCCTATTCAGACAGTCAATTCACTTCATATGGCCCAAGATCAAGCCGAGAAGGCAATGGGTATGATTATAGAACACAGATAAGTAGGGGTGAAACAAAACGCCTCACCCCGGCCCCAAGACCTCGAGACTGAATAAGTTCATCAAAATGCTGTGGATCTGTCACATCGAGGGTCTGATATGAGACTTTGACTTCCCCATTTTCTTCGAGTCTCTTTGACTGTCGGGCTTGAGCTTTCGCGACCATAGCGGGACTGCCATCTGTTGCGAGGACGCTGGTCCCTTTTTGGGCCATCCAGTGCGCTACAAGGCCATTCCCCGTGGCAAGATCCAAGGCACAATCTCCAGGATTTGGCTGCACCAGGCGTTCCAATGCAGGCAGCTCGATGACAGTGTAGTAATCGTTGCCTGGAGTTCCCATCAACATGTCCCAGGCTTCAGCGAGCTGGTCCCATGCCGCAACTGGTTTAGCATCCATTCGTGTTGAAAAGACAGAAGCCTGCAGGTATTTGCTCTCCAGTTTGCACCGAAAGTCTTCTCCAAGTCAGTACCTGATGTGGTAGCGGTGATTAGAGATGTAGAGAGAAGGTTATGTTTGCCAACATGACTGAGTCAACACGAGATTATATTTTGCGCTCGTATTCTTTGTGAATTGCTCGTTCATTAGTTATCTCTACCCTGGTTAGCCAAGGGCGGCCGAGCAACTTCTTCGCGGTCTTCGTATAATCAGGAGACTGTCGAAGCACAAAATGGGTGGTTTATTGTGGTATCTTGGGGGTTATCATATATATATATGGAGTACACAAGTCTGCATTCTATATGTATATAATTAAGTCCCTAGAGTAACTAGTTAGCTGAACGAGTCCAACTCTGAGGTCTTCCATTAAACCGACGGATGAATTCCTAAATCGAAAACTATCCATGACGTAAAGGCTGCCCTTAGGTGTTGATAGCCAGGATGAGCGGCTCGCTCCCCTGGGCCAATTCATCATATTTCGATTTCATCTTGGTCAGCCCTTTCGCGCTTGCATGTCTTCAAATATCATAAAAGGAACGAGATCTTCACAGGACAGTGCTTGTCTGACTTGAAGTTATTAAATTACCCCTCCTCGAATGCTTCAATTTAGCAATTTCAATAACTACGGGATGTGCCACGGAAATAGGGATAAAAATAGACAGACCGTGAGGAACAGGAAAGCCAGAGGGCCGAAGATAAGTAAGAAAGGAGGGTCTACCGAGGTGAGTTAACGGTTTAAGGAAAATATTAGTAGCAACCAGCTAGACAGCGAGGCGTACTACTTAGAAACTAGGGAAGCTCATACAAATATATATAATATCTAGGGAAGCATTTCGAAATAGACATTAAATATGTAGTGAATTCGTATTCTAGCGTTATTTCTACTATATTGCTATTTATTTCATAGTCGTTAAATATATAATAGAATATCGGTTGTTTGACCTTCTTCGCGCTATCTCAATTTATACATTTAAACCAGCCCTAGACGAGCGTAGATGATCCGAGGGTCCATAACGCTTTGAAGGGGTGCATCCATTTACTATCAACGGTTAGTTATCCTAGATATCTAGGACGACCTAGCTTGCTCTGCCGAATCTCTTCTACTCTTCTTTGCTCGACGCTCAGCTAGATCATTATAGCCATCTCCTCTCATCCAAGTCAATGCTTTCCTGAATCCTTGGTCTGTGATATTTGCAGGGTTTCTTTCCAGCAACACTCCCAAAAGCGCCCAAGAAGCTACAAGGACCCACAAGTCACCCCCTTTATAACCGCGCCAGAGCCCGCGCTTGACTCCCGTTTTCCAGGCGGATTCCACAGCTTGTCGGAACAAATAAAGGAAGTGAGCTCGGTAGCCGGAACCGCAGAGAACCGCGAACGGGAGGCCGCTGATAGCACCACTGAGGTAGAACCGCTGGGTTGGCAACAATTTTCGTGGCAAGATGGCATTGAAAAGACAGATGCTTCCCCACGCCGCACCAATAGACGAGCTTATGATTGCCGTGGCGGAAAGTATCTTCTTGGACACCTCGTTAATTGAGGTGACTGGTGATGTAACAAAAGACTTGAATTTCAATACTGATAGAGCCAAGTAGACCTTGGCAACAGAACGCACGAGGGGCGGGATGGAGAGAAGCACTTGATGTATGAATGCGGTCAAGCAGGAAGGTGATTTTGGATGTAGTAAGGCACAGGATAGAGAGGCTATCGCTGGGTGAGCAGGAGAAGTGATGGGCGATATTGTCTGAACAGCGGCAGGAAGCGTGTCTGTTACACTTGGATGGAGAATGGGAGAAGTAAAGGGCCTAAACGAAAGTTATTAGCTTGATATCAAAATGATCCAAACAGGCATGAAGGGTGCCATACGGCCACTTGAGTTCCGCAACTTTTGCCAATGCATCAACAGTTTCAAATGGTTCCGGCCAGGCCACCGTTCCTGGGAGGCCTGAAGGCCGACGCTTTATATACCCTGGGGTGAACCTCAGAATAACGTTTCCAAACCACTAGACCAAGCGTTAGTTCCTAATTTCTTCCGAAAGGAACGAGTAGGCCCTGGCAACTTACAGATGGTGTAGCTTCTCTATCAAATACAAAAGCATGGAAGAGTTGGGCCATGGAGAGTGGCATTAGAAGCCAGCTTCCAAACCACCAAGGACGAAATGAGAGCCATCCATTCTCCAACAACGCATTATACAGAACCTCCAAGCTCCGGGTGGAAGCATATATGGCGACTGTAAGACGTAGCTGGGCCTGTGGGTATAAAGCGAGGAAGAAGCCTGCCAAGCTGGCGCCTATAGCTGGCGCATATTTCGATGTTAGCGCTTTGGATATGCGCGGATTCCTCTCTCGAAAAGGCTGGGCATTGTCTGTTCTCAAATTTGCGCGTAATCGGGAGAAAAAGCGATGTAGTAATCGGTGGAAAAGTAGCATCAAGGATAAGGATAGAGGAAGCCGGAAAGCCGGAGAATTGCGAAACGGCACGTTTGAGGAAGCACTTGCAGAAAAGAATATTAGATATATTTTGTAGATCACACGAGACCGTTTCCCTTGAACATACCTTGATGCACCCGCCCTTGCTATGATTCGGCTTTTAATGAAATCCAGCAATTTCATACCCAAGCGCGTGATCCAAAACAGTCGGAGGGAGGAGCGTAGCGCTGCTGTGGTATACTTGTCTCTTGACTTGATGATATTATTAAACGTAGCAGGCGAATATGCTCTATCTTGTATGGATCGAGGGAGGCTCTGAATGACGGATTCATGGAGCTTTCGATACTCCTCCCCAGAGCAGAGAAGCCGGAGGACTGTCCTTTGCGCCTTGAACCCCAGGCTGGGGGGATTGCGTTGGGCGTCTGGATCTGGATTCGATGCCATGATCGCGCCGGCTACTTGATTAACTCACATAAGACAATAAAATTCGCTCGCAAACAAAGCCTCACTCATATCTTGCCATTTGCATGACTGTTGGACGTTTTCTGCTGGCGTTGGCAACTTCCGACGTCACGAACAAGCGCGCCTTTGCATGTGACTTTAGCGCCAACCTCGGGTAATTAGCGAGTCAATCATGTAGACATACCTGACTACAGACTTCCTACCATAGCCTTATGGATTATTTCTCTACATTGTTCAGGTAAATAAGATGAAAGCGCTTGACATAGTCGCTTAAGACGAGCTGTGAAGGGTATTGCTGAGATTAGATCTATAGAACAGAGGTAGAAACAGAGATGTGCAGCAAAAAGATAGTCTGCGAGGATAGTAAAACATGGAGATGAGCATGAGGAACCAATCCCAAGCAAATCGTTACTATGAAATTCGTCAAAAGAAAAGAAAAGATACATTGCCAAATGTTGAGGTTAGAAGATGCAGGTGAGGATGGCGTGACGAAAGGGGGATATGAAAGCAGAATTCCAGGCGAGCGGGAATCGGTCGTAAGATCAATGTAGAAACGCCAGGTTACCAAAAACTGCACCAACCGATGTAATGCTGACACAAGTTTTCTACACTTGTGGCTTGGACTAGAAGTTTGTCGACCTGGTCGCTAACATTGAGTTCATCAGGCGTTCTGAAGTCGCGGCCAGTCAACTTCTCCTTGACTCTTCCAAGTACTTGAAGGGCTCGCGCATTCTGCACTTCACGTCCTTCGTTGGGGATGCCTTGTTGAGCATCAAGAATGCCACCATCAAGTATTGATGGGCGGCGGCGGGAGAAGGTAGTCGGCTGGATGGGGTTATCCATGTTAGACTCTGTGGGCGGGTGCCTATCCAGGATTGAAAGGCGGGCGGGAGATTCCCGTGCTCCTAGACGCCAGTTGATTAAAGGGTCGTGAATGAACTAGTTGGAAGGTTAGTGGCTGATTTACTTAAAATAATTACCTAGAAAAGCTGGGGACTTACAGCTTCAAGAACGGCCATAAGAGACTCTTTGTTTTCGCGAATAACACGCATGACCGCCTCACAAGTAATGTGGAAACTACCCTCGATATTGCTGACTTCCATGGCAAATGTAAGCATACGGGTTAGTCTGAATGGTACCCGTTCTGGATACTTCTCACGATGCATCGCGATCTCGAAGCAGTCGCCAAAATCAATGTGAACTATCTTTCCTGTAATCCTATCAAGCAGCAAGTTCGACGGATGACGGTCACCTAAGCCAAGGATATACCCAACCATTGACATAACTCCGAGAGATCGGGTATAATTCGTTCGTCGTTCGAGCCACGACTCGGAGCTTTTACTTTTCAACCATAGGACTCGGTAAAGATCTTTTCCAGTGGTATTGTCCATCGCGTAACCAAACACTTCCACTTTCTGCATGAGAGTCAGATTGTCATAATCAGGAGCCATCTGGAGCATAATTCGGTGTTCAATATTAAGCAGAATGCGACGGCTCTCACGGTACTCTTTGATGAGAGCGTGAAGCGTGTCGGTATTGCAGCACCATCCTATTAAACCAGAATTTTGTGACAGGGGAATGGCAGGGAACCGTTGAATCGTTAAGTGACGTTTGAAACACTCGCTATCGTTGTCTAAGAGAGTGTTGACTAGACCAAACAATTGCATAACACGTTCATCTTGTCGAATATCTTCATGACCCTTGAGCGCATACATGTATGAGTTTCCGTCACTTCCCCTGATGATCATCTTTCTGGGTTTCTTCTTAGTCTGCACAACAATAGCAACACTGTCAAAGCTTTGTATTCGGATAACGGGTCGTCCACTTTGGTATGTGCCAGGTATAGCCAAGTCAAGATCGACAACGTCCTTGAGCTTGGGTGAAATGTATTTTAGATCAAGCGATTTGATTTGCGTTACTTGTCGGGAGATCTTGCGGAACACATTGTAGTAGAGATCCCAAGCTTGGTTGAGATCGCCCATTTCTCCAGTTTCCCGGTACAAGTTGCAGAAGTGTTTGGCTTCGGCTAAGTCTCTCCCAAAAGCCTGAGCAAAAGATACCTCTCTTAAGGTCTCTGCACCCTTATCGAGCATGTCGTGGAGAGGCGCAAGAGTGGACAACATACCTTCCACATCGTGGTCGGTAAAGAAGAGCCGAGAGGCCTCCTCCAATGCCTCATACCATAGTTCGTGCCATAATACTGCCACACGCACTAGCTCACCACTGACAACTTCAGCTTGTTCAACCAATCGTGAGCTATGCGCCCTCATGCTGTCCATGATGGTCATGGCAGACTGGGAACGGCGCACCACGTTGGATTTAGTTGCGACAGTTAAGGGGTAAACCAGCGCTTGGGGGTGAGCTTTGCCCAGCTCAGCCAATAATCGATGTACAGCAGTGCGTACCTTAGGATTGGGTTGATTGATGCGGGCAATGAGTTGAGGAGTAACTTCAAGCCAGGTATCGATGCTCACAGTTGAGAAGCCTTCCACGACGGCAGCGTTGACTTCAGCATCGCCACCATGGGTGAACCAAAGTGTCAGCAGCCTAAGCGCATCTTGCAATGTGCTTGATGGTAGGAGTGCGATTGACCGGAAAAATCCACGTATTGCAGGCATGACATGTTCGAGGATGATGTGATGAGGAGGCTCCCTCTCTGGCTGAGCCGTTAGGGAGTTTACCACTTCGAAGTTCGCGAGAGCCCAGGCATGCCACGCTTTGTACGAGTCGCGGTTATATTGTGTAGCCGCAGAATACGAGTTTAGAACATCACGGACACCATCTGATCTCCAATCACCGCGTTGTAACACCGTTTGCCATTCTCCCTGTTTAAGATGGCTCTTTGCAAGAAGACGTCGGATATTATTGGCATCACCGAGATGTTGTTTTGAATATCCAGCATTAGTATGGTTGGAATCATTTATACCGTTGGTGAGGGCTGGCCCGTCAGTAGGCGTATGCTCGTCTTGCGCAGAAAGAATCGAATTATACCGCCCATACGATTCTGTAAGAGAGATAGTAAATTCCTCCAGGGCTTTGAGAGCTTCAGCCTGTCGGCCAGATGCCCACTCAAATTTAAGGCGTGCATAGGTCACTTCTGGTGGGATACCACCATCTGCAGCCTCAATAGACTCTAAGGCACTAAGAGAACGTTCTGCAAGTCCCATACGGTTCGATTTGCGGCATAGATTGACGAACTTGATCCACATATCAAGATTTTCACGGGGAGTGATAACAAGTGCCCTGACTTTGAGCATACGCTGCCATACCTCAACATTCTGCTGGCAACCCAGAAGTCGTTTATTCCACGTCAATCTCATTGCCTCTTGCTTTTCTGGGTCATCCACACTTCTTTTATAAGTAATGATTTCTTCCAGCTCAGCGAGCATTTGCACCCGGACAACAACATTGTAAGCTCTGTTGTATGATTCACCTAGCAATGCAGAGAGCTCAGTGTCTAGGCCATTTCTGGCCTTTTCTATCAGAGCCGACGCTTCTTCAAACTGGTTGCGATGAAGTGAGAGAATTGCTCCGAAGAACGATCTATCAGGCGACTGCTCCTTCATCACCCCAATGTATGAATCCATAAGCTCCCATTGGCCTCTTCCCCATGCAGCAGCAGCAGCGAGTGGGGCGATGGCCTTGCGGTGCTCATTCGATGCTTGATTCCATTTCTCCTGCGCAAGGTCTGAAAGCATTTTCCATTCGCCAAGAGCGTGAAGACATCGCATCTTACCCATGGTAACTTCGAAAGAATCAGGGTCGATTAACTCCCGTCTCTTATAAGCAGCTAATGCTTCCTCCCATCGCTGGAGTTTCACGAACCATGTCTCCTTTAGCTCGACATCTCGATACGCCTGGGCCTTGCGGAGAATACCAATTGCGGCATCAGACTGTTGAAGATGATTGTTGATGCTAATCAATGCCTCCACTGCTCCAGAATTTTGGTCTTGCTCGAACTCCAGTTCTTTATAATGTAATGCTTTTGCGAATGCATGACATTTACCGGCATATTTCCCGAGAGTCCGGATATCAATTGGTAGAGCTTTGTCGTCATGTTCCATGAATTCAGCTAAGTTGAGAAGTATTTGTAGGATTTCAGGAGGGATATTCTGGGAAGTAAGTGCCAAGTCGATGGAGTGAACCAATTCCTCCTGGTACTGATGGTAAAGTTCCGTCCAGCAGGAAACGAAGGCAGCGTTGAAAAGATCCTTAGCAAGCGGCTGATAGATACCAGCCAAGCTAGCACAGGCACGAAGGGCATGGGAGGGGGATTCTTTGAGTAGTTCGACGCTGAAGCGCCGAATCCATTCCTGCCAATCTTCTCGAGTTGACTTCTGTGTGGCGTCCCATGCATTTTTGAGATGTTGTTGGTTAACGAATATCTTCTTCTGGCCAACATCCGCAAATGCTGAATCCTCCACAAGATTGCTATGGTGTTCATTGGGATTAAGGTCCTGGGGTAATGGATCCCCTTTCTGTAGCTTGGAAACAAGAATATGATAACTGTGGTGGTGTATTTGATTAAACTTGAGAACTTTGTTGATGAGTGGAACGTAGTTATTGAAATCCTGCCCAAGCTGGAAGATAAGAGTGCAAATGCAGTCCAAAGCAGTTTGCCTGAGTGGTTTCTCGGCGTTGTTTATAACTCTTGAGAGCGGATGTATCATAAGAGATGCAAAGTCTGATACGTTAACCTGTCGAGAGAGTTTTGCCAGAGTTTCCATGGCGCATTTTCGGATGTTGGAAGGATTTTGAGTCTTATCGAAGATTTTGACAATGGCGGGAACAATGCGATGCATATACTCTTCAGCACTTGAGCCGAAGATCAGGAAAGTGTGAAGGATCCTCTCTGTGGGTTGGCGGCGGACAGAATTGTCCTTTTCAACAGTATCCAGCATCAACGGAACAAGGGCGGCCAAGTACTTTTTGAACTCGCCTTCTAATGACTTAGCAACAGCTTCCACTAGAGATAGTATCGTGCATTGTACGGGATATGGAGATCCCCAATAGTCACGAATGACTTCGATAATTTCGGGGAGGAATGCACGGATATGTTGTTTGACGATCGTTACCAAGATTGCCAACTGGTTGAAATACGTTTCAAGTCGGCTGACCGGCGTGCTTCTGATGACCGATATAAATGCAGGTATTATCTGGCCTAGAAATGGGACACATTTGAGCCCAAGGGTTTTGAACATCGTAACAATGGCGTCAATCACAGCAGAATGGTATTGGGCAAGAGAGCTCTCTCGCAGAATGTTTTGGAGTAAAGTATTGATGACCACGGTGGGGTAGTACTCCTCGTTGGAAGGAGTAAGGCCTTGCATAATAAGAGAAACATCGGAAACAGTCTGAACTTCGTTGACATAATGAACGTCAGGAGAAGTTTCACTAATTTGCTGTAGCAAAGTCAGTATAACATCGCTCCTATAGAGTGTCCGGAATAGTTACCTGATCTTTGTAAGGGTCAAGCGCTCCCAGTATTCCAATTAGTTTGATGGTCTCTTTCCTTAGACTGCCCGTTTGCTCCGTCTTAATAATGTTGATGAGAATAGAAAGAAGCTGCGGATACTCTTTATAAGGTTCAATGACATAACCTGCGTTACTTGCCAACTGACCCAAAGTTTTCAAGGCAGCCTCTCTCTTAGCCTGAGAGGAAAGGTCTTGTAGTGAATCCAGGATTATTGGCATAAGTTGAGGAAGATATTGTTTCATGTCTTCACCACCAATTGTCGCAAGCTCTCCAATGGCTTTGAGAGTGGTCGCTTCTACCGCGGGATTCCCGTCTGAAGTCTTGGGCAATAGCGTTGTAACAATGGGGTCAACATAGGAGCGAATGAGTTTGGTAGCATTTGAAACGAAGAGGCTGATTAATTGGGCACTTTCTTCCTTTTGCCGGGAGTTTGTAGCAAAGCTTAGGCCAGTCAGAAGATTCACAAGTAGTTTCCTCAGAGGCGGGAAAACATAGGCCGGGTTGACGCTCGAGAGGCGGCCAATGATGCTGATGGCTGCTTCTCGTACCGGGAACATCTCATCATTAACAGCTAGGAATAAACATCGAACGTTTTCTGGTTTCGCCAAGTGACGGTCAAATTTCTTATCCAGAGAGAATAACACATTTCGCCGGATATCAGGATCGGGGTCGCCGACTCCAACTGAGAGTAGTTTATCAATAACCTCGCTAACGACCTGTATCGAGTGAGCACTTGTCTGGTTAATGATAGGGTCATGAACGAAAAGTTGGCAACAAGTTAAAGCAGATGCTTTTCTGATCTCAGGGCTATCGCTGTCAACAAATTTGATGGCCACATCGCGAACGAATTCATTAAGGACATGACCTAACAACACGTTAATATGCAGTTATCATACTATAACAGCAAACCGCTTACCAGAGAAATCAAAGCTGCCAAGTGTATGAAGTGCGAGGGCTATCTCGCTATCACTACGATCCTGAGGTAAGGAGCCAAAGTCCTTGGCAAAGGAAGGTATAGGGGGTAATCGGCTTTCCGGGCATCCCAATGGCCTAAAAGGCGTTCCACATAAAACAATGCTAAGCATGTCCAGCAGCTTTTCTTGGATAGTAGCTCTGATAGGTGGGATGTAGTGTGCCATATCGACAAGAGCCTGGGTAAGGGATTTACTCAAGCCACAGGCAAAAATAGGGTCGAGAAGTGACTCCATGTATTTGCTAAGAGTTTGACCAACCGCAAGAGACAGCATACTAATGCATTCAAACATCGGGCCTTCATTAACAGCGGCGCGATTTCGGCTATAATTCTGTGTAAGCTTTGTTCAAGTTGATTGGTTCAGAACTACATACGCTTTCAAGGCCAGTCCTTCGCGGATATATACGATGATTCCATCAAGGAACTGACCGATGGCGTGGCCAACAGCACTTGCAATCTTTCCTATGGCGATGAAAGCAGTATTCCTTTCCTTGTCTCGTTTTAGCTGTGCTTGAAGGTATATCATGAATTTATGAAGGTATGTATTGGTGAACTCGAGGGGGGCGTAAGAGGCGAGAACTGGTATGGTAAGCACAATCTGAGCACGAATCTTGGGGTCCCGGTGGTCTTTTAATCGCAGCACTATTTCACAAGTGTTATGGTAATGTTCGTTCATAAACATGGCACCCTTGAGAAGTAGCTCCTTCAACGTAAGAAGTGACCCATGGATCCAGTCCACATTGTTCGATCGTAGGCCTTGCAAAGACTCCTCGTATACTCTCGAAAACCACTGAGAACGAACTGCGCTATCTCTGGCCGCTATTATTTCAAAACACTCACTAACGGCATCGGCGGCAGTTTCTCGAATGACCACTTTGGGATCACGTAGAGCGACCCAAATAAGATCAAAGACTTGCGGGATAAACCCGTACAGCAAAGTTGGAGAGCCCTTTGCAAGTTCTTGAATGACCAGGACTGCCGCGAAGCGCCTGCTCTCCTGCCTTTCGGTCTGTAGCCATTCTAGAGCTGACTGGATCTCACTTTCAACTAGCTCTGCAGTTAAAGCACCACCGGGTTTCGCCAAATGCCCGAGACAGCCCGCCGCAAAGAGCAATACTGAGTTATCATTGCTCCTCAAAGCACTTCGCAGATAGCTAGCAAATCGAGTCGTTTTCTGTGCTGTATCCACACCATCGAACTCGATTAACCGGTCGAGCATAAGTAGCCCACCGATTTTTTCGTTCGCGTCATTTCCGGTAACGATAAGCTGGGCGATACGTTGGTTTATGGAGTTGTAGTGGTCGAGAAATTTATCTTGGGGCAGCTCTGAGAGCGGAGATAGCTGATCAGCAACGACGCATCTAGTAGGCATCATATTTCAATCGAGCCGTCTTACCTCGAGAAGCTGCTATAATATTTTCGTGAAGCTCGGTGGCAGCTCTATTCCGAGTATCCTCGTTCTTGGATTTGAGCTCCTGAAAGAGTCGCTGGGTCGTATCTGCAGCTGGGGTAACTTGCGCCATGTTTTGATATCAAGATCGAAAGAAGTTGGCTACACAACTAGCTCCTGGAGGCAAAACATGGGCATCTATCAGCGCGTCAATATAGTAGCTGGAGAAACAGCACAACACATATTCTTTGCAACCGGATCTTCCATCGGCCGCCAAAACAAGGGACCACTTGCTTCGGTGCTCGTTGGATTTCTAATGATGCTGATGATTCTTCCGCTGGCTTGAGGTTGGAGGTAGATAACGCTTAGGTAATGTAGTTAAGATCACGTGCATAAACCTCAACGTCTGGAAAAACTTTTGATGTCAAAGTTGAAAGATGAAGCCCGACGGAAGCAAAGAAACGCAGAGGAAGACGAAGAAGACGAAGAGCAATTGGAGGCAATAGCTGCCACAATTCGACGCCATGGCGGCCAGGATGTCGCCCACAACGAAGATTCTGCGCAAGTCTCGCCTGTTTGCGCTCCCGGCTTCCCTCTCACCCCCAGCACAATCTCTGACTTCGAGCTTGAACTGGTCCGATACAGCGACACTTCCATATCCTACTAAAGCGACTATTGAGACACCCGCCAGCTCTCTCGCAAGAGGGGATTGGGGTCTAAAGCGACCTCTACCTGCCAAATCCACCGTGGACAGCTCATCGAACCCTCTTGTCCGGATTAACTATCTCGATACTTACGAGCACATCACAGACTTCCACTCTGCGAATGACCATGCCCTCACTCTCAAGAAATACCAGGAGCTATCTCTCCCTATATCCTCGACAACTCATGGCACATCATCGTTAGTGGGCAGCGGCCGACATACGAGCGTCTTTGAAAGTTCGACCGATAACATGACCGCATCTCCCGATCACAGCTCTGAGAAGAAACTGAGATATAGATTCAAAGGGCCATGGTTGGCCGGAATGACTGAAATTGAATTTGAAAGATACCTCAAGAAAGTACGAAAACAGAGGCCAGAGTTCCTACAGAGACTCCGCGAAGTTGTCATAGAGAACAAGGCCCTGCAGACACGGAGACGGTTGATGGATGAGGGTAAATCATTCGAGGAATCAGATCTACCGAAGACACTAAGTGATGCCGAATTTGAAAGTGCTCTTCTAGCTCTTCGTGCGGATCCTGCAGCACTCGGCCCGGAGGTCAACAAGTTCCTCGATCTAGCTACTCCACCCAAGGTCCCTGACAGACGAATTCACCTACGCAACTGGGCTGCTGGCCCTTCTGATGTAGCATCACCACAATACGCAAGAGACGGTCCTCCCAAAACCCATCCATCTGCTGGTCTCAGCTACCTGCGTACCAGGTCTCATCTCGAGAACCATCCCATTGCTGGACCCCAGCAGAACCCCCGCCCAGTCCAAGCTCGATTGCTGCGTGCAAGAGGCCGTGGCAGAGGAGGATCATCCAAGAGCATAGTCGGTGTTGCTGGCTTTGTTACAGACGACATTGGCCCATCTGCGTCCAGAGATTTTGACAGCCAAAAGGGATCGATCCAGTTTGACCCTGATCTTCCTGGTGGCGCCAAATACTGGGTCAAGGTAGAGAAGGCAACTGTAGATGCCAAGGGCAAAGTCCTGCTCCGTGTCGACGGCGCTACGAATTCCGTCAAGGCCCTCTATGGAGTCCAAGGTGCAGCTGAAGCTCTACCCTCTTTCGTCACCAACCGCGCAGGTTACGGCCGCCTTGATGATAAGCGATGAATGGGGGCCCACGTTTATTTTCTGTACACATAAATGTATTATTATTATGTTCTAGATATACAAATATTAACTCCTTCAAGCTGCTTCGCTTTTCTGACGGTAGACTTCGTAGTCTTACATAAGTATCCATGCCATTACGTAAGATAAAGTTAAGTTCCAATTCTACGTTTAATCACGTGAATACACAGCCCTAAGCGAACTTCCACTTAATCAAAAAAAAGCCATCACGAACATTTCAAGATCGAACGCCAACTGTCAACTCCATCAACAACCCGCAGTTCAGCACAACAACACCGCCAACATGGGTCGCGTTAGGACAAAGGTATGTGATCATTGCACATTGCAAGGCTAACCCCTTACTCTTTTCAAAATCGGAAAACTGACAAGACTGCGTTTGACCTGGATAGACCGTCAAGAAATCCGCCAAGAGCATCATTGAGCGATACTACCCAAAGCTCACTCTTGATTTCGAGACCAACAAGCGCATTTGCGATGAGATCGCTATCATCTCTTCCAAGCGCCTTCGCAACAAGGTGGGTGTCCGAAATATCCAATAAAAGCGAATGCAAAAACGCCGGAAACTGGTCTAATTCAGATTGATTATAGATTGCTGGTTACACTACCCATTTGATGAAGCGTATCCAGCGTGGCCCAGTCCGCGGTATCTCCTTCAAGCTTCAGGAGGAGGAGCGTGAGCGCAAGGATCAATACGTTCCAGAGATCTCTGCTCTTGACATCTCCCAGACCGAGAGCGGCCAGCTCGACGTGGATGCTGATACCAAGGATCTCCTTAAGAGCCTCGGAGTAAGTCTATGTTTTATGCAACTCATGTTGGCATCGATGGCTAATTTGAATACTTTTCCCCTTCAGTTCGACTCTCTCAAGGTCAATGTCACCCCAGTGTCTCAGCAAACCCAGAACATTGATGGCCGTCGATTCGACCGTCGTTAAATCAATTCCATCACAAAAATGGCAGGAGTTATGCGGCGGTGGGAATTTGGGTCAACATATCCAGGCCTTGTTCATGAATTCAACGCCTAGATTGCCAATTTTTTTCTAATATAAAAAAATTACAAAATACAAGGTGTCGCTGATTCCCTTGGGATGACGCTTGATTGCCAAAACTAGTCCCCATTTCAACTCCCGTAATGGATGCTACACGCCCTACCATGATATGATGATATTCATTTATAATGGTAAGTTATTCACAATCGCACAAAGTAAGAATAATTTCGCTCGAAGGAACGCCATATCAAGCATGTGAAAAACGGACTCTTTAAGAAGCCAAGGGTATCTCTTGCGTGTCAACCTAGCAACGCCCATATAATCCAAAGTGCCTGTAAACCCGTCTTATATCTGCGGTAAAAAGTCATCCATATCTTCATCTCCATCTCCGTCCTTGTTGCTGGACGGCCAGTTTCTGAACTGTGTGTCCTGTCGGGGATGGAAACCCTCGACCGAGCCGCCTTTTGCGCTGTCTGGCTGGAAGATTGGAGCTTTGGGGTGTCTCGAATCGTCGGTGTCCCTTTCAACAACTGTTGGTGCTAGCAAACCTCTGGCTCCAGCACTGCTGCTAGGATTTACCGACGAACTTCCTGCATCTTGCATCAATAAATCCTGCGATCCACGGGATAGATGATCTTGGCCATAGGTTGGGTTGGTGTCATTGGTCTGTAGCGTGAGTCCCTGCAGATTCTCCTCCACCTCTCTCATCGCACTTCTGTCTACCCGTTCGGTGCTTAATCTCAAGGAGTCACCTCGTCTGGCCTCCTCCAGCAGCACAAAGTCCTTGCCCGCGCTTCCTATCCGTTCTGAAGCTGGTTTCTCACTGAGCTGCACTTTGATATACATTGCTCGCTCTGCACACTCCTCAGAACACCACATCTCTAGCTTTTCTTTCTGTACGACTTTCATGTCCTTGCCACGGCCGCCGGGACCGCTGCCCTTTGATCCCCATACGATCCTGTATCCTCCCTTAGAGTTATCTTTTCGCCGTGGCTTGGGACACAAGGTATAGCCACAGCTACCGTCAATATTCCGTTCCTGTATCAGATTATCGTAGTCCGATGGCTGAAAGCATGCTATCGCAGAGAAGAAGGTCGACACGTCCTCCGCAGAGGGAGACTCGACTGTGGCGCCTGGTGTAGTAGGCAGTTCCATAAGCGTTTCGATATGTGAGAGGATCTGGAGCTCCAACTCCTTGCGGCTCTGGATCTGGCGGGCATGGTGAAGCGCAATCGCCATGTGTCGAGGGTCCGGCGACCCTTTGCCGCGATACTGAGACGAAGCCGGGGCCGATGAAGCGTGAACTGCCTGTAGAGACGTCTTGAGCGTCCTGTCCTGGTGAGCGCCGCCTCTGCCGGCCATGGCTGCGACTCTACACGGACGAGCAGTAAGATATCCTATCCCAGCGTCACTCTTCCATCCGCCGTTTCTTTTGGATCAGACGTCAAGCTCGAGGCCGTCGAAATGAGCCATCTTCCTTGTCCACTGTGGTCGTGGGCTGTGGGGGGAGGGGAGGAGGAGGGGGGAGGTTTCGTGCTGGCCGTGGCGGCGCCGTCGTCGTTTTTATATGAGGAGCGTCAAGCCACAGCCTGCTCACTAGTCAGCTCACTAACTGCTAACTAAGTGTTGTCTCTCCCGCCCTCGCCCATCTCCCTCCCACTCCCACGGACAACCCGAACATCGCCAACTCGCACATCCCACCACCACCCACTAGGCTCCCCTCGAGCCCGTCCGTGTCTCGTTGCCTCCGTTTCCTTGTGAAGGAGATACCACTGCTAGCCCCCGACCTGTAAGACCTGCTTCTGGTTTGCTGTCTTTGTTTTGGTGATCTAGTTAGCTGTGACGGCCTGAACTGACCTAGGCCACCGCGCAGATTGTTACCGATGCTCTAGCTACACGCCAGCGTCGTGTACTCGTTACTTTCCTTCGACAGGCTGAACAGTTGAAGAGATAGCGGGATTCGACCCTCTGGCCCTCTTCTTTTGCACTCTGGTGCTGCCCGGTTCATATTTGGTCGCAACACTGCTGTTCTGCCTGGCCGCGAGTCGCCGTTGCGCCCGACCGTTTACTCGACCGTTGATACTCGGAAACCTTCTATACCAGCCTTCCAAATGTCAGCGGTACCTTTCACGGTCAAGGCAGTGTTCGAATACACCTCAGAACATGAAGATGACCTGAATTTTTCAATTGGGCAGATCATTACTGTGACCGAGGAGGAGGATGCTGACTGGTACTATGGCAACTATACCAATCATGCGGGCGCCAAACAAGAAGGCATTTTCCCAAGGAACTTCGTCGAAAAGTACGAACCTCCGGCACCTCCACGGCCTACGAGACCTGCCAGAACCCGGAAGGAGTCTGAAACCGCCTCTCAATCTCCACCTCTAGCCTCCGAGTCAGCGGTGCCCGACATCCCGCAAGAGGACAGTCAGAAGAGGAGTATCGATCTGGGTTCTACTGGAGAGGCCGAGAAGAAAACTGCCCCTAGTTCAGTGCCATATGAGGCCCCAAAGAGCTCTGCCCCTGTTCATGCTCCCTCGTCTCCTCCAATGAGCCCGCCCTCTCAGAAGGCTGCACCGCCTCCGCCATCAGCGCCAGTTGAAGCACCAGCTAAGAAAGCCCCACCACCAACTGTTGCAGAGAAGCCGACTGCAGGCTCGTTTAGAGACAGGATTGCTGCTTTCAACAAGGCATCTGCGGCTCCAATAACTCCATTCAATCATGCCACTCATACATCAAGTTCATTTGTGAAGAAGCCATTCGTTGCACCACCGCCCAGTAAAAACGCTTATGTTCCGCCACCAATTGAACATCCTCAAACATATAGGCGGGAGGAGCCCCAAGAAACTTCGCTGCCAATTCGATCTGAAGCCCCGGAAGGAACGGAAGCTACAGAAGAGGAACAGCCTAAGCCAACAAGCCTGAAAGAAAGAATTGCTCTTTTGCAGAAGCAACAGTTAGAGCAAGCTTCTCGGCACGCTGAAGCGGCCCAGAAGAAAGAAAAGCCGAAAAAGCCAGCGAAGAAGAAAGTCGAATCACAAGAGCCGGTTGAACCATCCGAGTCAATGATGGGAGTAGAGCTACAAAGGACTGAGACCTCGGAAACTGCAAAGGAATCGTCAGCTGCAAGCGGTGACCCAGCTGAAGAAGGCACTCAGCCTAAGCATCGAACTCCTGTCTTACCGCCCGCCAGAGAACTTACAAGTGACACTAATGATGCTGATAATTCTGCGGCTGGAGATACCGAAGAAGCAAGTGAAACTTCAACAAGCAAAGAAGATGTGGAGGACAAGTCGCCTGAATCCAGACCCCTGAAGCCAACCCACGGCGATGCTCCTGGTGCCAATGGCTCTGAGGAAGAAGAGAGCGAGGAGCAAGAGGAGGACGAGATAGATCCTGAAATCAGACGGCGCATGGAAATTCGTGATCGAATGGCCAAAATTAGTGGAGGAATGGGCATGATGGGCATGTTTGGTGCTCCAGCTGGCCTACCAGGAATGCCTACGGGCAGCTATAAAAAGCCAAAAGCTCCATCAGCGGATGCAGGAACCACCGAGCAGCAACCGGAAGCTTATGCTCCTCCTGTCCAGCTTATGGCTCTTCCAGGAATGCATGTTAGAAAACCCGAAGAGAAGCCAAAAAGTCCGCCAGCAGCTCCGGAAGAGCCTAGTGAAGCATCGATCCCTCCGCCACAGCCCTTACCTTTAAATTCAGAAGATGCTCCAGAGACTACCAGTGAGGAGCCTATCACACCTCACGGTATGTTTATATATTTTTCTTTGCTATAAATTTTCTGGAGACAAGGCTAATAGATTTGAAATTTAGGACGTCCAGTCCCTCCTCCGCCGCCAGTTGCCCAAAACCTCCCTCCTCCTCCACCTCCCCCAGAAAGTAGGTTACCAACCAAACCCCCCTTTTTTTCCCTTCGCTCATATTCTAACATATTTTATTACGTAGCTCGGCCTGTCCCACCACCACCACCACCTCATAATATATTGACATCTCCCTCTCTCGGAACTAAATCTAATGATGAAGTCGTTCTATCTCCAGCCCGGACCGAAAAGGGGGATGATGAATCCTACTTTGCAGGGCATGAGGCTTCAGGGAGCGCACGCCAGTCCATGGATCAAGCTAGGATCTCATCACCTGTGTCGTCTCCCGTGACAGGGCCAGGAAAACGGCAAAGCCATCCCCCTCCACCACTGCCATCAGCTCCCCCAGTACCTCCATCAGCTCAGACCCGTCCTCCGCCTCCTCCCCCTCCAGCAACTGAGCCTAGCCCAGACAACACAGGTGATAGCAGGATGAGCTCCCAGACACCAACTCGTCCTCTAGGTAGTGAGAGTGAGGAGGAGATAACTGAGTATGAAGGAGATTACGATACAGATATAGCATCAGGTGCCAAACACAAAGATGCCTTGAAGGCCCATGTCCGAGATTCTAGTATAGATGAAGGGACATTAGCCGACTCTTTCAGCCCGCACTCGCCCAGGAGTCCGGTAGAAACACGGCCACCCATCCCACAAACCACTTTCCAGAGTACTGCCCCTCGCTCAGCACCACCTCCCCCTCCCCCTAGCCAACCACCAAAGGCTGCCCGACAATCAGTCGATATGCCGAGAGCTCCACCACCCCCAGTTCCGCAAACTATGTATACCCAAGAGGATGAAACCCATGAACGAACCCGGGAGGAAGCCTTTGATCAGTATACAGCACCTGCTGCTCCTGCTCATCGGGATCGAGGCGAGTCCCAAATTAAGGATATTCCGGACGAGACATCATACGAGGTACCCCAACACAACATGTCTTCTCAAGCCCCACGCCCATCCCGGGGCTCGTCTGATCTCCTAAGAGGCCAGACCGGAACCCGCAGATCTATGGACGTTTCCAGACCATCAATGGATCAGGGTTACATGGCAAATGATGTAGACCTTGCCTCCACGTCTCTCTGGTGGACACAACCAAACACACCTCCTCCAGTATTCCAAGGTCGACGAGACATTCTCATCGAAATTGAGGAATCCTCCACAAACAAGCGAGGAGGCAAAGTTACCACATCAAAGGACGTCTACATCCTCTTCATGGACTATTCTCAAACAATCATATCCGCACAATTCGATTCCAAGAACCCAATCGATGTAGCGTTAGAACAGCGGCACGAACCACCACCACCTCGACTACGTCAAGACCAACTGGAGGACGCCCATACTCAATTTGGCGCTCGCATCTCTGAATCAGTTGCTTCAAAACAAAACACCACAGTGGGTGACGGTACGCCCCATGCTCTTATCCAGACACTCCTTGCCCCTCTGAAGGATGCCCTCCTGCCAGTTGGTGTCCGCAGCTACGGCGCTCTGGTATACGCCAACCTAGCCAATGCCTCAGTCCAACAATTTGACGAAATTCGCCCTGGAGACATAATCACCTTCCGTAACTGTCGTTTCCAAGGCCACCGTGGCACAATGCATCAGAAATATTCCTCCGAAGTAGGCAAGCCAGACCATGCCGGAGTCGTATCTGATTGGGACGGTACGAAGAAAAAGGTACGGGTCTGGGAGCAAGGTAGGGAAAGCAAGAAGACGAAAGTTGAGAGTTATAAGTTAGGTGACCTGAAGAGTGGTGAATGTCGTGTTTGGAGAGTCATGTCCCGTACTTGGGTTGGATGGGACGGAGAGCACAAAGCCTGAGGTTCTGTAGAGAAGGTTTGCCTCCCTCCAGTTTGAAATTTGATCACAACTCCAATACATATCTAGCTCCATACATACACTTGCGCAGCCTTGCCTTATTTACTTTGCTCTACTCTTTTCCTTGTGTTATGTTTTGTTCGAACATAGGTCGAGTCGGCTGATTTTTATTTTTATTTTTTTTTTTCTACCTTGAATCAATGAAATTCGTTCATGTATGCAAAATGTGACAACGCTGTGGGATACAAGAAGCTACATATCACACATCCATTTAATATTTACCATATGAAAATGCGTCACTTATTCAATAGACAAAGGCAAGCAATTGATTGCTATGAATGTTCAAAGTTTTGGTGGAGGGTTTACCTAGATATTTTTAGATATACACATTGCAAGAAGATTATCTACTTCGTTCCTCAAAAACTCCTCCTGAAATATACATGTATCACACTCCCAAGAACGATGCCCTAGTCCAAATGACGGCGTGCTCAAACAGATCGATTTTCCTAGCCCTCCGGTAGCTGCCCGCTACCCTGTTTGGAGTTATATGAGGAGTACCTCTCCTGTAGCACCGCCCATATTATGTTGATAGGCCTGCTGTTGGTTCTGGCTCACTATGTACTGGCTCTCTGGTGCGGTCGCAACCATATCACCACCATGAACGCCACCACCACCTAGGCTCATAGCTGCCATTTGGTCAGCTACTTGGTCGTTACCGATTCCAGCAAAGTAAACGTCAGCAGCATTCACAGCAGCGCTTATATCTGGCTTCTGGGCCATGCCGGGGTTTGATGAGTTAGATTGAGCATTTGCTTCAGGTTCCTGACTGGGAGATAGAAGGGTAGAAAGAGGTATATGGAATGGAGTATCGTGGGAGTCTTGATAGGTGGGTTGTTGGAGCGCGGGGCTTGGAGCGAGTCGTTTCGGTCTGGCTAGCCGGAAGACTTGTTGGACGGGCTTAAGATAGACGGTAGCAAGAGTTCCGACGTTTAGGCACAGTTCCTCGAGTGTCCTCGGGTCCAGTTTCTCCCTGTCAGCTGTAATAGGAGGCTTCTCACCCATGACGATTTTCCTAGCTGTTTCTGGGTCCGTGGATAGTAGCCGCCAGTACATAAAGCCTCTGTCTCGAAGGTCGGGATCGTCTGTCTCCTCTGTGCACCATTTGAGGACCTGAGGAACCAATTCTTGACCCTTTGTGGGACGCTGGATGAATAATTTGACTGTGGCTGTGAGTAGAGCTAGTTGCACTTCCACCGGCTCATCATGGAAAGTAGCCAGGTAATCCTGCAGGAAAGCGTCCGAGTTGTCAATTCTGTCTGCGTACTGGCCAATGATCCATATCACGGCAGCCTTGGCCTCAGGTTCATCCAGCTCGTCGATATTCTGAATAACTGTGGTAATGATTGATTCATACTGGTTTGGGTATTTGCGGAAGATGTTGCGGATCACAACCGTGGCTTCCTGCACGATATAAGGAATTTTAGCATTGACAAGCTCGAGCAAGGTCTCGATACACTGTCGTGATGCAGATTCTATTTTGATTGCTAACTTTCCAATTGCGCGTACAGCCTTTCGTACGAAGTGAACGTCGATTTCTGTGGCGTATCTATAGCTTTTGGTTAGAGGAGGTGGCGGGTTAGATAAGATTATAGAGGTCAAACTCACTCTCGAAGTTCAGTCAGGACCACTGAGATATTATCCTTGGATGCCAGCATAAAGATCAACTCTAACTTGGTCACCTTAACATAAATGGGGTCGTTATATTTGCAAAAGAACACTCTGATGTCATTCCGCAGCACCTCCGGTCGCCTTTGTAATATCAAAATTGCATTTCGTAGCGCCAGGTACTGGACTTCGGGCCCCTTTGACAGTAATGTGACGAGAGGCGGCGAGAGCTTTCGGGAAAGTGATGTGACCTGTTTTTCGTCTGCAATGTAGTTCATAAAATATAATATGACACGGATGCACGTCAAGACGACGGAGGAGTTGGAATGGGAGAGACGTGGGGCCACTCGTTCAGCCAGAAGGAGTGCTTCGGAGGACTCTCGGGGGACGTAAGACATCAATGCTTCGAGTATGTATGTTTGACACCATCTATGAAAGTGTTAGCTTACGTCAAGTAGAGCAGTATATGTATGTATAGTGAACATACTCGGAGCAATCCGGCAGAATGGAGATAATCTTGGAAGCATTGGTATAGTCAATGGTCAAAGTGATAGATTCACTTCGCTCCCAGACGTCTACCAAAGCAGCCAAAGCACTTGACACAACCGTTGGGTTCTCATCCTGAAGCATATTATTCAACCGCTCAATCAGGTCGGACGACTCAACCAGCCTTCTATCGTGGTCGTATAGCTTGGCGACTGCAAAGGCAGCTGTTTTGCGCACATAGGGGTCTGCATCGGACATTAAGTGTTTCAATGGTTGGACTGTTGCTTCGACAAAATCTCTCACATGGATGTATGATATCGTGCGTAGGGCCAGTGCTCGAATTAAAGGGTTACCATCATTCATATCCTATATAACTCGTCAGCTATGATGCAATATATATATATATATATATATCGGGTGTGCATAGGCCATAAACAGATAACATACTGCGAGAAGCAATGGCAACGCCTTCAACGCAACCTCCGGCTTCGTCCGAGAATAATTAACGAGGAATAGGAAGCACCTGTTATCTGTTAGCTCGGTCCTCTTCCGTCTGTCTGTTTTCCTATGGAGCAAACGCACATTTTCTTTATCTCCAAGCTCGGTATCGTCATACAACCGATAACGTCCGGGAAGAGGCCAATCATATCATTATTGCTCATGGTCATATTGGCGACTATCTTCTTCAACGTAATCTTCTTCGCAGAGTGGTTCTTATCCTTCTTGCCACCGCCCTGCAGCTCCATGCGGAGCTCGCTGACCTTGCCCTGTGCAGTGTTGTTAGTTCTCTGACCAGACGGCCGAACACCTCCATACTGTAGGGTCATCATATTGCCGGTATTGAAGGCACCGATGGTGTGTCCATGGGTAGATGTGGTGGGCGGGTTGGTAGTAGTAGTGGGTGGTGCTGGTGTTGGTGCTGGTGCTGGTGTATCAGGGAGGACGCAGGCAGGCCGGAGGACGAGAAGGAGAGGAGGGTATCGACGGGCAGTATATCATGGAGGAGACAACGTACTCTTGCGAACAGCTTCGCATCGCCCCCGCTCGAGCTCATCTTCCGTGCGCGCCGAAGACGAGAGCGGCTCGAGATGTCTGGTTGCTACTGGATGGACTGCAAGCGGATGGTCACATGTAGGGTAGGCCCCTGGCGAGCCAAGTTGCCGTTCTGCGAGTCGGATCCCGGGCGGGCGGTCTTTGTTGGTTCGTCTGTTGCCTCTGTCCTTGTACCAACGATGCTCAGGAGGTGCTTGCGGGTGAAAGAGCTGCGGGAGTCGAGGGATGCGAGGACGCGCTTCAAGGGGAGCCGTCGGGGTGGTGCTGGGACTTTGTGTTGTCAACTTAGCTAAGTAGTAAAGTTGGATGTTTTGGCCTGCAGGTACTTTTTGGTTACTAACAAGCCACGATGCGGCCAAAGTAACTACATCCCTAGTTGACAGGCGGTGGACCAGCCAGACCCAGCTGAAATCGGCCTTGAAGAGACGCCAGATGTCCAGTTGATCGCCAGGCAGCCTGTCAGGCTGTGTCAGGAGCCGATATGAGACGTGAGACGCGAGATTTGCCGCCCAGAAGCTGCAGGTTGGCTGTCTGTACAGCCAACGGTGCCAACGACAGCGGACATCACTTTATCACTTTTTGGACCAGGAAGCTGCTGCACACCTCTGCCTCTGCTCTTATTAAATAATCTCCATATCTATATTGAACCTTATCATGCTAATCATATTCCACTTGGCTATAGAATATCCGAAACGCAGGGTATAGGGAGTCCGTTCAACCGACCAGGCACCCGGAGGCTGCCCTATTATTCCGAGCCATTCGTTTGCTTTAACTACGGAGTACAAGGAGCTTGAATGGAGTCACTAGTTATCGGTCAATCCCTCATATTTATGTGCTGTTACCGGACTCTCCTTGTTGATATCCCTTGGTGGGTTGTTGCCGTGAAGACGACGATACTTTTATTCAAGCAGCTAGTTTACACGACCGGAAAGCAGGTGGATGGGGTATCCTTAACTATTCAAAACCAGCCCCCATGGAGGCTCTCTGATCTTTACGGGTAGCCGTTTCATACGTCACACCGATCGTCGTCTCCTTCTTTATTCCGTCTACCCCTTCCGAACTATAGCCACCCTGCCTGAGGCCTTCTTCCATAAGATAGACCTCGCCATTATTCGGGGTACTATTCCTTGAGCCACAGCTTCGGTCTAGAAGTTTTGGATCATCACTGCTTTCGAACTGCTTGCTATGAACATAGCTAGCCTGATGGCTGTCACTGATATTAGGCCTCTTTGATTTATCTCCTTGCCTATTCGTGGACATGATCGGCCTCAATGTGGGTATCGAAGTCGCGATGATGACAAGATACGCTTCCAGGGTCCACCACGTAGCAAGATGGGCCATGGCATAAGTGATGTCCGCTTTTGCTGTGATCGCTTGCAGTTGAACGGTTTTGATAATTGATGCAATCATTGCACTTTTAATTCGATATATTATCCAGTCAGCATTATCAACATAACTAGTGATAGTTATAAGAAGGCGTACTGGCACTTACATGATTCCGAGACCCATCAATAATGAAAGTGATACCTTCTTTCTCATCTCCATATTTAAATTCCACAATAGGCTGGCTGGAAATACCGCGAGAACCAGGTCAACTGCAGAACATACACCTCCAATTCAATGTCAGTATTTAGAATTTTGACAGATAACAAGAAAGTACGAGGGAAGACTTACTGCCCTGGAAGAAGCCTACATATTGCTGCACAGTTGGTGCCCAGCAGTGGCCTGGGACACTTGAATCCCAAAACTTGTTTATTGGCCGGCACTGGACAAAGCTGATTATCACCGTCCCAACGTCGACCACAAATTGAATCCATATTAATGTCCAGAGTATTCGACTTCGCCACTTTATCGGAGGGAGAATGCCCAACAACAAGGATGCATAGGCGATGCGGCTTACTCCAGGCGACATGATGGAGAAAAACTCGCAGAGATATACCCATTTCACCGTATACTTGATTTGCTCTTTCGAGAGCTCTGCTATATGGATTCCCAGTCCCCAGTGAGTAGAAATTGTTAGAAACGTGGAATTTCCTATTCCAAGGGCCTTTTATTCGGTAACCAGTCAGTTTTTACTGCCGTTTCGAGTCTTCAAAAGGATTCCTGTCAGACTCACAAGTGCGATCAAAATGAGTCCATCATCAACAGTATATTTCTCGACGATTCTCCACCGGACATATAATCTGGTACCAACGATACCGATAGCGACAGCAGCAAGAAACCAGGCGAAGACCAGCACGGTCGTTCCTAGGTACTCAGGACCGGACATGAGCATTTTGAAAACTTCTTGGATTCAAACAAGTCCAAGGAAGAGCGAGAAGCAGGGGAGGTGGTGTTTATATGAAATTTAACGACGTACCCCATAAGTCAACTATGGGGAAACTGGAATATCTATGAACAGCCAGAAGAACCAACGGCTCGACGTCATTGTGACACTTATTTCCTTTTCTTCTAGCTTCTGTGAGTAGCAGCTTGACAGGAAGCTGATTGTTTATGACGATCACTTTGGGTCCAAATAATGATTAGCTTGGGCAATGGCTATGGCAAAACCTATACGGGGTAAAGCAATAGTTTAATTGCAAACGCCCGTGCCAGATCCCCCAGAAATAGGCCGAAATCTACCGCTCTAGTCGTAGCTTATGTGTCATTCACAAGCACCAGCTTATGGTTCGTTATAACGCAAGGAGGAATTAAATGGCGGACAAAGGATCTTCTGGATCACCGTGAGACAGTTCCTAGCCAGATGACTGCATATACGAGTATCTCCAAGGAGAAAAGGAAGCAGTCTTTTTCTTCCCGCTTACTCTTTGTGTATAGTTCTGGCATACTGAAGACTCCGAGCATATCTAGCGCTCCTTAACCGCTTCGTATTCCATCTGTGGCTTGAAACCTGAGGAATATACGGTATTTCCCGCCCCCGATGCCCTGGTATGCACATGGATCAACCCTGCTGCTTCTTCACACTATTTGGACAGGTTAAATTCAGCGGCTTGTGCTGTATCCAGGATGCCGTTCTATCTTTAACTATACTCCATAAGGAGTACTCAGCATCAGAATTTCTCATATGTTGGTCAGCTTGACAAGACCAGGAATGGCCTAAGCCTCCCCTTGGACAACTATCTAATATACGGAGGAACTAGTTATCTCGTCGGCGCCCCAGATGGAGGATACAAGTGGGAGGTTCAACATAAGATCCAGAAACCCGGCGTTCACTGATCATCAATTGATCAAGCTATTAAGCAGCATCAAAGCAATCCCAGAACGGACACCTGGCTATGATCACTATTGACTATTCAACTGCTAGCTGGAAATTTTGCTTCTATCTTGGAAAGAGCGTCCACTCTCGACACATTGTCATGAATGTGATGAAGTAGTTATATTGTTATTATTGATAACTATAACGAGCAAGGGTGTATATACCCAAAACCACCGCATATTGAGCAAGACACCCAGCTCATCCTTAATATCATTCGCTATCTATTTCATATAGCATACCGAGATATATCTTCATGCTATCATGGATTAAACAAGCATGGCTGTCAAGGGAGAGCCTCTGCTCTTATCGCCCATTTGTAGCGTCTTGCTTCAAGGCTCAGTGACGAGGCAGGCAGAAAGGCAAAAAGAGAGTGTTTACAGCTCAGTAAAGCTCTTACTGTCCAGATGAAGCAGCCGGAGAATATTTTCTCAGTCGTGGTTACGGACGCACTCGAAGCTTTAGTATCCCCATTTAGGCCTCCTCAAATAATACGCCTTCGTAGATGCAGGAGCCTATTCCTATCGCCGTCTCCTACATGACTGGTCGGACGAACAATGTCTTAATATTCTTACAAGGGTTGCATCTGCAATGACACCAGAGTATTCAAAACTCCTGCTTCACGAGATGATTATTCCTAAAATAGGGGTATCACAGCTTCAGGCCATGCTGGATATGACGATGATGGCTTTTAATGGTGGCATTAAACGTACCAAGCAACAGTGGGCTGCGCTATCAGAAAAGGCAGGTCTTAAGGTTATCTAATTCTGGGACACAGCAGAGGAAGATGGTGGTAGAATCGTTAAAGTCATGAAAGCATAGATCCTCGATGGATTTTCCAGTCCTTGTTATCACTGGTGGGAGATAACCGTGTTTTATTCTCGTGAGTATAGACCTTCTTCCAATCTTGCATTGGAGTTGACGTAAAGCAATTCTTAGTCATCATCTGCAGTTTAAGTTTAGTCTTGATTACGTTGTTTCCCGAATTATGAACCAATCAGGGGTTTTTATAACTAAAAGTAAATCCATCTTCATATTATCTTTAAGTTTAAGTTATGACATAATCATTTCAGCTTAGTCATCCTTTACGCTCAACATCTCGAAAGGAAGCTTTGAAGACGAGATAAACAACTATCTAGCAACATTGTATACCACGCATATAGAGGCATATTCTCATCATGGCGGAACGAATGAAAATGTTCCCTCCACCTCCTCCGCCCCATTGGGCTGTTGATATGAACTCTCCGGCACCCAGCAGAGCATCGAAGTCCGCCTCCTTCCCCGACCCTCCAGGCTACTCTGCCCCCAAGTCAGTGTCGAAGGTAAATTAAACAATCCACTCTGAATGTAATAGCATAATATCTACTTGCATACGGAGTACTAACATTTACCCTTCAGCAACGAGCGCAGCCGTCCACTAGCCCATCCTCGACCCCCCGCAAGACCGAGACTGATGCCCTTAAATTGAAGAAAGCATGGGAACTTGCGCTTGCTCCTGCCAAACAGCTGCCCATGAATGCTATAATGATGTACATGTCCGGCAATAGCTTGCAGATATTCAGTATTATGATGGTTTTTATGCTTTTCAAGGGACCAATTACCGGCATCATAGGCACAAACGCTGCCTTCGCCAAGTTGGAGTCAGAGAGTATTCGGGGTCAGATGGTGGCTGTCAAGGTAGTTTACGTGGCCATGCAGTGTGTGTTGCTGGCTCTGGGGATATGGAAGGTTAATGGGATGGGATTACTACCGTAAGTTATCCATCAATGGGGTATTTGGGCTTATTGAATGCTAACAATTGTGCCTTAGGACGACGAGATCAGATTGGCTAGCATGGGAGACGGAGCGAAGTCCGCTGGAACGGGCATATTTCGCTTTTAAATGATTATAGAATATTAAACTAACATTAAAGAAAGAAGAAAAATGTGGCAATTCTTTCTATATGCGAAATAATACGATTTTTGCTCAAGAACTGTTTCTGATCTAATATTCTAACGCGCAGTTGCTTCATCACATGCCACTCTAAGCTCACGAACAAATAGCCAAACATCTTCAAACGAGTTATATAGTGGTGCGGGAGCCACGCGGATGACATCCGGCCTTCTCTCATCGAGCACAACACCATTCCTCAGCAGGCAGGAGAAGACGGGGTCCAACAAGCCTGCTCTTAATCGCAAACTGAGCTGTGCCCCTCTCATATCCGGGTCAGACGGCGTGATGATGGTAAATGGTCTCTCGGATTTGGAAGGGAACTCTCTGTCAATGAGATATTCTAGGTAGGCTGTCAATTTAACTGACTTGCGCCTAAGAGCTTGCATTGTAGCTTTGTTGAACACCTTCAGAGATGCAGTCACAGCCGCTAGGTCGAGAGCAGAAGGGTTGGAAACCTGATAACCTGCCGCGCCAGGACGAGGAACAAACTCTATTAATTGTTAGGAAGGCAGGCTAAAGATCAACAAAAAAAGAGACGAAACTCACTATTATCCATTATAAAGCGGGAGCTCTTATCGCTTCCCCACCAACCCGATAGCCGTGGTCTAAAACTATCCTCCGTGACCATTCCATGTTTCTCGTGCACAAATAGTCCTGCCATAGCCCCGGCTCCCGAATTCAAATATTTGTACGAACACCAGGCCGCAAAGTCAACGTCCCAGTCATGGAATTGAAGCTCAACATTTCCTACAGCGTGAGCACAGTCCCATCCTACCATTAACCCCTTGGAATGGGCATGAGCCGTGATGGTCTTCATATCAAAGAATTGGCCGGTGTAATACTGGATACCGGGAAGGAGGATAAGGGCCGCAGTGTCTGCGTGCGCATCAATAACGGATAGAATTTGGGAGGTCTCGAGGACGGGATAGTCTTCTGAGACTGGCTCGATGAGAACCATGGCGTCTTCTGGGTCAAGGCCATGGTGGCGTGCCTGCGACTCAATTGCAAACTGTTCTACCGTCAGCAATGCAATAGAAACAAAGGGGTAAAGAGCTGTTTGTTCCTACATGATCACTGGGGAAAGCCTTCCCCTCGAAGATGATCTTGTACCTCTCCTTGGTAGGCTTATAGAAGCTGGCCATTAGGAGATGCAAATTGCTTGTCAGGGTCCCCATCAGAGCCACCTCACTCTCCTTAGCACCCACGAGCGGTGCCATAAGCTCAGGTGCTCTATCATCAATATTCAACCACTCTGCCGTTAGCTGGTCGGTGTGGGGCTCGGTATGACCCAGCACTCCTTTGAGAGCCCATGACCGCAAGTAGGAATTGACGTGTTCACTTGTAGAAACAGGTTGGAGGCCTAGGGAATTTCCACAGAGATAAACACAGCTTTCTTCAAGTTTTCTCTCTTCCTCCCCTGTAGGGGGGGCTAGGGTTGTGCGTGTCAGATCGGCCTTGGAGGGGATGATGAACTCCTTTCGAAAGTCACGGAGGGGATCCTGTTCGTCGAGGTTGCGGGCGTACTCCCTTGTGAGGGAGCTGGGATCCTTGCTAAAATCCATTCTATCCACTTAGGCTATGGATGCTAGTGAATAGCTGGAGGAGTTGGATGTGTTGTACCCTGTCTTGATCAATACTTTGAATATACTATCTTTTACCGCCATCTGTTTGTAAACATCCGTAGAGCCATGGGCCGTTTTTTTGTCTTTATTCTTCGGGCCCCCCCGCTTACTAACCATATTGCGCTGTTTAGTTAAATCTCCGGAGAGTAGCCGATGATCAGTATTTTGTCGAGCTGCTGCAAGGTACAGAGGGATCACCAGCAGACAGAGCTTGGTCAGCGAAGGTGAGCTTCGCGCCCACAGAACAAGGAAGCAGGCGGCCAGGCATCGCGTTCTCGATGGCCATCTTGACTCGCCAGCCTGAACAATGGCCAGGGACAAGAAAGTGCGGGTTTAGCGCCTTTAGATCGTGAACCGTTGCATGCACCGCCGCCTCGTCGCTCGTTGCCAGGTGGTAGCCCCCGATTATCGCAAAGATATCTTCCTCCTGGTCTTCCCTTGCTTCATCCTCTTTGCCCTCTTGCTGCTGGCTTCTTTTGACGTGTCTGGCTGTGTTTACAACGCCAGCATGGCTGCATCCCGTGACCGCGATAAGTCCTAGTCCTTTTTCTTTGTCAGCGCGGGGTAGAGTTTGGACTTTGATTATATAATCAGTCTTTGTACTCACCCCGCACACGACACGTGACCGCGCGCTCGTCCGCGATTTCTTCGTCTTTTTCCCAGTTTCCGCCATCATCAAGTCGCATTGCCCCCTTGAGGCCAGTCTCATACTCTGTCTCCCGCGGGATCATGCCGGAGACATGAAACATACCGTCTGCCAAGTTGTGTGGTTGCGAATTCTTACTTACTGTAGCACCAGCAGCAGTCATTTCGTCGAAACCCGGATCTGCCTGAAGAGATATGATTTCCTCGCCTAGCTGGAAACCGCGATACTTCGGCCGTGATGGGTGGACATCTACTACTACTCCTGCATTACTGGTGCCTTGTGCTTCTTGGGCTTTCTTGATCATCCGGATAGCGCGTAGCATGCCGCCTATAAAATTAGTCATGGTTATGTATTGATTGATAGTGTAGAGGTAGTAGATGAAAGGGCTACCTGAATGATCACGATGCCAGTGAGAAAGGACTATGGTTTCAACACTCGAGAGATCTACACCGAGTCTCTTCGCGTTTCGTTCCCATGCATCTTCCTCTGGCCCAGCATCAAACAGTATGCTTCTCTTTTCATTTCCAATGGTACCTGTCTGTCCACTGTCAGTCTGGATGTTTTATATGGGGGTATATACAACATGAGTACCAGTAAGATAGATAGTCCATGAGCTGCGCAACAGATACTTTCCATCTTCAGCTCACGGACTTCTGCATTGCCCCGGTAGACGTGGGCGGACTCCCGAGAGATATTGCCCAGTGAACCGTGGGAGATGATTGAACCCACGGTTGTGGGAGGTGGAGGAGACATTACATCCAGCTCATTGTCGATGATCACCGTCACCTCAAGGCTGTCAAGTAATAGAGGCATCTTGTTGGTCAGATAGTGGTTGATTTTATGTTGGTTAGGTTTGGTCGTCTTGTTTGTAGTTGGAACGGTGAACCTTCAGCAGGCAGTACAACCACTCAGAAGCTGACATGACGTCAAGCTAAAGCTTCCTTCTCGTCACGCCTCTTATATAGATCAAGATATCCAACTATCAACACCCTATGATCAAATTTACCAAACAACCTATATCTATCACATAGTCAAACACATCCAAAGAAAATCAGTCTGTACACCAGCCAAACACAACATGGCGTCCATCACAGACATTATGAAAGCGGACCATCAGGAGCTGCGAGACGACTACGCCAAAACCATCAACGCCGCTGACGAGGACAGCATGACCCGTCACGGTAATAAGTTCACTTGGGATCTCGCCCGTTACACCGTTGCAGAAGAGCTTGTCATCTACCCAGCCATCGAATCCCACATGGACCATGGCAGCGTCATTATTAACCGTGACCGCGCCGAGAGCCAGAAACTTAAGGAGCTTCTCGCTAATTTCCAACCTCTTTCCGCCTCGGACGCTGAGTATAGGCCTACCTTGGATGATCTGATGAGTAAGATCGACACGCACATCAACGAAGAAGAAGACGAATATCTTCCGTCGCTAGAGGCAGTGCTGGATCCAGGGGAATCGCAAGACCTGGCACGGACATTTGAACGAACAAAGGTGTTGATGCCGACAAGAAGTCATCCCACTGCTGCAGTCGAGCAGCCTGCGTTCGAGACCGCTGTGGCCCTGGTTCAGGCACCTCTCGACAAGGTTGCAGACCTCATGAGGAAGTTTCCGGAGGAGTAGTCTCTGGGTGTTCATGCTTATGTCACTGTTTCGAATGCAAGCCGTTATAATGTCAAGGTAATTTTTTAGGCCACTCTATCCTTTTCAGCACAAAAATGAATCGTCCTTCTTTTGCTCTTTCGTAACTATATGATCAGCCATTTTCCTTTGTCCAGGAGAATTTTTGGACTACCCGTCCCATCAGTCCAATGAACCTAGCGAAGATGTAGAGCAGATCCGTAGTTTGCCAGGAGGTTTTTCCCGCAGGCATTAAACTTCAGTATGCCTGTCTTTTTGAGGGTATCCAGTACTCAAAATGCCCATACTCTCTGTCTCCAAATAACTATGAACTCGACCAGGTTTGTTTCAATATTTCTTTCCCTTCTCTCTTACTGGCTGAGATATATCTACACGTGACTGTGATTGGTAATCATATATCCACCAATCGGCGCCCAAGGTACGAGTTCGAAGCTTTTGATCTTATCGATTCTGCGTCCTGCGGATCTTTCTGCGGACGAATATAAAAAAATGTCGACAAGCCGATTCATCTTCCTTTTTACTTGATAAACCACTTTTCGGCGGCTGTTCCTATATACCAGCATGTCGAAGCACAGCCTACTCCTCTCGTGCCGGTCACGGACGGTCGCCATATCACCCCGAACCATCTTAATCAACGTACACAGCCGATACATCGCAACAACCACCACGCTTTCACAGACTCCTTATACGCCTATCCGAGCTATCCCGACCTACCTCCTCCCGTCACAGAACCAATGGCGCCCGCAGAGAGCGCTAACACCTTACCTACGGCATTTCCGGACCACCCTGGCCGCTTTCAACACCTCTGCCGTGGTTAATGCGACTGTTGCAACACTGAATCCACAAGTCGACGAAGATGGACAACCTCTGCTTGTTTCAATATCGCCCCGAGCAGCAAAGGTACGTTGAATGGATATTTCTTGCGGGTGTTACACCTTCAGCTGCCTGCTATATAAACCTGTCACAATAGAAGACAAGCACATACGATCACAGGAAGTGGAAAACAGAGCTTCCCGTCCGCTCAGCTGTACTTAAGCCACTTGCCGGTCGGTTAGTAGTTGGGTGGGTGACCACCAGCGAATCCCGACTTTCGTATGTTTTGATTTTTTGGTCTTTCTTTTTTCTGTTTTAACGTCTGGTTCATTAGAGATTGATTGCTAACAAATATACAGCGGCTACGAGAAATAACCAATCCTGCTGCTTCTCCGTCCGCTACACAAAAGGAAAACCCATACCACCACCTACGCATCACTGTGACCAGCGGAGGATGCCATGGATTCCAATACCTGATGAGTCTAGAGCCTAGCTCAAAGATCAGTGAAGAGGAAGACACCGTCTTTGAAGTTGAAGAAGATACCCCAGACGCTGTACCGGGTGCGGCAGCTGGCCAAGCAAAGGTCGTCATGGACTCGGCCTCTCTCGAGTTACTATCAGGCAGTACGGTCGATTACACCACTGAACTTATCGGCAGCCAGTTTAAGATTGTGGATAACCCGCGTGCCTCGAGCAATTGCGGGTGTGGAACGAGTTTTGATATCAAAGAATAAATATATAAAGTCGACGCCACGGATGTCTACTACTTTTGTCCATGTAATATAATCGATTGACGGTGCCGTATCATGACCTGCGCACAATTTCTTGATTGTACATATTTAGCACCTATTGGCGTACTATGATCTCTTCTCAAGTATGATACCAGCTAGAAACAGGACACAGTTTGTTGCAGTTGATATTCTCTCTTTTTTTTTCTTTTTTAATTCCATGCGTACTGAATCCAGCAATTAATATATCAGTAAAATAGTAAAATTCCAGAATCAAAAAGAAATAGAGAAACGCCTACAAGACTGGCCAGTCCATTGCGTGTCCAAGGAAACATAGAAAGATACAGTAAACGGGGCACAGCAAAACCTTTCTCTTTTTCTCGTCGTAAAAACAGCCTAAACAGGACGTTGGTCTAAGCTAGACATTAATTCCGTTCCAAGCCAGCCCAACCCCCCAGGCACGGAACACATAAAAGCAGGCGTTAAAGCGTAAATGCATAGATATAATGCTCTCGTCTGGTTTTCTTTCCCCATTCTACCCAGCAACGCAAAGTGAGAAGTAAAAAAAGTAATGGGTAAATGTTCGACTTAGTAGGTTCTAGCGAGGTTGCGTAGATACCAGTCAACAAGTCTTCGTCCGGCCTTAACCTCGCTAATGTGAATCAGGTTTCCCTCAATGGCATAGTCAAGATCTCCGGCATTGACAGCTTCTCCTTCTAACAACCCACCATCTACCCATCGGATTTGTCTGCTTCGCTGCTTGTTAATTAATAACCAGGCACGAAGTTGCTCAGCGTCAACTTCCAGGAAACCGGCAAGTTTCTTCAAGTCCATGGTCGTGTAGAGTTTCAAGTAAGACTTGACGGTCGGGTTGAACAAGGTGTTCTTGACTTCATCCATGAAAATGGCGGTTTGGTGATCGACGGGGTCAACGTTAAGGGATGGGTTGTCAAAATCTGGAGGGGTAGGGCTGATGAACTTAGGGCAGGCAGAGCGGAACAACTCCTCGAAAATGGGGAGAGCATCGGGACGACCGCGCTGGAGACGGTTGAATTGGTCTCCGTACTTCTCGCGGATGGCGGAGTGGATGGTGTCGTCGAGACGAGTGGGGTGGAAGGCAACGCAGATGGCAATGAGAGCGTACATCTGGTCGTTCTTCTTGGCGATGGCATCGTAGCCATCACGACCCTTCTGGAAGTTCTTCGTCCGCGAGACGTAGACGAGGATATGGCTGAACATTCGAATGGCGTCGGCATAGCGGCGCATCATCATGTAGGAGAAACCGACATAGTAATATGTGGTGAAGTGGGCGGCCATGACACGGGCAAACATGGCTTTCTTGTTCATTTCAATATCGTCCAGTGTCTTAAGGGCAAGACTGAAGTCTCCGAGCAGACAGTGCACTCGTAGGAGACCGATAATGGAGAAGTATCCCAACATCCGGTACAGAGGACGAGATCCATACTCTCCGGCAACGGCCATGGGGTCCTCATTTCGTTTTATAGCTGCAAGCTGCTCATTGATCTGGGATCGCTGAATGAGAGAGTAGAGTACGTTGAGGACCGAGTAGCAGCCCCATGTGTTTGGGTTCTCGCGCAGTAGCTGTGCTTCCTCTTCGTTTGATCCAGTGCGAGCCACTCGGTTTCTGTATCTGCAGAAGGATTCGAATTGGTAGATGAATTCATCAATGACGTCCCAGGCCCAGAAGTACTATATTATCCATACAGTGTCAGACCAAACTGTCAAAAGCTCAAAGTTTCATATCCTAGGTAAATCAACTACATACCGATGGAACTTCCAAATCGACAGGGCCATCCGAGTTCAGGATATAATGGAACAAGCTACAGTAGTTATCGTAGCTTGCAAACTTCGTCTCCAACGTAGCCTGGTATTCCAGTGGGGTGGCAGCGGCAGCTAGCTGGGCCTGCAAGTCTTGTGTTTGTGATGTTGCGCCTAGGGAGGTCGTTCGGTCCAGTTCACTCATGCCATCGTCAAAATGTACCTGCTCCCGGTAGTCATTAACGAGAGCCTCCTCCTCGACGTCAGACTCATCTTGGAGATTCGGTGGTAGGCGCCCGCGGTTGTCTTGCGCCATTGTGTGCTCGTTGGTTCCCGTTGTGTGCGTGAGTGTTTTGTGTGCGCTGAGTTTGATCGCAGCCCAGGTGTAGCAAGACTGGGGGTGATAGTACTGTATTTATCTGTTAAACAGATGTATTCCTGCTAACGAGCAAGCTGTATCTGAGTCTGCTTCCGGGCCGACGTCGTCGTCTCGTTCAATTTCTGCGTTTTGTTCGACTTTGTTCGCTTTTTTTTCGCTTCTTTTTTATCTTTTTTTCTGCTTATCTTAGTGCGGGAGAGTCACGTGATGACGTTTTCGCGCATAAATTCGATATTAAAGGGATACGATTGAGTACGGAGGAAGTCAAGGAAGTACTAAGCGTCGAGGAGAAAGATAAGATGAGCCTGGGGAGAAGTATGCAGATATGCCTAATCCGTACATTGTGCAATTTGTTTTGAGGCAGAGAGCCGAGATAGATAGAAGAAGAAAAAAAAAAAAATATTGATGAAGCAGAATGCCAGACATGAAAATCACAGCAGAGATGCTAAATGCCGGGGTAAAGTAAGAAAACATACAGGGTATCAAAGAAAAGATAAAATGAAGAATTGTTGGGTGAATGCTACAAGCTTTTGTGGTGGGCTGAGAATGAAATAGAGATAAAATGGGCAAGGAGCGTGGAAATATTTGATACCCTCGTCCCGACTCCTAGACGGCAATGGTGTTGTTTCGCCAGCTGATTTTATCTCCCAGAGGTCCATTGCTTTCCATTTCGTCCTGGTTATCTGATTCCTCTTCAGAGTCGTCGAGATGGAGCATCTGGAATCGATTGGCCATGGGGTTCAATGGTTTAGCTGTTGGACGTGATGGGCCCCTGGTGTGAACTTCTTTGATTCTGGGAAGAGGATCAGCACATTCGTCATGGTAGTATTCGATCCTCATGATACGGTATGGCATGCGAGACATCATGCAGTTACGGGCGAAAGTGGCCTTTTGAACGGAGTTGGTGGAAATATAGACGTTTCCGTGGTTGAATGAGAGGCTGACGATAATGAGGTTATGAATATGCTTCATGTCCTCGCGGATCATGGCCTCGGTGACGTTTGGATGCACTCCACGAATGATGAGGTTGCGGGAGGCTCCGTTGGTCATTTGGGATGCAAGATATGATGACAATGAGTACTGGCGCTCAGCCCAGGATACATCAACCTGGAAGCCGTCAGATACTGTAGTTTGAGTGGTCAGCCAAGGAGTCAAAACTTACCGGTCTATCAAGGATGCATAGATTGCATCGTTTGGCATAGTTATAAAAGTCCTGTGCCGCCTTGGTATCTGCAAAAGAGACACTAGCCATGTGGTCCCTAGATCGGAGGAAGACATCCACCAGAGCACCTCCTCGTACAGCTGCGGTGATGTCTCTGTGGGTTGCTCTGTCAGGGACATTTTTGATAGCCACAGTTCGGTTCTCGCTTCCGTTTACCGATTGTTTTGGAGAATCATGCGATACGCCGGGTGTTTCTCCATGGATAGGTATCTCCGACCTGTCATCACTGGAGAGCGAGTCCTCATCGTTATGATAGTAATGGTTCGTCGATGATTCAGTATGAGTCTTTGCTGGTCTCTCACTGTAGGTTGTTTGATGAGTCCCTGAGCCTGATCTAGAGGCTGGTGGTCCTGCATACTTATAGGCCAGCTCAGGTGAACCTGTTAACGGTGTTGGCTGCTGGGTTACTTGAGTGGTTCCCTTGTAGTAATGGGACCCATTGGTGGTGGACTCTGCCTGAGAGCCAGCGGGATCTTTGATGAGTGTCTATTCCGAGGTGTCAGCGTGTATAGTTCCCAAGACATATAGTCTGGCTCACTTCTATAGACGACTGCTCCACGCCGCCTTGAAAAAGAGCCCGTTTCAGATTCTCTATACCACGAATCCATGAGTATCCTTCTCTGCCCTTGACCCTAGCCTGTGAGACCAGACATACCATATTCACGACATCTGCGGATCTATAATGGAATTGTCCCACTTGGCATCAGCAACAAGTTATCCATGTCACATCCAGGAGCCCACGAACCATGTCATCATGATCAGATTTCAGTATTGTCACAGTGTGAATATCAGCAGGCGTATCGAAGCCGGACGACGAAGCATTCTACCAGCAGCCGACGTCGGGTCAACTTGTCAGCTTCAGAGGCCAGGGAGGTATAGTCAAAGCTTCATTTTATTAACCGAGAGCAGGGTGATACGCACACAATCGGCCCTACCATGCGGCAACAAGAGATACGAGTCAGCCGTGCGACCCTGGGGAGTCAAACAGGATAAAAAAGAAAAGCAGCAGACGTGGGATCTGGTAACGTCGGACATCCAACACCCGCAAGTAAACACATTAAGAACCGGGGGACATACCGTCTCAGCAAGGTCTGGAAGTACTGCTTCTCAATTGTCACATAAGATGCCATGGTCACTGTTCTCTCTCTCACTGCCTGTTGACGAGGGGGATGTCAGTCGGTCTCATCTGCAAGGGGGAAAATGGTGAGGATGAGGATGAGGATGGGGAGAGAGAGAGAGAGAGAGAGCAAGATAACACGAGGGCAAAGAGCTCTCCCTCTGCGGTGGGCGCTAGGGCGGGCGCCAACAGCCAACAAGCCACCAGGGGGCCGGCGTTGCGTTAACTAAACTGCTCTGCTGGAGAATCCCGGCCGGTGCATGGGGATGTCATATGCCATTGTGTTGCTGGCAGCATCCCGGGTGGAAGACTTACTTGCTGGGTTGCTGTGCTGGTGGGCGGGAAGACGAAGTTGATGCCGGTCAAGCAAGTCTGGGGAAAGCTCTCGCCCTGCATTTAACTAACTATTTCACTAGTTAGTTGGCTAGCTAGGTACGGAGAAGTTTAGCTGGAGAAGGGACTAGGGATGCCCCTGATACGAGATGAAGAAGCTTATCCGCGATGTTTAGATGCACGAGCAGACAGATCGGTGGCTTTATATATAAGTAAGTACGCTGCTGGAGAGCGAGCAGTTATCTATAACCAACCAACCAACTAGCATAGTTACGGGCGTTCTGCGAGAGAGCAGCCAGCCGATGAGCCTACCATCCGTCCTGCTACACGGCGGCCCCCTTAGCTATCCACACGGTCCTAAAACCTACAGCGGTGTATAGCAACTAACACGTAACGGATTAACTGTTTCGTTAGATGGCAATAACCAGGTGGAGGCCCTTCTGCAGGTGCCGTTTTGTAACAGCTGGCGAGTGGCGGCTCCAGTCAGTCGTTTGATAGATGGCCTGTCTGCAGGACAAGACGGCCCCTTGCTGATACCATTGATGGTTCCCCTGCTTAAGAGACGCCTTTTGGCTGACAACTAGGTTGCAGTATATAATTTATTGTGCATCTCAGGGCACTTCGTTTTATCGTTTACATCCCGCTGCTGAACCACAGTCAGGAGCCAGGCCCCTTGGTTCCTCGCGCAAACAAGACTATCTCGATCCACGGTAACCAACTCGAGAAATATATTCCTAATCACTAAGCTACTAGTCAGTCTTGGTTAACGCTTCGGTTGCTCGATGTTGACGTCATGGCCGCCGTTTCGCTTCCCCTGGACCGACAGCCAAAACTCGCTGTGATGATAACAGCAGGGTTTCTGCCCAATATTCCAGCCCCTTCTCCAGGAGATGAACGGGGCAGAAGTTCCCTGCTCGGGCTTAAATAGTTACTGGAGAGGCAACTTACAATGCAGCCAGTGAACAGTTGACCCGCTGATGGGGCTCTGCGGAAGAAGGCACGAAAGGGAGGATAACATTCTGTGATAGTTAACCAAGAGGCTCATTAATTGGATTGATAACTACTAGAGTTACATCGTTGCTCAGGTCTGACTGCTGCCATTGAGCCGGGAATATGAGCTCATAGACAGCAGACAGATAACTAGTAAAACTATCTAGCTTCCAGCCAAAAAAATTCAAGTGTGAAAGAAACTCGGCCTGAATCCCTAAATAGGGGCAAAGGGAAGGGGGTATCAAATGGTAATTGAGACTTCAATCCTGCTTCTGTTTTCGGGACAATCTTCCATCCATGAAGGCATTGCATATACACATGTATACCCCCATAATATATACTCGTCCTCAACTCAGACAGCTCTGACTAAGTGAAGTGTGAGGCCGGGAGCTGTGAAGACGTCGCCTCCAGCTTGTCACGGCGAGCATTCTCGCTGTCTGTGTGACTTCAGCCTTTCTCGCCCCCATAACCACGGCATGTATAAAAAGGGACCTCCCAACTCCGGGGGTGAAAACTGTCGTCAACCAAATATGATCACTGTCCAGCTCTTTCAGTACCTATCGACAAGCTCGACTGCACTTCCCTTCACCTGCTGATTGGTTCCGATGGTGTTGGCTGCTGGCTTGGGCTTCTTGGACATAAACAGGACGACTGAGATGTAAACAGCCGCCATTATAGCTGCGATGATGCAGTATGCAATGACACCAGCTCGAGGGACACCAGGGTTTCCGATTCCACTGAGCTTCAATCCTAGTCCACCGTTGATGACAGCAAGGATAAACACGCATCGTCCCAGCCAGGCGTGCAGGATACCGTGAACAGCGCGAGTGCCGGTCTTCTTGAAATGAAGGTGCTGAAGCAGTCCTAGCGCCGGCTGCAGGAGAATGACCCAGGTCATGATGATGATGCCTATGACGGCGTGGGTGGAGTTGACCTTGTTCAGATCTCTGGCCAGGCTTATTCCAAGGGAGAATCCAACAACCGCAGCAATGAGCGAGACTATCTGGAGGGGAGCGTGGATGTGGGTAACGGTGTTCTTGCTGGGAACAAGATGCAGAGTTAGAGCAAAGGATGGGAACATGAGCAGGAAGAGAATCGACATGATCAGTCCATGGGCAGACCGTCTCGCAATGCGTCCTCCATCAGACACCACTGTACCGGCCGAGCCAGAGTCAGGGGTATTCGCGTTATCAGAGCCAAACGGGTTGCCGTCCTTGTCATCTCCCACGGCCTGGGTCAAATCCAAATTGAACGCTCCCATGTTGTCATGTATCATCAAACTCTTTGCAACATCATTCGACTTGATAGATGCACCCAGTTTGACGGCCCAGATCCACGAACTAGCTGCGTCTGTTGGATCCATGCTTCCCCCTTCCCACTTCAAACAGTTGTCGCAGCGAACATTGGCCACCATACGTCCCTCGGTGATACCACTGCCATTGAGAAGAGTGACCTGTGTCCGGGAGTTATGTTCCGGCATGAACTCTCCCAGTCCTGCTCGGGCAGAGAGCGTGACGTTGCTGGGAGTTGCCGCCGAATACACCATGAAGATGTTTGAGCCGGCCATCTCGCTGCCCTGGCCTAGTCCAACCCATTCTACGCTGCTCGGTGCTCGGATCTGGAAGTAGATCGGTCCTTTCTTCGTCGCGGCTGTGGATGTGGGTATATTCACCCGGAATCTAACGTCTCCTCCGTTCGGGGGTCTGAATTGGGCGGTCTTTGCGGCGTCCACCAGGGACACTATCCACAGCGTCAGTATGGGGGTCACTTGTGACTTATGGAGTACATGTAATGCACCAGCCTCGCTGGACTTACCGGCTGGCAGAAGGCAGGCTGCTCCTGCAAGAAGGGACTGGAACTTCATCGCGGTATATATGGTCGTCTCTTTTTCAAAACTAAGCTTGAAAAATATCAGCGCATCAGCAGCTGCTTGTAGAAGCCCTAGCCAGGAGACAGGACCATCCCGAGATATATATATAGTTCTTATATTTGCCAACTATTGATCTAGCTAATACTCTCCGACCTTGAAACTCGTAACAGGGGACCGGCCCACGACAAACTTAGCCCTCAGCTCGGATAAAGAAGGTCTATACACAAGCTAACAGGGTTAAGTTCTGCAAAAAAGCAAAAGAAACTCAGTGACACCCTTGAAGGCGCCTGTACATCCGTCGGTCACATCCAATTACTGCAGCGGCTTCTCAAGGGAGTCAGCCTGCCCGACTGTCGTGGGCCGAGTCAGGGGCGTCCGTCATCCCATCCCAAGAGACTGGCTGCCATCGTTGCACTGCCAGCCTGGATCGACTGGACGGCCGAAGGACAGCCATGTAACGACTCCGTAACTAGCGAAGTATACGCAAGTCCCAGGGCGCAGCCTCATCTCCTTGAGAGCTGTGACTCTTGCGGCCCTTCATGGCTTTTGGGACGGCCAGAGTACACCTGGTATACTTACATCCCCCATCAAAATGCATGGCTTGCAGGTTGTTTGATCAGCTTTGATCGTCTTATCATATCTTGTCGTTGTAGCGTGCTCCATCGACCCGTCTCTCCCCACAGTCCGTCAAACCGGCCAACGAGACGCTCAAACCAATGACCACCCGTCGTTTGGTCAGACTGGAGAAGATACGACGGCTTGGTCAAGAAACCCCTGCGCTACCCAAGGGCTAACTCGATAAACCGTGTTCCCGAAAAGACTGCGTCCCGAAGTTGGTGCTTGCTAGCGAACGTACATGATCCGCCTCTCTAGTTATAGCGATGGGGAATGATAGGCCTCTTGTGTCCAAACATTTGAGCACTTATTCCTCTGAGATCTTCGCACCCTCCGTATCAACTGAGTGCTTCTGACGGGTTCGGTTAGCAGATCCCTTTCTCGTAGCAGATTGCATGAGACGCGTGTGTCTTTGCATGGGTTTCTTGAATATCAATCATGGCGCTTCTTTTTCTCCAACAGGGAACATGGAAGGAGTCGGCGGCTCAGATACATAAGCCAATATTATTCGGTAGCTTCGTTAACAAGTAAATAACCAGTCCTTGAGATTAAAGGTGAGCATGTCTGATTTGCTGACTGCAGACCTTGGATGTGAGTGTGTGTGGGTGCGCGGGATCAGAGATTCGGTTCGCCCCTTGCAATGAAACACGAGCCGTTTGCATTTGAAGTCCCGAAGGCGTTCTTCAGGGATCCAGGGGTCGTTCTAACCGCCCGCAGTCGTCAGTCTAGTGTGATAGGCCCCTTGGCCAGCCAATCTGGTTAATTAATGGTGACCTGGAGGGAGGTGACTTTTGATCGATTCTTGTCCACGGTTCGCTCTCGACCGACATGCAGACTGGAATGAAGTTTCGCAAAAAGCCCAGCGTTCGTCCGTCTTTTTGAGCGAGCTGCGCAGTCAAGACCAGACCGAACATCTTGGTCATAGCCGAAACCTGGAGTAACGCCTTCGCATGCTCCTTCATCCTCCTCTTCCTCTTTGCTCCATTTGGAGGTTGAGCTCCGAGTCGCAAAGTTCGGGGCTATGAGGAATCAACCTGAGTGATACAAGGACAGGCCACTTCATTGGTAACCATGCATGTCGTTCTAGGCTCGACTAATAATAAATAGTTAGTTCAGCAGGTCGACTGGCGACAGCATCAAGAAGGCAAAAAAGAAACGCAAAGTAGAGAAAGAAGCAGAAATAAGCAGCTGGGGACTTGCGCTGTTCCCCCGGGATCCTCCTGCTGGTAACACAGCCTCCTCGATATTCGCTGACGGAGTGCCCGCTGATCCTTTCTTGGACTATGGCATTGAACTATGCGCTGCCAACAGTCATACCAAGAATACCAGGCTTCAACAAGCGTTCAAAGAAAGCAAGGGGGAAAAATTGGTCGCAGAGAAGATGCATGTAGCATGTCAAAGCCAAGTTTGTACCCAGATTTGTCATGCTGACGAGAATACCACCCTACAGGCCAGGCTAAACTGCAGAGATGTAAGTATCGTGTATGTGCCAATAATGAGATCTATTCAAATGCTGCATGCAGTACGGAGTGTGGTGTCAGCCGACAGTTCGGCGATGGTGAGGAATCATTCCTGGAGTTTGCTACCGGTGAGGAGTTGGGTAACCCAAGGCGATATCCAAATTGGCCCATACCCAGTTGTCATTACTATCTGCAAAAGAGATGCCAAACACAATGGAAAAGAACTCCGCAAGCGCCAAACCAAAGAGGGCTATGTCAAGAGCATATTGCACTTCTAGGATTCTATGATGCTATGCCGTGCGGGAAAAGAAATGGTAGGCCAAGCGACGAGAGTCAAGGTGGCCAGCCATATCCGACAGCACACGAAGATAAGATTGAAACATGGATTCCCCGTGCCCAGCGAACCTTCTATACCTGGGCTGGAGAAGAGAAATGCCACGGCGCTTGGCTATGGCTGCGCATCATTCAGCCATGGCCAAGGAGTCGGTAGGAAAAAGCTGCGTTTGCACATCACTGCGCCATTCCCCGTCTGTGGATCCCTTTATCTTTGTCTTCAAACACAGTCGCGGCTCAAGATGGCTTTGACGTCTTTTCCAAGATGGTCTTCATCATCTCATTGCCAACGCGGACTGCTTCAGGGAATCTTGGAGCAAAGTAAGACTGTATTTTCTCAAACCTGTCACGATACGACTCAAAGTCTCCAAAGGATACGCATTCTGACCATGCCTGTGGGGGAAAGCCTCGTTAGCTATCTATTGCCCTTTTAAGGCTACAAAGTTACAGCGGGCCAAGAGGGGGGACTGTATTAACTGACTCGAGCTGCAAAGGTAAATTCAAGGTCATCAGAGCGGAATGTGTTGTCCTCTATAGCGGTGTCAATCACTTCGTCCAGAAGTTCTTCGTTCTGAAACAAGTACTCTGTAACTCCTAGCCAGAGACGGAAGAGCTGTTGTTCTCAACTTCAGTAAAATTATATCAAAAGGGAGCCAAGGGGTCAGACTAACGGGAGTTGAGCAAATCATATGGTCATAAGGGACTATCCCTAGTTTCCACCAGCAATCGACGATGGCAAGTAGGCTTAGGTGATTATTCGGCATCCTCTCCGTGCCTCCTTTTGATAGAGAAAATCTATCAAGGACGTTGTCTTGGAGTAATAGATCTTGCCTTGCTGAATTGCTCTTAAACACAGCAGCTCTAGCAGTCTTGATTCTCTTTGTCAACTCTTCCCGATGCCCACCCAGCATCAGCTTATACAGCTCCGTTACTGATTCCGCATACTGTCTGATCTGCTTTTTGGCAGCGGGATTGAGAATGGCAAGGCCAGCATACACATGCCATTTGTTCGCATATATTCTCAGTGTGATGTTGATTTTAACGTTCTCAATCCCTCCAACATAACGGGGAACTTCCCATGGGAATTGGCTATTTGCATGCCATGCTGTTCCCATGCTTAGAAACGCAGCGTGCGTGACTGCTTGGGTATCTGCGGTGATCCGATCATGCATTTCTCCACTGAGATAGACATATGTGGATTGGAAGGACCTGAAGATCTCTTCAACGAACTTCAAGCTTTCGTCTGATGCTCTATGTTGAATCAAGACCTAGCGATTACGCATTAGCTAGATATCTGGCCGAGTCACCGGAGTTGAGTCAGATTTACCAATGGTTGACCCTTGGGGTTGACATTTGGTCCATGGAGTGAGTGGCACGATAATATCTCCACGTCACTGGGGAGATACTTCTCAAAGGCTTCAAGCTCAGGGGCCTTGCAAGAGGTCTGGCCTCCTACAATCGCTCCAACCTTTGTAGCTTTAATTCAAATACTGGTCAGATATTTCCTGGAAAAGGAGGTAAACTCTTATTTGGGACAGGGACATACACGGTCCATATTCTTCAACAACAGATGCAATGAACTTCGCCTCTACGCTGTAGATAATGTAGTCGCTTATTCGGGAAACGAGGTGCCCATTGGGAAGTATATTGATATTGGTCTACGGGGGGTATAGAAAAATATAATAGATTAAAAACTAAGAATATATAAAGGAGGAAAATGGGTTGAACTTGGATGGAGCAGCAGCTGACGTACATCATTTGCAAACTCCTTTCTCAGTTTTTCATAGCTGGTCGGCTTATCACAAGCGTTAATTCTATGTCACGCACGTATATTAGCGGGTGGTATAATATAGCTAGTAATTCTAAGATCTGTCTCACCAATTAGTACATATCCAATATAGAGAGATATTGACATTGGTGAGGGAATGGGTAGGGAAACGTTTTCAGACAAAATAATTGTAAGGTAGCAGGGTGTTTACATCAGTGACGGCAACGAACCGATTCCAGCCACAAGAATAGTGGTAGGAGGGTTCCATTACCATGCTCGAGCCAAATGCGCTCATGTCATCAGAAGAGTGGGCGTATCGTGGACGGAAAAAGGACAGAAGAATCTTACCAATTGAAGATTGACAAGAGCAAGCCTGGAATGATTGAGATTTACCTCCAGCCAGCTTCACTCAGACGCTGGGCATACATCCTGCCCATGTCGCCCATTCCAATGATCCCAATGGATCTGTTGTCTCTGTTGGCACCCGCCATTATAAAAGGCCTGCTTTGCGGTAGTCTCTGGCAATTAGTATCAAGGTATCCGCGACAACTCTTTCTGACTTGTCAATCAGCAGGCCAAGTCTGCTATTTATCAACCCTCTTCCCCGGCGAAGGAAGCTCAACACTTTGCTTCCTCTCGATCCAACTTGGAGCTGCTGTTGGGAAAAGAAAGGAAAAAAACATGAAAGGGAAAAAACGTTTGGGCAGTTTTGATCTTACTTTATTACATAATCCAGGAATGATGAGTCACTGAGTTTACAATCATGTGACTAGGGCACACCCACCCAAGCCCTAATTTGTATGTTTCTTGATGCTTTTTTGAGATTTGGTCGTTCTTTTCTGATCTTCTTCCTCTTCTTTTTTTGCTCCATCCACAACATCCTCGAACCATCGCATCATTCACAATGGCCCCAAAGAAGAAGACCGACGCTAAGCCCGCCAACGAGAACGTGTCCCTTGGACCTCTTACCGGTGATGGTAAGATAACCCATCTCAGCATACTTGCAGCACTCGTCAAGAATTGGTTGCTAATTATGTCGCTACCCAGGCGAGAACGTTTTCGGCGTTGCCCGTATCTTCGCCTCCTTCAACGATACCTTTGTCCACGTTACCGATCTCAGGTCCGTATATTACTTGAACCAATTTTCGCAACTTGAGTGCTGTATCAGATGCGTCTTAAATATCGCAATCTGGGGTCAAATCTGATAAGAGATAAGGAGCTGATAATTCTATATACAGTGGTCGCGAAACCATTTGCCGTGTTACTGGTGGAATGAAGGTCAAGGCTGACCGTGACGAATCCTCCCCTTACGCTGCTATGTTGGCTGCTCAGGATGTCGCTGCCCGCTGCAAGGAGCTTGGAATCAACGCCCTCCACATCAAGATCCGTGCTACCGGTGGTACGTATAGCAATATATCAACACAGTCCTGACAAGCGGATGTGCAGATTCTTACTTTATTTACAGGTAACGGAACCAAGACCCCCGGCCCCGGTGCTCAGTCTGCCCTCCGTGCTCTCGCCCGTTCCGGTATGAGAATTGGCCGTATCGAGGACGTCACTCCTACCCCATCCGACTCTACTCGTCGCAAGGGTGGTCGCAGAGGTCGTCGTTTGTAAATATTTACAGCCTTTTATCTCCTGGTTATCCGATCTCTACGGTCGGTATCAATGGCGATTGGGAACAAAAAGGATGGAAACAACTGGAGAATATCTCACGGTATCTCTCTTTTGTTCTGTGGATGGAATAAACGCGAAGAACGGCCTTTATCGCCTGGTCTTCTAAAATTTTCCCCTTTTTCAACCCTGCTCTTCTAGCGTTTGCAGATTCTAGCGATATTGCAAAATATATCTATAAAATGCAAGTGAAGATTGAGCAGCTTCAAATAATACTCCGGACTGTAAATTGTAGATTGATCATTGGACTTGTAAAAATTGTGCTTTCACATCGGTTTGAATATTTGGTTGGTTGGGTGTCTCCATAGCAGGAATATCGAGCCGGTAGAAACTCTAGTCGCAAACATTTTCTAAGCACCTACAGCTACTACTCCACGATCTTCAGGACCTATATATTTATATCAACCTTTCGTATTTTAAGGTCGCATTGTATATCCGCATCTCATGTCCGAGTCTCTTCATCCCTCGCCTACGATACTGATCGATAACCTCCCCGCCAAAACGCTGGTAGGAGTCGACCTCTTGGCTTTCACATCAGCTCCAAATTTCCATGGCATAAAAGAACTCCCGCCTGGAGTACACATACTTTACACAGGCACAACTGACAGCTTCTCATTGCGAATCGGAGAATGGTTTACTGTCCCAGATCCTAATGAGGGTGAACAGACTGGCTCAGGTGTCGATGTTCGGCTGAGGCATTGGGACAAGTCCACAGAGTTACTCGCTTTGGTAGATGAAAGTAACGATGAAGGGAGGCAACGCGCAATGCAGCAGCGAGCTAATCTCAGTCGAATATGGGCTGCTGGTGGACTACTGTCATATAAGTCTCGAACGCACAAGAAGGACGACCAGGAAGAAACCACTGATACCACACTTGCACATGGCGAATGGAATAGCCTTTCAGGCTACATAACTCCGTCCGTGTTAGAGCGAATACTGGGCCGCGCAGAGCTGGATTCTGAAGGTAGACCAAGGTGGACAATTTCTTCCGGAAGCTCGGCTGCGAGAGATAGTGACAAGATACCCGGTCTTGCTAGTCAAGGAGATACCGAAATGCGCGGTAAATTGGTAGAAGATGAAAAGGAGCTACGATTCTTGCCGGTTGATTTGAAGAATACTTGGCCACCTGGGGCTGTGGGACGTGATCGAACAGAAGCAGCTCGGGATCGCTCATGGGCACTGGGGAATATATGCGAATGGGCTACAAACAATAGCAGAGCCACAGGAAGAATTATTAGTGAGGACAGCCTGAGCGAGGGAGAAATGCAGATTCTAGGTGAAATGCAGATTACATTTCTCACTGCACTGACATTGATAAATTTCTCCTGCCAGGAGCAATGGATGAGATTATTACAGCTGATATTTACGTGTCAAAAGGCCGTGGAGGAAAGACAACGCTTCTTTATAGAAGTCCTACGTCTCCTGAAGCTACAGCTAGCGCATAATGACGATGTCGAGGGAGGTCTGTTGGAGATGGATGGAGACGATGGTAATACCGTTGTGAAAAAGATCTTGATGAAGTTTAGGAGGATAATATACGATGATTTGACTGCCGATATATCGGCAGTTAAGGCAGAGTTTATCAAACTGGAGAAATGGGCAAAGGAAGAATACGGGTGGGAGCTGGCAAAGGAGTCAACCGTGCGAAGGGGTATGGTTGAATTGGAAGATGGAGAGCAAGTTGAGCTGGAGGTCAACGGTGCCGAAGAAGAGGATGAAACGGGTGATTATGCTCCGGTAATTGTTGACCTCGAAGAAGCCGGAGAGCTTGAAGCTGATGAAGTCGAGGATGTCGAGGATATTGATATGTTGGACCAACGCATGTAGCTTCACAAAATGATGCAAAAATGCCCTATACTTATCAATCAACCCAAATTTTCCATGATTCCCGTATATCCTCTGGTGTGCAAATGGGATATCCTTGAACAAGTGAAAAAGTAGGATTTAATATTTTAGGACAATAATCTGGCCTATTTATTCTATGTCCCAGACATTTCCCGTATGCTGGAGCACATTTTTAACATCAACCATTATGGGGCAGATACAAGCAGATATAAAAATCCCACAAATACTGCGCCCAAGAAAAAACACCCCGTCCCCACAAGCCCGTCCATTTCCATTCCGTTTAACGGTAAGATTTCTGGTATCTGGCACGGGCACCGGGACCACCGAAGACCTTTGGCTCGCAACGTCTGTTATCGGCAACGAGGAGGGTTCGGTCGTACTGAACAAGGGCCTGTTTGAGCTGGTTCTTGGAGTGTTCGTCAACGAATTTCTGGTAGTAGGCGACTATCGACTTGGCGATGGCTTGTCTGATAGCATAGATCTGGGAAGTGTGACCACCACCGGTGACGCGGACACGGATGTCGACACCGGCGAATTTGTCAAGGCCGACGATGAGGATGGGTTCGTAGACCTGGGTTGGACCATGTTAGAAAATCCGATATTCAAATCCTGCCGCATGCCTTGGTATCTATCTTCATTGCGAATTCCATCTCTCTTTATTGTGATTTTTCGTTCCTCCATATTCATTTTGATGCAAGGTAATCTTCCCCTCCATCTCCATTTCGCAGAATTCTCATATGTAGATGTGTCCGTACCTTGAACTTGAGGAGCTCTGGCTTAACGAGCGCGAGCGGCTGGCCATTGACCTTGATGAGACCCTTGCCTTGCTGTGTCGAAAAATTAGTGATATGTCCGGAAATCGTCTTTCAGTATTGTCCGCCGACGTCTAATTCGTACCTTGCAGTGGGCGACAGCGGTAGCTATATCGTGCGAATAATTATCAGCATTCACATTTCTTCGATATTTTTTCCTTCAATAGACTGGCTTCGAAAAAAAATGTACATACCCGTCTTCTTCTTGCCGAAGCATTGCACGCTGGGAGTACTGGCCATGATGAATGTTATGGCAGCGTTCGACGTGCGGGATACGGTGGAAAAAAGCGAAAAGTTGTCTGCTCGTTCACCGTCGCGATCGCTGTGAGTTGAAAATTGTCGATATTGAAAGTTTCAAGGTGTGGGAGTTCGCTTAGTGGGGATTTAGGGTAGAGTCACGTGATATAAGAACTTTTTGGTTGAAGCAGAAGCTTCGCTGGGGAGAAGAAGTCAGCGACGGCGCAGGTTCACGAGGAACAGCGACACATTCGGCGACAAGGGGTGATAACAAAGGATATTTGCTGGCTTGGATAGCACTGTTAGACTGGCTGTTATTCGTCGGGAGTGAGAAATCTGCTTTTCACCGGGCCATAAAGTGTACTGGGAGCCATGTCTCAAACGATTGGAAAGGTACGTCTTGCGATCCCAAACTCGGATCAATTGAAGCTGCAATGTTTGTATATATCATGCTAACTGGTTACTGTGAAGACGCGTTTGGCCTATTCTCGAACATGGCATGCCATCGATATCGGATCTGACCCCCGAAGTCTGGGCCGGGTGGCCTCGTCCATCGCGATGTTCCTGATGGGGAAACATAAACCGATTTACGATCCATCTACAGACTGTGGTGATTATGTCGTTGCTCTCGGATGCCGCAATCTTCGTACTACGGGAAAGAAGAGAGCTCAAAAGCTGTACTATACACACAACACCAGGCCGGGAAGTTTGAAGTCGATGTCTATGGACCAGATGATTGAAAAATGGGGAGGCGCCGAGGTCCTGAGAAAGGCTGTCAAAGGAATGCTGCCAAAAAACAGACTACGAGAGAAGAGAATGGCTCGGTTGAAGGGTAGGTACCACTCTTTACTTGCACATTAACTGCTCGTGGTGTTGCTTATCTACGAACTCTGCTAACTCTTAATTGTTGAAATAGCTTTCGAAGGACTTGAGCACCCGTATAAAGAAAATATTGTCAAACTCAACGGACAAAATACCTCTATTACAGACATGCCTGAAGTGCGTGAGGCACTACAGAATGCGAAAACGGAAGCTCTCTCGCATTAGCCACGTTTGATATCCTCTTCTTACTTTCCCCTTGTCGAGCGCATACGCACGGAGTCATTTGTTGGTCCTTTTTTCTTGTATTATTATACTACTATCCTTCTCCTTTGTCAGGGATCAAGGAGATATTTTGATGTTAGACTTTATGTACCATAAGTATACGGATTGATATCACCATGGATTTATTACCAAGATAGTAGTCACAATCTATCTGGGATGGACGTCAAAGAACCTCTCATCTACTGGATATATATTGTACATGCATGTACTCCAAAGGATGATATTTTTTTTACAGCTTTGACTTATCTTTGACAGCTTCTCGTCCAACTGTGCATTTGATGAGGCCGCTGGCGCCAGAGCCCGGCAGGTAAACTTCAGCGTCTTTGCCAGTGTTCTTCAAGCCCTTATGCCAGCCCAGATCTGTATTAAGCTAGTCAGTAAATGTTCTATACCGGCAAATATTCAAAGTGTCCGACTTACCAAGCTGGAAATAATGCTTATTGGGCAGGCTGAGCTCGGCTGTCTCCAGGAGCGGCTGGGCAGCGAGTATCTGCTCTCCCATCTTATACATGGTATTCTGGACGCTCGCACTGTTGTCACTGCTGAAGATATCCAGTATGATGCCGCGCGAGACTTCCCAGGTAGAGTCAAACTTGGCAGCCGAACCATGCACTTGCTCCAGGTTTGAGAATGTTGACCATGTCCATGCCGAATCGACGTCTGTGCTAAGGATTCGGTCCCAGGTTTCAGGTAGAGTAGTGAACTCGTCTCTCACGAAGCCATGAAACTGCGAATTGGTGCTCTTCAAGACAGAGAGGCCAGACAAAGACGTCCTGATATCGATCCCCTTGCCCTTGGTAACGGTGACGTCTGTAGACCGGACCTCCGAGGCGTCCTTGAGGAAGGAATGCGGATGTGGTTTGCCCTTGATATTCATCCGGGACCACCGCTGTGCCACTACGTTGACATGCGCTACACGGATATGGCTGTACTTCTGCGTGAAATGGTCTCCCACGATTGAAGCAAAGAGCTCCGGCGGCGTCACTGGATTCTGCTTTGCCAGGATATAGATGGTATTCTTTATCGAGTCCGTCGCTACCACGACGCTGTTGTCTGCCTTGGTGTACCTGGTAGTTATGCCGCCGTCAGGTCACCGTACTCCATTCTCCGCTTGACTTGGGAACTTGTGAGATACATACGAGACATCGATATCACCCTCGAGCAGGCAGCGGACGGTCATCTCGACCACCGTCTGAGTCCCTGCAGCCTCGTCCCGCTGTACCTTGTACACACGAACGTTCTCCTTGCCATAGCGAGCTGCGGCTAACCTGGACGCCATCTTTCAACAATGTCCGTGTATAACTAATTCTGGGACTGAGCGACGGTGGGCAAATATAGCTGGGGCTTCAGGGGGAGGATATCAACTGGATATATTTCTACTAAGTTGCAGACATAGACCCCCAAGGTAACTACGGGAGGTCCCCTATATTTATACATGAGCCATGCACAGGACGATGGCGGCATTGGCCTATAACTAGCTAAGACTAAGGCCCGCCCTTCCCAGGCTTGAGGTTGAAACCCAGCACGGAGCTCCTGCACAAGGCAATGATGGCGGCTGGTTCCGTTGGCAACGGGGGCAGCTCTGCTCCAAGCTCCGTTCTCCGCTGAGCGTTGAGCTTCCGGCCTCTGCAAGGCCCCTGGTCAAGCGGTGGCTAGGAGGGAACTAGCTAACTAGCTAACTAGCTAACTAGTTAGTTGAACCGTTAACTACCGTGTGCAAAACATCTATGAGGTCCCTTGGTAGTTAGTTACATAGCTATCTAAATATTTGCCTGCTATCACGACACTTTGGCAAAAAGGGAGCCATGCACTGCTCTATTGGCAGCCCGGAAAACTGGCCTGATTTTGAGACGCCGCAAGGATTCTTAGCATGTAAGAGCTCTGCCAGCTAGTTATCGGCCAGCTCCGATGGCCGCTCGCCTGGCGATCGCCGCGGAGGCGTCGGCGCCGGTTGTTGGCTCCAGACTTTAGCGTAGTTCGTTATCTTGTGGCGTTGAGTTTGATACCAAAAGTTGGGGATGAAAGGAGAGCGCCCTCGTTGCATGGCGGTGATAGCAAGAGGGGTTACTGACTATCTATAGAAAACATAGGGCGAAAGGAAGTTCGTCTGAGAGCAAAGTAGGGGAAACGATAAGGGTTTCTTCAAGGATATCCTACACTAGATGCATCAACTGCATTGAAACCCCGAAGCCTGCTCCTGTGCGAAAAGAGTACATGCATGAATCACGGATAGCACCAAAAACACCAGTAGATCTTACGCCGGGGGTACTTTGAACCATGGAGGAAATAAGAGACAAACGAAGAGAAATGGCAGAGGAAAGAAAAATACGATGCTCTACTCTGACATTTCAGAATCGGAGCCGGACTCATCCCCAAAGATGATTCGTCTAACCACGCTCTTGTCAAACAACTCTAGTGCGAAACGTCGAGCGGATAACCGGAAGTGATGGCTCTCTAGGATAACAAGAGTCTTTTCAAAAAGATCGATACGCCGAAAGCAGTCAGGACGATTCGTTTTGAGACTGCCGTAGTGGAACATATTAGAACCCTGCCAGAACAAGCTGCATAGAATGGGTAAACATACACTTGTAGATCTGCTGCCGCCTTTTTAGCAAGAACAGTATTCCCCATATCAATAATAAGACCGAGTATCTTTTGCTTGAGCGGATCGGAGTCCTTGGAAGCGACTTTGTATCTATTTCTCGCTGCCTTGTCTTCCTCGGTACGAGCCTGGTATGGCTCGAATTTAACCTAGAACACGTTAGTAGCTGAGATTATTAAAAAGATTTGGCTGCTGAATATAACCTACCGAATATAGCTTGCTTAGGTTCAGTGGCATGCATGATCCTAATGAACGCCCTCTTTGGTCAACGGCCGCATCCCACCCTGCCTCGATTAACATCTCAAGGCCATGCTGACTCCTGGATACTAGCCCCAAGACGAAGAATGCGGTGCCACGCATGGTCATAACTGCTGCATTTTCCGCTATTTCCACTATCCTTTCCACAATATCCGTCTCTTCTAAAAACGGTGCACTGAGCTCCATCGAGCCTACGTTCCCGATCGCCCATAGCGCCCCCTTAACCTTTAGTAAGACCTCCGCATCTTCTTCGTCAAGTTGAAAATCTCGTAATGTTGAAGCGAATTCGTAGAAATGGCCGGACTGCTCTAGCAGCTTGCACCCTTCTGTTGTACGTGCAAGTTCTCGGTAAAAATGCGGTGGCACAAGGCCAATATCTTGCATCTCAACTATATCGTTTAGCGCTAAGCTGTTCCGACGTGGTTGGTCAATGTACGCGCGAGACAGCGAGGCCTCTACTAGCCCAACGTACGCATCGTTTCTTCCTAGAAACCAATCGTCCATCTCCTGGGTGATATAGTCGAGGCCGTCAAGATAGTGGTACCCGACCGATGTAGATAGGAAACGGAGTAGCAATGGAGCGCCGATTTCGCCTAAATGATCCAAAGATGGACGGCATTTGACGACATACTCTAGATAATCTCTCTGATTGCATGCTTCTTCCAGTATTTTGACGGCAACCTGACAGACAGTGACATCTGGGTCATATAGCTGGGTCACCAGAAGTTCTATTACCCATTCAACAGGCGATCCTTGCAACACTTTGCCAATGACGTATTTTCGTAGCAGCTTTGTGGAGAAGATACGGATATCCTTTGATCCTGTGGTGAGAGCCTTTGAAAGTATTACTCTTAAATGGCTTTCATGTGTGAAATCCATGTTTCCAAGAAGGGTTTGGATGAGGTCATTCCGGTCCGCTAATTCAACTATGTGATAAAACATGTTGAGCATATGCCATCTTTCCATCATCTGTATGCCGTTGGGTTCACTGCTCAGAGTTCCCAATAGCGCAAAGTATCCACCACTTAGAGTATCAGCCATCTGTTCTCGGGAAAACAATGGCGACAAGGAAGTCAGTCCGCTCATGCGGTCAACTTGGGCCAAACATTCTGCTATCTGGCGCAGAAGCTTATTCTGGGCTAGGTATTTTGACCCTTCCGGGCTTTGCACAAGACAACGCATCAAGGCACAGCCAGTTCGGATGTACCGTCGATTAGGCTTCGTGTTGCGAACCATTGAAAACCGATACTTAAACGGCCGATAGAAACCAACCAGTCGCTTTATGAACTTTGAGCCTTTGATTGCTTCATCTAAACGTTTTGGGTTCGTTAGTGGCCCTTCAATAATGTTTAGGATAAGGTCCCATTTCCACTTCATAAAATTCACGGAACTGAGGACGTTGGTATCCAGGATTGCGGTACGGAACTGTGCTTCATCCATAGTGGAACTGAGTTTGGATTTGCTCTGTTCCCCAGGAACCAAGGAGTTTGGTATCTCGGTACTGACAGAATACCGGCCGCTTACATCTGATATATCATCAGACCGTGTCATTGTCCGACTAATACTCTCCATTTGGTATATAGTTGATGTTGAAAGATGTTGGTTGTCCGACTTTGCCTTTATTGGTGACGACGATGGGAGAAGGCTGGGGAGAAGATGAAGATTGGAGCACATAGATGAGGGTAGGCTGCGCTGAGCACGTCTTAGAACCTCTACAAGGAGTAAAGTTGTTTTCCGTTTTAGAGAAAGGTCAGATTCGTCTTCAATCAAATCAGATAGCACCTAGTCATACTGGTTAGCGCTTTTATATACGCGTGGTTGCAAAAGAGAAACAAACATTGATCAATCCTGCCTCCACCAATAACGCTAGTATGAGTCCGGAGAAGTGCGCTGTTAGGTCAAACGGATTATCCTCATCCTCGTAGACAGTGCGGGATTGCTTTTTTTCTTGTTCTGACTTCATGTTGGCTACTCGGCCATATGTGGTGAGCCGTCTTCCAGCAAGAAATGATGATGACCATGACGGTGGTTTGATGCGGAGAGCGTCGAATAATAGTTCTAGAATTAGATCTCTAGACTGGGGGTCTGGGAACTGTAAAGAAAGAAGCAATGACTGTAGGGGTCTCTCAGGGTTTTGGGCCAGTGTTAGTATACCAGGCCATGTTTTTAGCATGGCAGATATAGCCTTCGCGGAAAACTTCAATTTCAGATGACGATCACTATCCGGAACAGTTTCGGTGAAGTTCGCAAAGACTGAGTTCAATTCACATCCTGCTCGAAGGTATTTCCTGCTTTTCGGGGCATCCAAGACATGAACAAAGCCAGCTGCCAAACTCTCGGATGCACCAAATGTCCCTTCACCCAGCACATCATTTAGGGTGCCAATACCGCCAGCAGAGAATAACAGAGCTGGATCTTTGACGAGGAGTTCAGCAATTGTCATTATGCAGATATTACGCAGACGGTCATCTCGGTGCTCTGCAATTGATACGAGTGTTCGTACCACTGAGCGTGAGAGCTCTTGAACACCATCTTTAACATCTAGGAACGCACGAACGAATTTAAGGGCCTGCTCTCGCTCCATGCTGGCTTTAGATTCCTTGACAAGAGAGAGCATTACTAGTTCATCCGTATGCAGAGCCCTGATCACCTGGATAGATTTCCTATCTGCAATTGCGTGCCGTGTTAACCTGTAACCGGCCGCTACAACGTCACGGCTCTCACTCAGTAGCATGACTTGAACCCTCAGGCCAAACACTGACCATTCCAGGTCGTATTTCAGAGTAGGGTATCGTTTGAACAAATCCACTAGGTTGTTTGCTCGATCAACATAGTAATCTGGTGACATGCCCTCAGCTTCTAGTTCTTGCAGCGTCTCAGAAAGTACAACTGTTGGTGACTCTGACTCGCTATCCTCTGCTTCAAAGCTTTCCCCGGTTGCATGCGTAGTTGCTCTCGATGGAGACCGGCCTGGCCCTGCATTAAAAAATGTTGACAGTCTCCTAGCCTCTGTGGCTTCTATCGGTGTCATATGAGCCCGCATCAATTCTTCCTCGAGCTCGTTCTGAAGCTGTGCTATTTTCCGATGCGAAGAGCTGAGTTCCGACTCCACCCTTAAGCGCTGCTCCTTTGTCTGCTTCATATTCTTCGCCAGCAAGGCTTCCAGCATATTTTCCGTTCCAGTCTTTATCTTTATTTCTTTCTCGATCTGCTCACGGATAATGGCCTGCCGTTGCTCCGTAGTAGCAGCTTCAATATCACCAGCACCATTTCCCCGGACATGGCTAATCGACTCTGGAGGGCGTGGGGTCGCATTCCTCGATATACCTGAATGCCTAAGGTCTGAGCTGAAGCTCCCTTGCGTGATATTGGACGGGGCTAACGAGGCACTTTTTGCGCTGAGTGAAGCCTGGGTACCTGACGAAGAGAGGCCGCCGGGGTGTCGCGACGTGGTAGCAGAGACGGCATCGTGCCAGCTCCCGTCGGCAGACTCATCATCAGCACTAGATGATGAGCGCTTGTTATCGCCAAATACACGATATTGCGTGGGCGTCGCAGAGGTTGCTCGGTCGTGGAATGTCGCCATGGATCTCCATCTAGCAGCCCCCGGGGGGTTCACTGTTCGAGTGGAGAGTGCGTTTCATGCATCGGTTGTGTATGGGGGGGTATGATGCGACTTTAGCTAATTGGTACCAAATGCCATCGGGGAGTCGCCTGTGTCGCTGTTTTCTGCGTTGATCTGGGAGCGAGATTGATCAATCGTCATGATCAACCATGGCGTTTTGCCTTTCGATACACGAAGTTTCCCCCACAGCCCAGAAGGAGTGACTAGTTTAGCGGGGTGACTCAGCTGAAGTGATGGTTATGTAATGAAACTCCCCTAGCACATGTGTTTATACTGTAATAAACATCATGTGACTGTTGAACTTTGAGTATAAATCCGCCGTTTGGTAGCGTGTTCGGTCATCGTCGTCATTTTTGATATCACAGTTCCCGGTTGGTGGCTGCTCTCAAAAATTTTTCATTCCTTTGGAAGGAGATGATGTTTTTCCCGCTTTTTGCTATGGGGATGTTATTAAAGACCGCTAAATACCAGTATTCTCAAAAATAATTCATTCTTGATGACTCTGCAATATATAAGGAAGTTCCAAAGAGATCAATATACTGCTAGGTTCTGGCTATCTCTACACTGGTTAAGCCTCAATGAGTGACTCCGGTGCTGCCTCAGTTGTAGGAGTGGAAGCCGAGGACATAACCGCAATATGTACTGGTTTAATCCAGTTGGTACAGTGTAGCAGCTGCTCTAAGCCACTCAAGGCACCCGTAGGGCTGCCATGTGGATGCACAATTTGCCGGCCATGCATACCACAGACACACCCTAGAACCAATATCACATACCCTGGAACTGAGGATCGTAGCCAGGGCTTTTTCTGCCCTTCGGCGTGCACTAAATCTCCGAAATCTGGCCGAGATTTTATACCTGAGCATTGTTTGGCAGACTGCAACCGAGACGTCACCCTCGGCAAGGTTGTAGATATAATTGAAAATTATGCAACCGTCTACTCCTCTAGCAGGGATCCGGGTCATGATATTCCTATTAAGGTCCATATATCTAACCAGCAGACCAGCCCAGAGGAATCAAGTCAAGAATTCTGGATTAAAGGCAGCTGCCTAGTTGGAACATACAAACTCATGGCCAAGGGGCTTATTCCAGTTGCTTCTACTGTAAAGTGCACATTCAATGATCAAGACCAGGAAAACTCGATGGACCTCGATGCGAAAATTCTAAGGGAAATAAGATTGGCTGTGACAAAGGAGCTCGACTGTCAAGTGTGTTACTCTTTAATGACTGACCCATACACAACTGTTTGTGGTCACACATTTTGCAGATCATGCGTGACTCAGATGTTAGATATCTCGAATCTCTGCCCCGTGTGCCGGAGAAACTTACCGATGATACTACCAGACGATCCTGGAAACGGGGCATTGAACGCTTTTAGTTATTTCATATTCCCGGAGCGAAGGCTATCTAGACTAAGAGATGTGCCAGTTGAACAGCCGGGTGCATCCAAAATCGACGAATTACCTCTATTTGTATGCACGGTTTCTTTTCCATCTATGCCCACCTATCTGCACGTTTTTGAACCTCGTTACCGGCGAATGATCCTACGAGTTGTTGAGAACGGGACCCGTCGATTTGGCTCGGTTATGCTCAACCAAACCGGTGAGCGTACCGGACAATCTGAACCTTGTGTGCATGCTCGATATGGAACGTTACTTGAAATTGATCGGCTAGAATCACTACCTGGAGGCAGGATTCTGATACGTGCTACTGGCCGGTACAGATTCCGTGTTCTTTCTTGCAGAGACTATGATGGTTGCAAGATTGGACACGTACAGCGCATAGACGATATCCGAATCCCATTCGAGGAGATGATCGAAGCGGAAGAATTATCAGCCCCTAAAGAGGGCCAACATCCAAAATGCCTGAATCTTCTGTCTACGCAGGAGCTGTTTCAAATCTGTACTAAGTTTGTGACAAAATCCCGTTCCAGTAGTTCGTCCTGGCTTAATGAACGGCTTCTTTCTGGATATGGTGAACCACCAACGGACCCAGCTATATTCCCTTACTGGTTTGGAACTGTGCTTCCAATAGCTTCAAGTGAGAAATACAGTCTGCTATCGGTGACAACAGTCCGTGGCAGGCTAAAAATATGTGCCGATTGGGTACGACAGATAGAAAGAGACAAGACAGTGTAAGTTCATGCAGTATCACGGTCGTTTTGTGATGGTACATTAACAATCTAAAGATTACGAACTGGCACCAGAAGTGGCTTCCCTATATCAGCTCTTGTTCCATTCATGTTCATGTTTTGCATATGGTTCCTACCGACTCTCATCTCTGCGATATTGGCAATCTTTGGCTTCTCAACACCAGAGGAAAATACCAACATTACTGCTACTGCCACCGCCACTGCCACTGCACGTCCATCCCCCTTTACTTATTCATTTTCCGTTTTCCTATTTGATGTCTCATTCACATATTATCCATCAGGCTCTTCATCACCTCGGAACATACAGGATACCCCTGGCTTCGTATACTCTGGCTTCAGAATATCACAATACTTTTCCGTAAATTTGCTCCTTGGAGGATTTTTGATCATTTGCGTGGCGAGGATTTTACGCCATTTTATTGAGGCGATTCACCATAATCAACGAGCTACAAGGCGTATTGCCCCTGGGGGCCTTACCGCATCAAACCCTAGCGAAAACCATGGCGATTCTAACCATGCTACAGAACAGAGCAATGCAAATAATGGAACCAGCGCGAATGGCCCTCAAAACTCGGACATTACAAACCCAGTCGAACCTGATGAATAATTTTAAAAGCATTTGAGGTTATATATAACAATGATGAATAAAAGATATGGCTTTGGTTAGGGCATTTTTACTATGCCGAAAAAAGGCGTTTCTATTAATTTAAGCATATGTATCAATATCAATAGCATGCATTGGATGAAAGAAGATAATATCCTATTCTACCATCCTGTGGCTAATAGCATGAAGAGCTTATTACGGCAGCCTTTCTTTACTTTAATTGATTATGGGCATTTGCATAATTAGATCAAGTGTAAAAAGGTTGATGAGATAAATCGAGCTAACACCCAGACAGATTAAGAAGATTCCTGTTGAGTGCTTTCTATGCAAACGCCTATATAACGCCACGATCAATGAGAAACGATTGTATGTTTTTGGTGGTTATAGTGCATTTTTTTTCTTTTTTCTTTCTTTCTTTTTTTAGTCGTCGTTGTCATGATCAGCCATTTCCTCGTCGCCAGGCGCATCAGTCTCGTTTTGACCCTTCTCCAGTTCCTCGACAGAAAACGGATTCGTGTATTTAGAATCAATCTGAGCCCGATGCCCTGCTCGTTTGTGCGACTCTTCTGGGATGGGATCACGTAGCTTAACTTGTATCTGATCAACCTGGTCTTCCTTAGCGGTAGCTCGGGTTGGCGCCAGGCCAGCCCGAGCAATCTTCTGAGAACGTTCCGGCTTTATACGTGTTTTTGAGATGATCGGGTAATAATATGCAGCTTTTTGGTTTAATCGGAACATCTCACGTTCGCCTTCCGGTATCTCGGCTGGATCAAATAATACTATGGAAACGTCCTTGTACTTGTGCTCCGTGTTCAAGACTTGAGTGTTTGTTGCATATGTTCGTAGCCTGTCATAGTGATGGTATTTATCCCCAGATGAGCTTTCATGGGCATAGTTTGATGGGCTGTCTCGGTCGGGGTTGGTCATGTTGAGACTTCGTCGGATTTGTTTTGTAGAGCTTTGCTTCTGTGGGAGATATAGATCATAGTCGTAAGGGATTGGGCCAGGGTCAGGATAAAGGGCTGGGTTTGCCTTGTGGAGTTGTGTTTTGGAAGTATGTTGTTGTAAGACCCTTGGTTCTGGTGATGATGGAATAAGTATAGACATGTCCATGCGGTCATCGCGCCGTCCATTGACTGGTGGAACAGGTGTTTTGTCAAACTTGAATTGTAAGAATCCACCGGAGTCAGGAAATCCATCCACATCTGGAATGACAGGGTAAAATCCGACAGGTTTGAGTTTTGGATTATCTGGATGGACTGGATTTGCCCACGCATCGAGCTCCGCTTTGGTTGGTGCTAGACCCTGGATCTGGCTCACGGTGTCTGGACCAGTGTGCTTGCTTTTCGGGTAAGCAATATCAAAGCCCTTTTGAATGTACTTCTTGACGTATGTAGGATCATCGCGGGTTGGCTTCGGCTTTGCTCCCTTGCGAGGACCTCCAATGAAGACAGATCCTTTTGAATCGATGCCACGGGCCATTCCACTAGATGCGATATACTGTGTTCGTCTTAGGAAACTGACGTTCACATTCTTTGGCGCCGGGTTCCTCAGCTGGTCCAACGTCATGAGAAGGGGCAAGTCAGCTGGATCAATTGGTGGTGGATTTTCTGGAGCCATGATAGCTGTATATCAAAGAGATATAAATTAGTTGTAGAAGTGACATAGTTGGGAAACGATGTAACATACCACTCTCGTCTCCCAAATGCAGGCCTGGTATGCCAATCAAATCAATTGGCATTCCACCCTCGGCATCAACATCAATGTTTGGCTCTTCCCGGCGCACCATATTGGACGCAAAACCTGCCGTTAGGAAACGATCCAGCCCTTCGTGAGGGATGTCTAGGAACTTTGGGGGCATCTCAGGTGGAGGGAGATCATTGCGATATCGCAGAGACGCGATGTACTCTTGATGGTAGCCGCCTGACGGGCCGCTATCCTTTGATTTCGACATCTTTCCTATCCCGAGTATGTAGCAGTGTTATGTTAAGATAGGTCCTTTCTCTCTAATAGGAAGGTTAGTCCTATGCGGTTTGCGCCAGGTTAACTGAAGCTTGGTGTTCACGGATCGGTACCTTTAACTTCGAAGCTGTCGGTAGCACAGGGCAGCCGACGAGTATTCGTTGCAAAGTATACACTTTGTGTGTTCGAGGAGGCCTTGCTAACCTGTTCAAATGTGTGAAGGAAGAAAGGCAAGCTCCTCCTCGTCGTCGTCTTTCTTCGCCTTTGCTTTTTGCGTAGTTTCGCGGTGAACCAGGAGCTGGTATTCTGCCGGTCCCGTCACCGCCTTTCGGATAAACTTGGAACCGGAGTCCTGTATTACATAATCTGGGTATATCAAAAACTGAGGGGGAGGACATTCCAAAGGATGGAAAACAATAGAAAGAAGTCCTGGCTGAATTGACCAACTTAATAGGATTGATTCCAAATAAACCATCTAATTTCTACAATATTGCCTAGCATCAATAAAAGAACCCCGGTATTACCATTGCCACATACATTTATAAGTCATTACCCTGCTTCCAAGTCGGTCATATTCTAGCCGACCGATCCAGCTTTCATTTGATGCGTCCAGTTTGCCGAAGACACTGGCGCCTTTCCATACAACCACCTGTGGGTCGAGTTCCCGAGGTGGTGTGCCAACCATGATATGACTTGCAAGGTCAGGATGCTTGAGTTGCATCCGCTCCTCAAGGAAAGCATGGAAGCCGGAAACAAGGCTGCCACCCCCGATCACCAAGATGCCACCAATGAAGTCATTAAACTTGCGAGGGTCACCGCGAGCAGCGTGCGAAATAGAGGTAAATACAGCATCTTCAAGTGGCCATACTGGCAGGACATCGTCCCGCATTTCAACCACGGGTATGTTTTGGGAAGTTTGCGGAGCGTTGGGTACACCACCGCCTTGGGGCCTGATAGGTGTCGACGTACCACCTTGGGGGTTTTGATTTGCTGCGGAGTCCGGGGTAGGTGATCCAGCTGCGGAAGATCGTGGGGTTCCGTCAAGATCCTGCACGCGCCCTAAGACATTATGAGCTTGTGCGCGGCTAGGCGTAGCTTGAGGATCTGTTCCGTTAGTCTGTAAGGCTCCTTCAATGCTTGTTCCATTGTTGGTTGTCGCCGGTGGAGGCGAAATAGAGGCTATAACTTCAGCCTGAGCAGTTGAAGTAGGGTCGTTTGGTAGTCTGTCATATAGATCAAAAGAACGCTTAATAAACTTGCTCCGTCCGATCATCTTTTGTGAGTTATCGAAGATTTCCGGCTGGAAAATGCCCATGGGAGCCAGAATAATCTCGTCGTACGCTTTGAATGTGTACTTTCTTGTGTCCTGGCCGGACACTCGAAGATGGAAGTCAAACACCTGAACAGAAACATTCGTTTCATTAAGAGTTGCGACATTCTTCTTGAGTTCCTCCGCCAATAAAAAGTCATATCGCCGGTTCAGGTTGATCTCCTCGTAGGGGAAGTGGTCGTATAGCATCATCTTTATAAACGTTTCCGTAACATCTGATCCGCCGAATTTCAAATTGACGCGGGAGTTTTCAACACACATCCCTTCTTCCACGCAGCATATCGACGACTTTTGCGCACCAACGTCGACAACGCAAGCTGCAGTGTACCCAGCACCGAATGTACCGGCCAAACTCTCCTGGACGAAACACACACGCCCAAAGCCGAGCTCACGCATAAGGGTATCCAATATTTGAGTGACGTATAGCTTTTCGTAAAGGTCGGGTATGACAAAGACACAAGAATATTGGCCCCAGTCTTTGGTTTGTGACAGGTTTAGTTGGGTTTTCATCGCATCTTCCAATATCCGCGCAATGTCCAAGAACAGCAAGTTTATGCTGCTGTAGTCCTTCTCGTTACACCAACCATTCCGTAATGGCCAGTAGAGCTTATATCGGGGTATAGAGAGATCCGGGATCCTCAATGCGGCCTCCCCAACCACATAGGGAGGAGCAAGATTAGGATTGCTAGGTATTTCAGTCCATTCGACCCTCATTGCATCATTGTGCTCGGATATGGTTTCCGGCGGTGTTCGTCGGTTGTAATTTACCACCATCTCCTTGGAATTCGGTAGAGTTCTCCGTTTGTTTTGGCGCATACGTGCTTTCAGGTCAGAGCACATATTTGTATAGAGAGTACCAAACTGAGAAGTATCTTATTAGTCACTGCGCATACAGTCTCTAATGGGGTGGTCACTCACGTCAGGTCCAAACATTTTTTCTGGCTCCATCAGCTCTCCGTCATCCATTTTCAGGCGTTTCGGCTTCGGCTCGCCCCCATTTTCTTCAGACTCGTTCATCTCTGATCTATGCGCTATAACCATAGGGATAGTCTTTGGCAAGGCATCACTTGCAAGACCTATGCGCAAATTCTGACTTCCAACGTGCACTACGATGGTCTTTGAGCCAGCCACTGCCTCTTCCTCCTCATTTCCTGCCTCTCCCATGGTGGTGTCTTGGTCTGCCTCCTCCTCTGGCAGCGGCAACTCATTCTGCTTTGACATAGCAAGGGCCCTATCCCGTTCCTTAGCCGCCTTTGCCATGCGGTTTCGGTTTTCTTCATTTTGTAACCGGTATGCGAGGAACTGGTCGTCTCGTTTCAAGTAGTCACTAGATAAGATATCAAGATAGAATTAGCCACACTGTTCCTGTCAAATTTCGAGGGGCATAATGGACAATGTATCTATCTCGCGACTGCGTGCACCTGGATTCGCCAGCACATACGTATAGTAGTTTTTCTGATTGATAGCGACAACCTGCGGCCAGCTGGTCAGGTCCATGCTATTATCTGTCCGCTGGAGGCCTGTAACGCCATAACATTGAGCAACATGTCAGTAATCCGTCCCAAGAAATTCATTCCAATGGTTTTAGATGCTTGCTCTCACCCTCATCGCGCATCGATCTTGATTTCTTCCCCATGGCTGCAACTACCGTTGAGAGCGGTCCCGTCTTGCGCAAACAGATCTATGTATCGGTACGACTGCGATCCCGTAAACCAATACCGAGGAGCCCCAGGATTCGAACAAGTGCCTCGAGTCGCCTTCGACCTGCTGGACCACAGGCTGGCTGGCTGTTGTCGCGGGCTGTGAGGTTGGGGGGTTGGTTGGTGGTCGTTGCGGGTTTGGCGATCGAAGCTTGCTGGTTCGCAGCTTGGGGGTAAAAAACGCCACTAGAAAGAAGAAACGTAGAAACAATGCGGCCCACGCCCTCACCTCTAATTTGTAATAATGGATAAAATATATTAACTAGTTATTTTTGCGGCCTGCTGAAAGCCGTTAAGAAGTTACTCTGCGCTGGGTTTCGCTCCGGTTGATGATCGTTTTTTCTTGTCTCCTCTGCTCTCTTTCATCAAATACCCCGGAGTGCCGTCTCTCTTTGCCCGCGCAGACCAGTCAAACTCAGCTACAGTGCTTTAAATCCGCCAACGCTTCTCCTGACGACGATACGACAACGGCTGTTGCCGCCCCCTATAATCGTACGGCCCCCCTAAAACGCATCCAAAGGACATATCTGCTGGGCAAAGCCTCTCCGCTGCCGCCGGACTACGAAGCTACCTGACGGCCTCCCTTGACTCTTTTGATACGCCCCCATATCCCTCTCTGGCGGTCAGGCCCTTACCCCGGACTACCGCCATCCCTTGAACGCCTACCACTGGGTTCAGCTGGGTTTCCGCAGACAAAATGGGTGGATCACTGTCTAAGCTTGTATCCGGCTGGTTGTGGACAAAGAAGGAGATCAGGATTTTGATACTGGGACTTGTAAGGACGGCCATAAGCTACTGTAGCATTGATTTCCAGAAGGACCTTTCCGATATAGATGCTAACTGATCCTCCTGGGCTATAGGATAATGCTGGCAAAACAACCCTCCTTTACCGGCTAAAAGTACGAACCCTCCCCGTCTACATGCTCATATAAATAGCCTGGCGATCCGTGAAAAAAGTAGAGAAGCTTACATTCTTTCGTCGACGTGATATAGATCGGAGAGGTTGTTACTACAATACCTACCATTGGATTCAACGTCGAGTCCGTCACATATAAAAATCTTAACTTTAACGTCTGGGTGAGTACCCCTTAAGCACCTTGTCAGCGTAGCATAAACCCCGAGATGGCGGTACCAGCAGTGTCTAACAGGTACGTGTGGATAGGATCTTGGAGGCCAAACGTCGATACGGCCCTATTGGAGATGCTACTACGCCAACACTGCGGCTGTAATATTCGTCATCGATTCAACAGACATTGAACGACTGGGTACGGCATCAGACGAGCTAGCTGCGATGCTCAACGAGGAAGAGCTACGGGAGGCTGCACTACTTGTCTTTGCAAACAAGCAGGATCAGCCTGGTGCCAAGGGAGCCGGTGAGATATCGGAGGCCCTGAAGCTTGGAGAGCTACGGGATCGAAACTGGAGTATAGTGGCATGTTCTGCCATAGACGGCAAGGGTATCAACGAGGGAATGGATTGGCTTGTGGTAAGTAACAGTTTCTCCTATACCGTTTATCACTTGAACACGGCTGCTAACGGTTGTCCTTGATGTAGCAAACCGTGCAGTCGGAAAATGCATGAATTATAACGAAGGGAGCATCTTTTATTTTGTGATTAGAATGTACCACTTGACTATATCTCTATGAACAGTCTATATACATATCGTCGTTTTCATTTCTCTCTTAGTTCTTACGGCTCTTCGTGTTCCCCTGCTTCTTACCCCTGAGTCAATAATATTTAACCACTCCAACACTAAAAATACAAGAACTAGCTAGCAACAGCAGTCGGAGAGGCTCTTCTCCACTTACCAGCATCCCAACAACCAACGGCTCTGGTTCATCATGATAGCGATAACAAAAAGACAAAAAAGAATGGGCCCGAGCCGCGATTCGAACGCGGGACCTCTCGCATATATAAGTACTTAGGGTTAAGGCCCTAAGCGAGAATCATAGCCAACTAGACCACCCGGGCTTGGAGGACAAAGTCGTCGGTTTCTGCTCTTTCGGGGAAAGGGTGAAGTGCATTGGGAATATTGAAGACGATTGGATGGTTTGGTAGGAAGAAGACTGATATGAGGGTTGGGGAAGAGAAGAATTGGTGGTCATCAAAAAGAAAAGTATCAATTATCATGTTAATACAGTCTAGAATAAGAGCAAGTCAAAGAAGAGTAAGAGAACAGAGCAGAAGGATAGAAAAAGGGAGATCGAATTAGGGACAAAAAAGAATGCAAAAGACTTCAGAAGACTGGCTGACAACTGCAATATGACTACCGGAAGCCTATTCATACAAGGGATGGCCACCCTCCCCGTTAAAAACAATATTGAACAATGGCACCCAGGTATCCATCCATTCCAAACCCAGAGGGACATTAATACGCAACCGACTGTACAGAAAAAAAAAAAACAAAAATCCTTTAGATCGTCATCATGGATGCACCGACGAGGGTGGACAGGCCGATAGCGGCGAGAACCACGACAAATTCAGGAGCACGGAGACCAGCAGCAGCATCAGGGGTGCCTTTGTTGCCTCCGGAGCCTGGGGAACCACCAGAGCCAGTGTTGCCGTTACCGCTGGTGTCGGGTCCTTCAGCCTTGGATCCAGAGGACTGACTGCCAGGGCCCTTGAGACCTGGGCCATCACCGGCACCGTTCTTCACGTACTTCTCGGCATCCTTTGGAAGCTGTGGGAGTTTCTTCTCGCCATCAACATCCCAGGCAGGTGCTTCCTTGGCTGGGCATTTGCTAGAGCCACTCTTCTGGTTGTAACCGCCGTCACCAGAGGGGTTCTTGACCTTGGCGAACATGGTCTTGAGAGCGTTGAAGTCGGTGAGCTTGGATGGATCAGAGCTTGCACCGCCCTTGATCTCAACAAGACCGTAGTTGCTGGGTTCCTGGGAGTATTCGTAGACGAGACCACCAGAGTAGACGCCGGTCATCTCCTTGGAGTAGAGAGCCTCGACCTCGCTGAAGTCACGCTTGTTGATGTTGCAACCGTATTCAGACAAGAAGATGGGGATACCATAGTCTTTGAATTTCTTGACTTTCTGGTCCCAGCCGGAAGTCTCGAAAGAGGATGGAGAGCACCAGGAGTAGTCGTTGAAGGCGAAGAAGTCAGAACGCTCATCGTCAGAGCCACAGTTCATGTAGTGGGCAGTTTGCTCGCGGTTGGAGTCGACATCAGCCTATAAATTGTTAGTTCTCCCGTCCTATTTCCAGGAATGATGAAATAAGTGACATACAGCAGAGTATCCAACTGGCACTTGTCTAAGATTGCGCTCCTTGAGGAACATACGGATGTCACGGGTAACAGCCTTGACCCAAGGAGCAACGGCAGAAGTCTTGCCATCGTTGATGACCTCGTTTCCAGAGAAAAAGGCCAAGGTGTTGTCGTACTTGGCGAACATCTGGACAGTAGCAAAGATGCTCTGGAGGTAGACAGCATTGTAAGAGATTTCGGGATCTAAGCGGGTCAGTTAGCAACTGGTGTTCGGCATTCTTGAATTGTCGAGTAAGTCAGGAAGCGTACCAGCACGGTTGATGGAGTACTTGGGAGTGTTGACATCAAGAACGAGGTAGATGCCAGCATCGGCGAGGAGCTTCATGCACTCGTCATGGTTCTTGGTGTTATCAATGGTGTAGACACGGATGGTGTTGAGGCCAAGATCCTTGAAATACTTGATGTCTCGCTTGCAGAGTTCGACATCGGCAATGGGATCGACAACCTTGGAGGAACCACCCTGTTGAGTGTTAGTCGTCATGCTCAGCGTTTCTGCTGTTGTTTATCTCTTTATCACGTACTGGTTGGTAGTCACTGTCAACATCAACCAGTTAGCATCCTCGCTTCATAAAGGTAGATATATATATATATATATAGCAGATATAGGGTAGCAGTTCTTACACTCCACGGATATAGAAACGCTCATTTCCCTTGAAGAAGGCTGTCAAAACGTGTTAGCCGTGCCGTTTATCTTTGTTGTGTATGTCTGGTCCCAGCCTACCGTTTCCCTTGATGGTGATGGGAGTGACCGAGCCAGCGAGGGCAGAAGCGGCCCCGAAGGCAACAGTCAAGGCAGCAATAGCGCCCTTCATCGTGAAATCAAGTTGAAGTCTAGAAAGAAGTCGAAGAAAACGGATCTCACGCTTGAGTCCGGAGGAGCGGGAGGAAAACGCGGGCGGTTAAAGAGTGACGAGCCCGGGGGGAAAGAGACGCCTTGAAACGAGCGTGTATCTTGCTTTCCCGGTGATTAATGAAGGGGTCAACGAGCGAGTGAACGAAAGTAAAGAAGAAGAAGACGAAGAAGAGAAAGTTGACGGAGGGAAGAAGAACCGCAGAAGTGAGATGGCCGTCTCGCTCAGTATAAAAAGTCCTTGGAATCAGCCCTCGATGTTTTACTTTTTTTCTGCTCCACCCAGCGCAAGCCGCGTAAGAAAGGGCGATGGCAGGGCGGGTCAGGGGCTTGGGGGCGGCGGTACTTGAGTTTGCTAGCGATGCTGCACTGCGCAGCAGGTCACTAGTACTCCGTACTGGGGGACGCCTTTGGGGCCATCGAGGGCCCGGTCAGCCCAGTCGACGGGCCTGTCCTTGACTCAGTGACTGGCTGGCGGAAGCCCTTGTCCATGCAGCGTACGGTGGCGGTGGCACGATGCCAGAGAATAGCCAGTACTTCGTCCAGTAAGTATGTATGTAACTCCTCTGCCTCCAGAAGAAGCAAGGAAGATCTGAGGGAGAGAGACGGCATCGACGGGCCCCCTGATGATCTTAATAATCATGCGCAAGGAGTGGCTGCTCTCCTTGCTTCTGCGCTGTGCTTCTCCCCACCCTGTTTCATGCTGCGATGAAGCTGCACATCTCTTGGCCGGCGTCATCGTCATCAAGCCATCGTCCCGGTCATCTGTTCAGGGGAACCACCAGAGACGGCGTCAGGTCGAAGGGGAGTTGGGTGTTGGTGCACCGGCAGCGATGGGCCGAGTGAGAGTGTTGCATAATCCCCAAAAATATAACATGCATCAGGATGATAAATACAGGAGAACAAGACAGATCCAACCATCTAAGCCCAAGTAGCATTTTGCAACATGCTATATACATACATGCATTGAGGAAGAGGCATGCTTGACAAATCATGCGTCTTCGATGTAATTTGCTGGCACACATTTGGTCAGACCTCCCTTCTCGACGTCCGCCCAGCCGTTACCGCTGTCCCGATTGACCAGCACGAACCGGTCGCCCTCAGACATGCTCCATTCAGCGTCGGTGCGTGCCTCGTAGTCATACATGGCTACCACATACTGCAGCTTCTTTGCTCCTCGTTTGGGGGCCACCGCGGGACCGCGTCGTTTTCCGGCGGTTGCTGGGTTGGTGCTGCTCGCCAGTGAAGCGCTGGAGGCAGAGTACGTTGACTCGGGACGGCCGTTGTCGTTGTCGGTGGCAGTGCTGCCGCTGCCGTTGGGGTTGGGTGATGCTGCGGGCGTTGGTGATAGTTCGACATAGGATGCCGGGACCAGGCCCGTTTGCCCGTTGGCTCTCACTCGCATCCAGCCAGAGCCATCTACTCCTGTTAGTTGACACCATATAGAAGAACAGAAAGAAGGATGTAACGCAAGCAAAGAAAGGAGTACCATCTGGTTCAACAACGACAACGTCTTGTCCCTCGTCTACTGTTATCTCATCTTCCCCGTTGGCCTGGTATGCATACATCATCTTCCCGCCTGGCTCGGCGGGGGTTTCCTTGGTGTTGGTAGCAGATGGCGCAGGCGGTGCACTCACATATTGCGCCGGAGGGGGGGCTAATATCCTGTTCTTCCTTGGAGCAGCCACGGCCGGCTTCTTTGCAGCGGCAGCAGCAGCACCAGCAGAGTCTGGCAGCTCAGCTATCGCCGGCGATGTTGAAGCCGACCCACCATTGGCCGGCTGGCTGATAGACAACGCAGAAGTGGATTTGTTAATAGCATTAGACGAGTATCCTGAACTCAATGAGTTCATAGTATCTCGTCTCGATAAGGCTGGTAGCTCAGCCGTGCTCGGCGTTGAAATGCGCGGACTGATGTCCGGCAGTGTTGCTGGAGCCGCATTGGCCTGCTCCTGTCTCTCAGCCTTCAGCTTCTTCCGCTCCTCCTTTGTCTGTTCGCCGGGACATTCGGCGGGCACTTTCATCTCGCACTTGTTATGGCATGTATAGCCACAATCTCGACAGTCGAACCCCTTGGCCGAGAGTCCCCAGATTCTCTCGCCACACAGGTCACAGTTGGTAGGAATCTTAAAGGTTTGAGCCCGGAAATTATGGTTCTTTGCTCCCAACGACAGGTCACCTACTACAGAGGAGACGGTTGATACTTCGATCTCGCCTGTCAGTCGTTTGCGGTCAAGCAGGTGGAGGTCTTCCTGTAAGGCAAACATTGCTCGCACGATCTCGACCTCGTCACGCTTATCGGTACCATCGCGGATACTCTGCCGGACCTTCTTTGCGTTTTCGACTTCCCGTCTCTTCTTGTCCGCTTCGGCCTTGAGCTCTTTCATCTGGCTCTTGCTCTTGCTCTGCAAGTTGCGGAGGAACACCTTGGCCGGCTCATCAATGACCATGGTGGGCTCATCGTGCCAGACAGGGCTGGGTTCGAACTGCATGTCTAACGGCTCCTGCCAGTGAGCTGTATTGTGGCGCATGAACATAATCGAATCCAGTCGGGGTTCATTGCGTGGGATCTCGGACAGGATGTGTGAGACCTGTTCATTACCCTGGGCTAATGTGGCCTTCTCCAGCTCTGCGGCCAATGTCCAAATGGCATTCAGCTTGTTCACCCTCGTTTCGTTCAAGTCCTGTAGGCCCTATACTAGTATTAGCAGAGGTAGTCAGTCTGAACTGGAGTCGTGGCCTACATTAAGCAATTCCGGTACATATTCATGGTAATATTTCTCCTTTAGTTTATTCGTGACATTTATAGCAATTAGATACGTATTCTACAGCCACAGTTAGCATCAAATCCTGAATGAGAAGAGTAGAAAGACACACCTTGACATTATTCATCTCCGCAATCTGATTTTGGTATGAGAGCTGAGCTTTCTGCTTTCCATGATCAAACGAGCTCTCTACTTTCTTTCTTTTATTCTCAACCTCCTGGCAGACCCCATCATATTTCCCTTTGCTCTTTTTCAAATCGGCATACGATGCATCCCTCTCTTTCTCCAACTTTCCCGCATAATCCGAATGATTCTTGCGCAACTCTTCTAGCTTTCCTGCAGCCTGCTTCAGCGGTTCCGCAACCCGGAAGACCAGGTCAGCTCCAAACTTGTCTCGAGCTGCGGCCTCTGCCTCCAAGGCAGAAAGTTGTGTTGTCCAAGTTGTCAGGGAAGCCGACTCGAGCGATCCTGGCGTCATGACGGGGGTATCTCCAACACTAAGTGTGCTGGACTTCTTCGACTTGCGGTCATGGTATTTGCGACAGAGGGCGGTTATTTTGGCTGCGTACTCTTTTTCGATAACGCTGCGGTCGCGATAGAACTGCTGTATCTCGTCCAGCCAGTTTATACCGACGGAAACCTGGGTGTTGTCAATAATACCGCTGTTGTTGCGGGAGGGGGGTGAGGGGGGAGGATGGTCGTATGCTCTATCTCAAACGTACCCAGGCGTTGACGGGCTTAAAGGCATCCTGTCCACAGCAATCAGCTAACAGCCTCGAACTCGATGAGACTCGAAGCGACTTACCTTGAGCTCTGCGCCGAACTGCGGGTTAACCGTGTCTGCCATCACTCACGAATTTGTTATTCTATTAAGGTCTAGTGGAGTCAATGTCTCTGTTTATGCGAGGGACCTGGTGAATTCAGAGGCCAGCGGCCCAACGAGCATAGAAAGCACCCGGTAGAGCAGAGCTGCAGGAGGAAGCACGCATAGCTAGCGTCTGCTGGAGCTGTATATGGCTCTTCTCACTCGTCTTCTCTTCTTGCTGTCTTGTGTCTCTTCGTCGCCGTCTGGTGGTTGGTTGTTCTGGTCGCAACTAGTTAGTTAGTTAAACCATGCGAAGCCCAGCAGCCACTTTCGACGGCCTTCAAGCCACAGCCAGCGCAACCAACTAGTTAACTACGTAATCATATCGGGCTGCAAAACTGGAGACAAAAGAGATCCATTTGTATTTGATCATATTAGCTAGGCACTATCTACGGGAGTACAACCTGTAAAGCAGCTTCTCTAGAGTACTGGTGGGCTGGCTACACGGCCAACTGGCTGGGATATGGTCTTGCTGGCAGGGAGCCGAAGAAGAAGCTGATGATGCCCGTTTATCTACTCCGTATATTTACGGATACTCTTGAGAGAGCAAGGGAATCAATCTATAGTGACCTCCGCTATTATGCTAGGATACCCTAGGCTTCCATCTCAATGCCGCCTGCCATTACTCCGTAGTTTAATAATCGAAGGAAAGGACTCCAAAGTTTGAAGCAGAACGAGAAAAGTCTTAGCAGAGACCATACCATCGCTGTTCCTCTTCGTGTCCAACTGCTCCCTGCCCTCCTCTTAGGACTTTTGATATCAACATCTCAATATCTTTTTGGATCCATCTCAGCTCTCGGGGGGGAAATCAATATATTTGATGAGTCAGCAGGCTGTAGTTGTAAATCTACAAGTGGTCAGGTGATAAATGTCAAAAAATGTACCAATGGGAGAGCTCTCACCTATTAAAGTAACCAATGAAATTCATTCTATCACCTGTCACACTTTTTAAGCTTATCTCATGACTAAGCAAGACATCTTTAAGCTCCCTCAACTTCAGCAGCAAAAAGACGAAGACGAGACAAAAACGCCAAAAGACGCTGTCGAGGCATCATTCGACGGTGCAAGAAGATATTTCTAACGTCAAGATAGTCTCATCTTGCTGCAGCTGTCTCCCAGCTACGCTGCCTCGACGTTTGGCGGCACCCTCAATAACTATACCCAGCTTGCCAATCTCCCCCGCAACACGATAAACAATTTCTTCACGCGGGCTGTTATCAACATTGCTCGCTCAATCAATAAAAAGAACAACACTTCCCTAATTTGCGTTCGACATCCTCAATATCTTTCAAACTACCTCCGAAACCGATCAACTGCCCTCGAAACAGCGCGCACACCCTAACGATGGCGTCCGAAAATCCGGCAGCTGGTACCCCTCTTGCAGAGAGAGCTTCATTTGCAGAGCCCAAGGGGAAGGAGGTTGACACGAAACCAGAAGAATCTTCAGGAGGCGTTGAAGATGCCCAAACAGATGGTGCTGCCTACCGGACTGGAGCCTCGATGCTTCGTGACTCTGAATACACCGTCAACGTCCAGCTGAGTGACCTCCAGGCGGACCCAAACAACCCTCTTTACTCCATCAAGAGCTTCGAAGAACTCGGCCTGTGAGTCGCCATCCCACCTCGTTCGCTCCCTGCTTTCCATCTTATATATTCGCCTCAGACTTATTCATACTCGACTACTTGTTTAGCGATGAGGCTGTTCTGAGAGGCCTGCGTCAAATGCGCTTCAGTCGGCCATCCAAGATCCAAGAACGCGCCCTCCCGCTTCTTATGTCGAACCCTCCACAGAACATGATCGGCCAGTCTCAGTCTGGAACTGGAAAGACGGCTGCTTTCGTCCTCAACGTGCTTAGCCGCCTCGAAGTTACTCCCGAAATGATCAATGTCCCACAAGCTCTCATTCTCGCGCCTAGCCGTGAGCTTGCCCGCCAGATCGTTGGTGTCGTGCAGGTCATGGGCTCTTTCATCGAGGGACTGAAGATTGCAACGCTTGTGCCTATGGAGACGAACAGAAACCAACCTGTCGAGGCTTCCTTGGTTGTTGGCACTCCTGGAACCGTGCAAGATTTCATTCGAAAGAGGCTGTTCAACACACAGCATGTCAAGGTTCTTGTGCTGGATGAAGCTGATAACATGTTGGATCAGCAAGGTCTAGGCGATCAATGCATTCGTATGAAGTCGTAAGTGCCCACTCAGTAATTTATCCCTATTCATTGAATGCTAATCCACTTCACCAGGTCCCTACCAAAAAACACACAGATAGTGTTGTTCTCAGCTACTTTCCCAGACTCTGTCGTCCGATATGCACACAAATTTGCCCCCAACGCCAACCAGCTTACTCTCAAGCACGAGGAACTTACCGTTGAGGGAATTAAGCAGTTGTACCTCGACTGTGACTCCACGGAACATAAATATGAAATTCTCGTCAAGTTCTACGGCCTCCTAACAATCGGATCATCTATCATCTTCGTTAAGGTATTATCAGCTCTTTTATTCATCAGCAATCATTAGTACTGACTACGTTTTAGACACGTGCCTCGGCTGTTGAAATTGAGCGCCGTATGGTAGAAGAGGGTCACACAGTTGTTTCTCTTACTGGTGGTGTAGAGGGTCAGAAGCGTGATGAAGTTATCGACAGTTTCCGTAAGGGTACTGCCAAGGTGCTCATTACCACCAATGTCCTTGCTCGAGGAATAGATGTACAGACTGTTTCTATGGTCATCAATTACGTGAGTCTGGACCCGCCATGAAACATCGCTCAATAGCAAGTCTCGAACTAACCTTTCTGCTCTACACTAGGATATACCCGAGCTGCATGCTCCTGGGGCCGGAGAACGTATCGCCGACCCCCAGACTTATCTTCACCGTATTGGTCGTACAGGGCGATTCGGGCGTGTCGGCGTCGCGGTCTCCTTTGTGTCCAACAAGGAGGAGTGGACCATGCTCATGGATATTCAGAAATATTTCGGAACCGATATCATGAGAGTCGACAGCAGAGACTGGGATGAGGTCGAGGATGTCGTTAAGAAGGTTATCAAGCCATCAGCCAAGTGAAAGTGCTGCAACGTTCACACGAAAAGACAACAACAAAAAAAGAAATCATAACAAACACATCAAATCATGCTCTTGCCATTGCATTTAATATGGCAGTCGTCTATCTAGAGAGAGGAACGGATAAGTACTTCACGAACAGAGGTCGAGCTGCTCCACGCCGGCCTTTTTGTACTGAAGATGGCAATGTTTTGTGCCTGGAAAAATAAATAGCTACGTAATGAAAAATGAAGTACAATGATTGAATGCATTTTATCCATCTCTTCGCTACCCCCATATACAATAATGATCAAATATGATCAAATTGATGAACTTGAAGTCTCATTTAGGTTATCTCCGGTCTTATCTCCCTTTAGTTACTAATCCCCAGCCGCCTTCCCCGCTATGGAAATACGGTCACTGACAGCCAACACAGTTGAATACTCTTATTGTTACTATTATTTTTTTCTATACTGAGAATAGCTATATTGTAGTCACAATGGTTGGTTCTTTTCCAGTCATTGACTGCTACGAATGCTAAAGAATTGAATAGCCACACGCAGACTCGTCGTATTTCCCCGCGGGGTCCTCGAAGGAGGATATATATAAACAAGTCATACAGCAGACAAAGGGTCTGATAGAAGGACAACGACATTGGGTACGCATCCTAACAATACCGCGCTCCGCTCGCACGAAGCTAATTGAACCTGAAATGTTACTTTAACAGATAAGGTACTGCTCAACTTCACCCAGCAATTACCGCTCGCTGACTTAGTTCAGTAACACTGCAAATGTGGCCTCCCTCCTATGGCATGCCTATGCCAGTCTGCCTGCACCCTCATCCTCCGTAAACTGGGCAGGCTTCTATATTCGGGAGGATAAATTCCCCTCCTCCGTTCCCGAATCCTCTCGCTCCAAAACAAAGCTGCTCCTCGGCCCCTTCCAGGGTAAACCTGCCTGCCAATGGATCAATTTTGGTAAAGGAGTTTGCGGCACTGCGGCTGAGAAGAAGGAGACGGTAATTGTACCTGATGTGCTGAACTGGGAAGGACATATCGCCTGTGATGCAGACAGTAGGAGTGAGATTGTTGTTCCTATCCTAGTAAATGGAGAGGTACGTATTCAACTATATTGCTCTGCATATCTTCAATTAACACCGTCCCTAGACTGTTGCAATCATCGATATAGACTGTACTGAACCCTCCGGGTTTGACGAGGTTGACAAGAAAGGACTTGAGGAACTTGCGGCCGTGTTGATGGAGAGTTGTGACTGGTGAGACATTCAACATCTTTCGGGCTGGATAATTGCATATAGTATGGCTGAATAGGCTATAACATTTGGAAAGGGAGGATATTTGAAAAACACTTCTCCACATTTCACTTATTTGAAAATTATAAAGCGGCCTGGGACAAGGGAGGGTGTTTTCTACCTTCCCACGTAAGGGTTTGGTTCCTTAAAAGTCTCATTCTATGGCACTAGATCTCCAAGTAGACAGACAACTGACAAAATTTATTACATTAAACTTGCATATCCACGAGTGAAATATACACTATCTCATATCATGAAAGTTATGGAAGCCTTGCCCGGTCTTCTATATCCTCGTCACACACCCTGTATGTATGTTTGACCTTGTACAAGGCTGAGTATACGATCATCATGGGTTGCATAACTAGCTGACCCCTCTTCGTATCCAGATATATATGGAGGTCTGAGATGTGTCCTAGGGCTTAAAATACTTAATATTTGTCTATCTGCTCAAGTTAACACCAATATAGTTATCAAGTGATGGACTCAAAGCCGTATCCTCAACCAGCTGCTGGCTTCGAGAGTCATACTCCGTTTTGGCGTACATCACCCCATAAACTGGATACTCACAGGTCCACTCCTAATTTACCATCTGAGTGTGAACTCTTGATCATTGGTGGAGGGTACTCTGGTGCTTCTGTTGCATATCATCTATTCCAGGGGAATGAGACACCACCAAACACGGTCCTGCTCGAGGCTAGACAGCTGTGCTCTGGGGCGACAGGAAGAAATGGTATGTTAATGTCTACGTATCTCCTCTTGATATAATAGTAACAATGGAAAAGCTGGCCATCTTCGACCTGAGATGTACGGCCATGCATCTAAATTCATTTCTCGCCATGGTGTGGAAGCAGCAGCTGAAATAGTCAAATACGAAATATCCCATCTCCAGATCCTAGCAGATGTGATTGAACGAGAGAAGATAGACTGTGATTTTACCTTGACCAGGTCAATAGACGTCTATTTTGATCAAGATGCGATGGACAAAGTCCTCCGTGGTGTTGAACCCTTGTTATCTGACTCCTATCAACATGGCAAGTATGCTTTTATGAAGGACGCTGTGATTCTATTTCCGACAGCAGAACAACCTATATCGGAGGATGATCTCATGAAAACTAAGGTGAAGGGAGCAAAAGGGTACGTCTCTTTCCAAGCAGGCCATATCTGGCCGTATAAGTTTATATCCGGGTTGTTGGAAATTGCTGTCTCCAAGGGATTGAATCTTCAAACAAACACTCCAGTGCTGGAAATCAGTCCCGGTCGGGATGCGGAAGGATTCTGGAAGATCACAACTGGTAATAATAGAGGGACCATACGTGCAAAGAAGATTATTCTAGCGTCGAATGCGTATACATCTGCGTTGGCTCCAGAGTACGCAAAGGCAATTATTCCCTGCAAAGGTTTATGCTGCCATATCGTGGTACCCCCTGCGGAAGATGGGAAGAAAAGACCACCACCACTAGAAAACACATATGTTACTCGTCATGGTTCCGGAGCAGGAGGGTATCTCATCCCACGCCCAGACGGGAGTATGATTGTTGGCGGAGCAAGTCACACATTTACTCCCTTGCTGGACCAATGGCATAACAATCCGGATGATGGGGCCTTGATAGATATTGCTAAGGAGTATTTTGATGGGTATATGCAACGGTCCTTCATCGGCTGGGAAGATAGCGGTGCATATTCTAAGGAAGTCTGGACTGGTGGTAAGCCATTCCCCCCGGTTTTTCCCTTCAATGGACTTGATTTGCAATTAGTTGATACTAATAGAACTGGTTGTTCAGTAATGGGGTATTCCGCAGATTCCTTGCCCCATATTGGCAAAGTACCCTCAAAAGATGGCCAGCTGATTCTTGCTGGGTTCAATGGTCATGGAATGCCAGTATGTTTCTTAGCAGGAAAGGCGGTTGCAGCGATGGCTCTGGACGACAGCGTCGCCTTTGAAGACACAGGCTTGCCTTGGGTTTATAAGACGACTATTGATCGCTTACAACCGAAGTATAATGATACTCTACAACCGTGAATGGACGTAGGAATGTAACTGAGAATTGAGTCAGCGAAGAAGAATAAAGATAAGACATAATTCGTGAGTCATAAGAGCCGTGAGATCATTAAGTGTAACCAACATCATGGTGCGTCGGTAAACCGTGTTTAGGTCATATATAGGTATCAGTTGGCCAAACAAGGCGTTTTGAGAAAAAATGCAAGAAAGAGCCGGGCCTGTGATTGAAAATCCATTCTAACAGAATCGCATGATATAAGGGAAAAAAAAAAAAATAAACGAAAAAGCCGAAGGAATAATAGTAGGTATATGGGGGTCTCCGTAATTAGATGTTTAGTAAACTCATCACTCTGTGAATAGGGCTACTACTGCCTGTATTTGGAGAATCACCGCATTCACTCTGTCCAAGGCCACTGTCGACGCCCTGTCCCATGTCGGTATTAGTATCAGTATCGATATCCCAATCATCATCTTGTTCATTATCATCGTGTTCATCATACTGTCCAGAATCGACAGTCTTATCAGCGTTGGTAGGCAAAGTATTAACTTCACTATTAGGACAGTCTTCTCTGCCATTCCAACCCTTTTGAACGGCTCCCCGTACGTTCCAGCGCAACGTGCGGCGGACACTCTGGAACCATTCTCCGCTTTGAGAGACAACTGTTGGAAATGGGAATTGGCTTGCTTCGACAGTCACATAATCACCACGTCGTAACTCTATGCGTCCTTTGCCGTCAAAAGAGCAGTACGCTGAGGAGCGAGAATGACGGGGAACGGCAATGCGAAGTAGAAGGGTATCAGAGAGTACCATAGGGCGGAAAGATAGAGTGTGAGGACAGATGGGTGTTAGTAAGATGGCTGGTATAGACGGGTGGATTAAAGATCCGCCCGCTGAGAGTGAGTATGCCGTTGAACCTGAAGAATATGCATTAGTGGTTTGATATGCTTCGCGTGTCAATGGATATACAAACCTGTTGGTGTTGAGAATATGCAGCCATCTGCCTGCACTACTGTAAGAAGTTCATCATCACCATATACCTCCAGATTAGATACATAAGGAGACGGCCCGCGATCAATGACAAGTTCGTTGACGACCTCGAACCGTTCAAATTCTTCGGCCGCAGCAGCCTTGCTTCCATTCTTCGGGTTTGACCTGTACACTGTACATGTGAATCTCATGCGAAGATTAACCCGCATGCCTACATCTCCCATTATTTGGTTGAGATGCTCTTTGTACTTGGAGAACTCAAAATTGGTTAAGAAACCCAAGCTTCCCAGGGAAAATGATAGGATTGGGGGAACAACACGCTGGAAAAGCCACGAAGTGAACAGAACCGTTCCATCGCCGCCGAGAGTGATCACCAGGTCGAACTTCTCAGGATGTGACCAGCAGAGATCCGGGGTCCAGTATTTGAGCATATGCTCATATCTCGACTCCTTCTCCAGCAACCCAGGAGCATCAAAACGTTTTGATAGTCGTAGCTTTGCATCCACATAGACGTTGACGCCTAGGTCACTGCCATATCTTGGGGTGCTTAAGAGCCATTCGGCCAATTCTCGAGTAAGGTATACAAGGCTGTTATCGCGTGCCTTGGTGACAATCATGACATTTCTAACTGCCAGCTTTATCGACCGTCGTTGCAGATGTTTTGAAACCTCTCTAACCCCAGTAGCAGTCTGCATCAATCGGGAATGTGACATCCATTCGTCGCTAACTACTTCATCCAGAACGCGTTCGATATTCACAGCATCATCAAATCGCTGGTGAAAATAGCAGGGTGATTTAATAGATAAGCGAGGTGTTGACCTCTCTGTTTCTATAGTGTTGATTTGTGAATGGGATATTGCAACAAGTCTATCGGCAAGAGAAGCGCTGTTGTCCTTTGAGATGATATCAGAAGCCTGAGTTTCGGCGATCTTATTCTTGAAAACGGCGGTCGTTGCTCGGGCGTCCGGGTTGAGAACCTCGCTCAGCGAGGCAGCTATTGAGACACTTGTTCGTGGAGCAGTATCAAGGCCATGCTGCCCCATGGGATCGTCAAGAGGTTTAGGATATATGCTTAAGCTAGTGGCTTTGTGGTTGCGCTGGCTGTAGCTCGCTGGTACGGGGATTGGCGTTGACTGCTGAGACGACGACGATGAAACTTCCGGTGGCCCTAAAGACAGGCCCATATTGCCGCTTTCATGGCTGTTTTCGTTACCAATAACATCGGCGGCTTCTATCGAGGCTGTCATGGTGATTTCCACTCCTCGGGATGCTCGGAGGTCTAGATAACTAGTTTTGGATGTGTTACCAGCTCAGCGGTTCTTAACTAACCAGCAGCCTGTGCGTGTGGTTAAGAACAAAGGGCCTAGAAGGTGTCACGGTCTCCGTTCATCTTCGGCTTTGACTGTTTGAAAGAGGGATTAGACCCTCTAAGCAGCCTTGGAGTCGGCAGCGGCCATGGAAGTCGGTAGTATATATGTATTCCTCTGCCTGCCGAACTCCATCTAACTAGCGAACCGTCTAAGCGCTTGGAGGATGCGGTCAGCCAGCATGGACAGAGGGAGGAGGAGACAGGGCTGGCTGCGGACCATGTTTGATATCTCACATCCTCGTATCAAGATCGAGCGAGTCAGCTCCCAGGCGGCCACATCAGCAGGGAAGAAGCCTCCGAAGCTGCATATCCGGGTGGAGCGATGCGATGTGACGGGCGTCGCTAGTCTTCCCTGCTGTAGTTGGCAGATATACGGTGTTTAGCCAATTCTGCATTCATCATGCTGATTGATATGTGACTGTCTGGAACTTAATAACTGTGGGATCGATACGGACAGTCCGTCTCCTCTGCTAGTTTCATATTGCCCGGCTCCTTCGGTCCTCGGTGGGTTCTGACTTGAATGCATGAACATCCCTGTAGCTAATGCACGAAGAGTAAGCATTTCTGTAGGCATTTGCTTTTTACGTATCGGCCCTTAGGGGTTCTCGTACGGGGCGTCCGGCGCTAAGAGATAGCTATATTCCGTACTCCATTTCGTGATAAAAGAGAAGGGAAGCTAAGCGAAGCAACATTCACCTGCCATGTGTTGGAGCTCTGCCGGAGTACAGCATCTGCATATATCCCAGCGACGGATCTTTGCAGTGGCCCAATCATCATGAGATACATATACTTGGACGGAGTATGCTGCAGCGCCAAGTTCACAATATATAAATAGAACTACTACTCTTCCTGGGGTAGTTGGAAAGGAATTTCGACTTGTTGTGCTAAATATATTTTGCATGTGCACATCATGGCGGCTATATTATATTGACGAGCTCATATGTCCCAATAGCAGGACCCAAAAGTCGAATGGAGGCGTTTAGGGCAGCACTTTAGTGAGAGCTTGGAAGTTGGGAGTACCAAATCCCGTTACTGGGTCCCATCCCTTAGTTGCATTCCAGCTTGCGTAGGGAACCTTCTTCGCTTTCAAGCCGCTGTATATATCGTAACCAGTGCAACCCCTGGAACCGCCATCAACAATATCTGTAAAGCCAGAGAAACCCTTGGAATATATCCATGGGTTCAAGAATCCCAGCACAGGAGAGCCCTTTGCCAGTCGGAAATCGTTAAGCTGGGCAATGATGGCAGCCATGGCAGGGGCGGATGCACTATAAATTATATTAGTATAGTCCATGAGCAAAGGTTACCAAGGGTTGTCGATATTTCCATACCTGGTGCCGGAGACTCCAGTCATCCTTCCCTTGTCATAGACAGCATAATTTGATCCCTGAGCTGCGATATCTGGGAAAGCACGGCCGTTGGGGTCAAACAATCCGCTCCACTGGTTGCCCAAAATTTTCAGGTAGTCTTTAACAGCGTTATCCTGATATTGTGGGCGGGGGAACCTGTCTGAGAAGCCACCAGAGGAGAATGAAACTGCACGCTCAGGACCGGTACCAACGGTTCCACCGATGGAGGTCACAAACGGGCAAGAAGCTGGGTAGATAGGGTTGAAGCGAGTCGCATTCTTGCCATCGTTGGTCTGGCATGAGCTTCCGGGCCCGGTATCACCACTGCTGAAGATAACAGACACACCCATAGTTCCTAGCTGAGCAAAGAGGTCGCAAGTGGCTTTGGTATAGCTGGCGGGCAAGCTCTGTTCTGTGTCTCCATAGGAAGTTGTCAATACAGATGGAAGCTGGTTCTTGGGGAGCTTTACGAGGTACCGCAGCTGTTCAAGGTATGGTTCGTTGTTGTTTGAAGCTTGGCTTGGCTGAGATAGATCGGGAATTAATGGGCCACGGCCAGCGGTGGAGTAATAGGTGACCTTTGCCTTGTGGGACAGACCGACGACATATTGCATATCAAGGTTGGCCTCAGTAGAGCTTCCAGGACCACCCTGAGTGTTCTTTCCTCCGGCAATAAGGCCTTCACTGAAATTAAATCCTTTGGCGGATGGCTCAAAGCGAGAGAGGAAGAGCTCAAGATCGCGGTATTGGGCGTACTCCTCCAAAAAGCCGGATACTCCAATACGGTTGTCATCCCTAGCCTGAGTGACACGGTCACCAAGTCCGTACAATTCTCGAAGGCAGGCAGTAGTCACTAAGGACCTGCACTGAGAAGCAGCAAATTCTTCAACGGACATGGATTCTAGATCCTTGGTCAAGGGGTTTAGGATCAAACTGTTCTGTGGCTTCTGTCGTCCAAATAAGGTAGTTGGCTGGATCATTTGGACATGAGCTGATATAGCTACAGGGACGGAATACTCCAAAGTTCGAATTTTTGAAACGGAATTTAGGTTGTCCTTGAAGACGTTGAAGCGGGTATTCATCAACGTTTCGGCAGTCTTGACATTGGTAGAGAATCTGACCCAGTCCCCTTCATCCCGAATATGTTGTGGGTTGACTCCACCATTGGTGAGCCAGTTGATGATGCTCTCACTCGTCTCTGCCCTTGGGCGTAGTAAGTCATCCAATTCCTCACGCTTCAAATGTTTGCCATATTGTGCGCGTCCAGGGGTGGAGACGTCATAGATGGTGTCGTAGAGCTTTTCTGGGTTTTCGCGCTCGATGGCAAGCCAGAAATCAATGATAGCAGCAGGGTCCGCGGCACCAACCATCTGCCATCCTTCTGGAACAAAGTCAAGATGTTCAATGACCTTGTGTGACGCCCCTGGAGTAGGCTTTGCGGCGGCAACTGATGCCAACAGGCACACAAATTTGAGAAGACGCATCGCTGCAGACACCCTGAGCTGGGGTTATGAGATGAACGGAGAGGATCTTGCAGTGAACGAAGGAGAAGAAGGGACAAAGTTCCCTGGAGAGCAGATATAGGTATTTATATACCATGATATACGGAATACGGCAACCGTATTCCTGCGGGTATCTTCCTGAAGCATTCTAAGGTACTCGCATAGAAGCGGCCGGGACATGGTCAATACTTGGTCTGGGGTATGCCTATTCATAGAAGATGCAGCATGAACGTATTTATACATATATGCATCTTGAGCAATGCTCGCAAGGTAGCGTCCGCCGGATAGTTAAGCAAGTATCAGTCGGCCAGAACATAGCAAAAGGTCAGGCTCCAGCTAAACCTGGGGTGAATCTTCTGTGGAGAGAGATCTTTTATACACGAAAAAGAGCGATAGCCATGTCTCGGCTGTTCACCCAGAGGCAAGAAACATTCAACATGGATGTTTTCCTACCAAGCAATGAGGGGAAAGCTTGTATCTCTTGCCGTCTCTAATCCTTGCTAAGCCTGTTTTAATCTGTTAGAGTTGACAGGATGTTACATCTGCGCATGAAAGAGAGCGTCATATACTCGGTATAAACTCACAAAACATCTCCCTCCGCCGACTTGCAGGGCATAAATATGCGACGGGGTACCCCGCGCGCGGCCATCGAAGGATCTGCATGGAGAGAGTAGGATACCCCTGAAAATCAACGGAGGATCTTGCCTGAACAAAGCGATGCTCGCTAATGCAATGCCTTCCCACTTCCATAATAATCCCGCGACTCCAATGCCATTTATCCATGACCTGAGAGACATACTCCGTACATCATCAGGCCTGGGTCTTTTCTTTTCTTTTTATGATTTCTTTCGGGGGATCAAGTCTTCATATTTCCGGGCTTATAGCACCCGCGAGCCTCTCCTCTTTGCCACAGATGGGATGGAATCCTTCTTCTTACCAAACCCGAACAGTTGGCGTAGCTATTGTGATAGTCGGTGAAAGCTAGTGGCGTTTCATATAATGAATGTCCTGTAGCCGCTTCTTATTCCCTGTTGAAGAATGCCGAGGAGGATAAACTACATACTTTGCTGCTTGCTGTTCGATTGTTGACCTGTCCGCTTCATGAGAGTGGAAAAAAAAAAAAAAAAAAAAAAAAAAAAAAACAAAAAAACAAAGAACCTGCTTATTATCCTTTATTGAGATAATAATACTAACAGTAATCCTTCGTAGCTCTAAGGACTACCCCGTTTGCTGCGCCGGTATAGCGAATATATCCCATAGTATTTGTTGTGGGTAACAATTGCGTGATGTTGCTCAAGGTAGAAATCCTCACTTTTCAAGATAAAGAAATGAAATAGCCCTTTGTTCAAATAATCCAGCTCTTCCGGGGGCCTTGATCCTCGCATTACACATCATTCACGAAAGCACTATTCGGTGCTGCCAGTTTTATTTTCGGGGCTGAGATTAATGCCTGGGATGGAAAAGCATCACATAGATATTGATCTGGAGATGTTCCCTGTCGCTGAAGAGGAACATTTGCTTGCCTTTACTGCAAATGGAGTCAAGATCGGGATGATCAGGAGCGCTGGCTACTCAATCGAAATAAACGACGTGCCAGTAGAAAGAATGGATCGGCTTGGAGAAATCCATACCACGAGTCCAATCATGACGACACTTTCCGTCATTGGCGTCCTTGTGCTCACTGCACTTGTTGGGCTTGCGGTACAAATTGCCAACCTATACGTGTTTCGAGCCATGGTTTGCAATGCGATAAGCCGTTGAGCAGCGAAGTGAGTATCAAGAGTACTAGTTGATCCTCGCCCAGACTTGCTGACTAGAAATCATTGAGCACAAGAATCCACGTCAGGGAAATGTACCGAAACAGTTATTCCAGGCTATACGATGTGGGTCAACGAATCGATATTCTGAATGGACGACCGTCGAAACCGATATTGGCTGTGAGTTTCCGGAAGCACATCGAGCGCAGTAGTTTGGCTGATATTTCGAGCCCAGTCGCCTGCACACGCTGGCTTAGACAGATATATTGCTAGAATATGGCCTGGGGTGAAGGAGAGTTGAGTGGGTGCTGTTTATGCACCACGTTAGTAGAAAGTAAATAAAATCAATCTCTTATTCAAGATCCATACGACACAGTATATCGGGGGCCAACAGAATCATTCGTATTGTTACTGCCTTGCTATAGTATCGATCCATTGTAGCAACCCAGGCAATGTTTTGAATCCATCGATACATCTTGGACAGGCATTTAAGTCGGGTGAACGTTTGAGCTTTGGTCATAGCACGCCGTGGAGCTATCAAACACCTGCCTACATGAGGAGGCAGGGGGTATGCATTGAGCCCTGGAAGCAATTGCACGTTATGCAGCTATAAAGGATATCTCACGAACAGTCGATAAGGTCCCGGTTTAGCAAGACTCCAGATTAGGATATTCGGCAGTGCAACAATCATAAGAGCACTGCAATGGCATAATGATATCCGCGACCGGGGTTGCTGATGATATTGGTACAAACCCCTATCTCCTTGACCTCTCAAGCCGCTGTGAGCTTCCAAGCGAATTCCTCTCTAACCTTGTCTTCAATTGTTCCTCGGATGAAATCCTTGAGAGTATTGCCGGTCTCTCCATCCATTGCAACGTCTCCATCTCCATGGCTAGTGCTACTGGCATAACACAGCGTTGCTGCGAGGTCATGGACATCGTCCCACTGCTTTAAATTGAAACAGCCTTGGCTTTCATTTAGAAGGAGGTTTCCCTTGGAAGTAAACGCTAAAACGTGCAAGGAGGTACTAGTTTTTATCTGCTCCGTTGATGGGTTCGCGAGTAAGTCACCCGAAGGTGATATAGCGATTAGGCACGCTGTATATGTCATAGCCATCGGTATTCCGGCAGACAACAACCCGAGGAGTGCAGCATGTAGGAGCGATGGTAGTATCGAGAGGTACTAGGGGGATTGAAGCGTTAGACGTCACCACCCATTACTGTCTCAAAACGAAAAAAAAAAAAAAAAAACAAGCATTGAACAATACTTACGCTTCCACCCCGGACGTCCACTTTGCCATCTACAATGCGATTCTCGACCACAACCAGAGTAACGACCACCCCTTTGCGCGCCATATTTTTGTCCCTCATGAGGATCACTCGGCCCAATAGGCCACGCAGGATGCCTTCAACATACCGCTCTCCCGGACCACTGACACCTACGCCAGGCTTGACCAGCACCTCAAGGGTTGCTTCCTCCGGATTCTGCACATCGCGTCGACTTACTTCTCCAGGTCCGTTGACTGAGGCCAGGATCTTTTCGCCAGCTGGAGAGGTATATGATGCTGATCCATTGGCGAACCGGAGCGGTGTAAGGGAGGCCGTCGGAGTTGCCATCGACCCAGATGTTGTCCCAAGTGCAAGGGGGAGCGCAGGACGGATCTCTTTTCGCAGTCAGACGACCCAAGTCTGCAGGCTGATGCTCGCTTGCTGTTTCGCTTGTTATATTTCGTGATGATTGTCAGCTTTTTGACGGCTTTTTCTTTTTCCTCTGACTTTGACTAGACGCTTATGTAATGCCGCCAAAAAAAAAAAAAAGGTCCAGTCCAGCTTTCATAGCCGGGAAGATCTATCTGTCTCTTGTTTCTGTCTCTGATGGGAGGGTTATCAGGACCTCCTGTAAGGAGAAAGGAGCTAGCTGATGATAACTATACCATGGCACGGTATATCCAGTAAGTTATTCGGCATATGTTTAGCTCGTTGATCGTCCTTTGAATCAGATATGTAGCCGCACTTCCAGCAGGATCCCTGGCGCGTCTCTTCGACCGAAGACAGCTTCACTTCCTCAATGCGTTTCTTAACTCATCAACGTTGTACATGGCGAGCAATCTGGGGTGAAGGAGATGTCGATCATCCTCTGTCGGAGAGGGGCGGATTACGTATCCGTCCTGCCTGCATCATCGACGAGGGAATAATGTGATAAAGAGCATCGAAATTATTAACATACAGTCCCGACAAGGACAAGGAGATATCTTGAAGATAGAGAAGCGGGCCCTCACTCTCTCCGTAACACCAATCGGCAAGTGTGATGTATGCATCCGTGTGGAACAATCGTGATACAGAGTGGCTTTTTGTCGCGTTTGGAGCGTTAAAGGACCGGCATGTAAAAGACACCAATCTCAACTTGGCTTCGCATGCACCTGTTCGCATAGACACCTCGCCAAGGTCTGTAAGTCTAGTTCACGCCTGACAATCGCTTAGATATTAACTGCCTGGCAATTGCGGAAGCGTAAAAAAAGCAGAGAAGGGCGTCATCACCAATCTCTCTCTTACACGTGAGAACTGTGCGTTGTGCATCAAACAAACGCTCCCCAGATATCGGCATATTGCATCCACAGTATCCTGCCGGTTTCAGGACGACCGACGCAGGTCTCCCTAGCCCAAGAGGGAAAGATGTCGAATGGGACCTCCATGGGGCCGACCCAAACCTCATCAGGGTTCTTCTCCGCTCAAAACAAGGCAAACGGATGCGGGAACCAGCCCTACACCTGAAAGCCGTACAACCATTTCCCCCTTCGTCGCACGCCGGTTGTACCATGTACTTCTGCCCGGGAATCTCTTCATTGTACTCTGTATGGATGTGCAGCTCATGGAATCGACACTGACATGGTTCCGGGCCCTCCCCCTCCCTTCCTCCCCCCTCCATAGCCAGACAGCTCCGAGCCAAGGGTGATTACCGAGGCGAACTCGGACGTAGTTATCGAACGACCTTTCTTGTCATCATATTATTTCCCTTCTCCCAACCGAGATGGCATTTCGCCAAGTTGTTAGCGGCCTCACTGGCCTCCACCTCCGCCCATTGCTGGAACGAGGCATGACGATGTCCTAGAACACGTTCTTCGTGTGGGATGCGATGGCGGATCCACCAGCAAGCCCCGCATGGGCTGTTGAGCCTGTGAGGGCCCGGGACGGCGGGCAGGGAAATCGCCGTGATGATGGGCGATTCTGGCTTTCTGGCTTCTCGCTGCTTGATCGCCCTATTGTCCCCACTGGCACCAGGATCTCCGTCCAATCTGACGGCACCCTCAGATTTCCACCGTGTTTCCATTCCGTATCTGTCGATAGCTTGAACGGCGTTGGCGAATCGCAGCAGGCATAGCCACCGAGCAAACAGGGAGATTGGGTCTAGCGTAGCCTGAGTAAGCTGTCATAATTGTGTGCTTGCCTTCGTTCTTTTCCAACGGAAAACTGAAAAAGCAAAAGAAAAGAATGGAGGCATGCATGGGGGAGACGGAGACCTGTGAGATATGAAGTAATATAAGACTAATAATAGTTGAGGAGTTAGTTAGTGAATGTGGTGCTGGCCGTCCCTTGACCTTGACGTTGATATAAAGTCGCCCTCCCGCTTTCCGCCTGCTTGGCTCTTCCACCTCGTTTCTTCTTCTATTTACTACAACCTCACCTGTTCAACTCTCAGACAACTAACTACGCATAACGACACCACGACGGTTCTGATACGACTAGCTAGCTGACGAAAGGGAGAGATAGCTGTGCTCATCGACCTCCGGCCCCGGTTTCGACTGCCACAATCGCTTTCTTCAGGGTCCAGAGAACCGCTCGAGAGGACAGAACACCAGTATCTGTCCTTGTAGACCCCCCTTCTCTATTGAATGGGCACGGAGATTTCTCAGCCGGATGTCGAGGAACCGACGGAACCTCCTATATGTCCTTCTATCCATGAAGAATCCAATAAACACCAACCCAGCCCTACCTTAGACCCTGAGGTCCAGGTAGACCATTGTCCTGCCAACTACCAGGACTGGCACGCCTACTATCAGCATGCCCATACTATCTCCATTGCAGATACTGCTCGGATTTTACGAGTTGATCTACAGTACGGAAACTTCATACCTTGTGTTGAATTAAAATTCAAACACTCTCTTTGAGCCTCCCCTTTTTGCCCTGGGCTAAAAAATCTCCTCTTCCAACTGGCTAACATTTCCTCTCCCTCGCCAGACATGGGCTTAGTAGTACCGAAGCGTCATCTCGCCTTGAGCGGGATGGACCTAACAAGATTAAGAGTGCGGAGGGGATATCCATGTGGAAAATTCTGCTAAGGCAGGTGTCAAATAGTTTGACTTTAGTATGTTTGCCTCCCCCTAGCCCCCTGAACGGCTTATCATATCTAATTCTTGAACTTTAGGTACTCTTGATAACGATGGCTTTATCCTTCGGGATCAAAGATTATATTGAAGGTGGAGTTATCACAGCCGTGATTCTTCTTAATATTGTCGTTGGGTAAGTTTGCGTCTCCATTTCGGACATTTCGCCCGGCTAACGCCTCTACTCTAGATTCGTCCAAGACTACCGTGCAGAAAAGACAATATTATCCCTCCAAGCCTTATCTGCTCCCACATGCAAAGCTGTACGTGATGGTAGAATTGAGTCTATCAAAGCGGAATCCTTGGTTGTAGGTGACGTCGTCCAGCTAGCTGTGGGGGACATGGTACCTGCCGATCTAAGGCTATTCGATGGTGTCAATGCTTCTACCGATGAGGCTCTCTTAACCGGAGAATCCATGCCTATCTCTAAACACCCAGATGCCCTTTTCACAACTAAAGATATGGCAGTTGGAGACCGCACAAACATGGCTTACTCAGGCAGTATCATGACAAGAGGCCGAGCTACTGGAATTGTTATATCGGTAGGTATGGATACGGAAGTCGGGAAAATTGCCCAACTTCTTCGTGACAACACTCTTCAGGCAGAGAATGCCTCGATCTACAGCCGAGTTTGGAAACGATTCAAGAGAAGCTTCGACCAAGTCCTAGGCTTGGTTGGCACGCCCCTACAAGTGAAACTCAGCAAATTCGCCCTTCTGCTCTTTGCTCTCGCCATAATGCTAGCTATCATTGTCTTCTCCGCGAACAAGTGGAATGTCCAAGGCGAGGTCCTCATTTATGGTATTTGCGTTGCGGTCGCTGTTATCCCAGAATCTCTGATTGCGGTATTGACCATTACCGTTGCCGTTGGTACCAAATCGATGGCAAAGGGCAATGTCATTGTCAGAAAACTCCAAGCTCTCGAAGCGGTGGGAGGAGTGACCAACATCTGCTCTGATAAGACTGGTACACTCACTCAGGGCAAGATGATCGCCCGCAAAGCCTGGATACCTGGCACCGGCACTCTTGCTATCCACGACACCAACAGCCCATTTGATCCTGACAGTGGCCTTCTCCAAATTGGTGGAAAGGACATACAGCCAAAAAACCTTGAGAATAACCTTAGACTTACAAAATTCCTGCATACCATCGCTCTTTGCAACTTGTCTTCCGTATATAACCCAGATAACAAGTTATCGACTGAAGGCTCCCATGCTGTCGACTCAAAAGGAGGGGACTGGGTTGCAGTTGGAGAGCCTACCGAAATTGCTCTCCATGTACTTGCCATCAGATTTAACTCTGGCAAACGTTCTGTCATTGAAGATAATGGCTTGGAGCTCGTTTCCGAATTCCCGTTTGATTCTGCTATCAAACGAATGACTGTGGTTTATAAGAGAGCTGGATCTGAACATGCAGCAGCCTACTCAAAGGGTGCCACGGAATCCATGCTTCCACTTCTATCAATAGACGATGATATGAAGCAGGAAATTCGGGCAAAGGTTGACAGGATGGCAGGCGAAGGTCTTCGCGTCCTTTGCATTGCTCACAAAACCCTATCCCCCGAAACCTTGAACAACCTCCCTGATCGAACAGAACTCGAGAAAGGTCTTGACTTCGTCGGACTCGTTGGCCTCTACGACCCCCCTCGCATGGAAACAGCTGGAGCGGTCCGCAAATGCCATATGGCTGGTATTACTGTTCACATGCTAACCGGAGATCACATCAAGACTGCAACCGCGATAGCGTATGAAGTCGGAATCCTTGGGAACCTGACTCCAAACGTCCGAGCCAGCAAAGTTGTTATGGGTGCCGACGAATTTGACAAAATGACAGATGAAGAAATCGATGCTATCGAAGCTCTCCCACTTGTTATTGCCCGATGCAGTCCATCAACAAAGGTCCGTATGGTAGAAGCCATGCATCGACGCGGTGCTTATTGTGTCATGACTGGTGACGGTGTGAACGATTCGCCAGCTTTAAAGCGTGCTGACGTTGGAATTGCCATGGGCAAGAATGGAAGTGATGTAGCCAAAGCTGCTGCAGACATGGTTTTAACGGACGATGATTTTGCATCAGTGGTCAAAGCCGTCGAGGAAGGACGACGCCTTTTTGACAATATTCAAAAGGTATGAGCCGTTTCACTATTTAATTGCCATAAGTGTATATGTACTAACATTGAACATATAGTTCTTGATGCACTTGTTGATATCTAATATTGCCCAAGTCATTCTTCTGTTGATTGCACTAGCATTCAAAGATGATGAAGGAAGCTCTGTGTTCCCGCTTTCGCCCTTGGAGATTCTTTGGGCAAACCTGATCACGTCCTCTTTCTTGGCCCTTGGGCTCGGCCTGGAGGAAGGCCAGGCAGATATCATGTATCGACCGCCACACAACCTGCGTGTCGGTGTTTTCACAAAGGAACTCATTGTCGACAAAATGATATACGGTACCTTTATGGGAAGCCTCTGTCTTGTCTCCTTCGTCTCCGTCGTTTACGGTGTTGGAGGTGGCTCCTTAGGTCAGGACTGCAACGAAGACTGGAACCCAACTTGTGACATTGTTTTCCGTGCCCGTGCCACCACCTTTGCAACATTGTCTTTCCTTCTACTGGTGACAGCCTGGGAAGTGAAGCACTTCTCCCGTTCATTATTCAATCTTGACCCATCCCGCTATCCGGGGGTCTTCTCTATCTTCCCAACCCTCTGGCGAAACAGGTTCCTCTTCTGGGCTGTAGCAGCTGGATTCGTGACTTCCTTCCCAGTCATCTATATTCCCGTTGTTAACAAGCTAGTATTCAAACACATCGCCATATCCTGGGAATGGGGCATTGTAGCTGGCTGTGTGGCCGTCTACATTGCTTTGATTGAGAGTTGGAAGGCAGTGAAGCGGGCTTTGAAGATCGGAAGTGCCGGTACATCGCTAATTACAATGCAAGATGCAGAAATGAGAGCTGGGCTATTCATGTCAGATAGCCTTCTGACCGATAGTGCTATCACCTCTCGAGAAGAAACACTGGAGAAGAAAGAATAGTGTCTCGGGCCGATGGAACAAAGAAGGCTGAGTTTTTATCTTTCCCACCAAATATGTGTTTTTGATGTCTCATATACTAGTTTATGCCTTATCAACTAGGCTTGCTTTTTGTTTTTGTTTTAAATGACTTTTTAGCATGCTCTTTTTTCTCAGTCTGAACGGTCTTGCTGATTTGGTCTGAGATGGCCTCAGTTGACCCTGTTTTGTTACAATTTATATATTCAACATATCATAGTACCTCTTCTCAATGTCATCAGTTACCCAGAGCTAGAAATGAAAGGTCTAGGCGCACATTATATCGAACTCCATTGTATTAATCCTCTAAACAGACTGCTTTGCACTCTATAGTGTTAGCGCCACAAATCCCCCTAATCTCATAAAATAAGTCAAAAATAAAATAAGGTAGTTCTCCGTAACTCTAGCCAACTCATATGTAAAAAAAAGGGATCTCCATAACTACCAAACGCCTTTTTTTTCTCCCTCCCTTATGATGGCAAACACCAGAGTCCGTCATTCTAGCAAGATGAACTCCACCAACCAAACATACATCCCCAATAACTGTAACTCATGCAAAAAATAAAATGATCAATCGCAGCAAGAAAGGGGGAGAATGGAGATATGAATTTCTATGTAATAGATACAGATCTTATGTCCCGTGAACTCACGTCGGACTTGTAGGCAAGGGGCGAGTAGAGAAGCTTGGCTGATGACGAGATATACCAGCGGATAAACTGCATCAAGGAAGCGCGGGAAATTGTCGTTGTACATGGTAACAAGAAGGGGAAAGGAGCAGTAAAGGGAAACTATCGACTGACCGAACACCATCGCAATGATATATTCATTTATATGTATAAGCGGATGGAATTTTATGGACAGTAAACATGTAGCTGGAAGGCGAGTCGGGATCTGAAAGGAAATGGACTTGAACTTTGGGTATTGTGTGCATTAGGCCCTAGACAGTTGGTATGGCTCTGTTCTCTTCAGAGTCGATGCTGCCATACCCAGTATCGTCGCTGAAGGTGCTCGGCCTTCTGCCCTGGACTCCAACAGGGGTTACTCCACTCGGTACACCCTCGGAGTCTGGAGAGCGGGCGGGAGTATGGCTGGGACCAACGCTTGATGTCCGCTGATGAGTCTTCATACGCTGGATTTTTCTGATATCGATGTCGACGCCTGCGTTACGACATACCTCAACGCAGTCTATCACAACCTTCTCCATAAGTTTGGCATTAAGGCCTGAGGAGATCGGGTTATATGCATTTCGTACCCAGAATATCAAATCTGCAGCAATTCGGGAAAGATCAGGGATAGGGATATCATGCTCATCCTGGTAGCTTGTCGTAGTCTCCGAGCCATCCGTTAGTTGGACTACTGACGAATGCATCGATGATGCAAGAGAAGAGCAAGGTAATAGCCTTTCATCGGTGGCAGTGATGTGGAGGAGATAATAATGAGAAGCGAACCCAAGAAGAGTGAGCTCAACTTCATCGACCGAGGCGGCATTGAACTGCTTGATAGCACTTGAAAGAGAGAAGGGAGAAGATGCTGGTTCGTCTTCACCTCTACCTACTTGGCCTCGTAATATCGCAGCAATCATTGCACAGCGCACACCAATAAAGATTTCGTCTCGTGCGGATGGCGGGATTGAGGAATCAAGAAAATTTGTCAAACCACAAGTGGAGCGAAAGTTCTCGGAGTTTTTAGCCGGCAGAGTTGAGAGGACAGTATTGACATTGTTAATTCTGTCTTCTTCAAAAAACAGGGCCTTCACAACGGTTGCTCTGGTATATGCTGTCGATGGGATTGGTGCAGAATGCAATGCTATATCCAGGCTTCTTTCGAAGGATTTGCGTTTCTCGATTGGTGACTCGACCGACACTAAATCTAGGGATTTGAGTAAGGCCTCTTGTAATGCACGGCTCGACCACCATGCCGCAAGCACGTCGAGTGGAGAACGAACGGCGCTATCTTCGACGACAACATCTAGCAATGCATCTTCACCGTCTGTTGCCTCCTGTGTCGGTCGATTCCAAACCATATTACTGGCACGTTGGACGATAGTGTCTGTGAAAACTTCATCACAATCCATCGATAAGAGGAAGGCAAGGTGGCTTGGTAATGGGTCCTCACCCCTTTTTGGCCCCCTTCGGTGCATACTTTGAGCAAGTTCCCACTGGTAATTTGCAAGTACCTTAGCAATGTAATTAGCAGCCCTGAACGCCAAGGAATCGGGAGAGCTAATTCTCCATAAAAGTACCCTGCAATGGAACGCCTTAAGCATCATGCGAGCAGGGCTACGGGGAAGAGTGCCGGCAGCAAAAATGGTTAAAACCAATCTGCTTTTGCTAACTTCCGCATCCCCTCCTGTAAGTTGGGCATCAAGAGCAATATCCCACGCTTTAACTCGACCTTTTTCATCATCCGCACTGATACCAGTAACAAAGGAATATAATTTCCATCCGAGCAGGCACCTCACACAGTATTCTAAACAGCGGGAGGTGACGGCAAACCATTCAGGAAAAAAGTTATGACGAGGAACACCAACGGTTTGTATGCTCGTAAGCCATGCATCTTGTCGAAATTCTGTGAAAGAGCAACCGGTCGAAACCTGTTGATGTGCTGAAACGTTTCGGGTCCTGGATGGTTTAAGAGGAACTCGAGATACTCTCGGTCTTGAGTTGAAAAGGTATAGAAACATGAAAAATGCACACCCAAACAGAATAAGAGAGGTAAGAGCGAACTGCGATAAGGCACGAATCTGCCAGGAATTAGCCCTGATAAAATAGACTTTCTGGAGGGCCAGGCGATAGAAGCTGCCGAGAAACTGGAGGGGGAGCGCAAAAAGCTCTTTCTTTTCCTCTGGATCAGAAGATCTATGACTCTCAAAGCCACCCATGACCATGATACCGGCAAGAGTACCAAGCATAAATTTGTTAGGGAGGCCCATGAACTGTCGTCGACTGCGAGTGGTCGTTTCCGAACTAGGAGCGGTGGCAGTACTAGCGTTTTCTAACGGTGCGCAGTCATACTCTTGGGGTTGGTTGTATTGAAAAGTGTCGGCATAATGCGGTTGAGGCCCTGTAGGGCGAAGTTGGTTGAATCCATCAGGGGGCCTTAATAGTCCTTCGGGAGGAAATAAGGGGTTCGGTGGTGAGTCGGGGGAAAAATCACTCGAGTGAGAAAAAATATCGGGAGATGTAACAACGGAACTTGTAGATACGGTGCAAGCTCCCGAAGGAGTCTCAGACCCAGTAACGGCGGGATACGAGACCAGGTTTATTCCCTGGGCCTTTTCAAGTTCACGAAATCGATTTTTTAAAGAAAGATTTTCCTCCTCGAGACGGCTGTTCCTGAGTTCCAGGTGTTTGATATATTCTGTAGCTTTGGAAAGGATTGACGCCTTGTTGAGTTTGTTTCCAGAGGTGAGGTCGATGTCGTCGTCTTCGTTCGACTTCTTTAGGTTTCCACCATGACGCTGTTTATAGGTCAAGCGTAAGCTAGGTACGCTGTCTCGTAGCTCCGCAATTTTGTCGTTGAGGTTGGCACGATATCTCTTTTCAATTATATTGTGCGATCTCTTCTTAGAGGGAGCTGACTTATCAGCAGCAGCAGCAGCAGCAGCAGCAGCCGCGGGTTGAGGTACGTCATTGACTGGAGAATCATCGTGAGACGACTTCCTCTTGCGTCCGACTGACGATGTAGGGGAGGGGGCTAAAGGAGAGGAAGCATCGGATGGTGGTGCCGGCTGTATTGTTTCAATAGTTGGCTGCTCTTGGAAGATGGTAGAGACAGAAGGCTGCTTAACGGCAGGGAGGCCGAGAGAGCCGTTGGATGGGGCTAGCGTATGAGTAGGCAGTATGGCATCATCTGAAGTGAAGGTGAAGGCAGACTGCGGGACAGACGAGCCAGGTATATTCGGTATATTGAAAATCGAAGGCTTGGTGTCTTCAATGTCGTCCCAGCGCATCCACTGGGCCCAATCTGCAGTAAGGTCGTCCTGTGCTGAAAACATGGCGGCCTTGTCCTTTGGTTGTTCTTCACTTTGGTCTGCAGGCGGTGTGGGAGTAAGATCTATGTGCGAGTCGGCTATGTTTATACTCTCTTCGACAATGTCGAGGTCAAATGGTGTAGAATCCGTCTCATCAGGACGGGGTTCTTTGTCTGTCTCCATTGTGACGAAGGAGGCTTTTTCTTTTTCTTTTTCTTGATCAAAACTGCTGGTATCCTGGGAGGTAAGAATCCGCGTTTCCAGTAGATGAAATGTGATGGATAATCGAATTAACCGGACCAGAGAATGATATAACGGCGGTCAAGGGTGGAAGAGACAAATGGACAGCAGAGTATGACGGTGAGAGCTAGGATGGAACCGGGAGAGCTCTTGGTTTATCCATAAGACAATGCAGCCGGAGGGCGCCGAAACCAGGGAGGACGACTGCAACGGTTGAGCGGAAAGGAGCTCCAGCGGATATATCATAAAACGTAATTTGGGATTGGGATGCGTAGGCCTAGGCCAGCGGGCCGCAGCTCGCCTGGACTTTCCCAGGACGAAGTCAGCAGGCACTGTTCGAAAATAGCCGAAGGGACGCAGTATTAATCTTCCGGGATGGGCTCAGTATTACTGTTGTTGCCCTGCCAGACATGCGCGCATAAAAGTATCCGTAAGATAAAAGAATGCCTGTGGCCAAAGCCAAGGGCTGGGCCAACGAACTGCCCTCGAGTCACAGAATTAGCGTTTCACTCTTGATCTGCTGGTTCCACGGGGCCATGCACAAGTACAGCAGCCCTGGACGGCCACTGCCCGTCTCCCGTACGCTGTCAGATGCTCGCCTCTGTCGCCGTCAAAAAGCTGGCTGCCTGGCCGGGAGTTTGGGCAGACGTCGAGCTCGGCTGCTCCCCTTTTGATATCAAAAAGATATGACGGCAAGGGAGGGACGCCCGGATGATGTAAGCGCGCTAAACCGCTCCGGGCCACGTGGAGCTGGACTCCGAAATCGTATGATTTTGACTCTTGCGCTAGCCGCTTCGGGCACCCTTGGCGCGTATCTGCCACGTGACCAACCTGGCGCCTGGCCCGGGCGTCTAATAAGAAGGCAGCGAACAAGGAAGATTCCGGGGCCGCGGAAGGTTCCGGCCTCCCTTCCGCCGTGACGCTCCCCTGATCCGTGTTCCATTTTCAATATGTTTTATGTATTATTATTATATTCAAATGCTGGTGTTGATACTCTGACATATCGACATACCGCTGATATAGCGTTTCAGCTGGACGGTTGGGGAGGGAGTGGGGGACCCATGTGCACCCGCCTCCCGCTTGATGTGTCTGTTCTTCTACTTCTGTGGGCGGTTACAGGACCAGAGAGAGAGAGAGAGAGGAGCCGCCTAGAGACTCTGCTCGATCAGCGCTACCTCGGCCATCACTTTCTTCACATTCTCCTTTGCCGCGTCGGTCGGCGGTTCGTATGGCCGACGTGGTCTCATCCTTTCTTCAGCATTTTCGATCCCAGCTGCCTTTGCACTGAAGACTGCTGCCGCATATTTGGTCGTGGCAATCCCAGACTTGCACAGGGATTCGGCTAACGCCGCCTTCTGATGCAGCTTCAATGCTTCTTCGACCCTGCCTGCTTTATACAGCTCATACACCTTCGATATAGTCTTGGGAAAGACGTTCGCGAACGCTGCAATGCATCCTGCCGAACCCACACTCAGCCCCCCGATTAAGAAGTCTGCCTGTCCACCGAATATGGAGAACGTGTCTGCAGCTAGCACTGCCGCCAACCGGGTGATTTTCCCAACGCTGGCACAGGTAAGCTTCACCCCAACAACATTCGAATTGTCTCGTGCGATTGCTGTAATCATCTCTGAATCGAGGTCAACTCCATTGCACACCCCAGGGAAGTTATAAATAACCACTGGCAGCGGGGAACTCTCGGCGACCTCTCCGAAGAACGCCCTGATCACTTTTGGTGTAGTTGCCTTGCCGAAGTATGCTGGTGGGAGCACAAGGACGTAGTTTGCCCCTGCTATGACCGCATCCTGGATGAACTGCAGCACCTGGTGGGTAGAGTGGCCGCCGACCCCAGCCATCAGAGGGTAGTCTGGGCCTACAGCTGCCCGGGCCGTACTGATGAGTTGTGCCCGCTCTTCGCGTGTGAGTAGGAAGGCCTCTGCATTTGTACCCAGAATGACCAGCCCGGTGAGTCCAGAGCGTGCAAGGTAGGCATAATACTCCTTTTGCGCAGGTAGATCAAGTTCATCGGTTGCTGGGTCAAAAAAAGTCACCGCCGGACACCAAACTCCCGCGGATGGAACTCGAGGGAACATCTTATAACGGAGTCCAGGAAAGATCAATCACTAAGAGCTATAGTCAAATACTCGCCTGTCTAGGTATATCTCTGTACCTGCTCTTCAGATGGTTGGGAGTGTAAATAGCCGATCTCACCAAAGCGCCGAGAAACATGGGGAAATTGCGGACTCACGCGGTCTCGTCGGCTAACTGACCCTCTTGCCGAGCCAGCCACCCTTGTAAGCGTTCGCTAGACTTCACCCGTCGATATACGAGAGACTGGCTTTTCTGATATTATTGCTGTTATTATCATTATTGTTATTACGGACGGTCTGGTTTAGCAAACAACGTTAGTAGTCGGGTCTAGGGCCCGTTTGTTTGTTCTCACGGCAGCCTGTGAGAGTCCTCTAGATGACACCACCACTACGAGGCTACGTCCATTTAATACGTATTGCTTGCAAAATGGTGATATAAATATCTGCCGGAGCTGCAGGCTCCAGGAGCTCCTTAATCCCCAGCAAATGTCCAACATATCCAGACGACCAACAATACGCTAGTTACAAAGTTGTAACAACTCCTGTTCCATCCCTATATATACACTCCAATTGAGCCTATATCATCCAAGTATGCGGTTACCTGCAGTATCGAGTCTACTCATCAACGTTGTATCTGCTGCTGCATATTGTATGGTTCAATCAGCATCGTTATCCTTGTCATATACTGAATATGCTAATACCGGTTTAGCTAGAGATACAAATTTAACAACACTCTGCCAACCGCCGAGTGGATGTCGTTGGCTTGGAAATGCCCCATTCTGCCACGGTAGATGTGGCAAGGGTCAGAATATCTGCAGGTATGACAGTGCAGGATGTGGATTTTCCTGCTGGAGTGGTCACAAAGCATTATGCTGTGATGTGCCTTGTCAATCACTGGGCACAGACATAGAACCTCAGGGGTAAAGATCAGACAAGTAGTCGGGCTACCTATCTTCAAACTACTAGGTAGAAGATGGAATTGAAATATCGTTGTGTAAACTGAAATTGCTATCATAATCATCTCTCATAAACATAAACAGCAAGTTAAGGACAGATTTTCTTTCTTTCTTTCTTTCTTTTTTTTTTTTTTTTGAGAAGACAAAGGAAATAAAAAAAGATAACTAAGGAAAAGAGTAGAACCAAACTCGTTTCACTACCTTCCTTCGGGTACTATAGGTCGACGTTGGATATAATCAAGCTCTTCTTCGTCATACACTCGCCCATACTCACCGTTGAATAGTCTCTGCACATCTTTCCGGTAGTCGACGTATGACGCGATCTTGTATTTCAGGTAGTCATAAATCTGAGGCCTGAATGCTGCTGCCGCAAGCGGCTTGCCTTTCCCAGCGTAATTGTCCCTATATCCTTTAACACGTCTAAAGGTGTGCAGCGGGTTCCCTGAGGATTGTAACGCCTGGAGAAGCCAGAACTTTGAGGAATGCAGCCCATCAATAAGAGTGTTGGAGTGAAGTTTCCCGTTTGGGAGTAGAGGTCGCTTGGCTTCTTCGTGCCGGAGGGTATGGGCAAATTGCCTATAGCATATCTGGAGCCGGTCATCCTCTGTAGACAGTAATTTGTCGATGTCCTTTCCAGTTATCCAGGAAGGTGGTAACATTAGTTCTATAGGTAAAGAGCATATAGATTGAACCTCAATGAACTGTTTGATATTCCACTCTTTGTCAACCAGAATATTTTGAACAGGCATGCTTCCTAGTTGCATGACGAACGGGCCATGGCGGAGGGTAGTATCCATCACTTGAGGTAATATGGATCTCATGAAAACTATGGAAGAAACAGTCTCAAAAGCTTCAACTTCGTTGGGTAAAATATTCTTTTGGTAGTCAATACGGTTGTCATGGATACCAATGCAGTCGTTGTAGAAGCTATCCGTATTGTTGTAGGTAGTGTCACGCGGAATACCACTCGGAATTCCTAGATTCTCAAAGCGGCTGATGCGAGAAAATAGGGGGCGATTAGACAACGATAGTTGGCCATTATTGTCAATAGTCCAGGAGCCAATTCGTTGTTGTGGAATATTTGCGAGTGACATCATGGCCTTCGCAAAACTGCGGTACAGATTTTGCGTCTTCGATTTCTGAATAAATTTCTCGTAATGTAGCTGAAGATCGTTATGGCGCATTCCAAGTCTGTCGGGCAACGGCCTTAACTCATCGTTAATCATGATCCTTTCGGTTAACATGTAGCCATGGTTCAGAAGCGCAGTGCGATTCCGGGGAATATATTGACTGAAATCTGAGTTACCAAGGAAGAGACGGTGAAAGATACGGTATGCATATGTTTTTATGCGTTGCCATATTGTAACACACTCTGGCTTGAAGTACTTTTATGCATCAAGAAATCTGCTTGTTAGTGTGTTATTCAAACATCGGGAGTAGCGGGCAGGATATACTGCATACGTACACTGAGTCCGCCTGGAAGCCCAAACCCGTAGAGTTTTGGGATTGGAATATCTGGGCAATTTTCACTGACCCAAATATGGGTTGCTGCCTCTGTTCGTAACTTCTCTTCTGCATTTCCAGGAAATTCTTCCTCGCCAACCATATACGGCAATGGGAGCTTGAATGCTAGTGGTGTTGGTTCCTCGCCCCCCGGATAAGCAACATACACAGGGATACAAAGATTGAAACGGCCATGATGCCAAGTCTCTCCTGTAGTAGGATTTGAGACAAACACATGATCGGGACTCGGTAGTCCACAATGGGAGGCTACAATAGCTTGTATTTCCGATTCTCGTTGCCCTAACTCAAAATATAAATCTTCCTTTTTGACGGGATATTGCAGCGTTTGGATTATGTCGTCCTCCACGCTCAAAAGGGCCTGAGGCAGGGATATGAAACCATTGACAAGGCTTCGGAACAGATTATGTCCTTCGGGAGGCTTTATTTTCCAGAAAGCATCGGATCTTTGTAATGTTGGAATTTTAGGACCGGCCAGAATTGGGTATTTCTCTTCCATATTTTGATCACGGCGTTCCATTTGTCGAATCTGGTCCGAACAAGAGTAACCCTCCTCCTCCTCATCTTCGTCTTCTTCTTCTTCCTCCTCCTCCTCCTCCTCTTCTTCATTATTCTCACTCCGTGAGCTAATATCTTCTGCGATTTGTCTAGGAGAGAGAGCTGGGCTAAGGATCACAGTTCGCAAGGAGGTGCGTCTTGGAGGGGGACCCCCAGTGGGATAATTCCGCACTTGACTAAATGGGCTTTTGAATCGAGGATGGTGTAGATTTGGCCGTTCAGATTCCTCGGGATCGTCATCATTGCCATTGATGGAAATATCATCAGGGAAACAACACTCAAAGGGCAACTTCGTCTGCTTTGGAAGCCACACTGCCCGTTTTTCGGGTTCAATATAGTGCTCATTCCCACTTGTCTGGCTAGAATCTTTCTCTTCAGACCTGCTGTTTGAAAGCCCCTTATGGGTACCGGGGGTGCCATTTTCTTTTTCAGCGGGATTAGAGCTAAGCCGGGCACGGTCTTCGTCAATGTCGTGGCGGTTTTTGTGGGGTAGGACTGCCGATTCGATATACCTTTGCAATTCAAGGTAGCTATTTCTGGATTTATCTCTACCACGTAGTTGACGCTCGAGCTCAAGATTTGTCTTAAGTAGATGCTGGCCCTGCACTTGGGTGCTTCTTAACCTCAGTGGTGATGCTGCATGGGTGTTGATCCCAGCCTCCACGGAGGGGCTAAGCGCACGTCCAGAATCCGGCATTTGGTGCGAATTCTAGACAAATAAATGAGGATCGATATTTCGAAACAGCGTTATTCAATCAGGTGATAGATATAACCCAGTAGTAATACGATCATAGAGGGGGCATAAAGATATAGAATGCGGTTTTTGGGCCTGGGGGAGCGGATATTGACATGCCATAAGTTGGGTTGAATATTTGAGTAATGGATTAGTATTGGAAGACATCTTGACTTATATAGCAACTTTTGAGTCGAATTGCTAGAGCGAAAAAGTGAATCAAAATATTTCATGCGTCAAGGGCGGAGTAACCGCCAGCAAAAGGTGCCCTTGCATGAACTTGAAAGATAAAACATCCCCCTGTGTTCAGGAGGGGGGCTCCAAATTTAGCCCTTTCTGTGGCGCTTATAGAGATGACGAGTTAGTTATGGAACCGTTTGGAGGTAGAGATTCTAAAAATACTTAGAAACCTTGGAGCAAATGTCATCCATGCTCGCTGCTCGCTACGCTGTGGTAGCCACTAGCTTGAGTGATAAAGCATGTACAAGGGATGTTTAACTCATGGTTTTGATGCGAGGATTCGGAGATGATCCTCAGTATCAATGCAACCTAATTAATTTGAGTCGGGTATAGGCTAACTATACCAGCATCGGAGTTGGTGATTTCGTGGTTGGATGAGTTTCTCAGGGTATCCATTAACTAGCGCTTAAAAAAGAGAGAACCCCATTGGCGTTCCGTGAGAGTTTTGGATCCACCAAGGACATTGGGGGCCATTGCCGTGTGGAATGGTCCAAGCGTGTTAAAATCCGAAACCCTGGGGTCCTTGCATGGCGCTTAATTCCCTCTCTCCCCTTCCTGGGCGATCAGCGAGTGAACTCCTGCCGTTCAGCCTTGCCCAAAGAAAACTGTTACATTGCTTTTGATACCTATATCGATGTGGACACCACCCCCGAACCGTCTAGCCGGCAGCCTTGCTATTGCTGGTTCCATGTTCATCCATGGGATGCAATTCTTAGGTGCAGCCCACAAAAAAATGGACGAGGGATCAGAGTCAAGCCAGGGCGGCTAAAAGGAAGAAATGAATACTAAGGAGTGCATGGTAATAATCTTAGTAGAATAAGTGGTGTTATGGAATAAGACTGCATTAATGCATTTTTTGCTATCATTCTCCTCTATTTTCTGAATGTTTCTCCCATTTCATATCCCTTTTCTTCCATTTTCTTTGCACAATAACTACAACCAAAAGCCCACTTGTACATTTGGTAAAAATAAACTTTCGGAAGCAGCGGAAGTGTAACCTTATTTATAACCCGATGAACAACTAGTTCGATTTTACTATTGATTACATAAATATCCGGTCGGATCATACCACTGATTAGTAAGCAAGCCGTTGGATACTTGAATTGGAAATTCTTTCATCGAATGCTATTTAACCTACCACGCATTCATATATCATATCGATCGTTTTATAGCCACGAGTGCTACTCTGGAGAAAAATTTCCGAAAGTCTCTGCACAGCTCCACTAACTTGGATAGGTTCTAGTTGACCGTCCTATCTTGATGCCTTCTGGGTGCAATAATGCTCATGTGGATATTTTAAGGGGAACTAACTCCACTAGCTTTCACGTGACTACGCGCCGAGGTATCCAAAACGACCCATTGTCAAAACAACCACAGCATTTACATCTTGTTGCTTTCATTCATTACAATTTGATATTCTTGAACAAAACTGATATATCGCTTTTTTATACTGAGTTTATTGGAATATGATGAACACTTGATATAATTATCTGCAGGTCGGCTTCAAAATCTATATCTGCTCTTTGATGGCAGCGCCCAATCTGTGTACTACTGGTGAACTAACTTGTCCGATCACTACAGTCAAAGGCTGCTGGTCACCTCCACCTCAGAGACGAAATCGCAATGGACAAAAATGATCCTCTCAGACAGCCACTGATCCCTCAGGCAGACGAGATGGGTCAAGGAGATTCTGCCCTGGCCATTATTGGCAATAGGCGCGTCCAGCTTACTGAAGAAGAGGTCCGTATTCCACCTAATAGCCGGGTTCCCCATTTGTATTCAGTACATCCTTCAGTGCTATTAGTGTATGAGTCACCTGGACTAATATTATCCTGACTATAGAATAGGAAAATACGGAGGAAAACAGACAAAGTCATCCTTGCTATCCTTGTCTGGGTTTACTTCTTGCAGGTATGAAATGCCTGCTTAGCAATACCCCTTGACAGGCTTCAGTATGACCATTGGAGTACTATGCTTATCGGACGCCGAACATCCTGATCAGATCCTTGATAAAACTGTTCTAGGCTATGGAGCAATCTTTGGCCTTATTGAAGATACACATCTCTCTGGTAACCAGTATTCACTCATTGGTTCGATTGGCCCCATAGCCCAACTGGCATGGCAACCCTTTTCAATGATTTTAATTGTTAAAGTGCCACATCGGGTCCTAATGCCAACCTTGGTTCTCGGCTGGGGATTGGCACAAGCTGCGATGGGCGTCTGTAATAATTTTGGGGGTTTGCTTGCCACAAGATTCTTTTTGGGCCTTTTCGAAGCTGGATGTCTCCCCCTTTTCAGTGTCATTACCAGTCAATGGTATCGCAGAGCCGAGCAGCCCATCCGAGTCGCAGCTTGGTATGGTACAAATGGCGTTGCTACCATTGTTGCCTCTGCGTTATCCTACGGTTTAGGTCACATACCAACTCAAACAATGCGGTCATGGAGAATGTGCGTATATACCCTTATCGTAACACCCTTCCGTTTACTGACATATTTTCAGAATATTTATCTTTGTCGGACTGGTCACTATCATATCAGCCCCATTCGTTTATTGGAAACTGGATAATGATATCCCTTCTGCTCGTTTTCTCACGGAGCATGAGCGCGAACAAGCCATCGAACGCCTCCGTGCCAACCAAACGGGGACTAGGGCAACGGAGTTCAGGTGGTCACACGTCTTTGAAGCGCTTCTTGAACTGAAAACATACTTGTGGATTGCAATGAGCTTGCTTCTCAACATCGGCGCGGCCGTCACAAACACGTTTGGGCCACTCATCCTCAACGGCTTTGGGTACGACAAATATATCACATCACTCCTCAACATGCCGTTTGGAGCAGTTCAAGTTATTGTTATTATGCTGGCGTCATATTTTGCCCAAAAACATCGGAGAAAATCTGCGGTGCTGATCCTCCTGATACTTCCGGTTATTACAGGGCTCTCAATGTTATATTCTCTCCCACCAGAAAGTTCTCATAGTGTGTTAGTATTGGCATACTATTTGCTTGCTTGTATCTTTGGCGGAAATCCACTCATTGTTACCTGGATTGTTGGAAATACCGCGGGTACTACCAAACAATCGATAATCACCTCACTATACAATGCTGGATCGTCAACTGGCAATATCATTGGGCCATTATTGTTCGTCAAGGAAGATTCGCCTCGATACAGAAATGGATTGCGCTCAGTTCTGATATCATTCATTGCTCTCGCCGTCGTAATACTAGCTCAAGTTGCGAACTTAGTTGTCCTCAACAAATTACATAGGCGATCAAGAGCAGCAGAGGGGAAAAAAGCTAACATCAAGGATGTATCCATGAATGAGCAATACGCAGAGTTCGATGAGGAAAATGATGGCCTGGAGTTTGCGGAGTCCCAGGGCTCTGAAAGTCAGGACGAAAGAACTGGCGAAATGGACACCGCCAGAATAATTTCACGGAGACGGCTGGGAGAGAATGCTTTCCAGGACTTGACTGATAAGCAGAATAACGAGTTCATATATATCTACTGATGATGTGGGTATTGTGCTTTTTCTTTTCTTGATACCATTATCAATCTGGTCTACATTTTTCGTTGGGATGAGTCTGCCTTCTAATTATGAAGCCTATTATACAGAACACTTCTAATTATGTACATTCATTACTGAATGGGAAGTAATGATCCTCCTTCAGCTTCTATCAGGGTATATGCGTAACACATGAACCTCAGTAAAACCCGCCATAATCCTGAAAAATTGATCGGAATAACGAAATGGTCAAGCATTTAGCCCAGCTGCAGATGACCTGAGGTACGACAGTTAGTCATATATATACTTCTTCGGATGGGCAGTTGATTAGGATTCAATGCTTGCCTGCATCCATTAGTTCTGTTGAGGAAGCGCCTTAGCAACCGCATTCGCTTTTACCATAACCTCGTCCCATTCTTTATCGGGCTCGCTTAGCCAGGTGATGGCACCCCCAGCGCCGAGCTCAAGGTCAGCCCCATTCTTGACTATAGTGCGTATTACGACTGACTGATCAACAGTTCCACTGGCACACATATAGCCTAAGGAGCCAGAATATATTCCACGTTCTGGTTCTCCCTCAAGCTCATCAATTATCTTCACTGACCGGAGCTTTGGGGCGCCAGTCATGGAACCTGGTGGGAAGCAACGCTCCACAACTTTGACACCCCCAACATTTTTGGCGATTTGAGATTGGATGGTGGTAACAAGCTATGAAACGAATTAGAAAAAGTAGGCCTGAGTTTTATGAACTAGGAAAAACTCACCTGATGTACAGTCTCATAGCTTTCAACTTGAAGTAACTTTGGAACCTGTATCGACTTGGAGGGGGAAATATTGTGCAGATCGGAGCGAATCAGATCAACAATCTACTCAGGGGGTCAGTTAGAAGGGAGTAATAATGAAACATTTAATAGAGTTAGGGGCTGAATGTTATACCATTAAGTTTTCGGCCAATTCCTTAACGTCGGTGGCAAGCTGGATCTTTCTCCGTTCATCCTCCACTTGGTCCGGACTTACTGCTAGGGTGCCTTTGATTGGCTTCATTTCTGCAATTCCATCTCCGTCGACCGATATAAATCGTTCAGGAGAAGAGGAAAGTATAGTTGTATCGCTAACCGGGAAGTGGATGTATGCAGAGTATGGGGCGGGGTTGCGGCTTCGAAGTGATAGGTATAGTGAATAGGGATCCACATCTGGACAGTGTGCTCTGAATCGCGTAGTCAATGTGACCTCGTATGTTTCGCCCTCTTTTATAGCCTGCTGAGCAGTATGGATTTTCTGGCTATACGAATTTTCATCGTCAATGGCTTCAAAGGTGGGTAAAGATGTTGGGAGAGTATATGGTGGTGAGGGTGGCGCGGCAAATAGTTCACGAGTGTTCGAAAGAATACATTCATATTCATGCTGGGTAAGACCAATCGGTGAATGGACACCGATAAATTTTCCGATTGGGTCTTCTTCTCCACGACGAATCAGACCGAAGGCCATCCATTCACCCGTATAATTGTCCAGCCTCAGAACAACGTTGGTAAAGAGATGCTGGCTGTCCGGAACAGAATGAGTGTTTCCCTTCTCAGTTGACTTCCTATATCTGTAACCAGGTAGGGATTCACGTTTCATCTCATACCCGAAGTACCCAATCAGTCCAACCTGAAGCAATGGCTGGCCCGCTTGGGTATCCTCTCCGAGTAAATCTGGCTGTACAGATGCAACATTTTGCTCAATGATGGTTCGCTGGAACTGGTCGAGCCATGACCAATAGGAAGTTGTAAGCTTTTCTGACTTGACTTGCTTTCCTTGTTGAGAAACAGAGAGTTTTCCAGTTTCTGACCAGTAGCATAGCGTAAATGCACCAATGCCCAAGTACGAATTTCTTGAATGCGCATCACGGACCTAGCCACAAAGTTAGTATATGCCTGTGTTTGACAAAGGGGTGAATCGGATAGATCTATCTGACCCTGGCACTGTCCAGCCAAGCTTCGCCATCCAAAGAAGAATTTCGAATTATAGTATCAAAAACAGTTTGTGGTGCAACCCCTTTTCCAAGGCTTGTACCTTGTATATAATACGGACGTACAACATCTGTTGCTATTGACCACGGCCTTTCATTCTGGGGATTGAATGTACCTTGGGCCTCCTTAACAATGGCGCTTTTGCTCAGGATAGAATCCGGCAGTAATCCAGTACTTGAGAATTGGTGAGTGGTGCTAATGTCCGAAGGCTGGATAGCCCAGAATTGGAGGACCTTGTCCCGGAAATTATCCATGATGTGCTGACCATATTTAGAGCACACACTTTCGGGGTGCCATTGAGTTCCGTAAATAGGGCGACTGCTATGCTTAATGCCCATTACCACTGGTACACCTTCGTCGAATGTCCAGGCTGTTAATTCTAGCTCCTTGGGTAAACCTATAAATCGAAATCAGTAACACTTTCCTGAAGTGACCACTCAATTAGAATATTTCGAACCATTGAACGGAAGTATAAGACTATTATATCTTACACCCTCAAACTGTTCCGGAAGGCCTTCAAAGATTCCAGTTTTGTTATGGTGAATTTTGCAGACTTGGCCATGTTTGATGTTTGGTGCATGTATAATTTTTGCTCCAAAAGCTGTACCAATCCCTTGGTGGCCCAAACATATCCCCAGGATTGGTATGTTAACTTCTCTGATTAGTCTTGAGTTAAAGCCGAAATCCGACTCCTTGTCAGGGCTTCCAGGGCCAGGGGAGAGAATTATAGCATCCAGATGAGGAAGTACTGAGGCCTTAAACGTATCCCTAATAAATGCTTTGTCAGAAAGTGTGAATTCAACTAACAAGGTGATAAGAGACCAACCAAGTGAACTCATCAAAACGTATGACAGCCACGCTCCAAGTATTTTGTAAGAGTTGTACGATGTTATTTGTGTAAGAGTCATAATGATCTATAATGACAACGCGTAACGGTCTTGTGTCTGCCGTCATTATGCCTTGATCGTTAGCAGCAGAGGGCTGTCTTGAAGAATATATACTGGTATACGCTTTCCAGAGCAGCACTCTCCCGGGGTAAGGAGGAATCCGAGGGTGTGCACTTTCTGAGAACCAGGGCAAGACGAATTTATACAAACAGCCCTCCCAACAAAATTAAGGCCCGAATAGAAGATATTCGGAGCAAAAGCGGATTCGGAGGTCAGGGTTCTTTAGGAGAGATACCTCTGGTACTGGGAGCTTTCGTGTGATGCCTGGAGTTGGGTCCACAGATTCGTCTCATTCAGGGTATACATACACTGCTCGTGAGCCACAACGGCTGCAACTATTATTATTGTGCGCTCAGCAAAGCTCTTCAATTACAGAACATTTCAGGTCTCTTTTTCAAGATATCCTTATCAAATTTTTTTCTGCTCCGTCTGAACCCTCCTGTGAAAAGCAAGGAGGAAGAAAAAAGAAAAGAAAAATTGTCCGGCCAAGCCACGAAGAGCAGATTGCGCAGCACGTGACCCAACCACCACCTGGGAACCCGGGCCCCTGGGCGCCCAACTCGGGCATCTGAACTCGACCAGGCCCATGGATCCCAACTTCTCCTTTGTAACACTATTTATGCATATAGCGGGACTTCTTGGATGATAAAATTACACAAAATTGCATGCTGCTGTTTGGGAATATGCCTATGCATGAATATGCAGGGTTGTGGAGTGAGAGTATGGAAAAAGATGGCCGCTGTCAGATACGATACCCCCAGGTGAAGAGTGTCTGGCATGCAAGTTCGCAGCGACCATCCATGAACAGCCCGGAATGAAATCTGAAGCACGCAAGGGACATGGGTTGCTCACTAAAGGGATCCGAGAATAGCCCGGCGGTTAGCTTGCCACTTGGTGGAATCCGTTGTGGACAAAAGCCCGGGAGCATGTCGAGTGGGACTGATGGACAAGCGCCGGCCGTGTTTCAGCCTGCAGCGCGAAAAAAGCATTATTCAATTCCGTTCAGAAGCGTGAACCTCAAACTCGAATATTCCCGACGAGGTACTCCGTACTCCGTACAATTGCGCATAAGCATTCGATCCAGATATTCCCCCTCAGGTACCATATTCATACTTTCCGGAGAGACACTACACAGCTCCCAGTTTTTGGTATAATTAATGGCAGAGGAGGGTCCCAACCCGAAGAGCAATCATCCATGACCCAAAAACTGGCTTCGCAGGACATAAGAACAGCTTGCTTCGAAAAGCATGAATTTTGTTGCTCATTGAGATGATTCCACCTCCCAGGAGCAAATTCCAATGCATCTGAACCCCAAACCCTAACGTTGCGACAACATGCTTCTATATCTGCTGCGTGGGGGGGGGGGGGGGGGGGGGATTCGTTTGTTGCTGCTAGGGCTAAAAATGACTATGAACGCTGTGGGTTGGTGGTAGAGCCTCAGAGCTTCAGAGATGACATTGCTTGCAGAAATGCCTGGGCTGAGTTCCTGGTTGAACTGTTCTTTAGTTGTGGAAGAACTCTACAAGCACCTGTTTGAACTCCAGTGAGCGATCGCCTGTGAGGAGGTTGACCTCTAGAAAAGCTCGCAGAACTATTTTCCACGTCTTCTCGAAAGATGGTAGAATAAGATTCAATGGAGTTAAAGCTGGGCTACTAATTTGGATATTCGGAAATATTGCCTTGAGAGTATCATTAAATAATGTCTCGCTTTTATAGCTTGATCGTTTCCCTTCACCTGCATTCTTGGATGATATCCAAATTCTTTTGATATCCTCCGCCAATTTGAGTACGTCTTTATACTGGGTTTCGTCAGCATCTTTTTGAAGGACTGTGCCTAGAACGACTGTGAGGCACAACTCTTGTGCCACACTTGTGATGGGAACTGTGCCTGCATTGCCTATCTGCTTGAAAAATGCTAGGGATTCAAGGGCAGTAGCTGCAAGAGTAACTACTTTCCCCCAGTCCGTGCCGTGGAGAATCCTCTGCTTTGTAGCAAGAGCTGCAATCTTCCTTATGGCAGTGTTATCCTCGTTAGTGAAGGCATTGCCTATCCCGACTTCCCGCCGAAGAGCTTGGTTTGGACCGGCTCTTGCCTGATACCCGGTTAGGGTGTTTTCCAACATGCCATTCAACGAACTCCTCCTGGTAATGGCTGTTCGACAGTCTTCCACGTCAGAAAAACGATAGTTGATTTTGGCATACTCTTTTGAGCTGTTGTTGCAACTATAACAATGGATGGCTCTCGCATGGAGGAAATGCCATCATGGCACCAATGTTATTCAGAGCTTGATATCTGGAAAGTGGATGGTAGTAAAGAAATATGAGTCTATATATATTATTTCTGATATGACGCAGGCCTCCTCTCCGTTAGAAAACACTCGAGCTTTGCAACGGAACTTCTCATTTGCTGCTGAAAAGCAGAAGACCCCATCCTCAGGATGATACACATTGCCTATCTAGGCCATGCAGGTACATCTCGCTGCCTAGCAAACTATCAACCGTCTCCGCCTAAAATTACTCATTGGCATTGCTTCACTCACTCATACTTTCTAGACAGTGTTTTGCCCGCAGTCTCTACATAATGAAAACAAATCTCATATCTCCAAGGGACGAGGTCGGTCTTGGATATGATCTACCTCTGGTACTTCTTTAAGACAGTACTGGGCTGACAAATATCTGCTAAACGAAAAATGTTTATACCTCTTTTCATATCAACTTAAACGACGGCAGGTCACCAACGATAGTTACTTATTCTATTGGAGATCCAGGTCTTTCAATATCAATTTCAATCTCCATGGCTTCCACCAGAACTAGCTCAATTTTATCACTACCCTAGGATGTCCCCGTATGGTCCAAGGATGATTTCTCATCATTGCCTCTGGCATGAAGATCAATTCCAGCCTATTAAATCAAGCCCTTTACATTTTCAACATTTTCAATATTACCAACTATGCTAGCAAACTCCAACGGTGTTCTCTCAGCACTATCCTTTCAGTTAGGATCTATTCTACCATTTGCGAGAGCAGAAAAAGCAACCAAGATTTCTTTCCCAGCAGATAGTTGCAGCATGTGCAAACCGTGTTGCTCCCTCGCTATCTCTTTCTTCAACTTCAACCCCATCTTGTGAAAGTGCTATTTCTACGATTTCAACCCGGCCATATTGTGCTACGAGAGGACAACTGTTTGTCCCCATTGTGGGTTCTCGGGTTGAGTTGGATTCCATCCTGAGCAAGCAAGATATCCACGACTGCGGCTTTACCCAAAAGCGCTGTTCTTGATAATGGTGTGTCCAATATTATCTCTCTGGTTAACGTCGGTCTCCATTCTCGCCAAATAATATTTTTACAGCTTCGATGTGACCGAATCTCATTGAGTGTAGCAAACGGGCGGGAGTATCAATGTCCGTTTTGTCAAGAAGGAGCTCAACTATGGACTGATCCTTCACTTCACTTGCCTATCTCAATGGTGTCATTCCTTGGTCATCTTCTGCATCGACATCAACAGTTTCCATTGAAAGTAGCTTTCTGGCGATAGAGGTATTTTGCTTTTGATGGCTATAATAAGCGGCTTAGCTCCTCTCCGGTCTTTGCTATTGACATTGTTCCATGACGGGTATACATTGCAACGAGAGAGGCCGATCCACGGGTTGCCGCCAGTTTTATAGGCGATTGACCCTCTTTATTTTCGACAGTTATATCAGTCTCCTCCCTTCCGAGTAATATTTCGGCCGAGCGTATGGAGGCGCGATATGTTGCATAGTGTAGCGCAGTGTTTCCAAAGTCGTCCTTGAAGTTGACGTTCACCCTGTCGCAGCTTACCAGGGCTGACATGACGCGAAAGTGATCTTCGCACGTCACTAATATCAATGGTGTAAAGCCCCCATAGTCACATACATTCGGGTCCATAACTACCACCATGTCTGAGCAATAATTCGACCGTTTTTAAATTGTTATATTGAGCAGCCAGCGCCAGAGCAGTCCTTCCTTCCCGGTCTACAGCACGTAAGTCCGCACCGGAGTTAAGGAGCAACTCTACATTGTCACAAAGGTCGCCAGGTGTCCTAGAGGCTGTCAGAAGAGGTGTGAACTGGAAGCCGTCAAGACTCTCAATGTTTGCTCCCCACTCGAGAAGTATTTTAATATAAGCGGTCGACTTGGCTTTGGCGGCTAACGACAAGGCAGAGCGCAGCCTATCGTCTGCCATCTCAATATCGATCCTCCCCGAGCTCAACAGTGTCCTCAGCGTATCTTCTGGACGGGTTTCAGCCGGAGCCTTGATGGCTTCGAGTAGCGGTGTTCGATCAAGTGGACCGGCTTTTAAATTGGGGTCGACGCGGGTGTGTTCGACCAACAGTTTCTGAACAGCATGATGTCCCTTTCTGACCGCAATGTGTAAGGCGGTGCGTCGAGTGTCACCTCTGAGGTTTGGGTCCACTCGTTTATTGGCAAGAAGAAGCTTCATGATATCAGGATTGCCGGTATCTGCTGCCTGGTGAATTGGGGCACAGAGTTTGGTGTTTTTGATATTTGGGTTGATACGGGAATCTCTCAGGAGAAATTTCACCACTGAGGTATTGCCGCCATAAACTGCATAGCCCAGCACGGAGCCCAGGTCATTGGCATAGCGTAGGTTGATCCTCTCGCTCTTCAGCAGATGCCGCACGACCTCAATGTGGCCTCCGAGAGCTGCACTTTGCAGGGCGGTTGGGCCGCTGGGGCCACTCTTCCAGTTCACATCTACACCTAGATCGAGGAATTTCTGGACAGCCCTCAAGTTTCCATTGCCAGCTGCTGACACCCGGCCAGTGCCACCAGAACTTTGAATGTTGTGACGGTAAAGAAAGGTGTTGAGGCAGCTGTAGCAGCGGACCGATGTTTGCACCAGAGCGTTGATGTCTCGCTCATGCTCTGCAAACTCTGCAATAACAAGTAGCATCTCACAGGGGAGATTCGGCAGAGGCATGGCTCAACGATGCGCTCCGTAGAAGCTACGTTGGGTATCAAAGATAAAGATGGTTTGGAATCTAACCCCCATGCAATTCACCAGTCATTAACTAGTTAACTCGTCAGTTAACTAACATGGATGATTTGACTCGCTAACTAATAATAGGTCTTCGTAATCCAAGACGTTGACTCTGAGGCTGCTCAGCCGCTGGAAAGACGTTGATGCTAACGAATCATCCATATTGAGATGTATTCTCTCACCAGATGTCTATTCTCATCAGGTAACTATGGCCTGGTGTCAAGAGATGAAGTAGTTACTTCACGGCCACGACACCGGTCCACTGATCCCCACCTGCGATAGATAATCTGACGATACGGATGGACATGGCACCAAATCTGCCGAGAGGATCAAATGTTACAGTTATCTACGATGTCCAGCTGTACGAAACTGCGATTGTTATTCATCCCAAAGGTTCACGGCATGCCATACGGAGAATGTCCGCAGAAAATGAGCGGTTCAGGTAAAACATGTCCAGCCGCGCCAACCCTGATACCCACTGGTGGGACGAACCTGCGGGAATTAAGGGAAAAAAAAAAAAATAAAATAAATAAATCATAAAGACGACGAAGCCAGGGACGGAGAGAGTTGATGCATGGATACATGCATGGAGCCAACGCATCAGGAGGGGCGGGCGCCAGACACCCCCGCGCAGGCAAGGATCATACATCCGATGTGGGCTGCAGAGGACGGTTCAGAGACCAGGGATCGTCAATGACATCTGTGAGTGGGTGAAACTCGAGGAGCCGGCTTAATTGGGTTGATGCCGTTTTCGCTTGATAGGAGGGCTCAAACAAGGAACGCCAGAGTATAAGTAGCAACTCCTCCTGGATAGACATGATCGATGAGTGAGCGTTCCACCGTTCGAGCAAAACCACGGGTCAAACACAGGGGCTGCACTCAAGTTCCAGTCATATGCTTTTCCTATACCGGAGGGTAATCAACTCCGAGACTGATGGATCCAAAGGACTCCGGAATCGCATCCCATCAGCCCGTTTAATGTTCATAATTTCATGGAAGGACTTTATTTTTGTGCCCAAGACTCGTGGTGAGAGATGAAGGTGGGGATATCAAAGGGTCTCTGACGCAAGACCATTTCCCATATCAGCATCAGCACAAGCAAATAATGGAAGAACGAACACCTTCCGGGTAGTTGAACATATATTGCTTCTTTTTCCCGGCGTCGAAAGCATGTATTGACTGACCCGGCCAGCAATGACGAGCTTGTCTGCCCGTATTTCTCGTCAGAGGAGCTTGTCCGGCCTTGAAAATGAAGGTGCCTCAAGACGGGGAGGGAATACGAGCACAACAGGCTGGATCGTAATGACTGGTGACAATGCGTCTTCTTTCCGTCCCCAAAGGTGCAATGTCGTGCTTGAGAAGATCTAACTCGTCAAGCGGGATCATGTCATCATCTATCGAGACAGCCGTTGGTTGCGTCCTGTAACCAAATCAGTAGATGAATAGACATGGATTTGACTGGCAGACAAACCTCAACAGGATGATGATGTACTTGTCGCTAAGTCGCTGTCTGAGAGCAAAAGAAGTAGTCGTAGAAGAAGCAAGCAACTGATCAGCCGTATAAGACGATGCTATTATTATACACCACGATGACCGCAGCTCATGAGGCCAACGGCTCCAACCTCGCCCTGGTCAAACGGACAAGACGCAGCAGCTCCGGGAGGCCTTCCATCCTCTGGCCCCAGCGTGATAGCCATCGACGGCCGCAGCAGAAGAAAAGACGCAGAGACACAGCAGCGGAAGGTCGAGGGTGCATGCGAGTTGTCCGTCCGTCTGTCTGTCTGATGCAGGTATCTGCCTCCCTGGCCAGCGCCTGCATGCGCCTATCTCCATCCATGCATGACAGCCCGGGATGTTTCTTCACGATATAACCAACACCAGTCTCCTCGCCTTTCTCGCTGTCTCTTCTTCATCTTCGCCCTCATCTTCGTCCTCATCCTTCGCCTTCTTCGTCTTTCATTCGCCCTGTCAGCCACCCACGTCAGCCGTCCCGTCGCTGCCGCTAGCCTGCCCCTTAAAATAGCGTTGGCCCCGACCCGCTACCCGTCATCGCAGTTCGACGTAGCTGCTCTTTAGCCGCCGGCCGTCCCCTCCTCCACAGACAAAACAACAGCAAACAAGCGACGCCCGACACACGCCGGCATACAAGATACAGCACACCGGAACACAGAGAATACAGAATACACAAATACACACACGCCCAAGAGGCAGACAGCAAAGGATAGACCGCCAGGATGCTGACTGACCGCTCTCCCACCGTCCTGCGCGCTCCCACCTCGCTCCTCTCGCAGGCCATGGCCCAAGTCCAGGCCGAGTCTGCCTCTGCCTCCCCTTCGTCCTCCCGCGCCCGCCATGCGGCTTCGCTGAGCACGCCCTCGTTTCGACTCGAAAACCTGCCGCGCTTCCATCCGGCCGTCTACCAGTCGACTACCGCCGGCAGCTCGACGGCCTCCTCGGCTGCGTTCGACTTTGACGGCACCGCTACCTCATCTCACATGTACTCGCATCATCCACATCATCCGCAGGCATACCGGCCCTCCTCGGCGTCGGCAATGATATCTTCGCCCGCAGCATCTTCTTCGACGGCCTCTTCTTCCTCCCGAGATGCTCTCCGGCAGTACCGCGAGTTAGTCGCCGGCATGGCCCTCTCAGCTCGCGCTTCAGCTCAGTCCTCGACGTTTTCTAAACCGTCGAAACCACGGCTGGAACCGCTAGGGAGTCCGGGTCCGGTGACGCCCCTGGCCCTGGAGGAGGAAGGGGAAGGATACCTCTCTGCCGGAGCGATGGATATCCTGGCGGCAGATGGCCAGGGCCACGCGGGCATTCGAGAACGGACTGAGCTGCTAGATCAGCTTATCATGCGAGAGCAGGACCGTCTGGCCTCGAGGATCAATTGATCAATCCATGCCACTTTTTTTTTTTCATTCCGGATCTTTTTTTTTTCTTTCCCCCTTCTACTTACTTCGGACTTCTCTCATGACTCGATTTCCTTACGACCTTATGCCACCGCTTACATACGAACCGACCGTTTCATAGACCAGCACAGGGCCTTGACTACGGCCTATCTAGACGGCCTACTTTTTCAATGACCCACGACGTTTTCTCATTCAGGAGTTGTTTTTTGCTTTCGTTTTAGAAGGAAGGGAGTCAGGTTCGGATGCCTCAACGACTCAACGACTCAACAACTCCTTGGTTTATATATATTTTTGTTTTGAAAGATACCCAATAAACCACGAACTGGGGTATAAAAAGAAAAAGTAAACCAGGGACTGGGAAGGAAAAGGAAAACAGGAAATCAACGAAAACGAACGAAGGATCTGACTGACTCCCTTCTTATCTACATGGCTGGTCTATGTGTGGTCCAAACCTTTTGCTCTATACCCGCTCTTCATTTCGTCCTCTCGACGGCACGGCACAAACCATCTTTATATACAACCACCCCCCATCGTTGGTACCTTAACCCCCTGCTGCACTTCTCATTGGACCTTTATTACTATTTTTTTTATTTTTATTTTTATTATTTCTGACTACATTTTGTGATATTAATTAGCGTTCTCCTTGAAGACTGGATGTTTTATACCCCCTCGCTACATCTGTCTTTGCCAGCCCATATATCGTTTCAGGTTTATCTCCTTTTTCTCTTCTTTACACCGATGATACATTTTCTAGACTTGTTTTCCCTGATATGATAGCCCTAGGAGAGACGAGAATGAATATCTATTACAGCCGAGTACACTACTACTACCATCACTACTATCACCGCCACCTCTCCCTTGTATCTTTAGCCTTGTAACCACTACATAGTAGTAGAATGAATGGCCATAGTATTCTCCGTACTCAAAATAGTATCATATACTGCAGGGAATATCCTTTTCATGTCCATCGCTCAGCCCGGGGGTCAGGCACCGATATCGCACTTATTTAATCATCGCTAGTCGAATAACTATTCAGCTGGAGAGAGGAGCCGAAAAGAAAAGAAACGAGATAGCTATCCACGGCCCCAGAACACACGTCAAAGACTCTCTACCGGCTACCCGCTACAAATCCGAGCTGCAGCTACTACTGGCGGCGTATTGATTAAGGGATCTGGCGCGGGCCCGTCAGGCAGAGACCTCCAGCTGCTTGCTACACCATCAGCATCACCCATCACCAGCAGCAGCATGAGTAATGGAGCGGGAGTCGTGCAGCAGGACCTGGGAGCCGGAAAGACGAAGCTAAAGGCCCAGCATGACTACAAGGGCTTTGTGGCCGGGGTCTTTTCAGGCATAGCGAAGTTGACAGGTGAGTCGAGCTGGTCTCGCGGTGCGAGAGAGCAGCCGTCGTAGCTAACAGACGGACATCACAGTCGGCCATCCGTACGTATGACCACAGAAAGACGCCGGAGATGACAAGTTTGATGAGGTTGACGGTTGAAGATTCGATACTATCAAGGTCCGGCTGCAGACGACGAAGAGCTCGCGGTTTACCGGCCCGTTGGACTGCTTGCTGCAGACGGTGCGAAATGAAGGAGTTACAGCACTGTACAAGGGGGCCACGCCGCCGCTGATGGGCTGGATGGTCATGGACTCAGTGTATGTCCTATGCGATATACCGTACTGGTTACGGAGTACTCTATGGCTACATAAATATGGACCTGGATGGCTGACTGTTTGACCGCTGGGTTGTGTTTGGTAGGATGCTGGGCTCGCTGACGCTGTACCGACGGCTGCTGTTTGAGCATGTCTTTGCCAACCGAGAGCTGCGAGCTGCGCTGCCGTTCGTCAGTCCCACGGTGCCCGACAAGCTGTCAACGTTCGGCCATGGAGTCGCAGGCATCCTGGCCGGGTCAACGGTCAGCTTCGTCGCGGCGCCAGTAGAGCATGTCAAGGCCCGGCTGCAGATACAGTATGCTGCCGACAAGAAGCAGCGGCTCTACCAGGGCCCCATTGACTGTGCTCGCAAGATAGTAAGCGGCTCCTGGCAACCCATTTCCGTCTGACTGACCGGTGGAGGAAGCTAATAACGACTCGACAGCTGCGTGCCCATGGTCTACCAGGGCTCTATCATGGCCTCTGCTCGACCTTGATCTTCCGCTCGTTCTTCTTCTGCTTCTGGGGCAGCTATGACATCTTCTCGCGCGCTTTCAGACAGTACACAGATCTCTCTGCACCTGCCATCAACTTCTGGGCCGGCGGACTGGCTGCGCAGGTCTTCTGGGTGACCTCCTACCCGTCCGACGTCATCAAGCAGCGTATCATGACGGATCCGCTGGGCGGCTCGCTGGGTGACGGAGAGCGCAAATTTCGACGATGGAGAGACGCCGCTGTCGCCGTGGGCAGAGAGGGCGGCGGGTGGAGAGCGTACTGGCGCGGCTTCCTGCCTTGTATCCTGCGAGCGTTCCCAGCTAATGCAATGGCCTTGGTCGCCTTCGAGGGAGTCATGAGAGCCCTTCCATGACCATCTCTGCGGTCCCTCCTCTCCCCCAGCCAGGGAAAAAATGGGAGTCATCGTCGTCCCAAAATATATAACCATGCCCGGTCCGGATTGCAGAGCCAGACAGGCTACATTCGGGTCACCGTCACCCCTTGATCTGCGTGACTCGTGTTTGGCTATCCACCAGCCAGCAAGCCGATCCCGCACGCTGTATCGACTCGTCAGCTGCTTCTGCTGCTGCTTGACGTCTGTCTGTCGCCTTCCGCTGGCCGTCCTGACACGCACGACTCCATCGCTGGTCCGCCCTCGTAAAGCCTGCAAGCCGTCTCCTCCGCCCCGACTCCTCCTCCTTCTCCTCCTCCTCCTCGCCTGTAAAAATAATAATAATATAAAAAAGGGACAAGACAAATAAATAGAAATTCAAAAATAGAAAAAATTTAAGAAATAAAAAAAAAAAAAGAAAAGAAAAAATAAAGTCCGGCGCTTTTCCTCTTTCGGCCGCAGAGCCAGAAGAACAACTTCAGCTTTTTGCAGCAAAAACTTGACCTGAAGGCGAACTTCACCTTTTATCATCTTGCTATTTCTTTCCTCCTTGCTCGCTGTCCTCTCGCTGCTGTTCTGCGTCTTCCTGTGCAGCTGGGCTGGCTGAGTGTTGGGGCTGCCTGCCATCTGCATCGTTAACTCGCTTGCCACTAGTTAGTTACGTCGCCTGCGCTCCCTGGACAAGTTGACGACGCCCTGGGAGCCCATCTTCCGCTACCCTCGCCTTTTCCCGCCAGCAGCCTCCCGCTCTCTGTCTGTGTGAAACATGTTGCGGAGGATCAGATATATGTCTGGATAACGAAGTCAATTACTCTGCACACTCAGCCCACGGCCGAAGTCTCCATCGAGAGCGTTCGTCTCCGTCCCTGACGAACCCCCTTCCGCCCGAGACCAGATATATACAAAAGGACACCCACACGGCACACCTCTACAACGCACACGATGGCCCTCTCACGCTCCTTACGCCGCACGAATCCGATCACTATCGTGCTAGCCGGTCTCCTAGCCATCGGATTCCTCTTCTTCATCTTCTCCCCTACCTCGACGGCGGCCTTTACCTCTCAGGAACGGCATGATGACGCTGCTCAGAACCCGCTCTCTCCGCCCACAAAGCCCTTCCACAAGTCGCAGGCCGCTGGGAACAAGAGGGCGCCGCCGCCTGTCGTTCACTACAACATGAACAATCTTACCTCGTCCAGGGACGCTGCACAGAACCGGGAACGCATCCTCGTTCTCACCCCCCTATCGCGATTTTACCCCGGGTACTGGGAGAACCTTAACAAGTTCACTTACCCTCACCAATACATCTCTCTGGGATTTATCATTCCCAAGACCAGGGAAGGAAACGCAGCCTACTCCGCTCTACAGTCTGCAATCACCAAAGTCCAGTCTGGCCCCATTGACGACCGGTTCGCCAGCATCACAATTTTGCGACAGGACTTCCCTCCGCCGATCCAGTCACAGGACGAAAAGGAGCGCCATAAGCTTGAGAACCAAAAGATCCGCCGAGAGTCCATGAGCCGGGCACGAAACAGTCTGCTTTTCACCACTCTCGGACCAGCCACCTCCTGGGTTCTCTGGCTGGACGGCGACATTATCGAGACACCCCCGACTCTAATCGAAGACATGACGAGCCACGACAAGGCTGTGCTTGTCGCAAACTGCTACCAGAGATTCTTCAACCCGGACACCAAGGAAATGGATATCCGGCCGTACGACTATAATTCGTGGACCGACACCCCCCGGTCTCTCGACATTGCCAACAGTATGGGCCGTGATGAGATCATGCTAGAAGGGTACGGTGAACTACCTACCTACAGAAACCTGATGGCCCTCAGCGCAGACAGATCACCGGAGAGAAATACCCGAGAGATCATGGAACTGGATGGTGTAGGTGGAACCGCTTTGATGGTCAAGGCTGCCGTTCACCGGGACGGAGCCATGTTCCCTCCTTTCCCCTTCTACCACCTCGTCGAGTCCGAGGGATTCGCCAAAATGGCACGAAGACTCGGGTGGAAGTGCTACGGTCTTCCAAACTACTTTGTACGTCTCTCTCCCAATAGCGCCTAACTCTCTTCCACTCCATCACTAACTCTCCCTCTTAGGTATATCATTATAACGAGTGAGAATAACCATTTCTCCATTTCTGACTCTCTTACGTTCCCCTTCTATCACCAGTTTTATCTTACTACCCTTTTTATTCCACCTACCAACGGCCACGTATGCTCGTATCATTCTTAGACCTTTGTACCTGATATCATAACCTTTCGCTTCTTATCCCCTTTTCGCTGTTTTTTAACCTTTTCTTTTTTCTTTTGTTAATCTCTTTGCCTCCCCTTTTCTGGCGCGCTGAACCTTTGCATATGATGCATATTTTTCTCCCCTTTCAACTAGTTCATTGCTGCGTTGCTGTTGCGTTTTCCATATTCTCCACGCGTGAGAACCAAATTTTCTTTAGATCTGTTCAGGGGGTGTTCAAATGTGGTTTTTCTTGCTCTTGCTTTCTTTTTTGTTTTTTATAATGTAGGGTCAAAGTCGGAAGTCAAAGACAGACAATGAATTGGCATGAGACAAACAAGCTTGTGGAGTAACTGATCGGAGTTCCCCTTTCAATCAGCGAACGGACATCTAGGCGGGCTGGCCCTTGATTGGATTTGATATTTCATTTTATCTATATCTTCCTGCGTTTACTCAAATAGACTTCTACTTCAATATTGAACCATCCGTTTATTTATTTATTTATTTTAATCCCAGGATATCCTAGAAACAAGTTAGCAACTGAAGAATAAGTCATGAATAAGAAATGGATAGACGTACAGCAACATTATACCGGCTCCGGCAGCCATGGCAGCAAACTGCATCAGGGTCTTTCTGGTCTCCACTCCTTTATCCTTACCTGTCTCCAGCAGCTCTGGGATAACCGCTACCGTTCCAACGTAAAGGAACGTTCCAGCCGTAAATGGTAGTAGCAAGTCACCAACTGTAAGACTTGTTCCTAGCAAGCCTGGAGAAGCTACTCCAGATACTGTGGATGAAGACCCACCGCCCCCGAATTCCTGGATGGCGATTCCAATGAAAGTCCCGATAAACGCGCCGATGGCCGTAACGAACTGAGCACCCATGGCTTTACGCTTGGAGAAGCCAGACTGGATCAGAAGGGCAAAATCACCGACCTCATGTGGTATTTCATGGAAGAAGACTGCGACGGTCGTAGTTGCACCAATAGTGGGAGAGGCGTAGAAGGACGAAGACATAGCTAGTCCATCAGTGATATTATGCGTAAAGTCTGCAATCAGGTTCAGGTAACCTCCTAACTTGACGCTGGGGTTGTTACTTGGCCCAGTCTCTGGTTGATCTTCCGAGGCGGCACCAGCAGAACCCGCTGCTTGTTTCCGCCGCTTCAGGTTACCGTGCTTATCATCCCCGGCCGACACGCCTGTGGCTGTCACTAGTCCAGAATCTTCGCTATGGCCGTGCTCATGCGAGTGACCGTGCTGGTGTCCTTCCCCTCCAGTTGCAATCCGGAGAATTTTATCCATGGCCACAAAAGTCACGAAACCAACGAGAATCGCCAGGCCGAGAATTAAATTCTTGTTTGGCTCAACCATCACGAACCGCACGTGCTCTGGCGAGTCTTCTCCCAGGAATATTTCAGGTAGTAGGTGGAAGAGGGTGTCTCCTAGCAGGCCTCCAACGGCAAAGGCTACCATTATAGAGAGGGAAGATGGGTCGATGTTCGGGGGACATAATGCCAGTAGGAAGTCTGGCAAGTAAAAACAACAAACAGTATTAAGATTGATTCTTCACAGGTCAAGTAGTTAGTGAGAGAGCTACTTACTGGGAGGTCCAGAGATGTAGATGGTAGCAAGAATGGCATTCACAGCAGGACTGCCAGGGAACAAAACCGCAAAGACCCTAGATGTCAAACTGGCAGTCTCAGGGGCGTTGGCGAGTTTCTGCGCATTAAGCGATTGAACAAGAGGACACTCCTAACACCCCCAGCAGACACGGAGTTAGATAGTTAGATCGTCTTCATCTGTGCACCAGTATCTCTCCCTCGACCTGTTATTTACCTGCAGCTTCTCCTCGATCTGGGGCACCGTCAGCTCGCCCGTGGCAGCCTTGTCCGATGTACCTGTAGCTTGTGCAAGGACAACAACGAGTGCAAGCACAGCTAGAAAGCGCCATAGCCGGCTGTAGAAGGCGGAGAATCCAATTGGGCGTGCCATGGTTAACCCCCTGAATGCCACTGTAGTTATGCAACTTGACAGGAGGCCTAATGTGCGAGGGTGTCGTGAAATCGCATCGCCCCATCCACGCTGGTTAGTTGACTAGTTAACTAGCTTTGCTAGCTAGTTAGTTAGCTAAAATAACTGGGCCAGGCCGGCGGGAGATCGGTCACCGCGTATTGAGCGATTCGGTGGCACACGACATTGATCATCGTATAAAGAATCACATCTAGCCCCGGCCAGTCGCTGATGATAGATAGTACGGAGTATATCTGAACCTGATAGATAGGATGGAATACTGCTCCGTAATGATGATTTACAGTCCGATTATTGCCGCCCTCTACTTTGGACAAAGTCTCCAAAAAATCGCCTCATAACAGCCTCAATCTGATATTCGTTATAGGCTCGCAACTATAATCATCAATAGTGTCCCATGTTTGCCTTTACGAGGACCATAGGATTTGCATCTATGGTAATGCCGGGTTGACGCTGGCTGAAAAGTTGCTGCGACATAGAACACAGAGAGGAGTTTCACTCTGGTTGTGATTGGGAGATCAAGGTGGCTCTCATTCTCTCGTATCCACATAATAATACGTACTGGATAAACCTGGCATCACATAGTTGGTATTTGACGGTTGGTAACTAATGGATGGTTGATATCGAGCCAAAAAGAGTTGGTCTTTTTTAGAGAGAGTGGGAGAGGGTAAGATTACATAAGCCGCTAGTTATCTGCCAAGACCTGTGACGACAAACTTCGCGATAGAGAGAGAAAAAGTTTTGAAGCGAGATAAAACAACGAGAAGCAAGCCGCAGAAGAGCGATTGTATATTTATTGCAGTTCGAGACACCATAGAGGAAAGATGGGGAAGGTGCTACAGAAGAAGAAGAATCGATCTTCGAATCCGAGGGTGAAGCATAAGAGCAAGAAGGCCAAGAATGGAAATAAGAAGATAAACGTCTTTGGTAACGCTATTATCAAGAGTAACTGGTAAGGATATGAAGAACTCAGGCAGCTGTAAAAACTGGAAGAATAGGTGCTGACGTTTGCTTGCAGGGACAAGAAGTTAACACTTACCCAAAACTATCGCCGACTCGGCCTGACGTCTCGCTTGAATGCACCGGCAGGAGGAGTAGAGAAAAAGATATCCAAGGATGAAAGCGATACCACACGATCTGGTCCAAGTGAGCCCTTCCATGTACCGCTCACGCAGAAACGAAGCAAGAAACTCCAGCCAGGGGAAGTCCGTGTTGAACGTGATCCAGAAACTGGAAAGATCCTGCGAGTCATCAGCGGGGATAACGAGGAGGATGAGACCATTGAAGTCGCCGGACGGAAACGAAGAAGGAATAACCCCCTTAATGATCCTTTGGAGGATTTGCCAGAGGACACTGATATGGCCCTCAGTGATCTCAACGGCACCTCGTCATTTGATGTGGTGACTGAGCTAGAGAAACAAGCTGCTGCCCAGGAAGAACAATTAAAAAACAGAAAACCCAGACACCAGAGCAAGAGAGAGGAGGAATGGCTCGAGAGATTGGTACAAAAATACGGCGATGACACTGCCCGGATGGCAAAGGATAGAAAACTTAACCCTATGCAACAAACGGAGGCAGATATTGCAAGGAGGCTGAAGAAGATGAGGGCCAGAAATGAAAATGAATAGGTTCTAGCGACAGCTGACTGTTTTTTCTTATAACCGAAATAGAGGAGACATCTATGGGCTCACTAGCAGGCGGTGCTAATCTTCTTCAAGGGCAAGGCGTTTTCCCTGGTTGGTATATTTTCTACTTCTTTCTCATGAAACCAAAAGTTGGGATATAGAGCATGGGCTGCGGTTTCTTACTATACTTCTTCTGTTTCTTAGCCATCTTAATTATACCATATATAATGAGGTCTCCTAGGAATGATGCTGTTTCTTACCGGTGTTGAGCCAGATATAGGGTACAAGTTGCTGCGTCATTCCCCTTTCTATACCCGTGCAGCGAGGGCCCTTTGAGCCTTGATATCCAAATCCTGCTCCTTTTTTGCCTGGAGCAGCAAGTGTCTGCAAGCAGCTATACCAGAGTAGCAGCCAAAGAAGACTTATCTTTGTTCCAGGCTGCCTGCCTGTCCTACCGGCAAAATCCCCTTCACTTCACCTTTCCTTACCCAGTGACTGTGCTGCAGTGGTCCAAAGTGAAGGCTGTCCTGCACCCCTCACTAGCCTGTCCTCCCGGCACCCTATAAATACCTTTCCTTTCACCTTCACAACAACAAACCTTTCTTCTCTTCTACAACCTCCACTCCCACACTACAACTACCACCTGCTCCTCTCAAAGACACCCTGCAGCAGCTGAAACACCGCGTTAACCCCCCCTTTGCTCTCCTCTGCCCGTCAAGATGAAGATCTATCTTCTTCTTGCCGCGTTGTTCTCGCTTCTCTATGGCGTCGACGCCCGCCAGTTCATGTATGTGTCTCCCTCTTCTTGCTCACTCACCCACCCCCATATAGATGGCAGAGCCTCAGAGAAGCAAGCCCCCCCGTCATGAGCTTATCCATTTAAGCTTGTTTATGCTTATTCTAACGTCTTGTCACTTTATAGCCGTCGAAGTGTCACTGTTATCTACTGTCCAGCTCCAGATGGAGATTTCTGCTACGAAGGCCGCAATGGCCCTATGGTGATCAAATGCGTAGGAAACTCGATTGTTAAAACCATCAGCTGCAAGAAATAGTAAGCCTTATATCTCCATTTAATACTCCTTGACGCGTCTTTTACGTGATTTCTCACTCCTACATACTAAGTATCACTTGCTGACATCTATTTCTCTCCATTTAGTCAGGGTGACCGTAATGCTATGTGTATGTATTTCTGATATCATATACCTTATTGGTTATGCACTGCACAGTACCATGTACTAACTTGACAAAAACAGGCTTCGAATCCTCCGAAACCGCTGGAGATGCAACTTGCTTGCATAAAGGCAAAGGCATGGTCTCAATGTCACCAGTACCTGAGAGAACCCCAATGCCATCCGTGAAATCCCCTAGGTCTTTGATTGGAACTCAGCCTGTGGCTTCCACTTTCTTCGCGATCAAGGAACCTGTTAAAGCACCCCAGAGCGTCCCCACTGAATCTGTCGCATCTACTCTAGCCCCTGTCCCTCAGATTACTAAGTCTGCTGGCTTAACCTTGGCCCCCGAGAGCAACGTTGCTCAGTCATCTGCTTCTCTTCGAACTGAATCTGTTGCTTCTACCTTTGTCCCTGTTCCCCAGCATGGAAAGTCACCTGAGGGCTCCAGTATTCTTTCTGAACTTCCCATTGAAAGCACTACCACACTTTCTACTACCACGACTACGACTGATGTTGTCCTCACTAGCCTCTGGACTAGTGCTCGCACTCGTGAGATTCCAAGCATAGTTACCCCTGAGCCTCTCATCAGCTATTCTACCACTGAAGTTACCACCAAGCACGAGGAAGCTACAGCCTCTTCTACACACTGTTCCGCCTCTATTCAGCCTACCTCGGAGCCTCCTAGGTTTACGGCGTCTCTTCCCTCGGCTTCAACTACTTCTCCATGGTCTACAGATATGGTCACTCTCGAGCCAATTGTGACGGACACTACAATTTCAAGCACGTCGACTACTACAACCACTATGTTTATCACTTTCATGTCACCTGCTCCTACGTCCGCAACTACTACTGCAATGACTGGGACTGAGGTCATTGAGCAGCCTCAGCAGTCACCAACCACGGAGTCAAAGGAAGCTACTCAGACTAGTGTCACCTTGCCCCCTAACACCATTCATTCCACTGGCACTATGACTTACACCCCCGCCGAAACTTCTTCTGCTTCAGTGCTTCCAACTCAAACTATGCAAACTACTAGGGCAACTAGTGCTACTCAGACTCACTACACTGAGCCTGCTATTTCTACCTCTACAGGAGTAGCCACTGCATCTGTCTCATTTACCTCTACTACTTTGACAGTTAGCGCCAATAGCACCTCTGTTCACTCTTCACCAACTTTTAGCATTGCCACTTCTACTATTGTCAATGCTGCTGAAGAGAATACGACGGATGCTAAGCTTGCGTATCTGTTCGGCCTGATCGTTGCCTTCCTTGTTCTAGTCTGATTTGCGACAATTGTGACGATTGAGCAGTCATACAGGTGGCTAGCACTTCGCATTCAGGCATTAGGAGGTGAAACAGAAGTACTTGCAATAGTTGCTCTCAGCTTGCTTGATTTTATTGAACTTTTCCGGAGATTTTCTACGTGCTTTTATTCCATCCTGGGCGGCGATATGGGAACGAATGGAGTTCAGAAACAGGTGGTGACCCAGTAGTTAGTTAAAAATATGTATTACAGGCAAGCAAGTATGAAGCAACAATAAAATCTGGTTTTCAAAATAAAAATAAATAAATAAAAAAGAGGGCATCGCGTAACTATTGACAGCAAATTGGGAACGTTTTATCGGAGTTTGCTTATCGATGGTATTTTTTTCAACTTGAATAATTATATCGAGTATCTGAGTAGCTTCTCAGGTTGCTAGATAAGTGTGGCTTAACACAAAAAGCAGCAGTTGACAGAAGTCAAGATAAGCGTTGATCATCATTGACTTCAAACAAACCAGGGTAGATACTCCGTAGTTTAGAGCTAGGTACCTAATAACCAACTAGTTGACCAACGCTTCGGCTCGGCCCGCGGAGCTTTGCAGCCTGAAACCGCCAGGCAATTGATACCCGCAGCCAAAATCCTTAGTTTTTCCCTGCTAATTGTTGGGTCTATCCACTTCTCACATAAAGTGAGACCAAGTGTGATGATAAATAATACTATATTCAGGAATCGGGCCATAGATTTTTTTTTTTCTTTTTTTAGATAAATTCTAGGAGGGACTAATCTTCTAACAAATTCCAAGTCCACATGTGGCGACGAGGAAGTGATTTCCGCCCACTGTAGAGCCATTCAACCTCGTCGCAGAGTAGTATTTCCTTGTGAGGCGAGTGTGAGGCGCTTCATATTGGGCCTATGCTACAGCGTAAGGCAGGGCCATTCCCTTAACACCTCCCCCGTAACCACCTCCCTATAGATGTGTTCTATGTCGCGATGCTAGGAGACCATCAACTAGCTCACTTCCTCTTTCATGATTTTCCTTTGTCAATGATTGACAACAAGCTCACGGTAAAAATAGAGTCTCCAGGACAGTATAACGTGACGTAGCGCGGTGGTTTGGGAGACGGTGATATCTTCACTATCATGAGTATTTAACTATTTCTTGCGTTGTGTCACATCCATTCGAACACCTTCAATTCCAACACTCTCTTGCTGAGGAATTCATGAGAAATGATGGTTCAATGTATTCACATGGAAAGTTTTGGCGAATGCCTGTATAGATGATTGGATGACATGAGATTATGCAGACGAAGTCCCTGAAAATGGCATTGAAACTTGCGAGAGCGGTGAGTTTTAGATGGGTATACCCTGAATTGCTCCATTCATCTCTCCCTCTGGTACGTTCGGTGTCCTCAATAGCTCCGCTGAGTCCTGTATCTCAGACCAAGACCACGGAGCTAGCTCTTGTAAGCCTCCGTTACCAAAATTGGCCTGTATTCGACGATAATAAATCAAATGGAGTTAGGTATATCTTTTCGCCACTGCTGCTATTAAGGGGATGATATGGAGATGCCAGAGGAGTCGGAGCAGGACTGTGGCATTCCATGGTAGGAGTCAAAATCGCGGCTCTGGTATCTGTGATACTGCTAAAGTCAGATAAAGAGTTAATAAGGAACCTTTGGCGGTATGCGTTGGATTCAAACAGCTGTGCCCTGGGATAATCGAGGCTTGTGACAGGAGCTGCTGTCGGCCAAATTCCATACCGACAATATGGCCTGAAAGGCAGTAACAGTGCATACTCTGTTTTGCATTTGATATCAAGGCAAGATCGATATAGAGCTCGGGGAAAACAACACCATGGTTAACGGCTCTTTCCTCGTTAAAAATTTCTCCACCTCTGGATGATCTTATTAATTAAACTGTATCCAGGCTTAGGAACCAAACGGCAGTAAAAAGACAGAGGTGATGTGGTTAAGAAGATACTGGCGTTGCTTTCACTGCCTTCTCATCAATAGTCATCCTTCGAACAACTCTGACCCAGCGTCTCCTTCTCCAGTCGCCAGCTCTGTCAACTTGTTTTGTGGCTTCTTCCCATTCAGGCTTGTCTTTTTGATTGGCACGCTTGCTCGTTTGGGCAGGCATTTGCGCGTTTCTTCGAGGGCTTTCCCACGAGTCCGTGTAAGCCAGGATATCGACAGCATGCTCGTCATCTGGCGTGTTAAACGGCAGATCCCATACCCAACCTCCCACTTCCTCACTGATGATGCCGTCATTGTTATCAGGTATTTCGAATTCCACCCCAGTAACCATACGTTCCATCACCCACTCTCGGCATTCAAGATCTAGTTCCCACTTTTTACTCTTCCAAACCCACCCAGGGGGAGGTCTGACATCCTCAAAAAATCGAGAGCCCCGAGGTCGATCTCCTGATATACGAGACGGACAAAGAGGGTCGTACGGCGTAGTCGTGAATAAAAAGGGCTCCCACTCTGGTGATGCCGAATACAAGGAGTACGTTTTATGCTGTAGCTCAAAGATCTCAACTTCGCGTTCCTCAGGCTCAGCAGAGAGGGATATAGCAGTTATTGAATCGAGGAGATCCATGATGCCAGAAACAGTTAAGGGTATGGAATATCCATAAATGTCGAAGGACTTCTTGTTGCCCTCAGCATTATTTTGAGAGGCACTATGAGATGCAATTGCACCTTTAACGGCCTCAAAAAAGGATTTTATGTTTGGATGATTGGACAGTATAAGGGCGTTTCCAGCAAAAAGCAACATAAGCCGCCAGGGCAAGAGGTGCGACACCAAAAAGACGGCACCCGCCAAGCCGGTACAGGCAATAAACAGGGAAGACGACAATTTTTCATCAGAGAAGTTTGTAGCAGGAGCAATGAGTGACACAGCTGCGTCGTGAAGGAGGGCAAAATCCGCCATGGAGTTTTGCAAATCTCGCATGTTATGGAAGAAATCCTTTGACGTCTCAGCAGCGGGTTTGATGGTTTTAGCTGGAGCAAGAGCTGGGCCCTCGTAGGAGTAGTATGGAGTTGTACTAGACGTTGAAGTTGAAGGAGGTGGTGGAGGGTGCCTTGTCAAGAAGGCGGGTATCATGATTAACAGAAGGACTAGAACAAATGGAAGCACTGCCAGTAAGTATGGATCGAGGCAGATAAAGGAGTAGACGCATATCAGGGACCATGTCTGGGTCCTGTGCCTCCAAGACAGCAGCTTAATCACGTTATACTGAAACTGAAAGACTATCCCGATTCTACTGATACTCAGCAATGGAGGTTTATCAAATAGTTGGCACGCAATATTTACTATACCTGGCATTAAAACGCCTGAAATTGTTGGTCATCGTGGGAAGGCTGAATGGGGGCCTTTCTGAGGATGTATCAACATCCTCACCTCCGTCCTTATCACTGCCAGCATCTTCTGATGGAACCAACTGTTGGAGGAACCTAATATCGGTTAGTGGGTGGGCAATATTCCTCACTTCTCGTGGAATGAAAAAGATAGAAGACTTGCCTGGCAAGCAACCGGTCCTGTAGCGATAGGCCGGGAGAAGTCTCCTCCTCTGCAGTGTCCGGCTTCACGAGAGGTTTCTTTTCCTCCACACTTCCCAAGGGCCGGGAGTCACCATCAATACCGTCATCCTGGCCAGAGAAGAGTTCTGCAGTGTATTCATCCATCTTCCCCGTCACTCTCTGGCATAGGTGCTCTTCTTCTTAACTTTATTCCCCTCTCTCTCTATGTAAAGTATGCATCTTCTATATCATGAAGTTGTTTGATATCGTTGTTTGCGCGGCGACGTCGCTGCTTGTCTTCCATGGATGCCCGACTACTTCCCAAAGCGGAAAGGCTAAGCATGTGATCTCGGCCGGAGGCGCTAACCTGATGAAGCTAGTCTTCATTATCTAATCTTAATTACATAATCTCAGGGCAGCGTCCCAAAGAGGCAAAAAGCGACCTCGTTCCTGTTTTTTCGCTTTTAATTTAATAAACTTGCGGCTGCGACAAACACGCAATTGAAACATCGCCATATAAAAATATCGTGACCAAGGCTGTTTGTTTGGATGCAGGCCGGGATATTCATTGTTTCCTGCCCTTGTGAGGGTCTGCCGGTGGCAAGTGGCTTTTCTATAGCGGATTAACTAACGACCAACGCCCGCTTGATCTTGTCAAGGTAGAGCTCCACCAACCACTCAGAGTTGAGAGTTTCCTGTACCTACATGGGGGTTTTGTACCTCACTGACCAGGTTGCTTTTTGATGCTTGATCCACCAGAGACTCGAACGATACAAAATCCCTTTCGACAAACAAGAAATCTCACTTTTGGCCTGCTCGCGTTCAGCCCACCGATTTCGCAGGTCGGTGGATGTCCAAACGAGGACGGGACAAGTTCCAGAAGGGCAACAGCAATAATAACAGCTCCTGGGCCAGTTGTGATTCAAAGTCTTCGACATCATGACGCGGTAGCAGCATAACAGGAATGAGCCAGTCGCTTCCGCTGCCGTCCATCTCTTTACAGTCCTTGACCGAGAGTTATCCGGCGGTGGTCACCCCTGAGCGTGCGGGCTAGACAACCTCTCCACCATTATCAGGTGTGTCAGGTCACCTGCGTTATACGTTGGATGCCACCGCGCAAGAACAGCAATCCTGACGTACCAGTCAAACGTTCCGGTCATCCCTCGACAACATGCCGGCGGACATGACGTCCCAGAGATTGCCGGCCGTGACGCAGCAGCCAGTACAGCACCACTCGAACCCTTCTGAGCCTTCTAGATCCAATGAAACTCGATTTTATGGTGATAAAACACCCCCTAGTCATTGCTAACCTTGAATGTTGATTTTTTTTTTTCTCCATCTTCAAGCAAATGTGTGCTAATCTTATATTCATACGTTATAGCTCAAACAAATCGCCAGCCGCTGCAAAGGAACTCGCCGATCGTCCCGGTTACCAACCAGACATCGTTTTCTTCTCTGCATTCTCGTGAAAGCGCCGACCAGCAAATCGAGGGAACAACTTCAAAGCGGAGGAAGTCGATTCGGGATTGCAGTCCAACAATCGGCGGGCCGGTATCATCGCGACGGTATATTATCTCCTTCCCTTGATCACCAATTATAGAAGCAAACTGTCTGATGCGTATTTTCGTTCTTTTCATAGCACAACGACACACTACCATTCGAACTCCCAGAACAAATCTGAAACGCCGTTCCCGAATGTGGTTCGTCTTCTGCTGCCAAGACAAAATATATGTTTACAGAATACTAATTTTGATAAAGATTGGCAACCATACGCCCCCAGAGAGCAGTGAATTCCTTCCAGCAATAAATTTCGATGATTTCCATAACAGTATCTCCTCAAGAGAACCGAGTCTTAGCCACTTCCCTATGCCAGGTCAACTTGTAGCTGGCATTGGATCTGCTCCATCTCCCCCCAAATCAACAACGCGTTGGTCGACTACAACCACTTCCGCCTCTGGCCCTAAACCTGCTCGGCCAAATACCCTCAACAGAAGACAAAGCAATGCTCAGAAGCCCGACCTTGAAGGTGTTGGTACAGGTATAAGTGTAGGTGGGGTACATAATTCAACGGGGCCAACGCCTGGTCCTATAAGTACGCGTACAAGGCGACAAAGTCATGCTACACCTCCAGTCTCCTCCACTGCAGGCCCTAGGCAACCCCGGAAATCTATTGGACCTGGTGCTTCAGTTACGTCTCAAGCAAACGGTGACGATGGCCCTCCTCGAAGGCGTCAGAGCTTTGCAAAGAGAAATGCAACAGGGGAAATACGGGTGAATACCAATGTAAATCGTGGTAATCATCAACCTACGGAACAACCCAGTGGCCCTTCTTTTCTAAACACAACTAGGAGCCAGAAAGCAAAATCCCTGCAGCCTGTTAGCCGTGGAAACAGAGAGAACCAAATCACCCCTGGCGGCTCCGATCATTCTCGGTCTTCGTCAAATACTGCCATCCAGACTCCGGGGAAAGGAACCGTGGCATTAAACACGACTCCGTCGTCGAAACGGTCTTCAATGATGCCACACCACCCAACTGGCCTAGGCGCAAGAACAATTTCTCCCACAGATGCTCGAAGGATGAAGCGAATGTCTCTTGTTCCTAATCCGCCTCCGATCCCACAGCGCTCGCCTACCCAACTAGAGTTAACCTCTCCTCGCCCACGTTCCTCAGCACCATCTCCTTCTATGATACCTCGGAAAAGCGTAACACCCTCATCGGCACGTACTACACCAGACCCTCACCGAAAATCTTATAGCTCAGGAGTATCCCTCTCATCAAATACAACTTATAACTCTGCTAGGAATTCCAGTGGCTCTCTACAGGGTCGGCTTTCACAGACTATATCAACTTCTAGACTTCCAACTCCGAAACCACGGACAGAGCATTCAAATCAGGAAGAAGAGGAAGTTCCACCTGTTCCTGCAATCCCAAAGGCGTACGAATCACCCAAAAACGAAGCTCACCTATCCCAAACTTTTACCCCAAGACAGACCAGCATGCCCTTCGAACTCGAAGCGAGGAGACAAGCGCCAAAAGACATACCTTCTGCCACGGAAGTTGAAGCGCCATCTACACCTGCTCATCAAACTTCCCTAGGGGACACCATGATGCAACATGACAACCGTGCCTTTAGTTCTGAATTTAAACCACGAGCCACTGTCACTCATGGGAAGAGAAGCCTTCAACCACTGAAACTACCGCCACTCAATTTAATGCCTTTGAGCGCTCCTGTTGCGAGTAAAATTAATGCCCTACGAGATAAGGAGCCAAAGGACCCTACTCCTAACCAGTCTACTACACCTCCTCCTCCTCCTCGCCAAACTGTGGCAAAGACCCCAAGCACTCCTATGACAGCCTCTAAAACTAGCTTTTCTCATGTTCCCCAGGAACATACGCCAATGCCCGCCCACACGTCTAGAAGCAACAGTTCGCAGTTTATTCTACCTTATCAAACCGGCTACCGTTCTCAAAACAGTTCAAGCGCTCTGGACTTCATGGGATTATCTTCTAACCGAACTATTTCGCCATATATATCTTCATCATTGCCTCGAGGTACTGATGAAATGAACTCTATGCGTGACAAAGTGGTTTCCAAGCCTTCTACCAACAAATTGACTGGCCCACGCCCACAAACCCAGTTCTCTACAATTTCTGCCTCCGAGTCTTTCAACTTCAAATATGAACCAGATACTATAGAACCTAATCCTAGCCCTACCGTTGTACCGCCCTCACCGCAAAGAAAGATAAGCCTCGACCAAACTAGACACACTGGATGCAATGATACAGGAACGGCAGATAATGCCAAATTTGAGAATATGCCCCCTCCCAAACTGCCCGCCTCAGCCTCCGTCAATAATCTATCACGAACCAGCCCTGCATCAAATACGAATTTTGCGCCGGCCAAGCGAAAACAATCTATCTCAAATGTGGTTGCCAGCATTTCTTCACGAAGGAACAAGAGTATAACAGGCGAGCCAGGGCCGACAGTTGTGACCCAGTCATCTACGGAAATAGTTGATGAGGCGCAACCGAACAAAAGTTCTTCATCATCCTCACTTCTGAACCCTGTACAACGGCTACTTGGAGGGCCGCGCCCGCCCCCCGCCCCAGCATCTGCAAAGCCTCGAGTTGAGGAAGGAGAACTTGACCGTGATGACCTCATAGCTGAAGAGGAAATGCGGAAGCTTGGAAGCAAGCGAAAAGATTTTGAGTCGGCAGCAAGGGAATTGGATGAACTTCGGCGAAGAGCTGGTCCTAAGGAACGGGCTTCTCCAGCTCAAGCCCTAAAGATTGCAAGTCTTAATATCTTTGAACGAGGAGAAATTATTGACTATAAGGACATCTACTTCTGCGGTACTCACAAAGCCAAGAAGCATGTCGGCGATCTTAATGCTCAGACCGCCAATTTTGGCTATGATGATGAACGTGGAGACTATAACATAGTTATCGGCGATCATATTGCTTATCGATATGAAGTTGTCGATGTCCTTGGGAAAGGCAGCTTCGGTCAAGTCGTACGTTGCGTTGATCACAAGACTGGCACCCTTGTTGCCGTCAAGATTATTCGTAACAAAAAACGTTTCCATCAACAGGCACTAGTTGAGGTGAATATTCTTCAAAAACTGAAAGAATGGGTATGCCATCCCCTTTACCTAAATACAATGGCCAATCTAATATAATTTAGGATCCACAAAACCGCCACAGTGTTGTCAACTTCACGCAAAGTTTTTATTTCCGTGGACACCTCTGCATATCTACGGAGCTACTGGGTATCAATCTTTATGAGTTTATCAAGGCTCATGATTTCCGAGGATTCTCCCTCAAAATTATTCGTCGTTTCACTAAACAGATGTTAATGTCTCTGGTGCTCCTTCAAAATCACAAAGTTGTGCATTGTGACATGAAACCCGAAAATGTACTTCTCGTACATCCGCTCCGTGGAGATATTAAGGTCATTGACTTTGGATCAAGTTGCTTTGAGAATGAAAAGGTGTATACATATATCCAGAGTCGTTTCTACCGCTCCCCAGAAGTTATTCTTGGCATGTCGTACGGAATGCCAATTGACATGTGGTCTCTTGGCTGCATTCTCGCGGAGCTATATACTGGGTATCCACTGTTTCCCGGCGAGAACGAGCAAGAGCAGTTGGCCTGTATCATGGAAATATTCGGACCCCCTGAGAAGCACCTTATCGAGAAGAGTACTAGGAAGAAACTGTTCTTCGACTCCTCTGGAAAACCTCGTTTGACTGTCTCGTCAAAGGGGCGCCGGCGCAAACCTAGCTCAACTGATCTTCGACAGGCTCTTAAATGTGATAATCCTGCGTTCCTAGATTTCATTGCTCGCTGCTTGAGATGGGACCCTGCTCGCAGAATGACACCGCGCGATGCTATGCAACATGAATTCATTACTGGTATTAGAGCTCCCCCCCGCTCCACCCGCTCTCTGCACCATTCGCATTCCCAGTCACCCGTCAAACGATTTGCATCTACCAGTGCTACATTAAATGGTCGGCCCCTTCCAAACCCTCCTTCCACAGCTTCAAGCAGCGACGGAACACGTCTTCGGGACTCCTCAACCAATTCTCCCGTTAAGCATGGCTTACCCAAGCGCCACTCTACCTTCCACCACACATCCACAACGACGACGGCCAATCCGGGGGCGACCCCAAAGCGGGCGTCAAACATCCCTCCGTCAGGTGGCTCCGCTTTGCCTCGTGTGACGCCGAGGAATGCTAGCGGGAAGCCAGACCTTGCAGCCGCGGCAGCAACAACCAGCTTGGTAAGCTGATGCAAACAGCGTTCCTTCCCTTGCTAAATGGGCAACCCTCCTGCCCTCTTTTTTTAACCCTCCCTTTCCTTCTATGGTGGTAATATTGGATATCTAACGTCATGTAATGGTGCAGAAGACAAAGGTATAATAGGAATGATGTATGATGTTCCAAGGTTGCGACGAACGCAACTGCTTTTTTTGCCCGCGCTGGTCTCCGTAGCAAGGTTTGAACGAGTTAACCAATACGAGTCCATTGATTTGGCTTTACGATGATCAAAGGATCGATGTGTTGAGTGATGTTTATGTTATTTATGTTTACTTGCCACTACACTGGCATTTTCTCTCCAGCCATTTCTTCCTTACCCCATACCCCTATATTCTTTTTTAACATTATTTACTTTGCCTTTCACTTCTCTTTCTCTTCGACATTGCTTCATTTCTTGTTTCTATTTAAATACTGGCATTGCATGCGTGCATCTGTTTTGAGTCACTGCAATGTGTTAACAAACTTGCGTTGCCTATTATGCTTTTTTAATAATGCCCTGTTCCTGAACTTCTCGCATTTTATAACTTTTGCCCTATGCTATTCTTTGAAGGCTTGGATAAAGATATACGGCCATACATCATCTGCATCGCATCGGTTCGTTATTTCTGCTTCTTCTACTCCTTTGGTGCTAAATCGAACACAGGATGTTATTGCCCTCGTCACCAGTTCGAAAGATGAAACCTTTACCTTTGCCACAATATTTATACAGTATACAGTCCTCAATACCGAGTACACATAGACATATATGTATATATACATATAATGTGGATTTGCCCTTAGCACTCTCTCAATCCTCCCTTCGCTTTGGTTACTCGCATCCCATGCTGCCTTCTTTGGGCTGCTCGGCACAAGCATATATCACGTGAGATGTGATACCCGAGACGGTTAGTACACTGGCGGATAGTCTAGCCTTATGTAGTTTAGATCAGGGCCCTTTGGATACCTGGCCTTTTCTGCTGCTGACTAAGCGAATCAAGCTAGCACGAAATGAGAGAAACAGCAACCGGCGGGTTGAAGCTGGGGTTATTCAGATATCAAAATGCTGGCGACGGCCGCATATTCGCCGTTAAGGAAGTAGCCCATTTCATTACCGACACTACTCTTAGAGCAGTTGATGTCTGTGCTGGACGAGCTGATATATATGCGATCTCATTGGCCGCTATCCAATGAACGGATTTGCGCGTGATGGCCTTGACGAGGCCAACTTTGGAGCGCCTGATGGCATTGCAACCAAACTAAAGACATTTGATGCCTTTCGTAAGTTTTAACAAAATTAATGTGCCTGTCAATATTTAGATTACATACTAATCGACCGCTTACAGCAAAGACGAAGCCCTCATATACCTCCACCAGCCGTGGTGGCGGGCTGTGGACAATTTTTGTAGCTATCATCTGCACCATCCTCTCCTGCTCCGAGCTCATAACGTGGTATCGCGGCCATGAAAATCATCACTTCAGTGTTGAAAGAGGGGTATCACAGGAGATGCAACTCAACATCGACACTGTCGTCGCTATGCCCTGCGATGATGTCCGAATAAACATCCAAGATGCGGCTGGTGACCATATTTTGGCTGGAGATTTATTAACGCAAGAGCCCACTAGCTGGGGCGCTTGGAACAGGGAAATGAATCAACGGCGTAGTGGAGGAAGCCCTGAGTATCAGACGCTGAACAAGGAGGATTCTCTCCGGTTGGAAGAACAGGAAGAGGATCTCCATGTCGAACACGTCTTGGGCGAAGTAAGGAGAAGCCGAAAAAAGAAGTTCCCAAAGTCCCCCAAGCTGAAAAAATCCGATGCAGTGGACTCATGCAGGGTGTTTGGAAGTTTAGAGGGCAATAAAGTGCAAGGAAACTTACATATCACGGCTCGAGGCTTTGGATATTTTGAATGGGGAAGGGCTACTAACCCTCACAGTATGTCACTCTTACAGCCTATTATAACCTGCATTCACGGAGATGCCAAAAACCTAACCGATCAGCTAACTAAATTGTTTCCAGGCCTAAATTTTACCCACCTCATCACCGAGCTCTCATTCGGCCCCCATTATGGCCGTCTTCTCAATCCACTTGATAAGACGGTTTCCTCAACATCCATAAATTTCTATAAATACCAATATCACCTCTCGGTTGTTCCAACAATATATACAAAGTCCGGCCACATTGATCCTAATCGTCGGTCTCTTCCAGACACGAGCACTATAACGGCAAAGGATTCCAAAACGACCGTTTCAACAAACCAATATGCGGTAACCTCATACTCCCAGCCGATACAACCTCGCATCGACGCTACTCCAGGTATATTTTTCAAATATAATATCGAGCCAATTCTCCTAATTGTTAGCCAAGAGCGGGACAGCCTATTAGCCCTAATGGTCAGACTAGTCAATGTCGTATCTGGTGTGCTCGTTACCGGTGGCTGGCTGTTTCAAATCGGGTCCTGGGCCATGGAAACCATGAGGAAGAGAAGAAGACTCACATCAGATGGCTTATTAACAGGGAAACACGCAACAGATTAGTGGGTTGTCTCTGGCCCATGTGGCTGGATCGTGACGCATAAGATCCTGTTTTAATCTCCAGTCTTCTACTCATCCCATTTCTCCCCATTTTTCTTTTCTCTGTTAATTGTTTCCTATTTTTTTTTCCTCCCCTTTGCTTGCCTTCATCTCTTTTTGGAAATATGAATCGTCGGAGTTGGGGCGGTAGATTGCATTTCGAGAATATGATGTTACACCTATACTTTTTTTTGATCTCGGTTCTCAACAGACCAAAATATTCAGGGGTTGTGGGACATCCATGAATTAGCGCAAGAACAGCTCACTACCAAGCTATTTATCCCGAGAACCCTGCTTCTAGTTCAGTCAGCAGTCTTCATTCTGAGCCCGTGGAGGATCTGCCCTTTCGCACTTCAAGGGGTAAAAAAACTCCCGAGAACTCCGGGTAGCCTGGACCGCTCCCTTTGACCAGCAGCAGCGTACGAAGCTTAGAAAAGATATGCCACGCATTGCGCCGCAAAGTTCTCCATCCCCCAGCCCGGACGGGTCAGAGGCCCCTGTTCCGCGAGCGGTCTTGCCCACGCACACTAAATTTATTCACCAATTGCATGTGATGATAAGCCCAAGTTCTCGCGGAGTACAGCTGCTTCCTTTAACATCAATGCAGGTGCTGCACCACACAGTCACTAGCTGTCAATGTACTAGTCCTGTAATATCTTGCGGATGCAAGGGCAGACTTGCGAGCAACCTTTCCGAGCTAAATGACGCATAATATCTTCCGCGTCGCATTTACACGGGTGTGCAACCAATAATGAACCCCCGGCTCGCGGTTGCATTTGAAATGGTTTCTTGGAGAACGTGGAGCCTTTGACAGCATGTATGCAAGATATCCCCCATTGTCAGTATCTGTTACGCCGGTCTTACGGTTTTCTTCTGCTCTCCCATCTGCACAGCATGGTTTGGATATCTGTGCTGATGACGCAGTACTTCTTTTTGGAAACGTGTTGCTCTGCCTCTTGATAACTGAAATGAGCGGGTGATCCTTGTTTGAGTGGCTCTGGCCTCTTTGATCTAGATTGGTTTGCCTGGTAACGAGTCTTTTCCCTGTCATGAATGCCTATATCGTGAGATGTTTAGGCCGTGACCTTCCTTCTTCCGCCCTCCTTGGCTGTTGAATTGAGAACCCCTGCCTCCAGCCGGTAGAACATGGGTCTGATCCCACTGCTTTCTTGGTTTTTTACTTTCTTCTGGAAGCCGGAATCTCATATTGGCGGTTACACACATAATCTAGTCTCTTGCCCATCCAACCATCCATTGATCATTCCTCCCCCCCTCCTTCCCAACTAGTTACTGGTCGCAATGTTTTCATATCTAGGAAATAAGATAACCAGATGGCTTGGGTGCGGTGTAAAACCGAAATCCATTTCAACAGGAACAGATACCCCGGAAGCAACAGCCATAGATTCAAACAGCAATCTAGGGAAGACTAAACCGGTGATCCTCATCATTCATGGCGCATGGCAGCATCCAGCGTATTATCAGACCTTTGTCCAAGTGTTACAGTCACGAGGTTATGAGACGCATTGCCCGCGTTTACCGAGTTGCAATGGCCAGGTTCCGCCTACAAAGTCACTCGAAGATGATGTCCACTTCATTCGCCAATTCACAGCTCAGCTTACAAACGCTGGCAAGTTAGTTGATGTCATTATGCATTCGTATGGCGGGATAGTTGGAACCGACGCGCTTTGTAAATTTGGTATTGCGGAGAGATCCAGAAGAGGATTTGCTGGTGGAGTAAGGAATCTGATATACCTGACAAGCTTTGTGCCTCATAAAGGACAGAGTTTGGTAGGAATCTTCGAAGGCCAATCGTTACCAACTGTTAAGATTAACGTAAGTCCAAGTCGACTTGATTTTGACACTGCTTTTTCTTTGTCATTCTCGCGCACTTTTCGTACATTCCCCTGATTTTCCATGAAATGTATATACTGATATCCTCGATCAATTGTTAGGAAGAAACGAACCTCATATCAGCAACCGATCCAATTCCGATGTTTTACAGCGACTTGCCGAGTGAAGAAGCAGAGTACTGGGTGAAACAAATGGTTGCTCACCCGTATTCGGCGCAGTCCACTCCAGTCAGCAATGAAGCATTTCGAGAACTGCCGACCTCATACATTGTTTGCGAGAACGATAAGGGTATCTTGCCTGAAGTGCAGCAAATGATGATTGATAGACTCAAGGTTGCTGGTGTTGATGTGCAGGTCAAACGATGCAGCGGAAGCCATAGCCCTTTCCTAAGCATGCCCAATGTCACGGCAGATATCATCGAAAATATTTCAAATGCGTGACATCTTGCTCTCAGCATCGTCTTACCTTCCAAGAAATGGTGGAAATATGAGATATGGTACAGAGTACAATTCGTCCAATGCCCATGAAAGTCGCACCATGATATACGAATTATGGAAGCCGCTTCATCCCTCCTCTCATTTCCCACTGTTTCACGCTGTCCCATGTATTTATTGACCAACATCGATGTCTGGTCGATGTGAAAAGATTTGTTTGTCCAACAGTGAAAATTATTGACTACGGGCGGGATAAACCTTAAAAGCAACCGTCTATTAATTACGTAACTAAGTTTAATGTCACGTGCAGTTATCAACTGGAGGAACTTGTTAACGACATGAAACAATTATTGAGTGAAACAAGACAAAATATAAGATCTCATCAGCCTGACATTGAATGAATCGTTTTCCATCGCATTTTCTCAGGGAGGCCGTAATTCTCATGCTAAGGAGGCTTCCAATTATACCACTTATGTGCTGTTTAGACATAGACAACAACTGCAGCCATTGCGACCACTGCACCCACGGCCTGAGGGAGAGGAACACGAACATACCCGGCGGCACCCGTGTACTGTGCTGGAGGTGCAGTACCCGATGTCCGTGGTCCATCGCAATGCCAGTGGTCACCGTGGGGCTCGCAGCCGACGGACTCTGTTGGGCTAGGCTTCAGAGTCTTAGTGCTTGATCCGGTAGGATAAGGTGCAGTAGAGGTCGTGACACGAGGTCCATCGCAATGCCAGTGGTCACCGTGGGGCTCGCAGCCGACGGATTCAGTTGGGCTAGGCTTCAGAGACTTGGTGCTTGATCCGGTAGGATGAGGTGCAGCAGATGAAGTGACGCGAGGTCCATCACAATGCCAGTGGTCTCCGTGGGGTTCGCAACCAACAGACTCAGTTGGGCTAGGCTTGGTTGGAGTTGCCATTCCCTCATGGTCTTCAGCGTGCGAAGTGGTTGCAGTAGCAGCTGCTGAGGTCGCGGGGGCTGGGCCCGCACAGTGCCTGACGGATATGTTAATACTTGACTGTCCTCCAACTAATTATGGCCCAGCAGAGTTCTTACCAATGGTCACCATGCGGCTCGCATCCCACTGACGCTGTAGGAGAAGGTGGGAGTGTGCCTTCGGCGAAGACTACACTGAGTGCAGAAAAGGCAACAAGGAAATATCCAACGGTCTTCATGGTGACAGATATCGTGTGTAGTCCGTGTTCGAATCAAGTGCACAAGAGACTATAGAGCATGCTTCAACGACGATGGTCCTGGACGCCTTTTTATATTTGGACTTCCGGTCCCAGAATGCCTACGTTGAGCATTCTATACGAATTTATTGCCCCCCGGGTCCTTCTTTTACTGGCCTCTCGCTCGGAGAATACCTTTCGATCCCGCGCCATGGGGCCTTTAGGCCCGATCTCTCTGCCACCAACCAGCACCTCCGCAGTCCAAGCTTTGCACAAGCAAGTTTTCTTATTTCCTCACCTCATGATGATGGGTTCGACTTGATTCGATGTCGCTTCGTACTTAAAGCCCGAGGAGCAGGGAGAATAAGCTCGAAGCGAAAAAATAAAGGAAATGTTCCCTTGGCGTACTACAAGGTACTCAGGGCCACTTCAATGCACTGGTCAGTAGAGAAATACACTCAAAATTTCAACATTCCTTTATCTCTGTGGCTTGAAAGCTCCTTAAAGAATTTTTAAGCTATTCATATCCAGGACTACTATTAATAACCGAGCCGCCAGTCAAACTCTCGGAAGCTCCTCCCAGCAATGCCTCCTACCATCAAATCCAATGGGGAGATTTTATTCGATTTTACACTGTTGCCAGCTCTGTATTTTCCACATACTTCTATACTGATATGTTATCACAAGGTCCTCATTTTGTGTCTGGAGCTATATTCAAGATGGGTCAAAAAGGACCCTTAGGTCTCTCCGACTGTGGAGATGCATGACAGCACCGACACAAATTTTATCTATTTTTTTTTTTTCCCTTAATCTTATCTTGTTTTTCCATAGTTATCTTCCTCAGTTAACTAACTACCTCGGTCACTTATGCGATAGCCTTGAATAGAAAAATTTGCTCGCAGGGTTCACAGCAACCCTCGTAGCTACCCCAAACTCATTTGGATCCTTCCGTCATTGAAAATTCAAACATGAGTCCATGGAAATGTCAGAGGTTATTCGGATTCTTGCAGTCATTAATCGTCCTTTTTGCTCTCGACATTATACCCAAACATATTTAGTGAATACACCATCGAAATGACTCGGCCATACGCTCTCATCTCTCTCGCCCTATCGATAGTAATCGGCTTGGCTCTAGTCTCGATTCTTGATGACATCACTAACACAACTCTTCGAAGCAATGTTAAGCCGGCAATTTACAAGCTGGCAGGGATCAGTGCTCTAACTTCCTCCCTTAAGCAATACATTCCAACAAGCTATCTACGCCTTCATCCCTTGCGAGCTGGGCTCCCGGCATACTACCAGCACTCGAGTGGTTATAATGCTACCAATGTGAATAGAGAAAAACTAAAGGCGGGAACGATTAGTACTCGACAATTGGAAGAGAAGTCTCGCCTGAGAGATCGAATGAAGAGGGATAACAACAAAAAATGGGACTCATCGCATCCACGATATAGGCTGTTGACAGCCATGCATGGCTTTGCTCGGTACAAAGATAGAAATTTAGCCGAAGCTGATCGATGGAGTACTTTATATTTGAACTCCCCCATGCGCCACCGCAAAGTAAGTCTCGTCCTGCCGCTTTTTACACTGACTGTCTAACGATATATTTCCAATAGTTCATTGAATCTACTGTAGGGTACACCTCAAAGTTGAACAAGGTTAAAGACTTGTTTGCCGAAAACGATGCCCTCGCCCAGGCAATCTTAGCCCATGCCCTGGATTTTTATGAGGTCGAACGAGCTGAACTGGACCACTTCATCCAAGAGGCTGAGTCCAATGGCATTGTGGCCGACAAGACCAGCACATCTCAAGCCATGAAGCATTTCGTGAGGGATTGGTCTACAGAAGGGCTGTTCGAAAGGGACGCGGCCTTCCCCTGTGTGTTGGAAGCCCTGCAAAATTATACTGTCCGTTCAGATGATAGACCTCTTCGCGTCCTGATTCCTGGCTCTGGACTAGGGAGGTTAGCACACGATGTCTCGAAACTGGAAGGTATTTGCGACCAACTAATTAACTGGCTGCTTTCTGTTCTAACAGTCAACTCTAGGATTTGAAGTTACTTCGAACGAATGGTCTTCATATATGAACGTAGCGTACCGTTATGTCGAGGCCTTGCAGCTCTTAAATTCAGAAACATTTTTCCCCTTTATTGACTGGTGGTCACATCAGGCTTCCACTGCAGACCTCCTTCGACCAGTTCAATTCCCCGACACCATTCCTTACCATGCGAACGGTTCGCTAGACCGTTCTCTCGTCCACATTGAAGGGGACTTCAACTCCATGCATCATGGCCTCCCGGCAGCCGAGACAAAATACGACGTCGTGATAACACTCTTTTTCATCGACACTGCTAGAAATCTTATGTCCTACTTTGAGACTATTCAAGACTCCTTAAATGAGGGAGGCACTTGGATTAATCTTGGTCCGCTCCTTTATGGAAGTGCTCCATTCTTGCAGCTTTCTTTAGATGAAATTGTTGATGTATGTGAGCACTTGGGATTTGAGTTCCTTGATACGTCTTCAAAATGTGGTGCCACTACTCTTGAAGGGAGGAAAATCAGGAGCAAAGAAGTGCCTTATGGCCTGAGTGATCGATCTTTATCTAAGAATGCCTACAAAGCTCAATTCTGGGTTGCAAAGAAGGGGAAAGTAGTCCCGCCACTGTCATAGATATATGAGGAATGAAGTCGATGTGGATTTTATAGGCGGTGCATTAGTTAGTTGGGGATGAAAGCCTAGTTTTGGAATATGTAAACAAGTAGTGTTAACAACTGGGCCAGCCATGGATCCAAAACATACAAATCAGCCCAAAACGTATATTTAGGGTCCGTCGGTTGTTATGCGTAAAACGATCACGCTTCAAAAATTTCACCTAACCCTATTCCTGCCCCCTGCGCTCCATATCGACACTCAACCAAATCTAGCCTCCATCCTTTCCAATTCTTCAGCTTTGCTTTTATCTCTCGGGCCCATTCCACTCGTTTTTTAGCTTCTTCCTCTTCTTGGGCACGAGCAAATGCATCTTCATCAAACGCATCGTCATCTAAAAATTCCTCATTTGGATCTGCATGGGAACCGTAATCGAAGCTCTTATGACTTCTATCTTGATCTTGAGTACCAGTGAACGCGGCAATGCCACTTTGCAATACTGTTGCAAAGGATGAGTGTTGCTGTGGCCTGTGGCTGATGCTGCGACGACCAGCGTAGCTGTGACCCCCTGGCGCACCGCCTGTGAGATCGACATCATCAAAGGTGCCTGAAAAGGATTTCCTATCTGCTGAGGGACCTTCATCATCATGCTGAGAAGAGAGTTCACGTTTGCGTTCTTTCCAAATGCCTCGTCGAAGATCAAAGATTTCTCCCTCCAGATCCCGAACTTTCCGTTCGAGTCGCTGTCTTTCCTCGTCTTCTAGCTCATCTAGACCTTCATCAGCCCCAACTCCCGATACCTCACGTTTCTTTAGTCGGTCTCTTTCTTCCTTAAGCCTTAGGTTCTCGTTTTCAGTTGTTGTTATCTTTTTCGTGAGCATAGCCACATCTTTCTCGAATTTATCCCGTTCCTTCATACGGGTTTGATGTCGACTTTCGGACTCCTTATGGAGGTTGCTTAAGGCTTGCAGTTTCTTCTCAAGTAGATCTGCCTTTTTATCGGCTTCAGCTTTAGCTTCCTCAGTTTCCTTGATCTGGCGTTCCAGGCTCTTAATGAGGGTTTCAGTGGACGTTTTGTCCACCCCTTCTTTAACTGCCTTTTCTGCTGCTCTGCTTACAGCCTGTTTGGCATCGGCAAGCTCTCTCTGTGTCTTCTCTAGTGCGCTTTCACTGCGTGACAGCTTCTCTTCTAAAGCTGAGATTTGTTCCTGGTGGGCTGAGGAGCTGGTAGATTGTGAGTTCAGTTGTGCTCTGAGGTTGGATATCTCCATCTCCATGTTTTCAATAGTCGTTGACTTCGCGTCTAGTTGATTTTGCAACTCAGATGGCGAATCTGGATTTCCTGATACAGCGGCACTGTTTGATGGTCTATGCGTGCGGGTATGCAAATGAGAGTTCTGCCGTTGCAAAGCACTAATTTCCGCTTTCTATGACCGAAGTTAGCAGACACTCCACAAAATAGGAATATACTTGCTACTAACAAGATTTTCTACTTCCTCTGCTTGTTTCTCCGCCTTTGCAAGCTTCTCCTTCAACTCAACGGTTTCAGCACTCGATTCACGCAAATCATCAAGCTCTTCCTCAGACTTCTTCCACTTTGCATTTGTCACTTCCACTTCTTTTTCCAACCTCTTGTTTTCCTTCTCTAGTTCTTCCAACCTGATAGCTTGTTTTCTAAACACTTCCGGTGCTGTACTGCCATCAGGACTCAGAGGTAGTGTGGGGGATTTAACGCCCGATGAGCCAGGGCTGACCACTGGAACCTTCGAATCCTGGCGAAAGGACGAAGAGCGGAGCTTAGATTGAACGGATATCGAGGGTTGGCGGCCATGGGATCTGGTTTTGGGCAAAGATTCCCCGCCTTTGTCTTCCTTGTTATTAGATTCATCCACTTGATCTTCGGTAGAAACTGGTGTTTCCGTAACTGCTTCTTCGGGATTATCTTTTTCAGCATCCTTTGGAGTCTCCGTCTCAGCTTGCTTTTCGGCATCTGGTTCCTCCAGTTTGGAGTCTGGAGATGGTCCTTTGTCCCCTGCTTCCGTTGAAGCAGCAGCTTGTTTACTGGATTCCCCTTTCTTCCCCTTCTTCCCCTTTTGCTTTTGCATTTGCGCTACCTAAATTAAAACCAAGTGATGGTCAGTCCTATATCAATGGAGCTGGCACATGCGCATTGGGATTAGAACTATGAACATACCCTTTTCTTGGCAGCGGCAAGCTTCTCAGCACGGTCTTTGCCCTCCGTGTCCGCCATTATGTCCGAAGGGAGGTGATGCCGTTTGGGAGTGATACTATTAAAACCAGCAAGGTATATTGAAGCTCTGAAGGTGTTTACCTTGTTCTTATCAAAGCGATGTTGGATGATGCTACATGCTACCCAGTGATTGGCTAAAGCATTCTTACGTAATTAGAGAGCAACACATCATGGAATGATCACGTGATTCTGATTAATCAGCTCCGGTTTCATCCATTCGGAAGTTTTCGGATCGAACACCAACAACGCTTGGCTCCCGAAAGTGCATGTAGAAGGCATCATGGTATTTCTGATAGTTGCCAGTGTTGAGTAACAAGTATAAGCAGCTAGTTATGTCTACTTGCCGAAGGCATGGTATTCCATAAACTCCACGCCTAATAGCCAGCAAAAGACACATGAAGATAAAGGACAAACCAAAAAGAATCTCGATCACATATAACAACCGATCGAACAATCACATCATTAAAAGGATTACGAAAAAGAGGGCATGATGAAGAACAGAGAGGAGTAAAACGGTGCCAGCGTGACTAGTAAGCTGAGCTTCAATCGGACACTCAGATGGCTAGTTGCCTTAGCACTGGGTACTTTGACAGAGATCAGTGCATAGATAACCAACTCAGTCATCAAATGGCGTTGATATAAAAATCGTCACGAGCATGCATTATTGCGGAAGGATAATAAGGAGTCAATCAATAACACTGAATATCAAATGGGTAAAAAAAAGTTCCAATCAAGGTTGAACTTGGGTAATTCTGGAAATAGGAGGTGTTGCAGTTATACTTCCATAGAGTCGGCAATTTCTTCACTCAGAGCACGGACGGTAGGCTTACTACCAGACTGCGAGCGTAGATCATCATCACTAAGAATATAGTTGTCATATTCGTCCACAACTGGGCGGGCGGGCTGAGATGGCTGTCTTTCTTCTTCGTCGGCGCTGAATTCATCCATCTCATCGTTTGCACCATCACCGAACCAGTACTTGGCGCGCTTTCTGGCACCCGTATCATGGGAGACGTAGCCATCATCCTCGACATTGCGCTTGCCTGGGACTGGAGTGGCTGTTCCATCGGCTGGTAACTGACTGAGAACGCTGATGCCACGCAAGTAGATGTAGCAAACACGCTTCCTGACTTTGTTGAAGAAGAAATAGTTGAGGCTCCATATGGTGCCCTCTTCGCCATCGTATGGGTCCTCGTCCGGGCTATAGCAGTATATACTGCACTCCTTGAGGGACATTTGATTGTCAATGATCCTCCACATTCTAGGACCCCATGAATGGGTCGTTGCCGACATGTGCGGAGAGGATGAGGTTGGGGTAGGTGGTGTGACATCGCGAGCCAACTGTGGGCGGAGGTTAAACAGGGTAGTATCAATAGTATCCATGACTCTCCGCAAGTTCTTCTCTCGGCGGAAGTCAGAAGGTCGCAGGACATGCGAAAAGTCGTAGTCGGGGTGACTTGCGTTAAGTGTAGCAATAAGATAAGCGTAAGTTCTGCGGCTGGAATGCTCACTCAAGGGTCCAAACGGGCTAGAACGCGAGAGATTGAGCGACATGGCCGCGGAAGATGCATTTGGTGGTGAGAGCGAGGCGGAGAGCCGTAAAAGCGATTCATACTGCGTTTCCAAAGAGGTCTCGATGTTCTTGTACAGTTTCTTATCACCACTTGCGGCCTTCGTTGTGTAAAGATCACAGCCGCCCACGACCATACAATCGGGTGTGTCAAAGTTCAGCGCCCTGGTCACATCGTCAAACTCGCTCAAAGGGAGGAACTAGATGCCGTGAGTGTCAGCAAGCTACCGAAGAAGAGGGTTCTGTGTCGCTGTCGAACGACAGATGTCCAGTGCCAGACCTTCATGGTGTCGGGTATTGATCAATAGGATATGCGTGTTATATTTCCCAGATTCGTGTGTCTTGAGTGTATGTGGTTGTGTCGATATGTTGTTGGAGCTCTTATCGCAAGGATGTGTCGATAGCGGTGATACGGAGCGAGCAAAACAAGCGTTTCTGGGGTCGGGATCTCTCTTGACTGAGGCACTGCTGTCACGCAGGTTACCGCCTCAGCGGACGTGGTGGTTCTTCGTCTTCTTAGTGTTGCTCTTGCTGAAGCAAGTCAAACAGCGGTACGAGTTATCCAGGCTGGCTGCAAGGACAACGCATACGGATCGACTACGCCAGACGACGAGGCCGTCTAGCAAGAAAGGGGAGTCATGGCAACGGCGATACACACAAAGTAAAAGTAAATGGGTAGCAGTGACTATAGGTTGGGCAGTGAAGATGAGCGAAGCGCAAAAAGCGACAGAGAGAAGGGAGAGGAAGAGGAAGAGAGGGGAGCGAGCAGCGCGCCGGGAAGGACGAGAAGAAGCCCAGAAGTTGGGAATATGGGAGCAACGCCCCAGTCACGTGAGGACGTCTGACCAGTGACGTCGAGCGATTGTTTCACGCGATTATGGCAGCAAGGAAGGCCGGGAGACGAAGGGACGACGAGCAGAGAGGGGAGGATGTCGAGGAATGGACGATAGTGCAGATGCAGGTGCTGGCTGTTATGCAGTGATGCTGGAGCTGCTGGAGGGTGGACAGCATGATGACGATGGTTAGCCTGAGAAGGGGTTCGCTGGAAGCGGCCAGGTAGAGACAATGCTGAAGAAGTAAGGAGACGGCAGGCCTCAGAGTCCCAGGGAATTCATCGCCTTGACTCTGTCGTCCTCGTCCTGTTTGTTGATGAAAGAGTCAAATTAGTCATGTCGTATATACACTGTCCGAGAAACGCCGGGTATAAACTGTTGCCCTAAACAAGATACAAGCAAACAATGAGAACACGAATCAAGGTGTGCCGACGGCCGCTACATGATTTTCGTGATGATATCCTGTTCAACCTGAAAAGCAGAAAGGAAGAGCAAGGGGTTAGCAACAAAAACAACGCAAGCACAGGAGGAGCGAGAATCTCTTTGGCGGCTGCTTCGAGTGCTCATTCAACCCCCAGGAATGGAGAATTAGAAAAATTCCCGCTTACCTCCATGTCTTCTAGGCTGTCCTGCTGACTGATGCACCGCAGCACGTTCTTCTTGCTACTCTCCTGCATCTCTCCCGCCAGCAGGAGCTCGTCGAGGATAAAGTAGGCCTTTTGGAAGTTGAAAATAATGTCCAGCTCGCAGACATTGCCATAATACTTGTCCATCTGCTCGACATATCGGTGGACGATCTCTAGGGTTATCAGCTCGTTGTCGGTGGACGAGCAGCCAGCGATGAAGAAGAGGGAGGCATATCGGCGGTACACCACTTTCGAATCTAGAGAGACCGCGCTTTGTTAGCCGCATACATGAACAACTTCATACAGGCGTATGCTCCAACAGAAATGAGCTAGGTATAAGGCCAAACTCACCCTTGTATTCAAGAAAATTGCACATCCGCGTCCGTCGTGAGAGGACCAGCTGGGTGACATCTTTGATGATCTTCGCCTTATCCTTTGGCGAAAGCGTCGTAAACCATTTTGCCAGACGCTACATGAACCACAATCCGGTCAGAAAAAGTATCCAAGATGAAGGACATCCTCCGTATGAGAAAGAGGTTGTTGTCTGTCCAAAGGGGGAGAGCTGCTTGTGGGAACGAAAAAGGGACGGGAGGGAGGTTTTGCTTCAAGGTGGGTGACGAGCGTGGGTGGCTGGTGTACTGACCACCTTGCCCTGACGAGAGAGCAGAATTAAATAGCTGGAGATGAGAGTCAGTCAGTCTATTCCATCGCCAGCTAGCCAGGCAGTGAGACTTACTTGATCGCCATTAGGTTGCTTTATTTCTGCGGTCGTTCGACGTGGGGAGGAGAAGAATGTCGACAAGTTTTGTGTTATTTTCTTTGCCTATGAAAAATGTTTGGAGGGTCACTTTGGCGCCAAGACGCAAAGAGCCGCGCGATCAGAAGCGCCGGCAAAGGCGAGTATTTGATATTGGCTATTACGGCCGCTCTGCATACTATTCTAGTCGATAAAAGAGAGAGGAGCGCTAGTAGATGGCATCTGGTTGTTGATGCCGGCTGACGGCCTGAGAGAACTGAGTATTGTGCTGCATGACAGAGTACGGAGTAGTACCTACACATAGATGTACTGCATGCACATTATAGTAAGGACGAAAATTGAGACACCACCGTCAATGGGCCTCTATATCCATCCTCCTCACCCTGACTCCATGGCGCATCCTCACCATCCTATGGCTGCTATGCGTCTTCCATCTACTAACTATTCTGTCTCGCCGATAGTTAAATATCCTGACTAAGCCTGCAAAAAGCCGTCCGTAAAACTTCCGAGGCTCCCCCCACCAAAGGGGAAAATAACATCCCGCATTACAAATGCAAGGGAAGGATTCTGTTTCCACGGTGTTCGAGTTCCTTTCGGCCCGGGATGTTGTTTGTCTGGTGCTGGCTGTTTATATAGAAGAGTGCACCTTGCGATTTTGGTAGTTGGAGAACACACTAAAGGCAGGACTGACAGTGATGCACCCAGCAAAGATGAGGTTGATACTTTCTACCGGGTAAGTCTGCACAGCCGTAATGCGCCCAAAAATCAGTACTGACCCTTGCGGATAGAAACATCGTCAGCAGTGGACCGTCTGTCCTCAGAAGACCGGCGACAGAGAAGTCCAATGTGGAATTTCTGAACTCGCTACGATATAACTTCGTCTCCGCGCAAGAGATCGAACCCTCACACACCAACTCGCCTTGCGAAGAGACACATTCGCCGCCCCAGAAGCTTTCCTATAGCGACTATACTACCTGGACTTCCAGAGATGGCGACACGCTATATGTGCCCTCCCTAGACTTTTCAATGTCTGGCCTGTCTGAAGATCGTTCGCAGTACGATGTCACCGTGAAGCTTTTTTACCTTCCGGGAGTACCAGCGCAGCGGAGATGTCAACATGCGCGGGAATCAATCGATCTGGTCCTCAAGGAGCTGCATATAAGCTGCATAGATTTGTTGATCGTCTCGTTTCCAGAGGTCACATTTGATGCGGATGATGAGGGTGAAGAAGAGCTGTCGAACGGCGAAGAGAACGAGTCAGAACTAGACAATATTGTCAAGACATGGCGGGCCTTGGAGGCCATGCATGAGCAAGGGATAATAGCTCAACTCGGCATAGCTGAATTTGACAGTTCACGCCTTGCGAAGCTCCTGGCACAAACAAAGATTCGGCCCAGTGTCGACCAGATCAACGTCAAGGATTGCTGCGTCGTACCGAAATCGTTGATCCTTTATGCAAAACAAGAGAACATCGAGCTCCTTACACACAATGACTGCACGGATATCCTTCCCCGAGGCACAACTAGAGACCTGCTATCTCGCACCGAAAAGGGTGCCGGCATACTTGCTGCCACAGCTGGCACCGACGATGGTGGTATAAAGGGCGATGTCGATCCCCAGTGGGTCATCAAGTATACCGCTGTAGTCAAAGACAGAGGTGTAATTGAGAACAAGGGATATTTTGCCCTTGCAGATGTCGGGCCATGATCAAGAAATCTTATGGGCTGGTTATTCTCGATATGTTTCCCTGTCATCATTTCTTTCTTTCTTTTTTTTTTTTTCCTGGTTATCCTTGATGTAAGCGTGAGCGTTTCCGAGTACTTCAGCACAAATATAGACAATAATTCTGCGGAATACCCGCTGTGTACGATACCAGTATGTGGATAGTTTTGCTGTTGCATATCATGGGCTTAGATTTCGTTTAGAAACTGTAAACGCTGAGCTGTACTCACGTTCCCTGTAAATGATAATACTTATCCGATCATGCTCCTCTTTCGCCCTCTCAGCCGCACTTCCTCTAGTCTTTTCAAGACCGATTTGGCGGCTTTGAAGCTCTCTCCATATCCCTCGAGGACCTCTTGGAATAACCCCTCAGTTCTGGGGTGGGAACTGGCAAACGCTCGCTCCAAAACGTACAAATCCACGGCTCTATCTTCGTCCTGGACGCTCTGGCTGGCAAGCCCAAAGTCAATGAGAACGATCTCTCCATCCAAGGAGGGCAATTTGTTCCCTGGTTCTAGATTGTTGGTATCTGTTTCGCGAGGAGCCGTCTCAGCTGACACACTGCTAGCAGGTGGCCGTAACATGAGGTTGCTCGTCGTCAAATCGCCATGTATGATTCCAGTCTTATGCAGCAGCCCGACGGCACTTCCGATCTTTCGGAGAAGAGTGCATATCTTCTTTTCACTTTCCTTCACAGTCTCAGCACAGACGCTAATATCCGTGTCAGCCGTTCCTCGCTCGTCTAGCGCGCTACTGGACTTTATCCATCTCTCCCAGCTGTCCACGACTTGTCTGACCACATCCCCATCAATCCATTCCATAAGCAGCCAGCCACCATTATTTGCACTATTCCCTTCTTTACTTTCAGTGTCAGGCTCGGGACTGTTCCCCCAGTCCGCTGCCAAAATGCCAGGTACTGGGGCTCCTTCTCTAGCCAGTTTGGCCATGCATCTCGCTTCCTGTAAAATTCGCTGGCGAGTTAACCGGCGGTCGAGTATCGGGTGACGATATGGCTTCAATGGGCGCACTTTTAATGCTGCAGGGATAGAAGGATGCAAAAAATGAGTTTTATATAGTCGGGCTTCTGCGCCTTGGGCAAGCAAGATAGGTACAATCGCGGGATCACAGTAGGTAAACGGCCGTGGAAGCGGCGGAGGAAGTTGGATCTCTGCCATGTCTTTATTGATGCGTATATGCTGGTTAGTATGTATCTAAGGAGTATGTCCTTAACTGTTCGGCAAAGCAGTCCTGACTGTTCTGCGGGATCCCTCTTGTTGGTTCCTTCGTGTGCTTACATTTTTCTACTTCGATAGCTTACCTAATCTAGAGATCGTGTCTTCGGGAGTTGCTCCACAGAGTTTGGCGCTATCTAAATCTGGTTTAGCGCCATATCGCTCCTTCGACTACTTAGTAAGCAAGTCTTCACGCATTTCATTCGCTGATAATCCTCAATATCAATTTGTCAAATCATCGTCACATAACACAAGATCAAGCAACTGTGAAGGGGTCAAAACCGATAAGTTTTGGGTTGAGTTGTTGAGATAAATCTTCTGTATTCCAAGAGGAGATTCAGCTGGGATTAGAACACGGTGCTGCAGTCCCGCTCTAATGGCTGGAGAATGGTTTGTAAGTGTATAAGGGCAGCCGCACGGTCATCCCAAAGATACCCCAGGATTGGCAGTTGATTTCCTCGTCTCCGGCATCGGTGAGGGATGGAAGCATGGTAGGAGGCAGAAAGCCTGGAGATCATGGCTCTGACCGTTGTCATACAACTTCCATATTTATACCGGATTTCTCAGGTTTGAGGTGACAAACCGCTGAGAGGAAATTTGGAACTAAAAGGGCAGCCTGCGCTCTGCGCGCCCGAGATATCGCATACTCCCAGATGATTTGGCACTCGAGGTATTACCTTTGTGATACTCCGTAGCCTACCTCCCTAGGCGCTATTCAAACAAACATCATCACAGCAACCATCACACCCAGAACACAACATTGACCACATCTTCTTTCTTTTTTCTTCTCTTATTCCTTTGGCACACTACAGACTAGTACTGCTGACCCTTTGGTTTTGTTCAACCATGTCACGTTCAGCAGCAGCCAACGCTGTACAGCCTGATAACCAAATCCACTCTCTCCCACTTGGCGAGCCCTCGATCCATGCTGTTCCGCGTCTCCTGGATTCCGGCGGAGTCCCAAACGTTCTATGGGGAAACTACCTTCTCACTGTCTATGGAATTCCGTCGCTAAGTAATGTCCGTGATGGGTGGCCTGCCGTAACTTCGTTGAGGAACCGTGGGACTGACATTTTGCAGGATGCTTCGTTTGCAGTACCCGATGATAAGATACCCCGAGCGCGAAAGCTCCTCAACAGCGCTGCCGGTTTAGTCTCCTGCACGGACCAGAACTGTATCATTGTTACAATTCGATCTCGTCCTCCTCCCATCAACCATTTCCACTTGGACACAGAAGACACGCATATCTATCTATACCCGCTGTCCGAAGTTCTTCCAAACATTCCCAGTATCCCAGATGCCGGCGACAAACTCATCTCCGCGTCTGAACTTGGTTGCCTTCCTGAGTCAATAATAGGCTACGGCAAGGGTGCGTTTGCTCCAGAGTACACCTCCGTGCGTGTGCCTTCAATATCCTGCTTCCTGGAAGCCTGCCTCGTCAACTACGCACACCTTGCTCGAGGCATCGAGGACAATCCAGGATGCTGCCATGACCTCCACTACATGAGCTGGGCATCGTATCTCGTACAATACGTCCATCCACGCGGGTACCTCAACCTTGACTTGCTTCAACCGGTGTTCAGAGACTTTATGATTAATGGCTTTTTGGAAAATAGTACTGCTGGATTTGTGGCAGCGAGGGAGAAACTCATTGCTTCTCTCTAATTTGAGTGGTTTCAAGGATTTTTTCCTCCCTTTATTTACCTATTGGGCGTTGGTGCATGGAGAGCCATGCTAATAATGAACGTAGCGTATTATTGCATCTATGTGTAATGGTTTTGGTGCCGCAGTAGTAGAAATACTATGGGGTTGCTCCGGGTCAGGAGGCAGAATTGCTCCTTAGCCGCCAACATCTACTAACAACTCAGCACCACGACGCACCACAACCCAACACCAGAAGTGATTAAATCTCGATGTGAAAGGCCCAGCAGCTCTAGCCATGGCATCCTTCCAAATACTCTCCGATCTCCATCTCGAGTCTCCTTCGGCTTACGACATCTTCGATGTTCCTCCCAAAGCCCCCCATCTCGCGCTCCTGGGAGACATCGGTAATGTGCGCGACAAGGGCTTCTTCCCGTTCATCGAAGCACAGCTACGTAATTTCCGCACCGTCTTTTTCTTAATGGGCAACCATGAACCGTACCACTGCAGCTGGGGTGAAGCCAGGCGCAAAATCAACGCGTTTGAACGCGAAACTCGCGAAAAGGCAAATCTAGATCCAACTTCGGGCCTAGGAACATTCGTCTTTCTAGACCGCACGCGCTACGATATGCCCGATACTATCACGGTTCTTGGATGCACACTCTACTCGCACATTTCCCCCGAGCACGAAGAGAGAGTGAGCTTTGGTCTCAACGACTTTTACATGATCGACGACTGGACCGTCAAAGGCCACAATGCCACTCACGCGGCCGACCTAGCGTGGCTGAATGAGCAGGTTGCTGCTATATCTGCGTCCGAGCCGCAGAGGAAGATTGTCATATTTACACATCATAGTCCGATTGTGCGGGATGAGAGGGCTGTCGATCCAGCGCATATCGGAAGTGCGATTAGTTCCGGGTTTGCGACAGATTTGAGTAGTGAGGAGTGTTGGAAAAACCTGAGCGTGCGACTTTGGGCGTTGGGACACACGCATTTCAATTTTGATTTCGTGGTAGGAGGAGGGGAAGGCCAAGGGAAGCGAGTGGTGAGCAACCAGCGGGGATACTACTTTAAGCAGGCTGGAGGATTCGATGTTGACAAGGTTGTGAGTGTTTAACTGTTTGGATAGCATAAATGGCCTCTTTTACGCCTCTACGGAGTAGTTATTCTCGTCTGTCTGATGACTAAGCTTTCCAGGTATCAAACATCCCCAAAACCTCAGAAAGGACGTCAAAAGCAGCATCAAATCATACAAGATGTTGATAGCCATGACAATGAGAGGATAATGAGGAAATTGCTGGACCATATTGATACCTCGGAGTGACAAGGCATATTCAGGACATAATTCAAGAACCGCCGTGGCGCCATGGCGCCTTCAGGTAGCATGGCTCTCTTGACCTGTCTTCATTTGAGATAGAGTGTATGTCAATTCCAACCTACACTTCTTATCCTTTTATAAAGCACAAACGCAGAAACAGCCTATAGCTGGTCCCGTCACATCGTCAGCTGCTGGGAGACGTGGGGTGCAAAAACATGGACCAGTGTTGGATGCGGCCAGAACCCGCCAAAGTCACCCCTGGCATCCTCGTACCCTAAGCTCGTTATGCAGCTTCCTTCTCCCTAGTGCTGATACCATCAAGCAGACGGTCCTAGATGCGCCACAGGTCTCCAATATTACGGGGTTGTCTTCAGGCCTTCCGCTTAATACCTGTGCTCCCCGCCCCGCCGGCATTACCCTTCCGCCTGGGCTGACTGCCTTGCAAAATTAAGGGCGTCGTAATGAGATCCTATTTGAGGAAACTATCTGTAGCCTCCTCGCTTCAGTGTGCATTCCAAACAACTGCCCTAGCACGGGGAGCGGGAGTGGCGTGGGTGGGATACGGACAGATCGAGCTGACAACCCCGGGTCGTCTTCAGGAAGGTTTCCGGGAGGGCTCCACCACCCGTCCGGCGCTTTGGCGTCCTAATCAAGTTACTTCTTTTTCAAGACCATAAAGTACCTTTTCTCTTGTCTTGCTTCTCTTCCGGAAATATATCCATCCAGGCTATGATAGCTGCTGGCTGATAGCTATCACGTGAAGAGCGACTCGCAGCCATCGACCACGAACTTTTGGTTCCAAAAGCAGTTGACACTTTGTCTGTATGCTGCCCTTTACGCCTGTTACATGTCGAGTACAAGGCAGCCCTCGTATCACTGCTTTCTTCACTTTTTCTGCAGTCAGGACTGTGACGGCCCCGGTCGCTCGCGCTAACAAGCGTTTGGTTCTTGTGGTCGAAGATCATGCAGCCTTGATATTGTTCTTTGCAGAAACACCTGCATACTTCATATTGTTCCTGCAGGCTGGAACCTAAATATGAACTGACCTCGCCTCCTTTCAAGCACTTTGTATATCAACCTCCCTACCCATTGTGACTCCAACCATCGTCGACTCCGCTGACTGGCTATTATTCCTCTTTATTTATTCCATTTTCTGTTTGTCCTCCCCGGGCCTGCTTGATAGGCGCCGGGGAGTCCTGCAGAATTGTTCCCCGTATCTGAATATGGACCGTGTCGATATTCAGTCCGGAGTCAATGTCTCTACTGCCTTTGTCTGGTGGAATGTTGACCATTCTTCCTAGACATCAATCTGCATGTTCCCTTTGGGGCTTTTGCAGTGACAAACAGCTGCAATGAGAAGATCCTTCTCGTCCTCGGGGGCCGCGTCCTCTCTTTTCTTGATAGTTCTGCTGCTCTTCTATTAAAAGGCACAACGTCTTGCTGTCAAGGGCTCTTTTGATACCCCTTCCTTCATCAGAAGTGCAGATACCTTTGCCATACTCAAGTCCATACCAACAACCATACACTTTTGAAACCACCAACAAGTCCTTTCCGGGAGCACGATACCATGGCACCGCACTTCGATCCTTTTCAGCAGAGCGTCACCTTCCTCCGCAGTGATGGCAGCTCATTCCCTATTTCCATGGCGGATTTCAACAAGTTCGTGTTATACGCAGTCAGAACTTCTATTGCAGCTGCTTCTCAGCTGGGCGCTTCTGTTGTGATGGCTGTTCTCCTTGCCTTACTTACAGCACCGGATAAACGACGATCAATCGTTTTCTATCTGAACATCACCACACTTCTCGTGAATGTGTGTCGTACATTATCCACGACGATATTCTTCACCAGCTCCTGGGTTGAAATATACACTTACTTCTCCGGCGACTATTCTCGAATCACAACCGGTGCCTACGCCAATTCTGTCATGGGAACTATAGCCACTGGTATCATGGTCATCTTGATTGAGCTATCCCTACTCATCCAGACTCACGTTCTATGCTCTACGCTTCGTGACCTGTATCGAAACATTGTCCTAGCATGGTCGTGCTTAGTAGCAGCGGTTCCAATTGCATTTCGAATTGCCTTCATGGTTGCAAACGTCAAGGCAATTATGTCTCAGTCTTCTCTGGGAAATAACGTCTGGATACAAAGCTCGTCGAACATTAGCATCACCGTCAGCATCTGTTACTTTAGTTTGGTCTTTCTGGCCAAGCTTGGCTATGCAATCTACACTAGGCGGTTGTTGGGAATGAAAGGATTTGGAGTCATGCAAATCATTTTCATCATGGCTTGCCAAACTATGATACTTCCAGGTACGTTCATCCCGATGTCTTACCTATCTAATACGCATAATTGCTTATAAAAGAATGATTTCAGCTATCATGTCTATACTTCAGTATTTCATTCCCGAGTTTGAGGTCAACACCAATATCCTCACCTTGCTCGCACTGTCTCTGCCACTCACGACGCTTTGGTCGGCTGCTGCCGTTCGCCATGGACATAACAAGAATCACGGATCCGGTCGCCATTTCTGGGGAGGCAGCTCTGAAAAGTCTCTGTTCGATCATAACAAAACCTCAGGGGGCAGTTTCTCCCATCCAACCTCGACGCTCATTGGGTCTATGCCGGGCCCTGAGAAGGTCAAGTCGGCGGACCACTTTGATCGTCTGTACCCGGAGCTACACGATACAGGCAACATCACAATCGAACGTAATTTCAGTGTTACCAGCAATAGAGTATGAAGTGAAGGTCACATAAATGTCACTGAGAGATATATGCAAGTCTGGGTGCAAACGTACGTCTCCTAGACATGTGCCTGTATCACTGTGCTGCTCCCTGCCATATTCAGTCCCCTTCCTTTCCTTGATACCAACTTTCCTTCGTTTTCAGTCATTCGGACCGCGGAAGTTAGCTTTGTTTTTCCCTTCTTTTATGATTCCCCACAAATTATTTTCTTGTACAGGACACGGAGTTAGATATGATGATAATTAGCAATTTTAATCGAAGATCATATAATCACAGCCTGTGGCATATACACAATAAATGTATTAAGTAAACGAAACTCTTCCAACCAAATAGGACAGAAATTAAAAATAATAATGACAATTGAGGTCGTTACGTTTCTAAGTGCCATTCTACTCACATTTAGAGGCACCAGAGCATTCCTCCTGTTTTGATTACGCTCAATTATATCCCTCTACCTTACCCTAGGCAAGATACTTGGCGATCTAAGTTCTTTAGTGGTGATTAGGTAGCCCTTTCTACCTCCAATCACTCGAAATACCCAATTTTTAGGCTCTATGGCCTGGTTCATGTATATTTTACTAGATTTCATAATCGCACTGCAAGGCCAGCAGGCAGCAGTGATGCGTGTGCGTCAGTGCTCAACCTTCACAAAAGACACCGCTAGTTACTGAGGCTCCAGCCTCACACAACGAGTAAACTTATAAAATCGCTGCGGGCCAGTTGACCGTCGTATTTAAATAGTTCTCCGGAGGAAAAAACAGTGAACTCCTCGATTACTTCGTTCTAACTTTGAGAGTGCCAGAATATGGCATTCAACAGCGCATCCACTGGTGTAACTAACCAAGGCGATATCTCTAAGGATGTGACGCTCAATAACCCGCCTGAGGACAGTATCTCAGAAGTTTCCTGGTCACCAGTCGCCAACTACCTCGCTGTCGCCTCCTGGGACAAGGCGGTCCGTATTTACGACATCTCTCACTATCCCCAGGGCGAGGGGAAAGCATTATTCTCGCTCCCTGGTGCTGCTCTGAGCTGTGGATGGTCTTCCGATGGGACCAAGGTTGTAGGGGCCGGCACTGATGGCTCAGCCAGGCTCATAGATCTCGCCAGTAACAATAACCAGGCCCAGCAGATAGCCCGGCACGATGCACCAATTCGAACAGTACGAATGGTTCAAGTGCCGGGCAGCCAGTCCCCCATTGCCGTCACCGGATCATGGGATCGCAAAGTTAAGTACTGGGACCTGCGGCAATCTACTCCAATAGGCACAGTAGCATGCCCAGAGCGCATATATGCAATGGAAGCCAGTGGTAACAAGTTGCTGATTGCCACTGCCGATAAACATCTCGCCTTAGTCGACCTTAACCAGCCTACCACTATTGCTAGAACCATCCAGAGCCCGTTAAAGCACCAGACCAGAGCTGTCAGCTGGATTGCCAATGGCACCGTTTATGGAGTTGCCAGCATCGAGGGCCGCTGTGCCATAAACTATGTTGACGAGTCAAACAAAAGGTAAGTGTAGTCTGCTTATTCGAATATTTCCGACTGTTATCCGGTAATTACTAGTACCGAGTGTTTCTGGAGGATCTGGAGGAGGTTATGGCCGCAAATTGAATATCCGCGAGCTCATACGGTTATATTATTTATCAACCTAGTCAAAACTTCACCTTTCGCTGTCATCGCCAGCCAAAGGATAACGATCCCAAAAATCAGCTGGTATACGCCGTCAATGCTGTTTCATCTCACCCTCGCTACCATCAGGTATTCAGCACTGCTGGTGCGGACGGCACATTTTGTTTCTGGGACAAGGATGCCCATCACCGCCTGAAGGGGTTTACTGCCGGAGGCCCCATAACTTCGACTTCGTTCAACCACGACGGCAGCATCTTCGCCTATGCCATCAGCTATGATTGGAGTAAAGGATACTCTCACAACACGCGGGACCACCCAACCAAGGTTGTCTTGCATCCGGTGTCAGATGCCGAATGTAAGCCGAAGCAGAAAACTAATCAGGGGTAATGGCCCTTATCCGCCGGGTCAGGAGGGACAAACAATTATGAATGTGGGAAACAGGCTGTATTTTGTGTCAACGAATTATTCTTCTATATATATGCCGGGGCTTTGCAAGGACATAAAGATTTTGATACTGGAACTCACCCCCAGGCTTCCCTCCAATAGAACCTTGGAAAAATTTATATCACGTGCATGTCAATGTCTTGGCTCTTAACCTTAACTCAACAGTTGGCTTACATAAGAATAACACTGGCTGTGTTTGCGTTGCGAACTTGAACTTGCGACCAAACGATGCAAAGACGACGAGAGTCACGGCTATAGAACCAGATGCTGCGCTTCTTGTGGCCGTTTAAGGCTGGAGAGGGTATCTGAGGAGATCTGGATACGTAGGAGCGGGCCGTTCTCACGGGACGATATGTTGTTGGTATAATGCTTCGGAGATTAAGCTGGGTGGTGGTTAGTTAACAAAATGGCAAGGCAAAACGTCAAGTAATTATGAGTATCGGAGTATGCTTCCTGTGGTTGTCTTTTGAGCGACAAATGCTGGGATCACCAGTAGATTGGCAAATAGGCCGAGGGTTTATTGACTCTGTCACAAACGACTCTTCGGTTTGAGCGGAGCCATCACTGCGTTTCACCGGTTGGAGTAACTACGGAATAGAAGCATGCGCACGTCGTTCGTTAGCCATTATCCCGCGTACCCCAGTGGAATGCGATACCTCCAAAGACCGGCTGTTACACGTGGAAGTGCCAAAGCTTGGATTATGGCTGCGGTGTCGTCAGTGGTGGTTAAAGAGGTCGAGCAAACTCCAAGTCTGGGCGAGGGTTTGTGATCTCCAAAGCAATCCCACCTCAACAACACTTGAAGCTATCAACACCGCCAACGACGGTTCGATGATGCAGCCCTCAAGTCAACGAGGGAGACGACCATGGCAGCAGTGCCGCAGAAGACCCTAGAGTGGCTTTATCGAGTCCTGACCACCGTGAGAAACAACCTTTCCGTTGCTGCCTGTTCACGAAGTACAAGCAAGCTGACCATTGTAAATCAATTTCACATAGAACCAAGCATATCGCGACCCCAACAGGACGTATAGCGATACCGCGCAGCTCCTGGCCCAGTTTCCTTCGTTTTCTCCACGGACGGACGTTTACAGTACGCCCACTTTCATCTCCTCTTCCTAGCTTGCCCTTTTCGCTGCGGCCGAATCCATATACTGAGCCAACGTTCTATTAGCATACGAAAATGGTGCCTCAGCCCTACTTCTGCACTTGACAGGCACATTACCGGTACATTTCAGAGGAGCCTTGTATTGGTTTCCAGTCGCAATATGGGTCCCGAATACATACCCAGATGCATGCCCGATGGTCTATGTGACCCCAACGTCTGAGATGCTGGTACGACCAGGACAGCACGTTAGCAGTGACGGGAGGATTTACCATCATTACCTAGCTCATTGGGCTGAGGCTCGTGATGTATGTGCAATTATGGACACCAGTGAAAACATTGACAGTGATACTGATTGAATGCTTGTTTTAGCGGTCTACACTGGTTGATTTCCTTTTGATATTAAAAGAGGTCTTTGCTAAAGAACCGCCAGTGATATCTAAAGACGCTCCATTTAGAAGACAACCAACCCCATCGCAGCAGAACACTCCGCCAGCAGTACCGCCATTACCAGCTGAGCTAGCACGGCCTTCACCCAGCGTCGCTCCGTCGACACAGCCACCAACCCCCCCAAAACTCCCTCCGAAGCCCGGTGGAGAGAGGCAGCAAGCTGCTTCACAACGACCAGCTGAGGACACGGCCACAGCGCGCAATGCGCCGCCACCTTTGCCACCATTGCCTGCGGAGCTACAGTCAACGACTCACCAGCGAGATGGCCCTGGGCTAGAAAATAGAGGAAACCAGTTTCTGCCTCAGAGGTCAAGTAGCTTAAGGAGCGAGGTCACTCCGGCGCCCCAGCCTCCACCTCCGACACATCCAAGTCAACATCAGACTCAAGGATTCATTCTGGGAGCTCATGACCGCAGACCATCAAATGTCCAGAGCCCGCCAGTGGGGTCTACCTCCCATGCACCTCAATACCAGCAAGCATACCAACCTCCATACCCCCGTCAACAATTCTCTCCCCAACACAATAACGCTATAATACATCCGTCTCAACAACAAGTAATCCATCACCAGCATAGCCCTCTGCATGTTCCACAAAGGGATGCCCAATCGCCTCTGGCCGCAAAAAGCTCTCCAAAAAAGCAGGAAACACAAGACCTTCTTACTTCCCCCTTCGACCTCGAATTGCCCGCTCAACTACCCTCGTCATCACCGCCACCAATCCCTCCAAATCCAGAGAAAGATGTCCTATTACAAACTCTCTCAAGGACGCTAACCCAAACGATCCATGCCAATGTCGAACAGTCGAATTCTCGCATAGAGCCACTGAATTCTCAGTCAAAGGCATTACACGATGCCATTTCCACCCTTCGATCCGAGATTGCTGCAGTGAACGCATTCCACGCCAATATCCAATCAAATACTCAGATCCTACAGCAGTCTCTACGTCGCGCGGATGGTGTTATAGCAGACGCAAAGTCACGCATATCATCGTCATCTGCATCTTCCTCCAAGCATCCCGCTGGCCTACCTGCTATAGATGAAGTACTGGTTCCCCCAACCGTGGTAGGAAAGCAAATCTATGATCTTGTGACGGATGAACGCGGTATTCAACGAGCGATATATGCCCTCCAGTCTGCACTCGTTAGAGGACGGGTAGGTGTAGATGTGTGGGCCAAGTCCACACGGAATTTAGCTCGAGAGGCATTTTTGAAGAAGGCTTTGATACGCAAAGCCGCCAATGGGATGGGGTTAACTGTTTAAATATATAAACTAGATAAACTAATAGCCAAAAACGGCTTTATTCTATCTGGAAAAATCTCAGGAAAGAGGACGATCTATGCTATTTACGAATTTATATGATGTGTATTTAAAAATAGATCTTCCATAAGTAGTTTCTTCATTGTTATTTCTTTTTTTTCTTGTTGAAAAGAAGACGAAGTCTAGCTCCTAGACTAACCCGCGAACTTTTGGGCCAGAACCAAGCAAGGCATAAGAATAGTGTTCTGTCTATATCCACATATAGGAAGCCGGTGAAACCAATGATCTAGGAAGTTCAATCGGAAAAGGATAAGAAATAAAATTGAGCCAGAAACGTCAAGAAATGATATAATTAATACAGTCAGTCATCAGGCCGAAGGGGGCATTATTCAGCCGCAAAATAAAAGGCATTGAAAAGGATTAAGTGGAGAAAGAAAGGAGAAAGACGCTGGCGCGCAGAAAGTAGAGGCAATTACCAATGACAAAGACCGCCTTCACCTTCATCCATAGACCAGGTACCAGCTAGACCAACGATTTGCTTTTGTCCATCAGCATGCTCGTCAAGTTTAGACAGGGAGGCCACCTTGGGGGCCTGGACGCCAGCTTTATCCAGAAGTTTCTTGGCCCACGGCCCAATGGCTGCTTCGCCGGTCTCGTCCCGGGCTTGTTTCAAGAAAGGAATGAGAGCTGTTCCTCCGGTGCCACGAAGGGGCGCTTTCTTTTCGCCTTTCGATGGCCTGTTGGACATGAGCATTCCGCCGGGAGTTGATAATGGCTGAGACTCAGGCCGGTTTAAGCCTGTTTCTGTAACTGGAGATGACGTTGGGACCTTTGTATTCCGCTCTTCGCGCGACTTGACAACAATGTACCGTGATACCATTGTAATGTGGGTTGTGCGAATAGCTTTGACCATTGCTACAGCCGTATTGAAAGCTGTGACTAGCTCAGTGTTCGACTGGTGAGCTTGGACATAATTTTGGATGTTCGATACGCTGGAGACATGTTCGAGAAATTTCCGGTGTGGGCCTGGCATGTAAGTTCGCATTTCCATGAGGAAGTTATGCCACCTTTTCCTACCTTCTCCGCTCTCATCACTTGAAGAGGATGTTGGGAGTGGCGAGGAGGTTGGTTTAGGTCTAGATTCGCCAGTTGGTCTGTGTTCAACACCTAGAACGATATCGAAGAATTGGATCAGCGAACTCTGGGCGTTGCTTCCGCCGCGATAGTGCTTGTATTCCTGGAAGCCAGACCCATCGTCGAATAGGATACCACGCGGAAGCTCGGCCATACCCTTGCTCCCTGCCAAGAATGGGCGAATGCGATGGTAGAAAACATGTGGGTCACAATGTTTGTACATCTTCTGGAGTTCCATGTTTACTTCGTCAACGACTTCTGCGAACTTGGTCAAACACTCCGTCACTTCCGCCACATCGTCAGCACGAGCCGCAGCTATGGCCTTGAGCATGAGAGGTATGGATCGGGCACCCCTGGCCTCAATGGCTATGGAAACAAGGTAGAACCACTGCTCATCCAGAGAGCCGGTAAAGGTGAATAGAGTAGCAAGATTATCAAGCGAATCTGCAGGCTCATCAGGGAATATAAGCCTGTAGTTCCACAGGCAGAGACCGGCGAAAGTAGCCACAGGCGGCAACTCCAGGTGAGCAGCAACTTTCAATAGTGGGACAGCAAGGGGCTGAGGGATTTCCTGCAGGCAGATTTTGTCAGCAGCCTGTCATAACGGAGGGGAAAAAAATTTTTTTTTTTTTAGTTCCACCCTGGCTTGTATCGGAAAATTAATGGTGATCATAGTGGTGATGGAAATATAGGACATGACATGAAGGAGGAGATGACGATGGAGGGGAAATAAGAGAAAACCTCCAAAAAGAAATAAAAATAAAATAACAATTAAAAATAAATAAATAAAAAGGGTCACTTGTCACAAGACAAAAACGCAAGCACTGGTAAAGGAAGTAGATACTTACATCCGCGGGTTGGTCTCCTCCCCAAATATACCCATGCAGTAGGAATCCCAGGATGGAATATGCACGTCGCCATTCCGGAGTAGACTCAAGATATTCAAGGGATAGCACAGGCATGTTTTCAATTGTGTTCCGTAGTCTTCCGGCCAGTATCAGCGGCTGGAGATTCCCAACGGTCGTCTCCCATGGTGCGTAGTATGCTGGGAGCTCTGTGGCAGGTGGTTGTTCGGGAAGAAAACCATGCTCTGCAGTGATGCCGTAGTCTTCGATATTGGGAACTGGACGCAGCATAGTCACAAAATTGTAGGTTTGGCTTGCTCGGTGAACGTAGAAGGGAGTTGAGACCTAGTGGTCGATCAAAATATTGTAAGGCTGTGGGGTGTGGGTGGGAGTGGAAAGGGTGTGGGCTGTTAGGGAGTAAATTGACATCAACGGAGGGAAAGGAGTCCTAGATATAGGGAAACGATAGAATAATCAGGATAACAAAAGGGGGAGAGCACCGGCAGGCAGGCTGTGTATCTAGAATAACTAGAATGGTGGAACCTGGGCCTGCGCCTATATGCAAAGGCAAAGAATGATATTATTATTAAAAGAAATCTCGCAAGGTCAACACGGAGAGAGAGCGAGAGGAAAAAAAAGTCGTTTATTTCCAGTAAGCTATCACGTGGATATGACGTTTTCAGGTACCTGAGGCGCAAAATTTGGCTGCAGAGGTACGGCGGCAAAGCGAGCGAAAGAACTAGTTTATAGCGAAGTAGCCAGTTATCGCGTGGACTAACTAGAGAGGCCGAACGTTTGCGTAGAGTGCGGGAAAACCACGCAGAGGAGCCGGAGGACGCTGTCGACTGTTTAATAGCCTGGGCAGTGTGATATTGGAGACGCTGGTGCTTATAGTCCGTTTGCAGCCGCCATTTATATTGTATCATTCCAAGTATATCAACCGTCTCGGCAAGCATGGGGGGGCGGCGAAAACATGTCGATACAACGGGTCGAACGCTACTGGTGGCCCCAACGATCACTGCGTCCCTGTTTCAGCTCCGTATCGTATTCGTCAGCAGCCCGTCACAGGATTTTCTAGCCACAGGTTTGCCTTCTCTAGCTCTGGTGGATGGAGACGGACTCTGGCTCAGCCGTCAAGTCGCCGCCAATCAGGCTGTTCGCGGGGGCAGCGGTTTGGGGAACACCGTCTTATTCGAACAACGGAACGATGTGCCTTCTCGTCGTCTTTAATCCCTCCATTTGAAGAGTTCCGCCCATGCTCTGAAGGTGTGAGAGGATACGCGTTTGGCTAGTCATGTCTGACAATTCATATTGTCACTGACGCTGACAGGCTTGGTCTCTCAATCCCTGGGCCAGATCGTGGTGGTCGCCCGTTTTCCACGGTCCCATGCTGAGTCGAACGGTATGGCAGGTCGAGCAACTGCTTAGAAGAGGCAATAGAAGCGATTTCAAAACACTCCAAGACTTCGCAGGAGGCAGGCGTTTTCTACTGCCGGACGCGCAGTTCTCGCGCGGTCTGACGGAGGGTTCCACGGCGCCTAGAAAATACTAGGAGCGAACGCCTCTTCGAGATGGTGATTTTCTTTTTGGCAGTTATCCATCGCTGTTGGCTCGCTGGTGGTGTGTGACGAAGTATTTGGCCGATAGCGTCTTCTTGTGAGGGTATAGCTATGTCGGCGCTGGGCCGCATCTCAGTGTCGATGTCGTGGTCGGTGTGGTTGTTGTTTGGAAGTGAAGCGCAGAACGAGATGTGGGGAGAAGCAGGCTGGTGTGGCTTGAGGATATTTGGATTAGGGCCGCCTCAACGCTGTTCCATGCGAAGTCTGGAAGGATGAGAGGAATGAAACCGATGGGCGAGAGCCGACATGGGTCGAGGTGGTGGAAGCCCGGCAAAGCGTCTCTGGAGACAGGCATCTGGAGAAGGCGATCTCCCTGGCAGATCACTTCTGTTTGACTGGTGAGCTGAGCGATTCTACAAGAGATGTGATGGGCGTCAGAAACCAGATCTGCGAGTGGCGGCTTCAATAAGCGTTTTACGAGGACGGGAGGACGGATGAAGGTGCGAGAAGCAAAAAAAAAAGGTTGATTGAATAGTTATCATCAAGGGCTATGTTACATATTTTGCCAGGAGAGTTGCCATTTCAATGAATGTCCCATAACAAAAAGAGAAACATAAAGAGGCCGAACTGACACATGAGAAGGCCGGAGCCACTGCGGGCAAGTTGGTTGCTGCAAACTGATCATTCCGTGAGAATGTTTCCCGGGATCAAGAACCATATTAATAAAAAAAAATATACAAGTGGGTATTGGAACAAGATGCATGCTTGTTGAGATAGTAGAAGTACCTAAGTTAGTGGCACGAGAAAGGGGATGGCAGTGAGGGAGGAGAGCGAAAGCAAAAAGAAGGATGGTTTGGGATCAATGTTGGCTCCACTCGATGGTGTTCAAGTCGACACCCTCTTGCACAAGCTCCCACAGTGGGCTGAGCTCACGGAGGAATGTGACTCTCTCCTTAACTGCCTTGATCACATAGTCGATCTCGCTTTCGGTGGTGAATCGACCAATGCCAAATCGGATACTGCTGTGGGCGCTTTCGTCACTGTTTCCAAGTGCACGAAGCACATAGCTAGGTTCAAGAGAGGCTGAAGTGCAGGCACTGCCAGATGACAAGGCAATGTCCTTCAGGGCCATGAGGAGCGATTCGCCCTCAACATAGGCAAATGATACATTTACGCAGCCTGGATAATGTCGGTTAGGGTCGCCGTTGAGGGTTGTATGCTCAAGGGCAAGAAGACTGGTGAGAAGTCGCTGGGAGAGAGCTGAGATACGCTTCGAGTCATACTGAGGGCTCAAGTGTTAGTTAAACCAGTCATGACAATTGAAATTCATGTGAATGGGGACGAGGATGGGTAGGGGAAAGGAAAATGAGTTGTAAGCCATGATCATATAGTTGCTATATCAAACACAAGTCGTAGGACTTTCAGAACCATGCATGTATAAGAATTGAAAGAAGCATTTAATCATCTCAGGCAGAACTCGTGGCAGTATAATAATCGTGAAGGTGGATGTATAAACCGGAAGGGAATATAACGTACCTCCATCTCTTCCTTGGCGAGCCGGCAGGCTTCACCAAATCCAACGACCAGGGGAGGAGCGAGAGTTCCACTGCGCAATCCGCGCTCCTGGCCACCGCCGGTAATGAGAGGGTCGATGCGAACTCTAGGACGACGTCGAACGTAGCATGCTCCAATTCCCTTGGGTCCATACAACTTGTGGCCAGAAATGGACATGAGGTCAACGTTCCATTCGTTTACATCAACGGGTATCTTTCCAACAGCTTGGGCAGCGTCAGTATGGAAGAAGACCTTCTTTGACCGACAAAGGGCCCCAATCTCTTTCATGGGTTGAATGACACCAATCTCGTTGTTAACAGTCATGATGCTAACCAGCGCCGTTTCAGGTCGAATGGCAGCCTCGAGATCTTCGATTTTGATCAAACCATTACTCTGAACCGGCAGATAGGTCACTTCGAAGCCCTCGTCCTGGAGATGTCGGCAACTGTCGAGAACGCACTTGTGTTCCGTCTGAGTGGTGATGATATGTTTCTTCTTGCCTGAACGGCCAAAGAACCGAGCCACACCCTTGATGCTCATGTTGTTGCTCTCAGTAGCCCCGCTGGTGAAAATGATTTCCTTTGGATCCGCCCCGATGAGAGTGGCAACGTGTGACCGAGCCTGCTCGGTTGCCTTCTCTGTCTCCCAGCCGTAGGCATGGGTTCTCGAGTGAGGGTTACCATAGAGTCCGGTGAGGAACGGTAGCATCGCATCGAGAACTCGGGGATCAGTAGGGGTTGTGGCTTGCATGTCCAGATATATCGGTCGATTTCCTTCATCCATGATTGTAGCCTGTTTCAAGATACCAGCAGACGGATTGGCCAGGGCATCGCCAGTAACAGCAGTGCCTGGGACCGATGCCTTCTGCTCTGTCTTGACAGCAGACTCAACTGTCGTCTGGGCTTGGGCATTGTGCCTCTGCGAGCCTGACACGTACCTCCTGCCGCCAGAGCCGGAACCAGTGACTGTCCTGGCACTGTATGCTGGTCTGACCAAGCTTGCTGACAGCGACAGGCGCCGCGAGCACGCCCGGGAGGCATGCCTGAGCACTTGAGGTGCTATGTTCGACATGGCTGGCTGATGAATCTCTTCCACACAAGAATGAAAGAAGTTGAAAAGTTCGAGACGAGAAAAAGAAGCTGAAGAAAGAAAATTTCGTTGGCGAAGTCTGGATTATGTAAGATATGCTGACAAATCGGATTTTAGCCTCGGCCGAGCTTCAGCTCCGGGTCACGTGAATATCACTTCGTATTTTTAGCTTTTTGACAGGAGGGAAGAAGAAGAAAAGAGAAGAAGAAGAGACGAAGGATGAAGAAGGATGAAGACGGACGAAGACAGGGGAAGCTAGGAGACTGAAGGTTGGTGACAGTGAGGTATGGAAGTCGTACTGAATTACTTTAAGTCATGAGATCTAGATGGTAGCTAAAGATACATCACAGCGCCTTGAACCAAGCTTGAAAGCAGAGAAGGAAATCATGCATGGAGATGAAGGAACAGTTTAGAGGAGACCAATCCAGGCACCGCCCATAGCGACGAGGGCGGCAGCGCCGCTGAAGGTCAAGCTGGAGGCAGCGTTGGGGCTGGTGGCCGCAGGAGCTCCGCCGCTGGTGGGAGTGCCGCTTCCGCTGCTTCCATTGTTGACCCTGGAGGGTGCCTGGCCGTTTCCAGCACCTGCTGCAGCCTGCTTATAGGCTTCAATGGTATTTCCGCTGGATCTACTCGGAGTCGAAGCATTCCGGTTAGTACTCCGTACAGGGACAGCTTTTCCTCACAACCTTAGAAAAAAAAAAAAAAAAAAAAAAAAAAAAAAAAAAAAAAAAAAAAAAAATGACTTACGGAGGGTTGATGACAGCAACCATTCCCTTGGAGCAGTGCTTGCTGACGGAGCAGTAGAGCCAGATTGGGTCGGTGTTGGTGATGTTGACGGAGAACTCGTCTCCCTCGTTGAGCTTGCCAGAGTAGAGTGAGTTGTCGCTGGGCTTGCATGGCATGTCGAATGGGCCAGACGAGATATCGTGGCCGCTTTTGGCAAGCTTGAAGTGAACTATGTCATTGACATCGGCCTTGATTTGGTTTGGAGTGAAGGTAAGGCCGCCATTCTCGGCGACGACGACCTCGACGGTCTTTGCGGCAGCGAGGCCAGCAAGAGCGACGGTGGTGAGGATGTTCATGTTAACCATTTTCGCGGTTTATATATGGGCTTCGTTGGGATTGGTAAGTGTTGACTTTTTTGGTAAGGTGTATCGTGAGGCCAGGAGAATGTACAGGTTGCTTAATTACGAAAAGAAACTCTAGAAAGAAGAGTCTCCTGGCTTTATATATACGGAGTACAACCAGAGGCTTCAGATCGCCAGCGAGATTAAGCATATCCGCAAGGCTGTACTCCGTAGGCCACCATGTGCAATCTCGACTTCCCCAAAACTCCTTGTCCATACAATAAAACCACGGCCTTACGGCCGGCAGTGTATACGAGCCGTGTGCAGCCTGAAACACCAATATGGCAACACATTATCAAACAGACAGTGGTCAAAGAACCTGCCAAGGGAGCGGAAACAAAGAAGCCTCAAAGGCTGAGAAACTGAGAGCCATTAACACCACTCTGTGGTCGCCGTCCAAGACGATATCATATCATAAGCCCCGTAATCCTGCGGAGGGATTCGAGACTGCGGCGGCCATCTTCATTTGACCAATCATGCTGCCTCTTGTCCTCTCGAGCGGCTCGGCATGGTGGTTAACATGACAGAGAACTTGGTGATTTGACTAGACATTCCGGCTTTGCATCAGTTAGCTACCATGTTCCTTTTCCATCAAACACTTCGCGGTCATCTAAGTTGAGATCTAAGTGGTTGTTCGGGATTCACGCACTTGGCGGAGAGAGCTTCGCCCCCAAGCTGGGATTCCCAGCCAATGCCGCTTCGCCCGTATCAAAGCATCAGGCACCCTTGTTGAGCCTTGTGTACGTAAAAAAGACTTTCCAACATATCTGGAGCTTGGTAGTTACGTGGTCTGCGCTGTGGCTATGTAATCGACGTTAAGCGCGAGGAACAGCGCTGCAACAAGCCAGTTACGTCAGAATTAGTTAGCATTTGGGGGCCGATCAACATAGACAAATCGCCGATTCCCTGCATGTTCCAAGTCTCCTTGCTCTACAATTAATGTAGATCGTCGATAAAGCTCCGATTATGAAGAGATATTGGTAAGGCTGCGGCATGGCCGCAAGGTCGTGAGATTTTGAACAATAGGGCCTTGGCTCTGCAATCACGTCGAAGTTGTGGCTGATTAACCGCTGGGATATGAATGGCTACATGGGATGGGTGAGAGCTGCATATAACAATTGGACATCCACTTGTGCCTTAGGCTCATTTCTAATAATATCTATATATGTATGGCGCGGTGTATGTTAGGATCCTTCTATACGCCTTTCCACCATGTCTATTATCGTCTATCCTTCGTATATGTATCCAACAGTTGGAATCCGCTTATAAACTACCACGGTTTTCCGTATCTGGCAAGAGTTTCCATTGGGTTGCCGCTTTGTAACCAAAGATCCAAGACTTCATCTGAAGGTATCCAAATCATACCCACCATGGCTGCTGCATTGACGATCTTGATACCCTCTTGGCTTGCGCGAGATCGCGGAATAATCATCATCCAATCCTTGACTAACACCAGATTATGTGAGTAGTCATTTTCGTCAACTCCAGCTGCAGCCAAAAGGTCAGTATAAGTTTCATAAACTTCTTCTGCTGTTGCTGAAGCAGGTAACCTTCGAACCACGTGCTGGAATGGGATATTGGGAACTCGTCCTAAGTAGTCATTTAGTTTTCTTTATCCTCATCTAACCGATTAGTTGGGAGACAAACCGTTTTCAATGCCATATATATCCGGGAACAAGTTATGAACATCTCCTGGGGGGCGTGGAAGTAGCTGCATATGACGATGCGGCAGAGACCATCCACCCTGCAATCCTCCATTATATATGAGTAGGTATTCGCTTTCCATCCTAGTAAGAACGCTCCATCCAGCAGCCAAATCCGCTGCTTCCAGGGGTTCGATCTGAGGTTTGAATTCGTTGCAATGGAGGATGAACTGTGTCCGGACGACGCAAAACTTATTCAGGCGCAGAGTATGATCAGGGCCAACATGCTCGATAACGAACTCTGGGGGGTCATTTGCGAATGGACTGGCTTTATTAACCGGTGGTTTCTTCTCAGCGTCCTTTATCGGTATTTGCGGTTTCTTCGTCAAGCTTGATGCAATTCGGAATTGGATCTAATATCTTGGTGCGAATTCCGCAGCGGTTAGCCTGTATTCGAATGCTAGGTACAGCTACGTGCTAACGAGTAGCTAGATAAACTGGGAGACGATTGTCCTCACATTGAATGGCTTTGCGGGGACATGGACCGGGTCACGGTGAGAGTATATGACATCGCCTTTCTCAACCAGTGCGTCAAACTGGCGAAGCGCCTTGGCTTCAAGACCTTCTTTCATCGTGATCTTCTGGGCTGTAGGGATGGAGATGGCTGAGATGTGGAAAGTTGATGGCCACGCTGAAGTTTTTAGCATTTTCAGGGCAGAGTTGCCCCTCGGCGTTTTTGCCGCGTCAAGTTAACTTTAACTGTAGTTAACTAATGGAGTGTAACTACTTAAGGGCGATGAGCCAAAGTGGATTAAAGTTCCAAACTTAGTTGGAGCCGCCATAACTAGATAACGGTCATGACGCTCTGCTATTCAAGAGTCGGTAGTACAAAGATAGAGCTGGGACCGGAAGGTAGTATAAAATATGTAAATAGAGCCTATTTGTCTGCGTTTCAAAGATCCGATATAAAATGTTCCAAAATCATTACCTCACCTATGTTCAGTCAAATATGTACCAATCACTCACATCACCCTTCCCTAGCAATTTCTTCAACACTCATAACCTCAGTCATTGATTTCCTTATATATTCTAGCCAAAATGTTCCGAGTCCTAAATTCCATGTCACCACCTCGGCATTCAGTCGATGAACAATTTCATCTAGCCCCGCAATGATCGCATCTGGTTCTCCTCCTGCCTGAAGTTGAGCATTAGCAAGACTATACCTGGCAACATCTATATAATAATGATCCCCATTCCACTCCTTTACGGATAATTGGCCGTAATCAATCGTTTCTATCCACCGGATTTGTGCCGCCTCCCAGTCCATCTGGAGATGTGAAATTTGGGCGAGATATGCGAGCACTGAGAAATGGCGGGTTTGATCATCGTGCCATAGAGCTCCCATTGTCAGCATATTTTCGAATCGATCCTTTAATCCAATAAGTTTTCGTTCTGCCTCCGCGTATCTTCCGGGGTTAAAGATGCCTTCGCGAAGGATGCTGACAGCGCGGTTAATTTCGAGAAACATTGTATCACTCTCGCGAACATTATCCCTGTCATACTGACTCGAGCTTCCCCTGGCAATCATACGGCTTTCTATGGCCTGAGAATATATTTGAGTGATGACCTCGCATGGCCTTGCCTCTAGTTCAGGTATCAGTTGATCGTGGCCGCACTTAATGCCATTTGTCATTAAGTCACTCAAGGCATCACAGTCTTCATCTGCCCCTTCAAGTTCAAGCACAACTTGCCCCAAGTCGCCAATAGCCCAACCTTCTTCACGACTTCCGCGCTTAGCGTATTGTTCAATGAAGAGTTTCAAAGAAAAATATGCCTCGTGGAACAGTCCGAAATCTTTAGCAAGCTTACCCCGCATCCTTATACCCATACCCTGCGCATATCGCTCAAGTTCTGAAGGGTTCTGAGGGTCTAATGGTTTCCAGGCCTCTATATATTTTGCGCGTTTCTCCCACTCTTCTCTGTCTGAAAGGCTATCATCGCGAGCCAGGTACTCGACAGACATATGGCGCAAAAAGCCTGCCTGGGCATTATCATTACTCGTGATCTTACTGCCGGGGCTGAAGTTTGCATCTCGCAAAAATGCGGCAGCGGCTTCGCAACCATCTGTAAATTTCCCCTTGCTGTAAAACTCCAACGGAAGTCTTGTGCACCATAGGCGAGCCTGGAGCCCGGCTTTCTCTGAAGAGTTGATAAGGGTTTTAATCCACCGAGGAAGGGTATTATCTAAATGACTAGACCCTTCACCGTATCCACGAGCAACTTCCATAAACATTTCAGCTGTAATTTCGGCAAAAGTCCTCTCTTCTTCTACCCGAATATCAACCTTCTCAATGGCTTTAATCAGATCGAGACTTTCCTCGGCAAGATACTCGCAGTTGAGACTGCATTGACAGACTTGTGGAAGAATGCTTCGCAAGGGACTATTGTGAAAGGTTAGGATGATATATCAATATAAGAATCGGTGGATTCAGTCCCTCACCTTTGATCTAAGCCAGCTTGTGCCACAGGATAAGCATGAATAACAAGACTGAGAGCATGGATTGCATTCTCTAGCATCTTAGTGGGAGGGAGAGCTTCTCGAATATATAAATATGTCAAAGGATGCAAAACAATTGTATCTTTGCTCCCCGGGCTTCTTCCGTCTTCAAACATTTCACCACTGGCGATCAAAGAACACGACTGTAACTCTTTGAGAGCAATATGAAAGCTTGGCCCATTTATCAATCGAACAAGGTCCGATGGCACGTAGCTCCTTATTGGATCCCTCATCTCGACCTGACCATCAGGGCCCCATCGAGGCTGAGGAGAGGCTGCACGCTTGAGAAAACTGATAGTTGTCTTAGTTCGGTCAAGCCAAACGAGAATATTAAGCAGCCTAAATGCATCTGGATTTTTCTTGACTTCATCCAGAGCCAGCTGGATAATTGATTCAACCGACGTCTTATATATGGATGCATTAGGTCGATAGGAGAGTAGTCTTCGTGAAACTCGCCTCCCAGTGAGAGCATTGAGGTATTCATCAACGGTAACACCATAGGCCAACATATATGCAGCTGCTGAATCAACTGCGAGAGGTTGACATCCCATATACTTGACTACATTTTCTGCTTTGGTCTCCCAGCTAAGCCATTCTTTTACATCGATTCCAGCTCTCGATAGTAAAAAATTTCTGGCATCCATTGGTCCCAGAGGATTTGTAGAAAGCGCCTTCGTGACTCTAGAATCACTGGTATGCTCACGGTGTCGGGACGTTATGATAATGTGACCGTGTGTAGTTTCTGGGAATCCCAACCAGTTCAGGGCCAGCCAGTTATTATCATTATCAAGTATCATAAGCCAAAAGCGTTCTAGGCGTAGGAATTGCTTGATATCATTCAATGCGCAAGAGTTGCTCGGCGGTAACCCCAACTTGCTGTGGAGTCTGATAAAATCGCTCTCCAAAGATTGTGTATCCGTAGAATCCACGAAAAAGACATAATCATAATGATTTGCATTCTCCCGTGCATATTTCAATGCAATTTCTGTCTTTCCGGTACCGCCTTCACCAGAAAGAGCGATTACTTGACGGTTATCTGCGCCATTAAATGTGTTGTGGATCTGTTGAAGGTAATCTTGCCGGCCGACAAAGTGCGGAGTGCCATCAAAGGGAAGGAATACGCGAGCACTACTATGCTGCGGGCCTAAATCTACCAATTGTTGCAAATGTCGAGTGACGTCTCGGAAGATTGGATTATCACAATCTCGGTACCTGCAGATATCTCGGTGATTTGTATATACTCCAAGTGCACCCTCACTTGGAATTCTAAGAAGTGCGGAGTCCTTATCAACGACCTTTGTACGTTCTGTAAGTTAGTTGTCTGATTTTTGCCTTTTTCAGTAATCTTCACATACAACATCAACGAAACAACTAAGGCGACCCCTCACTGGAAGCAACTCATAGAAGCTGAAAATGGGTAGGTTTCTCTGATTGGCGATTTGCTGAAAGTCGGTTGCAATCCGCTCTCTATCAATGAGTTAGTAAATTTACTAAAACCAACTCATAGTGAAAACCAACTCACAATTCTACTGAATTCTTCTTTAATGCATTTATAAATTTTCGGGGCAAACGTATCCTTAACTGCCTCACAAGCCGATTTGCAATATCAGCCAAGGAGCTTCCTCGATGTGGTGCAGCGAGGAATACTATCCCGGACAATGCAGCAGGAATGCGCCGTAGGGAAGGCTTATCACTGCACAGAATGAGAGCCTTTCGATATTTGTTAAGACTAGTAATCTAGGCATAAAGAAGAACCTAGAGATCTCGGGTAAATAACTTACTTTCTTTAAGACAATTCCGCCCAGCGAGTATGCTACGGCGATTAAGGGCCTTGACTTTTCCTAGAACACCTTGTCATCAGATGCTAGCATTGATACTGCCAAGTAAAATTTACCTTCACAGGCCTCACTCTCTCTAATTCGCTGATAAGGTGTAGTGCGCTGTCCTCAATATCTGGATACACATTCGAATGTCTGCTAGGATTGTATCCAAAGCTCAAAATACGGACAGGAGACGAGAGAGCTTGCGGCAGAAGATCTCGTGGCCAACATATATCACCATAACTCCACGTATTGATAGGGTCTCCGGTCAAACCAGATATCAGGAGAATGCTATAACCAGAGTTATTAGAGTTCAGCTTAGGGGAGTGGAGATAGTAGTGCGTACTCGGCAACAGCATGTTCTATCTTGACCGGCTCGTAGAGGGATACAATCTCAAACATATCGCTTGCTCCATTTTTAGCTGAAGGTCCGTGAGAGGCAAATCTGCTCTTTTCCATGCCGAAAATTTCTGTCACTAAGCTTCATGTCCTTCGTGGACTTCCACCTGCGAGATTATTCTGTCTTGTAAGCTGGCACCATGTCTGCGAGACCTGACCTCACCTCAGTCCAATTGAGTTTAGAGTTCCGGATAAAACACGGACCGCCGGGCTTCCCGCTTCCAATCTTGGAATTCCATCCAATCCAACCAATCCATTCCACCAATGGGCCCGGGCCCGTCCGGGTTGAGCCGCAGCCCCCTATTTTCCCACCCATGGATAGGTTATGGATGCTTTGGCCACAATCCTCAAAATGTCACTTACGGAGTACGGAGTACTCGACAGGATACACGAGCATTAACCTTCAGGCAGCGGTGGGAGAAGGTGTTTGGTCCACTAAAGAAATGGTTTGGCGGAGATAGTTCCATCACTTGGAAATTATCTCTTCCTTATCATTTGTAAGGGAGACATCCACCGAGAGAAGGCATTTTGTGTTCTGGCATAGTGCTTGAATGACACGAACCTGTCCTCGACTCGCTGGTTATGGTGAATAGCAGTCAGGGTCGCTTGAATCCGCGATGCACCGAACCGGCTGCCTGGTTTTCCCCTTCTGGAGTTCCGAGATCCGTGCGGTAACGTGGGTGCCTTGCAGTTCTTAAACATCTCCACTACAATTATAATCCAAACTATGTTCTACGGTGTAGACGATAGTCAGGGCTTCCTTCATATTTTGCTTCATGTCAGCGGTGGAATTCTGTATCCTGCACCCCGTACTCGGTATACGACCTGGCTTTTGCCCTTGCCACGAAAAGGAAATCACTCGCATTTAAATCTCAAAGACCAGCCCTTGGCATAAGCTCAACAAAAAGGGGTGATCTACAAATGCTGAGGCTGGCTTGGAACTTAGATCGTTTTGACCGGTGGGGGGCGGCGATGACCTGCTTAATTGATATGATGATTTGCTTCCTCACTGTGCTCCCTTCCCCCAACCTGCAGAGGACATTTTGCCATGTCCGGTGGGCTAGCGTCCTTGTTATGACAGCAACTCGCATGGCGGGAACTTCAGCGTCATGGGTCCACAGGGCATGCCGCAAGCTGCCTGTGCACAGCAAACTCCTATGGCCCGGAGCTATCCATACCAGCTTCTGTCCCACCAATCCAAGCAACTAACCAGTTACTCCAGCCTGAGTTAAGGGGGCTGTGTTACCTCTTATTTCTCGATTTGAAACGTTTGTCTCTCGGCGGGTGGAAGTTCTTGTGCACGTATCCGAACAAGCTGTTTTTTTTCTTATCTTACTCACTCCAAGGCCCTTAAAGCTGAGCGGTCAATGAGTGTGTCTGTTGGCGGGAGTGGCTGCGCTACTAAAACTTGCCAGGTGGATACTGGTTGTACAGAGGGAAGGCAGAAGGAAACCTCTCCAGCCCAGCCACGGCTAGCTTATAAAGAAGGTGTGCTGCCCAGCTTTGTCGTTTCTTGCCCGTCCTCCTCTCAGTACCGAGTTTGGTTGCTCACCTCAATTGTTCACCTGTAGGCTACCCCTTGGCCTCCAATTGCAATTGCAAATGTCAGATATAACTATCACCAACAGCAACGTCTGCGCGTCTGCCAGAAAACGCCCCTTTACGATACAAGGTGCCATCGATGAACGATCTCAGGATAAGATTACGGTATGGGGACGCAAAGGTACAACTTCGGCCCTCGGGGGTATGGCGTGTCTCGCGATGATGGTAGTCTGCCCTATGATCACGATTTTCTGGTGGACATCTCTGAGCCACTATGATGGTTCTCTCTATCATGCTGGTGTGTCCATGGTGAAAGCTGGGTTGATACCGTTCTTCATACAGAATACGCCAGGGACAACTTTGCCTGTTGTGACTGTATATACATGCTGGACCCTATCACATGTCATCCTCTACTCTTTCCTGCCGGGGACGCGATGCAAAGGTCAACTCACGCCGGCAGGGAATTTGTTGGAATACAAGATAAACGGTTTCCTTGCGTGTATAGTGTCGCTACTCCTAGCTGTCGCCCTGCACTACTACGGGCTCTTTGACCTGGCCTTCGTGGCTCAGAATTGGGGAAGCTTTGTATGCTTGTTCAATATCTATGGATTGTTGCTGGCATTGGTATTCTACATAAAAGCCCATGTCTCTCCTACTCACCCCGAAGATAGGAAGTTTAGTGGTGAGCAATATAAACAAACTATATAAGTCTTTTCCAGTGTTAGAATTACTAATTGTGTCGGTCAGGATCTATCTTTTACGATTTCTATATGGGTATAGAATTTAATCCCCGTCTCGGCGCGGACTGGGATATGAAGCTTTTCCACAACGGGCGTCCGGGCATGATTGGGTGGTTAATAGTGTAATACCACTCCCTTATCCTACTCCACTATTGCTTCTACGACACTGGACATTACTAACGATGAATAGTGACATGTGCTTTGCGGCCTGGCAATATAAACAACATGGATATATTACCAACTCAATGATTATCACCAGCTTCCTTCATGCGGTATATGTCATTGATTTCTTTTGCAATGAAGGCTGGTATGGACCATCCCTGCATTTGAGTCAATAAAAAGAAGTCCTAATTTGATTATTCAGGTACCTAAAAACACTCGATATGTGCCATGATCATTTCGGATTCTATTTCTCCTGGGGTATTGCCGCATGGCTTCCTGTGATGTATACCCTCCAGACACAGTATCTGGCCACCCACCCAGTCGACCTTTCCAGCTGGACTGCAGCGTTGATCTTGACAACCGGAGTGTCAGGATACGTCCTATTTCGTGCAGCCAACCATCAGAAATATATTTCCCGTGCCACAAATGGAGACTGTAAAATATGGGGTAAACCTCCACAGTTTATCCGTGCCAAATATAAAACGGCCGAAGGATCCATGCATGAGTCCCTCTTGTTATGCTCAGGTAAACTCCCAATTATTTTTATCCTCTATCAATGCACCTTCATAGCTAACAAGTACTCTAGGCTGGTGGGGACTTGTTCGTCATGCGAATTATCTTGGCGATTTGATACTTTCTTATTCCATGTGTGCCTCTTGCGGGTTCACGAACTTGCTTCCATGGACTTATGCCATTTACATGACAATCCTTCTTGTCCATCGATGCTATCGAGATGAAGTGAGGTGCCACAATAAGTACGGGGACTCTTGGAAGGAGTACTGTGCCAAGGTACCATACAGGATTATTCCAGGAATTTTCTAGCTGCGTCACTTTATACTCTTTATACTTTATTTTGTTGATTCCATCAAGATTTGGGTCATGTTAAAGCACAACGAGAGACCGTACTGGAAGAATTCCCGGCAGCTTTGTTTTACTTTATGATAAGACTGATACTACGGCCGAATAGAATGAATAGATCATGAATATTATTCGCAGATATTTAAATAACAATTGCAACCTCTGGAAAGGTTCTCCAAGACATTAGCATGCTAATGCTCGGCAAATACAACCTATGCAGTTCCTTTAATGTCATTGGCAAGGAGCGATTGCCAGGACGGTCGAGCAAGAATTTCTTTTGCCCATCTACCCGTAAGTAAATTCGTCAGCTAAACATCCACCACATATACCCAATGTGTGCTCACCTGGAGACGGCTGGTTTGTCGTCAATTGCATTAAACCCAACTTTGGGAAGCAGAGTAAGATAAGGGAGGTGGTAAAGATCTGCTAGAGTTAATACCTGCTATTGCGTCAGTAATTGCATTAGCCCATGTCAGTACGTTTAACAAGATTGCTCACATTGCCTCCAATATACTTTTGCTTGCTCAGAATTCTTTCATAGCCATCCAGGCAGTTCATGAGGTTAGACTCATATAATTTGACAGAGTGTTCGTCAGGGCTCAAGCCTTGGTATCTGTTTATCCGTTAGGACCTAAAGAGTAAATATATAATGTATAGACCATGCTTACGGCTTGAAGAGTTTTTCGTAAACGAACGGGGCAGCCGCAGCCTCAAAGGAGCCTACTTCAAGGCTCAGTCCTTGGGCGTAGAGAGCATTTGCTTTTAGTTCGGTCGGAACTAGTTCCGTTCCCTGAGTTGCATATTTGGCTATGATGTAGTGGCAGATAGCTCTGCTTTCATAGAGAACGAAGCCATCATCATCCTGGAAAAGGACTTAGTAGCTGGCCAACACAGGAAGGGGTCCAGGTATGTGCCTACTATACATGGAACGCAGCCGAAGGGCTGAATCTTCATATAATCCTCCCCCTTGTGTTCACCTTTGGACAAGTCGACGGTTACATACTCAAACGGGACCTTTAGTTCGTTAAGGACAAGAACAACACGCTGGGTATTAGTTGAAGGGGAAAACCCGTACAACTTGAGAACCATGGCTGTTGAATGGGAAGCACAGGAGACTAAGTATAGTTATTTTGGGTAGCCACGTAGATAGGCAATGATCTTTCCAAAGGCCGAGTTATGTAAAACACCTCGTCTTATCTTTGGCCTCAGGTAACCAACATCTATTTATATTAGCCACCTCGGGTAGTAACTCCAGAGGCGGGGTTAAACCATGAAAAGAGGGTTATTCTTCCAGTTGCATGAGGAAGTATGTACACGTTGGTGGCATCATGTCTGAAATACGAGCCGTTAGGTAGTTTGTGGTTAGAACTATTAAGCAGGCAGCGACATAATATTGGTTGTCCCAAAGAATTCACGCCAAGGGGGGCTAGGCTGCAGAATGGACTTCCAGAATAGCCTTGCTAATGATGTAAGAAACTCAGAATACCCTGATGTGTTAGTCGGTGGTTATATGCAGAGACGACTCCTTACACCGGTGCCGAGCCATTTGTACTTAGCGCGTCTGCATAAGCTACAGATGTCAACGGCCATAGTGGGGGTCTTCCTTCTGGTACCTCAAAATCATTATAGGAGTGGGTAGGCTCCGAAGAACTTAGCTTTGTCTACCGAATTCCAGACTATTGACAGTTTGAATTTTGATAGCCTCAGCTGATTAGGTAAACAGACTTTTGGATTAAAGTTTTCGGACACTTAATAATCCTTCCCGAGAATGATCCATTAATGGAAGATACCTAACATGACTATGATGACTCAGCAAATATAAACTTGGGCCTGGTGACGAAAATAAACCAACGACTTCGTTCTCTCAATGTAGCTGCCGACGGCTAACCTGTAGCCATGAATTATTTGATCCTCAACGGAAGCCAATTAAAATACAATATATGCTTGGCCAGTCTCAAAAGGCTGGCTTCAGAAATATGTACATCCCCAAGATCAACTGCAATTGCCCCTCCATAATTTACCTCAACCCCCACTGGTATGCCTGGAGATCTCACTTTGGCAGCCTGGGTGTGTGCCATTTATGCCTGAGGAGCAAAACCAATGCGAGGACCTTCGGTGTCCCATACAACGAACTGACTCTTCAAGAACACATCGCCGAAGATGTTTGGTACACCGCCGCTGCTGCCAACTGACTGAAGGCCACCGAAGCAAACCGATCCAACTGCCTGGTAGTTCATAAATTTGCCAGGGACAACCGCATTGTATCCACTAATGCTGAGGGTGAAGTCGGGAAGCTTGGCATCACAAGGGAATACCCAACCACCTTGCTGCTGGTCGTTTTTGGCACCCTGGACTTTTCCGTAGTACTCCTGAACAACATCGTCGCTGAGGAGCATGAGAGTAGTACCCGTGTCTAAAGAGAGTCAGTATGAAGCCCGGGCACTTCGGTGTGAAGAGGCTTACCGGCAATGCCGTCAATGGAACTTCCGCGGGTGCCGCGGTGCTGAGCTCCGTGGAACGAATGAGTTGAGTTGGAGCCTCCTCCAATGGAATAGCTTTCAGCAGTGAATCCCCACCATCCCTGGCTGTTGTCTACATTGGTGTAGGCAATCTCTCCACTGTGTTTCGAATCATCGATATACCCAAAGTCATACGATCCTGGTTGGCCATGCTTGAGAGTGCAAGTGAACAGGGGCTTCTCAAGCTGCTTCAAGACAGTATCAAAGAAGGTCGTCTGAGGCTTCGGTTGGACTAATATATATGTTAGCAAGTTCACGAGTGCAGAAAAGTCAGAGCATATATCCTACCAGTATTAAGGACGCTGAAGGACAGCCCCATCAGGCCGTCAGTGGCCTTGTCCTTAGCAAACTGGTCGCTCACTTTCTTTGCGGACTCGACGGCCTGTGAAGAAGCCGTGACATTTCCAATTGAGACGGTGTCGAGGAAAACATCTCCTCCAGCAGAGCTCATATCGCCATAGGTAATTTCCCAAGAATACCCATCGAGACGCTTAGACTTGGAGGTGGGCATGTAGAGGTTGTGCCCCTGACTCTGATCTTTCGGAGTTTCTGTGGAGAAAACCCATCTGCAATGTGTTAGCTACGTAATCATTGCAGTCCAACTACTTGTTGATTAAGAAGCAGTTCACTTACAGATCACCGGAACCAGTGTCAAGATCAAGGTTCAATTTACCCTGTCCAACTGTGACCTGGGTGACATATTGTTCGTCGTCTTTGGTTGGAGTGGTAGGAACGGATCCCCTGGCGGCATCGCTGACAGCTTTGGGGACCTTCATGCCGAACTTGTGCAGGGCACGAGCATAAGCGACAGCAGGATGGTGTACCGCCTTCATGGGAACGGCGACCTGAGGAACGTTGAAACGTGCCTTTCCTTTTGTGGGTGCAGCTACCGTCAAGGTAGAACACACTGCCAGGACGGCACCAATTTGGCTGATTTGGACCATGGTGGAATAAGTCAAAGTCTTTTAAATAGGCTTGAAATGGGGGAAATGGCAAGGAAAGAAGAAAGTCTGGCTGGTTTGAGATGGATAGAGGCCTGGTTAAGATGGGTTCCAAAGGGAGGAAGCAGTTCATATTTATACTCCCATTGCGATGTTACGGACGCTGTTGATATCCACAAATACCCAACTGCCATCTTTATCCCAGGGGCTCTCTGATACGTATTACTCCGCACATAGCCTGCGTCAAATTCACACACGGGATGATAGTGTATGTTTACGACCATTACGCGGACTCGCGAAGCAAAATTTCCAGGAGATATACGCAATTCGCTAGGTCAGCGGGCCGCTTGGGTTCCTCCATTACGAGACTTCGCGCATGTAAACGACAGGGAACCCTACAGCCCCTACACAACAAGCCTGGCCAAGGCGACTTAAGCCTTGCTAAGCATTCTCAAGCTTTGATCAACGGACACAAGGCCCTCGTCGAATACACCTTGTGCTAACTATATGTAGGTACAGATGTTCCAGAAGGAGTGAAGACAGAGTGTGGAGTCCAAAGTCCGGGGGATTTGCAGGGAACTACGTAGCAACGCAGAGTTACATGAAACCGCTAGTCAACTGACAGAGAGAGGCAAGATGCAGACGGATATCTTCATACGAATTACACCATCTGGGAGATAATAATCACTGTGATCTACAGAAGGGTAGTGCCGGAGAGAAGAATATCACTACATATGTCTTTGTTGATCGACAAAAATAATTGGTATAAAATTAGCAGGGATACAAACAACACATGAGCTGGAGAGAAGAGGAGCCTTCTTCTCCCCCTGTTTAATATTTAACACCATTGTGTTTTGAGATGCCGGGCCTGAGACCTAGTACGGGGAATATCTGGCACAGGGCAGAAAGAGACACCGGTTAATGCGCGGCACATCGCAAGGGAGGAGAAAGTGCGCACTTTGATAGGTAGATGATCTTTTACTCCGAAATGAGAGCGCACAGGGGAATCGTGCTTATCTTTCCCACCAGGCCAGTAATCACACGTGAAACGTCGAACAAAAACAAGCTTTCTCTGTCAAGGCTTGACCTGGACCAACCAACCCAATATTTCTATTTATACTCGATCTGCTCGCCTCCAATCAGGAGAAAGTATCAGCCTCTTCCTGCTTTTACCAGGCCGACTATTCTGTTGGCTAGCCGTTGTGATTGGAGATTACTTTGATTATCAGAACGTCGTGATGAACAGTCTCCAGCAGCTTCAACTCGATGACGGCCTGTAATTCGTAACCTATAATAACTAATCTATTGCAGGGGAGCAAGCAAGCGGCTGCAACATCGAAGGGTTTCCCCGCCCGGACACATGGGATCAGCGTTCAGTTAATTTCCGTGAGCTCCGAGGTAGAACTACTTAGGCCAATTTTGACTGACGAGTTCCCCTGTCAAAAATACAAGCTGGAGGAAATGCAAAATCGCCTGGCCTGGGAATAGATTCTCCAACAAGAGACAAGCAGTTACTAGTTACCAGTGAAATGGAAGACCAGCCAGCAAGGTACTTATGGTGTGCTTTCCCGTTAACCCCCTGCTACGTTGTCGAATCAGAGATGATGGAGGTTTAGAGTCGATTGATTGAGAGATTCCCTTCAGAATCCGTCGAGACCCAGGACTGTTCCTCCACCGCAAAGATATCCATTTAACTAATATCAAAACCCGTTCCGTATATCCGGAAGAAATCTGGGGGTAACTGACTAACCATTAGTTATGTCTGTGGCGCAATTGAGGACTCAGTATTCGGCCGGAGAGTCGAGAAAAAGCAGGATATTTATATATTTCCGATAAAAGGGAGAAACACACATCCATAGAGTCTTCACATCCTGCGCGACGGAGACATGTCCTGCTGGCAGGTATCGAAACTAAGGTATGGCAAATCTCTGCCTGCCGAAGCCCTCATCACTAATGCTGCCAGCCTCTGGTTGGTGTTCCTGAGGCCAAGAACTGCTGACTAATAAATTAAATACGCTAACCCAAGACGTCAAAAACATGGAGAGAACCACACGTGACTAATGACGTAATTTAGCCGATCACTTCCCTGTCAGGGCTGAAGATGACTAAGTCATTGCGCCACGAGCTTAGCCACTTTTAGCGCCGCAGCGGAAGGAAGAAGAAGCTGAAGAGAAGCAAACAGCCTGATCGTTGTTTGTCCTCAACGCAGAATACAGACGCCTTGCTATTTCTCCTACTCTTCGGCTATACCGTTGTCTCTTTCATCTTCTTCGTTGTTGTGAACCACTGTCTTCTCTGCGCAATCGACGCATTTTCCCGAGTTCCCGACGCTGCCGAACCACCACGAACGACCACATTTGGCGGGGTTGACATGAGTCTCAAGGGCCTTCAGAAGGGCTTCGCCAGAGCTCCCCAGACTTTCAAACAGAAATTCAACCTTGGAGAGAACACAAAGGATCCCGTCTATATAGATGCGGAGAGAAGGTTCCAGGAGTTGGAGAAAGAGACGAAGAAACTGCATGATGAATCGAAGAAGTACTTCGAAGCCATAAATGGTATGCTTTGATTTACTCATGGTTATCCTACCACTCTACCAGTGCGGAATGATTCTAACTGCTCATACTGCGTATAGGCATGCTAAACCACCAGATTGAATTCTCAAAAGCGGTTGCGGAGCTATACAAACCTATCTCCGGTAGAGTCTCAGATCCTGACGCCGCAAAGCCGGAGGGGAACCCGGAAGGTATCCAGGCATGCGAAGAATACGAATCGATTGTGCGCTCCCTACAAGAGACACTTCAGCCCGAGCTAGAGCTGATAGAGAGTCGGATCATCAGCCCCGCGGACCAGCTCTTAGAGATTATCAAAGTCATCCAAAAGGTTGCTGTCAAGCGTGAACATAAACAGCTGGATTATGACCGGCACCGCGCATCCCTGAAGAGGCTACAAGACAAGAAGGAAAAGTCTCTCAAAGATGAGAAGGCTATGTACAAGGCTGAGAACGATGTGGAAGCGGCAACACAAGAGTTTAATTATTACAACGACCTGCTGAAAGATGAACTGCCGAAGTTGTTCAAGCTTGAGGCAGAGTTCATTCAGCCGCTTTTCCAGTCCTTTTATTACATGCAACTGAACGTATTTTATACCCTCCACGATAAAATGCAGGGACTGAATATTGGATATTTCGACTTAACATCAGATGTTGAAGAGGCGTATGAACGAAAACGAGGTGATGTAAAGGAACGAACAGAAGCGTTGAGCATTGTCCACTTCAAAACGACCGGCGGCCGCCGCCCTGGCTCCAAGTTTACACCAAAGGATAAGCTTGCGGCTGAATCAAAATACTCTAGACGGACAACCGATGCTCTCTCCGACCCTAACCCTCCACCTCCTTACTCCGCCCATACCGCTTCAACTCTTATCGGTCGTGCTAATAGCGCAAGTCCTGCCTCCCTCGCGGCGGCTGCAAAGTCAAAACCCGCTCCTCCACCGCCGAAACCCAAACCAGCGAAGTTCAGCGCTGCACCCGTTGAAACTGCTACCGCCCTTTACGACTATGAGGCCCAGGCTGTGGGTGACCTGAGCTTTACTACTGGAGATGTCATCGAAATCACCCACCGCACGACCAATACTAATGAGTGGTGGACTGGAAAAATTGATGGAAAGTCTGGACAATTTCCAGGTATGCATTCCTTGAGAAAATCGACTCCCTGTTGTTGAATGTGACAAATCGCTAACTATGATTCTGTGAACAGCTAACTACGTCAAGCTAAATGTCTAAACAACCCACTCATATTCCTATAGACTGGAGCGTCCTTGATACCTGCTATCTGTTTCCCCCATTATCGTACACATAGTACCTTTCTGCACCATGTTACTACATCATAAACTAACTCGTACCAAATGCTGATTCAAAAAAAATACCTCAATACATGCAATACTTCCACGATCCACCCTCCACATATGCCACGACGTTCTCCCCATGAAAACTCCCTCAGTCTTCTTAAGGCACATATCTACATCTCCATAACTAGCTAGTTAAGTTGTTCATCGACTTTTTTACGCCTCCCTCTACGCACCCCTTAAATAGATAGCTAACTATATATTTCCCCTTCTCCAACTCGTCACGGCTTCACTCCTATTTTACCGATGTTTAATATTGTCTTTGAGGCGTTGTATATCTAGATAGCGTGTCGCATAACAACTATTCCTTCAAATTACCATATTTTTCATTTCTCTACGTTGGGTAAACGAGTGATCGCCATAATCCATGGCCGACGTATTTCAACAAGTAGAAGGCCCCAATGTGAGCTTATCTTATCACCACGTGACAGATGTGGCCCGCGCCTGAGTCATACAGCTTAAAAGTTCCAGGAAGCATTTTATTTCTCCCCAGCTTGGTCATACTGTCGAATTCTCTTATTTAGTTGATAATCACCATCAATTAATATCATTTGATAGTTACTTCTACTCAATTGCTTTCGGTATCGTTTCCTACTCAACATGGCTCCAACAGTACTTCACCTTCGTGCCGAAGACAAGCCCCTCGAGCATAGGTACGTATATCCTCGTTACTCTACTACACAGCTCGTCTACAGTTTCTGAGAATGGTTACTCAGAAAATATTTAATTTCTGTCTTGAGCTTCATGTGGCTCTATGAATACTACTCTAACATCCATTCTACAGATCAGCTCTTACCCCTTCCACAACCAAGGCACTCATCGCGGCCGGCTACAAAGTCAATGTTGAGCGTTCTCCTACATCTGCCATTCGCAAGCGAATTTTCGATGACTCCGAGTTTGAGAAAGCCGGTGCTACCCTTGTTCCGGAAGGTAGCTGGGTTGATATCCCCTCCGACCACCTTGTCATTGGGTTGAAAGAGCTTGATGAGACCAAGGATTTCCCTCTCAAGCACTCGCACGTTACCTTTGCACATTGTTTCAAGAACCAGGGCGGTTGGGAGAAGGCTCTTGGACGATGGAGCAGGGGTGGCGGTGTGTTGTATGATTTGGAGTTTCTGCAGGTATGTATTGTATACGTATGGCGGTGAGCATGTGTGTATGGTAAAATTTACTCATGTATTATAGGATGATAAGGGTCGAAGAGTTGCAGCTTTCGGTGAGCTATCTTGACTCCATGTATGCTTTCAATTTCTAACTAATGCCCTTCTAGGCTACCATGCCGGATTTGCTGGAGCTGCTCTGGCTATTAAGACTTGGGCCTGGCAGCTAGAGCATCCCGACGGTACTCCACTCCCAGGAGTTGATGAATTTACTGATGGAAAAGGTTACTATTCCAGCGAAGAGGAGATGCTGGAGCAGATTCGCGGTGATGTTGTCAGGGGTGAGAAAATTGCTGGACGACGACCTCAGATCCTAGTCATTGGTGCTCTTGGACGCTGTGGAAGGTAAGCTGAACTCGCCCGATGAGCTCTTTGGGCAAAGCTAATATCTATGTGTTAGGGGTGCCGTTGATGCTTGCGTCAAGTCTGGATGCGAAGATATTCTTCGATGGGACATGGCCGAGACTGCGAAGGGTGGACCCTTTACAGAGATTGTCGAAGCTGACATGTGAGCTTATTTTTATTACCCTATAAACTTGGCACTTTCTCCGTCTGACTTGAATAGCTTCATCAACTGCATTTATCTCAGTGAGAAGATTGCACCGTTCGTTGATATGAACAGTTTGAAAGCTCCAAACCGCAGACTCTCCGTTGTCTGCGATGTTGTAAGTATTTTTTCACTCTGAATTTACATTGATTCCATAGTTCTTACAATTTTCAACCACGCAGAGCTGCGATACCTCGAACCCGAACAACCCAATTGTAAGTACCTGGCTCCTGAACCTGAAGTTCATGTTTAAAACTCAAACTAATTCATTACAGCCAATCTACAACGTTAACACTGTATGTATCCCGATCGGCTGGGCGAATACCAACCCAACTAACTCTGTTTTAGACATTCGATAAGCCCACTATCCCCGTTAGCGTCTCTAATCCACCTCTCAGCGTGATCTGTAAGTTTCGCCTTCTCTGCCCTGTGTATTAAAGAGCTTGATCTAACCTCGATGTAGCGATCGACCACCTACCCAGTCTTCTTCCAGCCGAATCTTCTGATGCATTCTCCAACGATCTGCTTCCTTCCATGCTTGAAATCCAAAACCGAGCTTCTCATCCTGTTTGGCAGCGTGCGGAGAAGCTTTTCAGGCAGAAGGTTGCTACTCTTCCTGCCGAGCAACAGAAGGTTCAGCAGTAATTGCTCAATACAGTGATTCCTTCGGTACTCCATGCTCACCTGAGGGTGTGACAGATAAACATTGTAAACCATTGCCTATTTAAGGCTTAGGAAAAAATATACAGGTAGTCAAATGAAATAGCTTGTAATATGGAATGGATTTGGGGTTGATATTTTTTATTTTTTTTTTTATTTTTATTTTTTTTTTTTGGTTCTATATTAACCCTGCTTCTTTACAGTGACTGGGGCAGTATGGGCACTATAGACAGTTGATGTAGCAGATCCCGTCAAATAAAAGAGATGCCAGGCCGTCCTCCCGAATGCAAATAAGATATATAAATCTGGGGTAGGTGAAAAGAAACTAAACTCAAAAGAACGTGGTGAAACTGGGAAAAGCTGTGAAACAGAACAGCAAACCGCCGCCTTTATAACCGATGTAATTTAATGCTCAGAGAGATTCTTCGTCCTGGAAGCGAGAATATCGAAAGCTGGAAATATAAAATAAACCGTTAACTCCCTCGCTAAGGGAAGGTCTTGAAATGGCATGGGCAAGTTGGAAGGGGCTGTATCGAGTGGATAAGGCTGATAGCTGAAGGCTAACCTTTCTATCTAAGCCAGAATCCGTAATTAAATCTCAAGTACTCCGCAGGTTCAACGTTGAACCAGGCGGGTTCCGGGTGAGTAGCAAACATTTTTCGAGCAGTGGACATTTTTGCATGGGGCTGGACTTTTTTTGAATGTAATGTTTTTGGCAGGGCTTCCGAAGACTTCTGCTTTAGGGATTTCATGTGTCTCAAGCCAAATGACGGATCAAAGCTGATAAGTATAAGGGCTTTTGTTCCGTCTTCCATACCAGCATCAGTCGAATAGACCATGAATCGTTCGTCAGCAGCAGCAACGACCTTCCCAGATTTTGGAGTAGGACTCAAAAGCTTCAGCAGCTCTGGTGGTGCATCATTTGGGGGCCACATCTTTATTCCACGGGATTGGTATCCTTCTTCAGTTTTAGGGGCTGAATAGCCGCTGATGTCTATTACACTGCGAGGATACATTGTCGCATTGGACCCTTTATCATCCATTTCGTATTGTTGGAATTGACGCTTTCTTGCCCCAATACGTAGCCGGAGTCTGTCAGGAGGTGTGCTGAATGGTTTCAATGGTGGTGGGGGGTCATTAACAAGGTCCATAAAGGCGGATGCCATGAGATTGTAGCCGTGGAACTTGGTGTTAGAAAGTGTGAAATCTCGACGGTTGGGAGACTGGGCCTCCTCAGGGGTATATTCGAGGTGATAGAATCTCTTGTGGCGCTTCTTCGGCGGTTCATAATTTGGACGACTGAATGGGTCAAGGGTTTTAGCTAGTTGGTCGTTCGGAAGCGAGCGAACCGGTAGGTACTTAGGAAGGCCGCTTTTAGGGAACGAGAATTCTGCCCTACAATTGCCATCGACAGTGTCAAAGCAATCGAGAGGCTGGCTATAGTGAATGCGAAAGTTCTCACTTCCACTGTTCTCCCACTCATGCCTGCATTCCACGATGGTTAGTTGGCGTGTTGTCGGGTCTACCACAAGTGATAGCTTCGTCCAGTTGTCGTTAATCGGCCCTTCGCGGTGCTGTCGTCGCCATATCCGCTGCCACTTGACATCAACAGGATTAATAAGTGGAAATCGTACACAAATATAGTAGGAAGTCCAGTCAATTTCTTCGTCCTCGAAGGAAGTTTGGTTGGAAATGGCGTAGAAATAACCATCTTTGACCTCAAAACACACAGTCGATCCAATCTCAGATCCCACAAAGTTTTCGAGCTGGATAGATTCCAGGGAGGTATCAGATCCAGTCACGAAACTGAACCCTTCCAAGATCCACTCACGATGGCCATGCCTCCCACGGCCGGAATGAGTACCAAAGTACATGAATGAACGGTTAAGGCGCACGAAGAGGTTCCGAGTCGAGGTTAGGGGGCGGCAGAATCTGACCCGATGGGGTTTCCTGGCAGTTGAGTAGTTTAGGCTCATATCTATTACAAGCAACCACGGCGAGTCTCGCCCTCCAGGCTGGCACACAAGCGCAACCATTCCATCGCAGTAGCACAGTAACTTGTATTTGAATCTTGAATAAGGTCGTCCATTTGAAATGAGGGGATAAGAGTCAAGGACCTCTTTCAAGTCAACAACCTCTTCGTACTCGGCTGCTTTGAGAACGTCCAACGTCCGAATTTGTCCGTCGCTGATGTAGCAAACGACTCCTTGATGGAAAAGGAATTCATTCCCGAACGCAATTAAACTTGCAGAGTATGGTTGAGCACTCGCTATAGCTTCACGAATATCATACACTCTTCCAAGTGCTTCACGGTTTGAAATTTTTTTTGCAGCAGCAAGCTCCCCTTCCACGGTATAGGCGATATGAGCCTATACAGCATATCAGCATTATATATAGAAACAGCAGAAAAAATTGCGGCTATTCTTAAACTCTTCCTACCTTGACAGCTTTTCGAGCAGTAATCTCATCCTTTAGCAAGCCATAGAGTGTGCGGTTGGTGAGACTTAGGTTAACATAATCGTTTGGATCAAGATAACCAGCTACTTGATGCCATATGTCAAAGGGAACTGCATCAAATATCGGTGCCATGGTTATCTATTAAACCGCCTTGCGCCAGGAACCAATACTCGCAGTCGCTGTTCTTGGGCTCTGCAGCGCGATTCACTGGTTAGAGGGAATGACTTTATATCAGAGCCATCCGCAAAGCAGTGAAGAGGATGGTAGTAAGCCAAGGAGGGGGAGAATGGGTGAAGTTGAGTCTGAAGAGATAGGCGGAGGATGAAGTTCACAAAGGCGCTCCCAAAATGGGAATAGGCAGAGAGCGGACAGCAGAGTGAGGCTAAATCTCACTACTAAGCAACAAGAAGCAACAAGCAACAGTAACCACAAAGGCCAACACAACAAGGCCACGGTAGACTGGGTATCTGATATATCTTCTGTTCTAGAGGCTGCTACTTGTTATATTTATTCAAGGCGAACGGTTAAAAGGATGTTGTGAGTCTGCTCCGTTTTGTAACCGCACTGGCTAATGTGGAAGAGAGAGGGCATTTCCTACACCCAGAACTGGTGGATGAAGCAGCTCTAATAAGAGTTATCTGGCCCTGGAGCCGCTGGGAAAGGCCCGGCTAGTGCCTTTGTGGGCCGCCACGAGGCTCAAAAGTCAAGATCCGTCTCATCCTACCAACACAATTGCTGGATGTCACTAGTTGGTGGACTCGTGTGGCGGCGAGAACTGCGGTGGAGGAAGACTCAAGGCTAGACACTAGTTGATTGGGTCTGGAAGGGTTCAATAATGCTAGAGATGCCTTGAAACTGGCCAGGGACGAGGAAAAAGCAATGCAAGTCAGAGACAGAAGAATGAATCATGGCCAACCATATTCTGGTTTGCAACGAGGAATGAGGCTCAAAGGAGGAGAAGAGCCTCCTTTTAGCGTGCAAAGCCTTACGAAATCACGCCCACCCGCGGCCTGATCATCTTAAGCACCAGCTTTGTTGGCGCGAAATACCGAGAGCTAGCCGTGTTTGTCATCCTGCAGGATAACTGAGGCGCCTCTAGCTCCTCTTTTTCTGCCTTTTTGGACCCGAGGTGGACAGATAACTAGCAGCGTGTTTATGGGCTTTGGGAGGATGCGAATGCCGACTCCCTTTCTGGTCATCCGGACAGATCCGCAAAAGGAGTATCACACCTGAAATGGCGCGAAGACGACAAAGCTTCACTCTCCCATGTCAGTTACACCACCAGCCCTCCATGATCCCACCCAACACCACCCCTCGCCCGATCCGTAGCTGCGTTGCCGTTTGACAGCCAAGCCCAAAAAGATAAACATAATTGACCGTCACCTGATTGTGGCTGAGCAATGGCATCCCCAGAGTATGGAGTACGAAGGAAGATGAGATGCTCACCTCTACTCCGTACAGGGAGCTTTGGGGGAAGCGATCCCCGGCAAGGGGAATACTGTCTCAGGCACGAAAGTTGGCAACAGAGCCGCATGGCTCTTCGACAAATTCTCGCCAACGATTCGCTCAGAAGGTGGACCAACCGAGCCGCGCATGGCCCCTAGCATGCTCAGATGGCGTGTTATTGGCTGCTTATGCCTTCCCAGCCTCCATACGGAGTATCTAGGCTGCAATATTACTCCATTGTTTTGCCCCTGTCTCCTGTCAAGGGGATACTCCGCAATCCATTTGATGACAGAGCATTTCGCCCTGGGTTTCCTTTCGTGGTAGTCAGCTCGTACCCCCGGCCAGCATTATCAGTTTGATGTTCCGCTCCCGGGTCTCCGCTCAGGCTCCAGCTTCAGCTTCAAGTGTCATAACGAGCTGAGGTCGCCAAAAAAAAAAAAAAAAAGTTCGAAGTTTTGATTCGAGGCATGACTCCTGGCTGTCAGACACTGGGTTCGTAACTTGAGGCTCTGGAGGGTGACGAGTTCAAATTACGTGAGGTTGTGGCGTGAGCTCGTGGCAAACACTTATTTTTCATGCAAATTACCTGGTAACAGCCCGAGGTGTTTTTCTCTAAGGCATGAGCTGGGGATGGTCGGCTGTTCGATAGACAGGTTGGGTCTCCTGGCCAGGGAATTTGAAGCGTTGACGAAATGAAGACTGGGCCCAGTATGGAGTCTCAGCCGAGGAGATAACTAAGCGATCCCCAAAGATTCAGATTTAAATTCCTGGACACAGTCGACCCATATCTCTCTTATTCCCACAAAACAATATTGCAGCATCAATGCAAGGTCATCCCAAGCGCCGTAATGATTGGCTGGGGCTCCAGTACTCCTTACTGTACATGGAGCCATGGCGTTATATCCTCTCACTTGAGGACTGTTCTTCATGCAAGCTGCCTTAAGGTGATAGACATAGGCCGATAAACAATGCACGAACTGAGCACTCGTCTCACTGACGGAGGTGCGTGTTTCACGAGCAAACGCGAGGAACCGGTAATGCTACCTGCATATGGCATCTAGGTCTTTTCTAGGCTCGAGGACCTGCTATATGGATATACAAGTCAGGTTCAGGTCTGTGTGCTTTCTGTGGCTACTACCTTTATACCTTCGGTCCCGGGAGCCCGTAATAACTCGAGTCTTATCCTCAGGCTCGTAGACCATTTTGCAGCTTTGCAACCTGCAGCAACAGGGCCAACATCTCTTCCTTGAATTAACAGAATTAAATGCGAAAGCCCACACTTGCACTGTTGGACCACCTCAATGAGATCCAGGGTTCAAGTATGCACAGAAAAATAAAGTCTATGCATATATTATACAGACTCCGATGCAGACCGGTCTGGATAGATATATTTAAGTTCTGCCTCCCCTGATATTCCATGCTGGTTACCGTGGCTCGATCTAAAAAAGAATATATTAGTAACACTTCTCACGAAAAACGACAAGAACCTGGGTTTTGAATGTGTCATGGGGACTACTGACTGCTATTACTGAAGAGAGCATCTCTACTCTTTCATTGCTCCTCGCTTGTATTCAAGTACGAATACATCTGTCTTCAGTGAGCTAAGAGTATTTATTCTGGACAAACACCATACCAATAAATTGACGCTGTTATTAACTGATGCCCAGCTCTTGCTACCTGCTAGGTCTTATATGCTACCACTCCCTTTATCTGTCACCAAACCTCAGTTTCCCGAATGGTTCGGAGGGGGAGTTGGGCTGGCTAATTCAGCCAAAAGCAGAGTTGGTATGATTTCCTCTTGCTGGATATCATACGGGTGCTCAAAGAGCACTGCAGTATGGCAGTGTCACAAACGAATGCAGGGAAAAGAAGGATAATTCATGATATTCGACGTAATATGACGATGTGCGAAGAGGAGTTTGCCCAAGGCATTTCAACAGGAATAGGCAGAGAAGGCTCTGGGCAGATGGGGGTCTTTGACATAGAGACGAAATTGGTCAAATTTCCCCGTGCTACAAACCGAGATTGGTCTAACTGCCTGCGAAAAGTAGAAAAGATGTTTCAGCAAGCAGACATTACGTTTCTCTGACAAGCATGCCTGTTAACCATAGTGTTTTGCGAACGCTATGTCTCTTCAAGCCATACGCGGGACTCGGACAGCAGTAAACAGGGGGGATATTCAATCAATGGGTTCCTTTGGAAGGGATGGACCGGGTTTTATTCCAAGACAGTTCCTGCGTTCATACACGAACTGGAAGTTTACTGGACCTGCAACACAGACTGGCTACTTGCATGTACGCCCTGGTTCTCTATGAACCGAGGTTTTCACGGCATAAACAGCAAACCAGACAACATCGCTGCCATGGTCAGCGTTCGAATATGAACCGTCGTCAATGAGAGGTGAACAACGGTATTCTTACATGCTCCGTACTCGGGCATTACATGCCCCCACCGGGCAAGGGATGCGTCGCCTCCGCCTAATTTTCTTGGGCGTGTGACCTCAGCGTTCTCACTCGGATCCTACGTCCGCTCCATATATCGCAGCGCGGGTTGGGTCTGATCTGCGTGCATACGCGAGGCTGGGCTAGCAGATAAGATTAGCGACAACGCGATATTATTGTGCAGGTGGAATTCCCGATGAGATATATCTGCTCTTTGCATTGTCTGCTTGGTCCAGAGTAAGATCTGGTTGTTGGCAAGCCTTGCGTCCCTGTGCACAAGCAGAACGTGTAACTTCGTGGGTCGAGAATGGGCAGAGTGCGTCCTCGGTGCGTTTTTAACTCATACAATCTCTCATGTTATAGTTATAAAATGTCGCAAGCTAAAGTAAGACTTGGTCAAAGACGCTGACATCACTGCTTGGATGCCAACAAACGCAACGAATAACCAACATGGAAGCTCGTTAACTATTAGTTGACTAACGAGGTATAGGAGTGGAGCAGGTGCCTTCGGTTGGAGAAGTTGTTCCGGCAATGGACCAAGGAGTTCCCCGAAAAAAAACTGATACAGATTCCTTGCCTGAGACCGAGATGTTAAACTCGGCGGCTCGGTCCTCGTTGCACACAGTACGAAGAACAAGAAGATTGTTGCATGTCCAGTTACACAGTGACCTCTGACATCCCTCCCAGTTCACCAACCAAAACTCAGTTAGGAGCCAATAGGGTGGCAAATTGGGTGTTCTTGCGGTATACCATTTGCCCGCAATCCAGCTTACCCTGCACGGCCTAGGCTTTATCTCAAGGCCAGCTCACTGCTATCAAGTTGTATATGTCTTGATCATATCTATATAACCCATGTCGACTGCCAACCCCACCAGTTCGACCTATAATCCCTAATAGGCACTGGATCTGTCGCTACTGATCTAATAACTAGTCCGTTTGCACTCATAGATGGAGCACCACGGAGAATGGCCGGCAAAGCCGGGCGTTGCAGATCTGCCATGGGCATATGAACTTCGGTCATCTGAAGGATTTGCCATTTTTGCAGTGGCAGTTGCAATGTTTGTGGTAAGCCTAAGTTACGTATACTGATCCGTGGGAATATATACTTAGTTGTACATCTAGGATTCATTCATATATTCAATGGTATTACCGTATCAATAACAAACCTGTCCTCGTATCTTATTGACGATATATCAGATTGTTCCAATAATTCCCAAAGTACTAGGAGACATTGGGAATTTGCCTAGGGAAGAAAGTATGGGCCCATCCTCCAATACTGCCTTTAGTTGTTTGTTTGTGCTAACTATATATAATTAACTCTAGTTCAAACATGGATTGCCATTCTACTTGCTTCATATGGGGCCACTTTGATTATTGGATCTCGTATGTCTCCGGATTCAATGATCTTAACACTTGTTATTGACGAAACGTTAGTTGTGTTTGGCTATATATCAGATCATTCCCGCCAACGTAAACCAGCCTTTTTTATAGGGCTGATTTCCATGGCTGGTGCAGTTGCTCTATTTATCATTTCAACCTCACCTCCAGTGCTAGTTATTGCGAGGCTTTTGCAGGGTCTGGCCGCTGGCGGTGTATGGGTGGCAGGACTGGCACTTATTGCAAATAGAATAAGCAGAGAGCGCATTGGAGAGGCTATGGGCCACACAACTTTGGGAATGACATGGGGAGGTCTTCTTGGTCCGTTTACCGGTATCATGTGAGTACGGATGCAATATGTTCTATTATTATGTGTGAGGACTGATAAGTTTTATAGTTATGATAAATTTGGATATTACGCTTCATTTGCAATCCCATTATCACTATTAGGCTTGGATGTGATCCTACGTTTTGCTATCATTGAAGGTTCTTTTTTGTGTCTTTAGGGATAAAAAATAGGTAACCTTGCTGACTGCTCCTCAGATCGTTGGGAATCCTGCTTAGCCAACGGTTATAAAGCGTGTTCTGGAGACTCATCTGAGACGACTCCGTGCCTCGCGGATAATGAGAATAATGACGAAGCCTCACTTTTCCAACCTCCCTCACGGCTGGATTCCGAGGCTCAACAATCAAAGCCTGCTGTAGCACGAAAGCGCCTGCCACCGATGGTGCAGCTTCTTCGAAATCCAAAAATACTAGTTACCCTGCTTGAAATAGCTGTTGCAGCTTCTATCCTGTCCGCCTTCGAGGCAGTATGTCCCCTGTTTACCCCAACATCAACTACATTTACCAAAGCCTATCTACTAAATTTGTCCATCTTTTAGACTTTGCCATTATTCGTAATACAGCGGTTTGGTTGGGGTTCGGCCGGAGCTGGATTGATATTCCTCTCCATAACAGTTCCCAGTACAGCTGGTATCCTCATCGGAAAGCTCGCGGATAAAGTTGGCACTCGCTATTTTTCACCGCTAGCTTTTCTGCTGGCTGGCCCTGCCGTCTTCCTTATGCGCTATGTGACAGGACCAAGCGTGCTGAATGTCCTCTTACTTGTGGGCCTGCTAGCTGTGGCTGGCTTATCGGTTGTCATCATAGAAGTGATTACAATGACGGAGGTCTTCCACTCAGTTAGTGACGCTGAGGCAACAACACCTGAGGCATTTGGCCCGTATGGAGCTGTTGCTCAGGCCTACGCAATTCTGAATATATCATTTGCATGCGGCCAATTTGCAGGTCCCTTGATCGCGGGACTATTAAAGGATGGTACAGGCTGGCAAGGCATGACCCTTGCCCTCTCCTTGTGCTGTCCTCCCATGGCTCTTTTTGTCGGGCTGTTTAATTGGTGGACACAGGTATCTACACCTGCTGTAGACCTGGATGAATAATCCTAGACGTAAGTTATATACTGGGCGGTTAGGTTGCTAGGAGAAATTAGTACATATATTCTACCTTGTGTTCATGAAATAGCAGCACAAAATAAGAAATGAGATATGACATATAAAAGTAAACCTTAAACCTCCATTGGCATAATAATCATCTAAACCCAGAGATAAATAGTATGGAGACGCATGCCGTAAATTTATAGGTCAATAGTCGCATCCCAGCGCGGTATAAAGGTAGGTATCGCTAACGCCGCACGATACAAAGCGCCCACCAACTTCAACTCAACCCCAAGAAACAAGTGAGCAGAATGAGAATATAGTAATAACGTAGAAAACTCAAAAGAAGCTTAAATAATCAACGGGAAATATCCAAGCATGTACCTGGCACGCTAATAACGAGGTGGCGTAGGCTCGCAAGCGATTTGTTACGTCGAGAAAAGATACGCCCAGTTAATCAAATGAAATTTCCTCAAAATCGCGCATCAAAATGCCCATCTGAGCCCGCTTAGCGGCTTCAGCGACAAGATTGACATTCTGTAGGAACTGGGCAGTAGCAGTCTTGCCACACATTTCCTGCGGTTCACTATGGCCTTGCAGGTGAATCTGCTGGTCTGATGCATGCTGAGTTTGTGTCTGTGACTGTATTTCAGCATCTGTTTGAGTACCAGCTGGGTATAATTGTAGGTTTTGTAATGAATTGGTTTGGGAAGATGCGGATGTAGATTGGCTGGTGAACACTGCTGTCTGGGACAATGTGGTAGCTAGGGGCTGCTGATGCTGCTGATGCCGCTGATGTTGATGATGCTGCTGATGCTCCGGTTGAGGAGAAAACCCGATTTGGTCCTTGCTCTGCAGAGTCTGGTTTGCCATTGCGAGCGGTGTGACTGATGCGAATGATCATGCAGTTTTATTCGTGGGATGATGGGATAATTTCCTTCGAGCAGGACGTGCAATGGATCGTATGTAGCAGTTTTGTCTCCGGCTCTCCCCTTCTGTCGATAGATGTCGGCACAGGCACATTAACTACCCGTCAGCCTAGAAGTGTACGGCATAGATAGGCTGAGGTTCAAAAGGTAGGTGAAAGAGCCAGCAGCACTCCCGCCAAAGTAAACGAAGAACGAAAAGTGACAATCTGAAGCAGGAAACGGTCGATCATGCAACGTCGGAGCATCTGAGATCGTGCCTCGGCAAGGGGCTGTAAGGACCAATACACGTCAGTTGGCAGGTACTGTGCGGGAGTTTCACTTTTCAACCAATAAACAGGAGTTTTATATTACCGGGTATCGTCGCTGTAACGGTACCATACGCACTAAACTCATGATCGAATTATTACGTCATGTGGGGAGAAATTGTATCACGTGATGGTCTTATCTTATCTTGATTAGTCATATCTTATTTTTCGAGATTTGTGTAACTTTTTGAAGTTTTGATACGTGAAAAGGTCGTGGCATCACAAACTAGCCTTGAATTATATACCATAGGGGGGAATACAATGGGTTTAGAGCTGCAAGACGAGGCGCTCGGTTTTGGAGATATCTTCAAAGAGCCTGAGGGGTATTTCCCCCCTCCAAAGCCTCCAACCTTCTCCGAACATCGCATGCTTTCCGGCGACACCCTGAGTATTCGACTTGTTGGAAGCCATCCGTTATATGTAGGAATAACTAATGCAGTGTATACCCTTGACTGTTAAAGATACGTTAATTGCACAGAGACAATTTCGACTGACTTTTTCTGATTTGGAGGGGTATCTTCTCTGGAATGCAGCAAGAACGATATCTGACTTTCTAGAAGACAACGCCTCAGAATGGGTTGAAGGCAAAGACATCCTCGAGCTGGGGGCAGGTGCCGGTCTACCAAGCATTATCTGTGCTATTATGGGGGCTAAAATAGTTGTTGTAACTGATTATCCCGACCACGATCTTATCGACAACATGCAAATAAACGCGTCAACCTGCGAGAAGTTTATCAAGAAACAACCATCACCTCTTCATGTTGAAGGATACAAGTGGGGTGACCCTACCGGCTGCATATGCAGGTATTTGGAGTCTCCCTCAGAGGGGTTTGATGTTTTGATTCTCGCGGACGTCATATACAATCATCCACAGCATCACAGCTTGATTAACAGTGTAAAAATGACTTTGAAGCGGTCGAAGGCATCGGTAGCCTTTGTGGTTTTTACCCCATATCAGCCTTGGCTATTGGAAAAGATAACGGCCTTTTTCCCTAAAGCCGAACAGAGCGGTTTTACGGTGAAGAAAATATTCCAAAAAGTTATGGATAAATTATTATTTGAGGATGACCCCGGGGTATAATATATTTTCTTCCCTACATATTTTTATAGCTACTAACTGTACATAACAGGACGAACAACTGAGACGGACAGTTTTTGGTTATGAACTTAGGTGGAAAGAAGAGGAGCTGGACGGACAAATACCCGGCTGATAGTGTCATGAAATTTTACTCGGATGTATTGGATTTAAAAGTAGGATTGGAAAAATTAGGCATACGCCCGCAAGCCAGTATAACTTCCTCAGACTGGCTGTTAGGTGGATGTATATTGCAACTAAGCTTCAGAAGTGTCATTGTGTTTGTATCGTCTACATATGAAAGCAGATACAAATCATGACATTTGTCTTAGCTAACTACTGATATAAGTATAGCCGTACTCTATACGCGATAAGAGTACAAAGGAAGGAAATAATTTGGGAGGGACCAGTAACAAGCTTCAGGGTCTGACCCCTATACAATTGCTGACGTCAGTGAGTTTATACAAAGGTTTCGCCAGAAATCCAACGGTTCATCAAATCAAAGGCTACGTCAGGCCGATCTTGCGGAACCTAATGAATAGCAATTATTAGTTACACCCTGTAGCATAAGCCTTTTAGGAGAACGATTAGACTTACCATGTGGCCAGCATTATCCACTGTGACAAAAGCATATCTAGTAGCAAAAGTTGCACTATCTGTGACACGAATTTTGACTTCTTTCATTCTTCCTACGGTCTCATTCTTCCCCGTAGACGCCAGGACTGATTTCCATGGGACCAGAGCTTTAGAAGACAGCTCAGCTTGACCTTTCCAAGGAATGTCGTGCATCCATTTCAAGTTTCCTGCAGTATTGCACGCAAGGTCTAGATTACCTTGGTAGCTCATAATGTGGATTTGGTTTGAAAGGAGAAACTCCACTTCTTCAGTTGAAGGTACCATAGAGTCCGATGTTAGGCCAAAGGCGTGCTCAACATTTTTGGAAGCAAATTTGTACTCTTTGACTTCCTTTGGAGGGGAAAGAGCATCCCAAACAAGCTTTGTGTTTAAATAATTCTGGAGATGAAGACCTTGAACATAACATATATCGTCCGCTTGACAAGGGGTAGTAACTGTTATAATAGTAAGTATCTCGCGTATAGGAACGTAGGTTAAGCATCCTTACTGTCAAATCTATTACGACCACCTTTAACATCAGATTCTTTATTGTACAGTCCAGTGATACCTTCATCACAGACAGATTGTGCAGAGAGGCATATCGCTGGATCCGGATTGCGACGGCAAACCTCAGCGACTTTCATGCATCTAGGCATATTCTTTGCCATGATATCGCATCTGGTTTCATTGAATATAGGCTTTTCGACGCCGGGATTGGTCGTGCAAAGGGTCTCCCAGTAACCGAATGTGGTGTGCATATGTGACATGCATCCATTACCTATTAAGCAAGATTTGAGCTGTACTTGCGGCTCATTTGGATAAAGTTTGTTTTGTCGCACAATTTGCGCTCCAAGGTATGGAATATAATGCCCCTAGAGATGACGGAAAAGAGGATTAGGACTACCTTTGAGACTTACAGGTGGGTACTTACACCGTAAGACTCTCCAGATATATGAAATGGAGAATTCAGTTTGTTCGGGAAGACCTCAGATATAAACAACTGAAGGAATCTGTGCATATCCACAGCAGCAAGATATGAATCGTTTGGAATGTCATGGCCCTCGTCGCCATAAGAAAAGCCGACACCAACGGGCTGATCAACAAACAGCATTGATGACTTCTTGCTCCAACCCCATGGATTATATTTTGTACCATTGCCATACTCATTGACCAAACAAGGGCCTACCTCTTCAAGCATCCCTAGCATACTGGAGTAGCCTGGTCCGCCGGTCATCCACAACGTGAGTGGGTCATTTTCGGGGTCGTTCTGGCTCTCAAAGTACCAGAAGAAAAGGTGCTTCGGCCCGATATCTAACCATCCAGTGTATTGGGCGGAATGGGCGTCACAAATTGAGCCATCTTGCTTCTTAATGCGGATTGAGTGCTGAGGAGAATGCTTGCTCGTGAAGATCTGGAATCCCTCTTCAATTGTTACCTTTTGGGATTCATCAACTGACAATGGAGCCTGGTATACAGCCTGGCTAGGGCCGAAGAATGATGTGGCCAGGAGAATATACCAGAATGACAACATGTTTAAATACAACTCCATTATTGAAATAGTTTGGTCTCAGTTCCCCTTTCTCCGGTGGGGAAACGCGTTTTTAAGGTTAACCTTAAGTTATAGAGTCACGTGATATAACTCAGTAACTACTGGTTAGCTACTGGGATCAAGCCTTGCCAAGCCTAGGCGCCAGCGTTTCTGTCACACATAGGAAATTATTGGAAAGACATTTTGCCTGGAACAACGTTAGAAGGATATAAAGATGGCAGAAGAAATAATGATAAGCTTTACAAGGCTTGAGAATACCCAAATAACCCCGTACTACTCTCAAAAGAGAATACAAAATATGATTAATTCTTATCTTTATTCTCGTCCCACAAGCCAATTTTCAAAACCTGAAGGTGTCAGTGAATCCTAAGGCACCAGTCTTGGGTAAAGGTACGCAAGTATTAGATGGAATATAGTGGAATGTATTTAATCCCTGCTTAGTTAAATTTTCACTGTTCATAACCTGGTAAGTTCTGAAAGGAATGTTTTCATTACGAGTACTCAAATTGCAAACGTTGCAAATATGCATTAAGCTCTACCAAGACAATGGATATCCATGGTTTAGGGTATGATGAATAGCCACCTTCAGAAATTTAAGAACGATCAGGTAGACTTTCAGTAAATTCTACGAACCCTTTGAGGATGTATAAATAATGTACTGCCACCCAGCTAGCACTTCTCAACTATTATAAACGAAATACCCCTCTCCTCATCTATAATAGCCGTCCTTCCACATTACTACAATAGGACAGCAATATGCCATCATTTAAAAAGAATCACAGTTTTGAGCGCCGTAAGCGTGAAGCTTCTAACACGTTACAGCACCAGCCAGATCACATCCCAGTAAGCCCGATCCTCTCTAGCTACGCACTAGCTGCTCCAAATTTGACCTATATCCATGCTACATGTTACTCTACTACTAGTCGAAATACCACTAGTTATTTATCTTCTTTCATGATGTTCAAAATATTATAATGAAGCTAACGTCGTTATAGCTTGTTTGCGAAAAGGAAGAGAACTCGGACATTGTGGACCTTGACTGTTGCAGGATCCTTGCCCCCAGAGAACTCTTGGTTGGCCAGTTGTTGCATGTGCTTCGTGACCGTCTGAGACTTCCCCCGGAAAAGGCTTTATTCATCCTCATTAACAATCAATTACCGTCTAACTCTTCTATTTTATCTTCTGTCTATGACACTCATAAGGATGAAGATGGATTTTTATACATCAAGTAAGTCATACACCCATATTCAGATTTACACATGGGATTGCAGCTGTCGATCACTGACAACGTAGATTTATGGGAGAGAATACCTTCGGAACTCCGGAAGAAAAATAAACCTTTTTTCGTCTATTCTACGGGCCAAATGGGAGAGGTGAACAAATATGGAAATCTGCTTTTTGCTTTACCAACTGCAATACTCAATGTTGGAAAGGTGCATTTGAAAGGAAGGCTTAAAACAGGCTTGTTATACCGCAATTTATGTTAATACCTATTATCATAAGTATTAATCAGTGATTTGATACATACCTTTCCCCTCAGGCTCTTATCTTAGGACACTTTTCACCAAATGCCGTATCATTGGACGCTAAATAAGAGCTGTTGACAGGCTCGCTAGTATGTATCGACAAGTGTTGGGCTATAGGCAGCAATTATGGGGGACCATGAGATACCAACATATGAATCGGCTGTGTCCCATCTCGTCGCCCTTGATGCCAAGGCTGAGAGCAGAGCCCTTAAGTCATTGACGTCATCGTCAACTTCGCTTCTCCACTTTTTAGAAATAGCCTCAGCTAAGCATAAATTCGGCTCGGGCCACGATGTAACCTGCTTATATCAGCCGGTAGATGCCACCCCTTGGTTATTAGTAATCTGTTTATATCACGTGATATAAATTAGTCATCAAAAATTGTCCACAAAAAGTGAAAACGCCCGAAAAAAAAAAAAATGAGATGTTATTTCACAATAACATGCCAACTGTATATCACCATTATTATTTCTCCTCCTCAACCGATCGAGCATCTGTGTTTTTCAACGGCTAGGGATATTTATTCCCTTAGGAATGAGTAAGGAATGCATATGTGACTGGAGGGTAACTCAAAGTAGACACTGCGGTTTACTTTGCTGTCCCCAACCCGACACAGAAACCTCCTGGAAAACAATTTTATAGAGATAACCAAGGTATGTCTGTTACCGTCTCGGACCTCTTTGCTGGTACATACCTCACCTCTGGCCTACATGATGATCCCCATGTACAAAGCATAGTTCAACTGAAGGTCTTCGGATCTCTGAACGAGAAAACCCATCACCATCTTTCATCAGATCTGATCATGGCCAACACACACACACACACACACACGAATACATTCGCGGCTTTATTTTTAACCCGTGTTATCAGCTTGCTAACTCGACGGCAGATATAGGCTCGTAATGTCATCCTTATGTTGCATTAAATTTATCGTCTCAATGCGGGTTTCATGCATTGCTGCCCAACCTCCCGAGACCACACCGTCTGGCCAATCATCGACACTTGTTTTCGGCGAGCCGGGCAGGCTGGCATCCCCTCCTTTTTCTTGTAAAAAAGAAAAGAGTATGAAGCAAATGTACAGAGTATCGAAATATGAATTGGAGTTCAACAAGGCAAAGATTTTCGTAATTTAGGTCATCTTTACGGATCATTGCATTGGATAATATTGCCTTGTTCGGCTCACTTCGACCACGTACCACGACACTTCATGCTGTTGTACTCTGTTTTCTGTAGATGTTGTCCCGTTCTCATGCGTTGTCAACATGCGCCTTGTTCGCTTTTCATGCGGCCCCATAGAGACCCTTGCATCCTCCTTGGATTGGCTAATCACTCTTCTAGGTTATGATGCGGTCTCAAGGACGGATTGTGTCCATCCCGGTCATCCGGCACCAGAGGCGGCCGATCCCGTCTCTACCATATAATTAATTATTTGTTGTTGCTGGAGAGAGCGAGATTCCCAGCCACATAATTCCTTTCCTCCGAGTGCCATCAACTCCGCCGACTATTATTGAAGATCTCAATAATTGTCTGAGTGAGGACCTCACGGCTGGCACCCGTTTCAGAAGCAAATGAAATATCACTCAAAAGCCACTTTTCACCGCTGTTTTCCAAGGTTCCCTTGGCGCGAAATGACTGGCTGAGATGAAGCCCTGGCGGACAACATCCTGGACAGCGAAGGTGCCACGTCGAGACATCGCCGGTGACTTGTCTTCGCGGGCTGCTGCAACAACCCTGGCACTATCACACCACACTATGCAACCGACAAATAAACTACCCGCATGATATCTGCGAAGCAAACAACGTGCACCAATCCCCTCGCCTGGGTCTGCGGGTTCTCTTCCCTCAAGCTGCACTGGCCCCGCTTTCCTGTGCTTGTCCTTCGCTCAGATTTGCAGGGTGAGGCGGCCTTCCAGTGCGATGTGCGCTGGGAGATGCGCTGAAAGGGTAGTTAAAGCCCGATGTCCCCATTTCTCCTCTTGATTCTGTACTTTTTTCTCTCCCAACCACCGCACCATTCTTACCCAACCTGAAAACTTTCCAACCTTTTGGCCACCCATTATATTCTTTTCACATTTCCATTACCTTTTACAGTCCTATCACTGTGGAAAGTGAGTACCAGTTCAGTTGAACGTGGACGACTTGATACTCTGCCCTCTCGCCTACTGGATCAGCTTCACAGCCCAAAATATTGGCCGCTTCAAAAACAAACATCGGATTATTCTCCTGTCCATTTGGATTCATTGCATTTTTTTGACCAGACTTGCCCAATTCCAGGGCTTGAGGATATAGTTTGCTTTTAGCATTACGGCATTGCATGCCACAACATCAGGTAGTACCCATTGATTTCTCTTTCTTTTATTATGTTTTTTATGCGTGTTTTTATGTTGTTGCTTCGTTATTGCTTCTGGTATACTCTGCTTTCGTTGCGTGTCTTTTTATACGGACCTGTACCCTCAAATCATGTCTTGCTCTGCGACCACAGCCCTCGGATGCCCTCGGAGAACGACCAAAGCATGCCACTGCCGCCCGGATGGATACCATAAATATTGCCGTTTGCCACCCCATGGATTGCTCACCTGGATGATTACAGCCTTTTTAGCAGCACAGCCTGGCGAACCCGTCAACGGAAGGCTCGTGTTAGTCATATGCATAATTCTGCATTTGGCGCAAATAATGACATTGATAACCAGAAGGAAAACTTATGATGAATGATCTTGACCAAACGCTGAAACTGCCAGCGAGGAACCACTAGCCGTGTGATATTTCCCCAGTTTTCAGCCAGGATTTTGAACCATGGATTGATAAAAAATGATGATGCTTGTGTCTACTAATGGACGAAGTGCCCTGATTTTCCGGGAGACATGCAAATATTCACAATGTATGATGATGCAGTTGAAATGTGTTCGATCGTTTTGATTTTTTATTCATGGATTACCCATTACCTTTGGAACGGATCCCAGTTATGAATGTTACCGCAATGATTTATATGAGCCAGCCACGCTCCATGGATGTTTTCCGGATATATCAGAAAGTGTTTCAGTGGCCTCATGGATTTTCAATCAACAACTGGTTGCCAATTAACAACAGCCATTACCTTCATGGTCAGTCTGCAAGCTGTATGAATGGAGGAGAATGATAAAACTAACTTGATATTTAGGATACACGGACGCAATTTCTTTCGATGTTTTTTGTTTCATTCATGTTTCCTTACAACAACTTAATGACTGCCAAACATGACAATACTAACTCGAGCCCGCAGTGCTGTTTTTAGAAATTTCCAGGATTTACCCACATCACACATCACCATGGCTACAAAAGGAAAGGCCACCATGTCAAAACTGTCAATCCCCAAGAGACACTCCCAAGGATCAAGGTCACAATCATATCAAAGCTCTTCAGCCCAAGAGTTTGTGGACATTCCAGCCAGGTCACAAGATGATGATTTTTCCCAAGGCGACAATTTTTCGATCTCTCCTGGGCTTAACGGATCATGTCAATTTGATAACCTAGGCAACTGGGCCATCAGCGATGCCATGTTAACCTGTGCTGATATTAGCACAGCCAGCGAGGCAACTGATGAGTCATTTGACACTCAATCACTTTCAACCACTGATTATGATATGCATGAATCCCAAATGTTGACATTCGCCCCATACACACAGCCCCTCTTTTCAGGATCCGCTGACCACACTACCTTTTCGGATATCAACCCAATTCAGGATGCGACCGCCAGCTGCGATAGCCCGCAGATGGCATTTAGGAATTCCCATGGGTTCCAAACCGTTTCCGGTGCTATGGGATTTTCTGTTAAGAATGAGTCAGGCCACATTACCACTGAAAATGGACATGAAAATGAAAAATGCCAGATGGAGTTCGACCCAGCTCACCAAGGAATGAAGAACTCCGACTCATTGGCTGTCTCCAGCCCCTGGTGCCAGTCAGCAATGAGTGATGATACCTCTACTGGAAATGTAGTTCATATGTCGAACCTGTACGCCCAGATACCAGCTACCCCTCCACTTACTGAGGCCGGTCAAGATGTACCCGTTACTTCTGCCTGCTCCCCCTCTAACTTTTCTCCTTACGCCGGACATGATGACTCTCCTTTTGTTGATACTGCCTATCTTTCAGGCCAGAACTTCCCAATGAACGGCTTCTATCCTCTCAGCCCACCGCTGAGTGCCAAAGATTATAACAGGTACATTGGTTTTGCATAACATATCTACGCTCGGGGCATGAAAAACTAACGAAGATTGGTATATAAGGACTATCAGACCCTCTAAGCCAGCCAAGAGATCCAGCTTATCTACTGAGGCTACTGGCGATATTTCAGAAGTATCCGATGGAGATATGTTTTCCACGTCAGTCTTAAGCTCCAGAACCAAAGATGGTGCAGAGACCAGGAACCCAAGAGACCATCCGTTTTATTCCCTTCCCCCAGAGACCGATGGGAAGTACTACTGCCCATTTGCATCCAGGGAAAAGCCTTGCTCTCACACCCCAACCACTCAAAAGTGTGCTTACCAGTAAGTTTTCACCCTCTGCAGCCATCATCCGAGTTACCTGATATTAAGAGGCTGTTTGTAGCAAATATCTGGATTCCCACCTTAAGCCATACAGGTGCAAAGTCCCACAATGTGTGGACGCCCATTTCTCTTCCAATGCTTGTCTATTCCGCCATGAAAGGGAGGCCCATGGTATGCATGGCCATGGGGAAAACCCTCATCTCTGCCATTTCCCAGCCTGTGAACGGTCAATCCCTGGAAACGGCTTCCCCCGCCGTTGGAATCTACATGATCATATGAGGCGTGTCCATGACTGCACTTCATCTGACAAAGCCAGCTCCCCCGAAGGATCTCCAGTCACCGGAGCCGCCGGAAAGAAGAAGGACTCTGCAATCCGCAAAAGGAAGGGTGGTTCACCAAACAGCCAGACCATGAAGCGAGTGCGCCCAGTTCAATCTCAAACTGCGGCAGCTCTCAAGCTTGCCCAGGCACAGAGCGGCCAGCAGCTTCAAAACGCAGAGAGAAGCTATTATGCCTGCCTTGCTCAGCTACAAGAAGAACTCAAGAATATCAATCCACAGGATCCCACTCTCCATGAAAAAGCCAATGCCAGGCTGCAGGAACTCCACACTCTTAGCCTCAACTACCGCTATATCCGAGCTGGCCAGCTTGCTAACGAAAGGGCATCCAAGTCATCCTAAAGTTCAACAGCTAGCGTATGCGCTCTCCACATTGCATTTCGGTTTCATTTGTCCTCTTAAAAGCGATTCATTTTGACCCCCTTCTCCTTGGATTCCACCTTTACTGGACTTTTTTTCCCCATCTTCCATTTTCTGTTAGAGGTTTTACACTAGCGTTCCCCCCCCTTTTTTTCTCTTCCCTCTGAAACTATTTTTGGATTATGCTCGGGAAACCCAGACCGGGCTTATGATGATACTTTTTCTGTTCCCATGTTGTTTCAGTCATATTTGCATGTTGCTCCCCAACTCGTCTAACAGCACAGTTTTTGCATTGTTTATTGGTTTACTTCGGAATTGGTCCTTTGCATTGGCGGTATTGGAATTCTCAGAAGAGGCGCCCGGCGTGTGTAGTGGGTTGACACCACGCTGCGGACAGACGTTATTGTTACTTAGTTTTGCATTTCACTTTCTTCATTTTTATATTTCTATATTTCTTGTTCCTACTTTTGAATTGATCTGGTTACTGCAAAAAATTTCGTACAAAAAGAAGACTGGGCGTGCCAAGAGAGTCAGTCAGTGGGCTGCGGAAGTCAACAGACGCATACTTCAACATGATTATTTTCCCTTTCCTTTGAATCTATAATTATTTCTTGCCTTTGATTGTTATGGTTCCCTTTATGGTCCTGTTTATACACCCAGAGAATATGATTCACGACTACATGTTACGAAATTTTCAACACCCTGAAATTTAATTGAGATTCAAGATAATTATATGCTTTCATACTATGCTCGTCATTCATCATTAAATCTCACCTAGAATTCGGTCATTCCTTCAAACTCAGCATTTAAAAATCTCACAAACGCTTCGCCGACTTCCTCTTCATTCAACTTGCCTTGGCCCATGCCATGGCCATGTCCCGCAAACGCCCTGTTCATCCCAACCCACTGCCTTCTTAATCTTTGCAGGCGTGGAAGTGTTAAAACTCCGCCGGCACCGGCTAAATCGTCTGTGGGGGCAGAAGCCAGAGTCGAAGGGGGTATGTAGACAGACGTCTGTGTAGAAGGAATGGGTATCGTGATGCCGGGGGCCTGTGGGTTTGCTAAATACGTAGACGAAGATGGCGATCGGTGCTCTAAGGAATACTTGCGTATTGTTGATATAATTTCAGATGTAGTTTTTTCAATCACGTATAGTGCGGTTGGATCCGTTTTTGGCGGTGCTGCCGTGGCTTGATGAGGGACAATTTTTGGTCGAGTTGATGTAGGTCGTTGAAGGGAGGTTTTCTTAGCAGCAGTGGGGGTGGAAAGTGCGCCGGCTGTAGAATTTTCCTCGTCCTGCTCGGCATCAGTTTGAGCAAATAAACCAGTCGAAAGGCCAATTTGGTTTTGGTCTTTCGTTATCTGTTGCCCTGTTATAGCGAACCATATGTCTTCCACCGGTGGGGTCGTATCATCCCGGGGTACAGTAAAGAGGGGTTTATCCCAACGACTCGCTGTTGAGGGTTCCTCGTAACGATATATGAGGTTTGTTAATAGTTCTGGTGAGTACGGTTCCTCGTCAGTCTCTATATCAGTGCTCTTTGGCGCGGGTTCATCCCCAGGTTCGGTCATTTTTTTCACATCAGGATCGACAGACGCTGGTTCGGGTTGCTCGGTACGAGTTTCAGACATTTCTCGCTTTCGTTTAAGCCGTGCCTCGTTTGTAGATATGCACTGGTCTATTGGTGTCCCTACATGAACCTGTTCAACACAGAACGGTTAGCAGCTCCGAGGATAGAATTATAAGATATCTCCGCACTGTGCGAAATAAAATCCATACCACACAACTTGTTGTCCTGGCCTCTTTACTCTCGCACCAAAGTTGATACCGCCAGCCCTTAATATAATTCATTCCGTCCACAATAACAATGCTATCTCTGCCAAGTAACCTTTTCACGCGGGCGTATACCACAGCTCTTGCCTGCTTTTCTGACTTGGCATTATCATATACAGTCCGCGGGTGGGCTTCATCATGAGAGGTGACAATATGAATTTTATATCGGGACTTGGAGGTAGCAGGGAGGGACGATTGCAGGGCTTCGAAGAGCGTAGCCAGCTGGCGCGCACGATAGGTCAGTCCCGAACAAGGATAACCAGTTAAAAGAATTAGCTATGTAAATGTTAGAATGGGTGTGAAGATATAGGGTGTCTGGGTTTTGGTACAGGCATAGCGATCAGCGCATCAATTCAATTGCCAATAACCCTTACACTTGGCTCGACTATCCGGCAACAGGAATTCTCTATTTAATCACAGAATTTAGGTAAATTATACTGGCAGGCATATGGCATTACTTGCAGATTATGCTTGTTGTTTCAATAAGAGAGAGTGTGTGAGAGAGATGGCACGGATGGTTTATTCGAGTCGTCTTTGATTTTAGTTCAATATTCTAAGTTCACGTTATCGTCCAAATTAACTGCTTAGTCATCATCAGCCTCCTCCATGACGACAAAAACACAGAATGGTGAGAATTCTGTGCTGCCCGATGCGCCCCGTCCGGTCATCGATAGACCGCTATCTGCCATCCAGGACCACCCGAAGACCCAGATCACTGGGTAAGAAGGAGACACCCGAAAGCTCCTTTATCTTCCCCGTATGCTGATTTCGATGCTCACGGCAGGGAGGCAGAAGCGTGACACAGCCCAGGGTTGTCTTGATTCTTCAGCCATTGAGAGATGCTACCACAGCGTCCCTGAACGGCCGTGGGTTCCGGATGATCTCCTCTGTCATGTTGATAGCCTGGTCCTTGGCCCAGCCATGCACCTTTTCGAAGTTAGTGCAAGCATGAGTTGCACTAAAGTCAGCCTCTACTTCTGCAAAAGGGCTCTTCTGACTGAAGGTGATGAGCGTGGGGTCCGCTGAACATGACAGAGCCTGGCGGATCATGTCAATGCAGTGATCTATACAAGCGTGGTTAGTTAGATGAAGAGGCAGCAAGGTAGTCTAACTTACCGGCATGATCGATTCCCGAGACGGTTGCATGGCTATCGTCGATGCGGTAATGCTCCCGATGCACATACCGGCGCACATAGTCCTATACCCCTTATCATCAGCCTGGGATTCTACAGTAAGGCCAGAATACACCTACCAAGCAGTGGAGCTGATGAAATACCGCCAATTTAGCCAAGTGCTTGCCGGGGCGTGACGGCAACTCCATACTCTCCTTCCCGATAGCTTCAAGCTCTTTCTTATCGACCAGAAGCGGGCCGACTGTGTTATTAACAGTTAGGATATCCTTTCTTCCATCAGGCTTTGTATTATCTGAGCGGTAACTTACCATCATAAAGAGCTTTCCAAGCCTCATCTAACGCCGTGCTTGGGGGCCCTTTGTACGGGTTTATCGTTTGGATGTCTCCATCGAAACGGACTGCCCGATACTCCTGCATAGCCCGAGCAGGCGCTAAAAGTCATTGTTGATCAGCTGAAGTTACGCGGGTATGGAGAATATCAGTACACAGTGGCCCTAGATAACTTACAGTAGACAATATCGGGGTATCGACTCTTGCACTCATGGTGCGGCCATGATCCGACAATCATTCCAGCCAAGAATGCAAGTCCCAACAGGAATAGAAACCGCGTGAAGAATATCCCGTGGCTTTCTTTTGTAAGGCGATGGATGCCCTCCGGCCTCGCTTCACTTTGAGCTCTCTCTGCGGCATCGATCGAATGTGCAAAAGTAGCGCCTTCTCTAGCTGAAGCAGATACTGTATGGGCACGAGGGCTAGCCGGAGATGCACTTCGCGAGGCCATACCGGTACTTTCGTCATTTGAAGGGGTGTTGATACCCGTTAAGGAATCACTTCCTGACGAGCTGCACTGGTCGGACCCAACAACCGTTTCTTCTAGGCTGGAGCTCAAGGATGGGGATGCCGCCCTAGAAGTCTCCATTACATGTGGTATGCCATCCACTGGCTCCTCATTAGCAACTGAGTGATATTGGGACATCTTTCTTTCTCTTGGTATTTCCTTTCAGGTGCGTTATAAACTGCTGTATTGACGAAAATGGGCTACACGGACAAAGCACCGGGGGTATACCTTTGTGGACACTCTTCGAATATGTGATAGGGAAATGGAATAGAAAGGCAGAAGAAAACCCTTCGCTTTGCTCTTCTTATTGTTTGCCTCATTTCGGATGAGTCGGTTACGACTACGACGAATACACCACGATGAGTACCGCCCCAAGTCCATGACGTTATTGTGTCTTCCAGCCGCCCGGTCTTGCCTAAGGTGTCCCGTCACCGATGCGACTACCAAATGCGTCACTGACTTTTACGATTGTTACGTTCGCCTCCTGCATTCCATGGGTTGGCTTCCTCACAAGGTAGAGGTTGGGCCTCGGGACTGCTGAGGCTGACCCAAGATATCCATTACGCCTCCTTCACTTCGATGCTGTATGCGGTCTGAAGTCGGTAACGTAAAGCTTTGACGTCAATTTTCGAGTTGTTAGCGTATACGCGTTCTCGATTTCCAAACTTTCTACAGCCAAGCTTTTTCGTGCAATGCTTGTTCTTTCCCCCTTAACTTTCTCCTATAGTCGATGACGGTATATGTACCAACTCCCTGTTGATGGCCACTTCTAACATCTAGTCAACAACAGCATCACAGCCCCTACCCGCGTTGGTTTCGCATCCATACCAAGCTGACAATAAGGCTGCATGATGGGATATGCGCCGGAGGGTCTCTTCCCTAGAGGGCCGGTGTCTCTCCATCAGGATGTATGCGGAAGATCTACAGTCATACCTAATTATATGTCTTAAGGAATAGGAAGAGGAAGAGCCGCCCGTCCTTCTACATGGAGTGTTTGAAGGCGTCAAAGTTAGGGCACTTTAATGTGTTCATCTTTCTACCAAATGCGATATTCTCTCCTTCTGTCATGGATGCGGCATGTCGCATTGCAGTCTATGACGGCACACCAGTTCCAGCCAGAGCTGATATTACCCCTTTGCCTATGCTGGCATGGCCACTCTCCTGCCTTCCATATGCTGTAACCCTGCTATGATGGCGCCATACCGCCTTCCTGTCTCTAACTGGATACCAAATGGGCATCACCCTCATGATGGCGTACTCTCTTCGTCCTCAAACTGCGTGGCCATCTTATGTCAAAACTCTCTTTCATAAAGGTATAAATATCTCGTCCTCGACCTCTTCACCTTCAAATTTTTTTCTTTCCTTTCCCATCACAGTCACAGATTCTCACCAGTCTTATCATCTTCTCTCCGATACACCCTAACAACCAACATCACTTGTAAGTCACCTCTCCCTTAGCTATAATGACTTGTAGTTAACAAGTTAATAGAACAATATAGGCTGGACCAACCATGCCAGCCATTAGCAAGATTATCGTCGCTGCTATCGCAGGGCTTGCCCTGTTGCAGCCAGCCACTGGCATGCCAGTGAAGACTGCGAGGCATGGTAAGTAGGAATATAGTAGCTCTTCCCATCTTCAACTTCTTATGCTAACTCACCCTCAGGAGAGCCTCAGCCAAAGACTCTTCATGTTGAGTGTTTGGCTGGAGAATGCTCGGAGGAGGATCTCGCGGCGCTTCGAGCTGCCGCCCAGATGGTGAAGGACGATCCATCTGGTAAGGGATGGAAAATCTCTTCCAAGATCGAGCCTGCCAAAGGTGGCAAGGCTCGCCGTGACGAAGGCCTCTCTGAGGCCGACGTTAACACCATCCTCGAGGGGATGGACCATGCCGACCAGGACAGCGTCGCCAGATGCGCTGCTGGCACCTGCTCGGAGGCCGAGCTTCAGCTCCTCAAGCAGGAGCTTAACGTGGCCACCATCCCAAACTGGCTCTGGCCGATCATCGGCCGCGTCCGTAAACTCAAGTTTACGTACGGTATTGAGATTGGGACTGACCCTGAGCCGCCTACGCCGGCTCCTAAACCAGAGCCCACGAAGGCTCCACCAACCTCCTCTCCGGCCCCCAAGAAGCCGGAGCCGACCAAGGCGCCGGAGCCAGAGCCGACTCACACAGCCTGGTAAAAAAAAAAAAGTTCGTGACACTCTGGAACTGTTGAGATTGAAAGTCTTGCTGTTTGACTTCGATGCAAATATAATTAAATTTAACAATGAAATAATTTTGCTACTTTTCTTTAAACTTGAACATTCCATAGTAGGCGACAGCAACCAATCCGTAATTTTTTTTGGTGTGTTAGTAATCATCTACGGTTGTCAGAGTAGTTGCTGAGTAACTTTGGAAGGCGAAGTCATCCAACTAGCCACCAACTACAAACACAAAAACAGTCTTGAAGTAGAGGTGGAACAAACCAAACCAAACACAAGAAAGCCTTACACTTCTCTAGAATCTTGTTTGAAGAATTAGCGAATAATTCCTCCCTGACTGTTGCTCACCTGCACGATGAACTGGACTGGAGGCCGTCTCCATCGATCTTCATACAAGATGAAGTCATCATCCAAAAACGTTGTGAGACAACGTGTTGCTCAAGCTAAAATACGAATGGTAGATAGGCCGCCAGATACTCTGTCGTTTGAGGTTGCTACTGGAGCACCGGGTAAGGAAGGCTGCAATGATGGACACGCTGGTACCATTCGAGCAGTTGACGACCTTGGAGCAAGCTTTCAGAAAGCAAAACAGCCAGCATATTCAAACAAGCCGGGTTCCATAGGTTCCCCTCCGGCTAGAGTTGAGGAGATGAGAAAGAAGCTACTTGATAAGAAAGACTGGGCGGGTCTTAGCCTATCACGACCACATAAGTTACATACACCATGTGGCCAAGTTAAAGGGAGACTTGGAAGAAAGCAGTCATTACCTTATGGAAGAAATCCCATCCGATACTCCCCTCAGGGAGGTCAATTTTCTCTTCCGGTGGAACGCCGAAAGATTGCACAACCACACTTATACCCTACAAATCAGCTAAGTTCCGATGATATTAGTATATGGATTGAGCAACAACAAGAAGAACCTCAGCATGAGGCTCTCCACAATGGAATGTATATGGAAGCCCAAGAGTCAGTGGAGCCGATATCGTCTGATAACAACACAAGCAGAGATAGATCAATTAGGTCTCTTAGGTCTACAACGCGCAATGCGCGCTCTATATGTCAGTCAGGCATGAAGACACCACGATATGCTGCTTGTGGTAATCGTGTCGACAACGAGAAATGCCAATTACAATTGACTAAACGGCTAGATATCTCCCCAAACCCCGATCTATCAAACCTACCCGTTCTAGATCGCCGTGGCTCGTTTGCTACAATCGACGGCCAGACAAGATATGTGCCACCGTCATCTTCTAAACCCAGCAGTTCGAGTTCTCCAGAAGAGGATAGTAGGATGAAGTCATCAAGGAATGCAGATGAATACTGGTCTCGAAGAAGAGCCATGTTATACCATAGTCAGAGATACCAAGCACAAGATACATCTCCGCGAAACACTAAGTGTATGGAAGTAGCAAACAACCTGGCCGGATGCTCTTCAGGATATTCGTGTGGCGATAACACTGCTATGATACGACAGAGGGAGGTAACTGGCGGCGTGGAACAATCTAAATTAGGAGATTTTTCAACGTCCTCTTCTAACCAAGCTGCTTTTTGGCCTAACACTATCCCATCGCCCTTTAGAAGTGAACCCAGTTGCCTTTCTTTTCACCCAATACCCTCCCCACAGTCGAATAGGGAGCAACATTCCGTTAACCAAAGTGAGTATCAGCAGTACCGTCGCCTAGGTAAGCCGGCCTATAATTCAATTCTTTATGGTAGCCCTCAGCCGAGGACGCGTTCTGCTAGGTCGTCATCGAAACCGATGTCTTACGGCATCAATTCTTCAATTCCCACGCCAGCTGTTCAAAACTATAGGGTGCTCGTATACGGCCAGGAATTCGATATATCGAAGGAATATTATTTATCATGATAAATACTTGGGGAAAAACTCCTTTGGTCCATTGTTGACCTTATCTCCGGTGACTGGGAGCATACAAGGCCAGTATGTGAGATACGTGGCCCTGTCAAACTACAGTCTCACCAACCAGATATGGTAATTGTCTGGTTCCTAAAGTTTTGAGAGGACCCTATTCGGGAGTTTTATTTGAGAGTTCCCGTCGCAGAGGATAAAGTGCCTCTTGCGAGGGGAATAACGCGGAGGCATGGTGGCATCAAATGTAAATATCGATAATATACTGGAAGGTCTTGAATAGTTAACTGAATCTTGTAGAGCTGCATCTACCCGTAAAGCACTTGCGCTAACGTTGCCTCTTTCCATCAGGTGCTCACCTCCCGATAGGCGTCGGCGCTTGATGCCGATCTTGAAATTGCGGAGCCAGTACATGTCTAACTATCTAGGCAGCTATTAGCTACCCAACACTGCAAAAACAGTCAGCCATTGTGATCCATGTGTTGGGTACCTCGGTACCTCACTCGGATGGAATGAATGATGATCCGACGGCAGATAAGGTTTTAGGTTGCCCGGGGCTTAGTAAGTAGTTAAGGTTCCAGCCTTACGATCATAACAACGCTGAATGTCTCTGCTGGTGGATCAGGCAAACAGCCTCGACAGGTCTTCGATATCATGGTTGTTTAAGAAAAGTTCCAACACTACCGCTGAACCGATGGGCGGCATAATTATATCTGTTATTTCCTCCCTCTCCATCCTTGCCTCCGTTGTCCTCTCATCCCCTACTCAGCCTGCCACCGGCATCTTACCTCTTGTGATATGGCATGGCCTGGGAGACAGCTACGAAAATGACGGCATGAAAAGTATCGCGCAACTTGCAGAAACAACAAACCCAGGCACGCATGTCCACCTCATTCGATTCGGCGCGTCTGGGACCGAAGACCGAGATGCCACATTTTTTGGCAATGTTACTGCCCAGGTCGACGAGGTTTGCCAGACGCTGGCGTCGGATCCCGTAATAAGCAACGCCCCAGGTATAAATGCGCTTGGTTTCTCGCAGGGCGGTCAGTTCCTGAGAGCATACACTCAGCGTTGCAACAAACCTCCGGTCCACAACTTGGTCACGTTTGGCAGCCAGCACAATGGGATTGCGAGCTTTACAGCATGCAAGGATTCTGGCGACTGGCTATGCTGGAGTTTCAATGCTCTACTGCGCTTCGGAACTTGGTCTAGCATTGCTCAGTCTGGTCTGGTCCCAGCGCAGTATTTCAGAGATCCAGAGGAGCTAGACGACTACCTGAAGTACAGCAACTTTCTCGCTGATATCAACAATGAGAGAGCAGTAAAGAATACAACGTACAGGGAGAATCTGATGAAATTGAACAAGTTTGTGATGTACATGTTCAAGGATGACACTACTGTTATCCCAAAGGAGAGCGCTTTTTTCACAGAGGTCAACGCCACGTCAGGAGAACATACGAAGTTGCAGGATCGGCCAATGTATAAGGAGGACTGGCTTGGGCTGAAGGTACTGGATGAGCAGTCTCGCTTGGAGTTCCTAACGATACCTGGCCGCCATATGCAATTGAGTGAGGCTCTATTGGTGCAGGTCTTCTACCGTTACTTTGGTCCTGTAGAGAAGTCAGGGACCGAAGATGCCGGAGCCACAGATTTCAAAGTCCAGGAATAGTTATTGTAGCATTCAAAACAAATTTAATACTTCATTGCTGCAAATACATGATTTTGCTATCGGTCAGTTTATACAACTAGAATGCAACAACATCACCTGACGAATCCAGCCGGCTCAAACCTGTCGGCTTCATTAAACAAGTGGCGGGAACGATCTTTCTCGGCTTTTCGGCATCTTGACAGTTTAGCCAAGGGTCGACGGTGCCGAATGAATACGATAATCATTCTAACGGATACCATTGAGTCAGAGCATCAAACTAAGAAAATTCCTCCAAGAACACTAACATCAGCCAACACAGCATTCGACAAATACAAGCGACTACTATCATCAAGGCAGAAAGAAAAGCAGCCCGATATTATACGTCAAGAGCCACAAGAAGCACTTCTCATTATGCCGGATACAACAGTTACAACCCCAAAGACATGGGTTTGCCCCACTAGACACGGGGAGACGAATGAATTCCTGGTCTCCATGGACAAATCACTGCTTTCAATTGCCATGATGAATGAAGAATTCGAAAAAGACTATATATACTGGGCCAAATCTATGCCCAAGGAAGCACTACAGACGGCTATCGACTCCTCGCTTTGTTTCGGTCTATTCGAGCGAATCCACGATCCTACGGCAGATTGCGTGGACCATGAAGCATCCAAAATAGCACTTCCAGAACAATCTTCCCTTCTGAAGCAGATCGGGTTCGCCCGCTTGGTCACAGACAATGTAACATTCTTCTACCTTTCTGATGTGTTCGTCATGCCCGAGTACCAAGGAAAAGGACTGGGTTCATTTTTGGTCCAGTGTATCAAGGAGGTGCTGGATGGCATGAAACACTTGCGACGATTCATTCTGATGACTGGTGACAAGAATACGGGAAAGTACTATGAGAGACTGATGGACGTTAAAATGCTGGGTGAGATTGGGAATGCGTATATCCTGGGCCGCAAGGGCCCGGGGAGCTGTGTATAGGCAACATATGTACTCTGTATCTTGATGTCAATTGATTATGCATTGAATTGAAGTTGATAGGGATTATGCATTTGAATGAAGGCATAATCAATGTTAGTGCAGAGATTTGGCGCGTGTCCTCAAGCCGTTCCCAGCCGACACCCATTCAAAATTTCCACGACCGTATCTGGCATATATGTCCCATGCCATCTGCCACCGTTTAGTAGGGCGTCTATCTAAAGCCCAAAAGATGCCTGGTAGATTCTTCGGCTTTAAGTGAATTTGCTGTGACAAATGAGTTTTTTGTTCGGTTGAAAAGAGAACGAGGATAAGAGGATTACGTAAGTCAAACCACATATGTCATGTGACAGGCTTTGAGGCTCCCGATGCTTAGTAAGAGAAGGGTCAATAATACGCACCAATGGAAATTGGAGAAATAAATTATGTCAGCATATTATTAATACTTTCCCCTGCGCCGAAAGTAGAAATGGCAACTTCAACTCTTCACAACGCTGAATTACGGCATTGTTTTCAACTACGATCAACTGCGATTAATTACTAGGTCTTGCCCTCGAAGGACCCTAAGATTGAAGGACTTCGTGATGAATTCCCTAAGGAGCCACCATCCTTACTCAACTCGCCAATGAGAGGTTCCAGGCGGTGTAAATGAAACAAAAACGGGATATTGCAGCGCTGGTCCAATATCTCAGCTATTGCAAAATGCAATTAACTAAAGAGCGCTATAATATCATGGCATCTGAGTGATAGTAAAGGTCCGAGACAGCCGTAGCTCTTGATATGTCTAAGGATGGCTATCATCGTGACGTATGGAAGCTTGAGCTTCATATTCCCTAAGGATTTTGGCCAAAGGTTGCTTGATATTACTTATGCATATATGCAATTGCCGCTGTATACGGAACTTTCCGCCCGGGCAGCTGCTTACCTCTAAATGGAGTTTCCCTTTTTTTTTTTTTTTTTTTTTTTCGTTCGGTATGTTTTGATTTCTTTCTTTCTTACACTTTCTTCCCTCCCATATAAAAATTCAAACAAAATATTTCTCGCGAAAGACGCGAGCTGCTTAACCCAACTCAAGCGTCGTTCAATATTCTTAATGTCTGCCATGCAATTTGATGGTCATGAAGCAGCATTACCCCCCTTCCACCTGCTCTAAGCTCGAGTACGTGGTTAATCATATAGTGCTCCCGCCTCGCCTGCCAGGAAAGGAGGAAGTCTGTGAGGATGATGTCCAATGCGAGCTTCTAGCATTTCTTCAGGCCGCGTCTATTACCCTCAAAGCAGATTCCGATACAGAGATAAATGCCGTTGGACGTTCTATCTTCAATGTTCTCGAGATCTGCAAGGCCACCAACCTGCGTGGAAAATTAGATAAATCCTCGCTCCTGCATCAGTTCCGAAAATTCCAGCCAAATACTCCTATACTTCTTCACGTGAAAGAGCAAAATGCTGGGCTACTTATATGGAAGGATGAACGGTAAGCTTTCGCCTCCCTCCTCCAATTGGTGGTTGTTCAGACTGTTTATATCTGATTCTGCTATTATAGACATGGCGAGGAGACAGTCACTTTTGAAGCTTTTGAGGTGTCGCCAGCGTCTGAAAAAGTACTATCTGCAGAAGGCCCACTCCAATGGGATTTCCCGGGCGAAACTGTTGTTATTCCCAATACCGTGTTTATCCAACCATCATTCCAGGAGTCATTGTCCAATTTCCTAGAGAGTGCGAGCACGGAATCAATAAAGAGATTCGCTGCCGGTGTTTTGAAAGGTGGCTCAGTCGCATTCGAGAATCGTGATACCACAGATCCGGCTTTAATCACACAGATGCTCATGACTCTGCTTGAAGCAAATGGCTCTCGAACATTTCCTCCATTATTAAGGAAACGTGTCCGTGATGAAGTTTCTTGGGCTCCGGGAGGTGGCAAGCCATGGAGGAGACTGCCATTTTGGCTTGTTCTCAGGGTGGGAATTGAGCGACATCTCCATTTGCAACTTGGTGCCACGAAAGGACGAGCATACTATAAGTTCCTTCTTTGCCTCATGTTCTCGGCTATTCTAGGTTCTGGAATCGACTCACTCTCGCCAGACCTAATTTCACTGCTTACCGCTAAGCTAGCAAGACGTTTGGCAAAGCTGGAGGTCCATCGGGAGAAAGCGCTCCATAACGACAGAGTAACATATAATCGATTATTTGACAGATTTGAGCTTTTTTTCCAGACCTCTATCAGTAACGCTAGAAACCATGTTGCTGATATCTGGAATACATTCAAAAGAAGCATTCGACGCAAGATTCCACGGCTTCCACTCCATGCAGATGAAAATTCGCAATATCTTTCTCTAACAAATAGCGAGAAAGAGATTGAGAATGTGTTGTCACAATACAGAATAGATCGTTCACGGACTGCAGATAACCCATCGGCAAAAGACTTCACTCCTAAACGTTCGAACGCTTTCAAAAAGTTTGCCAACACTTATAATTCCCTTTCACAGCGAGAGAGTGTATCTAATGAAGCCTTAAAATTTCCGCACAGCTCCCCAGAAGAAACTTGCATTGAGCTGGCAGTCATGATCAGGAACTATTATAACGAGGCTGAACCAGCGTATAACGGCAATCCTGAGCAGAAGAGCATCATGATATTACACATGATGGTACTATGGGTGGAACTTGATAAATGTGCCACCAAAACTTACCCTTTACTACTCGATTATCACCCTGGGATTTCGTCGAGCCTTCTTGATGTGCTGCAGCTATCAAGCCTTAAAGATTCAATTCGTCTGAACACTGTGCAGGAGTACATAGAGACCCGATGTACGCGGAGCCTGTCCCGAAGGACAATTTTCGATGATCCAACCGAAGGATGTTTTGCTGAAAGATATTTTGATTTATCAGAAGATTCCTTGAGGCTTCAAAACCTCCGCTCAACGATTGAATCCCAAGCGCAGAAGAATTATGACAGAAAAGTACAGGAGTGGCAACAAAAAAGTGAGATATTCGAGGCTCTGCAGAAGAAAATTACAGTATCTTCCTGCACTTATATTACCAATCGGCATGGAGGGGTAGACCATGACAAAAATTGTGAAAAGTGCGACAACCAACATCGTGCCAACCGCATGACTATCCAAATCCATGAACACCCACTTCCAGAAAATCCAGTCCATGCTAGGGCGGTGGTGTTTGAGCTACAATGTCCAGAGGCATTCAAGTCCTATCGTAACGCAACCTGGCTACTATTTGGTATCGTGGCGTGCCCTCACGAACAACCCCCAGCGTATCCAAGGTTATTGGTATCAGAGTATCGAGAGCTTAGTAAGTTTTTTACTGGAAGTTCAGAGGGAATTGTGCTTGCATCGACCACAAAATCTTTGCTATCTACCCACTACAGAGGAGTTTACTTCCCAGTCAGGCTGGAAGACATATGCTTCGACAATAATCTAAGGGTTAGATATTATGATACCACCCATAACATCTTTCCTAATAGGCAAAGCCATGTTTCAAGCGTTTCCCACCATCTTCAGATGCCCAACTTGACAAACTCACCATTCTCATCCATAGCACCTCCAGGTAGTTTGTCTGGCTCTTCGTCCTATGAAATTTTAGCCAGTCAGTCTTCCTGTCCGCCGGGACTGAATGTCCACGAATTCACGGCGTATAAGTCTCTTTTCTCTGGCGTGGTCAGACGTTGGCCTACAATCCTTATTGAACTTGGTTCCTCAAACTTGAACTTCAGCACTAAAGGCCCTTGTACGTTGATTTGTCAACTTGCAATACAGGCAGGACCGAGAGATACGAACGATGTTTTTCGAGTGGTACACAAGATCTTCCGTGATGAGACTTTCTGTAACCGACTAATCAAATTACTCGAAGAAAGACTAATTGGGATTGCATTGAACTGGCGTGAGACTGATTGCATGGAGATGTTGATTACCTTGATACTCCGGCTATGCGCCTTATCCCCACTGAGAACCCTTGACAAGGCCATCACCTTACTGAAAACGATTCAAGAGACCCTTTTGAAATGGATCCGGCTGTTGCGTAAGGAAATTTGTGCTGCTTGTGAGCCAGACATGATTGAAAATTATTCCGACTTTGCTTTCACCGTTGCCCTGTTACTGAGGAGGACGTTTGCGGTATACCCTGAGAATACTCCTATATACACGGGAAACATGGCTGAAAATGACATACGATGCTTTATAGAGGCTTCTATCTCACTTCAAGACAACATTCCCCCAGATTTGAAATCGCTATCTCATTTTCAGTGGCGTGCGCTCATTCGAGATTTGAAAATGGTATACAGGATGCGTCCAATACTATTACAATCTTTGAAAAATCACCCTGGAAGTCTAGGTGCTGTCTTAACAGATATTTGGGCACAAAACACACTTTTGCTAGGGCAAATGTCCAGCCTTCAGCTTCTAGACGGCGACGAATGGGCTCAGCTTGTGATAAACCCGACAAGTCAGACAAAAAGACAAGTTGTGCATTTTCATTTCCTTGAAGGCCATTTACTTGTCGACGGCGAACCACTAGCCACGCTCCCTGCAAATTACAGAAACGCCATGGTCCTCGATCGTCTGTTTGGAAACCAAAGGCTTCAGGTCTACCCGTCGTCGCTCCATGGAATGTCATACGTCCTTCCGTCTGAAGTCAAGGAGCAAAGAATCCATATTGGTTTCCGTGATGGTAAGCCCTTTGTCCGAGCCGAGAGTAGGCGCACGATTTACGAATTCATCCCTTATGAAATATTCGGAGACAGGAGAAACTTTGACCTCCCGGGCTCCTTGGTTGAAAATTGCATTCACTGGCTTGATTTAAAGTCTGGGACTATCAAAATCAGGCGGAAACCTGATATATGGTACGATAAGGACAGTTACTGGGAAGTCGACTTCTACAATCGAAAAGCTCGTCGCCGCACAGTTACTTTGATTGATCCCCATAGTCAGTTATTCCGTCTTATTGCCAACGTATTTGATGGATTTGAGCACCCCGGGTACATCACCATATATCAGCCTGCATCGAAAAACTTATCTGTGGAGTTACGCCGCTTGGAACTCGACTTTATCGTTACTAAACGCGGGCTACTTAGATGCAAGCAGCTAAACGCGTTAATCGACATGAATCAAGATGCAGGCACTTGGTATGGGTTGAAAAGCAAGCTTGTGCTACGCGACGTGATTGATAACGAACAGCGCAGCATCATTGTTCCCATGGGCCCACTGCAATGTACGAGAAATGGGATCCATGTCAGTGTCTTTGCTGAAAACCTTGGAACTTATGGCCGGTTCTTCATAAATACATCCCTTGGAAGACTAGATTGCCCGGTCGAACCATGGACTTTATACGCCAAAGCTCAGTTTCATGCATATACCTCTTTTGTTTTACCGGATGAGCTGACAGGGCGTACTGGAACAGAAGAAGCGGTTCACTGTCTGAAGTCAAGTTACAGCCAGCCGTGGACTACGTTGAATCCCGGCCCACTTGGGACTCTTCAAACTGTTGCACTTCTGGCCCCAACCAGGATTTATTATCCTCCTGGTTCCAAGACTGTTCAGCACACAATATGGAATGAGAATCTAACACCATGGATTCAACACGAAATCTTTTCATCACTGGTTGAGAAGATTTTGGAAACAGAAAGAACGCTTAGGCAATTCGGTAACAAAGAGATCGATCAACCGGCAGTTCGGCCTGCCAGTGATGATTTTTTGATGATTCGGGCATATAGGAGGAGAAATATCTACCAGCGGCCGAATGCCGGCTTTGACGATCTACCAGTTGTGAAGGATGAAGTTTACAACCCGAGAGATCGATTCCAGGCAGTCCGACGTCGTTCTAACGTGTTCGAAATAAGTAGTTTGGTGAAAAACTGGTCAACAAACACAGGGTCTCATGCTGATTTAATCCGAAGCATGGAATCCTGGCCTACAATTGGAGGGTATAGTACAGTTTTCGATAAGGTGCTCCTCAGCGATATGCTTGACATACAGTTTGACGTGTCATGGGGTTCCCTCGTCAATTTCTGCCGTGATTCGGAGGAGAAAAATAAATACAATCTCATGATGACGATGGCTCTTATGTCGTTTTCCAATTCCGCCGACATGGAAATCATACGTACTTTGCTGCTTTTCGCCACTATTCCAAGCCTAAAGTCCCTGATACCACCAAATTGGGTTCATTATAAACATTTTCGTTATAATCAACAACCTAGTGTGCTATACCTGAGAAGACTGATTAATAATTGCTGTGTTCCATACGCTGGGGACGAACGGGGACTTTTACCATTTAACATCAAGACTAGAAAGAGATTTGAAGCTGCTGAAAGAGAGCACGAGAAACAAGTTGAGGCGAATGCAATCGCATTTTCAGAGTATATCTTTGCTCAATGGCCTTGCCTTGAGCCAACAATCCAGGGAATGCTCGATCTTCCGCTGTTAAATGTCCACTTAGCCTTAAAGGTCATTCTCCCTGATTGGTCTCGGCTATTCCAGAATTTAGAACTTTCTAACTATCTTGCCAAAGTTCAGGCCACTTTGGTTTCTGGTAACTTTGGAAAGTTTGAGCAATTCGACTGCTGCATAAAATCCGTGGGTTCAGAAATATTTCCCACTGGGTTTCGAGGACAGGATATCCCCACACTTGCGAGCGATCTGCTACACAAAGCTTGCACGCTTTATACCCATGAATTCCACCACACGAAAAAAGCCATTACTACATACAAGGCCTCCCAGGAGGAGGGTATCAGACGCGTTTTTACCAGTTCCGACAACCCACCAAGTCTTCCACCACAAAGCATAGGCTTTACACACATTCTCGAGCTGGAGGAAATAATTGGTAAAATCAAAGATTCTCCCTCATTGGTTAGACAGCAATACGGACATGACTTGATGACCAGCCTTGAGGCATTGAGAAGTGTAAAAAGCGCCAATGATATCCCAGTTGGAAAAGAATTTGATGAATCCACAATTTATACAAACATTGGGTCAGCGACACAAAAGGTTGAATCCCATGCCAAACACCTTAGGTTGGCCCTCAATAAAGATGATTTGCGCTTCCGCTGGCTACATCCTGCAGGTCTATGGCCTTGCATGACAATGGTTACCCTCCTTGAACATCTTCGTTCCACTTTCAAAGGAAAATTTGGAGCTGGGATGAAAGAGACCCTTATCGCGCTAGCGGTCGAAATTATTCACAGACAACGCTTTATTAGAATTAAGAATGCATTTTTACGAAGAAAGGATAGGGTGCTTGAAGAGGAAAAAATTATATGCCCCATTCTAACTGGGATCCTTCGCTTCATCCAGATTGGCTGCTATTACAAATTGATGCCGATATTTGTATTCGGCCTAACCAAGTCGAGGTTGCACATGCAACAATTACTCCATCTTCGCACGCAAATGCTGTTTTGCAGATGAACATGGGACAAGGTAAGAACTCTCGCGTTGGGATAGAACAGCTTCGGCCCTTAATTCTTGAGGGATAATTTTCTTGTAGTGAAAGTTGATAGTGTGGCAGGTTATTGGGTTATTTAACTGATATCTTGGAATCTAGGTAAAACTTCTTGTATCATCCCTATGGTTGCTGCTGTTCTATCGGATACCACGAAACTTCTACGAGTAGTTGTACCTAAGGCATTGTTGCTTCAAACTTCACAGGTCCTTCAGGGGAAACTCGGGGGGCTGGTCGGTCGGGAAATACGACATATACCATTCTCCCGCAGAACACCAACAAGTACAGATATGATCAATAGTTACCTCAAACTTCACAAAGATGTCATATCATCTGCTGGTGTTATCGTGGCTCTTCCAGAGCACATGATGTCCTTTCAGCTGAGTGGTCTCCAGAGATTGGTTGACAACAAGCTGCCTGAAGCACGGAGAATGATCAAAATTCATGATTGGATGCAGACAGTTTGCCGTGATGTTTTGGATGAATGTGATTTTACACTTGCTCCTCGGACACAACTCATTTATCCTAGCGGCACGCAGAGCACAGTTGATGGTCACCCTCATAGATGGCAAACTGCAGAGAAACTGTTGGAACTCGTCTCGGGTCACATTTGGGGAATTTGGCAAAGATACCCTGGAAGTATCGAGGTGATTCAACGCCCTAAAGGCGGCTTCCCAATTGTTTACTTCCTACGCAAAGATGCAGAGGAAGCTTTGATGTCCCATGTAGTTAGGGACATCATCGACGGTGGAACTTCTGTAATACCTGTCCAAGGCTGTTGCCGTTCCGAAATTATGGACATCAAAGCGTTCATTTCAGAAGCGTCGATATCCCCTAAGACTGTTAAGCGAGTATCGTCTTTATTCCCTGATAACTCAGCTGCAAGACAAAATATCTATCTGTTGCGTGGGCTTCTAGTTCATCGCATATTACTACTGACCCTCAAGAAGCGCTGGAATGTCCAGTACGGCCTTCATCCCTTGAGAGATCCTATCGCAGTCCCATTCATTGCAAAGGGTGTTCCATCTGAACAAGCTGAATGGGGACACCCTGACGTCGCTATACTCTTTACCTGTTTAGCATTCTATCTTGGTGGTTTGGAGCTTTCGCAAGTGAGGCAATGCCTTGATGATCTAATGAAATCCAGCGACCCGTCGACCATATATGAACAATGGATCACCAATTCGGAGAAGCTCCCTAAAATTCTTCAAGATTGGAACTCGATAAACACCGAGGATGAGTCCCAAGTCTATCAACTTTGGAGCCACCTCCGCTACCAAATGCCCCTCATCAACTATTTCCTGAACCAGTTCGTATTTCCAAAATATGCGAAGCAATTCAAAGTGAAACTGCAGGCTTCAGGATGGGATATTCCACTGTCATCACCTCACGCAAATATTGGAACAATGACAACAGGGTTTAGTGGAACGAATGACAACCGTACAATTCTTCCATTGACAATCAAACAACAGGACCTTAGTTCCCTAGTACACACAAATGCTGAAGTCCTAACTTTTGTTCTTCGGGCCCGTAACTACGTTGTTGCTAAAGATGCTGAGGGGAAGCGTTTGACAGAAGAGGGGCTCCTAGCTCTTTTGAAGCGTATGGAAATACGCATATTGATAGATGCAGGTGCCCAAATACTGGAGATGGATAATCTGAGCCTAGCAAAAGTGTGGCTAAAAGTGGACCATAGCGCCCCGGCAGCGATGTATTTCGACCCTGAGAACAAGCCTTATATCATATATCGCAACGGCTATCGGGTTCCTCTTCTAGCTTCACCTTATGCAGAGAACCTGGCGGATTGCCTTGTGTATCTTGACGAAGCCCATACTAGAGGAACAGATTTAAAGATCCCAGCAGATGCAGTTGGGGCCCTTACACTAGGACTAGGGCAAACGAAAGACCACACAGTACAAGGTAAGCTTCACTCAAGTTCTCTGCATAAGAAAGAGAGGTGATCTAACTATACGTAGCTGCCATGAGGCTAAGACAACTCGGTACTACACAGTCGATTACATTTTTTGCCCCCCCTGAGGTTCATCATAGCATACTCGATTCTCGGAAACTCCCATCCTCTGCTCCTGTAACCGCTGCTGACGTTATCTACTGGCTTTTGGTTCAAACCTGCATTGGAATTGAGCAAATCCAGCCCTTATACTTCTCACAGGGGATGGACTTCTGCCGTCGGAGGCAAGCTGCTGTGGATGCTCCTAAATATTTGACCGACCAGGCCCAACGGCAGCAATATTGCAAAGCTCTCCAGCAGGAGGAAATGCAAACCTTGCAAGAGCTTTTCAGGCCAATTGCAAAAGTGAAGTCAAAGGCTGCCGTCGCTGCCTATGCCCCTCACATTGCAACACATGTCAAGGTCCTTGAGCACCGGAAGAAAGGATTTCAGGATTTTGGAGACGCTGTTCACAGCTCCGCTCTACAGGAAGTAGAACAAGAACGGGAGGTTGCATATGAAGTTGAAGCCATTCGAGAAGTTCAAAAAGTCCCGCGTTTTAAGGCATTAAACTTCCCCGGCATTCACGAAGATATTGAATTATTCTGTCGTATGGGGACGCTGACAAGCTATTCCTCAGCGTACCAGCAGGCGTTCATTGCTTTGAGAAATACCGGAATCGGTCAGAAACATGGTGTAAACTCATGTGCTACTTCGTCAAAATTGTTTCTTTCCAAAGAATTCTTCAAAACCGTACGGTTACCTGTTGGCGAGTACAACGATAACTACATGGTAAGTAGCCTCGGATGCAACTTCAAAGGGGAATATGCCTTGGTCCTGTTAGATGTAGCTGTTAACTTTCTTTCCAGCGTCAAGTGAATTGGATATTATGGAATCCCACTATAGAAGCTGCCCTTGTCGTCATTCCTGAAGAAGCAGAGCTGCTGATTCCACTTCACCAAAACGCAAAACACCTTCACACTCGACTATTGACCTACGCTGCTCCTGTAACCCGTGGAATGCTACACTTTAGCAATTTGGACTTTTACTCCATGCCGCCATTGCCTGAAAATTGGAAAGCACCCCTCTGGCTTACCGTTGAGCTTGGGATTTTAGCTGGTCGGGTATACTTTGATTATTCTGAATACGAATCTATCTGCCACTATCTTGGACTTACAAGCTCACCAGTCGAAACTGCTCCAAGCCGTGAGGAGAGCGAAGTGGAATCCAAGGAACCAACACAGGACATGGATGGAGAGAGTGTCACCCAGGCCAATAATCTTACATTTACTCCCAAACCATTGTCTTTCCTCCAGGAGTGGCTAGCTCTAAGGCGAAAGGGCCAGGATTTTAGCAACACGCCAATGGGATATATATGCCAGGGCAAAATACTAAACGAAAGGAGCCCTTTTTTCTCTTCAGGCCGGGATATTCGAGTGAATGTTCCAAAGCTCAAAGCTACTGATGGCAGCTCCGATGGAGGGAATGTCGAAAGTCCTGAAGCGAGCGACTACGAACCAGAAGATATTGAAGATCAAAGACGAGAATCGACTGGGAAAAGGGAAATATTTACGGATGACAGCAGTGAAAGCGACTATCATGATGATGCCATTGAGTGAGGTTGACGATTCATGGACACTGGGTGAATTTTTAAGAATAGCTAGTTAACTAGTTAGTTAGTTATCGCTGGCTGAAAATGAACAAAAAAAAAAAAAAAAAAAAAAAAAAAAGAAATAGAAAAACTTTGTAGATAGTATAGATGTACGAATACCAGAATATCAGAGCCAGTAAGTCTTCTTTGCACTCAAATTGGTTGTCACAAGAACTATATTCAATTAACTACTGCCAGAAACTAGCATTTGACCAAGAAGCCCCAACTTCGTGACTAGTTAACTAGTTGGCATTTGACCACTGTGAAGCCAATTTCTCAACAACAACTAATCTGATGCCTCACAGCTTTCAGCAGATGGGAAATATATAATCATTCTATACAGAAAAGATAAATGGCTCAGTCAGGGGCAGAACTATTCTCAACATCTTGGACCTTGCATCGGCTTTCGCCTCTGTATCATGGCCAGGACAGCAAAAGCTCGCTCCTGGAGGCGCCACATTGTATCCGCGCCTACGCCAATCGGCTTCGCGATACTCTCACAGGAAATGTGCTAGGCGGAATCGTACAGACTTCAACGCTCTCTCCCAGTATAGGTGGGCTCGATGATATCCTTGCTAGAGCCGGTGCGCTCAAGGAATGCAAGTGGGCGAATATCCCGACCTGGAGTTACTGGAATGAAGAGCATTCTATACTGGAAGATCCAGATCAGGAGGCTTCCTTGACGCTTACTCCGGATCAATCTGCTGGAATTCTCATCAACCTACAATATGAGAATGCAGCTTATAAGGCTGCCCTTCTGGCCGGTCCGGATGGGTATCGCCATGAGGGAGATGAGAGGCCAGAGGGCACCACATTTCTACCGCTGCTAGTCACTCGAATGCCCAACGCGCTGAGACAATCTCTACTTTCCTTTTTATCCGAGACCTTTGATACTCGAATTTCTGTTCTACGACTCCCGTCAAGCTTCTTATGCAGCGCTTTTGAGAGATACCTGGCTACGCTGAACCGGACTGCCAGTCGAACGAAGAAACACGCGGCGCACCAGACAGCGGCATCAAAAGTGGAATCACGCGCGTTCATAGAGTCTATCATGAAAGAAGTGCAACTGACTCTCTCATTTCCACCGCCGATTTCTTCAGATCTTAAGTCACTGGATATACATATTCCACGAGATTCCCTCGGCGCTTTCTATGACCATGGCCTTGGGAGTCTTGAAGTTGAAAGTAATAAGAAGTGCATCGAGAGGGGTGTCCCTTCAGCACCGTTCTTAAAAGCTTTGTCGGAATACTTCGATCATAATCTTGCTATGAAATTGGATCTAAGAGAGTTTACGGGACGAGATAGCTCATCAACAGGAGACTCCAAAGGCCAAAATATAAAGCTAACGAAGGTCTCCTGCGGCGCGTTCGTGCTTGGTTCGGAGGGCCGAATTAAATTTCTAGCTAATCCGGGACGCACCATCCTCCTGGATGACTCCGACGAGGAAGAAGGCGATGGTATTGACGTTGATGAAAGGGAGAAGCGGTTGGTATGGAAAGCAAATGAAGAGTTATTGCGTCTTTTAATTGCAAGGGCCACGGGACAGTGGAAGGATAATGATCGTTGACCTTAAGTCGATGTACAATACTCTCGAAATGAACTTTACTGTCAATGACATTGTGGAGGATAGGGTATATTCTCTAAAAATTATCTGCAGAAAAGGATCAAGTCAAGACAAACAAGTTATATATAGTCAACGCTAATAACGGGGTATACATAAACCATGGCTCTCTTTTGTAGACAAACCCATCAAAGCATGTAACAACCATCACTCGTAGTTAATATACTCTGTCTCCGCCAGCTGGAGGGCGTTTTCGACAGTAGACACGAAATGGGATATGCCGCCACACGTATCAATTATGCCACTCTTCTCCATCATTTGGAACACTTCACTCCCAGGAAGCGGGATGCGGCAGAAAAACACCCGCACGCCATGAGAGACGTATTCTTCGACTATTTCACTGAGCACCTGCACGCCTGACCCGTCGATGCTCGTTACGCCGTGAATATCAAAGATGATATTCTTGTTGTGCTCTGGGGGTCTAACACGAGGCAGTGCAGGGTGTGCCGCGTTTGTGCCGTAGAACTCCAGCCGGCGTAGTCTGTTCTTTAGATCGCCAGTATTGGCAAAGGTAAGTGGTTCGGGGATTTTCACGATTAGCGAGCCCGCAACGTACTCGACACGCTCAGGATGAACTTCAGCGTTCTCAAAACGGTCTCTGGTCCCGTGTACTTTGCCCAAGATTTGAATACGTGGCTTCGTGGCGTGGCGGACTATTTGAAGGAGAGAGAGACCCAACCCAAGGGCGATACCAAGGTATAGGGAATAAAAGAAGGTAGAGAAAAAGATGAGTAGCATCAGAACGAGCTCTGACCAACCACGTATTCTAATAAAAAAGCGGATGTCTTCAGGGCATTCCTCTATGAGTGAGAAGGAAACAACCGAAATCAAGGCAGAAAGAACCGCCATCTAGCTGGGAGGTTAGTACACCGTCGATAGGCAAGGCGAAAATAACTGACATACCGGGAGATAATAAAAGTATGGAAGCAGCCAGATCACGGATGCTAAAGTAATCAGGGCAACGAATATTCCGGCCATGGGTGTTTTGGCACCGGTCAAGGCACTCAGCTTGCTTCGACCATATCCACCAAATGCGGGAAGACCCAGGAAGCACCCGCCAACCATATTGGCGACGCCCAACGCGACGAGTTCACGATTTGGACTATAGGTCATGCCTTCGATCCCACCCTTACTTGCGGATCTGATGCCCTTTGCGGCGACGGAGGACTCGAAAAACCCCAGAAGAGATATGATAAATGAGGTGCTCATGGCATTGCGTATATGCTCTAGCTTGTCTGTCTGGAACGGCCACTCGAACCTGAACAAGTTGCTGGTGCCCTTGATGTTTCCAAGAATAACAAGCCCCTTTTTATCCCACTCTAGTGCCCAGGTCAAGACCGCAGACAGAACGACAACTATGAACTGGTCCGGGAAAAAGACTACTCCCGGATACCGCGGTTGCAGGTGCTTCTTCAGTATCCTGGCAACAAGTTAGTAATTATTCGTATGTATAGATAGCCATCAAGAATAACTAACCTGAAGACCATGATAATGGCAATGGTGCTGAATGAAACAGCGCATGTAAGACCATGGCTGTAATGTACATTCTGGATCAAGAACATCAACTTCTCCGCGGAACTGCCGTATGTACCAAGCAGGACCTCTCTGGCTCTGTCACTCAGCCCCATCTCAGGCACGAGTTGGTCAACCATGATCATGAACCCGATAGCACTGATAAACCCTCTGAGGAACGGACGGCTGAGGACATTATCCACAAATCCCAGGCGTGTGATTCCTCCAATTAGGGTCATGGCACCTGCCATGCCCACCACAATTCCAGAAATCGCAGCATTACCACGAGGATCGTCGTCGATGCCTTTCCCGTCCTCGACTGTACTTCGAACGACAGCGCCTACCATGAGAGAACCGGCTGCCTCGGGTCCCACGATCAAGAGCGGGCTGCTACCGAAGATGGAGTATATGAACGGGTGGAAAATAAACGAGTATAGGCCATTGATGGCGGGTATATGGGCAACATTGGATGCCAGCGAGAGGCACATGGGAACGTAGACAGAGCAGACCGTCAAGGCCGAGATGAAGTCACCGCGGAGGTAAGACCAGCGGTACTGCGTTATCCAGTTGAAGAACGGCACATAATATGCGAGGTACCTATATGGCAAATTGATACGTTAGCTCATTGTTTGATATCATCATCCAGATTCTGCTGTTGGGGGATATGACTGCATTTCATTACTGGTATAAGGGAGACCATACATAGCCCTTTGGTTTTTCAGGCCATGGGCCTCCGCTAGTTGTTTTGTGACGGATTTTCCGCCGCTAGGAGCGGAAGAGATGCCATCTCTGCCCTGGAGGTATCCTGCTTCAGAGATCTGGCTGCTCTCCCCGTAGCTCTGAGTAGATGCCGGGGTGAAAGTGCCATGGGTGCGACTGCGAGCATCACCAGGCTGCTGGCTGGAAGCATGGGAGTCAAGAAGCCTGGAGCTGGCACTGACATCACTGTTCTCAGGCGGGTTATTCATCACGACGGCCTGCGGTTGCAGTGATTTTTTTTTATTTTTAATTTTTTTTTTTTTTTTATTTCGCTATCCTCCAGCTTATGGACGGGGCAAGGCTAGGGTGATATATACCCAGGAATCTAGTTCGGGCGTTGGCCAGGCGCGGGCGTTAACTGGCTGGGCAGGGCTGGCGAACAAGCGAACATCCTTGTCTCAACCTTTGCTGTTCCTCTTATATAAGTGCAAGCGCATACACAGACACCAGCGAGCGCCATCAACGTCCATCTCCACCCTCTAGTTGCTGGGATGCAGCCAAGTCCTCGTCCTTTTGTCGCTGCGCGAGCTGTTGAGCGGCGTCTGCAATCCGGGAGTCGCTCAAATTTCCTCAAATTCTTACTGGTCGGCGCGCTGCTGACTAAGGCTGCGTCGCTTCTTTAAGCGAACCTCGCGGCGGCCGTTAAAGCGGCTATGGAAAGATCCCCGTTTAGGCCAGCGGCGACGGTGAGGCTGAATCTGTGAGTCCAAACTGGCGCAGCCTGATATTACTACACACGGGGGCAAGTCAGTGTGACGATGGCTTTTGATCCATCAATACGGAGGACCGGTATCATTGACATATGTGTTCAAAAGTGCTCGTAGATAGCTATAGCCACCCACCCCACTAGTTCGTGCGAAGGTTATGCTCAAACCGGGTAGATCTTGTATTTTTTTTACTTTCACCAACCAAGATGCACCCAAGTAGCTGCCTTTGCAATCACGCAGAAGAATAGCAAGAACAGCAGAAACTATATAGTTAGAGTCAGTCGGCTTTTCTCCTTAAAACACGCGCGGACCTGCCAAAAGCTGTGCTTATATAATCTAACCACGTGACTGTCCCACTATCCGCCAAACAAACGGAAAACGATTTTGCGATTTGCAAGGGTCGAAGACGCTGGACGAAGACAAGCAGACGACACGCCGCCGCCGAACGGACTGATCAAATCTCCTTTGACGCCCTGCCTTCACTCGGGAATACGCAAATCTTCACCGACGGGCCCTTTTCTTCAGCTCTTTCTTCCGCCACGGGGACCGTTAACGCCAGGCCAATCCTAACTTGAGCTCACAATCACCTTTTTCTAAGCCCTCTCTCTGACGCACAAGTTCGACCTGCGCACCAGCGCCCCCTCGCCAACATGTCGCTCACCAACTGTCGCTTCTACGAGGAGAAGTTTCCGGAGATTGATAGCTTTGTCATGGTCACCGTCAAGCAGGTGAATACAAATCTTGATACCCCACGTTTTTTGGTGCTGGTGGAGTGGGAGGGACGAAGTTGAAGAAGGATGCTAATAGTGGCTTATCACCGATTAGATTGCGGAGATGGGTGCATATGTCAAGCTGCTCGAGTACGACAACATCGATGGCATGATCCTACTCTCCGAGCTGTCGAGGCGACGTATCAGAAGTATACAAAAACTTATCCGAGTCGGACGTAACGAGGTCGTCGTCGTTCTGCGAGTAGACAAGGAGAAAGGTGGGTGGTTGTGTGTGATGGGTCATACCAGTTTTGATACTTCGTGCTGATAAGGGAAATGTCCTTGCCCTCCAGGTTATATCGATCTTTCGAAACGTCGAGTGTCACCTGAGGATGTCGGAAAGTGTGAGGAACGGTATAACAAGAGCAAGTCGGTACACTCGATTATGCGTCACGTTGCCGAGAAGACAAAGACCCCGATCGAAGAGCTTTACCAGCAAATCGGATGGCCCCTGAATAAGAAATACGGACATGCCAATGATGCCTTCAAGCTGTCTATCACGTAAGACAATTACTCTTCTCCCTAACATGGCCGTGGCCGTACTCGAGAATTTGCAGGCCTCGTTGCTCTAACACTACGAAATGTATAGTAATCCTGCCGTATGGGACGACGTTACCTTCCCAAGCGCCGTGGTCAAGGACGAACTCATCTCCCACATCAACAAGAGACTTACCCCTCCACCAACCAAAGTCCGTGCCGATATCGAAGTGACTTGCTTCGGATACGATGGCATTGACGCCGTCAAGGATGCCCTCCGTGCTGCTGAGGCTGTCAGCCCACAAGTAAAGGTCAAGCTCGTGGCGCCCCCGCTATACGTCCTGACGAACCACTGCCTAGACAAGACTCAGGGCGTCAAGCTGCTAGAGGAGGCGATTGAGAAGGTACAGGAGAAGATAAAGTCCAGCGGAGGTTCCTGCGTCATCCAGATGGCGCCCAAGGCTGTCACAGAGCAAGATGATGCTGACCTGCAAGCTCTCATGGAGAAGAGAGAGCGCGAGAACCAAGAAGTCAGCGGAGATGAGAGTTTCAGCGAGAGTGACGAGGGCGTTGTCGAGTAAAAAATAAAAAGTTGTACAGTTTTCCAACCCGTCTTGCCAGCCTCTTTTCTTCTTCTCCCATGCCCTTCTTCTCTTTTCTTTTTCTTATGTCTGGATTACCAGTCTGCCGCTTTAGAATATGGACCGTGGGATATAAAAAGCAACAATTTGGGCGAAGCATGAATGCGCTGCCTGGCTTCCAACCAGAGCATGTTAAGAAAGCAAACGAGCATGAAATGAACACCTACTTCAACATTCACCGTGAAGACTCCTCCTCCGCGACGGGCTAATGGCTGGCCTTTGCCTTTTGATAGCTCGGGGGAGAGAGCATGAAGGCAGCCCTTGGCCGGCAGACCCCGTAGAGACAGACCTCCCTCACGCCAATCGTATTGTCCTTTGCCAGCACCACTGCAACCTAACGGCAGCGCTCTCCATGCGCCATCGCCTTCTTCTCCAGTATTATTGTCATCCCCCGGTGTACGGTGGCGACGTCACTGGCGCATCGAGCTAGCTAGCTAGGTAGCCAAGTCACTTATTTCTAACTAAAACATGGACCAGCCCCCTCGCGGGCCAAAACACCAAGCAAGCCGGGGGTTAGAGCGAGAGAGCGAGAGAGGGAGGGAAGATCTGCCTATTTAAACGACCAGCCATCCTCCATTTGAACCCTTAACTCCCTCTTCATCTCTCGCTTGCTAGAGTGTCTGCTCCCTGTTCTCTAGCCGGACTCTCAAGATGGTTCAATGGGGCCGGTTGTTCAGTGGCGAGCCTCGTCGAGGCCGGCACCACTACCTGCAAGAAACCAGCCGATGTACGTCACTTCTCGCCAGAGCAGGCGGGCAGTCAATTGAGGCCCGGAGCACAGTCGCTAACGCCTTCTAATCGATGTTATAGTACTTCCTCGCACTCGCGACCAGGTTATCACGCCCGCTCTGCCAGCGAAGGAGGTGACAAAGGTAGCTCTGCGGCTTAAGCATCTAGTCGAGCAGGTCGTCTGCTGCGAGCTGGAGGAGAGTCTCATTACAAAGGCCAACAGCACTGTTATCACCAAGGAGGTTATCCAGACTGCCAAAGAGGCCGGTGGAGAGCAGTACCGCGCCTGTGTCGTCTTCTGCCTGCTTGTCTGCGTGCGATGGTTCAAGATCCAGGCACTGGTCGAGCTCTGGGACTCTGATCTCCACGACCTGCGCGCTGTTGCGTGCGAGATCCTTGCTAAACGAGTGTATGCTGCCGGCCCCTCCCATTTTCACTGCCGTAGATGGAAAACATATATCTAACAATTCCGGTAGGATTGAGTCAGAGGACGACCAGGACTACCTCATGCTCGAGGTGCTCCTCAAGCGGTACTCGATTCTGCGAGATGGAGAGCCGACTTCGCCCGTAAACGTTATTGAGCGTGCAGTCGATCTCCATGCATTGACTGTGATCGGGTCGGCTGGATACCAGAAGTGCATCAAGTACTTGTGGCAGGGCTGGTTGTGTCAGGACGACCAAGATCCCACCAACTTCATCGAGTACAGGGAGAGGAACAATCCTTCCTACTGGTCCCATTTCAACCCAGACAGACTCAGAGCACCAGTCTACCAGAATGCCGTCCAGGTCTTCTTCTCCATCCTCTACCTTGTCCTCTTCACCATTGTGATTAACACCGTCAATCCGACTGGCGACCTAGACGTGGCAGAATGCATTCTCTATGGCATGACTCTAGGCTTCATTCTCGACGAAGTCACCAAGTTCTGGAAAATCGGCCGTTTCTACTTTGGATTCTGGAATGCCTTCAATTCAACCCTTTACTGTCTGCTCCTGGTCTCCTTCGTCCTCCGGATAGTTGCCTTGACTCATTCAAAGGATGTCGACAACGAAACACGTAACTACTACAACCAGCTGAGCTACAACTTCCTTGCCTTTTCGGCTCCGATGTTCTGGGGTAGACTGCTCCTCTACCTGGATACCTACCGTTTCTTCGGTGCAATGCTAGTGGTCCTGAAGGTCATGATGAAGGAGAGTTTGATCTTCTTCGCCCTCTTGGCCGTTGTCATCATTGGTTTCTTGCAAGGATTTGTTGGAATGGATCAGGCAGATCCCGACAGTAACATGACTGCTGTTGTGCTTCTTCAGGGAATGGCCAATACAGTCTTGCAGAACCCTTCGTTCGATGCGTTCCAGGCCTTTGCTCCACCGTTTGGTATCCTGCTTTACTACCTATTCACTTTCGTGGTGATGGTTGGTGAGTACTATCATTTCCTTCCCTAACAAATATAGTTATCCTGCTAACCTTCTTATAAAGTTCTGCTCAATATCTTGATCGCTCTGTATAACAGTGCCTATGAGGACATTACTGGTAACGCAATTAATGAATACATGGGCCTCTTTGCCCATCGAACCCTCCAATATGTCCGAGCTCCCGATGAGAATGTCTTTATTGCCCGTATGTAGCCTTCCTCACAACTCCGGGTTACTTTCCTATCCTTTCACCTAACTAACCAACCACCCAGCACTGAACTTGATCGAAATCGTCTGTCTTATCATTCCTTTCGAATGGTGGATGCCTTCTGACCGCTATGACAAACTCAACAACTACGTCATGGGCATCATATACTCTCCTCTCCTCTTAGTTACCGCATTGCTTGAATCAGCCAATGCTCAACGGATCAGACTCAACCGTCGTCTAGGCGAAGAAGACGACGACACCCAAGAAGAATGGGAAAATGCCGCTGAATCCGCAGGGTTTGACTTCAAGAGAATTGACGACCATCCTGACACTGGTGCCTGGGATGAGGTTGTTACCAAAACTAAGCCTAATGTTGAGGTCGACCAATGTGTCTTGGAAGTTAGAGAGCTAAAGGAACAGGTCAGACAACTCACTCAGTTGGTTAATACCTTGATGGAAAGGCAGGGCATTTCTGCCGCACCGGCAAATGAAGAAAGTCAGGCCAGCCAGGAGACGAACGGGAACGCGTAAACGAGGCTGTTGCTTATTCGCATTTTTCATGTCTTTTCCCTGTCGATTAATTATCCCAGTTTATGCGTCGTATACGAGTCTGCTAATTTTTTTGTAAATTTGTCTAATCTATGTTATTATTATCCCCGATATAGTATCGCTCATCCAGAAGGTTCCCGATAGAAAGTTGGGCCACTTGAAATCTACAGGAGCCGTAAATTTGGCGAATTATAATGAAGACACTTGCTATTATGAACAGTAAAGCTCTAGCTAATAGTAACTAGCAAATCTGAAATTGGATGTGCATGCAGATATGTAGATAGTAGATAAATAATATTGCCAGGAACTTGGGTAAGATTTGAATCATCAGGGTCATTAATATTACTCTCGGCAGAAATGAGAGAAACAAAAGCGAACGCCAGCCACCCACCCTTGAAAATGACGAACGCTTCAAGGAAGAAGAAGAAATTGCAATACCAGTGGTCAGTCACTGAGCTGAATGTCGGAAAAGATAACTTGCAAGGATATAGCTGAAAAGGAATGCAATGATTCAATCATCACTGGCCTGAATCGCCAGTGAATAGCCCTTCAAAGTCTAACTGGCTGATCATGCCATTGACATGATCTATTTCTTTATTCAAATCCGCAACATTTTGAGCAAGGCTGCTTGCCTCGTCGAATTTACGCCGTTTGTTGGCGTCGGCAATCATTTCCGAGACGAAAAACCTCTGTTCTTCAAGAACAATGAGCCGATCACGGAGTTCTTTCTCTTCCGCTTCAAGCGCTGAGAGTGCACTGCTGTTATTACTAGCTAGGCTAGTGGTGCTGCCACCCTGGTCTGGATTGCCGTATTTAATGGACGCAAGGGAACGGGGCTGGGCATTACCCTCGTTCATGCGCCTGCCATCTGAGGATGACGAATCAAAACTGAAATTCCTGCCGTGCGGAGTGGCATGCTTCAGGATTTTGGGAAGAGTTTTGAGCGGAAGCATATGCAGGTGGAGGAAGCTTGTGGCTTGATGGTATATTGCTTGTTGAAGTTTTGCTTGTGTTGGCGATTCTGTTGGGTGGTCACGAATGCGCCTTGCGGCTACATCGTATTGGGCAAAAGAGTCAATTAGCCTTTTACGGACTCTAGACGCCTCAGTTAGTTGAGCCGGTTCTGGAGGGTTATCGGGGTCTCTAGTTGTATATACAGTTAGAAAACAGCCACGGGAATTGTTGAGTTGAGGGAAAACGAACTGAAGAGCTGCTAGAATCTTGTGAAATCTCGGCAATAACAGCCTAATCCCTCGTTCGAACTGGACAAGGTTTTTATAAGCGCGGACATCCGGTGGTTCTTTGGCGATATCTTCCATGAAATCTCGTTTACTAAATATGGTGGTTTTGCAATCTTTGCATAATCGCACATCGAGGTTAATTTTATCTGGAGCCGGCTTTTCTGATAGTCGAGGTTGGGCTTTTGTGGTTAGTATGCACCAAATAAGAGCAAACAATAGTCAAACATACATTTGGTCACATCAAGGCTTATTAAAGAAGAACATTCAGTTGCCGGATCGCCACAAACAACCCTACCGCATGTTCTGCAATGGTGTCTTCGGAATATGTACGCAGAGAACTCCTGCTGACAAAAAGGGCAGTTGGAAACTTCCACATCATCTTGCCAACTGACGACAGACTGTTCGAGTGCTTTCCTCTGGTCTGTTTGCCAACCAATGGCCCATCTTTTAGACTGCACTTGTTCTAGAGGTAGCCCGGCAAGTAGTTGAGTTAGACGTGTCAATCTCTTTTCCAGCCGGGAGATTTCTAGGAAGGCTTTGTCAACTGTAGGTTTTCTAAGGGCCTTAAACGTATCCGTGTGGTCACGTTCCGCTCCTAAACAAATTTTAGCACTGGGAAAGTGTAAACCAGGCGGTAGTGCAATGTTTACCGGTAAAATCATTATAACCCTCTCGCGACTTGTAGCAGGTTTCACAGACGCGGCACCAAAACCCTCGTACTGGTTCGTGCTGAGCAGACCTCGAAAGCTTCATCTGATACATGGTGTGATCCTCGCAGAATAGACGGCCACATTTTCTGCAGTTGATACAGCCATTTGTTGCGGTAAGCCTTTTCTCACACATGGGGTCCAGGCAAACATCATTAAGTGACCATTGCTGCCAGTGAGACTTCGTTATCAGGTCATCAGGGTCGATAGGTTTAGCGGCCTCGGAAACCGAGCTTTCAGCGGTGGGTCGTGTTGACGGTGGTAAAAGTTGAGTGTTTTGGTTAGATTCAAAGACTTCCAGGCCTTTCAGCTTCTGGTTGAGTACAGCAAGTGGTTGAAATCGTTTGGCCTTTTCGACCTGTGTCTGGAACCAGTCCTTCACTTCCACTTGCTGCTCATCTTCGAGATTCCGATGTTCGTCATCGAGATGTCTGGGATGAAGGAGTGAGTTTCACGTGTCGGAGTAGCAGGTAAGGCATGCGTAATTACCTATTCAGCTGTAAGAGTGTCACCTATGAGAGTATCAGTACCCAGGCAATCCAAAAGACATAAAAGGAGACACAAGGTATCTTACCATCCCTTCGTTGCAGATAGGGCAAACCAGCGCCCCAGTGCTGCGGGAAGCCTTGGCTATGGACGAATCTCCATTTTTTAGAAAGACCCTCGAGGATAGATCCTGTGTATCAGACGATACCTGCGAGTTAGAGGTCTGGGAAGCCAAAGAGACACTGCTAGCAGACGGCGATATCGCATTCGATGAGCTAGTTTTGGGCAGTGGTTTTGGCGGAGCAGGATTTATCGACCGTCCACTACCTAAAACTCTGCCCCCGCCTATAGATCGGTTAGGCATGGTCTGCGGAGGGTTGTAGAGAGCAACAGCTTGCCCTCACGCATGCTGGTGCGGCTGTATCGAACGGCTTGACGGTGAGCAGGCACTTATGATGCTGCTTCGCCCTTCGTTCCCAAAAAGTCAAAATCGTCTTTGCCCCATTGTTTCGACTTATGTAATCAGGATTATGGGCCCATTTGACTCGGGATGCTGAGATAAGCGGATTTCAATCTTCCCATTGGCTCCCGATAATCCGAAAACCTAACTTTATTTCAACTCACCAGCCTCATTATGTAATCGATGATGAAGCCACGAAAAGTCCAAGTTGCGTTTTTGTCATTGAAAAGGAGCTGCTGCTATTTCTACCATCTTCGGCCTCGCGAACCACCTCCATACGCTTAACATCCGGCGCCCTTATGATACGGATGTGGACGATATAGACGATCTCTCTTGAATTTTCTTTATCTGCTGTCCCCCCCGGCCATTAATAGACATTTTAATGTAATTTACTGGTTCCGCAGAGACACATGTCAGCTCGAGTCCACCCATATGTGAGTTCCAACCCCCGGGGAAAGAAAGCAGCATGTTGCCTAACTAACTGTCTGGTTTCACAGGTCTAAACTTATAGATAACCCGCAGATTCAATCTGCGGCTCTCCGAAACCCCTTGCCGGTCCAATTCCGCATCTACGTTTGGCCATTTACGATATTATGGCCGGTTTTTCTTGCCTTCTACCTTTCTCCAGAACGATATGAGGCATACATTCAGGGCCCTGAGTGGGCTGCTTTATGGACTGGATCTATCGCGACCCTACAAGCTCTGCTATGGTTAATGACGAAGTGGAACATCAACATTGACGCGCTCTTCACTACCATACCTGCCAAATCCGTCAACGAGGCAGAGCTTATCAAAGTCATCCCGGCTGCAAACGCAGGATCTGCAGAGATTTGCAAGCTTGTAAAGGACAATATTGGAGGAACCGAGGTTGTCTCATTTTTGTTCCAAAAGAGACGCTTCCGTTACAATCTGGAGAAGGGGTGTTTTACCCCCTTACAGTATGTTCTTGATACTGAACCAAAGCCAACGCTGGGATACTTCCAGGAATCTCGCGGTCTTACTTCGCTTGCCAAAGTTGATGATGTTCAACAGCATTATGGAGACAACACCTTTGACATTCCGGTGCCCACCTTTGTAGAGCTCTTCAAGGAACATGCGGTTGCTCCATTTTTTGTCTTTCAAGTATTCTGTGTGGGCCTCTGGCTTCTGGATGAGTACTGGTACTATTCGCTGTTTACCTTAGTTATGTTGGTGGTATTTGAGAGTACTGTGGTATGGCAACGACAGAGAACACTTACGGAATTCCGAGGCATGAGCATCAAGCCTTATGATATCTGGGTTTTCAGAGATAATACATGGGTCGAAGTGAGCAGCGAAAAACTCCTTCCAGGAGACCTAGTGTCAATCAATCGGACTAAAGATGATAGTGGGGTTCCATGCGATATATTACTTGTATGGGGAAGCGCTATCGTTAACGAAGCCATGCTTTCTGGAGAGAGTACCCCTCTACTTAAGGATTCTATCCAGTTACGACCAGCCAATGACCGGATTGAACCAGATGGCTTAGATAAGAACTCGTTCCTATACGGAGGCACTAAGGTCCTGCAAATCACACATCCGAATGCGCAAGCTGGGCAAGAGAATGGCTACCAGCCCTTAAATGGGGCATCTGCCGCACCTGACAATGGTGCCCTTGGAATCGTTATCCGTACTGGCTTTGAAACCAGCCAGGGGAGCCTTGTTCGAACAATGATATATTCCACGGAACCTGTTTCTGCTAACAATGTGGAAGCATTCATGTTCATCCTCTTCCTCTTGATCTTTGCCATTGCAGCCTCTTGGTATGTTTGGGTTGAAGGCGTTGCTCAAGATCGAAAACGATCCAAACTTCTTCTCGATTGTGTTTTGATTATCACCAGTGTCGTACCCCCAGAGCTTCCAATGGAACTGAGCCTTGCCGTCAATACCAGTCTCGCGGCTCTCAGCAGATTTGCAATCTTCTGTACTGAACCATTCAGAATTCCATATGCTGGACGCGTTGATATTGCTTGCTTCGATAAGACCGGGACTCTCACAGGAGAAGATCTAGTGGTTGATGGTATTGCGGGCCTGACTCTTGGCCAAACCGGGGTACCCACAGACAAATATGGGGCACACACGACAGTCGCCAAAGTTACTGATGTACATGACAACACGACCCTCGTCCTGCCCTTGTGGCACGCACTAGTAAAGCTTGACGAAGGCGAGATCGTTGGTGACCCAATGGAAAAAGCGCTTGGCCAGAATGATACATTGACAAGCAAAGCTGGTTCCGCTGGAAGAACAGGCGACAATCTACTTGAATCAGTTAACATTAAACGAAGATTCCAGTTTTCTTCAGCATTGAAGCGCCAAAGCACTGTTGCTATTGTGAACATTCTCGACAAACGTTTATCCAAGCGGTCCAAAGCTACCTTCGTTGGTGTCAAGGGAGCCCCTGAAACCATAAGCACCATGCTTGTGTCCACTCCTCCGTATTACGAAGAAACGTTCAAGCATTTTACCCGCAATGGTGCAAGGGTCCTTGCATTAGCATACAAATTCCTTTCCGACACCGAAATTGGACAAAGTCGCATTAACAACCTGAAGCGTGAAGAGGTTGAGTCGGGATTGCATTTTGCTGGGTTCCTAGTATTACAATGTCCGTTAAAAGACGACGCTATCAAAGCCGTGCGAATGCTCAACGAGAGTAGCCATCGAGTTGTCATGATTACCGGAGACAATCCTCTGACTGCCGTTCATGTAGCGAAGAAAGTGGAAATTATCGACCGCGAAGTTCTCATTCTTGATGCCCCTGAACATGATACCAGTGGCACAAAGGTCGTATGGCGAAGTGTGGACGATAAATTCAGCGTTGATGTTGACCCCTCCAAACCAATCGATCCATCTATCCTAGCCGAGAAAGATCTATGCGTTACTGGATATGCCTTGGAAAAGTTCAGAGACCAACCAGGTCTCCTCGACTTAATTCGATATACCTGGGTATACTCCCGAGTGTCCCCCAAACAAAAAGAGGAGATACTGCTCGCTATGAACGAAGCTGGATACACTACCTTGATGTGTGGTGACGGTACCAACGATGTCGGAGCCTTGAAACAGGCTCATATTGGTGTCGCCCTACTAAATGGAACGCAAGAAGACCTCAATAAAATCTCTGAGCACTTCAGAAATACAAAAATGAAGGAGATTTATGAAAAGCAAGTGCAGCTGATGCAAAGATTCAACCAACCGGCTCCGCCCGTCCCAGTTCATATCGCCCATCTGTATCCACCTGGTGCGAACAACCCTCATTATGAGACGGCCATGTTGCGTGAAGCCCAAAAGAAAATCGCAGCTGGAACAGCACCTTCAGATGCCAATGGGGTACCAACTATTACATCTCCTGGAGCCCAAGCGTTACAACAGCCTGATGACACCAACTTAACTCCTCAGCAACGAAAGCAAAAGCAAGCATCTCTTGCTGCTTCGTCCCTGGCTGATAAGTTAAGCGCCTCCATGATGGAAGGGATGGATGAGGACGAACCGCCGACTTTGAAACTCGGCGATGCGTCCGTTGCTGCTCCTTTCACGAGTAAATTGGCAAATGTCATTGCTATCCCGAATATTATTCGACAAGGACGTTGCACTCTAGTTGCCACAATTCAGATGTATAAAATTCTTGCACTAAACTGTCTAATCAGTGCCTACAGCTTGAGTGTCATTTACCTTGATGGCATTAAATTCGGAGATGGACAAGTCACTATCAGTGGAATGTTGATGAGCGTGTGCTTCTTCTCCATATCTCGCGCAAAAGTATGCCTCGGAAACCTTACCCCATTTTCTTTCTGATATGATATCCCCGCTGACACTACAATAGGCAGTCGAAGGACTATCGAAGGAACGACCCCAACCGAATATTTTCAACATATATATCATGGGATCAATTCTGGGCCAGTTCGCGATCCACATTGTTACTCTGATTTACATTTCACAATACGTATACTCCATCGAACCGTAAGTTCCCCATCGCGGTTTTTACCCCTACATATGTAGGTAAACTTCATTCTAACCGAGCAAAATTAGACGCAAGGAAAAGATTGATCTGGAGGGCGAATTCGAGCCGTCACTTCTTAACAGTGCCATCTATCTGCTACAGCTTATCCAGCAAATTTCCACATTCTCAATCAACTATCAGGGCCGGCCATTCAGAGAGTCCATTCGTGAAAATCGCGCTATGTACTGGGGACTCGTGTTAACCTCGGGTGTAGCGCTGTCTTGCGCGACCGAATTTATCCCAGAGCTCAACACTAAACTCAGACTGGTTCCATTTGAACCTGGATTCAGGGTCAGGCTCACACTGACCATGATCTTGGATTACGTTGGTTGTTGGCTTGTGGAGAACATACTGAAGACCAACTTCAGTGACTATAAGCCAAAGGCTATTGCCGTGAGGAGACCTGACCAACTTGCCGCCGAAGAAAAGAGGAAGCAAGAAGAAGAAGAGGACAAGGAAAAACAGAAAGAAGCCGAGAAGAGCACATAGATGTCATAGGATCATGTCAACCTCTTCATTTTTCCCCCTCCGATGACTGTTACTCAGTACGTCGCCTTCATATCATGCTTCAAACAGGGTTGAAGAAGAAAAGAAAAGAAGCAAAAATTTTGTGTTATGAGTGAGGGAAACGGGGAAGGAAAAAAAAAAAATATGATAAGTACGGTTTTCTCTTGATAAATGGTCAATTTTGCATGTTTATAATTGGGTTGCTCTCGCTTTTTTTTTTTTTTTTTTTTTTTTTTTTTTTTTGTAGTTGGTTCCTTTGTGTCCCCGGCTTTCCGAAGGAGGCGTTCAGCTCAGGCGGTGATAAAGGGGATAAAAATAAAGGATCCGTGGAATCAGTCTCATCAGCACATCACTTTCCAGCCTTTCCAGAAACATGGAAACTCCGTTTATGGTCAATAGTATCTAGCGAGGATACGAGGGAAGATCAGCTAAGTACCTGCAAGCAACCGCTTCCAAGATATTTGACTGAATATCTGCTATGTTGTTTTCAGCCCTGCTTCGGCAACTAGTCAGCCGCTCCCTCCGTGGTTAGCTATGATATCGGCGCAGCTCTCTGTGTAACTAGGCAGTTACTTTGTTGCGTACCAGGCCATTCCTTCACAGTAAAAGCAATTATCTATATTTCGTACGTTCCAGTCCTAAATGATAGAATTCATGCCACGCGTCTTGGAAAGGCGACCAAATCGCCTACCGGACGTTCTTCGATCACATCCGTACCTGACAGGAGAATAGCACAATATTGAAATTGAAATCGAAATTGAAATGTGATAGGCACAATAACGGGAAATGATATTGAATAGATCGACCGTTCTAAACGTTACACTGCTTAAGGGGATGTTGTACCAGCCGGATGAAGCACCCAGACCCATTGGCTGTAATACTCCTCCGGAAAGAGGTCGAGCAGGATGAAGCAAGACAAAAATAACGTCTCGTGCCCTTTCTTCAATATATACATAGGGAAGTATATGCTGTACAAGAGCTGACAAATGGGGCACCAATCTCCTGGCTACCAGAGAGCGAGCTAGGGGAGCCAAGTACCCATATGTTCAATTTGAGCGCTCAGCATGGTGCCTAATGAGGCGACTTGCCTCTCAGGCGTGGTGCACCCGGTATGATGTACTCTTTGTGTGCCAATAATTTGTCTTGAATCGACACCTCCGAGTATTCCGTTCTGTGCAATTGAGGCTTGCTCATCACAAATTTGATCCTACCAGAGGCAGAAGACACAGGAAAGACATCTTTCATCGTGGTGTCAAGACGTCGAGACTCGAACCGCGGTCAGTGGCCTTTGTCCGAGTGGTTCCTGGCCGTAAACTCCGCTCCCAAAGGAGACCCTGTAATTTGAGTATCGGCCTTCTGCAACTAGGCATTTTGGATTCGACAACACATGCGTTGTCATATGGTTCCTTTTTCCCCATAGTATAAGCTGTATCCGGATGTAGATGGCGCATTGCGTGAGTTTTCCCTGTAAAAGAAGACATGGTGGGTGTCCCAGAAACGCTACCACCGGAGGTTGAGGGCCGGGGTGTACCGGTACCGTAGTTCTCTTTCGAATAGGACGTTTTGCCAGAACGTAGCTGAGATGCAGAAGCAACAGTCTTGCTATCACCCCCAGAAACTGAAAGCTCATAGAACTCATTGACTGTTCCGGCCATTAGCCCAGTTCGGAGGACAGCCAGAAGTCGTTTTAGGTTTGGAATGCAAGTGGCCACGATTGAAACGCAGAGGATGGCCTGCATCCAGATAGTTGGCATAACGGCTAGCCATGATCTCTCAGATGCAGAGGAAGCGAAGTAGGAGCGTGATGTAATGGTCATCACAATAGTAAAAGATGGGACACTATTTGTAGTTTCATGTTAGCCCGGTGATCCTCTTCTAGTCGACGATTATCGAGGCGCTCTCATCCATCTCTCTGTCTCAATTTCCAGCTGACTTACATCAGTCTCATGCCAAAAAGAGCAGCAATAGCAAGTTTTTTGATGCATGGTATTTGCACCTGGGATACAAATAAAAATGGAAGAAGGACCAGCGCGAAATCTGTAATCATGCTTCCTATATTAAGGCCAACATGTAGGGCGTATTGGTTGAGCCAGCAATTTTCACCTGATTTCCATGGTTGAGCGAACCCGCACTGCAGTGAAAGGGATAAAACACCCGCCAACCCCCAGAGGGCCAAAACCCCGAGGAGAATGCGGCACATCGATAGGATGCATTTCAATGGCTTGATCGAAATGAGAAGTAGAGTAATGGAGGCCTTTGAGCATGCCAGTGAAGCAAGGGCCAGTATCTGACTGATGTATATAAGCTACTCGACCGAAGGACATGTCAGTAATCCGTTCAGCGAGTATGCGCAAAGCAGAGGGAGGAAACATTTTCATACAATTTCAAACCCTTCCATTGGCATATGCCGGAGGGCACTTGGCTTCCGCCCCAGACCTCGTAAACAGGCAAAGTTTATGCATATTCCCTCAGCGGTTGACAAACACTTTTCCGGTCAGTATTAAGTGCGTCTTCTTGAAAGAAGGAGGAATATTGTCCCCGGGTAACCAGAAGGGAGGATGCATACAGCAGCAAAAAGCAGGAACCAGTCGCTCCATGCCAGTGTTCTGAGAACCCTGAACCGCGCGATGAGTGTTGTTGCCGTCACGGAGACGGTAATGATCATGAACAAACAGGTTGATACGATGACCCACGGGCTGTGGTTCTCGGACGTCGGCTGTATAAAAGGCTGATAGAGCGGGTCTACACTCCGTTTAGACATCACGACCCATATATGATGGATATCAAGCAATTCTTCCGTAGTTTAGGGGACACAGTCAATAGGTTTGCACAGGCGCTGCACTAACCCTTCGTACTGGTGGAATAGAGCTGGATATATATCGTTGTTCGATGTCCGAATCCGACTCTGAATTGAGCCATATCATCCCTCCGACACCAGCAGCATGACGGTTTTCTTTGAAGCATTTAAAAGTAGAGGCGAAGCGGCGTAGATCCCTCGGCTAGGGACCCAGAAGATCCGCAACGATAGAGTTGCATCTGTGCCTGAGCCGCGCCGCTGAGATTTCAACGACGACCAGGAGAACTGGTCGACTGGTCACTTTTCCTGTGAAATGTGCTCCCATCACTAGCGTCAGGATAGGCATCTCGCTCCTCACTTTTCTCCTGGTCTTCTTTTGCTTCTTCTCTAGTTCTTCTTGTCCCCTGTGCTCCAGGGCATTTGCTTCTTCCTGCGGGAGGTCGGAGCTGGAGACCAAGTGCAACACATCTCCCGTAACCACCAGCAATCGCAGACGATCCAGGCATATGTAACTGGCCGGCATTTCGCACATCTCGCACATCTCATGCCAGAAAAGCCCTTTCAACGGCGCCACTTTGTTGACCACCTTTGTCTCCTCCTCGAAGCCCCGACATGGGCATGGTCGCCATGGCTTTGTTTGTGTAGCCATCCCAGTCCAAGTTTGGCGGGCGATCCATCTGATATTCCCAACTCGCAGCCAACTTGGAAGAGCCGGAGTTGCTCGTTCTGAGTGGGAGCATTGCCCCTGCTGTGGCGCTTCCAATAAGCGAAGCGAGCTTCTTGACTTCGTCACCTTCAGGATCCTTCAGGTGCTTTTTGGTTATCCTGATTCTGGCCCGTTTGCCCCTGAGCAGGTAAACTCTAGTCGAGGAGGCCACAACGTTTAACGGGGGGTGATAAATGGTATCGTGCCACTGGCATCAAGTCGCAGAGTATCTCGTCCCGTACCGAGTAACGAAGTATTCGTTACTTAGTTACTCGACCAGGGGCGCCGTGAAGCTTGGGGAAAATGTTGCCTGCCGCAAAAGCAAACATGGATTTTATATCCTGCAGCTCGTGTCTAGCCCAAGGCAGACGATGTTACCAGTCGACTCACGATGCCAAAGAACGATGCCCATGTTTGACATCCAAACGAGACGGTGCTCTTTTTCTTTGTGATGGACAAAAAGATGGATCACACAGCATCTAATCAAAAGTCAGCTCCTGTTCTCCTTTTTCTCTGTGCCTTTCCCCTCCCTCCCTCTCTCCTTTTCTTTCATTCTACTCTCACGGCTCCCATGCACCGTCTTCCTCTGCTTCTTCCTCCTATCTACTGCTTCTTTCTGTCGTTTCTGGATACCTTTTTCTGGGGGTTAGATACAAGTCTATCCACTGTCCTCGTCCCTTGATATCCTCTCTTTTCTTTGCTACTTTGACCCTTCTAACCGGCCCCTTTTGATAGCCCTCCCTTTGAGAATGGACGGGAATAGTCTCACTTCCTTGGACAGGAAGGAGGGCTACTGTCTGAAGCCGTATGGCGGCAATTCAGAGAAAGGCATCAAACCGAAAACAATGGCTGAGCCAGGCTCTCCGGCCGCTGCTGCTGCTGGTAACCAAGCTGCCGCAGACCAGTCGAAAGTGAAGGTGATTTACCCCCTTAGGGCCTGTCTTTCTATCTGGCTAACAATAAATCTACTAGCAACTTTTCAATTTCACTCAAATTTTCTTCTTCTCCCTGACGTTTATGTCCAGTTGGGAGTCGATGGCCCTGTATGTCCATTAACATGGCTCAAATTATTCTGCATGATATCTGCATAAACTGACTCCACTACTATGATTGCTTTTCCTTCAGAAACTTAACTGCTGTTTTTACCAATGGTGGCCCTCGAGCTCTGGCTTGGGGTATTATTGTCGTCGTCGCCGGTGGGTTGGCCCAGTCCGCCTCTATGGCAGAGATGGCTTCCATGCAGCCCATTGCTGGCGCTCAATATCACTGGACTCATTATCTAGCTCCTCAGAAGCACAGAAAGTTTATTACTTGGATGCAAGGTATGTATATCTCGCTCTGTCACTCATTGTTCTATTACTATTTTATGTCCAGGGGCGTTGTCCACTAACATATTGTATATAGGTTGGATTACCTGGTTTGCCTGGGTGTCACTCCTTGCTGGCGTGGCCAACACAACGGCCACTATGATCCAAGGTCTAGTGACTGTGAACTTCCCTGACTATCAGCCTGAGAGGTGGCATCTTACATTCATCATTTTTGCCATGTTGATCGTCGAAGGGTTGATGAACATGTACACCTTCTGGCTGATTCCCTGGGTCGAACTTCTGGCCGGAATCCTACACGTGGTTCTTTTCATTGTCTTTGTCGTTGTGCTTGTGTCTATGGCTCCTCGCCATACCCCTGGATGGGTTTTTGGAGACCACTCATCCTCCTCCGGATGGAACAACGAATTCATTTCTTGGAATTTAGGCTTGCTCACTCCCACCTGGGGCTTTGTAGGTAGGGTAAGCCCTTTGCCCACTAATATCTGCAGGCAGATACTAACGGATACTTGCATCAGGTTTTGACGGAGCAGTCCACATGAGCGAGGAAGTCCGTCGAGCAAAGCAGGCTGTCCCCAGATCTATGGTCTGGACTGTTGCAACAAACGGGGTTCTTGCATATGCAATAATAATTACTATCCTTTTCACCATGGGTCCCATCGACGGCGTCTTGAAGTCAAACTTCCCCATTATCGAAATATGTCGACAAGCTACCGGCTCTGTGAAGGCTGCAACAGCCATGGTATCTGGTCTGCTCATAATTTCTCTTGCTGTTAACCTTGCCAGTATTGCATCGACTTCACGTCTTACTTGGGCGTGGTCTCGAGACGGAGGTCTCCCAGCCTGGTTCTCAGTGGTAGGTATTATCCTGCGTTGTTCCATTTTGTATCTCCATACTGACCATAGTACTGCCAGATCGATCAAAGACACTGTGTCCCCGTTCGTGCTGTTTGGCTTTCTATTGTCATCGTCATGGTGCTCGCTTGTCTAAACATAGCCAGTACTACTGCTTTTGGCGCCTTTATTGCCCTCTCAACCATCGGACTGTTTAGCTCCTACTTCATTGCAATTGGCTGCATGGTAATTGCGCGTTTCTCCCTGGATCGCCCCTTGGAGCTCGGAGAGTGGAACATGGGCCGATATGGCCTGGCTGTCAATATATTTGCGATGTTTTACACTGCATATGTGACGATCTGGCTACCATTCCCCTCTCTACTGCCAGTTAGTGCGCAGAACATGAATTATTCATTGCCCATTTTCGCCTTTAGCACGTTGTCTGCGATCCTGTACTGGTTCATCAGGGGTAAGAAACACTGGGCTGGCCTGAATAAAGAAGTTATCCGGTTGGTCGTTGAACGAGGTGAGCTGAGTTTGATCAGCTGAGAAGACAATCTCCTCCATCTGCCATCTCCTTTATTTCCAAAAATTTCCTCCCTCTCGGCTGTTGACGGCCGTATACCTTTCTGAATGTTTATTTTGCTGTGGTCTTTTATAATCCACCTTCAGACAGAGCTTCAGGGTTGCTTTATTTACCTTCGGTTATAACTTAAGACGATTAACAAGTACATACATACTCGCGAAAACTAAAGGAGTTGGAGCTATTGATACTTACAAGCATAGTCTATTCACTACTTTTTTAGTTTAAAATGATATCCATTTATATTTATGTTCAGGAGAGCCTATCAACAATATACCTTACCACCACCGGGCAGAGAAGGTATAATCGAGTCCAAATTGGCAAAAGTCTTTTTACCATTTAGCCTCCTTTCGTGCCAGGAACTCATTTAGGATTGCTACTCTTTTCTCCAAGGCACAAATCTCCTTTTTCATCGCTGCGTGTATTTTTTGCTCATCGCTACCGAGTTTCGCATAGAAATCTTTCCTGTACGGAGTTGCCGACATGGCAGCACTGAAAATAGGCTTAACCACGAAACTATGATGTGGTTTTAAGGTGTTGGTATACGCTTCTCGGAAAGAGGAAGCTAGTTCTTCGCTCTCCATAGAGAGGTTCCTGCTGAAAGCTTGGGCGGTGAAGTCAAGGCCGCTGTACGTATTTCCATAGTAAGCAACTTGGCTAGATGTATGAAGGCTTTTCAAGCACCGGGAGTAATTACCGAATAAGCCAGACTAAGCCTTCAGTGGCTTTGTGTTGCTTGGTCTTCAGTTCGTTGAGAACAAGGGCCTGGAGAGTTTCAGACTCCGCAGGGGCAGCAAGTTGGCGGTCTCTAATTTTCTATATCATAACGCAATCTCTCGTGAGTTATCTGTTCTTAAAGGAGCCTTCCTGCAAGTGTAAATCAGGGGCACACCTTGATGTTTCCCAGCAAATCATTCTTAACAGGGGTGAAGGCGACAGAACCGAGGATATCTAGAGGTCGAAAACATTGCATAATTAGTATATACCGTTATTGGGCATCTCTGGCAATGGGATAATTACCAAATAACTTAACAAGGGACTCAGCGGCTTCGAGAAACTCGGTGGTTGAGATGGCATTGTCGGAGGATTCGTCAACCGGGACGTCCTCGAAGGACCTCTTCATGGTGTCCAGCCATGTGCCACCTTCTGGGATTGTAGCGGTAGTAGCCATGGTGATGGACACAGCCTTCGATTCAAATTGAAAGGAGAGCAGCAAATTCTTCCTCTAATTTTTCTGGTGGCAGAGGAGGTTCACGGAGGATGGAGAATGAAGGTACACGCGAAATCTGTAGTACAGAGCAGTCGACTATCTCCGTCCCCACCGCCCATCCCCCTTAATGGCGGGGCGTCTAAATCCAAGACACTGACTGATATTACGTCAGCCAAACATGCAAACATTGCAAACTGACTGGAAGCTCGGGCCAGCTGTGGTATTTACTGTTCTAGCCTGGTTACGTCATAGGCAGAACCCTAAATCCTTATTTCGATGCCAAGTTTGTTCCGACCCAGGATTCAGCTACGACAACAACGACGGTCATTGGGAAAATGCCGCGTTAGTGGTAACCGCCGATGCCTCGCAGAAGCCCCTTGTGACCTAAGATTGCCGTGGCCAGCTATGGGGAAATGGATTCCACTGGTCCACCAAGTGAGCAGCCAGTTCCAACCGTCAGTCGTCAGTCTCGCTCCCGAGACGACCATGACACCTTGGAACGTGGTTCCTTCACCGCACAGAAATTGGTATGCAAAGCCTCGATATAAAGTATAGACAGACTCTAACGTCTTGAGACCACAGCAACATGGATCGCCAGAGCACCTACATGTCACGAATCGACGCTTCTTCATAGGGCCATTGCCCAAGGGCTGGGGCCAAAACCGCAGGAGGCATTGGTATAAATCATGTCTTGGGATCAGAGATTATTCGTCTCGTAACCAAACATTCTCCGCAGATATGTCTGTTGGATACCAGCGCAAATCAACTCGATTCATGGGTCTTTCTTCAACTACGCGATTCAAGCCGAGCTTCCCACAACCAGATGATGTCGAAGTCGAAGTCGAAGACCAAGACGAGGAACAAGACGAGGACCACGACCAAGAGAATGGAATCCAACAACAACCACCTGTAGAGAATGGCCAAACGGCAGGAGGTAGTCAAGTGGGATCAAGGGTAATCAGATCAATAGACGCTGGTCGTGAAGCCCAGCGCAGGGACGAAGACGCGGGATACTTTGGTCTCTCCCACCCGAATATAAAACGTATACAAGATCAACAGCGACCTAGGAATAGTCCTCTCGCTACGAATTCCAGCCTTGTTGTACGAATGTCATCCGACGATAACGTGCCCGAAGCCTATTTTACCGCCCCTGACACTGAACCGCAGTCGACAACTCCTAAGGCCAACCCTATGCCACAAGATAACACCAAGTCACAAAACCGAAAGAGTACAGAAAGCGGGCAGCCGCAAAGTTCCTCCTCGTTACCATATCGAAATAGTTATGCAACCACTGGTACATCAGCCATATCTACTACCGATGGGCAAGGTTTAGAAACAGATGTTGGATCACTATCATCTTTGATACCCCATAATAAACCGCCACCATCTTCCACTCCAAGAGAGAGGAGGCAGCCAAAACCTCAACAACTCGCGTTACAGCCTCAAGAGCCTCGAGGAGAAGCTGATCAGACAGAAGCCGAATTGGCTGAGTCTCAACAACCTAGCAAGCTTATTAACCGTGTTATATCTGACCGAGTCCGCTTTGGAGTAGAGGAGAGGATTGAGAATGGACAACGCCGTCTACAGAACCACCTTCGCCTATCCGATGATTCCAGGACCAATAGGAAACAAAAACAACAGGCTCGTCGATATGGAGAAGTTCTTAGAGCAGAAAAAATGCTAGTGCGGATCGATGTCACTGCTCAAACTGTGCCCAATCTCTATAACGATAATGCCAGCCTTAAAATTGAAACACGACCTGTCGAAAACTGGAGGGAGTATCTTGTAGTTTGCCGACAAGGCTACGACGAGCAAACACCATACTTCTCCAGTTCTACAAAACGCGTGTGATACCCCAGGTTCAGGGTGCTAAAGTCAAGAGAAAATATGCACATGAGGTTAAACTTTCCCAGGGACAAGCCAACGTAAATCTATTCTCTACTTTGGACAAGACGGTTGTTGTGTGGCATCCTACAAAGATGGATGGTACTCGTATTTTCATTATGCGAGCTCGAGCGGCCGCACATTCGGTGGAATGGTATACCTTCATTCGAAAGGTCTTGGGCTGGAAACAACCCTCCAGCCTATTCGTCCACGCACCTGATCTTGATGTTTCTCTTGTTCTACAGAACCCGTTTGAGCGGTTTGCAAAGGATAACTATGACGAGAATGAAGGAACTCTGTTAAATTCAATGGGCGAGGAACAAGCCGTATCTACGGGAATAATACGCACTTGCATGGACACACTCACCGAAGGTTCTGAATGGTCTCAGATTCTTGATATATGGAAGAAGTCTGAGAAGATGGGCTTAGCATGGCGGAGGTATGACCGGATAGAGTGGATTCAAGGAGGGAATGAGGAGAGAATGTATGGAACAATGGCTATGAGAACTTCACACGATTTGGAACTGCGCCCGAAGCGGCATTATCCAACTTCCACGGCTGTGGATCCATCTGAACCCCTGATGGAGGAACCTTCTCCAATCGAAGGGTTTTTAATTCTCCTCACATCCCAGCAAGGCACCCACCGGCGCTGGGGAAAGAACTTCTCCAAGCGTTTATATTTCTATAGCGAGGACCAATACCTCTGCTTTTGCAAGCCAACAAAGGCATCTATACCTCCAGCCCCAAAACGTCCCAGTGTTCCCGAAGCTGGGTCTTCCACTGCACCTGAAACAATCAGAGGCACTCCTGTTATGTATACGGTTGACCCATATCCAGTTAAAAATGGCCGGATTTCATGGCTACATGACGGAGGTAATAAATCATATGCTAGGTACTGTGACCAAGCCGCATACACAGAGAATCGCCGAAATACAAATAACCTTAGCCAAACGGAAGGATATTTCAATTTAGGCCGAGTAACTGAAATAAGAACTGTATCAGAGACGGAAAGCACAGGAACCCAAAGCAATGGAACAAATCTTGGGACTCAGCGCTCTATTACAAACCGTGCTACTACCAGCAGTTTCTCTCATAGTGACAACGATCACGTATTTGAGCTTGAACTTGATGATGGGCTTGTGGTTAGATTACGTGCCTATAATACTGAAACCCGAGATGCTTGGATCCATAGGTTGCGCCAATTGACTACATACTGGAAGGCTCGGGTCAAGGCTGACATCAACATATTGAAGTCTATTCGACAACGCAACCTGGAAAAACTTGATATAGATGAGGAGCAGGAATCTGTGATTGGACAATTTGCACAAAAATGGGAAGTTGCTCGGGCAGACGCCTCACCGGAGCTCTTCAATGTTTGTGGCCCATCCGGATGCCGGGCGATCAAGGTATGTTTGACGTATCTACGATTGGCTGTGAACTTCGTGCTCAAGCTAACAACGCTATGCCCAGATATCCGGCCACCTCTATCGCAAACCGCGCAGACGGGGCTCGTTTTCGAAATGCAGTGTTATACTTGCTGAAGGCCAACTGCTCATTTTCCAGGGCTCTGTTAGGACTTTTTCAGGAGAACAAGTACCTCATACGCATCAGTCTAGGCAGACCATTCTCGACCTACGGGATTGCTACCTATATAGTGGTATCATTACTAGCTCCGACTTACTATACCACAGCCAGACCTTTGACAACAATCACCCAAGCCATAATTCAACACCACGCATATACCCATCTGATGGTTGGACATCGGCCGATGAGGATACAGCAACAACTTTTGTCATCTGGAACAATACCCGCCGAGTATTGTTCCATGGGGAAGAAGAGAGAGATGGAAACCAGAAGACGCGAAGATGGAGACATGTATCTCGCCTAGGTACATCAGGCAGATCAATCGTATTTAAAGCTCGAAGTAGAGCAGAAAGAGATCTGTGGGTTCTGGCTATCGAGACGGAGATCGACCGGCTACAGCAGCAGGAGGATATGAGAATTGTACCAGAAAAGTGATTTTTTAACCTCAGCGGACTCCTTATTTTTATCAAGACTGTATTAGTTTATAGAGAGCGTTCTTTTTTCGGTGTGATTTTGCGCTAGTTTGGAATATGGAAAATAGGAGCATTTTGCTGAGTTCTGTCAAATTAAAGAGTATTAATTCTACAATGTTTTAGACTGAGTTCCGGTGTCCTGTATCTATCCCATCGCTGAATTTCAAGGGCAGGGTCAAATATTCACCACTTGTCTTTAGATAGTAATAGATCATTTTGTTTAAATAAGTGTACACGGAATCGTGGCTAGCTTAAAGACAAGATCAGGGGCCAAAGACGGCTTCTACTTTTAGAGCCAAACAAAACTACCTCCGTATTATGCTCCAGCTTTATCCTCCCATCCTCACATGATGGAATTGGGTTTCTCGTCAAACTGGGAAAGACCCTCCCGCAAAGTCCGGAAGTGAATGTGTGGAAAGAATTTCTCTTTATGTGCCTTAGCTTTGTCCTGGGGGATTGCACATGCTTGGCTAATTGATAGAAGATAATAGTCGGCCAAAATTAACGTATCCTCATCCTTGGCTGCTTTGATCATATTGGCGGTGGCGTGAAGCGAAACATGCTCAATCGGCATATCAGGGCGATATTTTTCCTTGATAAGCGCGGCCATATCATTCCAACAGCTTCGTTCCCCTGACATGAAAGTATAGGGCTCCCATGAGCCAGTGGGTGCTTGTATCAACGAGGCGAGCCCTTTGGCAACGTCCCTTGCCCATGTAAAATCAACGGGCTCATTCCCAGTTCCGGGAATTACAGCCTTGTTGGCTTTCCAGTTAATAGGGTGGCACTCATCGATATCTTTGATGTAACGATTTTTACTCGGCACAAAATAGTCTGCTAGCCAGCCGATGCACACCAGCGTCCACTCTAAATTCGTCTGGTTTCGCAGCGTCTCACGAACAGGCTCGTGTATAGCATAGTAGAAGCCAGGTTCATCCGGGTAAGTTTCGATGTTTACAGCAAACTCAGCGGGAATAAAGCGTTTGCACTTTGGGCTCTCCTGGCAGGCTTGTATGAGTGTATGATGAACGCTGGTGTAAGCATTCGACATGTCACCGATAGTTGAGATTAAGACCTCACAGTCAGCCAACGTGGCTTTCAGAGATGATATGGTATAGTCTGTAATGGCCTGAGAGATGCCGGGGCTTTCGATCTGTGGCTTGAAGCTTCGGGTAAGAATGACAAGTTCATGGCCAGCTTGGACGAATTCTTCACAGATGTAGCGAGTTAAATCGCCGTAACCTGCAATTGCAACCTTCATCTTAAAAGTAGAGGTGCGTGATAGCTCGACAAATATTTGTCTGTCTAAGAATGGTCCGAAGGAGGTTATGGGAATTGCAGATAGTGACAATGCGTCGGACGGATGCCGGAAGTCATTTTGTTAACTAGTCATAACGATCGTAAGTTGGCTGCAGGCTACCCCGCCTGTGACGGATGGCAGCGGCCATCTGCAAACATGTGCATCCCGGTCGAAAGTCGGCTTCGGCCACTGTTGGAAGCCATTCGAAATAGGGCTTAACGGACCATGCACGCAGTCAAGTAATGAGGAACCCTTGGTTAGTGCGGCTAATTAACTTTTCATTCTCTTCCCAAGACGAAGAGTAACATAAGAGAAACTTCTCCCTAATAATACCCCGCTACTTCCTCAGCTACTTAGGTAGTGTTATTCGTGGTGATGGATTTTCAGCAAAAGTTTCAGTCCGATAACTAACTAGCTAGTTAGTTGAAGGGTGAGTTCCATGGTTAGTTGACGAAATCCCGTAATTTAAGCTCAATTAAGTATGAGCCTTAATCTACCAAAAGCATTAAAACGACGCATGAGCAATAGACCAGGATTAACAGAGCAAACAGGGTATCACCCAGATGCACTGGCACAGAGAGTGACCTTTGTGGTGAGGGTTTAAGCAAGTGTTTGTTTTACCAATTAGGATTTGGGATAACTATTGCTATAGCATCAGGGGCCTGAAGCTATCCCTAGATACGTATACTCACCCAAGATATATTTATAGGTTGCTGCATATGCCTTTGACATGAATGCTTAAGGCTAACTGAATCATGTAGCTTTATTGTTAGGAATTTGTCTGAGGCTGGCCAGTGTTGTATACTTCGATCATGCGCCACGGTAAGTCAAGGCTAGCTTTCAGGCACAGGAAAGCATGCCAAGTGGGGAATGGTGAAAATGGCACGATGTTCTACTATTGACGCAATGCCTATGCGGACAAGTGCAATGAGCAAACGGAAAGCCAAAGGGAGGAACACATCGACTATGGATTTGAAGACCGAGCTTTTGAGGGGCGTCTAGATGTACCCCAGAATATCCTCAGAGGTGCCATGGATATCTGCGAGTATCAGTTCAATATCCCATTCGATTACTCACTTTTAAAGAACTTGACGAGTTTACAGACGAATCGTACGCAGAATCAAGAGATACCACTGGTGTGGTTATCCCAGAATTGCGATGCGAGTCGATGCATTATTCTCCAAATCGAAATTTAATCACCCATGGTCCCCGCAAGCCAATGGTTGATTATTATCTCGATCGTGTAAGAGAATAACGTCGGAAAACTATTGGATAGTGGCCGAAGGCCAATATCAATTAAACTTCCGCCTCACGTGATCATGCGGCTGAGTATACGGTGTAATATTGTTCCTAGCCGCGTCAACAATCGACTTAGACGCTTGGCGTTTATCTATTGGTCAATTGGCGCCGCATCTCGAAAGTCGAGCTCATCATGCCTTTTTTTTTTCTGCTTATCTTTCAACGATCTGAAGACGTCGATGGATGGGTTTTGATAGTGCCTGGCCTTCAATATGCCTCTCACTTGTACGTTCCCTTGCATTTTGTGAATGTAGATATCCGGTTATGATAGAAATAACTAACACTTGTTCTCTTCTTTTTACTGTTGTCGCCAGTCTGTCCAAACTGCAGCAATGCCTTAACTATCTCGAAAGCACCTCCCACCTCGCGATATCCGGCGGGCGTCAACCGGTTTGAATGTCGTACCTGTCCGTACCAGTATGCCCTCGACCGAACGTACTTTGAACGCAAAGAGATGAAACGCAAGGAAGTGGCCGATGTGCTGGGTGGAAAGGACGAGTGGAAGAATGCAGAGAGCATGCCTGGTACATCATCCTCGCTGCCTTTTTTTTCTGCTGTGAAGGAATTCTATATACTGACACCTGCACTGCAGCCCAATGCCCCGCTGAAGGTTGCGAGGGAGATCGCGCGTTCTTTTTCCAATTGCAGATCCGAAGTGCAGACGAGCCTATGACGACCTTCTACAAGGTGCGTTGCTTCCTTACGCTGCGTTCTTTTTTTTTTTTTTTAATGACTCACACCCATGCTTACCTTGACGGACTACAGTGTTCTGTCTGTGATGCTCGATGGCGAGAGAACTAGACGAGGGGGCTGGCCACTTCTTAACGTCAAATTCTCACCTTAATCGTCCAAAGGAGAGCGTGTCCTATCTACCTTGGCAAAGGGCAGAGAGGCGGGCGGAATCTCTCCTTGGGTTCCCGCCGACCAAAAATCTTCATCCCGCCAAACAGGAGTCGCACTAGCTACCACGCCACTAAGACTCTTCAAGCTAACCCACCGGGACAGCCCACTCGGACACGTAAACTGGATGCACTCGACCGCGACCCCTCCAAGGCACGGCGGCGCTGATCAGAAAGGGCTTGCAGGGATGGACGCAGAGTTGTGCACAAACGCACACACACACATGCACACACTCACAGCGGTCGCCATATACACTGCTTCTGCTCTCGACTAGCTAGTTGCCAACATCTGTAGAACGTAGTAGTCACCTAGTCAGCTATTCTATCAGACACTCCTTCGGCCTTGCGCTGCTTATCCACCTTCGCTGTCACCTCACCGTCTCTCTCACCTCCATCTTCACCTTATCTTCTACATTAGGTAGTTAAGCGCCGTCAGAGTTTTCATGGTGGGGGCCCAGCATGCCCCTCCGCTGCCTGCCCGGTTAGGCTTAGCGCCGTCTCGCTAGTCCTCTTTCGGCTGTCCGCGCCCCTCGCCCCGCCATACAAAAGGACCCCTCGCTCGTCGCCTTCACACAGAAAATTCTTTTCTCTTCCTCTTTTTTTTCTTTCTCTCCTTCGTCTGCTTCAGTACGTCTTCCCTCGCCCTCACACGCTCCCCTTCCTCTCCCTCTCCGTCATCATCGTCGTCCTGCCACGATAGCTAACTCGCTTCTCCAGCACCTCTACGCAATTTCGGCCGTAGTATCTGAGCGTTCTGCTGAATTCTTCTAGTATCTTCCAAAGAGCTACAAGACTTCAAACCACACACAAAAAACACCGTCATCATGGGGTACGTCCTTCTTCAGCAGCCGCCTATCCAATGCCTCGATGGCCAGAGCTAACCATCCTACAGTAAGGACGAAAAGGGACACATTAACTTGGTCGTTATCGGCCACGTCGATTCCGGCAAATCCACCACTACTGGTAAGCCAGCCTCCAGATACACCTCTAGCCACGGACCACAACTATACACAGAAACTGACTAGAACATTGCAGGTCACTTGATCTACAAGTGCGGTGGTATCGACCAGCGTACCATTGAGAAGTTCGAGAAGGTAAATGACCCCTTTTTCCTTGATCCTGCTGCCTCCGTTCTGTTGCACAATTTTCCCCCTTCATCCCACTACAGGTGACTTTTTTGTTGCTCCTGGTGGGATGTGGCTTGGCACTCGTCGCTTGGGCAGCAAAATCCACACCCCACCAACATCAAACATGCAGCCATCGAGCCTCATGTCATGTTTGGATTTGCTTTTTTCTGTCTTAAGGATCGATGCTAACAAGGTACCTATAGGAAGCCGAAGAGTTGGGCAAGAAGTCCTTCAAGTACGCTTGGGTTCTTGACAAGCTCAAGGCCGAGCGTGAGCGTGGTATCACCATCGATATCGCCCTCTGGAAGTTCGAGACCCCCAAGTACAATGTCACCGTCATTGGTATGTTTCTTTTTCTTTTGCCCGCATCGTGGTTGTGCCATAGCTAACGAGAGTAGACGCCCCCGGTCACCGTGACTTCATCAAGAACATGATCACTGGTACCTCCCAGGCTGACTGCGCTATTCTCATCATTGCTGCCGGTACTGGTGAGTTCGAGGCTGGTATCTCCAAGGATGGCCAGACCCGTGAGCACGCTCTGCTCGCCTTCACCCTCGGTGTCAAGCAGCTCATCGTTGCCATCAACAAGATGGACACCACCGGCTGGTCCGAGGATCGTTTCAAGGAAATCATCAAGGAAGTCACCAACTTCATCAAGAAGGTTGGCTACGACCCCAAGGGTGTTCCATTCGTTCCAATCTCTGGTTTCAACGGTGACAACATGATTGAGGCCTCCACCAACTGCCCATGGTACAAGGGATGGAACAAGGAGACCAAGGCTGGTGGTGCCAAGACTGGCAAGACCCTCCTCGAGGCCATCGATGCCATCGACATGCCAACCCGTCCTACCGACAAGCCCCTCCGTCTCCCACTCCAGGATGTCTACAAGATCTCTGGTATCGGAACTGTACCAGTCGGTCGTGTTGAGACCGGTATCATCAAGCCCGGTATGGTCGTCACCTTTGCCCCCGCCAACGTCACCACTGAAGTCAAGTCCGTCGAAATGCACCACCAGCAGCTTCAGCAGGGTGTCCCCGGTGACAACGTCGGCTTCAACGTCAAGAACGTTTCCGTCAAGGAAGTCCGCCGTGGTAACGTTGCCGGTGACTCCAAGAACGACCCACCATCCGGCTGTGCCTCCTTCAACGCCCAGGTCATTGTCCTCAACCACCCCGGCCAGATCGGTGCTGGTTACGCCCCAGTCCTCGACTGCCACACTGCTCACATTGCTTGCAAGTTCGCTGAGCTCCTCGAGAAGATTGACCGCCGTACCGGTAAATCCGTTGAAGCCAACCCCAAGTTCGTCAAGTCTGGTGATGCCGCTATCGCCAAGATGGTTCCCTCCAAGCCCATGTGCGTTGAGGCTTTCACTGACTACCCCCCACTTGGTCGTTTCGCCGTCCGTGACATGAGACAGACCGTTGCCGTCGGTGTCATCAGTAAGTTTCTCCTCTACCACCCACACTGAATAACTGTGTGCTGTTATTGTCATACATATACTAATGCATCTATTACAGAGGCTGTTGAGAAGGCCAGCGGTGGTGCTGGCAAGGTCACCAAGTCCGCTGCCAAGGCTGGCAAGAAGTAAATCATCTCACCTACTTCTTGATGTAACGACAAACTATGATGGTGATGAACAAAAAAAGGGTTTTTGATGTTTGAAAGTAAAAAAGAGATGCTGGTTTTTTACTCTTATTTATCCCCAGGTGTTTTTTTCTTGCGGGCATTTGAGAAACTCACGAAAATACCACTCTCCCCCTCTTCACATCACATTAGATACAAAACCGGCTTTTAATTGACATGAACTTTCAAATCAAAATCCCATCTCCATCTTCATCTTTTGTCTTGTCCTCTACGGAGTATTTGTTCGTAAACTCAAAGTAATGGTTTAAGGTTTTTGTTGTGTGCAAACATGGCAAACATGGCCGCCAGTCGTAACTAAACTTAGATATCTCAACCATCGCAGGCTGGGTCGACGCTCACCAAGTCCACCTAGCCTACGGAGTACTATTTATTAACCGGCAGCTTTCCCCAAGCCATTGATCACTGCAGCCATGAACTCCCTTCCTCCGTCCCTCCATACGCCCCTCCGTCGATATCTCACACAATGCGCCCGACGAAACCTCACTCGCCAGCAGCCTCGATGGCTATCAACATCCCACACACTCCGAGCGACTACCACAAAAACAGGCACAAGGGAAGAAGTGCGATATTCCACCAAGGCTGCCCGTGATCAAAATGCACGGCATAAGCGGTCAATGGCCATATCTGCCGCAGGCCTGATTGCGTGCGCCATTTCCATGTACGGCACCGTGACATATTACTTCCCAGACGGACTACAACCGGAGACCAACGCCGACAGTAACGACGGGCAAAAGAGCCAGACAGCAGCATCAAAGGCGAAGAGTGATGGAAAAATCAAACTCGAGGGACCACCGGGTGGCGTGGCACTCAATGAGTCTTCCACCGTGATCATCGATGGCATCGAACAGGTTCCCACAGGAAATTCCACGATACCTAACTTCCCCAAGACGATCCGCCTACCCAGAACCGTTGACGGAAGTAATCCTGACCTGAAAATCGGCGACGAATTGCCTGTTACAGATAATGTGAATGACAAATCGGCTGATGAATACCAGCTCCTCGGCTTGGGTCTACGTACGGTCTCCTTCCTTAGCATTCAAGTCTACGTGGTTGGCTTGTACATCGCTACGGCAGACATTCCCGAGCTCCAGGCACGACTTATTCGACAAGGTGCTAATCCCGTCGTACCTGGCGTTGCTCCTACCGATGACGGACTGACTGCTACATCGCTTGTACCGCACGAGCGTGAGGAGTTACAGGCTTCTCTACTCGAAGCCGAGAAGGGCGAGCAGATAATGGATCATATCCTGAGGCAAGGGGGTATCCGCACCGTCTTCCGAATCGTGCCTACACGAAACACAGACTTCTTGCATCTGCGTGATGGGTGGGTGAGAGCTATCACTGCCCGGGCCCAGAAGGCAAATGCCCGGACAAAGCAACTCGCTGCAGCAGATAAATCAGCTTCTGACGTCTCTACGGCAGTTGAATTTGGCGATGACTCGTTTGGCACAGCACTGTCCGAGTTCAAGACACTGCTTGGTGGAGGAGTGAGGAAGAATGTGCCTAAGGGTCAGACTTTGCTTCTCCTTCGTGATAAGCTTGGAGGGATGGGGATAGTATACCAGCCCGGGGATACCAAGCCGATGACATGGCTTGGTAGGGTTGGGGATGAGCGTATCGGACGACTGGTGTGGTTGAATTACCTTGCCGGGAAGACCGTGGCTAGTGAGAGCGCAAGGAAGAACATCGTTGATGGCATGATGGGTATCGTTGGCCGGCCGATCGGTACAGTTGAGATGAAGGTCGTCTGAACTGGCCCTTTTTGCCCACCTAAGAGCTGTGGTCAAGTGTACGTTATGGGATGGGACGGTTTCTATTCACTTGGAAAGAATGGTGATATATATATGTACTATAGCCGCTAGATGTATTCAGCGTTCGAGACACTCCTAAATAAATACATGAACTAGTCTACCCGCATTTTCATCCCCGTACGTAGAATCAAAAAAGTCTTTCTATCCTCTACAGACAAGAACATTGCTGGAGACACAGCTATAACCGCTGGTATAGCCATGGTACTTAGGTTGCAAGCCATCTAGAGGGCACCGGCTTCCTTCAATAAAGCAGACAACTGGCCGGCCTTAGCAACGAGATCAGAGTTGCCGCCGATGTGCTTATGGTTGATGAAGATGTTGGGAACGGTGCGCTGGTTGGTGATTTCCTGCAGAGCGTCCTGGATGGCAGGGCCGTCATCTATATCCAACGTCAGTCTCAGCATCAGCTTTCAGCCCCGTCTCCTCGCAGCCCTAGGTGTATCCGCATATATCATGATGGCAGCCAAACGTACCAACTTTGTCGAGTTCCATGACGAAGAACTGAGCTCCCTTGGAACTCAGCAGAGCCTTGGTCTCGTTGCAGTAAGGGCAGTAGGACTTGGAGAAGACAACTACAACACGCCAGACGTTAGCTTTTGCACATCTCTAGTTACTTGCTTGCTTTCAAGAGCTTCGACTTACCTACGGCATTCTCACTGATGATTTGCTCGGCTTTGGTTTTTGCGGCAGACATGGCGGCTGGCGAGGTGGCTACAGAGCCAAAAAGTCGGCGGAGTATGGAAGCTATGGTGGGCAACTTCGTGATAGCAGAGAGAAAGAAGAAGAAGAAGAAGAAGAAGACGGCCTGGACGAGGGGTTGCGAGACGATAGTTATATGCAGTGTGAAAGATGTCAGGATTCAACCTGGTTAAAGGTTGTTTGATGCTTCGGCGGGGAAGAAAGCAAGCCCGGCAATTCCTGGCCCACCGACCAGTTAGCGGAACAAGTTACGATCTTGATACGAGGGCCGCAGATCACGGCAGTTGGGAGAGTGAGCTACAAGGGGCTGTCTACAGGGTCCAGACAGGCATAACTGGGTGGATGAGATGGTTGGAGGTGTCCCCATGCCGGCTATTCGGGGTGAGACGGGTTGGGCATGCATGATTTCTTGATAGTCCCCGTTTTGCTCTTGCAGGTAGATCCAGGAGGGAGATGCATCGTGCAGACATATAGAGCACTTATAAGCATCACAAGATACGCTACGGAAACGGCATGCTGGTTATTCAATTCACTCTATTTGAAAAGATAACAAAACATGCCTAAAGAGCGGATGCTACTTGCTAAACCGGACCAGACTGCCATCAAGTTTGTGAGGGGACAAAAAAACATACAGAGAAGCAACGGCAGCAAGGTGGGCGGCTGGAGGAGGAACAAACTGGGCTGGACAAGTAAAGGAGATGGTGAGTGGCAGAGACAAGAAGATCTCGCTGTGTTTTGCGCTGGGAAAGGGGCACGCTGGCTCAAGGGAAGAACTTGAAGGGGGGCAAAAGGGAGGTGGACCGGGAAGGATGGGAGTGAAAGGTTTCAATCTTCAATCTTCAACATTTTCAAAACAAAAGAAGGTAACAAAAAGAGCCTGAGACACATAAAATGGTATTGAAGTTATTGGTAAAGGAACAACCAGGAAGGTTTCGAGGGTATCGAGAGGAGGTGGTATGTTCGGGTCAAGCGTAAATGGATGAGTCTGTAAGAAGAGAGAGAGGGAGACAAGACATCTAGCTATCCAGCTAGATGATAACGCAATAAAGAAGAATGCCGACTGGCAAAGGGACTTGAGAGAAAATAAGAGTCAAAAAGCGGTAAGTTTAGGAAGGAGAAAGAAAGTATGAAATTGATTAAAAAAAAAAAAGGACAAAAAGAAGACAAAAGTAGAAGAAGTGTACAGTTGGAAGTTCCAATTCGATGTTTATGGGTAAGATAAAATATTCAGAGAGCCAAATCGCCAATCACCAGCCAAGTTTTATTGAGAAGATAGAAAATAACCAGATCAGACAACAGAGACATAGAAGGGGAGAGCGTGGGTATGGGGGTTTCGAAAAGACAAGGAGAAAGGAAAAGAATGGTCGTTAGGCCGGGAGTGGGATATGTAGGGTAGAAAGCTTGAACGCTCAAGGGGGTAGTAGACGTGGACGGCAGTGCGGTAAGCTGAGAGCAGCAAATATTGAACAAAAATCAATATAGAAAAACTGATATAGGGGAAAGAAGGTAAAAGAGAGAGAGATAGAAGGGGAGGAGAAAAAAAAAAGAAAGATACCTGAGAAAGGAAAGCATTGATCATCGAAAGGTCGGTTGGATATGGGGTATAGGGTATAAATATGATAGACGGTGCTACATGACAATGCAGCAACCGCAGCCCTTCTCCTTGACTGGCGGCTCGTCAACGTCCATCGGCCTTGGTCGAGCAGGGGCCGAAGACGAGTTCAGCCTGGGCTGCGCGGGTGTCGTGGAGTGTATGTTGGGGACAGCCTTGTACCCTGATGCATTGTTGCCAGAGGGGTCGGGACTCTTAACTCTAGTAGACGGCGGTTTTGTAGGTGATAGCGTCTCAGGTAGCGGCTGTAGCTCTTGTTGAGCTTGCTGCTGGTTGTTTTCCTCCTGCTCTTGCTCTGTAGGCTGTGGTGACGGCGTGACGGCCCCGTTGCTGTCATATGTCTGGATGGTGAGAGGAGAGAAATCCCGGTCGTAGATGGCAGGGACTTTACCCTCTCGCTCCCATTGTTCTTGTTGCATGCGCTTCGCATGTGTTGGGATAACCTGCTGGTCAGGAGGAAGACGAGGGTCAGGTTTATACATCGTTGCCAGCCATGGAGGGTCACTGTCGGGTCTGTTAATGGCAGAATATGCGGCGCTGGGTGGTCGGTTATCGCCTGACCGTGTTCCTGGGCGACCATTCGGGGTGCTGTTGGGGCTGCCGCCGGTGTTGTTGCTGTTGGGTGTCTTGGGCTTCTGGGTGACGGAGGTTTTGCGGTTGTTTGGCGGCTGGGACGTCTTCCGACCTGTCGGCGTGGATTTGGAGGGCGCCTTTGCCTTGGACGGGGAAGGATGGGAGGTGCTCGTGCTGTTGCTATCCTGAGTGGTGACATCCGCCTTTGACTCGGAGTCAGGAGTCACTTCTCGTTCACGGAACGCTGATTCGCTAGGTCTACGGGTTTTGGGATAGACAATGCTGTCCTCGTTGCCATTGTCGAGAGTGTTATTCCGAGTACGGGGTAGCGGGACTCCGCGGTCGAGATGCTCTTGCGGTATGGGGTGATGGCTTGATGCTAGTACGGGGATTCGAGACGAGCTCTTCCGTAGGCCAGGCTGTCGGTATACACTGTCACTTTCCTCCTGGTCCGCCGCTATCTCCTCTGGAAGCCGGGGGTCGAAGTTGATTATCTCATTATCGTCGGTTTCCAGTGGAACGATCCCATCAACTCGGACATCGGACGAGCCGCCACGTCTATGCCGTTTCTCTGCCTCGTCCTTGGCAAGAGCAGGCCATTGCTCGCCTTGCTCTGTCGTAATAACCCCGTTGATCCCATTGGGAGCTTCATGGCTACGGCCTCTCCCTCTCTTGCTGCCTGTAAATGGCGCAGGTAGACGGATACCGAGCTGCTGCAACTCCTCGCTTTCAATCTTCGCAAGTTTGTCACGGTGTATCCATTGGGCATGCTCTGGGTCTTCAGCTTCTATTTGATAGAAAGGCTTGTTTTCCTTCCTCTCAGACGCATCGAGAACGCTTGAGACGCTACGGTTGCCAGAATCACGGCTGTAAAGGTCCAGCAGACTGTCAGCTTCACTGTGGGTGCGGCTGAGACTGCTGTCCTTGCGCCCGGCATGGGGAGTGAGGTAGGTGGACTCGGTCACATTGTTCCGTCCAGAGCCAGCAGCGGACGATGTTCGGGACAGCGAAGTACCGTTGACATGATTGTGTCGTGAATGCCGTGCCTGGGGAGGAGAGTCTGCGGAATGGCGAGTCTTCAATGTGGACCGGAGAGTCTATGAGCCCATTGTCAGCCATGGAACGGCAAGAAAACATGAAACATTATAAAAATAAGAATCAAAAGGTAAAAGGACGAAATTCCTCCAAACTCCGGTAAAAAGGGGCAAAAAAAAAAAAAAAAAAAAAAAAAAAAAAAAAAAAAAAAAAAAAAAAAAAGGTATGGAAGACGTACATCCTGTGCTATCGACGGATGGTCGTAGGAACTGTGAAAGGCGCTGGTGGCCGTGATGTTGGGGTCATGGTGAATCGATGCGTCCGCTGGTTCTGCAGCAGCAATTCCCGCCATGCCAGCCAGCGCGCGCGCTCTTCTCGTCCTTGGTAGTGAATCCCCCGGAATGCTCCTGTCTGTCTGCTTATCCACTCGGCTATCTCAAGAGTCGGTTCTTTAATCAGCTGTGCGTGCGAGAGGCCAACGAGGACATGCCCATCCGCTGACGGCTGGTTCCACGGCAAAGGGCCACAGTTTATGCGCGAGGACGGCGGGAGCAGGAACGCGGTCGAGGGCAACGCCGGACGGCTGCCTGCAGCAGCAGTAACCTGGTGATGTCTTAGGATGTTGAACGAGAGAGAATCGAGATCCTGGAGGCCGTTTTTTGTCGGTCGTTTTGTTGCGTCCTTTTTTTTTGTTATTTATATTTTTCTTGCTCTTGTCTTGTCCCAGAAGATCTCAACTCCGCCCAGCCATGATGGCCTCCTGTTTGATACGAGAAAAGACGACGGCGTTTGTTATCAGTCGAAAGGCGGCCCGACCCGTGCTGATGGGAGGTGGTATGGCTAACCGTCGTCTCAGCGAGGCCTCGCAACCGTGGCTCGCAGGCAGGGCAGGGCGTGGGAGGGAAACGGGCCCAGAAGCAGGGGGCGAAGCAGGTACCCAGGCAGCGAGAGAGAGCAGCCGAGCGAAAAACAAGCAAGCAAAACTACGGCAGGACGATAAAAAGGAGCGGCAAGCAAGGCAGCAGCAGCAGCAGCAGCAGCAGAGACGCTCTGTCCGGTCGTCGGTCTGGGGGTGATGCCGTCCGCAGGCCCTGGTGGTTGTCGAGTTGGAGGATCGAGGTTGTCGAAAGGGCGAGAAGGGCGACGAGAAAGCCTGCAAGCCCGGCGGGAAGACGCAAACATCCACTTTTTTCTCGCCTGGCTAAGTTACTGCTAGCAAAGGGGGCGCACCACCCCCCCGGTCACAGCAGCGACACCGCAGCACTCCGTCCGCCCACATCTACACATCTATATGGCTCTCTCTCTCTCTCTCTGCGCCGAGGAGGAGGCAGACACGGTTCGCCTGCTACGCTATTTTTACCTGCTGTCCCGCCTGTGGTTGTATTGGCTGGCGGATTATCCGCTGTATATTTATATGTCTGCTTCTACGGCTCCCCTTTTACCGTCACGATGATCGCCCCCCCCCCTGCTAGTTAGCTGTTCGTCCACCTCCAGGCCCGTAGCACAAGTGTTCGGAAGATAAGCAGAGAGCCCAGAAGACGTCTCTGGTTGCACCGCGTGTGGCTTGTCTGGGTAACATCCTGAGCTCTGCTCGTCTTCCCTTTTGCGTTGTCTTGACCAAGCTGATTTGTCCCGTAGACTGGTTGACAACTCCCCATCCATATATAGTTATAGTTACGACGAACCCTGGGAACGGACTACAGGCCGTCACGGAGGGGTTCCTGACTATGAAAGCGGGATGTCCTGCTTGGGTTACCCTGGCCTGTCAAATGCAAAAGGGGGCTCTGTCGGCAGAGTCTGCCATAGACCACCGGGCCAAGGGGTATGCACTGCATCTATGCCTGCCTTGCCAGAGAGCTCACCAAATGCTCGGCCTTTTTCACTGGTCTCTTCCGGTTAAAAGGCTCAAGAGTTTTAACAAGGTTAGCATTCCGGCGTTACATCAGGAGGCTGACGTCTATGGAGCCGCCAACCATTGCTCTGCTCTCGCCAGGGTAATCAAAACACCCAAAAGGGTCGTTGAAGAGGCTCGCACTCTATATTCTGGCTCTGGATTTTATATATAGCTAACTCGACGGCAGAATTAGCTACCTTAAATCTCGGAAATATATAAGCTCCCCTGCTAAAGTTCACCGATGGCATGGATGGCACGCTTGCAGCAGCCCAAGACTGGAGCCAGCAAGCGGAAAAGATGGGAGACTAAAAAATTTTCTTCAACTATAGCCGTTTACCCATTGTCCAGCCAGGTCTAGAGAGCGAAGTGGGATGTTTATTTTGACTAACACAGATCTAGCTAACTGGTCAAGATACTTCGCTTCGGCGCCAAATCTCGCTACGCTCTGCAGGTACTGGAATGTACCTCCCCCAGCGGCAAAAGCAGACTGATAAAGAACTTATCCAGAAACTTTCCGCCAGAACAGGATTTGATCCAGACAGCACAAGAACGACCCAGCCAGTCGTTTACATGCATAACTAACAAAGTGTAAGTTGATATCCACCGGCTGGGTTGTGCCACTTTTACTTCTTCACGGTGGCCGAATGACATCATCTCCCTGTTTACCTGTACCCTCCATCGCCTCTGCTTGCCTGATAGAAGAGTTGGCGTTCGTATCTCCTCATTATATATTCTCTGTTCTCCTTCCTCTTGCTTCGTTTTTCTTTTTACCTTCATCAAGAATAGTTACCTGCGGCAGAGAGTCTACTGAACATTTGCCATAATTATTTTGCAAACACCACAAACTCAAGAATCCTCACCTCCACCAATATCATCACTATGGGCTGCGGATGCGGATCTAACAACTGTGGGTGCAACGGCCCAAAGGACTGCACTTGCACCAGTGGAAGCTGTAACTGCACTGCTTGCGGCGTAAGAAACCCCTATTATATCTCACCTGCACTCCAACCTTCCTAAGGACCTCTTGGGCTAATAATATATGTATAAAAATATAGAAATAAAGCCCAAAGTCCATGAACCACGACGTCATACGGGCCCCTTCGAGTGACCCAACGCCGTATTAATTATCACATTCATTATACCTGAATATGTCTAGCTTATCTGGGGCCTTGATCTTGATTCTCCTCTTTATCTACGAGTGAGCCTTTTGAGTTTTCGGGTTTTCAGGCCTTGCCGAGTAATTGGATGAATAGTTAGGGACGGCCAGTAAGGCAGATGAATTAAATACTTAACTCTCCTTAAAAAAAAATATTGCCATTAATGTAGTTGGTTATGACTGGGTAAAACGAGTGGAGATAGAGTAAGGGGCTTGATTCTTATTATCAAGTAAGAGATAGTAGTAGATAGTCACATATAAGGCTATCAATGTAATATCACCACTTAAAAAAGGTGAGAATGGTATAATCTGGCTGTATTACTAGCATGAGCTCTATGCTGACAGCAAAGTAGTAACATACAGCTATAGCCAACAAAGAGAGCCTGGCCGTAGCATCCAATAAAAATAGTTCTAGTTCTAGGTCTTCATACATCATGATTTGTAGCGTACAAGAAAGCAAAGGTGTCAGTCAAGCTTAACCAGTCTATCTATATAGATTAAGAAACAACATCTTAAAGTAGGCTGATCCTATTAAATAAGAGGTGCTAATTAATTCTGTTTAATTCTGTACTAAGCTTTTCAAACGAAAAAGAAGTCCTTTAACAAACACTAGACGCCATAAAGTATTAAAATAGGAGTAGTAAGGGTATGTGTTAAGAGGTACAAAGGGGTTAAGAAGCCAGGTAGGGCAAGCAGAAAAAAGGCATGATGCAGAGAGGTAGGTAAGGGAAATGAATAAAGAACATGATCATAAACTATACTGTGCGGAAGAGGCGGGCGGGAAGAAGAAAAGCACCCTTTAACGGCACGTCACCGCTTCAGACGCCTTCTGTGAATTTACTGGCACGGCTGCCATCAGCTGCGGCTAAGCTTCGTCCAATTTCGTCTCTGCCCGACGGTGTTGAGGCCGCCGGTAATGGTTCCGATGGTGCAACTATGCCACTCTGAGGAGTGGTTGCTATCCCCTCGCATATAGCAGATCCCACAGGCGTAGCAATGGGCGTCCGAGCGGGCGATGGGCGGAATGCAACTCTTTCGGAGTATATGCTTTCGTCAGAAATAGGTCGGTCAGCAGATCGAGACATTGGTCCTCCCAATCCAAGTTCCTTATGCAAACCACTGCTGATAGAGCCTTCTCCGCTTGTGGCAGTAGTTTCTTTTTGATGGCCAGATGGTCGAGGTGGTACAATAAGACTCTTTTCGTCGGTCCCGAATTTGTCGTCGTAGCCGTCACCGCCAGTTTCAAGGACAGAGGCAAGTTTTCTTCCTCCTATCTTTTGAAATCCGCGCTCAACAGGCTCTCCTGCCATTGAAGCGGTTGATGTTCTAAATCTATCAAAAACACGTGTTGCTCCACCAAGGACAGTCCCAGAAAGCTGGCTGGTATTACTTGTGGAGAATGTGTTTCGGTCCGCTGAAGCGCCAGAGCTCATTATCCCGCCCGTAAGATTGCTTTCGCGAACAGCTTTCCGCTTCCGTACACGGCGCAGCAGAAGTAATAGTATTATGATCAGAGCAATTCCAGCTACACCCCCAACAACACCACCGACGATCTTGGGGACGTCAGAGTTGGAAGAGGCCTTGGCATGGTCTCCATTAGGTTCGGTTGGTGCGGTTGGTTGTGGGTGTTCACCACCCCCTGCTGGAGGATATTTTGAAGCGGAACTCGTCGATACCGAGGAGAGGGATATGGACGATGACGAAGATGTGTGGCTGCTTGAAGGAGAATAGGACGTGGATGATGATACAGAGTGTGTAGATGATATGGAGGCTGGTTTGCTGGTTGATATTGAAGAACTCAAAGTTGATGAATTTGAGGGCTCCGAGGGCGGTGTGGATTGGGTATCAGAGGGTATTGAAGAATCCTTCGATGATGGATGTGGAAGGATGGAGGTGGAAGCATGAGAAGTGACGGGTATAGTTGAAGGTGAGGAGATGTTCGTAGATGGCTTAGAGGGCTGAGGAACATGAGTAGAGGGTGACGAATGTTGGCTAGAGGGCAGTGAAACGTCTGTTGATGGTAACGAATGTATACTAGAGGGAAGGGAGACATTCGTTGACGGCTTTGACGGTTGGCTCGGCGGAGGTTGTGAAACACTCTTTAATTCGGGGGTTTTCGTCTGTGAAGTTGGAAAAGGAGACACAATTATTGGGGACTTGGATCCGGAGGGAATCGTGACAACACCAAGCCGTGAGTGCGAGACAGTTGCCGGGAGAGAAGGGACGGTAAACACGGCCGCTGTGGCACCATCCATAAGGACAGCCTCAATGACCGTCAGTACAACGGTAGTGGTGCGTGGTGTCTCGTGTTTGGGAGGCGTCTCATTGTTCCGATGCTCCTTTGGCAATTGCTCTACTTCTCTCTGTACTATGTCCTTGATCCGATATTCAGGCCTTTTCCAATGCTTCCGCCGATCAATGTGATGCCCCCCCATCCTGGGCATAGAGTAAGCAGTATCTCAAATACCGCTTTGAAGAAAGAAATTAAAAACTTGTAGAAAACGTTCTACACAATCCAAGGAAAATGTCACAAAATGAGGAAAAGGCCTTTTGCAGAGCTTTGCTGCATTCACTTGTGAATATATGAACCAGAGAGGCCGAGTTACGGTGTTGATATTGAAAACTGAACCAGGTCAAGAGGAAGATGGTGCATAGTATCCTGATCGAATCTGACAGATAAGCCCGATTTAAAATTAAATCGACGTTCTAATTTCGTTTTCAGAGCCAGTCGAAGAATGGTAGTTGATTTAAGGGAACGAACGGAAATGTGTAGAGAACGGCTGCTGTAACGTGGAGAAAGAGAATGTAAATGCTTCTAGCAATGCATGAAACGAAGGCTGGCGTTTGTGTGTGTGCTGATAATGAGAGGATCGTCAAGAGAGCGGACGTCAATCGCTGTGAGGGTAAAGAATGACTGTTAATGTTCGGCGTAGTGGTGAGGAAAGAGAGAAAAAGGGCAATGTCGAAGAAAGTCGCCCTTTGCTAATCCATGACAGGAGAGGAAGGTCGAAAGGAACGGCTGCTGGTCATCAGACCAACGGGCGCAGCTGAGGAAATAGCTATCATTTGAAGAAGATTTTGCGTTAAAAAAGGGTTGGCTTTGGCATTGGTTCCGAATCGAGTGGTGCTTGATTTACCTGGCCAAAATCTAGAGGAGGAGGGACCTGGAGGAGAAAGGGGAAATCCTGGTCAGCCCAGCTGCGTGTAATTGTGACAAATAAACGAGTTGGAGGAGTCAAGAGCTTGGAAGACAGGGCCACGAGTGGTTTTGTGGCGGTTTCCCACTCGCATAGGTTGAGATGTCCAGCCAACCCGCGTGCAGGACGGGGGATGGGACAATGGACGAACCAACAATCCCAGCCGCGAGCCACGTCGGGCCTTCTGTTTGCTTTGCCTGCTCACCTTCTCAGCGTCCTTGATGGATGTGTCTCTTCTTCAGCGGCTGCACGGACGCCATCAGGAGTCTTCCACGTCGTCCTCGTCGTCTGCGCCGTCGCTGTGCCAGAGTTGTCGTAGTTGCAGCCTCGACGGAGCAGAAGAAGCGAAGTTGATGCCATGTCGTGCGCGCTTCCTAATCGGGAAGAGTCGCCGCCAAGTCCCTGCCAAGACTAGAAATCAAACAGTGAGAATCATATGATTGGTCAGCACGGGCCGCGGTACCTGACGCTAGTCCATTAAGGGAAGCCAATATCGAGCTTATGTAATATGTAATTGATTATGTAACATCTACACCGATCGGAATGAAGAGCGAACAACAAGAGCTAGAAGAGAGTATTTGATCAATGGAGGGTTTTATCTGTGAGTGCGCTATGGAGAGATCACAAGCGGTCTTCCTTTAGAATAGACAGTCTGAGGTGTAGATGTAGAATGTGCTGAGTATGGGGTATGCAATTTAGAATGTCTCCAATTCCTCTCCTCCAACCTCGCCATCTGGAATCTCAAATCCCTCCTAGTTCGATCGTTAGTATGGAGATTAACGGATGATCAACGGCTTTTAAGACATGGATAGGGGGTAATACCTCTGTAGAGTACAGGATGGCTTGGATATGCTTAACCAACGAGTCATCTCCCTTTTCCAATTCTGGATCAGTCTCAACGGCTTGCTGGAGCAAAAGTTCAATGTCTCTCAGCTTCGCAAAGTAGAAATCACGCTCCTTCTCGAGGCCGGCGATGGCCTCCTTTTGTGCGTTCAGTTCTTGGGTCAGAGCCAGGTTGTTTGCACCACCAACTCGCGCTCTGCCAGCGGCGCTCGTAGGCGTTGTGCCTCGTCGGGTGCCTGTGGCCGAAGACGTTCCTGAACGAGCTCCCCCGGCAGCAGGTGGAGGCGCTCCGGATCCCTTTCGTCGCGCAACGGCATCGTATTCACCACCAGGATAGTACTGGTCCCAATGTCTTTTTATCCACTGCAGAAACTCCAAGTTGTCCTGCATACGACACTTGATCAAGGACTGAACAGGGACCGGACGGTCGATCTGATGGCGCACAAAGGCACCTATATATAGAAAGCACATTGTCAGTCCCAGACCTAGATGCGATTGCAGACGGTGCCGGGGGCGTACTCTGCAAAATCTTAAAGTTGTTTACATAGGCGTATTCGGTGTTAACGTTGAACTTTACTCGTCCCATAGGGATGTCCACTATAATCATCACAGTTAGCTGGTTGGTCTTATTCACACTTGTTTGAAAGCCATACTTACTATAAATCGAGTCAAGTATTTGACAGAACGCAGCACTAACATCCCAAGAGTCAGCACATCATCATCCTGTCTCAAATTAACACGCAATTATCGAGTGACGAGCGAACGACCACATTCCCTCTCCCACGTCTTTACGTAGAGTGTCGACCGCCGAACCTGCTGAACTTCGTGATAGGACAAAACACAGCACATATGTGCACATCACTCTTCGGCGGACGAACAAAACAGATCGTATGGGAGGGAGAAGCAGCCGTAGCAGCTCAAGGGGTAGAGGATATCACGCATACCCGGTTCCGCATTGTTCGACTTTCGTCACATTCAGTTGCAGCAGGTTGTTAACCCACTGCAGCAACTCCTGTCTGATCGGTTTAAACAGCCAGTGGTCAGCATATCCGTCATTAACTCCCGCCCTCTTGACATCATCGACATCTTTGACACCGACCCTAGCAACACCGTTGTATCGCAGGGGAACGCGTCCTGGCCAAGGCGGGGCAACGGCGGCCAGGTAATGTCCACGTCGAACTCGCAGGGCAAAGTCCACCAGACTCGTACCTTGATTCACTCATCGTCGCGATATCGGTCGTTCAGGTCGTTAGTGAAGGATGAGGAGAACGGTTCCCCTTGGTTACTTCTTTGGCTTTTAGGTTTCTCAGGTACGGGTTGGAATCTTCTGGAGAGCCGTTGGTGGGGAGTCAGCGGCGTGGGAAAGGCAGGATATCCAGTCATTTGATTTATCAGGGCGGAAGATACCTAGCTGGATGTGTCTCTGTAATGGGAGACTGCTGTGACTGAGGCAGCGCGAGTGTGTGGTGGAGGATTTGGATGTCTGCAGGCGACTTCGTCCTGTGATTTGATAAAGTGACAGAAAAAGGAGACTTCGGCCTGCCGGGTTAATTTTGCTAAGTAAATATTTGTTAACTAAGGACTCCAGCCCCAGAAACAAACAAATAAATTGTGAGTTTTAATATCGTCTACCCCCAGAACACTGCTGATCCCGCCGGCCTATACCCTTCTACCTGGTTCGTTCTCAGCGTGGAGAGCCTCCTTGGAATACGGAGTATAATTTAATGTCATGACTACACAGCCAGAGCAACTAGGCGCCGGGTCTTTGGCCCTTAGAATCCTGACTGCATACGACAGATTTGCTACGTCAAGATAACATATATATCACATCATTACAGAGAATGTTGGCCGTTAATCAAGAAATATCCATCCATATCGTCGTAACCTGGGTCACTCCTCGTCCGGCTCCCAGACTTTAACCACAACTTTCCCGCGGGCATGGCCACTGCTCATCACCTCATAAGCACTTAATGCCTGGTTCAGTTCCCAGATTTCACCCACATGTGTATTGAACTCGCCTGCCTGGGCCAGCTCCCTACATTTCTCGATGGCCTCCGTGTTCGTGAATGCGGAAATCTGCTTATACGGTCTAGGCACTCCTCCCAGCCAGGTTGGTAATGTCGAGTTCATGATCACCTTCCATAAAAACCCAGGCACTTCCATGATGGAGACACCCATCTTGGGGCCGACAGTAACATACGGATGATCTTTGCCTGGCTTAAGGTACTTGGCAGAACTTATCCAGAGATTCTGGCTTCCATAGGCATCGAATACGATGTCGAACTTCTCTTCGTCATTTCGGTACTTTGAAGCAAGATGCTGGACTAGTGTTTGGCCCTCGGCATTGGGGAATGAGGTGTGATCGATGGTGTCGGTACAGCCCAGCTGGAGGGCAAGTGCATGGTTATGACCAGAACAGATTCCGGTGATTCGTGCCGTGGGGTTACGGTGACGCAAAAGCTGGGTTGCAAAGTGTCCAACACCGCCGCAGGGGGAGTTTATGAGAATTCTGGCGTCCTTGGGCACTTCTGCTGCTTGGACCAAAACTAAAGCCGTATGAGCAGAGACTCCCAGGCCTGACGCTTCTGCGAACGATACATTGGTGGGCTTTCTAGCGATAGCTTCTGCTTCAATGGCGATATATTCGGCCAATACACCCTGGCCAGTACCAAGGTACGGCTTCACAGGCAACGAGCCAAAGACTGGCATGCCTGGCTTAAAGTCTCGAGATCCATTGGAAATAGGAACATCCTTTCCGCAGCTGACGATTACGCCAGAGAAGTCTGTCTCGGGTACTGCAGGCATTCGACGCAGCCACGATGGGATAAAATGCATCAGAATGATCACCCCGGGGTGGAAGGCGACATGAGAGACTCGCACCAGGACAGAGGTATCAGTTGGAGGCGTGGGCACGGAGACGTCATCCTTCATTGACAGAACTTTGGAAGGTGAACCAGCCCGTTGATGTGTCCAAGCTCGCATAGTTTTAGGGATAGACATTGTTGACGCTGCTTTCGAAGTCATGGTTGGAATGCTATGTGATTCCTGAGTGGTAAGGAAACAACGTACTGCGACTGACTATATCCGTAAAGCCCTCCATCTGAGAACTCGCCGGCCTTCGCGCAGATAAATAGCTGCTCTCAAGAGCTTGCTACTATGCTATATTTAATTGTGTTGCCTACCCACTTGGCAGAGGCCATCCAGCTGGCCTCTTTGCCTGAGAACATGCAATACCAGAGTATCCTCAGTCTGCGGTTGAGCTGGTCGAAGCCAATAACAGCTCGTGATAGCCGAAGAATCAAGAGACACGGTCGAGTCGCTAAATAATACGACCAGGAAGACTTACTTTCTATCAACATCCCTGCTGTATGACGTTGGTTGGTAAGTCATCCGTCGTTGGGTCTCTCATCAACCACAGGCATTGATGAACTCAATGGGAAAGTATGAGCATAAGATATAAATTCAGAAGCCGACTCAAGAGATGCAGAAACATAACCATGTATCATAAAGAAATCTATATGAATAGAATCCAACTATTGCAAAAGAGGGCACAGATAACAAATCACAAGATGATCCAAAACACACCAGCGCCAGGAGCTATGTTCTATCCGAAATCAAAGAAAAGAAGACGGCCTCCTTTTTTTTAACCTTCCAGCGATTCTATACCGTCTAAACCATATCCAAAGTCCATAATCACAGCTCTAGCGTCTTGACTAGTTGCGACTATTCTTCTATAATCTGATTTTGCGCTCAGCATCCAGCTCGTGGTCCAGCCGGGGAGATCGACGCTGAGTTTTCCAGCCTTTGCGTCAAACACTTTGATACTCATATCGTAACTGCCGCTGATGACTCGGCCATTGACGTTATCCATGTGCAGAGACCTAACGAGGCCGGAATGGCCTTCTAACTCCTTCACGAGTTCACCCGTGTTTGCGTCAAATTGGTATATAACCTGGTCGTTTCCGCCAGCTAGGATAGTGCGTGCATCCTCGGAGAATTCAACACAAGCCAGGCCACGGTCTTTGCTGGCAAATTCTTTGATGCAGAGACCAGATGATATGTTCCATAGTTTAGCGACGCCATCACCGCTGGCAGAGACGACTAGATCACCACGGAGCTGAACGGCGTTTACTGGACCGCGGTGACCGAGGAGGCGTTTGAGTAGCTGGCCGGTTTCGCGGTCCCAAACGCAGATGGTAGTGTCCTTGGAACAGGACACAATGTGCTTATCGTCAAAGCAGACGTCAAGAACACCGGCTTGGTGCCACTTCAAGCGGCGAATGGGGCGATAGTCATCTTGCATATCCCAAACGATACAGCTGGCGTCTGATGAGCCGGTGACCATGATCTTATCATCAAACTGCAAACAGAGGATCGAGGCATTGTGGTACTCTCCAGACTCGTGGTGGGAGATGAGGTCAGCAGTAGAAGCCACAGGTGGACATATGCTTATAAACGGGGAGCTGCCGGTTGAGTCTGCAGGCGGAGTGATGGGCCAGGGTGTTACGGGCACGCTGCTGTCAGATGTGGCCTGGTGTGCACCAATGACTTTCAAACACGGCCACGGATAGCGTGCATCCCACACGCGGATGGTACGATCCCGGGAACCGGTAATGATTTTATTCCTGGCCAAGTTGTCAGTTAAACATGGAGCAGAAGACAAGGAATATGTGAGGGGAATGGCATACTCGTCAAACTGAACACAGTACACGCTGTCCTGGTGGCCATGCAGGTAGATGGCAGCAGCTTTTCCAGACTTCCAGCGGTTCTCCAAGGTGTGTCGAACCTTGTACACCTTTTTCCAGTCCTGGGCGGGCTTCTTCCTTCCCAGGCCCATCGCTCGCTTCGGGATACCAGGCGTACGAGTGACATTACGACTGTCTCTGTATTCACGATAAAAAACCTCTCGCCAAACGTTGCTAGACGAAGCATGGACGTTCCACGAGCGCGAGACTAGCTCTGCATTTTTGAGTGAATCGGCGTCGAGGAAGGACAGAATATGCGCCATGAGTTCTGCAGGCAAGGAAACGGGATCTATCAAAAGAAAAACATGTTAGTAATGCAAGACAAAAACCGTCTTGAAGAAGGTTAGACTAACCCTTGCGAATGCAATCTAGCTTCTTTGCATTATCGTCAGTGTCCCGAATATTGATGCTTATTCCACTTTCCGAGTCCAAGGCAAGCTTGACACCAAGATGACCAGCAAGCTCGAAGATCTCCATTCCTTCATCCTCCCCCTTTGGTGGTGGTGCAAGCATTCCCTTGCGCCCAGCCGCACCGCCCACCAGCTCACCATTCTGCTGTGTGCAAGCGAAGTCCTTGAAGTTTGAAGGTAGGGGCGGGCTCGACACCGGAGGATAGAATTTGTTCAAGTTGCAGATTCCACCAAGAGACCGGCGGCGTGGCAGTCTGTGGCTCCGAAACCAGCCTGCCTTGGACTCGTCATGGCCCTGGTTTTCCAGCAGCTGTTCGCCTGGTACCTGCGCCGCTCGTTTCCCCTTGTTTCGAATGCTGATGGACAAAGACCGGGTGATCGTCTTGAGCTCACTGGCGCCATGCAAGATGCTGGAGAAGCTCTTGCTATGGCGATGCTTTGATCTGGGGGCTGTGGCGGCGAGAGTCTCATCCGTCTCGACAATGGCACTCTGGTTGCTTTCACCAGCGAAAAGAGAGGCCGCTTCTCTGTGCGATCCGTCATGGACTCGTCCAATCCCATCTTGCGTCTGGTGATGGTGGTGATGGTGATGGTGGAGCAGGTGATGTTGATGATGCTCTCCGCCCGAAGTGAGCGGCCGCACTCTGGAGCGAAGCGTCGACCGCCGGCGTCCAGGGTTAGCATTAGACGTGCAGCAAGACATTATCGCTGAAACAGCAACTGCGCCTTAAACGAGCTCTGGACGGATGCGAGGAGGATCAAAGGTAGGTCGTAACAAGAATGTCTCCCTCTTGCGTGGGTGCGTGGGACAGTAGGTCGGGCTTGTATCAGGTCGAACCCCTACGGCTGGCAAGTTCCGGACTCCAACACAAGAATATAAACGAGGCCTCAGACGAAACCAAAGACAAAGAAGGAGAGAAATTATCTCATGGGAAAAAACAGCAAATAACAGAAACTATATAAATAAGAACGGCAAAGAAAAAAGAAAGAGAAGAGGCGGCAAAAGGAGAACTGAATGATGGAATAGAGAGAAGAAAAGGAGTCGCCTGCCCTCAAATAACACTTTTTTAGTTTTCCAATTTTTTTTTTTTTTTTTAGACTCCAGCTTTGCTTACTTAAGCATACAAAATTTTCATGCCAAGAAACCCGGGGAAAGGCGGCTCAGGGGCCTTTTTTGCCTTTTTTGCCTTTTTTTGCCTCGTCGGTTTAAGCATAAATTATAGTTTTTACTGATAAGATGAGATGGGATGATGGGATGCGGCGAGGGAGACGTTAGAGAGACGGACGGGGAGGCTTGGGGAAGGCAGCGTCGTAGCCGGTCAGCGTGAAGCGGTAGCGGACGTCGCCCTTCTTCATCCTCGTCACGGCGTCTCGCAGGCCGTCCTCGCCTATCTGGACCTCCTCGACCCAGCTCTGCAGCCCCTTATCGGCCGCCAGCTGCAGCATCTCCAGCATCTCCCGGCGGCTCCCCAGGTGGCTGGCACCCATCAGCACCCCGTTGGCGATGAAGCTCTGTGCCTTGATGGACGGGCCGTCTTCCTCGGGCAGCCCAACGCTCACCCACTTGGCATGCACGTCCAGCAGGGACAGGTACTTGTCCAGCGCAAAGTTCTTGGACGAGTTGGCGCAGTTGATGATCAGGTCAAAGGAGAACTTGTGCGGCTTCTCCCAGCCCTCTTCGGCCGTGGCAATGAACCCGTCTGCTCCCAGCTTGCGGGCGTCTGCCTCCTTGGCCCGCGTGCGTGAGATGGCCCAGGTCTCCGCCCCCAACGCCTTTGCGAACATGACGCCAAAGTGCCCGATGCCGCCCAGTCCGACGATTCCGACCTTCTTGCCGGGGCCGCAGCCGTTGCGGACAAGAGGTGAGTACGCGGTAATGCCAGCGCAGAGCATGGGAGCGACAGAGGTGGTGGCCAGCTTCTCGGGGATGGGGAACACCCAGTGCTCGTGGACTCGGACGTGGGAGCCGTATCCTCCCTGGCTGACAATGCCAGTGTCAGGCCACTTGGAGCCGTACGTGTCCATGATGACGTTCGGGCAGTACGTCTCGTTGTCGTTCTTGCATTGCTTGCAGGTGCCGCAGGAGAAGACTTGGGCCCCGACACCGACTCGTTGGCCTTCCTTGATCAGCGTCACCTTGGGTCCAACGCGGATGGCGGTGCCCACGATCTCTGTGCCCTTGTTAGCATCTGTACTCTTGTCATCTTGTTCATATAAGGACATACCGTGGCCAACACATAGAGGGAAGAGCTTAGGACCCCATCCACCTGTTTCCCCTCCATCAGTCACACAAGTTTCCTTTCTCAAAAGATTGTAGAACAACCGTACCAGTGATGGTATGGATATCACTTCCACAGATCCCGCAGGCTTCTACCTTGACATCGACGTCTTCATACTCTGTCAGTCTCCCAGTCCATCCCTTTGTTCAATTGCGTAAAAGGGTAGCCTCACCATAATCCTCGAACGGTTTTAGTTTATACTGTGCTATCGTCAGCTATATATAATCACCTCGGGCACATTGAACAGTAGTGAATACGAACATGACGCTTGTGGAACTGAGTATGCGTCTCTGCACTGTCGACCTGGAACCCCTCTGCTTCGTCCCTGGAAGGCATCTTGACTTCGAAAAGTTGCGTTATCCGAATTCTCAGGGTATGTCTACGATCGTGAAAATTTCTTTACTGGAAAAAGAATCGGGGTGATGCTGTCATAGTTATATGGGGAATTTCGAGGGCGAATTGTGCCCGGTAATCCCATGATTTTCATCTCCGCCGGCAGCGGGTCTTGCTGCCTTGCAGTGTCGTATCAGAATCAAAGTCAACCTGCTTTGCCGATATGATAAACGGGATAAAGCCCGTGTTGCATCGACGGCTCCACCACTTCCCCACCGTCCCAGGGAGTCGTTAAGGGTGTATTTTGTTCCATACACGATTGATGCGTGTATGAATAAGGGATCTCTAGATATTATTGATATATTTGGTGCATTCATTATTTGAGATGAGTTCGGCTGCTATTAAATTTTAAGTCTAACTAAGTTATATATTCCGCAGTAACTACAACTAACTATAGTAACTAATGGATCGGGTTAAAGACGCCTAGACATCTACCGGTCTTGCATATCTACGCAACATCACTGAGCCTCATTTCGATGGCCATGGCCGGCTTGATTTTGTCTGCTACCTCTTTTTCCTGTGCCTCCGTTAAACGAGGCATCGGTGCTCGAGGATATCCGCCATAGCCATAGCAGACCTGGATCGCAAACTTGGTCCCTGGGATGGTATACTTGGACATGATCCAATCCCCGTCACTAAGAATCTTCTGCACCTCCATCGCCTCTGCCAGCTTTCCCTGCTTCCATAGATTGAATATCTCTACACAAAGATGAGGCAACACATTCGCACCGCCAGCTATAATGCCGGATCCTCCCGAAACAAGCGTTTGAAGAGCAAAGTCCGCATAACCGCCAAAGGCAAAGTATGGAGGAGGGACTGCTCGCTCAGGTGACCTTTCTACCGAAGACATTTTCAAGGAGGAAGCCGGAGTGACAGCATTCATGGCAGCGGCAACACGGCATAGCTTTCCCGTATTGCCGCATGTAAACTTGGTTCCAATAATATTGGGATGCTGTGATAGTCGAATGATAAAGTCAGAGTCCATATCAATCCCAGCAACTACCCCAGGGAAGTTATATAGAATGATGGGGAGGGGAGACCCGTCGGCCACTTTAGTGAAATATTCGAACAGGGCGTTCTGGTCCCCCATTGCAGCTCGGTAGTAGCTGGGTGAGATCAACAGTATATATTCTGCGCCTGCATCTGCTGCCTCTTGGCATATCTCGATGGTGCCTCGAACTCCTTGGTCGGTAGCACCAGATATGACAGGTATATGCTTGAATCCAGCCTCGTCCAGTGCCGAGCGGGTTTGCTGTGTGACAAGGGCGCGCTCTACTCTGGACAGATGGACTGCTTCACCGTTCGAGCCCATGGTGATCAGGCCGGCGACCCCGGCCTTTGCAAGTCGTATTGCATGAGCGCGGATCGTGGGTATGTCAAGTTCTTCTGTTGCAGGGTCGAAGAATGTCATGGTTGGCACATAGACACCTGGCTGGAGGGGTGTCCTCTTCCGCTCTGCCATTCTCGACTATATCAACAGTGAAGTCAATCGTAAATTGTCTTTTAGGGACTAGTTGTTGGCGTATTCCCACAATGCTTAGGCCTGAATCTGAGCCGTATATCAATTGTCAGCAACGGATGTTGGTGACACCGTCAGAAATCGTTGAACATTTGGATGTTGGGTGGGGGTTAACTAACTAGTTACGGGGCGTCGCGGCTAAGCTCCGACATCCGCCAGAATAGTTAAACCACCTACCTGGTGCTCCTGCCCATGGTTCCCTCTTTTTAGCTACATCCAACTCTTTGAAGGTAGCAAAAGAGTATATACAAAAAGGCATACTTGGTATCACCATATTCCACAAGGTGAGTAGTGTATGTTATTGTGTACAGAGTAGTATTAAATATCAGGGGCTACTTTGTACTGCTCGGAAGCTGCTGAACAAAGGAATCCCCCCAATAGTTATCTGGCATCTTTTCAACATAGATACACGGCATCTCGTTACAAAGCAGATTTACCTGTTCGCAATCCGGTTGAGATGGCTCCTCCAGATGTGTTGATGGTAGGATATGTGCTCTCGGTTTACAAAATGAAAACTGACTTGTGCATACACAGGTTGGGACGGGCGAGTATACCACTGGCTTCGTAGGAGGTGCCGCTTCCACCTCGGACAAGAAGGTGGGAGTCGTTGGCCTGACAATGTTTGACCTACGGAGACGAGGAAAGGTCGGCAACCTGAGCATGGCTGGGGTATCAGGCCTGAAATTTCCCCATATCAGTGAGTGTTCCCGCTGTGCTCCCTTTGCTGTGGCGCAACTAGTGCCGTTTTGACCTGATAGTTACTGATGTCTACTCCAAACATGGTGTAAAAGGGAAACATCTCCAGACCAACATATCCGAGGTGTACAACGGGCTGTCAACTTCGTTTGAGTCTTACCCGGCAGATGACAAGGTTGATGCAAATGCATACAAGGTGGCCATAGATGCGCTAGAGCCTGGCTCAGCCATCACGATATTTACTCCTGATACCACACATTATGAAATTGCGCTGTACGCTATCCGGCGTAAGATCCACGTCCTGATCACTAAGCCAGCTACAAAGACTCTGGAGGACCACCTTGAGCTTTTGGCGGAGTCTAGAAAGCATAACGTTTTCGTATTCATTGAGCACCACAAGCGTTTCGACCCAGCATACTCTGATGCTCGAAACAAGGCTCGAAAACTCGGAGACTTTAACTATTTTTATAGCTACATGAGCCAGCCCAAGAGCCAACTGGAGACCTTTAAAGCATGGGCCGGAAAGGACAGCGATATTTCGTATTACCTTAACTCCCACCATGTTGACATATGCGAGAGCATGGTTCCGGAGTACGCTCCAGTAAAGGTAACTGCATCGGCCTCAAAGGGAACAGCTATTGAGCTTGGCTGTGTAGAGGAAACTGAAGACACCATCACTCTGATGGTTGAGTGGAGGAAGAAAGAAGAGCCTTCGAAGGTCGCAACAGGCGTATATACCGCAAGCTGGACTGCGCCTCAACAGGCTGGAGTTCACTCCAACCAATACTTCCATTGTAAGTATACCGAGATTCTTGGACGCCCTATCCAAACCAACCCAAACCAAAAAAAAAAAAAAAAAAAAAAAAAGAAAAGAAAAGAAAAGAAAAGAAAAGAAAGAAAGAAAAAACCAAGGAGAGATTCCGCTTCTAATGTTTTATTTAGGGATGGGATCGAAGGGCGAGATTAGAATCAATCAGGCCAAGAGAGGATACGATATCGCAACCGATGAAGGGCTTATGTGGTACAACCCGTAAGTTCAAGTGAAAGAATAGCAAAGTGTGCATTTACTTGAACATGCTATGCCACCAGCTTGCTGGTCAGGACAAGGGGCGGATAGCTGTTTTAAGTTTTTCCACGTTTATGCACATCTCTTTGGCTTAAACCCTTCCGTTGTTGTTCCATTTTTGAAGCTCGCTAATAGTCTCTCCCGTTCCTTGGCAGATTCTATATGAGCTATGCTCCCGACGAGGAAGGGAATTTTGGTGGCCAGGGAGGCTATGGGTATAAAAGTTTCGAGAAGTTTATCGATGCTATCACTGCCCTCAACGAAGGACGGGTGACTCTCGACCAACTCGACCACCGCGGACTACCAACCCTAAAGAACACTATTGCGACGACCGCAATCTTGCATGCTGGTAGGATCTCCTTAGACGAGCAGCGTTTTGTTGAAATCCTGAGGGATGGGGACACCTGGACATTAAAGTAGGCTTGGGGGTGGTATTTGCAGCCACATGGGCAGTGTCATGATGTCGTTGCACAAAGTAAAGTAAGCAATAAACTAAGAGAGGAGCTGGATCCCGAGCTTAGCCTAGATGCCCTTTGCATAGCCCCCTTCGTGGAGCTTTTCTCTCTTCTGCTTTCTTGGTATTTTCATCGTGTTGATTCCTGTGGAAGGAAGAAAAGCCTTGATGGAATACTGCGGCTTATATAAGTGTGGCTGGTGATCCAGTGATCGCGGCTAACTCCGATGACATAATACAGTTACGCGCCGCATGTGGCTGGTGACGTCTTTATTTCTCTTTCTGTGACTTTTTTAATTTTTGATACAAACGACGACGACGACAACAATATCCAGAGTAGCCAAATACTGCGCCTTCTCTCCAAGCCTCATCGTTGACATCAGATACATTCTGGGCGGGTAGCTGACGTTATCTCTGGCCACCCTCCTCAGGCATTCATATTGTACTATGCTATTATTTTTGCCTCTAGTATGAGCTCTCAATAATGCATTAAAGTTGAAGCGTTGAAGAGGGGAGTGACCACTCAAGAAAAGGAGCGACAACGAAGACTTTCATGCATGTTCCCGTACCCCGTACAGGCATTCAAACCTGATCATGCCGGAATTGTCCTTGCATACCATCTTTTACTTCTCGGTCCGTCGTATGTGAAATAAGAGGTCTCCCAAGCTCCTCCATGGAATATTCAACTTGGCAACGGAGGCGGAGTAATATCCACCTCTTCAGCGGAGAGTTCCTTGGTTGGCAAGCTAGCATATGGGAGAACCAGTTCCATGAGGCTCTCCTCCGCACACAAGCTACGTCAATAGAGCATCAGATAAACACTACGACTCACATGAATTACAAGAGGGGAAAATCGCTCAGTGACAAGGGAAATTGACATGATAGATCTACAAGTTGGATGAGGGGGTGCGTTTGGAAGGCTGATCCTTGTATTCGATATGGAGAGTCCAACCGAGCAACATATTGATTTTAATAAATCCCTTCCGAGCCAAAGTACCTTGGCCAGGAAGGGTGGTACACCAATCGACATGAAAAAGCGACTTTTCATCTCCATATTTTGATACGCTTTTTAGCCTCCCGCAGGCGCCTTACATGCATCTTGCTTGTGGGCGGACTTTTGGTTTCTTCTTGGACTCTTCTTGGATTCTTCTTGAATGAAGACGAAGTACGAGAACAGCCTGAAGTATTTATATCTCAACGGCAAAAGGAAATATCCGCATAGGATGGCCTACCTAAAATGAGAGTTCAAGCGTGTGCCCTGTCACTTTGGCCGGGGGACATTACTCAACTCAGTCTGTTTTAACAATTTAGTGGCTGTCGCAGCCTTTCGTTTTTCTGTCCGGCCCCTGACAGACCTCGAGCGAAAAAGTTAAAGATTTTTTAACTCGTCCAATATTATTGGCCGGCCCACTTCATGCAGTAGCAGAGTTCGAGATGAGATCCATAGACTTCCCGAAACCTCATGCTAACCGCCATGTTGAAACATCCAAAATCTCCCGTTTTTTGACTACGATGACATGCGACGTCGAGGTTTCCAAACACCAGCCAGAACATGATGGCTGACATTGCAACTGCGCCCATCAGCGTGTACGCCGTACGGCCGAGGATCTCAGGATTTCAAATACAATTGTACCCTAATCAGCAGGGGCTACCCAAGCCAGGATGTCTTGTTAGTGGCGGTCGTTTGACGCTGGGGCGTCCAAGACTTGCACTGCCTCGCTGGAAACTCTTATCCCCGAACGGCAGGAGATGAATGCCTCCACCGCATGATAACCAAGGGGGTCTCTGGCGGCAAGCCAAGTCTCTTGACATCGAGCTCCCTCAAGCCCACCGCGGCTGGGGACATAATCAACATCGCCTTTCCCTTCGTTGTTGAAGGTGTATGTAAAGAGGCTCTCTCCCTGGAAGAGTGTCATAACGATCAGACCACCCACCAGCAGCTTATTCCGGGCATTGTTATCTCCTTTTACTTTTACTTTACTTTTACGAGCCCAGCGATAATTATTTACACCTTTTTCTTCCGTTCCGTTACGCCTATATCACGCCCTTTTGTCCTTTTACATGATAGCATCTTTTTAAGGTCAACCACATTATCGACCTCAACTTTTCCTATGGCGAACAACAACCGGTTGCTCGCTCCAGCTATAACAATAGACACACATGTAAGTACTATAAAAATATCTGCATATTGGCACGCGACCTCGACTCTGACGAAGTCATAGTACGACAACGCTACATCCTCCTCAACAGATCCTATCAGCCCTTTAAGCCCTAATGCTGCACAGGAACTATCTCCCGACAGACCGTCATCATCTAACGATGCGAACTCGTTTCTCTTCCCCCGAAGCCCAAACTCCTTTGACGGGGAGACTCTTCGGTCAAGAGCAAACTCAGTCAACTCAAATGTAGACACCCTTCGATCACGATCTGGCTCGACAGTTAAACCACTTGGCAGATCAGATGGCGCCGACTACGATGACGTTCCATTATCTGAAGCCTTAAAAGCAGATGAGCGCAATAAGCGGGACTTCGAGGTCGACAACAACCCGTTTGCATTTTCGCCTGGCCAGCTGAACAAATTGTTAAACCCGAAATCATTAGCTGCCTTCAAAGCTCTGGGTGGACTCAAGGGTCTCGAGAAAGGCTTGAGAACGGATTTAAGAGCTGGTCTATCGCTTGACGAGACGCACCTGGAAGGCTCCATCAGCTTTGAGGAAGCTGTGCAAAGCAGCTCAACAAAACACCAAGACTCTACTGCCTCGACCCCTCAGCCCTCAGTATCTAGCGGCGTCGCCCAGTTTACCGACCGCATACGAGTATTTGATCGCAATAAGCTACCTGAACGGAAAAGCGACGGCTTTTTGGTACTGTTATGGAGAGCTTATAACGATAAGATCATCATTCTTCTCACTGTTGCTGCCGTTGTTTCGCTATCGCTTGGCCTCTATGAAACTTTCAGCGGCGGGAGCAACGTGGACTGGGTTGAAGGAGTTGCAATTTGCGTGGCTATTCTTATTGTCACTATCGTTACTGCGGTTAATGACTGGCAGAAGGAAAGACAGTTCGTCAAATTAAACAAGAAGGTTTGTGTAGCTAATCCCCGAGCATTCCCTGACAGCTAATTAACTGTAATATAGAAAAATGACCGTGAGGTTAAAGCTATTCGTTCGGGAAAGTCTATTATGATTTCCATTTTCGATATCACCGTAGGTGACATTCTTCATCTTGAACCTGGTGATGCTATTCCTGCAGATGGTATTTTCCTATCTGGGCATGGTGTGAGATGCGACGAGTCCTCTGCAACTGGAGAGTCAGATCAGATGAAGAAGACAGATGGACACGAAGTTTGGGATCGAATCAACAATGGAACCGCTACGAAGAAGCTCGACCCCTTCATAATCTCTGGCAGCAAAGTTCTTGAAGGTGTTGGAACATACCTTGTTACCAGTGTTGGGCCAAATTCATCCTACGGCAAGATCATGCTCTCACTACAGACTTCAAATGACCCTACACCACTTCAGGTCAAGCTAGGAAACCTTGCCGACTGGATTGGTGGCCTTGGAATGGCGTAAGTATATCCTACCATGGAACTTGTTACTACTTCTTCAGCGTCTAACATGTTTATAGTGCTGCCGGCACATTGTTCTTTGCGCTGCTCTTTAGATTCTTGGCCCAGCTGCCGGATAATCACCACTCGCCTGCCATGAAAGGCAAAGAATTCCTGGATATTCTCATCGTCGCGGTTACTGTTATCGTTGTTGCAATTCCAGGTATGTCCGCTACATCCATATTCCCTCTTTCCTTGGCCATTACTAACTGCTATATCAGAGGGTCTGCCACTGGCCGTCACACTGGCACTCGCATTCGCCACGAGCCGAATGGTCATGGAAAACAATCTTGTTCGAATTCTTCGTGCTTGTGAAACTATGGGAAATGCCACAGTCATTTGCTCAGATAAAACTGGTACATTAACACAGAACAAAATGACTGTTGTTACAGGAACCTTCGGAATGAGGGACACTTTTGATCGCACCCCTGAAGCTGAGGGCGAGGGTCCATCTGCTGTTACTCAGCTGTTCAACGAAGCCTCTACTGCTGCTCGGGATCTAGTGATGAAAGGCATTGCTCTTAACTCTACTGCCTTCGAAGGAGAGGAGAACGGAGAGAAAACATTCATTGGAAGCAAAACGGAAGTGGCTATGCTGCATCTTGCCCAAAGATACCTTGGATTGAGCTTAACTGAGGAACGTGCCAGCGCCGAAATCGTCCAGCTTATTCCCTTTGATTCCGCTCGCAAGTGCATGGGAGTTGTTATTCGTCAGTCAGACGGAACCTTCCGATTATTGGTTAAGGGTGCCGCCGAGATTATGCTCTACCAGTCAAGTCGAGTCATTTCGGGACTCTCTACGCCTCAGCTTGAATCCAATGTTCTCTCATCCAAGGCTAAATCTGAAATCCTTGATATTATCAATTCGTACGCGAAACGTTCCCTGAGATCCATTGGCATGGTTTATAAGGACTTTGAATGTTGGCCACCGCAGGGCGCTAAAACTATGGAAGAGGATAAGTCATGTGCTGAATTTAATGACGTTTTCAACAACATGACTTGGGTTGGTGTTGTTGGCATTCAGGACCCCCTTCGAGACGAAGTTCCTGGCGCCATTCAGAAGTGTAACAAGGCTGGTGTCAGTGTGAAAATGGTTACAGGTTAGTCATCGTGTTATTTTATCTCACCAGAAATGGGGTTGCTAATTGCATACTGTAGGTGACAACTTGACCACTGCTGTGGCAATTGCAACAGAATGTGGTATTAAAACTCCTGATGGTGTTGCAATGGAAGGGCCCAAGTTCAGACAGCTTTCTGACGAGGAAATGGATCGTGTGCTTCCAAACTTGCAAGTCCTAGCCCGTTCCTCGCCTGAAGATAAGCGCATCCTCGTTACCCGCCTTAAACATCTTGGAGAGACTGTGGCTGTGACAGGTGACGGTACCAATGATGGTCCTGCACTTAAGGCTGCTGATGTTGGTTTCTCCATGGGCATTGCCGGAACCGAAGTTGCAAAGGAAGCCAGTTCTATTATCCTTTTGGATGATAATTTCAAGTCTATTGTGACTGCTATCTCCTGGGGAAGAGCTGTAAACGATGCTGTTGCAAAATTTTTGCAGGTTAGTTTCTTTTTACGCCTCTTTCTCTATACATCAATACTGACGACCACTAGTTCCAAATAACTGTTAACATCACAGCTGTTGTGCTGACCTTCGTCTCATCTCTCGCTAATCCAAAGGGAGAGAGTGTTCTGAACGCCGTTCAGCTTCTTTGGGTTAACCTTATCATGGATACTTTCGCTGCTCTCGCACTGTAAGCGCCACAATAATCCCCTTCCAATATATTCTTACTAACTTATCATCTAGTGCTACTGATGCTCCTACGGAAAAAATTCTTGACCGCAAACCGTCTCCGAAGTCAGCTCCCCTTTTCACCACTACTATGTGGAAGATGATAATTGGACAAGCCATCTACCAACTCGTCGTGACGCTCGTGCTCTATTTTGCTGGAGCCAAAATTTTTGGATATGATCTCGAGAACGACCCTAGCGGGCTACTTGCTGGTCAAATGGACACAATTGTCTTCAACACCTTCGTTTGGATGCAAATCTTTAACGAGTTCAACAACCGTCGTCTTGACAACAAATTCAATATCTTCGAGGGCATGTTCAAGAACTACTTCTTCTTGGGCATCAATGCAATTATGATCGGTGGCCAAATCATGATCATTTTTGTTGGAGGTGCAGCTATCGGTGTCAAAGCTCTTACCGGAGTTCAATGGGCCATTTGCATCGGAGCCTCTTTGCCTTGTCTCCTATGGGCTGTGATCGTCCGCTGTCTCCCCGACAGACACTTCGAGGTCGTGATGAGCATTGTCATTACCAGCTTCAACTTCTTCTGGAAACCCGTTGCAAAGGCTTTCCGTGTCATCTTCACCCCGATAACGAAGGCTTTCCGCCGTGTTTTTGTGCACAAAAAAGGAGAAGCTCAGACAGAAGATCAGCAAGCTGAAGAGTTGAATGAAACGAGGCCACGAGATGAAGAGACCGGTGACATTGAAAAACAGGCAGATACCACTTCTCCTTTCGTTGCTCCTCCTACCATCGCCCCTCCGCCAATAACCCTCACAGCACCCCCCAGTTAATACGTCTACAGTTCTTTCTTCTATATCTCTGACCTCTACACACCCCTCGACCTATCCTTTAGCGCTTACAGCGTTATGATTGATTGCTTTCTTGGCGGCTCCCATCCATGCATTTCACGATCGTTTAAACGGCTGTTACATCTGCCTTAGAGATGCCCCCTCGCGGGCTTTTGCATTCTTTTGCTTTCTTGCATCTTCGAAGACTACTCGTTTTCACTGTTTTTTCTCCCCATTTTGATGCATAGCGACGGCGTTCTTTGGGTGGCATTGACCGACACATACAGTTTCCCTTAGCCCTATGGGCCTTATACAGACTTAGGAAGTTATATACCAGAATCTCAGGCTATTTTATCGTCTCTTAATCATTAACCATCGTGCTTTTCAGCCAGACATATTCGTAGTTCTCGTTATCTAGTTACACCCTTTTTTTATACTTATATGTAATAGTTATGCTCTTGTGCCGTGTGCATCGCCACACCTATTTGATGTCTTGGCACCAACCACAACATCCCGCCTGGCGTCAACTCGCTCCCAAGAGCTGTAGATAGGCAGACATCAAACACACCAAAGACCATCACATTGTTGCTTGATCAATTCTGCCTCCTCCATTCTAGATCCCACTATCATTGCCAGCTTATCACGGATACGGATACAACATTGGCCCCTAACCTTCCTGTCCTCGAATCCTTGAAGCCCGCGCCGGACCCCTCCACCCCGATACAACAGTTGACGTTTGCTTCTATACCACGGTTCACAATGCCACAGATAACAAACTACAGAACCATTGATATCGACAGCCTTGACCCGGAGTCGCCTGCCAATTTCCCGATTTCTTCTCTACTTCCTTCAAACCTACCGCCGCCAACAACGTCCAGCGCGGCAGCAAGCCTTGCATCACAGATCAGACAGTTGCTTCGATCTGGGGACACAGAAGGAGCTTTACGCCATGTTCTCGATTCAGCTCCGCTAGGTGGCGATGACAGGGCAAAGGAGGTTCATCTTGCTTCGGTTGTGGAGGTTTTACAGGGTATACGGCAGACGGAGATGACAAAAGTGCTGGAAGCAGTATGTAACGGTGAAGGAGGCGCTGAACGGGGGGATTGTCTGATGAAGTACCTGTACGTCGACATATACCTCCTCCATATGTCCCTCATGCCTTTCCTTTTCAACTGCCTTCAGGCAGAGTAATCCCGTTATTAACGTCTTGGTAAACAGATACAAGGGCATGGCTGTACCGACTAGCAGTGATGCCGGCTCGAAGTCGGTATCTCCCCAGAGCACCGGGTTTTCACAAATACAGGGTCGAAATCTTGGAGAAGGCGGCGGTGGCCAACAGATGAGCGTGCTATTGAGTTGGCATGAGAAACTAGTTGAGATCGTTGGGGTTGGTTCAATTGTACGTGTTATGACTGACAGGAGAACTGTTTAATGGTGCCTTTACGAACAGGTGCCTCTTTTAATAATTGCAGGATACTATGTTGCAACAGCTTGATGAATGCTCTACGGGATTGTAATTTAACCAAGCACCGCAGCTCGTTCCTGTGATATCTCCACTGCCCCTTATAGACTATGTGCGATAAAGGTCATGCATAACCGTCTTTCTTTCGATGGAGTAAACATACTGTTTAGAAGTCTTTCTTCTATTCTATTCTATACAAAGATTACAATATTGTACATGAGCCAGGCATCTAGGCCTATTCTGACCCAATGATGTCCTTGAGATTAACCTGCCCACTGCCTCTCTCTAACGGTTTTGACTGTCCCTCTCCCTCTTTCCATCCTATCATATATATCAGCCGGAAGGTAGCAGGTATATTGCTCTCACCTTCTTCCGTATGTAAGCTTCTATATATTGCTTCATTCGCCAATAAAACGTCTCTAGAAATTGGCCCGGCTTCTCTTCGCAAGATTGCGTTGCTCTCCCCCATAGCCTGGAGGTCTGACATGAGGGCAAATGTATCAGGGTATTCCACCACGATATCCTCCACATCGACTGTGAGCAGTTTAAATCCAGCCTTGGTCAGCAATCCGCCAATATCTCGTACGTCAGCAAGCGGAGATACATGAGGGCTTACGCCACCTCTGCGCTCGAGATCTGCTAATTGCAAGGAAGTGCGTAATTCGAATAAAGTATCCCCTCCAAACATCACGGCCATAAACGGACAATCTGGCTTTAATATAGAATTTACCTGCGCGAGGAGGGATGGCAGGTCATTTATCCAGTGCATTGATAGAGACGAAAGGACGGCATCGAATGTGTTTGGTTCATAAGGGAGATTCTCAATGCTCGGGATAACCTCACGGGTTATGGATATTTGAGAGTTAAATGGGAGATTTTCATCTCGATAGAGCAGACTCCGGGATTCCTCAATGCACGTTATTTTTGATATTCGGTCTGCGACGGTCTCGCCAGTTCCCGTGCTTGCGCCGCCTTCGCCATTTGATATTGGGGTAGAAGTTAGGGCCCGAGCTATGTTGCAGCTGTTTGCGCCGAGGTCAAGGACGTTTGGAAAATGTCTTTTGATATCCTAACCATTCAAGACCCATAAGTAGACTGTGATATAGTATCAGGAGCGCAATGGTATGCCAGTAACGAAGATAACCCACCAGCAATCTGTCACTCAGTCGCATTGCAACCTCGTCTTTCAGGTAATCAACCTGCCGGCTGGTATTCACATTCTTTGCTGCCCTGTCCTTCTGTAACAATTTTGTTCTCCTATTGAAGACCTCTAGAGTCGGGTTTCCCGGAGTCTGAACGGCATAGGTTCTCGATAGAGGACTGATTCGCCGTAGTAAAGGGTTGCGAAGACATGGGCGGAGAGACATCGTTGATATTATTTCTTCTTTCCTTGACAAGCGCTTATCATCAGTTCAATTGCACTGATCATAGTCGTCTCCAGAGCACTCGTCTCGCTGGTGTGCCGGAGGTGGAATGAAGCTGCACGTCGCAGCTTTTGATGCAAGCGCGAAATCGTCAACAGAAAAATAAAAAAATCCGAGGTGATCTCATTGTCACCAAACGCCAAAATAGCAACGAGCTGATCAACACGCCAGCAAGATCACATATTACAGCTGGATCTGGCTAGATCGCTACATAAATGATCTCAAACGTCTAACCAGGCGCATTCCAAAGCTCATTCTAAGTTACACTGAGGCCAGTCAGTTACTTCTTCATCTTGGTCCCGAACGGCCATTGCTGACACCCCTGGATTCTAGCAGAATCAACTTCTATATATTATGCGATATTGGCTTCTCACGGTACGATAGACCGAGTCATACTTGATTATGCTATGACATCTGTTCTTGAACACGGCCTCTCCTTCTTTCGCTCGTAATGGCGCGCCCATTCCCATATAACTTCATATCATGCCCCTGCGTCGATAGCCCTCGTCCCACGCCAGCTTCAAACCGGCTCTCTAAGGACCTTTCCAGCCTCAGCCTTAAGGCTTCAGACTCAGATGAAGACGAGCGGACGTTTGACCCGAGATCACGTCGCGCAAACTACTCCTTATACCCCCCAGAACACCTCCTATATTGCGAAGACTGCCATCAGATAAAATGCGCAAGATGTATAACAGAAGAGATTGTTTGTTGGTATTGTCCCAACTGTCTATTTGAAACTCCGAGCAGCATGGTAAGGAGTGACGGGAACAGGTACGAATTATACCCTTATATAAACACAGGAGCATAGTACTAAGATCACAATTTGCCTAGATGTGCGCGTAATTGCTTCAATTGTCCCATTTGCACATCTCCATTAACGGTCACGGCCATGAACAATGCAGAGAATGGAGCATCCCAGAGTGGTCCTTGGATCCTATCCTGTAGTTATTGCATGTGGACAAGCCTTGATATCGATATAAAATTCGATAAGCCAACCAATATACGAGCTCAACTCCTATCTCTGAAAAATGGAGCGAACAGAAGACCTTCGGAAGCTAGGGCCTCGCAGTTTAAATCACCGCTTGCCAGCTTTGCCTCTACACCTACCCTACCGGAAGAAGAGCAAGATGAGAAGTTGGGAAGCCCGATGTCCTTTGACAACAAGCCTGCGTTAGGCCATGATGCCAGGTTTACGGCCTTGAAGAATTTCTACCGCACTCAGATTGCTGAAACATCGTCATCACCATCAGATCACTTGATAGGAGGTGACTTTGGTCTATACTCTTCTCCTAATGCGCTGAGCCGTATCATGTCTCTTTACAATACAGGCGTCGGGATGCATGGGAATAATAAAAAGAGCAAATCCAAACCCCCAGTTATGCGTGAAGCTCTCACACAGGCAGAGGGGTTGATTATTCCCACAGCCGGATCTGAGGATCATATCATTGAAAAGATGGCAGCCGAAGGGTGGGATGGGCTGGCGTCGATGGAGCAACAGCAGTTTCAACAGCCTTCCACACGATTTGTTGATGACTTACTACCGCTTCCGGTCCTTCTACGCACAAAGAGGTCCAAACGATGCAAAGCATGCAAGCACATCCTCGTTAAACCGGAAGTCAAACCACAATCTACTAGATTCCGCATCAGACTTATTGCTCTCAGCTACCTTCCGCTTACCTCAATCCGTCCGCTATACCAATCATCAGTTGCGCTTCCGATCAACCTAGAAGCACTTGAGCCCTTGAAACCTATTCAGTTCCTCCTAACTCTCAAAAACCATATGTTTGATCCTATCCGTGTCACGCTCGCAACTCCATCAGTGACTCCAGGGCCCGTTTCTACAAAGGTAACGATTCTATGTCCCCAACTTGAAGTTGGCGCCAATACAGATGTCTGGGATGAGGCCCTCCAGTCCGGAAATATGCCTGATCCGAGATCTTCCCGGCATGGCGGTGCTGAGAGAGTTGCAGAAGCAGGCAAGGTCTGGGACAAGGGACGTAATTGGACCACTGTGGCTATGGAAGTTGTCCCCGGTGCAATTAAGAGCAAAAATAAGCAAGCTCAACAAGATACGGATGATGATGAAGACCAAGATATAGTTGAGATCCCTGTATTTGTGAGAATTGAATGGGAAGCAGATGGCGGGAACGAGGAATTGGGGTTCCGGTCTGAAAACACCAAGAAAAGCGAGTCAGATACAGTAAAAAGAGAGCTTGCATACTGGATGACACTTGGGATAGGGAGGATTAAGTCTGATGCCTCTTGATGTGTTTTATTTCGTTACTAGCATGTTTGGCTAGTACATAGATACCCTGATACATAGTACCCATATGCGAACCGAAAGAGTGACACTTTGTTGACATTGCAATACAACTCCCGTCAGGTCTATGCCATGTGGAGAATACTAGTTCAAGACTTTCTTATAATAGACGACATTCTTGGCCAAGTTAGATATCTAGACATTGACGGTATGGCGAGGGTGTAAATCCAGGATGTTATAGATTCATCAACTGATGTAATGCTCCATACATAGGAACAAGTCGTTAAGCTTGTATTATTTTCCCTCCAAATAACGACGCCTTCCTCGACTCGATGGAGAGCGATACTTAGTGGTGTACAACGTTTTTTTGTTTTGTAAACATATTCCTCAATTGGGTATTATTCCCAGTGTAGGAGAGGAGAGAAAAAGAGGCAGCACCGCATCATATCTCCATTTCTTGAATTCATTGAGACTGGTCCCACTCCAAATATCTAGTACTCCGAAGATCCGCTCTGGGGGAACTCAAAAGCAACACCACGACCTGTCAATTTTCGGTAGACCTCGCCGTATGCATCAAGGCGGTGGTCCACACCACCACGCTCCTTCTCGTGGAGAACAACCTTCAACAGCTTGCTACCGTCCTCCTTTGTTCGGACACGCTTACCAACAATCTCGACTGGGTATACGATATCTGAGAGAATAGCTTCGTGGACAGCGGTAAGGGTACGGGAGCGTGGGCGCTTCTGGGTCTGGCTGGTGCGGGCGGTGGTGGATCGCTTGGGGCGTGGGAGGATGCGGCGAGAAGCAATGATAATGACCTGGCGGTCGGAGAATTTCTTCTCAAGTTCCCGGGTGAGGCTGTAACTGGTATGTTAGCGAGCGTCCCCATACTTGAAGTTACGTAGATGTAGAATAGACATACCGCTGCTGAATCTTGTGGAATCCCTGGAGAAGAGGGACTGGGACAAACATCACGATGGCCTTCTTGCCATGGCCAACCTCAACCTGCGATACAACCAACAGTCAGTATGTTTGATTTCCACCTATAACATGTATAAACCACCGTAGCTGGTCAACTGTGCAGATAGCATCCTGAAGCAAGCCGAGAGCACCTCCTGAATTCCCTGAGCTCCCTGACATGCGTATCTCATGCGACAAGACCTCCGGTCCCTTTATTCCATATTCTCTTTTATATCACCACCATGCTCAGCTCCGCGCTTCAGGAAGTATTCGCCAGTTCACCAATGCACCGAATATTTGTCCTCCAGGCAGGAAAAATAAGAAGGGCAATGTTCCCCTTACCTCGCGAGCAGACACGAACTGGAGAGGTCGTAGAGCGACCTTCAAGTCAGGGGTGTTGGTCTCCAGGTCGTTGAGAGCGGTAGCCAAAGCCTTCTCGAGGTCGGAAGGACTCTGCCTCGAAGGGCTGTTTGCGGCGATCTTGTTAGCAGCCATGGTGGGCAGACAAATTCAAGAGCGTTACGACGGTTAATTTGCTGCTCCCTCGTCGTTCGTATGGCGGTGCCGGTGGTGGTTGTCGAAATGGAAGATGCTGAACTTATCTGGCTGCGGCCGTCAGAACTTCGCGAAAGTCACGATTTTTTTTTAGACGTTCGTTTTTTCGTGGGGATAAACCCTCGCTTACCGATCGGGTTAGTCAGTCACGTGGCGCATAGGGCAGCCGCTGCCGGAAGCGGACGAGAAGGCAAAAAGACAACATCGAACGAACGTCACGGCGAAGAAGAAGAGGGAGAAGACACTTGATATCAGAGAATGTAAACTGCTATTAGACGGCCACTGCTCATGGCTGTTGGTTGAGGCTGTCTCTCAGGGGCTATATATATGCGCATTACAACTACTTTGTTACGACTACTTAAAGCTCGGCATGTCATACATGTCGCTGGGATCTGTCATGCAGTCTCATCAGTGGGCCGGCTACCTCTCAAAATATCCAAGCAGGAGCAGAGATAACTGGGCTTACCTTTGTGGTTCTCGATGATGTACTTTCTTGCGCTTCGAATCTCGTGCTCGAGGGTGGTGAGAAGCTCCTGCTGCCGGATTCTTACCTTTTCATTGCGCCTCGAGCCGCCTAGGACGGCTGCTTTGGCAACGTGGAATCGCGATACCCTGTTGAGCAGCATCATGTCAAACGGAGTAGTGGTAGAGCCCTCTTCCATGTAACAACCGATGGTGATACGGTCAACACGAGGCCTACCGAAGAGTAATCCCTTGAGCTCTGTTTCATATCCGTGGTAGTTGAAATGGATCGGACGGTCCGCTGTGAACAGCGCGTCAAAAGTTTCATCCGAGAGCGAGTGCGGATGGCTCCTCTCTGAACCAAGAATCATCAGGTCCGTAACATTTACCACTCGGACGCGAAGGTCAGGTACCAGTTTTCTTAGGATGGCTGCCGCCTGGATGACCTCGAAGGTGACTTCCGTCCCGATGCCGACTAGCACCACGTCTGGATCTAAACCTCCATCAGTGCTTGCAAAGCCCCAGGTAGAACCCCCGGCTCGGCAATGAGTCTCCGCCTCCTCTGCACTCAGGTATATTTGGGTTGGCTGCTTCGACCCGATCATAAGATTGACATAATTCTTAGATTGCAGGCAGTGAGACAGCGTCGAGAGAAAAGTATTTGCGTCTGGAGGCAAATACACTCTGGCAGCATTGGGCTTCAAATTTAAAACCGCAGAGATAAATGATGGATTCTGGTGAGAGAACCCGTTATGCTCCTGGCGTGCCCAGGTGCTTGTCTCAATATAGTTAATGCTAGGCAAAGGGCGGCGCCAATTGGTTTCCATACCCTGTGAAGAACCTCAGCATCTGTCCTGCCTTCTTTCGAAGGATGAGAATGGAAGCAAACAACTGCAGTAACGTACCATTTTGTTGAACTTCGAGTACTGAACCATCATGGTATGGATAATCCCTAGGAAGCTCTCGTAAGACGGGAATATACCCGTCCGTCCTGTCAAAGTATATCCCTGGAGGAAACCCTGACACATATGCTCGCTTAATACTTCAATTACCCGTCCACCCCGGGCATTAGAAAACTGATCGCATTGAAAATTTCGGCCCGTCTTTTCCAACACGGCACCAAGTTTGTTACTCTCCAGCTCGTCTGGGGAGAAAATCCGCATAGAATGGGGGTTATCCACCAGGATCTGGCCCATAAAATGAGAGATCGTTTTCATGGAACTTTCCTGGGAACCCTTTGAGACTGTGTAACGTCTCCAGTCTGGCATTTTGAGTTTTTCAAATGTGTCACACACCTCTTTTCGCTGACCCATTCGCTTTGAATCTTTCTTGGGAAGGATCGATTTGATATCATCAATCACATCCCCACGCTCGTTGAACAGCTCTTCCGGTTTATATGAAGAAAGCCATTCCTGTAACGCTTTGAGCTCTTCTTCGTCCTTCCCAGCTGCTGGCAGCGGTACTTGATGCGCTGCGAAGGAGCCCTCTACGATTTTCCCATGGATGCTCTTTGGTCCTGTCCAACCCTACACATAGAGCCGTTAGCCATCCCACTTGGGCATGTCATGTTATACAAGAGGACTTCGTACTAACTTTGGGGGTTCGCAAGATCAACATTGGCCATCGGGGTTTCATGATTGGGCTTCCAGACCGGGCGGCCTTTTGGATCCTACGGATTTCTGCTAGTGCCCATTCTAACGAGCTATTCAGGTTGGTATCAATATCATCCAAGCCTTCCACGATTCGTGCCTGGTAGCCGAAACCAGAGAACAATGAGACAAGCTCTCTGTCATCCATACACCCGTAGATAGTCCGCTCGCTAATCTTAAATCCATTGAGATGAAGAATCGGCAAGACAGCCCCTGACTCTGCGGGATCGATGTACTTGATACCATTCCAGCTCCTACTTGCAAAATTAGCGAAACATGCTCGACAAAGAAAATGATGGAAATAAATGGAAACTCGTGCGAGCCGTTTCTCAGATCGACTGACGCTGTACACGGGCCGCTCTCGGCCTCCCCATCGCCTACCACAACAGCGGTTATCAGGTCTGGGTTATCCATTACAGACCCAAACGAGACGGCTAGGGCGTATCCAAGTTCGCCACCTTCATGTATGGCTCCGGGTGTCTCCGCATTGATGTGACTGAGAGGAACTTATATTAGCCTTGGTTGCAATGGAAATTAACGTCCGCGATACGAGGAGGTTGTGGCTTGAATAACTATTGCCATCTTACCTGGGAAATCCGCCAGTGGTACTGAACTGGGTGATCAACTTGGTGAGCCCATTGGTATCGTTGGCGTATTTAGGGTAAAACTTTCCCAATGACCCTTCAACCCAGAGTGAGGCGAGGATCGCAGGTGCGCCATGCCCAGGTCCGGTGACAAACAGCATATCCAAGTCATGGCATCGTATCATATAGGTGAGATGGGAATACACGAGATTCAAACCAGGACAGGTGCCCCAGTGGCCTTGCCGACTCTTCTCGTCAGCGAAACAATATCTTGTTTTTGATATTATTTGCGGATGGCGGCGAGCCCGTTTCAGCGTACGTACCTAGCAGCCGGGGTTTGATATCTTCAGGCTTAACCGGGCGTTTCATGTAGGCATTGCTCTGGAGAAATATCATAGCTTTGTTCCGCAGTATCAATGTCAGCCACGATCTAACGGCAACTAACAATCTGGGATTGAAAACTAACCCGCAGCAATGTAGTCCGTGGCTCGACGGAATTTCTCCAACGAACGACGGACCCCGTCGTCCAGCTTGACTGTTTGAAGTTGAACCCTGAGCTCGTCCACCGAGTCTGGTAGCTGGGACGGAGGAGGCCTCGGGTTTGGTCGGTCGATAACCTCGCCTGGCATCTTGATAACTAGTTACGGTGTCTGTGATGCCGGTATAGATATGGTACAATATAGATAGAGCAACAGCCCGATACTGATTTATCAAGGCGAGTCTCGATGCAGAATTACTGGAATAACAGAGTAAAATGAATATTTACTTGCCAGGAATCCTTCTTGACACTGCATGGCTGCATATAAGGAAGACCGCCGCCACAACCATGGAAGCTTTGTTGACATCATAATGTTGGAGAAAGTAGGACGGATATCCCTGTTCTCCACCAACATTCTGACGTAGCTACGATGAGTAGAGAGCGTTCAGCTAGAAACATAAAATAAAGGCGTAAGACGTGGAGCAGAGGGTAGTTAGGAGTGAAGGGTCCCAGCTGAGAGATATCGCAGCTCTTGGTCAAATAGCCAGCTCTAGCCATGGGTCGGGTCATCCTCTCTGTCAACGCCGGCAGCTCGTCTGTCAAGGTGAACGTCTACCATCTCAAGAACCCGCCGGTCGAAGTTGCAGCAGCCAGTGTGAGCGGCCTGACAGCGCCGCCGAGCGTCTTCAAGTACGAACATGGCTCAAATCACCAGAAGCACGAGACCGAGGAGGAGATCAAGAGCCCACAGGATGCGTTCAAGTACATTCTCAAGAGACTCTTGCATGACCAGGAGCTGCAGGTCGTCAGCAGCAACTCCGACTATGCCTACGTTTGCCACAGAGTAGTCCACGGAGGAGACCTAGAAGAGGAGGTTGTCATACATGAAAAGACGTTCAATTATCTCGAGACGCTGCAAGACCTGGCGCCGCTGTAGGTGTGGCCGTCAATATAGGGGGCAAGACGATAACTGGCTGACAGTAGATCTAGACACAATACATCTGCGCTGGAAATCATCAGGACATGTCTGCAGGAGGTTCCGTCTGCAAAGTCAGTGGCATATTTTGATACCACATTTCACCAATGTCTGCCGGATTATATCAAGACATACCCTATAGATCCGGAGGTGGCTAAGTCGAAGATGCTGAGGAAATACGGCTTCCATGGAATCAGCTTCTCCTTCATCTTGCGGTCTGTATCAGAGTTTCTGCACAAACCGGCCTCGGAAACGAGTCTAATCGCACTTCATCTTGGAAGCGGTGCTTCCATCTGTGCTATACAGGACGGGAAATCCATAGAGACTACGTATGTCAAGTGCCCTAATTCCAATCCACATACCCCCCCTATTCCTTAAGCTCCTATTTTAAAAAGGAAGTAGATAATATGCAGCCTAGAAAATGGAGCCCATGGCTGATATGCATTGCATTGCAGGATGGGCCTCACTCCGCTCTCCGGCCTTCCCGGCGCCACAAGGAGCGGAGACATCGATGCAAGGTGAGTTGAGTTGGTCATTGATACCTAGGGCCATGGTGTTTGGCTGACCGGTTCGACAGTCTTGTATTTCATTATACATCAGAGGCAAGCAAGCTAAGCTCTTCGAGCACCAAGGAGATGCATATCAGCAAGGCATGTATCACAAGTCCATTTGAACCGGTGACATTGTCCTAACAGGCTGCTACAGGCTGAGGAGATTCTCAACAAGAAGTCAGGCTGGAAGGCATTGACCGGAACCACCGACTTTGCTAAGATCGGAACGGACAATCCACCCACTGAGATGCACAAGTTGGCATTTGACATCCTTCTCGACCGTATTGTTGGATTTATTGGGAATTACTTTGTCAAGCTGGGTGGAAAGATAGATGCCATTGTCTTTGCAGGGGGTATAGGCGAGCGAAGTGCGCTTCTGAGAAGTTGCATAGCAGAAAAATGCCGATGTATTGGAATTGCTATAGACAGCGAGGCGAATTCCGCCGGTATTCCCAGTGAGGATCAAACCGTGGTAGACATTTCTGAGAAACCTGGTCAGCGGCCTGCTGCTCTAATTTGCCAGACGGATGAAGCGGTAAGCGGAATCTCCTTCACGGTCTTCATATTGTTGCAGGTCACACGAGCTTGCCCTGGCTGGTGCTTGGGCTGACATTTTCCCACGGTTAGTTTGAGATGGCATATCGATGCATGAACAAGCCTCCCAGAGAGGAGCCAGCTCACTTCTAACGAGCCACGGCCGTTGTCACACGTCACCGTGCAGGAAGTGCAGGACTCTTAACCGCGGATACCTCGCCCCGGCGGCTCCAGCGGCAGCAATCTTCATCAGATATCATTGTAGCTGGCCTATGCAATAATACCGGTTTTCAAAAAGGTCATCCTGCCCTTCAGCTGTCAACGATAGCGACTCTTGCTACGGCTGACTCCAAGAACACGATCTTACCCCGTTTGCCGCCATGTTTTCTCTTCGTTGACTGTGTAACTTGTAGCTATCAGGGTCCATCCATTACTTGAACTGAAGAGGCAGATAAGCCACTTTCTTTTTTTTTTTTTTTCGTCATTTCCCCCGTTCAGATAATAACTGGTCATCGGGAAGAGACAACATGGCTTATTTTGAAACCTGCCAGGACGTTTATTAAAGCCATACGACGACTCGTGGCATATCTGTCAGCCCTCATCCATCGCTATTGAGGGTGCCATCGGGGAATGATAAGGAAGAGGCCGGGTAAAAAGAAAAATATATTCCTTCGTGAAACGCCCTGCACGGGGAGAATAGCCGTCTCTTCACTTGTCAGTCATGGCAGTTAGCCTTATAGGCGAGAGGCGCCGAGTGGCGGACTGCTTATATATATTTATTATTTTGATAGCTTGGTTAGCTACCCCTGAAATACGGGCAGAATGAATACAATTTGCAACGAGAGCTTCTTTGGTCCGGCCTCACGGGTGTTCTCAACAGACGATAATGATAATAATAATAATAATCAGCCTTCCCTCACCCTTTTCATGATTGGAGACCGTTATTTCGTCCCTTTTTTTCCAATTTTCTTTCTTTTTCTTTCTTTCTTTTTTTCACCTGGATATTTATTTCGTTAGTTAACCCAACAACGGTTGCCGCGGAACCTGCAGCCTTGGATCCGGGTACGATCTATCATCTGGGCCCTTGGACTCTGCCTTATCCTTTGTGTATACGGATGGAACTCGCTTCCCATCACAATCTAACCGCCGATCTGTATCAAGGGTCATAAAGAAAAGAAGAAAAAGCGACCTTGCATCAAAGCAGGAGTGCGACGTCCCAAAGCAAACCCAGTGCAGCGATACCTCAGGCTGCAGCAGGTTTCTTGACTCAAGGGGGCCCCGGATCCATTATTATCATGTATGTCTCCCGCTGCAAATCAAGCATGCTGCAGGCGCGGATGCATAGTTTAAAGGTGGAAAAAAAAAGACATCGTGCGTGCACCTGCATCGATCTTGCATGAACGTGCTAATCAGGGCTCCAAGGGGGGCTTTGCTTTTTTTATTCGTGAGCAGAGAGTTGCCGTGCATAGCTGGCGATGTGCCTCAATATATGCCAACAAAGGAGGAGAACAATGAACGGCACTGTCGAGAGTATTAAACAATGTGTCGGAGCAGACAAACGGAGTCCTTTTAGGGAGAAGATTCCAAAGAAGGGGAGAACCAGTTAACTAGCTGTCAGTTTCGAATAATCAACGCCTGGCGTATTCAAGGGACTAGCAGTGTGTGGTCAATTGAAAAATGGCTGCAAGTCCTCCTTCGAATTTGGGATCATTGCATGCAATCCATTGACACTTCATGGCGTTTTCCCTCCTGTATTCGGGTCACCAGGAATATTGTAAGACATGAATTGGACCAATAATCTATCAATCCTGTCCTCCAAGCCAGGTATTCTGTTTGAGATCGAGGTATACTACCATTCGAGATGATGTACCAAATGGCCCTTAAATCTTCCTGATAACCTGCGGTAATACACAGCGTTCCAGTCAAGCAATGTTTCCCAGGGGTATTTATAATTATATTGAAGCTCGTAGTACTCTTTAGTATGTGTATTTTTCTCATAACCGTTGCCATGGTTATATAATATTAAAACATAGCTAAGGCTAGGGGCAATACACAAAATACTGTATCATGCGATGCTTGAGATTTTACTTCAAAGGGGAGAGGGAATCAGGCTTTATCCGAGGGAACAGCTTCTCGGCCAGATGTTCAGGAGTCGCATGATAGGGGATTCAATGCAAATGAGACGTCGGCTGCTCATTTTTAGCTGAGGTTGTATGTGGCCGCCCCTTGATGTTAATTTCTCCTAGCAATTTGGCTAGCTATCACAGAATTGAATAGTAAGCCAATGCCTTGCTGGACGGATATGACCGAGATATCAATATACAGATCTGCTCTCTTGTTGATATCAAGTTTCCTCTTCCCTAAAGAGGCACCTGGACAAACAGCCAGCAGCCAGGACTTAAAGACTGGTATTTCGATCGATCTCTTTTCCCTGTTAATAGCTGCAGCGAAAATCAACAGGTCAGCATGAAAAAATATCTAAAAAGACCAATTAACTATTGGGGGTAACGAGGGTATTTGTTTTATCCTTGCCCTAGTACTTCGTACATGTTTCTTTCTCGCTGCTAACTATCTGAGGCTGCAGGTTTTGGCGGGAAATCAGGGGGGCCATCCATCCATCAGCTCTATTAATCCTCCGTATTACTCCTAGAACAGGAGACATCGGGAAGAAAAAGAAAGACACTGACGGAAAGAAGGAAAGAGGCCAAAAAAAATAAAAAATAAAAAAAAATTGATACAGCCACTTGAAATTGATGTCATAGCTGGCATCTTCTTCAAGAAACGAAAAATACATGTTCTCTCGCCCCCGGCCGGAGATTAGGACAGCCGCAGATGAGACCGGTCATCTTTGATAATATCGAATTCTGAGCTCCATGGAAAACATCATTCGAGACGCGGAGGCATGGCGCGAGATCGGAAGCAGCACAGTCTCTGCTTTCAAAGGCAGGAAGAAGAAGAAGAAACAGATATTTCAGCGGAAAAAGAAACTTTTAGGACTATTCTTTACGGTTTCGGGCCTGCTCCGCGGTTTCCAGTTGATTGGAATCTACAGCGTTTGGATCTTTTGAGGATTATCCACCCGCCGGGAAGGGAGACGCACTTCCGCTGCCGCTGGGGAGCTGGTGGATATATAGCGGACGCAGTATACATGTGCTAACTATATATAAGCATGCCCTTGACGGTCCTCCATAGGCTGATACTCGAAGGCACGCCTGGAGTATAAAAGTTGACAAAAAAAAAAAAAAAAAAAGACGGACTTTATATTCAGGACTGGATGATATTATGATAGATACGTGCCAGTCGATCGCATTGCAGAGAGATCACATCGCTATACGAGACCCAAGCAGTTCCTATAGGGGAGAAAAACTAGTAGTGGAGGGGATCATCTCAGATCATTGAAGACGTGGAAGTGGGCTTCCGCAAGCCATTGGCTGGCCGGTGGATAAGATATTGGAAAGAGGTGGTGCAGCAGAGGCAGCGAGGCGCCGGAGAAATGAGCTGGTTGGCCATGCAAACACCGAGCAATGGCTGTCCCCGGGGACCCAGCATTCAGGTCCCTGGGAGCCGGAAGCGCTATCGTATACGCCGCCGCAAGCCAGTACGTGGTCCTCCTGTGGCCTGTGTCGAGCAGCAGCAGCAGTGGGAAAGCCTTCGACTGGGCATCAATCAACCTGGCAGTCTGGTTTGCGATATCGATAGGACCGGGGGGGGATGAGTGGGGGGAATCCATAAGCCTTGGACGCACGACGACCATAGGGGATCAGTGGATGTTAAGGCTGCGTTTTCGTGTAGCTGCTGCATGATAAGAGGACGTTCTCGCCCAACGCAAAGCAGCGTCACTGACGCCAATCTCCATGGGGGGAAGGACAACTCAGCAGCCAGCCATGCTGCTTGGTGAATACGTGGTGGGATCAATCGCCCATGGAGCGCATGCAACTTCGCCGTTTGTTTGGCTTAGGCTCAAACACGTACCTTGCAGAAATCAAAAGACAACCAGGCCTCAGCAGACCAGGGTTGTTCGCAAGCCACCAACGTCTGGCCTGTCTGGGCGCGAGGGTGAGGCTCTTCTGCAAAAATCAAGCTGCAGCTCCCAAATATTGGCCCTGTTTTTCACCTGGGTTAGCTGGTATTAAGCCGAGCTGGTGCTTAAGTAACTTACTACGGAGTACTAACGGGGGCGAATCGACTTCGTTCGTGTCGACCTGCCCGCCCTGTCGATTCGGAGCAATATCGCAAACAGGTCATCAAGATGAAACCAAGGGCCGGAATCCACCAATCTGACAACGTTGAAGCCGGCTGCATGGAAAAGGGAGCCCCTTTTTTTATACGCAACTTCCGGGCCGTCAGTTGATCCACAGCCGCCCCCATCTCACCCTGAAGGATAAAAGGCCCTAGGGTGAAATGATATGAGCTAATGGGCTGTTAACAGAGCACAGGGCTTGGGCGTCCCTTAGAATGGGTTTGTGGCTCTCGGTTTAACTGCTTCCCCCTCTCTTGAGACGGCACAAGATTGGGGAAGACGTCTTCTAGAAGAAGCCCTCCCTCGGCGATCGTGGGGAGGTTGATGGTGCCTGGGAGGGGGGTGGCCATGATCTCCCAACCCACTCCCCAACGAGGATCAGAGATCTTCTCGTCTTACGGAGCACAGCAAGACAACATGTTTACAGAGAGTCATTCCCATAGTGCGTGAATTTGGCTTTCTCGCCTTCTTCGATGTGGATTCCAGAGCCGTTCCAAAATCCTGGGTGACGGTATTTGGTTGAACGCCTCTCGAGAGGAGCTAAGTGGAGGCAATGTACATCAATTGGTGCACTATTCCACAATTATTCCATACAAGAGGCGAAAGGGCTCTGCTCTAGTTGAGCCAAAACCAAGCCAAAAAGCAAAGGGAGGGGGAGGAATAGGGAAAAGAAAAGATGGTAACTAAGGGTACGAAAAAAAAAGCACTCTGACGCCCTCTCACACTCATAAACCACCACTGGTCTTGGAGGAATACGATACGGCGGGAGGGGTTTTACCTGACTGGTGGTATCAATATTGAATGGAGGATATCAACGTATAATTTTTTTGAGGGCTTGGGGGTTGACTTTTGGCCCGGAGCGAAGACACAAAACGGCACTAGTGAGGGCCCAGGGATGGGATGGATGGACTCGTTTATTATTCTTTTTTAACCAACATTTTGTGTTCCATTTTGACAATCACCCGGCCGTTGCGTAAGGAGAGGAGCAACTGTGCTGTTCTCCCCCCTGTGCCTTTTTAACCCACGATTAAGCAAAGTGCCCGGCTGCAGGGGATAATCGTGAGTATACCTTCCTCTTGCGCGTGAGGGAAAAAAATAAAAATAAAAATAAAAATAAAAAAACACAACGTATCCACCATTTGATCCGCTTCCCGTAAGGCGTGCAACGTGGGATGGCAAAGTATGTACTCACTTAAGAGCTGGACAAGCGGAATCGGTTCGTTGAGCGATTAGTGAGAGGGGAGCTTCCGAGACGCGGATGGGGGTTGCTTTCTATTTTGTCTCCACAGCCAGGCATGCTGAAAGATTGGACATTTATATGATTAGCGTGTGCTGATGGCTTCCAGCATGCTCTAGCGGCGTTTATTCGTTGGGGGTTCCGCGGGATAACCTGCCAGAAGGGATTGAGTCAATCAGAAGATAGAGAAGTAAACATAGGAGGAATTGAGAACCGCAGAAAGTCCACCGGCTGCGGTCAGAAATCCGCCCAGAGCCACTCAACGGCTTCAATCATCCGGATGCCCGCTTCACAGCCCTAATCGAAATTCTGGAATGTTACTATGCATGGTGTACAGAGCGGTGCAGCCAACGAAGAGGGATGCCTTCACACCCTCACCACCTCGTAGGAAGCAGCTCCCTCTCGCAGGAGAGTACGAAGACAAGCTCGTTCTCGTACCCGAGGCACCAGGAACCCGTCACTGTCACACTCGTGAAGCTGGCTTCCTTTGTCCCTCCCCCCCCTTTTTTTACCCTTTTCCATGCCGCGTTCGCGTCCAGGGGGGCCCACAACCGGCGTCTATAACAGACGATGAATGACGAGCCCTGTGGGGAAGATTAGCATCGCACCATGAGAGAAGAGGCGAGGTTTCGAAGTTAAGCATATAGCCGTTCATAACGCAACTATAATATAATAACGGCTTACCTGAGAAATATAATAATATAATGAAGAATCAGGAAAAGGAATCATAATTAAATACAGACCCTCTTGCATGTATCATGTTGGACCACAGCGGGAATGGGTGTATGCAGTATCCACGTGTGTATTCTCCCGCTGTTCCTATTCCTTTTTCCGTGCGATTGAGATTCAAGAGACAATGAGCTGGACGTTAGCCTGCGTCTGACCGAAGGACACGAACGACTCATAACTCATATCTCGGTCTAGGCAGAGGTAATTTCGCGGTCTTCGTATTTCCGTGTGAGCGTTCAGGGGGGGTTGATACATAAGTATGTCTTCCCACGCAAGTTTGACAAGGGCTCTCCTTGGGGGTTCCTCGTAAGCTGCAAGCTAAATAAAAATAAAAATAAAAAAATTCATCAGCCCTGGCAGGGCAGGGCCGACGAATGACACATGTCCTTTGTACTATAAAGCGGGCGGAATTGCCATCGAGCCGTTACACTACCGCAGCGGGCCCGCTCCTTTACATACTTATTCCGGTGGTGTTATTCGCAGGGGAGGGTCCAGGTTCTGTTCCTGCATGGTCCCTCAACCTCCAGAACTTCAAATGCTCACTTCCCATCGGTTGTGTGTGTTGGTTGTCGGTTTTCTGATTCCTCCAGGATGCAACGCTGCTCCTATCCAGCTCAAACGGTCGACTTCAAAACCGTTGGTGATCGATGGTTCCGTTTGTAACGGCGCTCGTCCAGCCATTGGGTGATAAACTGCCGATAGACGGCAAGGAAATATGTATATATGTAGAGACAAAAAAGAAATACCGTCCCAAGCACGACTGGTGCTGGGTTATGGGAAGCAAGGATTTCGATCTCGACCAAGTTTATCTGGCAAGCCCTCCTGCACGGTAAATATCTGTCAAAGTGTAGCAGCTTTGGTAGAAAAAATGTGTCAATATCCGCCATGGCATGTTGCAGAGATCTTCTTTTGGGGGATCCTCAGCTGGCATGATGCTCAATAGTCTGCATTATTGCAATCGTCACCGTACATTAATGATTCAAGTAAGCTGGATTGGCGTCAGTCTGGTGTCTAGTCGGTATTTGGCCACCGATCTTGCTCTGCAGTAGCTTGCATCGCTTCAGCCAGCAACCTAAAAGGAAATTAAGAACGGTGGCCATCTTTCCCTTCGCTCTCCTGCTTCCCCCCAACCATCACCACGCACTGATGAGCGGGTGTGTGACCCCATAACTTGACCTATAACCCCTACGCCATCGTAGTACATGTCCTGTGCTAGGTAGGCTATCAGCGGGAATAAACAAAAAAAGAGCTGTCGTCTGAAGCAGTCCTTTGGACAGCAGGGCCCATCGAAGAGCACGCCCAGGCAGCAACTATCGACCTAGTCACAGAGGTTTGAAGTTGGGACCCAGAGATTAGGTTGAGCAGAGAACTAGCCGTTTGCTCGATGATCTGGACCAGATAAATTGAGTAGAAATGGAAGCCAACGGGAGACTTCTGCCTCTGTACGGAGCGCGCTAGTTACAGCTGCGGCAAGCCAGCTTCTAGACCAACCGTCCTCCTCGAACTTCTAGACTTTCTCTCGGGCTCTCTTCTCCGTTCTGCACATATGTACCAAGGCGAGGAGCGAGAGACAGGACAGGCCGGCTAAGAGAGACCATAATAGGTGGTCTGTCCATGCTGCAGGTTATCTGTCGAGTGGCTAGAGGCAGGCCTGCTAGTTCTTTCGAGACAAGATGATATATCGGATTTCTTTGGCATGATCCGTCAGGAGATCGGCGTAAAGGCGAAGAAGATGACTGATCGCTACACCCTTCCCGTGGTTGGGGTTCAGTGCTGCCGAACCTGTTTGTATAACGATGTGCCTCTCTCCCGCCACACCCACAAGCCTCAGTCCAGGACTGCACATCCGGCTATACAATCCTCATCTGGGCTGGGACAGGTTTCCCTCTTCTGGGGGGGTGTGGAAGCATCCCTGGCTGAAGGAAGCGAGAGCGCAACCAGGACGGAGCTGTGGCTGGAACTGCTGCAGCCGCAACGGACAGAAGTGAGGCGCACCGTGGAACTTCTAGGGCGAGATCGAAATCGCAAACCGGTTCTTCTTTGTGTGCGGCCCGAGTTGTTCTATCTGCAAGATGGCGAGCTAAAGATGTGTATGCGTTGAGTACGAATATCTCAGCTCCTGTTGCAAAGGAGTTAACGAGCTGCCTGTTTCTGACGGCGTATCCCTCCCGAAACAGCTCGATTTCTCTTTTGAAACCGACGAGCTAGCCAGGGGCAGCAGAAGCGCCTGGGATCCAGTGGAGCAGGGCCAATGATAGACTGCTATGCTCCGTTCTCTGGGAGAAGCTTTTGTAAATTTTCAACTCTGTATACTTCGTGTTATAGGAGTCCTTTTTTTCCCTTTCGAATACATAATATAAAGGTAAATAAAGTAGCGAGCTGGTAAACTCACCCGGCACCAGAACCAAGGGTCGAGCAGAGTTAGCCAGGGCCCTCTCTGACAGGGAGCTCCAGCGATAGTTATCCACTCCGGCCTCTAGCAGCTGTCGAGCTGTCTGTTTCCTAGCCACTTCTCGCGTGAGCTCTTGCTCCCTCTGCGGGTCGAGACACAGCGCGGTTCCAAAGCTGACGACCACCGGCCAGATATCAAATTATCAAATAACTCATACGCAAGATCTAAGCTGGAGGAGAGGAGGACGAAGCAGACGCAGAAGAAGCAACGGGCTGACGTCCCTCTGCTTCCTCCGTCGCCCGTCCGCGCCGCTGAAACCAACCCTGTCTGTCCTAGGCATCCACGGCATGTAATTTGGATACTGACCTAGGCGTTGGCCTCTCTGCTCCAAGCCGAACCCGCCGGTAAGGTAGAGATGCAGCGAGGCAAGGCACAATCTCAGGCAAGTAAACGGTGCACACGTCCGCCCATTCGCCTCTCTTTTTGCGTTTATCTTCTTATGCTGTCGATAATCCTGCTGGACAGAGCCTATCATGAAGCAGAGAAAAGCGCAGAAAATCCTGCATGGGCATTGAAGTTATTTTTTATTTTTTTTTTATTTTTTATTATCTTCAAAAAAAAAAACCCCTTGCTTGCTCCAGCATCTCTGTCGGAAGAGTCGTGTTTCATCTTCTTCATCAGCCCCTTTTTTGCAATTTCACACTTTTTTTTTTTTTTTCAAACCTGACTCTCGCCATCTGTTTCTTCTGATGGAGGAGAGAGAGAGAGAGAGAGAGAGAGAGAGAGAGAGAGAGGGTAAAGTAAAGCCCAGAGCAGAGTATATGCACCCGAGTATGCATCTTCCTGCGTAAGAGTAAGGCCGCTGCGAGAGCTCGTCACAGAAAGCTTTTCTTCTTCCCTCCATGCAGGCTCGCTCTGACTCTGGCTTGACTTGATGGACTGGACTGACTCAATAAGCGGGCCGGCGAGAAACAGTTCTGGCCATAACGCCGATTCTGAGAGATGGGCTGGCATGGATGGCTGCTGCAGTTGCTTTTTCATCTTATCATCTTCCGTCTCCCTGTACGTACGGATACTCTGTACTCCGTCCTCTGTAGCCTCCGTCTCTGTCTCTGCCTCTTCTTCTTCTTCTGCTGGCTGCTTCGAACGCTTCTTCTCTTCGTTTCTTTTCTCTCCAAGGCAGCACAAAGAAGCAAAAGAGAAGCCAGACTGAAAAAGCAAAGAAGCGGCCAATTTGCAGTCTAAGGAGAAGGTTAGCAAAAAAAAAAAAAAAAAAAAAAAAAGGAACAATTAAGAAGGAAAAAGCAAGGGGGAAAAATAAGAAATACTAAGGGCAAGGGAAAAAAACCGATGGAGTTACAGGGCTTCATCTTACAGTGTTTGTTGAAAGGGGGTTTAAGTCCTTATTTTTTTTCTTTTCTTTTTCTTTTCTTTTCTTTTCTTAGTGATAGTAATTATTTTGCTATTTCATTTTTTTTTTTTTTTTTTTTTTTTTTTTTTTTTTTTTTCAACTTGGTAATAGAATCAGGAAGATGGGGAGACTGAGAAATGTATATTAGTATGAGACGCTGCTCTTCTGGATCGTCTCTCGTTCTTCTTCTTCTATCATTTTATATCCTTCAAGCGTATTCACTCCTTCATCTTCAACCTACCTCTTCCTCCTTAATCCATCCCTAGGAATCTCCAAGGGGGGGCTCTCTACTTAGCCGTCTACTCCTATTTCCTCTCTCGACTCCTTTCCGCCATCGCCGACCTTTCGACGAAGGAGCCAACAGCAACATTTGAATATCGTCTTGAACCTCCTACCGATCTCTCCCGGTGACCATCTATAGTCACTCAGAAAAAAGAAAAAGAATATACAGACGAAACGAGAAACGCCATATATTCAATACCCTCCTTTTTGACGCATTCAATCCTTTGGTCGTTCGGACTTTTTTTCGTGGGAGGGAATATTTTATTCACGGATATAATATATAACACGAACCAAAAAGCTGCTCTGTAACCGGAGGAGCAACGAGACTTGACGCTTACTTATCTTCCTGTTTGGGAGGGGATATCATATTCAGCTCCAATCCCCGGCGAGTGCCGCAGGTCTGCAATCATCGGTCAGCTGTACACAGCGTCCCAGGTTAGTCATTCTTCTTCTGCGTTCTGTGTCCCTTTTCTCTATTATTATACGTCCTATGCCTGCATGCGGGTTGATTTTCCTTGTGCTCCGGCCGAGGTATGACAGGATCCGATCCTTGTGAGGCTGCGAGCATCCCTGGACGTGCATGAGTAGATATTAATATCTCCTTGAACATTTGATATATATATATATATATATATATATATCCATATATATATCTATATTTGCCGGATGGATACCTGTGGACCTCAGTCAGCTAACTGGATGTACAACCAGGTCAACACAATGATTATCAGGGATCTTTCTGCTACCAACATGGGACGAGGTGCTTACGACACAACCGGCGTACCAAAGCCTCAACCGCCTCCCAAGCGGTAACATGTCGCCTCCCAGGACGATCTTTCTGATATCTCAACTTCTCTCTCTCTCTCTTTGCTCCCATCGATGCATACGTTCTGTTCTACATCATTTTTAATACTCGACCTTTTCGACGCCTCTCCTTTGTACGATCCTCTCGTACCTCCGACCACCCTCTTTTTTTATTTGATCATCGCTTTCCTCTTTCTCGGAGAGAATCGAAGGAAAAGGGATGGGAAAACGACCGATATTGTGACTGGTTGATGATTGGTCCAGAACAGAATTTCTTCCCGTCCTGGCGGCTACCAACAACCAACTTTTGAACACGGAACTAACAAACAAGGGGAGGAACAAAACCCTCGCTCTCTTGGGGCTAGCTCGCTCTTTGTTACCGGGCTGTGCGATGAGACGAACGACAAGGGAATATACCCCTCCAGTTGACATTTAAAGGACAGGCCGTTCGTCTGGACCGTTGCGCTCTCTGGTCGACCTGCTTCCTACCGATTCGTCCGGCCCCGTCATCCCGATACAACAACCTGCGCCCTTCCCCCCCCCTGCACCATGCATAGTTCCATTGGTCCTTTGAACGCCTCCAACTACTTGACCGGAGATTTCAAAACAGCCCGACCAGCTTCTTTCTCTTTCTTCTGGTCGCTTCGATCTGGCCCCAACAATATCTGTCGTCCTTCCTCCCTCGTCTTTCCGGCGTTTCAACCCCCTGCGGCCGCCGCCTCGTCTCTCTTCTCCCTCCTTTGTTCTCCTTTGGCTCCAAAAAAAATGGCTTTCCTCTCCTGGGTCTTTCTTCTGTTCGGCGTTTACCACATAGACGGATGGGATAGAATTGGCAACAACTGTTTTTTGGTTTCATCTTTTCCCTTTGTTCGCTTTCATTTGTTCCTGTCGTTTCTGCGCCTTTTCCTTTTTCCTTTGGGGGGTTATACCATTGAGATCTAGACTCATCGACTTCGCAGTCACTTTTTCTTCCACTCGCCTTCTTCGTCACCGGCTTCCTGCTTGCTTATAACACATCCTTTCGGCTCGTCCCGCCTAATTCTATCCAACAAGCGCCTTGCCGCAGAAGGCCCGGGAACTAACGGGTAGCATGAACAACTCCGTTTGTTCCTCCGTGCCTCTTGCATTCCTGTACCGCTCTTCGGGACGTGTTCTGGCAAGCGGGATAGCTGGCTGAGTTTTCATCTTCATGATACCTGTGCCGCCTTGACATTACTTTTGTTCATTGCTGAAGAAATGCCTTTACGACCAGTGCACTGTTTCCGTTGCCTCTTCCTTTTCACCCTTGTTTTGACAAAAAGCACCTACCTCTATCACCTTTTAATAACCCTTCTTCTTCTCCTTCGACTCACGATGTACTTCTATTGCCCGGGCTGGATTTCCCCTCTAATATCGACTTTTAGTGACCTCATTTCTTATTTTCTTTCCCATTTAGCCTGCCAGTTATGTCTTTTATTCAAGATACTCCCCCTCTTGCGACTGCTTTTCAACCTTTTCCTCTTTTTTTTTTTTTTTTTTTTTTTTTTAGCTCTCTGCGTTCCCCCCTGATGTTCTCTTTCCCCCAGTCTTTTTTCCTTTTTGACGCTTTCCTGTTGTTTGGGATAGATGGACCGGATAGACCGTTGTTGCAGTTGTTTTTTTTTTTATTTTTTTGCTCCCTATTTTCCTCTTTCCTTGGAGCGTCGTGTCGTACTAGACAGCATAGCATAGGTAGACAGAACTATACGTATCGATCATCATTGATTTATATTTTGAATCCTCTTGCTCCCCCTCGACGTCTTCGCGTCTCTTAATGTCCGTCCACTCGTCGTTTTCATCACTTTTGATGTCTTTTTTAACACTCTTTATGCCAAGCCCGTTCCGGCGCTAAACCATATCGGGCGGTCCATCGTCATCAACCAAAAAGTTGAACTTCAAAAAGTCGACGGGAAAAGACGAACTTCTTCCGCTTCCTCACCTCCATCACTCCACTCCCTACCAGAGACACGATTAACCGAGACAAACCCGCCAGAGAGAACTGTTTGGGGCCTGTGACGGATACATATACCCTGCACAGCCGACTGGAAACCTCACAGGAGCCGATCACCTCCCCTTTGCTTGCGGAAATCTAGTTCCTGACCGAGTTGACGTCAAGAAAACAAAGTCAGCTCCGTCGTCCCAGGCCGTATACGAACCAAAGAGATGGCAGATACAAGCTCAACACCCGGCCCCAAGCCCAGTAGCAGCGTTAAGCTGGTTCTACTTGGTGAAGCAGCAGTTGGAAAGGTTTGCTTCCCTTCTGGTTTAAGTCCGCCTCTTCACCCTTTTCTGTCCGGCGGCGCTCTCTCCATCACGCCAGCTAACAAGATTATCTTCATCCAAATAGTCATCTCTCGTTCTGCGATTCGTAAACAATGACTTCCAGGAGAACAAGGAACCTACAATCGGAGGTAAGCCGGCCGCTGTTTTTTCCCGGAAAAGTGCTGCCTGTTGGGCTGTCTGACTCCTACCCGTAAACAGCTGCCTTCCTGACCCAGAAATGCTCCCTGCCCACCCGTACAATCAAGTTCGAGATATGGGATACCGCCGGCCAAGAACGTTTCGCATCTCTTGCTCCCATGTACTACCGAAACGCCCAAGCCGCCCTCGTCGTATACGACCTGACCAAACCATCCTCCCTGATCAAAGCCAAACACTGGGTTGCCGAACTCCAGAGACAAGCAAGTCCCGGAATTGTCATTGCCTTGGTCGGTAACAAGCTTGATCTGACAAGCGGTGACGGCACATCGGCCTCAGCCGGTGACCCTGCGCAGGCCCGGGACCCCGCCAATCAGGGCGAAGAGGGAGAGACTCAAGGGGGCAGCGGCGGAAACGACGAACAAGATGACGAACGGGATGGTTCTCCCAATGGCGATGCCAGAAAAGTATCAACACAAGAGGCTAGCTCATACTCTGAAGCCGAGGGTCTACTATTCTTCGAAACCAGTGCCAAGACCGGTTTCAACGTCGCGGAGGTATTCACAGCCATTGCAAATGCGATCCCCGAGGCAAGCCTTAAGAGTTCTAGGGGCGGTGCCGGGGCCGGTGGATCGTCTGGAAATGCCGGACTTGGTACTGGATCACGGCCTGGAGACGATTCGAGGATCAATCTTCGAGACAGAGGGCAGGTTGGTGCGAAGGAAGGCTGTGCTTGCTAGAATATGCTGTGTGTTTCAGTCTATTAATCCTGTTGTTGCGAGTTTTCTCTGTGTTTTATATGGTTTAGCCCACACTACATTCCATGTGTCCTTTTTTTTCTTTTTCGTTTAATCTTTAATATGCATTTTGATTCCTCTACATACTTTCCACAAGGCTGCTGTCTCTTTTGGCGAGCTGGTTGATACTGTACCTATGCGATGTTTCAGTGAACAGATACTCTCCAAGTGCTTCTATTAAATCCACTCTACATATATAAGGAGAACAAACGAAAACTAAATAAAGACAGACTGGGGCTTGCTACGCAGTGTACATATTCGTCTGTTGAGCTGCGAGGCTACCAGGGCAGCCAAATTGCTAATGCTTTTTTATATCATCAACCTCCTATATAGTAAGCATATATATACCTCTAGTCACAGCCAGCGCATTATTATTATACTAACGCCACTGCGCCCAGGGAAAGAGTCAGATAAAATAAACCCGTGGATAATAAAAGCCACTGCTACAATGCTAATCAAACAGCTGCCAATGTTGCTTGAACATTAAAGAAGCCACATCATATCATTTATCATCTCAGCATCACAGCCAAAAGGGAAAGTAGAACCTTAACAAGAGAAAAATGGAATGGCGCCTGTTTCCCCTGGTATATAGATAGCGTAGTTGACATAGGGAATAATCTGACCAAAAGCATAAAGATGCGATATAATGTGCCACGCGATTCTAAATGCGAGAATGGGAGGGTATAGTGGATGCTTTGGTTTATTTGTTCATAAAATTGTGTATTCAAAGGTGTAGGCGATTCGTAGCCTTGCGTGGGAGTTAGTTGGTCAGAGTCCCTTACTCGCCGTGGTGGCTGTGGTACGGCCCAACGAAGCTTTTGGTATGTCTATCTCTGTCTCTACAAGTTCGAGCCCAGAGAGACTGGGGTAGCGGCGGCTAAAATTTAGTTCCCAGTCTTCCGAAGAGTTGGAGACTTGTCTGGTCGATCGGGGGTGTTGTGAGGAGTTATATTCGCTATTGCCAGTTTGGTTGGCTGATTGAATTCCGGTTCGTAAACTCTTGGGCTTCGGGGGTGCTACTGGGCGCTGGGCAGCACGGGAGGTAGTTGATGAGGTCTGGTGCTGCCCGGTGTTATATTTAAGGCCGATAGAGGGGGGATCTTTATCTTTTGAAGGTTGGGACCGGAAATCAGGTGTATGAGAAGTCGCAGGGGCGGATGTATATGATTGCATAGTAGATGACGCTGGCCGTTCTGGTAATGGGGACTCGAATCTTTTGGCTTGTGGATTAGGTATTGCGTCTGTGTATCGTCCATATCCTGATGCTGTCTTGACAGGTGGTGCCTTTTCCGTCTCCTTCAATAAAGACTGGACCTTGTTTTCAATGGCAGCAGCTCTACTGCCACTTCCTATACCTAGTCCCACAGCGCGCGAGGGGCCTCCTTCTCGTTCATTCAACTGCGAGCGATACTGGGCAGCAGCCTCAGCAACCCTTCTTTCCTCCATGGATAATCGACGTCTTTCCATTTCTCGTTTCATTTCAGGTGATATATCGTCTGCGTCAACATTGTCATATCCACGACCATCGTCGCTCAGCTCCGTTACCTCGGAGCCAGTGATGGGAGTAAGGTGCTGTGTGTCATTTTCAGGAGATGGGGTTTGATTCCTATCATGAGGAGCGTTGTTTTCAAAGCGGCGGAAAGCGTCTCCGAAGCGGCCTGCGAGGAGGGTCTTGGTGCCTGATAAAGAAAGTGAGGATAAACTACCGCGTTTGGCATGTTTGGATCCACCACTTAGGCGCTTCTCGCGCTTCCGGCTCAACTCTTCCTCTTCCTTAGCTTTAAGGAAATCAACGTCCGACATGTTGGATGGCTGGCTGTATTCGAGATCATGTTCACCAACGGATGGGCGTAGCAACGTTTCATCCTCGTCTGACGAGCGTTCGCGACCTCTATCCCTAAGATACTCTAATCTCGATGCGACATATGCAGCAGTAGGCCTAGATTTCGAGTTTGCGGATTTCGAACGGGTTAGCGGGTCTGCAATATCAGAAGCCGTTGGCCGGGTACCTTCCAAAGATGGCCGTGAAGATGCCGGCGATCTAGGAAGGTCCTCCGCTTGAATAGGTTTAGAGTCAAATCTGGCAAAACTGGGCCGAGTCGATAAGCTGCCGCTGTGCACACGGGGATGATCGTGACCGCTACTCTCACGAGAACTTCCGGACGCTTGTTTCTTGTGTGATTGGCTCGGGAATCTATGCAACGGTCTTTGGGATAAGGAGGGACTCTCTGATCGCTGGTTTACTGGTGAGGGGGATGTCATCGTGCCAGTGGATACCATAGTTGGTTTCTGTGGTGTTGGCTGCTGTATAGGGACTTGTTGACGAGAGGGTTCCGCCCTCAGATATGGTGACGAGACCAGCTTTTTATCTGATGCTAACGGGTCTATCCGGGTAGTAGTATGGTGCATTCCAAGAGTAGGACTTGGCTGTGGAGATACTGCAGGCTTCGAGAATGCTTCATCGGCAAGAGCATTCGTGACTCTTTTAGATAAATCATCAGGGTTGGCAGTCGATTCTGTATTGGTCGATTCAAAGTTGAAAGTGCCACCCTTTTCATGAAGGAGGGAGAACTGATCTAGAGTTGGGAATCGTGAAGAGAGTTCATCCGTACTGACGTTCCGTTTAGTTCCATCAAGTGCCGCAAATGGGTCACCGGAAACCCTAAGAGGAGAAGGACTGGGTTTCGATGCAGTCTTTTGGTCGGTAGGCTTGACTGGTCTTCCTCTCCGCATCGGCGCAATGTCTGGAATAATCTTTGTTTCCTGAATGGGCGGCGTGAAGGTGGCACCAACTTTTGGTGGTTCCACTGGAGTGGAAGTCGGTAGCTGCTGGCTTCGTCTAGATTCGGAATGTGAATGGTCGGAATAAATCTACGTGGGAAAATAGTTAGTTTTTAAGACGCGCGGATATTAGATATATTGTATAAGTACGCACGTCTCGAATTGGCACTTCTTTTCCTCGCATATGACATGTTTCACGTAAAACCTGATAAATATTGGGCCTGTCTTTGGGGTGTTCTTTAAGCATAGTGGCTGAATCGAAAGAATTTAATGTTAGCTTGAAAAGGGACCTTGACATCAAAAGTGACAGAGCAAACATACCAATCAAAAGTTTCAGTCTATCTGAGAAGGGTGGGTAGGCGGGATACTTGAACTTTGCGTTCAAAATAGCCATCTGGCCGCCCTCATCAAAAGGGGTGGTATAGTAGCATAGCTTGTACAACAGAACGCCAAGGGCCCAGATATCGCTTTTCTCATCGATCGGCTGTTTTCTATAGACATCTATCATTTCCGGACTTCGATACTGTAGGGTTGTGTGCCTCTGGACATCATCTTCGATCAGTCTACCTTCGGCGGCGGAAGTAGCTGCAGGTCTAGGAGGAGCTGCAGAACCAAAATCACACAGCTTGTAGCAGCGTGAAGGGCCGTTCCCGGAGATCAGGATGTTTTCAACCTTGAGGTCCCTATGCAGGAGTGGTGGCTTGAGATAATGCATACAGGCCACACCTTCGGTGACGTCGCCAAATATCTTCAAGATCTCTGGTTCAGTCAATCGATTCTGTAGCCTGGTATTCATGAAGTCTATCAGGCCGCCACCAGCGCAATGCTCCATGAGCAGGAAGACCTCATATCCGCCGCCTTTGAGTTGTGACGCATGAGAATCAATATATGTAACGATATGTTTGTGTCCCTTCAGCCTCTTCATCGTTTCCACCTCCGTTCTCATGTTGGCGAGGGATGCCTTGTCCGGAACAGCGACCCGCTTCAAGACAGCAGTTTCGACGCCATCAACAGGCTTTGGGAGTCGAACGACGTAGACATGGGCGAATCCTCCTTCGGAAAGGTATTTCTCTACCACAACTCGATGGCTTCCAACCTGCACCTTGGTGCCGGCCATAAAGGTGCCTGCCGGCACAGGGGCGGCCGCCATCGGATTGGCATTCATGTGAAGCCCCAAAGATCGAATTGTAGGTTGTTATTGCGTACTGCTGTATGTTGAGAGAGAGGACCAGAGAGGACGACAGAGGTTCTTTGGGCGGTGTATATGCTTGTATAGTTAAAAGGGGTTTCTTTTCTTTGGTGTTCTTGTGTAGGTTGCTCCTTCAGGGGATCGACGTTCGTTCTTGTTGAGCGGTGATAGATAAGAGGGACAAGGAGATAGCTTCGGGCGGGAGGGAGTTCGACATCTAACGAGGCGCAGGCAACAGCGGCTATATAAGGAGGAGCCGGCAATACTCTGTAGACCCAGAGAGGTTTACAGCCTCATCATGCCCTGCATCCTCATACCCAACGTCGACAGTGTCAGCTTCATCATCGTCATGCAGCAACTTCAGGTACAAAAGTTGATCTCGGGGCAAGCTCAGATGGACAAGATCTGGCCAATCAGAGTGCGTTTCGGCGCAGGATCATCTTAGTTCCGCCCAGTATCTTATGTAATCCATTCGTGCCCGCCCGACGAGTTCGTTTTTTTAGCGGTTAAATAGTCGATTTGGAGGCTGCGAAGGTCACGAAGTACACCTGCATGACTCCAGGCAGCCGGCCAGACAGATAGTCCCTTTCTGAGTAAGGTGGGCAAAGCTAACGAGTTTCCTCCAACGGCTGTTTATGTCGTCCTCGCCTTCATTTCTCTGCGTGTTTCCGTGCATTTGGCCGCTTCAACCTGATTATCTAATCAGCGTAGTCACCTGACTTTTGGAATAACACTTTTCCGGGAGCTAGTGACTAATCAACTTTAAATGGAAACTGACCAATAAAAACAGGCGCTTCAGGACAGCCATAATAGGAAAAATCAAAACAAACAGAGGAAAACGTCTAAAAAGTGGGTCCTTCCCTTTCCCTTAAATTTTTATTTTGTCTTTATTTTGTCTTCATGCGACTCGCATCACAGCAACAACACGACAGCATCTGCACTGTTGGCATCAAACGACAGAAGGGAAACGCAGCAAACAGGCAGCCAGGCCAGGAGCAGCAGAAGAAGCGGATATTTGTGTGTGTGTGCGTGTGTGTACGTCTACGCTGCTGCTTCCACGAACGGTAGTAAATGATCAGTGTCAACACTGGCCTCCCACCAGATCTGTATGATAGTTCGTACTATTTCCTTGCCCGCTGTGCCTTCACCTCCAGTTATTCGTTACAACGTGTCCCAATCCCTCCACTCATCGCGGGCCGGTGTCAAGACTGGCTTCGATAGGTCAACAAGCAGCGCTGAGAATGGAGACTGGGCCGGCAAACAGGGATCTTTCGTGCTATCCGATTGGACTGCGGCCACTGCTTGGATGAAAAGGGGTGGGGAAGAGAAGAGAAAAACACATTTTAAAAAGACGAAGAGACAAGAAGAAGGGTGAGAAAGAAAAAAGAAAAAAAGAAGAGAAAAGAATACAAACGTTTTTCCCTCCACGCCATAAAGGCGGACATTGACATGTTAAAAATAATTTGATATTCCCCTTCGACTGCCACTCCTCCCCCAGAGAGCCAGAGCCCCAAGCCTGTCTCAGATTTCGGAGTCAGGACTCGATTCCTTTCACCCTTTTGCTTATCATTTCGTTCTCCCCAAACCGATCTATCTTATTCTCTTTGTACGAAAGTATCTGTGCGCAACGTGTGTTCAGCCTATCAAGGTATTTGACATCAAAACTCAGCGGTAAGCCAGAGATTGAAATGCCACTCTGCCTCGTTTCTCGTGGGAATTGCCGGCAAAATCGCTGGATTTTCTTGCTCTTATGGCCAATTTGCGATTCTGTGTTTTACTCATTGTTAATTCTTAGACTCGAAGCACTTTTCTCGCAATCGAAACGCTCTTCGATACTGATACACAAAGAACGCACCACGGCGCACGACGTTGTTGCACCCTCGTCCTTATCGAAAACGCCCACCAAAGTACCTCCTCGAGTCGCTCCCTTCAATTTAAACGAAATACTCGACAGCTTCATAGGAGGGGAAGTACAGTCCAAACTGGTGTCATACACACAAAAGGCCGCATACTGCATTGTGTGGTAGTTTGGGACCACAATGCATGAATTCTCTATTTATATGAGCAGAGATATACAGCACATTTTGCTATAAGCATCTATACGACAACAAGATATTAAAAAAAAAAAAAAGAAAAGAAAAGAAAAGAAAAAAGACGAGCAGAGGAAAGCCCAGAGCAGGGAAAATTGTACAGCACCTGCTCCTTATCAGACTGAAAGGTCATAGCAAAACAGTGGCTTAATTTTTTGCTGTGCCTCTGTAGCACTGGAGACAGCGACCTTACATAATGGACGGCCCTCCACCACCACCGCCTCCTCCTCATGGAGCAAACCCGCGGAGTGACACCGGACCTGGAGATGGCAGCAGGTACCGCAAATCTACAGATTTGCCTGAAGGCCCTTATGATATCTTCATTATCCCGCCTCATTCTGCGGGAGGGGGCTTTTTATACCTCCCCTCGCTCCAATGCCATACAAACAGCTTCCTAGCAGGTGTCGCTGTGACATTGATGGGCGTCTACTTTTATTTCAACGCATTACCCACTCTGAAAACCTGGTGTGCAACTGTTGTGGCCCGCGGCGGAATGGGCGTATTCTTGCTCGCCTTTGGAATTGGCCTCGTCAGCTGGGCCATTGGCAAGGCCCAAGCCGAGGGAGTTTTCCGTCAACGTTCTCGCTCAAAACCTACCGCTTCCAGCAATGGAAGTACTTCTCGTGGGCCTCCTCCTGGACCTCCTCCAGGTGGTCCTCCCCCGGGCGGACACGGCCCTCCGCCACCTGGCGGAGCGGGCCCGGGGCCTGGAGCAGGCGGCGGCTCTTATCAAAATTACGGCGGACATTATGCTGGTGCTGGGTTCCCTCCTCCCCCTAATCCAGGGGCTGGATTTCCCGGAGGGGGAGGACCATACCCGGGGGCTGGAGGGCCATATCCTGGTGCTGGACCTCAATATCCAGGAGGGCATCAGTATAATAGGAATAGCTACCCTGGAAGCCGCCAGAGCTATGGAAGCTATAATTCTCCGCCCTCTCCAGAGCCTCATAGACGTGACACTCGACGTTCCGAATCCCCGGGACCTCCGCCTCCACCAAGGCGTGAAGCACCGCGGCCAGCATCTCCACCGCCTCCACCACCAAATCATGAACCCCGTAGGCCCGAGACGCCCAAGCCACAATTTATGCCCAAAGAACCTGAGCCAAAACCTGAACAAAAACCGGAGCCTCCAAAACCAGAGGTTCCAAAGAAAGAGGAACCAGCACCAGAAGAGCCAAAGCCAGCTCCTCCACAACCTGAGGCTCCAGCACCTGAACCGCCAACGAGGGAAATCCCCAAACCAGAAGAAGCTAAGCCAGAAGAACCTAAACCCGAGCCTCCAAAGCCAGCAGCTCCAAAACCAGAACCTCCGAAACAGCCTGAGGTTAAGCCAGATCCTCCAAAACCTGCAGAGCCTGCTCCTCAACCGGCTCCTCAGCCCGAGCCTCCAAAGCCAGAAACTCCGAAAGAAGCACCTACAGTAGACCCAAAGATGGGCGAGTGGGAGAAAGCTCGTGAAGAAACGAGGAGGAGAGAGGAGTTGAAGAGAAAGATGGAAGAAATTAAGCGTAAAAGGGCAGAAGCAGAACGCAAGAAGAAGGAAGAAGAAGAGAAGAAAGCTCGTGAGGAGCAAGAGAAGCGTGATAAGGAGAAGCGGGAACGGGAATACCGACTGTGGAAGGAGAAGAGAGCCAAAGAAAAGGCTGCCAAAGAAGCGGCCGAGAGAGAAGCAAAGGCAGCCCAGGAAGCAGCCGAAAAGGAGGCTGCAGAGAAGGCTGCGAAGGAAAAGGCCAGACAGGAAGCTGCAGCGCGGTATGCGGCCGCAAAAGAAGCTGCTGCGGCCAGACGAGCTGCCGCTGCAGCGTCCGCAGCCCCCTCAGTCGCTCCATCAGTTTCATCAACCACAAAACTATCGTCAACTACCAAAGTCTCTCCTGTCAAGCCAAAGTCCCAGACGGCTTCGCCAGAAAAGAGGTCTCCATCGCCAGAGAAGCGACCAGCACCAAAGTCTACACAGAGCAAGCCTCCTTTCCCTTCCGTCAAGACAGCAACCACGGATGCAGAAGACGATGGATATTCGTTTCGCCCTTATGACCGACCAAGATCAAGTATCAGTCGGCCTAGCCAGGCAGCCTCGGTTATTTCAGAGTCGACTTATGCTCCATCTCAATCTACTGCAAACACCTCGCCTCCTCCATCTCAACGTGGACCATATTCCACCAAGGATCCTAACAAGATTGTCATCCACGGCGTATACACCTTTAATAATGCATTCATGAAAACTCCTATTGCCCAATTGGTATCTGGAGTAGGCTCAGTTACGGATGGACTCATTCTGCGAATGACAACGGAAGGCATGTTCGTTGACGATGATGTCCGTGGAGTAGCGCAGAGAGAATGGGATATCAAGGCATGGACTATGAAGCTAATAGAGGTATGGTGCCCTTTGCACTCCACCAATGGCAATCATCCTGCTCGCTCAGGCAATGGAAAGCTCAATCCCTTCCGGTTTGGCAATTTGCACTCGTCATCCAAGCAGCCTAGCAGCGAGGATTCAGATGCTTTCGTTTCAGGAATGCTTCATACCTGTAAAGACCAATGCCGTTTTGGGGTGAGCAGTGCTGCAGACTCGAGTAGTTCTTATCATAGTGCTGGCAGTGGTATTGACCAAGCTATTCTACAGACAGCGGAAGCTCGCGGCCTGCACATTATCCGAACCAGCATCAGAGATCAAGACGGCAAACGGTTCATCTTTGTGCTTGACGAAAGCGAAGCCTGGAAGGTTGCCCTTGGTCTTAAGTGTCTGAGAAAAGGTAGTCAAGTGCGTGCTCTGGGCGTATGCGGTCTACCGGCCAACGAAGCTGCCTCCATTCTCGGCAACCTAGGCTATTGATATCAGTGGTTTGTCCGGTATATCTGGGATGGTCCATTCAATCTGCTTCTCCCGCCATACTTTTTCTTCTACTTTACTTTTCTATACCCCTTTATGCAGGAAAACGTTTTTTGTCATCCTGTTTGAATATTTGTCTGTTTCCCTCTTATTACCTATTTATTCGCCCTGGAGGTATCATGATAGCTATGATCAGAGCATTTCATCTGCTTCATTTTAGCGATGGCGTTATGAGTTTTTAATGATACTGCACTCTCCTATGTCCTGAGCCTCCTCTTTTACTTGCTTCTAATATCTTGATAAAGTGCCTTGACTACTTTCTCCTAGAACGTTCTGCTCTGACTTGAGGGAACAAGCATGGAGTTACATCTAAAGGGGCCTCTGTTATCCTGGCTATAAGACTCGAGCGTTTTTGCCCCTAGAGTCCAGCTAAATCTATTTTAATCATCCCAATCGGCAGTGCTGTAATGAATCCTTCTCTACATCGACATCTAGTTCGTATCCTCCCTGAATGCGCCCTTCCCACCATCCCAGGGTGGCTTGCGTAACAGCGACTCTCGTTAAATAAGCAAGCAGCGACAAGCAACTCAAAGCAGCCGCCAGTCAGCGTTTCACAGCAGGGTCGGTTGGTTAATCTTCCGTGCCTGGGCGGTGCAGGCCAGACCAGACCAGGCTGGGGGGAAATGCGGCTGCCTGGCCATCGTCGTCAGCGTCCTTTGCGGCCGTATCTTCGATTGCGTGAAGGAGCGCCCTTGCCTGGCCATCCGAGACGTATATTATTTTGAATATATTGGACAATACCCAAGAGACAGCCACTTCCATCGAAGCCTGGTTCTAGTCGTCTTTAATCTATAGCGAACAACTATTGAACGATCAGGCTAGCCATGGGTAACCCCAAGGGAGAAGAGCTCGAGGAGCAGCAGGCTCCCTTGCTGCCCCAGTACTCCGACGACTCAGATACCGTCATGGGCGACGAGAAGATATACACTCCTCCGAGCACTGCATCAAACAGCGGCGAGTCCCAGCCAGACCTCCACGCAGAGACAGCCATCGAGGACGCCCGTGAGAATGACCGGCTTCTCGCGAGCTCTCCACCGCCAGGCTACCGTGACCACATCCGCTCTCCGGGATGCCCCAGGGGGGATCTCAATGTAGACATCAAGGATGACAGCGCCGTCAAGAAGGAAGATTCGCCTGAGGAGTCTGCCAGCTGCCGTCAAGGACCAGGCCGATTCCGTCGCTGGTGGAGGGCTAGACGTCGGTGTCATCGCCGCGAGGACGGCGGACGTCGTGAGCGGTCTTGCTGTGTGAAGATATTCATCGCCTTGAAGGCAGTCCTTGTTGTCTGGCTCTGTCTTTGGCTTGTCCGCTGGGCCGCAGTCCGCTTCATCAGGGTAAGGTGTTAAATCCACAGGCTTACTCCCTTTGAACTAGTTTTGATAGCCCATTAACTAGTTATTACATGGTTTATGGCTAACGCTTGAGCTGCTCTCAGAGACATCATCGCCATCATCACCACTCGGTTGGATATCATAACTATGGCTTTGGCTGCCACTCAAAGTCTTCTCGAGAGATAGTGGTTAGAGAAAGGGAATCCTGGATCTATGGAAATTACCCTCTATACGACTTACTAGACCTTAGGACTAGAACTGGATCCATTTATGTTACCATCGTGCCGCAGCCAGCCCACCAAGACGATCCAACTCGCCCTGCAAGGATATCCATAAGGTCGAGAACTGGCAATGTCTTCGTGAGGTTCAAGATGCCCGACGATGCCACAGTTATCAGTGATGCTCTATCCACATATGACATGGAAAAGCCTCAGCCTTCCCTCTTCAAAGAAGTCTTCTTCAAAGATCCGGCTATGAATCACCATTCATGGCCATCGAATTCCTCCTCTTTACCCCCTCGCCCATATGAGATTAATATCGAAACCAGGAGTGGAAATGTGTTCGCCGTCCTTGGATTCTCTACCCATGCTTCAGTCACAACTCGAAGCGGTAACATCAACACTCACCTAACTCCCCTCGTCTTTGAAAATACCACTTTCTCTCATAACAGGAGATGCAAGCGCTGTGACGACATCTCTATAACCACGCAAACTCGCTCTGGTAATGTATCGCTGAAAGTTACAGAGCCATCCTTCATCGCTCTTGAGAAATCTGAGCACATACCGGAGGCTCAAGATAATACCCCCCATCCCAAGATACGCATAGATACTCGCTCCAATAGCTCCAGCAGACAGGAAAAATGGAACCGTATCCTGGAATCTCTCAACAAGAAACCCAGCCATGCTGAAGTTAGGCCATGTAACCATCCGGAGCTTAGAGTGAACGCCTACCATATCAGCCGTAATTCGGCTAACATGGCCATTTCTTACCCTCATTCCTGGGCGGGCCATGTCGTTGCTACGGATTTCCGGCGTGGAAATGTCGTTCTGCGAGGCGAAGGCCTGGAAGTTGTTCGTCGATCTCGACACGGTTTTCTTGCTGCTAAGAAGCCTACGGTTGGACGTGACGACAAGAAGAGCTGGTGGGGAAGCGAGGGAAACATGAGTGTAGGCTTGGAGTCCCGAGGACCCGTGGAGTTCGATATCAGAGGTTAGGGAGGATGAAATAAAGTCTACAAAGTAATCGTTTTCTATGATTCACTCCTTGTTCAAGCTCCTCGTTTGTGTTGATTATTAGTAACTATTTTCTTACCTTAAATTGATTGATTAGCTAGTTACTTTGAGAATCAATAGCATTCTCTTCTTGCCAAACCATACAGTGTATAAAACCCTTATCCGCCGACTTCCCATTGCTTGCCGATAACTGTCATTATTCTTAAAGCACAAAGAAACAAACAACTTCCTCAGAAGAGTAACAAACAAATTTCCATATAGCGGTATAATATAGAGAAGCCTGAAGATGATATACCCTCGAGGGGATGGGAAAGATAACTGATAGGCATATCTAAGTGTAGTTTGGAGTAAACAAAGGGTTTGATGTAAATAGTGTTTGCAAAGAACGGATATATATATATATTTCCCTACGCTTGACTAATCTTTTCTTCGGATTGTGTGTTTCGCATGCTAGTAGAGGCACTTGATTTCTCTACTGTCTCTCTCTGTGAGATCTCTTCATCCATACGAATATATTCATCAGGGCGACTGAGTTGGGTGGCAGCTGAGGGAAGAATTAGCATAGATGTATTTGATTAAAACAGCGAAGGCCTTACTTTTATTAAATGCAACAATTATACCCCTATTCGCCTCGAAATACCGATCAATATCTTCCAGAGTTCGATTTGCTGTCTCTGGATAAAAAAGGTACGTGATCGGGATGAATGAAAAGCATATCACTGCCCATATAATCCAGAATCTCCAACCTAGATTTTCAATGCCAGGGAGGGTGATCTGTACTACCATATAATTCTGTGAAATTATCGTTAGTTACGATGAACATCAATCACTAGGAATGGGAAATTGTGTCTTTACCATAATCCAGTTTGTAGCCATAGCCAGAGACGCCCCTTTAGTCCTCATTTCCAGGGCATTTATCTCCGTTGGGTATAACCATGGGACACCAAGTACTCCCATACCGAAGCTTGCAAAGAAAGCAAAGAAGAACGACACAGCCACTATTCCAAGTTTGTACTTATCTCCATGCCCGTTTTCTGATAGGGACAGGGAGATAGTGATGGCTATGAAACATATAGAGCAGGCCAGGGAGGACGACATCATCACTTTCCGGCGCCCATAACGCTCGATCACGAAGTAGGCAAGGCAGGAAAAAACCAGATAGTCAACGCTCCCAGCTGCTGCGAGTATGCGAGAAAGAAGCGGCGAGAGATTGAGGGCATGTATGAAGACATAGGACATGTAGTATCTAATAAGGTTAAACCTCGGTATATACTAAAACGGACCCAGTGTGATACTTACGAGGTGACATTGATTCCCGATATTTGATTCATTGCCTGCATACATGCCCCCAGAATCATCCGCCTAAGAACACCGGGTGGCCCTATTATATGATTTTTCTTAGCTAGGTATACCCCGAGGGAACTTTGGAAGACTCGCCTTTTCCCATAAGCAGTTTAAACCATGTATAAGAGTTCAGATTCTCCCGATCTAGCACATCTTTGATGACGTTGAATTGGGTTTTGACAGAATGAGAAGTGGACGTTGCTCCGTTACCTTCCAGTGCAGCTAGCACCTCTAGTGCTTCACCGTACTGCCCCTTGCGGATGAGTAGACGGGGAGAGTCTGGTAGAAAAGGGCACATGGCGTATATGCAAAGAGTAAAAAACACCTGAAATGCTAGTGGAAATCTCCATGCAACGCTCCCTTTAGCAAAAGAGAAACCAAGCGTTAACCAGTTTGAAGCAGAAAATCCCATTATACAGTTTGCCTAAGCCGAGTCAGCTAGTTAGTGGATGGATAGTTACAGGGAAGCACCAGGGATATTCATCTCACCATTTGAATAATAACAAGCTTCCCTCTGCTGTTCATTTTACTAGTCTCAGACTGCCATACCCCAGCCGTTGAGGTGTTCATTCCAGTGCCTAAACCAGCCACTACTCTTCCAACCATCATCTGAGGCACGCCATAGGCAGAAGCTTGGATGATACCACCGATAGCAATGATAGTGCTGCCTACTATTATCTGACGGGGTCTGCCAAAATAGTCTCCGGTCCATACAGTTGACATGGCACCAACGAAACATCCAATATTGTAAACAGATGTCATGGTTCCTTGTAGGTTTGTGGATGGATAGCCCATTGTTTGTAGGAAGTCCTCCCCAATAAGGACGTTGCCGAACACCCCCTATCTCCAAGTTAGTACGGGTCGAATGGAATCAACCAGAGCTTGAAACAGACCTGGTCATAACCGTAGAATATGAGGACCGTAGATGCAGCTATAGATATCCATATAGTGAGTTTATCACCCGACCCTCCAAGATATTTCTTCGCCATTGTTCCCTTTGGGTAAGCAATTTGGTATCATTTGATTCAAACCTTGGAAGACGAGAAGGATAGCGGATAGTAGGTATGGTATTCTCGGCTAGGTAGACTACCGCACCGGGAAGACTTCCGCGACGCAGTGTAACAAGCACCAGGGCTAAATGGTGAGACAGGTTGGTCGTCAGGAATGAGTGGCCCAGGTGAGGAAGCCGCTTTTATTAGACGACTGGGGCTCCATCGTGGTTACCAGCCATCCAACCGCGGCTATCCTCGTTCTCTCCCCACAATTGCAGATCCGGGTAAGTTGTCACTCCCAAGGTATCGCTATGAAATCAGGGTTCTGTCTTTTAGTTATATGCATCTCGCTTGACTGGCGATCCCGAGGCGTACAGAAGGACACAAGTCGCTCAATGCTAAGATAACCATGCAATTAGCTAGTAATCTGAAATGGATGTCCCCCATGTATTTCAGAACTCCACGACCACAAGAAGTATCTATTCATCCTGCTCAATAGAGACTCTTATTAGGTTTTTCGATTGCGTTCACCTTGGGCTCCGTTTAGCCGGTTATGTTAGTATTGGAGGTTATTGTAAATCTATGTTGTATCATTGATACAGGTGCCGGCCATTTAGACGCTTTTAATCAACCCATTGCTATCTGTTCAACTCATGGACGGACAGAAATACGTCAGTTAAAAAGGAAGGTTGCTCTATTTCTTATACCAGCTGTGTTCGATGTTGAGATGAAGAGGCTCAAAGGAACTCGGAGATAAGGCCGAACTTAGGGTTTAACTAACTAGTCACGTGCATCTTTGTTTACTTCAAAGGAGCCTCGACGTGTTTTTTTCAACAGTCTCTATCAAAACAAACAACGCCCTCTGAATTGTATTATTACTTCTCTACGCCAGAGATATTCTGCGTACCTGTATCAGATTTTCACCTTATGAGCTCATTTTTTTTTCCTTCGTATTCTTCTTCAGAAAATTTTTCTTCACATATTGCGACTTTACTTCACTCTACTGTCAAGCATTATTCATCAATTCCTCTCTTGGCCCCTACATACCTCTTACAGTTGGCACCTATTAATTAAACATGGAAACCTCGGATTTTGAGGTCCGTATCCCTGTACATCCGGGCGAGAAAGAAGACTACAATGATATCAACATGCTAGACACGTCTTCTAGCGATGCCGGCTTCTCAAGTGATGAGGAAACTCCAAGCAACGGTCAAATCTCACAAGAAGCAAAACCAAGCGTGACTATTGTCAACGAAGAGCTGGAGGAGCTGGAGGGAAAGTCAAAGGAGGGCTTCCATATCCTCGCGAAGCTGGAGACCATATTGAAGAAATATCCATCTTCCACTGGAGCCACTGAAGCCCTACGCAAACAAATCTTGGAGACTATAGATCAAGGCAAGAGCCATCCCACAATCACAATAGGCGTTGTTGGTGCCACTGGTGCTGGAAAATCTTCTTTAATAAATGCACTGTTGGGAGAGAAACGTTTAGTTCCTACCAGTGGAATGAGGGCGTGCACTGCAGCGATCACAGAAATCTCATATTGTCACGGGCCATGGAACTATGAGGCTGAGATTCAGTTTGTATCTCGGTCAGCGTGGGAGGAGGAAATGCGCCTTCTCTTCGAAGACATGCAGGATGGTCTCGATGAACTTCCCTCCACTTATGACTCTGAATTTGGCATAGCATGTGCCAAATTCAGAGCTGTATACCAGCTTGACCCCAGGAATACCCCAATTGAAAAAATCATGGAAGTCCCTAACGTTGCTACAGTACTTGGTTCTACTAAGTACATGTCTGGAAACAATGCAACCGACTTTTACAATGAGCTTAAAAAATATGTGGATAGTGAACCACGTCGTCTAGTTTCAGACCAGGATATCATGGATACCAATAATACGATACCACAGAATAAGTCCATGCAATTGTGGCCACTTGTTGAGCTGGTGCGCCTACATGTCAAAGCACCCGTTTTATCCACTGGGGTGGTACTTGTGGACCTCCCGGGGTTGCTGGACGTCAACACGGCCAGGGGAACTTTGGCTCAAAAATACATAAAAAATTGCTCTAGCCTGTGGGTAGTCGCGCCTATCACTCGAGCTGTCGATGATCATTCGGCGAGGACACTTCTAGGGGATGGTTTCAAGCGGCAGCTGCAGCTCGATGGCGGGATGGGCCAACTGGCTTTTATCTGCAGCAAGACCGATGATATAAACTTGTCGGAGGCAGCAGATGACCCCGGACTCAAACATGCGAGAGAAGCGTTGGATAATTTTTGTGATGAAAAAAAGCAGGAGGCCAAAGTCATGAGCTTGAAAATACAGGGCCTTAAACAAAAGGACAAGCGCATAAGGGTGAAGTTAGAGAAACTGATCGACTTTGCGATGCAGGACGATACCGAAGTTGCCCCCGAGATCAACCCTATACAGAGCCCTTCTAACCATGGTGCCATGAACATATCTCCATCGCCATCACCCAGCCCCCGAAAGCGCGAGTTCATGGTTTCCAAAAAGAGTTTAACAGAAAAACAAGCCACAGTTAAGGCCCAACTCCAGTCTCTCGAAACTGAGGTTTTATCTGTTAGAAAGGAGATAAAACTTAAGCAACGCGAATTCGAGCGTTGCTGTATAGAGAAACGCAACAATTACTCCGATACACGAATAAGAGAGGATTTCGTGGCTGGACTTCTTCATCCCAGAAACACCAGCCAAGATGAAGAAGGCACCATGGCCAAGGAAAAATTAGATGTTTTTTGCGTGTCATCTAAGGCATTTCAGATATTGGAAGGTAGGTTAAAGGAGCACAAAGTAATGAAGGGGTTCATAACCCCCGAGGATACTGGGATACCCCAGCTCCAAAGATACTGTTTGAACCTAGGCGTTACGGCCCGTATGACAAACCATAGCAATTTTTTGAACAACCTTGGCCAATTAGTCAATAGTTTACAGCTTCAGACATCAGGGCAAGATGAACTGTCACTCCGCTCAAACCAAGACGACCAGGAATTACTTCAGGCTGAGTTCAACAAACTCAAGGAGGTGAGTGTGTTATAATTAATTTTTTCATTTTAAATTGATTCACTGACCCTTGTCAGGTTTTAAACACCACGATCCTCAACCTGTCAAACACTTTATTGGGAATAAGGCAGCATCTATATGCTAATCTTGGTATGTCCCATTTCCAAACTGCATCGAGAAGTTTGAAGTTAATATGTGTAGATAATGCCGCCATTGCAGCTAAGAATGCGGCTGAAAGGGCGCCATCTCGGTGGAACCGAGTCAAGAAGCATGGAGGAATTTCATACCCCACTTACAAAGCTATCTGCCGGAGATTTGGCGAATTTCGTGATGGAAAGGGGAATCACTACGTAAGTAAACCAAGTAATTATACCTGGTTCATAGGGAGCTAACAGTTCTACCACAGAATTGGAATAAAGAATTGTAGGTCTTGCAAACAGCTTTGAGGTTCGAAGAATGAGACTCATGTTTATAGGGCCGACCCATTAATGGCAATTATTGGGCTAGCCTGGGAAAGGTAATCTTAATGTTTTCAACTTCAATGTTTCTGATGGCCATGCTAATTATTACCTAGGACTTTCAGACAGATCCCTCATCTGTTCAACAAAACTTCGGATTCTCTACGGAGAGATATAGCTGAATTTCACAGGGACGTGATGAAAAATGTCCGAACGCTTAATGAGAGCGACTCACGATCCAAAATCTTAAATGACCAATGTTTAAGATATCAGGAAAGGATCAAGCAAATTATCCATTTTGTCACTGATAAAATGGATTCCAAACAAAAGGAACTGAACCGTATTTTTATCCCAAGCATAACAACGGCTTTGAGACCTGCCTACGGTGAAGTTTCCACAATCAAGGGTATGATTTTCAATCTTCGCTTAAAATTTGTATTGAAAATAAAGCTAAATTATTGTTATTTTTAGGAGCTGGTTCATTCCCAAAAATAAAGACCATAATGGCTAACCGTGTATCTCAGTCCAAGAACGACATGTTCCTAGGTACTGTCGATATTATCAAAATGGAACTCGAAGAGTTAGTCAACGCCCTTGTTGACATAATCAGCCTCGATGTCGGGAGGATTTTTGATGATATGGGTGATGATTACTTGACGGGGGTGAAAAGCTCAAGCGAAATGATGGACAAACCCCTCAAGGAGGAGCTACTTTCATTTTTGAATAGTACGTCACTCTTTGGTGACATTGCCAGAGAAGAAGAGCTGCCTGGAGATAATGCAGATCCAACGGACACCGTTCTTGATTCCAAGCCAGCAGTAGTAACTGCTATGAACGGCTCCGAAGTCAATCATGAGCTTGAGCACATGGATAACTGAGGAAACATCGAGCTCGACCACATTATCAGAAGGACTTGCCAATCAATCTGCTTTTTCTTCTTCTCTAGATCCCACCTTATCCCTTATTTTCCCTACCCCTACTCCGTGTAGTGTCTCCAGCAGGGCTACACGGACATCATTTGCTTTCTTTTGTTCAAATGTGTGATTACTTTTCATGATACATTTTGAGGGTTCTAAGTTCAACACGAGGACTCTACTCAGGATAACAGATGACAGTATGACTTAACAAAATATGCTCGTCAGACTGTTTTGAGATTTCAACATTCCTACGGAGGCTTTGATACAGATTCATCCACATGTCCAAGCTTTCAGATTCCACAACCCAAATGCTAGTAAAGATGAAAAAATAAAATAATAATATGTTCTTTTCACACTTTTTGAGCGCATATCTGTTTTGAGTCTCCGTTGTCAAGCCCATACCGCCGTACCCCTAGGTAAAGTAACAGAGTGCAACCGGAAACTTGCTACTTGTCCGATTGTAGTACATATCTAGTAGTCGGCCAGTAGTCCCGAGGCATCGATTCTGATACTTTGATACAGGTGGCCCTCAGACTATGCCCTGATCTGTCGTTGCTAACCGCCGTGACTGGGGGCACGTCCGCTGCACTTGTTGCAGTTTCATCATCGTGGGGGCATTGAAAAAGAGTAGAATGGGGAAAAATTCGATCCACGCTACCCTAAGGTAAATATAGAACTACCCAAGAGTTGGATGACTTTGATCGTCCAGAAATCGACATCTCTAGCTTTATCTACGATGTGAGATAACTAGTTACCAAATGTCAGCTGCCACCAAAAATAGCAACAGGGCATCAGCTTTTCGTTTAATCCGGATGAAAAAAAGATTGACATGCAGAGAGATCCATATGATAACTCTAAAGACAATGCAAAGCTGTTTACTAGTCGCAAGCCTCGGTTTATGGTATCAATGGGGGAGCAGGCATCATGAATAGGGAATGAATGCACAGCCTGCAGCAGCGCAGGGACGACGTGGGTTCGCAGAATAGAACTCAGTACATGAGAACAGACGATCGTTCTATTGCAGTGGAGCAACGACAGCCCAGAATCACTGGCGATTGGACTTCGTTCTCGATCAGAGGCAGCAAAGTGCCCCAGGCCCGGACAAGGCCTGCAGCAAGTGGTGCATACAGTGGCATTCACGACCTGCCAGACTGCTAACTGGTTACATCCAGCCTAGCCGAAGCAACGGAACCAGATGACACACGGCGGTTAGAGAGTCATGCAGAGTTTTCCTCCCCTGTTAGCTCGCACACGGATAGCAAGAATAACAAGGGGGTTGCTGGGAGTGGGCGCTTCCGTCTCCCTTCTCTGCATGAAATAAGTAACTAATAGCCTGCTGTCCCGGGCGACGATGCTTGTTCGAGAAGTGTTTCCCAATCACAGCGCTCCCCGGGGGACTCTCGGCTGTTGGATCCCTGGAATCGAGGCCCTTTTTACCTTCCAGCGTAATACGAGGAGCTGGAAACGGCGCGAGCTAACAGGCCCGATTCGATGTGTTGCTATTTTTGGAGCCTCGAGGTCGGCGGTTAAAAAATGTTGATATTCAGGTACCAATTGAGACCTCAATCTGGTTGACTGTGCAGCAACTCACTAACTAGTTAGTTAACGGACAAAAGGCAGAGGACGGCACATAACTAACTAACCCCTTGGCAACTTGCAACGTCCGTGGTTCATGCCGGCAAGTAACAAGTTGGCTGGCGGCTACAGCCCTGCTACAACCAAATTTGGACGGGAGAACATCGGAGGAATCCCAACACCTGGACCAAGGGATGAGAGCGCTGGCTTTAGCTAGCTAGCCCTTTCGAGGATATGCTCAATGGTTATCTGACTTTCTCCTATGCACCGTGCATCCTTCCCTGCAAGCCCAAGGTCGTTCAGAGCAGAGCCAACCGAGCCCATGGATGGAGGCACTTGGGCGGTAATACCAAGTGACATTGTTGCCGCTGCCTTCCCCTCCCTAACTACGGATTCCCTCTTTCAGTATTTCTTTTTTCTTCTTTCTTCGTCTTTTTTTCTTTTCTTTTTTAATTATAGATGCAACTCTGCAACTCTCCACCTTATGTCCGGCACAAGGAAGGGGGAGGGGGAGCGTGAGACTGAGGGTGAGAGTAGGTTTTGATATAATTGCACGACAGCCTATCTTTCCCTCCGTTTCTCTCGAACTCTCTGACGTCTGCCTCTCCTTTTCTTCTGTCTACCCCTTTTGTTTCATTCTTCTCCATCCGGGGGAAATACATTCTCTCATGGCTGTTTGAATATAGCTTCATATCCGTTATGGTTAATGTACCCTGATTTCACTCCCTTTTACTTCTATTTTTACTACTTTCAAGAGGAGCTGGGCTCTCCTATAATACTCTTTTAATTGCAGAATTTGCTTTAATTTCTAACTTGATTTTTTTTATCCATTCCTTAACTACGTCCGGGACTATCTACATTGATCTGCAGTCCATTCTATCCTTCACTTTATATTTATCCCCACGAGGTTACGAACGAACACACGAACGTCTCTGGCAGACCTCGGAAACTAATAGCGATTTTTAATTCAACCAAACGCCTTAATTTTGATTATACCAAGGACTCGTTGCCGGCATCGAGATCAAGTTCATTTCTTCTTCTGGGAAATTAAAGAGCTTATACATATAATTCTCTAGAAATATGTCAACAGGTGAAGTCGAGTACAGGAGTGTCTTGCAGCAGTATGCATACTTCTTTTTTCAATAAGTCTTTTTGGCTTGTCCCTTCAATAAGTTAGATCTGAAAAAAATAAGCACCTTTGCTAACCTCTCTAGCAGCGAATATATCTCGTCCTCACAAGGACTGTCAGAAGATGTTGGAGGACATCTTGCAAGATATGATGGTATACCAGTTGGGCATGATGGAGGGGTGCATCCTTCTGAGTATCCGTGGACGTATCTTCCAGTGCCGGTGAAGCAAGAGGCTCACCATGCGAGGCAGCTATATGATAGCATATACTCATTGCCGTTGATGTCTAGCCCTCCAAAATACCAGCCACAGCTCACATGTGACACACATGAGTCTGATCAAACCCCTTTGACACAGAGATTTGGAATCTCTGATGGCTATGTCGGCGCTAACCCTCTACACAACGGTAGGAATACCAAGCATTATGGCGATTCCTTTTCATTCGTCAATGACAGGCTAACAGAAGAAGACATGTATAAGGGTATGGTAGATAATCATGCCATGCTCCCGTCAGTAGGCTCTGAGCTTAACAACCGAGCATCTACCGAAGCTGAGTCTTTATCCAGTTGGGAGAACTCTCCTAGACCGACCATGGCACAATTGACCGTGGACACAGCAGTTCCTACCACGCAGTCGCCATCTGGGTTTGTCTCAGCATCCATAGGGTATAATAACATATCTGCATACTCAGATATGCCCTCTTCAACTTCAGCTTTCACTCCCTGTAGCTCCCTATACTACTCAAACACGCCACTCTCACCTTCAGCGTCGCCTCAAAGACAGCAGCAATATTCAGACCGTCTCAAGGCTGAATCGGGCGCCATGGCTGCCGTGTCTCCGGGAGCTCCTCGAACCCGGCAATTGAGAACTTATGGCTACGACGGCTGCGGAAGTGGATGGGTACAGAGCCCTTCTTCCGCGAATCCAACGTACCTTCCCCAGCCGCATGGTAACACGCCATTTGCTGGATCATCCCCTCTAGAGCAGAAACCAGACCACCACCACCCTCCTCCCCATGCGGTAGATACATCTGAGGAGAAGGCAGAGTCAAAGGAAGCAGTAGAAGCCCTGCCTCCTCCGTTGCCAAAACCCCCAGCCGGTGTTAAAAAGTCCAAGTCTGACAAGGCTACCCCGAAGCGCAAAATCAAGCAAGCTGTATCCCGAAAAGCGTCTGGGAAGAAGCTGTGTCGGCAACAGCATGATATCGATCACTATTCAAACCTGGCTGACCCTCCTGACTTGTTTGAACCATTGAAGGATAGCCCATCACAACCACCACCGGAAGACCTGTTCCCGTCTGACCCAGCGATGATTCCCCGGGAGCAGGATCCTCGCTTTGAAGGCGACATGTACACTCCCGCCTGGGTACGCGGACAGGGAAACAAGCGTGAAGGTTGGTGCGGCATCTGCAAGCCTGGACGCTGGCTTGTGCTCAAAAACTCCGGGTATTGGTATGACAAGAGTTTCACACATGGCATCAGTGCCACGACCGGGCAGGCATTTAGTCCCCCGAAGCAGACTCGACGAAGCCAGGGCAACGCAAACATCTGGGAGGGTCTCTGTGAGAACTGTGACTCGTGGGTTGGGCTGGTCAGTAGCAAGAAGAGAGGGACGACATGGTTTCGCCATGCGTATAAGGTTAGTTCCTGCATCCAAGGAGAGGTCCTGGGGAGAGGGATATCATGCATCGATCTAACAACGGACATGGTATAACTATATAGTGTTATAATGGCTGCAGCACCACCAGCAGGAGCAGCAAGACTGAAGGCACGCTAAAGAGACGACGAGCAAGCAGTGAGAGCGATGACAACCGCCCTTCGACTCGACCTAAGCTGTCATCAACACCGACGGCTCGCAAAGCGAAGCCAGCCATTCCATCCTTTGGTTCCAAAGTAAGCCAATCTCCAACTACATCCTAGTTCGCCATGTTAGCAAACTCGTATCATGATTTTTTTTCCCTTCCCCTTCTCTTTCTTAAACCTATCATTGCTGTCTCCATTTCTCTGTTTCTCTCGGTGTTTTCAATCCATTCTCCCATGTTCAAAATGTTGAGCAGGGATATGCATTCGGCTTCTGGAGTTTCATCGTTCTATCCGCACCCTTGTTTTAAGCATCTCCTTTCTCCCTTTTTCCCCTTTCTCGTCAGACGGCTATGTGCGTTAGTTATAGAGAGGCCATGTCCCATCGATTTGTAGTTTATCCTGGAGCTGTTTTTTTGGCCGGGGAAAGAGATACAAAAAAAAAGTCTGCTTTTTGATATCACAGCCTTAACGGATGTGCTAAGGGGGGCCCTGCTACGGCGTTTCTGACAGGCCAGCTACCGTCCCCCAGCCTCCACCGACATGCATAAGTGCCTGATAAAATAGCAGCAGATGAGGAGGGAAAAACGGGTGCTGGGCCAGTGAGCAGCTCGCCCGCCTGCCTACCAAAATTCATCCACCGACTCTGCTGATCTTAGTGGTCGAATACGCCCTGTCCCCGGTCCATCCATCATCCTCGACTCGTCCATCTCTGTGCTGTAATATTGTATCTGTCTGTTTTCACAGCGTCGTCGTCGTCCTGTCAACATGCAATCGTCCTGACCTGGTCCTGAGAGCAGCAGCCTCCCCCCCATCCCATCCCTGCTCGCTGAGGTCGCATGTTTCCTGTTTCCCTTCTGCAGGTAAACTCCCCCCCCTCCCCGTCCCCTGGCCGTCCGTGTCTGCCTATTGGAAGTCGAGTAAAATCGGTGGCTTGGAGCAGAGGGATCTCGTCTAATTTCATACATCGCAGCTCAGTCTCCCTTAAGAAGAACCTTCTAGCAACCTGCGCATCTTTGCTTCTCTCTGTCTTATTTTTTGCTTTTTCCGTTCTTCTCGACGTTGCTGGCCCTGCCGGCTGTCTTTATCATCATAATCATCACCGTCGTCCTCGTCCTCGTCCTCGTCGTCTCCTCCGTCGCCAGCTCTTCTCTCTGTCCGCCGGTGTATAGCTAACTACCAAGGCGAATATCTATAAGAAAACAAGAAAAAAGAAACCCAGCAGCGACGCCCACGAGCAAGAGAGCGAGCACCAGCGATGGTCTAGCTGCTCCTTCGGCCTCTCTCTTCCTCTCGTTCTGCTTCTGCGTCTTCTCTGCTGCTGCTGCGTCTTTCTTCCATCGACGTCTCTCGACTTCCATCTTTTTTTTTTTCTCTCCCACAACTTTTTTTTCCGGAACAACCAAAAAGGGAAAACAAAAAAAAAAAAAAAAAAAATTAAAAAACTCCTCCAATGGTCCTCCCAAAATTCTTCAAGTCACCAAAACCCGTCGACAAGAAGAAACACAAGGCCTCGCCGTCCGCATCCTCGATCGCGGACCAGACAGCAGACGCTCCCTCGCCGTCGACGCCGACCTCGCTGCCCCGTCGCAAGACCGACACCGCCGAGCGTCCCCAGAGCACCTCGCTCGACCAACCGCCCGCCTACAGTCGAGAGACCCCCGAGCTCTCTGATCCCTTTGGCCCTCCGCCGCCGCCGCCGCAGTCGTCTTCGGCCCAGAGCAGCCCGACCAAGGGGCCTCACCGTCGGCTCAGCACCAGGCCGCACCCTTCGTCGACTCCCTCGTCCCCGACTTCCTCGCCGCGTGCGGCCTCCGCCTCTGCGTCGAGAAGCAGGCCCGCCCCCCGGCACTCTACCACCGCTCCCGCAGCAGCAGCAGGACCAGCAGCCGGAGCTGCGTCTGCCAGGTCCAGGCGAGAACTGAGCCCGTCTACTACTCCTAATATCGCTGCTGCTACCCCCACCACCGCCGCTGCCGCAGCATCGCCCGGACTCAAGTCAAAGCTGTCAAAGAAAGTCAGCAGTGGAGGCCGGTTTGCCCTTGATCCCAACTCACATCCGTTGAATCTTCCCCCGGACGAGCTCCGCAGACTCTCAGCAAACATGGCAGCCGCCGCAGCAGCAGCAGAGCGGGATGATACCCTGCGCAGCTCCATGGATATCGACAGAGACGGCCCTTCTTCACCGCCTGGCCCGTCTCCTTTCTCAGCGACCGGCACCACGCCGTTGAAGCCCGAAGTCAACGGTACCGGTAACCACCCGCAGGACTCTGAAAGGAGTCCGACTCCCCCTCCTCACACCTCTCCACCTCCTCCGCCAGTTGATCCGGAGACACACAAGCTTGCGGGGAATAAATTCTTCAAAGCTGGTGAATTCTATAGGGCTATCCAGGAATATACCAAAGGTGGGGACTCACCTCTCTTGATATTTTATTTTATTCCTCCCCCTCCTTTTGTTATATATATTTCTATTTTGGTCTTTCTCTGTCCTGGATCATAATTAACATATCATAGCTGTCGAGGCGTCTCCCTCTTCGTCCACATATCTGTCCAACCGAGCAGCTGCGTATATATCTGCAAACCGATACTCGGAGGCGTTGGATGATGCCAAACGTGCAGACGAGCTGGAACCAGGTAATCCAAAGATTATGCACAGGTTGGCAAGAATATACACGGCCCTCGGTCGTCCGGCAGAGGCTCTCCAGGTATATTCAAAAATTCGACCTCCGGCGTCAGCAAAGGATACCGCACCTGCCGAAGCTATGCTCAGGAATGTCTCCCAGGCTGAGGAAACCCTTCGAGGAGAGAAGGGTGGCTCCATGGTTTTGTACTGTTTGGACCAGGCTGTGAGGGGACTTGGCAACGGGGTACAGCAGCCGCGCAGCTGGTTGCTAATGCGGGTAGAGGCATTCCTGAAGATGGGTAACATTAACGCTTTGGGCGAGGCGCAGAACATTGCCATGTCCCTACTCCGCGATAATAACCAGGATCCAGATGCCGTCTTCTTGCGTGGCCGACTGTTCTACCTTCAGGGTGACAACGACCAGGCACTCAAGCACTTTAAACGAGCTCTCAGCCTGGACCCTGACTCCTCTCAGATAATCAAATTTCTTCGAATGGTACAGAAGCTCCTGCGGATCAAGGACGAAGGAAACGCCGCATTCAAAGCCCGCAAGTACAGGGAAGCAATTGATTTATACACCAAGGGCCTCGAGGTTGACCCCAACAACAAGGACATCAACTCGAAGCTTCTCCAAAACCGTGCTCAGGCACATATAAATATCAACGAGTACGACAAGGCCATCAAAGACTGCACCAGTGCCCTAGAGTTCGACCCAAGTTACATCAAAGCCAGAAGAGTTCGAGCAAAAGCAAATGGAGGAGCCGGTAACTGGGACGAAGCCCTCAAGGAACTGAAGGATATTGCAGAGAGCAGTCCAAACGAAAAGGGCATCCAAGAAGAAATCCGAAACGCAGAGTGGGAGCTTAAGAAGAGTCAGCGCAAGGACTACTACAAGATCCTCGGTGTATCGAAGAATGCTACCGAAACCGAAATCAAAAAGGCGTACCGCAAGCTGGCTATTCAACACCATCCTGACAAGAATGTCAATGGAGATAGCAGCGACGATACCCTATTCAAAGAGATTGGAGAGGCCTACGAGACCTTGAGTGACCCTCAGTACGTATCCTTTTCTGCTTTCCTCCTATATTATTATGTAATAGCTGCTAACCACTCATCTGTGAAACAGGAAGCGACAATCTTATGATAATGGAGAAGACCTAATAGATCCTTCAAATCCTTTTGCTCATGGTGGCTTTGGCATGGGCGGCATGGGCGGCATGGGTGGCATGGGTGGTATGGGAGGACAGAACATCCACATTGACCCCAGTGTCTTGTTCAACATGATGAATAATGGAGCTGGCTTCCAAAGCGCAGGAGGCAACCCCTTCCATTCCCATGGATGGTAAGAAAGGAAACCCGGCAGACGAACATTTTAAACAGATATGACATCCCTTTATACTACACATCGACCCTTGTTCCATATCATATCATATTCCCCCCTTCCCCCGATCTAATGACCAAATAACTTTTTCGCCCATCTTAATCCTTGCCTATTATTCCCACCTATTTTTCAATTCTGCATCAAGGAAAGAAAAAGAGAAAGAACAAAAAGTCAGTTACCCGCTTGCCTTCCCATCTGAGCGATCTATCCTTCCCCAGCCCCTTTTTACGCCATCAACCAACCTTGGGCCCATCCTCGGTCTTATGTACCATTTTTTGCTCCCCGATCCCCGTTTTTCTGCTCTTTCAATTTCTCTTCTCGCATTTTCATGTCCTGCTTTACCACGGGACTTTCTGCAGTGTGAAGGCCAGATCAAGCAAAGACGATATCCCCTATTCCCCCTCTTTGTTGCTCTTTTCTTCGCCCTTTTACCATTCTTGATTATTATCTTGGTGTCTTCTTTTTAGATGCGTGGCATTTGCTGGTCGTCATCATCATTGTTTTTATTCTATTTCCTGGCTCATAGACTAAGAGGACCCTCATGCTTTGTTGATACTTTGTTATATTTTTATTTTTATCAAGAGAATAAAAATTGCTATATCTGAATTTTTCGATCATTCGTTTTAACTTAATATAATTGCGTCGGCTATGGCTAGTCTCTGGCTCTCGCGTTGCTGTTGAAAGGTGACGTTCAAATAAGGTGCAGCGGCTCTAATCCGACTTCCCAAAGGAGAAGGCAGGAAATAAGCATATCTGTACCACAGAGCTGGAACCTAATCCCAACTTCTCCCATTTAAGTATCACCTAGAGAATTACTGCTTCTTTTTTCAAAGTCTTGCAGCTGGTGGTGCTATGTATCCGCTTCTCTCACCTCTGCGGATACATATCGGGTTTTTTCCGTAAAAGAGGTAGAGTAGGCAAAGCAGTCTGTAGCTGTTTACTCCAACGAGAAGATTCCTTCCTGTCACATGAAAATTTCAATCACCCTTTAATTCTCTCGAATGGACGAAGGGCGTGAAGTCTCATTCACGGCAACATATTGATGATACCACGGAGGATATACTGTATACATGTGACTCTGCAACTTCTGCTCTTGTACTCCATATAGAGTATATTTCGTATCGTGCTATCCGTCATTAGCTGGTCCCACAGGGGTCGTCATGCGTCCCGCGCTTAACTTGCAAGGTACGTATTCGGGCCTGGAATAATGGAGATAACTAGCTACTTAGTGGTACGAGGGCAATGTACGAGAGCAGCGTACGAGATCCGGGTACGAGCTCCAGAGCACATTTATGTTCAATGCCATTGAGCGATGTAACTTATCTCATCAGGATAAGGGTGGTATATTTTGGTACGCGTGACCATGCACGGGGAGGCGGTGACTTGTAAATATTGATCATTATACGTGGTAATGATTCATTATTATTATTAGTATCGAAATGCTATGTTTTTCCCATCCGTGTAATGCTTCTTGGTAGTATACAATCTTCTGGTATCATCCTATTCCTCGATACGAGGGGATAAGATATTAATGGTTTTGGCCTTCGATGACCGTGTATGCCCCATGCTATCCTAGTAGATATCCTTGACCCTTTTGTGAATGTCCCATTAAAAACAAATTCCTTTCTCTCGGCCAGCGAGAAGAGGTGGTATGCAGACCGAAACAAAGTAATTTCACAAGTGATGCATCTCCATTAATGGTGGAAGCTATATTATGTGGCCTGGACGGCGCTGGCCCGGAGTGATAGAGGCGTACCCTATCAACTAGGTCAACCTATGCACAACGAGCCGGCTAGTAAATGAACATCGTGCATTCATGTCCCCGGACCGTACTATTCAGCTCATAGTGTTTCCTGGCCCAACTCGTTGAGCAACCGACATCCATCGACTTGTCTGCAACGCCTTTTGTCCCGAGAAGTCGAAGTAATCCGGCTCACACGGGCTGACGGGTTCGTTGTTGGTCTCGGTGTAAATACCCAGGCAATAGTGGCCAGGCAGCTGGGCAAAAAGGAGTTCTTCTTCACCGTACTCGGCTGGCGGTGGAAGTCTTGTGGTAGCTGTAGGCTGTTGCTGTGAATTGTGTCGTTGTGTTCGAGGAGAAAGGGATGAGTTGTTGGGTGACTGGCGCGCGAATAGCCATATCTTCTGTTCAGGACACCATACTAGATTGGCGTCTGACTTTGCTCGCTGGGGTAATGCGTCTGGTTTGGTGTGATAGTTGTTTATATTCTGGCTCTTGGAGCGCTTGAACTTTGACCAGAATCCCATTCGTTGCTTCGAGTTGAGTGTAGTTGGTTTGGTCTCGCTTAGTGTTATATCGCTAACTGCCCTTATGTCGTGTGTGTAGATACTGAGAGACTGGGATTTTATCCGTGCTTCATCCCAGGATCGGGCGTATAGAGTTTCTGTCGACATTTGGGGACTGGAGGTTTTGAAGAATTCTCCTTTTGAGTACTCCGAATACTGCAGACTTTGAGAAAGGGGTATTTCGAGAAGAGTAAAGACAACCACCGGGACCGACGATATAAATAAGAAAAGAAGACCAAGTTATAGATCTCAGGAAACAAGTTTGCCCCTTTCAGGAATTTTCTTGTGGCAATCTTTTCTTCAAGGGACAAAAATAGTAGCCAGCCCCGTATTATGATGCCAAAAAAGAGAAGGCGATACGGATTTGCACTAACTAGTTAGTTGTCTGAAGCAGAGGGCGTTCTCGACTGTGGTGGAGTTGGTATGGGAATGGGAATTAATTCTCAAGACGAGAAGTATAACTTTTCAGGACGGAGTAACTGGCAGAAGACTGAACAAGTTATATTATTATATCCCCTGTTCGGCAGTTTCTTTCCGGCCGAAGACGACTTTTGTCTGCGCTTTTGTGGCGAATGCTACCTGCGGGAGTTGTAGCAGTAGGCGCCTGGTCACAGCTCAGTGGCTGCTGTTGCAGGCTAAGATGTGATCGTCTCCAGGGGGCGGATTTGACCGAAACACAAACGTTGCGGAGGGATGTAACTAAGAGGAGCATCCTCAGCCGACAGTGTGTACGCACCTGGCGCAAGATAGCGATAATCCAGACTGTTGCATTTGTTGCTATCTGTAGTTATCAGCCCCCTTCAAAGAAGGAGTTGCTGAACAGTTAGCCCACCAGCTTATTACCCATCAGAGGTGAGCCCTTGTTTGATTAATATTAACTGGTTGGCGCAGGCGGCGCCTTCGCACAGTCTCATCCTTTCTCTCTCCCCTTTTAGAGCTACTTACGGCTCGATGGAGCGACAAGCCATCCTGTTTCTGGTCCTGGATTTACACGCGAAGGAGGGATCGCAGAGAAGGATGAGGATGGCTGAGCAGCACGTCGACGAGCCCAACATATCTCCGCAAATAATTAACTAGGGTTAACGGAGAAAACAGGCGACAGGATCAGGCACATGGATGCGTATGTCCTGACCTGCTCACGGTACAATCAGTGTGCACAGCGATATGACATGTCCCCAGCGTCTTTGGCCTTTGTGTGGTCCTTGTGGTGGGAGTGGCTTGTTCGGAAGGGAAAAGACGGCACCGCCGGAAGGGCTCGAGCTGCGCGACCTGTTGGCAGCGAAAGAGATGGTGTGTAGCGGAAGACTTTTCTTTCGATATACTCTATTATTATGTATCTGACAGGGCTGTGCTGCGAATGTGCTTGACATGGCCAAGATGCAACCGCGGTCATTCCCTGACCGGCGAAGCCGTTGGGGGGTGACTGGCAGCGTAACAGAAGGTAGTACGGAATATATCGACCAGCAAAAAGACACCACCTCAACGCCAACGCTACCATGGTATCGCGCAGTCGAGATAGCAGAATGTCCGTTCCCGGGGTACGGAGGAGATGCAAAAAAGAAATTGGACTGTCAGGGAATCGAACCCTGGACCACCCCCATGCTAAGGGGGTATTATACCACTAAACCAACAGCCCCTTCGTATGGTTTGCCCCATCCAGTAATTCCTACCAGCCGCTTTAAAGAATGGGAGTTCATTCTCGGCATTTCTCACAACTTCGTATTCGGGCTTCGTTTCCAAGGTGATTGGTCCCCTTAGTTAATACGAATCACATACAAGGATACCGCAGAACAATGCCTACACGTCCGATTTCGGCGACTTGATATAGTAGATTTGATATAAGTCATTATTGTAGTACTAGTCATTGAGGATTTATGGAAAAAGATAATTGAAAGAAAGTAAAGCAGCCGGGTTGTTGATTAGTAGGACTCCCACGGCAAGTCTTCGTAAACAAGTTGCTGCCTTCCTAGGTAAGAGCTTCTGAGAAGCACATTCCCATTAAATGATATAAACATGAAATTAATTGAAGGAATCGTATGAAGGATAAGTGTATTTGTAGAACATTCAACAAGATACCTCAGCTTTGTGGGGCACGGAAGAGCTAGTTAGGGGACGGACTTGGTATTAGCATAACTAATAGGTATCTCGCGACCTCCATTCCCACATTTATAACGTGTGGAAGAAACCTATTAGGCTATTATTTAGCGGTATAAAAGATTCCATCTTTTGAAGCTAGGAAGGCGGAATCCCAACCAAAGCAGCGAACCGGCCTTCACCATTAATCTCAAGTATGCATTCTTCCTCGAAATAGTAATATTCCTCCAAGGTTAATAATTTAGAATATCCAAGATAATTTTTGGCCGTTATTTTTAAGGAATCAAGAATGATAAGTAGTATTATAATAGTGAATATTTTTCCAATCGTGGGTTTTCCAGGAAAGTAGACAAGAATTTTCCACAAGTGGTCCTATACAGAATGTTAGCTTAATTTCTACATAGAATAAGATAGCTTACCTTCCAAGTCTCCCCAATAACTTGAGCAGCCACTTTCCCGCAGGTAAATATTGCATTCAAAGGTCTTATTAGGCTCCCAGGAAGACAAATTTTTATATCGTTTAACGCTTCCAATTTGACATCTTATATGTACTCTTTGTAACTAGCACTCAGCGTAAAACTTTTCACCTGGAGGCGGTGGTCGTTTTCTGTAGACATCTTTAAAAAATGTGCCGGGCTGGTAGCGAGGGGTTATTGTGATCCAAACAATACTGCTGAGCTGATGTGCTAAGGCAGCTTTAAATAATGAAAATGGGTAGAGGGGTTAATAAATTCGCGAGGCGGGGCGAAAAATTGTAGTCGATAACCTTGGAACTAACTAGTGGGGTCACAAGACCGAAACTAACTTACTTAAGCCAATGACATAACTACCGTTCTGTTTGCCCCTCCATCCTGTGGGGTAATGAGATTGTTATTTGTCTCATCTTTCGTTTTATCGAGGCAGTGATATTTATTTAGTTTAAGACAAAACACAAATAAGAGGATCCAGCCATGTTTGCTATTATGAAATTTTTATAGTTTAACTCACTCAATTAACTAGAAAGGTGTCTGTCGAATAATATTTTTATATAAAGAGAATAACTGCTAACCGTATAGCATAGAAAGATAGGTATAAGGTATAAGTTGGTACCATGTTACAAGGAATCAATTCGATCACATACCTACCTCTTCCGGATTCCCTCCAAGCCACTATTAAACAGGCAATAAGTGCAATATCTGGCAAAGTTATTTCTCATTCGGAGCCATATGCCTCGAAATTTGACCTTCCTAACAATGATGAGGTAAAATTGGTTGTGGAGGAGGCAAAGAAGGCTTATCAAAAGGTATGAAGTTACGTTCTTTAAATATTCTAGTACTAAATAAATTGGATACAGGAAAAGCTACCGCGTGACTTTTCTATTTTATCATTGCATGGGGCCGTCTTTAGAGGGAGGTGGAAATCTGGTGGGCTCAATGACACTGTTATTGTCCCACTTATAGATCACCATGCTGAAGTTATTGCAAGGAATGAATCTGGGGATGAGAAAAGACTAGATTGGAATTGGAAAAGTGCTATATTTGTGCAAAGATTAACATTTTTCGAGATTGAAGGTGAAAATAAGATTGGTGCGATAATCCTTCAATTTAGGCGATAAATGGTTAAATATATATACGATTATTGACTCTGCGTAGAAATACCAGCAGATAGAAAATTGAAGCTATTTGGCTCCGCCGCCCATGAGTCGGTATTAGTAACGAGATACATGGAGTTCAAGTCACTTCACTGCGCCGTCAATGTATCGGTGTTGGGAGTATACATACTAGCAGAAAAGGGGTCAAAGCCGCTGCTGGGCTGCCACGGATCAGTGTCAGAATACAACCCCGGATTGCTATGGGGGTTATTTTGGTGATTGGCCGTGGTTGGCAAACTTCCTGATTCCGCAGCGAGTTATTGGCCGTTGTAGTCATCCCGAATCGGTCTGTGTTGAGTTGATGTCCACGATAAAGAGTTTCTATATTCAAATGGAAGGTTGGTGGTGGATAATAGTGGCGCGGTATAACTCTTGTCTGTCTCCCTAAAGGAATATTTGGGGCAATGGCCGATTCTATGTGTTTGGAATATTGGCATTCCCCGGTGGTCAAAAGAGTTTCAGTGCCGGATAGCTTGAAGGTTGAAATGGCTGCAAATAAAAATTCACGCGCATATCATTAAAATGCATTATTCCATGTAAGCGCTTCAACAACTATCAAGTTCACACGATGTGCCACTAAACCAACAGCCCTGACCCGATATTAACGGGGGGACACCGAGTTTGCTATGAGAAGAGGATAGATACTAGCGCTAAATCCACATCCCTTACTGGCCGCTTTTAGTGGCCAGAAATGACATATATATATAATATTTCAGAGGGAAGTTGAAAACAAACACCCGCCTTACATTTCCTTCGTCTTCGTGCCTGTTCCAGGATGATCTTGGCTCGGGGGGACGTTTTCCTGGTATAGAGTTGGACGTAGAGGTAAATTGTCAGACACAGCAAGAGTCCTAACGGGAACTGGATCTTGGACGTCTTCAAAGAGCAGTTCAACTCCTGAGAGAGTCTCTAGAGAAAGAAAAATGCTATGAGGCAGCCTCATGAACAGGCCCGTAGATCGGGCCGGGTAAACCTGGTCAACCTCAATATGGATGGAGTGGTGAGTCTCTTCAATCGTCTTGATCAGTTGTTTCACCGCCGCAGAGGTCGCATCGTCGACAATGTGACATTTGACGACGACTGTGTAATCGTTATTCCCTGGCAGTGGCTCGATGGTTAGTGATAAAGGTAGAGCTGCTTTTAGACCTCTACCGGTATGGTGACCTAGTGTCAATGGTATAGCGACTTTTTCTGTTGATTGAATGGCCTGACAACTCCTCTCTAGAAGAAGACTGGCGCCTTTTCTTCTGTGTGGGTGAGGGAATTTGTGGATTTAAGGGAGCATGGTCACTTAGCACATCCACAGCCCCTTATCCTCAGCCTTAGAGTAAGGATCAAACCGCTGGGTCAGAAAGGGGAAGCCCCCTTCGGAGTTTGCTACTATGATGCCATGTGAATTTCGTGCTGCCCGATGATGCTTTCCTTTCCTTTACTTGCCGTATTTTTTTAGGGGTTTTTTCGATTCCTTGCTGAACGTGGAGATATGCTCATGATCTAGCTTGTTCTCTGTAGCCCGTCTCAGCAGGTCGCATTATCCCCGAGAGTGTTTGGAGATCCCGATAGGATTGCTATAACGTTCGGAGGCGGCTGAGCATCAGGAGAAGACTTCGATGGTAGAGGTATATGAAGAAATGAAGGAATTTTAGGCAGAAGCGCCGTCAAGATGGCGACTTTATTCAAAATCAGCAGGAGAGCAGTGAATGCGAGCCGTGAATGCGAGCATTGAAGGAGCAAGGTGAAGGTCAAGAGGTAAGGTACTACTCCGTATGTAGTGACGTCATAGGTCGAGAGACTCCCGTCTTGGCAGGAACAAAGCCATTAATGCCAAGACGGATATTCACGTGATTAACACTTGGTTCGAAAGCTTACTAATCAGTACTTCCATGGCTGGTGTTAGAATTTACATTTTTGGCGCTCGCTGTGCTTGAACTTCCAGGTGAGGCTATAGTTATAAAGCCAACACAAGCACGATGACCGAGCACAGTGCTATCGGTGTCATTGCTGTTCGCAAGTCTAGAATGATCGAGATGTGATAGGCTTGCTGTACCAGGGCCGGCCCCTTGATGCCAGTTCAGGCAGCAGCGTGACATAACCAGACATAAACGAGATGCCTCTTTACTTTGCCTGCGTGCATTATTCAAAACGAGAGACATTACTGCATTCACGTATCCATGCAAGAACTCGCGGAGTGGTGCTTGCTGACGAGGACCGGACATGACTTGGCAACCTAAGTATCAAAGTCCCTGGATGAAATAATCAACTATGCAATGAGGTAATGATTGCCTGGCTGGTAGAGTTGTATCAGGAAATCTCCGTCAGTGACGGCACGGTTGGAGTACTTTTGAAACTTGCTTACTTGCGTTCTCTGTAGGCTTCCCCTCAGTTTCTAATTACGGGATTCTGGGCTCTGAGTGGACACCGCGACAAGCCTGAAACACGCAGTCCCGCTGGATAGAGTTGCAGCGATATGATAAGGTTGACCTAATACATCACATTAAATGAACACTGCGTCATAACATGCGATTAGATGTGGGTGTCCTCTGCTCCGTAATTGAGCATGGGAGGGTGCAAAAGGGGCCAAATATTGCGAAGGATTGAATGTTGGATGTTGAGGATGAGGTTGTAGATCTGTCTGAGTGTGAAGGAAGATAGAGATCGATCAGGAGCAACCTTAACTAGGCAAGCAGCGGCGGTTAAGTAAAAATACGGGGAGAGGACATGGGGGGGGTGGCCAGAGGCGAGGTCTGGCAGGCAGGGATGGCGGCAACGGCAAGGCACGGAGGATGTTGGTATTCATTATTGGGCATCTTGAAACGAAGATCTTGCTCCTAAGCGCCCCCGAGGATGGAAAAGAGAATAAACAAGTCCAGATAAAAATAAAAGTGTGATGTTGAATTTTTCGGCCGGCCCGGCGATGTTTAAGCCCTACCTATTGATATTTTGAACAGGGATAGGAAAGGGAATTTGTGTGCTGGTGGTCTCTTTGCTCTTGCACCTCTCTTATATAGACGTGGCGAATTTAAGAGAGCGAAAACTGCAGGAAACGAGAACAGCTCCAACTGATTAAAAAGAAAAAATTACTAAGAGGTATATCGGTAGCAAGCTGTAAAAGCTAGGAAAGTGTTCGGAAATTTCAAGCAAAGTCCATAAATTAACCACGTATCAAAAAAAGGAGGGCAATAAAGGAAATAAAAAACCAAAGCACACAAATCTCCCTATGAAGAACCCAAAATGCCGTTGTCCCGATCGAATTATTCGAAGTTCTTGTCTAGAGTGGATCTATTTTGCCATGCACACTATGTTCAAGAAGAGCCAAAAGAGGAAGTGAAATAGGAAATTAATACCCCGTAGCTATGATTTTTCGCCGGAACCAAATGACAGATTGAGGGCGGAAGACGTGAGCTAATGGGAGTCATTAAAGAAGAGAAATTTATGCCAGGATGATGGCGGCAAGACCGGCAAGACCGGCAACGGCGTAAGAGCCGGAGAAGGTGCTGGCGGCACCGGTGTAAGTTGGGAGAGCGGTGGTTGGGCTGTTACCAGTTAATTAGTCCAAAGTGTACAAAATAACCGTAAAAGTTAGAAGGGAGTAAAAACTTACAAGACACCGGTTCCAGTTGGCATGACACCAGTGCCGGATGGGATGCCAGGAGCACCAGTTCCGGGAACACCGCCAGTTGGGACAACGGTTGGGGTTGGCTGCATGGTGACGGTAGAGGTGATGACAGTTGGCATGCAGGTGGTGATGTAGGTGACAGAGACACTTGGAGATGGCTGGCTTGGGGGAACGTTGGTTGGGTATGGTGGGATCTCAGTTGGAACACCGCCAGATGGGACAGTTGGGACACCAGTGCCAGTGCCGGATGGGACTGGGATGGGGAGGTTGCCGGTTCCCATGGGGACAGACTCAGTTGGGAGAGCGGTCTCGCTGGAGGAGGGCTCGGTTGGGACAGCAGTTGCCTCAGAGGTGGGAGCTGGGACAACGCTGGTCTCAACACGGGTGGAAGAGGCCGGGCAGCTGGTAACCTCTGGTGGGCAGTCGGTCACAGTGACGTACTCAGTAGAGTAAGAAGTTGGGACTGGGACTGGCTCGCCGGCGGAGGTGGTAGGAACTGGAGGAACTGGAGTCTGGTTTCCGGGGCAGTTGGTGACCTCGGGGCCGCAGGAGGTGATGGTGACCTCCTTAGTAGAGTAGACGGTGGAATGGCCCTCAGCTCCGTAGCCCTGGGGTTCGTAGCCGTTGTTGCCATAGCCCTGCATGGCAACAGCGGCACCAGCGAAGAGAGCAGCGGAAGCAACTGAGAAACGCATCTTGAATGTGTATGTGTGTTTGAAAAAGAACTGCTAGAGTCGAATTCGAAAAGAGTCGTTAAAAAGAGAATAGAAAGAAGCGTAGGATTGGGAAATTCGTGTGCTTGGTTTTTTAAAGAGTGACTGGTAGTTAAAAGAGTGTAGGACGACCGAGGTCTTTGAGATAGATCTGATGGATGGATGTACAGAGGAAGAAGAAGAGAGCAGGAGAAAGAGGAAGAGAGGGAAACGAGGCACTCAGTGGAACATGGGCCCTTTTTGTATCTCCCTTGTGCAAGGGGGCCATGGGAGATTGCCCATGCACATCTGAATCAACTTCTTCCGCCCCCTTGGCTCGTCTCCTATTTTTTTTGTCCACTCCCATCCCTACCCACGTAGACGTGGGTCGACAGCGCAAGCGGCAGGTTATCATCAGCGGTGGAGTAAGCCTTTTTTTGTCGCCCACCCCGGCCGTGTTTTGTTCCTGACATGCGCTTCCTTTTTCCTGCCTGCCGTCTGCTTGTCTAATTGGCTGCATGGCCCCCCTTAGGCCCTGCTGGATGTCCCTAGCCACGCCCAGGGCTCCAAGCCCAGCGCCATCGTCGCCCACTAGGATAGCGACACCTTGACTGGGCCTGTACGCCTGCCGCCTGGGGCGGTAGAGAAGGGCCCTAGAGACGGGGTAGGCTCCCCCCTTTCACCTGCGAGTTCTGTCTCTTTCATGGCCCTCTCTGTGTGCGCTCCTTAAGAGAGGCTCGGGCTCAGCGAACGTCTTCGTCTGACAGAGGACGAGAAGCACCGCAAAGTTGAATCTTGTCTGTTGATCTGCGCCACTGCCTGCCAATCGGTGGGTGTTCCTGGCTCCTGCAGGTACACTTCATCAACCTCTTGTCCAGCCGCCCATGTCCTCTAACCAGTCGGAGATGAAGACCGCCGTCCTGATAATTTACGCCGTCTTCCTCCAGGCGTCTCTCTCGCCGCTGACTCGCCGCGCCCGTCCTTGCATTTGCGGATAATTACCACTGCTCGTCGGCGGTTAGGAGATTATTATATTACCACTGCTGGTTGCGGTCGAGGAGTCGCGAGAGACGTCGTTGAGATTAAGCAGCAAGGGGCTGCCCGATCGGGTTAGCCAGACCGCACAATCAACCTCCCTGCTCTCTCTTTTACACATGATAGATTAACAGGCGGCTCTTAAGGCTTCATCACTTCTGAATCAGTGTTTCTGGCCGTGATAGTGGTTGATATAGTTGTGTGTGCTCCGTCGCCAGGGTGTCACAAGCCGAGCTCGCAATAAGCGGCCGTCCTGCTGTTCTTCTGCCTCCCCCCTTCGGCTGACCGTTTGTGGCGCCCACCCCCTTGTCAGTGCGAGTGGGAAGACGCTTCTCGAACGCTGGCTCTGTGACAAGGTTGATGGTGTCTTCACACCTACGTATACGAATATATAATTCCCGTGTGATATCGACATTTGCACAGGCGTTTCGTGCGCAGTTCAGCTCTCTGAAATGCCAATTTCATATGCAGGATTGTTCGTCTTTCCTCTCCTGAATGCCTGGCACTGCAAAGCAGCTATTGACGCCTAACGCCTTAGTACTTGTTGATCAGTGCATGCAGTCGATGGCTTACTCCGCATTTCGATACTGAACCAGACTACCGAAGCCAGAGCCGTAGCCACAATCAGCAGCAACAGCAAGGAGAAGAGACGACGAGATGACGGGCATGATACTCGTGCCTGAAGATCATGCTTGGTAGCCAAACACTCACAAGCGAATCTCCATGCGCGAACAGAAATCAACACGGTGAATCCTTTATCATATAAATGGAGCATATATATACTCCGTACAGCTATTATGTATTTATATATATATATATTTATATATACCTCGAACCTTTTATGTCTCGCTGCGAGTCTAAATAAACAAACCAGCTGCTTCCTAAGTTTTGTCCAACCTTCAACGTTGTGTCACCGAGCCTTCTTGCTGCTGGTTGTCACACCCTTCGACTGTCAACGAAAAAAGGAACGAATAATAAAAAGAAAGCAGCCCAGGGAAAAGAAAGCCAAGCTCTCCTTGGCTCCCTTGAACAAATCAAACACCGCCATCTCGATGCCTGTCGATCGATGACGCGGCAGGCCCTAAAAACCAGAAGCCGACCAATCCTCGAGAGTCCGCCTTGTTCGGTCGAGTCAAGGAGCTAACCCCTAATTTCCACCGGCTGAACCGCAGCTCGCGATGGATAGATGAAATGCCCAGATCTCTCTCCAGTTTTATTTTACGGGGTGCGCTCCGGCCTGCCACTCATGAGGGCAAACGGTCCAGGGGGCAACCGTCAACTTGGCGCTTGTGTCATGTTTCTCCTCTGGACGCTCCAAAAGGGTTTCTTCCTGTGGATAGTCGATGGAACTGACTTACATAAGAAACAAAGTTAACTAACTCCATGACTGGATATTTTTACCAGGGGGGAACGAGTTAGAGGAGCCTGGCCCGACGCCACGAGCATGCACGCACTGATATGAGGAGACCGAAACTTGGATTTAGATAAAAGCCCGTCGTTTTCTCACCAGGCTTGCTTTCCCACGGGTTCTTGCTTCAGGAAAACGCTCGTGCTCATTTTCGTTTCGCGCTCTGTTTGCTTTAGGACATGGCTTAGCATGCATGGTGTGAACGTACAAAATGGCCCCTTGCCACTTGGAGGGAGGCTCCAGGCAGAGCGACAAGCATATTGGTCCACAGCATCTCCTCTCAACTCCAGCATCTCGATCCGCCCTGCCTGGTTGAGATGCTGTAGCCGCCAGACTGGAGTCGGCTGCGTTACCTATGATGTCAACCAGCAAGCCATGTACACCGTCAAGGGACGAACGAGAGTCCCTAGTTGACGAGTTGTTGTCGTGTGCAGCAGCGATGATCGGTTTGTTTCGCGATTTCAAGGCGGAGCAGTTGGAGCGATCCAACTGTTGAATTCTTTCTCATGTTTCGTCTTGTGTGCCGTGCTCGGGGCGCCTCTGTCTGGAGTGCGTTTCTTCTTTGAACGTCTGCTCCATTCTTCTCTTTCCTGCGACGCACCCCCACATAACCAACTGCCCTCGTTCTCCGGTATGTTGGTTGTGCTCCAATCCACCGAATTCGTGCACGAAGACAGTAAAATCATGGGCGGCTTAGAGAGTTACTAATCACACCAACAAGGTGCAAAATGGTTACAGCATTGACAAGAACTGGGTTTCCTTTTCCCGATCAGAGGACATTTTATTGGCATTCGTCGCTGATGCGGGTGTTTGCTGGTAAGAAGTAGAGAAAGTCGTTTCGTTTTATTCCTCCCTATATTGACCCTATCTTGAACCGAATAAAACGCCTGAAAATAGCAAGTCTAGTCTGGAGATGTTTCATTTTCCTTAAACGCCATAACTCTAGAGTGGTTGTGTCCTTTCTCATTCCCAATCGCAGCATTGTTACATTCCCCCCGGGCTTAGTCCATTAATCTATTCGAGCTTCGACACATAGTGCTTCTGGAACAAATCGTTCTGGATCCAAATCAGCTTGTTAAAGGCTCTGATGACGTTGGTCTTGGTCTGAATGTCCAGCTCTTCTGCTCCCATCGTCGCCTGGAGCACAATATCCTCCACAAATCCCAACAGCAATGACATATGCATCACCTCCACGCGCAACTCGGGCCTCTTCTCACGGTGCTTAAAGCCGGGTTTGCCGGTGTGCATCACGCCGACCTTGTCAAGATATTCCCAGAACTTGCTGTCGTCGGACCAATCACTGTTGCTCACGAGCTTGACAAGATATGACTTTAGGAAGTCCTTGCGGTGCAGGATATTAGGGTGAGTGAGGGACAGATCAGCAACTGAAGTGGTTGCAGAAACGGTGGATTTATCTTGCTCTGGCTGAGGAGGCACAAAGGATTTGGCAGTGACATCGAACCCAATTAGGTTGGTATAGATGGTATCGAGTATCGCGGGGAGAGCAGGAGCAATGAGGCCCTTTGCGCTTTGGATGGCAGCTCCATCTTCATCAGTGAATTTGAGGAAGGCTTTGAGATAGTTGACTCGGCTGGGGAGGCAGGTCTCCAGCTGCTGCTCGTCAACGTGCTGGACAAGGCGGTCTGCAACAGTCATGGTGATCAAGTTGGTAAGTGGTAGGTGGTTATTGGGTCTCTGGTTTTGAACGTTATACTTTTGAATGTTGGATGTTGGCTATGAAGGTGATGAGTGTGAAGAGAAGTGAAAGGAGGCGACTAGTGAAGAGATACTCTCTTTATATACCCGACATTGGTCCTTTGGAGACTGGCCGGTGAATGACTTCTAAGACGTCATTTCACCAAAAAAAATAATAGCTGGCACGGAAGCAAGAGGTACTCACTCTCAACCGGCCAATGGGGTTACTCCAATTTGCTATCACCAGGGGTAGGTTGCTACATGTGCTGGATCCAGCGCAGAAAGTGGAATGACATGAAGAAAAGAATGACGTGTAAAAAAGTCAATTCCGCGGAGATATATACAGAGTCAACGGCTCTTCTTCATATTCTCTTATTTTCCCTCAAAAAGAAGCGAAAAGCTGCAGCTAAAATTCTTCGTGATTCCAGCAGCCCTTGCGCCGGGGTATCAAAAATCCTGCCGGTCGTCCATCTTTGCCCACTTTTCCCCCATAAATTGCATGGGTGCAAGTGGAACTGCCGCAAAGAAATTGGAAGAGACCAGAGCAGGAGACCAGTGGCAGAGAATTAGGCGAGATACCGGCAGGGCAGGGGCAGGCTTTGGCTGCCGGATGTGCCTGGACAGGCGCATGGCCTGATCTCCTCGTCGTCCCGAATTTGACGAAAGAGCCGGAGATTTTCGGGATTTTCGGGATTTTCGTTTGCTGGCGAGATGAGTCAGCGTCTATATCACGTGATACTATATTAACCGGGCCGGGCCGGGCCCTGGCTGTCGTTCCATTGTAGGTGAGGGTGAGAGCTGGAGCACTGCAGGCATCGACCCTATATGTATTCCATACCTTGGAACGAGCTGGAGATATCTACGATGATAGCTGTATAGGCATTGGTGAGCAGGAAGTAGAGGGAAGTCATATTTATCTCGAAGAGCTGGTAGTGAAGTCTAAGAGCTACTCAACATTTCCGTGGAACCGAGGGCCTAGGCCCTTGCCTGCTTTTTTCCTTCCTGCATCAAAAATTTTCACAGCTAGCCGCTTCCCAATGATAATAATAATAATAATGATAATATAATACCTCACTGCTTGGCCTGCTTCTTAATGCGTGCCAGCTCGTCGTCAATCTTCTTAAAGCCCCATGACTGGTAAAACGGAAAGTACAGGAACGGTCTCAGATCGAACCTGTTGTCGTCGGGGCTGTAATCGTTTGAGTGCAGGGCTGGCGTCAAGGTCGTCATCTTGTGCCGATTGATGGCATAGTAATGGTAGAACCTCTTGACCTTCTCAGCCACCTGCTGGGGCGTGAGGTGGTTCCAATCATGCACAAGACGCTGGAACATTCCATACGGCCCAAGCTTGTTGTACTTTCGCAGGCGGCCAAAGGTAGATAGTTCATCATATGTCATGCCCATATCTGCCTCGTCGCTTTGAACGTACTGTTCAGTGATAGGCTCAAGCTCGGCTGTGGGGGTAGCTTCGAGGAAGCTGCGCAAGCAAGGAATAGAGTAGGATTTCTCAGCCCATGCAATGAATAATTTGAGATCGCTCTTATCAAGACCGCCGATAGGGTTGATGTCGGCGCTGGAGCAGTCGTACTTTGTATAATAGCCGCGGAGTGCCTCTCCGGCGTTTGCAGATCCTAGGACCAGCAAGGCTCCACCGTGTGGCCTCTTGCGGGTGGTAGGAAGCATCTGAGCGAACTCGTACGCTGTAACCATGCGGCTGCGAGCTTGGATATTTTGCAGCATGAGGTTCTCCGCATTTGTGCCGCCTTGGCTCTTGAATTTGGGGTCGAAATCCAGATATTTAACGACGAGGTTCTTCTGGGCCTCGTAGACTTCATCGATATCTAGATCGACATGGTAGGAGCCTATAGCTTTGGAGAGATCTTGCGCACGTCCACGTGTTTCTTTGGAAGACTGCTTCGACATACCCATGTATACAGTGTGGAAGAGCTGGTTGCATAGCTCCTGGGGCGTCTTTGGTAACTCCATCGTGTAGTCTGCTAATCGTTTGCAGTCCTTGATTACTTGCGAATTCCCAGCTTTGATGGCATCGATGACAAGCTGACACATCGAGAAAACAGTCATTGCAGTAGCACAACTATCAATTCCTCCTGATAGCGGAACAAGGTACCCTGCGGTGCCAGAACGTCGCAGGTAGTCCCATAGCCAGCACCCCGTAGACAGCGCAATTTCTTCTTCTGGAGAGTAGTACCGTGGCTGTATCACCGGACTGGGCCGTAGTCTAGTGTCACGGTCGCCTATGTCGGAGCTCAGGCTAAACTCAGTCTCTACCCGAGTATAAACGCCGGCCTTCATAGCCTGGTGGCCTCGAGATGGTGTGCATCGATAAGACCGGACCTCCTCCAGATCCACGACGGCAGTAACAACATCAACGTCGTCGAGACTGAACTGATTTCCCTGTGCAACTAGACATCCATTGACAATGATCATCGCACTTCCATCGAAATAAAGTCGATCCCCATCGCAACCCAGATGGTTCGCGTACAGATAAACGCCACCATTCTTCCTCGTAGCTTCCATGATCAGACTAACTCGGATATCAAGCTTTCTCAGAGTATGATGAGATCCGGACGAATTGGCCATGATCTCCACCCCGTTGAGACTCATATCATTATGAGGCGACTGTGGCGTGAACAGCTCTTCACAGGTTTCTACGCCAACACACGTATCTGCCGTTGATATCACAGCGTCACCAATAGGCACTTTGGTCGTGCCCTGAATCTCTCTCACCATCCTGGGCAGATAGTACTCCTCAACATGCCTTGGTCCAACCCAGGGTATGAAGTGTCTCATTTCTCGGTAATTTCCATCATTTGCAAGCCATAACTTCGGTCTGATGAGCAAGATCTTGCCGTCCAAGCAGATGATTCGGCAATTGAATCGGTTGTTGCGGTGCATCACCGGCATTCCGATGTCGAGGAGGATTCCATCACAGCTTCTGTCCTTGAGGATAATGCATAGCATCTCCCAGCAATGAAGGTATAGGTCTGCTTCGAAGAAATGGTCAAGACACGAGTAGCCGCATATTTCAAGTTCGGGGCCAACTCTGAGAGTCGCGCCAGCAGCTTTTGCCTTGTGTATGCTCTCGATGATGCGTTTGGTATTTCCTTCAAAGTCAAGAGCCCAGTTTCGAAGCGAACAAGTCGCTACGCACGCTAGATGACCCATTGTTCATGCGATAGTAGACAGCGGCTCTTTGCACTCCTTTTCCGAGGTTGCCGAATGGCTGCTGTTTATTCAAAGCCAGGCGGGGTTTGTGACGCGTACAGCCAACTAAAGGTACTACGATATTAGAAGCGAGAAGATGAAGAATATATGGCAGCAATGCTTAAAGAGCTACTCGCTGAACATCTAAGGGAGGTTCAGATAGCCGGGTTGTAAGTCCATGGGGTATCTAGCACCTGGGCGGTTCAGAATGAAGACTGGGAACTAGCTCGAAGGAGGAAAACAAAGATGAAGAGGGAAAGGAACAGTCTGAACATGCCTTTCTTTAGCGACGACTCACCACTATTACACATGGGCAACGCCCGCTATCTCTCTTGCTTGCCTTCTGACGAAATAACTTCCAAGCGATGGAATCTCCCGCAGTTTCAATAATAATAATAATAATACAACAGAGGCAGCGCTGCAGATCGTACGGAGAGCTATGATGCCAGAGTTAGGTACGTAATTACACACGTGACAGCGTATTCAAGCTTATATAAGCTAACAAGGTCCTCAGCTACCTACATCTAATAATAATGGTTAGTAGGTAACAAGCTAGATAATCTTGCCAGGTGTTCGGTTGGATGCCATGTCGAGGGTACGATGCGTTTTTGCCATCTATAAATATACGCCGGAAACAAAGTGAAGCAGCCGGACCAGGGGACCTGTGGTTCGTATCAGGGACTGACTGATATAGATTGACTGGTCGAAGGTTGGTATGATATATAGTTTGATGGTAACCAGGGAAGAGAAAAAGAGAGCAGCTGGAGGAATGCAAAATGAGCAAAGTAAGTTGGTCCAAATAAGATAAGTAAATGAGTAGTAAGTAGATATTAATATAAATGCGCTGTGCTGTGCTGTGCTAGTTAACATCAAGTATCAAAAGAAGGTAGGATTAGAAGTAACCAAGAGGAAGGAAAGGAGGAAAAGTAAGGGAATAGGTAAAAGCAAAAATAAGTATTCATAGTTCTCATTTATAGTAAGTTATATCTCAAAAGATGAAATAGAGATAAAACGCGGAAGGTCGAGAGTGAGAAGTGAAATGAAACCGGTGGAAAGTTGAAGGAAGGAATATTGGAAAAGAAACAAAATAAGTATCCGGACTCCGACTACTGCAGGGTAGATGATCGAAAATAAACAGACAGACAGGCGGGCAGGCTTGATGCGTGAATATATGTTGGGTTAAGCGGGTGGAAGGAGGGTACGTGGTGTCGTCAGTTGGTCAATATAAAAGTGAACAGGGGTGGTGGGTTCATTGAAGTCATGTTGTCCGAAAGTCGTTATGATGATAGAAAGTTGGAGAAGAGCATGATTTCTTTTCGTAATGGAATAACCCAAGCCACGATGGATAAGGTGAGTAAGTGGCAGATTGATGATGAACCAGGGATGGGCATCATGTTGATGGCTGTGGTAGGGTTATTTCGATGTTGCTTTAACGGGTCGTCCCAGCGCCCGCTCGACTTGAGAAATAAAAAACAGCTCATTCTAAAAACAGGTGCTTTTCTTCCTTTTCCTGGTCGTATTTTTTTTTGTTCTTTTCGAATTTTTTTTTTTTTTTTTCTTGTTGTGTTCGCTTGCCTGGTGTAATTTAGTTGTGTGGGAATTCTAATCGTTCCAGCCCCATACTTGCTTCAGGAAGTGCGCCATATTCACTTTCTTGTTCTTTATTTCGAGCATCCATGGGTGTTCTAGCATTCGCCAGGGCGTGGCTCGTCGGGGATGGTCTTTCTCCAAGCTGAACAGACATGTTAGCTGTGATACTAATATGAAGAAGAACAGGCTCTAGTTATACATACCAGCACTCGATGAAGTATTTAAAGTTGTCACTCCAGTGGATGCCGTTGTGAGGCTCGTCCTTGAGTTTTGGGATGGGCTGATGGATGATGTAAGTGAGAAGGTCAATGAGGACAGATCTAGGCTGGATCTCTGTCCCGTCGGCGGGGAAGGGGAATCGGTGCTGTGCAACTTCAAGCAGTGTAACTCCGAGGGACCAGACGTCGGAGGTGATGGTGTAGGACTGTCCAGTGATTCTCTCAGGGGCCATGTAGTAGGATGTGCCAATAAAAGTGTTTGCATCGCCCTTGGTCCCGAATTCGCCGCTTACACCAAAGTCACAAAGTTTGACTTGGCCGTTGCGGCAGAGAAGGATATTCGAAGGTTTTATATCTGTAGACACGCGTTAGAATATAATAATTTATTTCAACGAAATATATGCGGCGAGTATACCTCTGTGGATGATCTTTCGGCCGTGCAGGTATGTCAGACCGTTCAAGACGCCCTCGGCAACCTTTCCGAGCACCTTCTCTCCGGTTCGACCGCCAAGTTTCTTAACTTCTCTGTATATGCTGTCCAGACTGCCGCCTTCGCATAGTTCCATGATGATGGATATCGAGCTACTTGACCGGTCGACGAATGCACCATAGTATCTGCATATGTAGTCTGAAGCACATCCCTTGTTGAAATTAAGTTCTCGAACAATCTGTTTCTTGACATCTGGATTCGGGTCGGTTGTGATGATCTGGTTATAGAAGTTAGTATTTTATCCTAAATTACAGAAGAGCGAAGAGTAAAGAGAGAAAAAAAAAAGAGGGACTCACCTTTAGGGCAAAAACGGTCTTTCCTCCCTTGAGCAGACATCGAGTGACAGCTCCACCGGCACCCTCACCGAGGCTGCCGAGCTCGATGATCTTGCCCTGTTCACTGGCAGCCAACCACCGCTCATCATCCAGATCTTCTACGTCCAGAGGCCGTCCAAGTTCCTGACTGAGCTTGTCCAGGTCCGTCAGGCCGTTGACACTGTTTTCTCTCTCCATGGCCGAGCCATCGCCTAGATCCGAGTACACAGAGCTGATGGCCGAAGAAGGATCGGGAGTCGAACCATAGGGCTGGGGAAGGCCATATGCAAAGGAAGGAGCAGAGTAAGTGGACGAGCTGGCCGAGGTGGGAGGTCCGCTACCCCTGGCGTCAGGGCCGCCGGTAAAGCTCCCCGACCGCGAGTGTACATTATTATTCTGGCCGTTGCTGTTGCTGTCTGACGAGCCTGTTGAATTGTAGTGTTGTGGAATGGGGCGGCCGTTGTGCAGAGCGTTGGCATCCTGGAACGCAGGCTTGTTGCCGCCGCCCGTGGCGCCCATGGGGGTGGCCAGTCTCAGCTTTGGGGGTGCTCTGCTGGCGGGCTTCTGGGGAACGTTGATGGCGAGGGCCGGTACCGGTGCCGGAGCCGGGGCTGCCACGCCCGTCTGGTTGACCGGTTTGGCATTGGGAGACGGCGGTATGCCCAATGTGAGGGATGGGAGCTTGTGGTTGCGATGTGCGCCAGGCACCGGAGTCTTGAGGACGGGAGCGGGAGCGGGAGAGGACATGGTGAACTGCAAAGAAAGGCCACGTGAGTCAATCACAGAGGCAGCAGAGGATCGAGGGCAAACAGCAAGAGGGAGTCGAGGGACCCGAGCTGGCAGAGAGACACCAGGCAGCTCTGGGAGACGGGCGGGTAGTTGTAGAAGGTGAAGAGAAGTTGATGGAGGAGGTCGAGTCGAGGGCGTAAGCTGGGGCAGCTGTGGGTGGCGGGGAGATCCCGTACGCAGAGCAAGGTAGCAGGCGAGAGAGACGCAGCGAAAATTGCACGGGGGATGTCAGTCCCTTTATCAGGCCTCGAGGGCTTTGCCGTCTATCCGTCTGTCTGTCTGAGATGTAAGAAGACGGGGCAGGACAGGGCAGGGCGGCTGGAGGTGAAGAAGAGAGAGGACGAGTGAGCGAGCGAGCGAAAGACGAGGCAGCGAGTCGAATGCAAGGAGACGCAGGAGACGACAGCGTTGCCTCCGAAGCCCCTCGTTCGGCCTGACCTGAGTCGACTGTGATGGAGCTGCAAGGCTATGCAGGCTGGAGAGCGCTCGGAGGTGAAGCTGGCGATGGACGGTGATGGTCGGTGGTGAAGGCGAGGGCGAAGGGCGAGAAAAAAGGCGAAGAAACGCTTCTCGAGATCGGACGAAAAGGACCAGGATAGTTAAGACAACCAACCCTCAGGCAGCGAGAGACGACACGACAGCAAACGAACGTCGACGGCCAGCCACCAGCAGCGGCAGCAGCAGCAGTCTAGGAGAGGGTAAAAACGGGGGACGCCAGGCCTGGGGCGGTTGGATGTTTCATGTGGCCGAAGGTGAGGCAGAGGCAGAAGTAGAAGTACGGAGTAGATGAAGACAGCAACAGAACAGAAGACGAAGACGAAGAAGACGGCGATAGAGTGACAGCGAATAGAGCGACAAGAGGCAACGGCCTGGCTTCGTCTCCTTTCGTTTCTTCTTCTCTCTGGCTTCCGTCGAGTTTCAGCAAGCGCCCGGAAGCAAAACCGCCAGGACAGATCGAAATGGCCGGCCAGTAGAAGCGAAGAAGTAGCAGAAGTAAAAGAACCGACAGTCAAGAGGATCAAGATCGAGGATGAGGATCAGGATAAGACGTTGCTTGCTGTTCAAACGGTGCAGTTTATATATCTACTGTACATCGGCCTGGCTATATATACAACCAGGCTGAGCCCTCGCAGCGCGATCATCTTGCCGCTGCTTCGCCATCGTCCGCCAGACGGGCTTGCTCTTGCATGAGGGCTGAAACATTTTCCTCCAGCAGGAAGACTGCTCTACGGAGTAGCTATTTACTGCTTATCCCTTTGGCCTGCAGCAGAAAGCGTTCTGGGGTTGCTCTCGTCTTACGTCGTTGGCTACATAATACATACGGAGTACACAGACGGCCCTGAACTCGATGCAAAAAGATACGAATGTGCAGGCGTTGTTTGCTATGAATAGAAATGTACCATGCATGGGGGAGCAAGGGACAGAGAGCATCCCGTTCTACGCATGCATGGACGGGTTCCTCGTCGCCTTTTCTTTTCTTTTCTTCTTCGCTTTGCGTTGCTTGGTCGGGTACCTGGAAGCGGGCGGCATGGCTGATCGATCGGTCGCCTGGGGGGGTCAGACATCAAACACATTTATTATTATTATTATCATCATCATGTAGACATGTAGACATCAGTGCATTATCATCATTCGTCTAGACAATAACAGGAGTAGCTGTGTATATGCAATGTATATGCAAAGAGTACAGCGGTGTTGATGTTCCCAATGCTAAGGGGGTACCATACCACCAGAACAGCATCCCCCTTTTTCCATGCAGTTAACTACATGACGGCGAGACGTCGGGTCTAGGTCGAAAAAAACATCCTTGCCGAAGCTGGCAGACAAGCAAGCCAGCAAGCCAGTGACTTACTTGCTGCTACTCTGGACTTCTCTGGCCCGAAGCAGGTGCTGGTGCTGGTGCCCCAATCACCCATCCGATGCCGCTGACCAGTCCTTCAGTTACCAGATTGCTCACAACGTCCCTCTTCCGCGTCCGAGGAGTCTCGACTCCCTGTCCTTCCTCGCCAGAGCTGTTGTTTGTCATGCTTCTACTGCTGTTGGCGGACGTCAGTGGGAATGCGTTCTTGCGCAGCGCCGATGCAGCACCACGAGCAACGTCAAACAGGCCCATCGGCGCCTCTTCGTATCCGCTTAGCTTGGCTGGTCTCTGCGGCTGGGGCTGTCGTGTGGAACGTGCTCGTCGTTCACGCTCAAGTTCGGTGTCAAGAGCGTCCAGCTCGCTGCTCGACGGGCCGAAGCCACCGGGAACAGCAGCTCCCACGCCCATACCCATGCCAATGCGGCCCTGCTGATCGCCCTGGTAGTCCCAGCTCTCTGCCTCCTGTATCTCTAGCTCCTGGAGAGTCGACATCTCTTCGTCACACCGTCGCCAGACAGCTAGGATCTCAGGAAGGTACTCGGAAGACGGGGCCAGGACAAGGGCTAAGGAGAGCAGCTCCATGCGCTGGGAAAGGCGTGCGATCCTGGAGACGAGCGTCGTCTCCTGCACTTCTTTGCCAGTCGGCGGATGGCGGCCGGTGTTGTATGCGGCGCGCCATGAGATGTCGTCGTCCACTTCGTCTTCGTCTTGCGCATGTCCTGCCTCGCCTCGCTCGCTGCCAGGAACTAGAGACGAAGGGATCACCCGTGTGACGACATAGGAATACGCAGTGTCGAAGTCGGATGCGTTCACTGCAGCCGCGATGGCAAGGGACATTATTCGCCTCTCTGCTAATACGACGGCCTGATTGGGGGATACAGTCGAAGCTGCTGTTCCCTTGCCCTTGATGGTAGGGAGCCCAGCTGCAACCAAATGTCGTCCAATCGCTAATAGATCGTCAAGCTGCGTATACCCCTTGGGGTTCTGCTCTAGAACCTTTTCAATCAATGAGATAGGGTCCTGGTGTACGCGGATGCTGACGGGTTGAAAGGGTACGCCATGCTGAAGCGTCAGCGAATAGAACGACAGGGCGTGGGTTGCGGACAGCAAGCTGCTGATCTGCTGGAATGAGACGGACTGCGGGAAGTATGGGGCAAATGCTTCGAGCCTAGGAATTTTCTCGTTAGAACAAGTGCTTTTAAAAACGCGCCGTGTGGAAGACAACGGGGATATGGCTTTCGTACAGGTCTGCTGATCGCTTCATGCCACCTCTGGTCTTATTGCCATTGGTTGCATTGTCATACGACGCAAATATCGTCTCCGTCACAGCCGATTCGATCTCATCTCGAGGAAGAGGCATGGAGCTTGGCGAGTCAAGATACGTATCCGCGGCAAGTTTGTATTCTATTCACATAGGTTGTTAGTATGGAGATTCCCTAAATTACTACGTTAAGGGGAGAGTTTACCTTTTGCTGTTAACATGGCAATAAAGATCTCTCGTTCAAGTTTGAGCAAGGGAATCCTCCAGAATAGCCCCTGCGGTACCTCTGGCTGCGTGCTGCCTCCCCAGCTATGCAGCCAGAGCAAACTCGCCCTAACCTGGGCCCAGTCCCGAGGCAGAGGATGCTGGTGGTTGAGAGTCTCAAGCAGTTTCCGCAGTTCAAAGAACTGTGCATCAGCCTGTCCCAGCAGCATCAACTCCGCTGCGGCTCGAGGCGACATCCAACGGCCATACTGATCAAGTATGCGGATGGACACGAGTATAGCGTCTATAAAGGATATTGACTGCTTTGTAGGGTATGTGAGAGGGTTCGAAGAGTTCAAGAGCATGTTATGTAGGAGGTGCTGCCGAGATACTCTCTCAAGTTCTGGTATATTAAGTGAGAGATGATGTAGGCCGGCACTGTTAATATGCAACCGATCATCGAATCCAGTAAAATCAGCGACTCTCGATAGTATGCGAGCCGCACCTGATATTAGTCCAAAACCGCCATCAGACAGTGCATATATTGACGCAAGGCCAGCTTGCGCATATAGAGACATCAGCCTCTTCTCCGTATCTTCAGATAGCTCTTTATCCTGTGCCCCATCGTAATCACCGAGATTTATATCTCCTGGCCCTGACCACTGCTCCACTGCCTCAATGGCCAAGTGGAAGTCACGAATGCTGGTCGACAAGATCCACTCATTTACGTCTTGCCAGCCAACCTCAGCAAAATCAGCGCCGCTATTTGTGCTTTTTTTGTTGTCTAGTTTCCGCCTCTTCGATTTGACATGTCCGTACATCCAGGGGCCGATCATGCCCTTCAAGTCTCTACCAACATCCCCTCCCTTAGCATGTGGTTCAACTGCAGAAAGCAAGATGTTCACCGCACTTCTCGAATCCAATGACTCTATCAGTTCTAATGACAAGGCTCCTTCATTGTCAGGGTGGTATTCGTAGTTGAACCTTATAGCAGGTAAGACAATGGAAATAGTCCAGTCGCGAAGAGTGTTTGAACTCGAGATGAACGGATCCACTAGTTCGAGAATATATAGCTGCAGGCCGACTTCGGTATCAATTCTATGCGCTCGATGGATCAAGAACTGGATAAGAGGCGGCTCGGAGGCGTCGATATTAATGTGTGGGCGTCGAAGAGGGAGTAGTTTCAAGTGTCGAACTTGTTTGCGAGCGTCGGGCTCGGATATTTCTTTGATGGCGGCAAGGTCTGCTTCCAAGTCGCAGTCCGGGGGTGGTGAGCCATTGGCAAGATGCTTGATCACTTGAGTGTATTGTTCGGGCTCTGTAATCTCTGGTAGGAATGTAAGGACTATTCGAAATAGCAGTTCTAGATGGAGGGTATGCGGAAACTGGGATTTGAGAAGAGGAAGACCCGATATGTCCCCGTTCAGACAAAGCTGTACAGCCAAGAGGACAACATGGGAATCTGATAAACCTTCAAGAGCCGTCATCTTTCTAATATTATCATGATCAACAGGCGCAAGATGCTCTGTTGAACCAGGCGTTTATAGTAGTTATGGCATCCAACAGTGTTAGATTGAATGATAGAAAGATGTGGCACCAAAAGAGGGTTTGTATTAGATAAGCAAGCAAGCTCGGACCAACGCCTTGAGAACGACCAACGACGGCCTTTCAGAAGCGTCGGCCAAAACCACAGGTCAACTTGAAATCGCATTCCTCACACAGGCAATTGAGACACAATGGCGTCCGGATACGGTCTTAACGGTGGTAAGTGCATATTCATGTTTTCTTATGTGCTTTTTTTTATTGTATACACTGCAGCGGAGGCGCAAACAGTGGAGGTTTGGAGTGTTAGCCAGACTGCTAACTTATGGCCCTTTAGGCGTGTCACGATGCTTTCCCTTCTGGCAAGACTTGCTCGGCTGTTATGTCGTCAACTCCGTTGAGGGTGAGGCTGGCAAGAAGAAGTGTATCGGAGTTCTAGATGATTACTATGAGTGCCTACATCACAAGAAAGAGGTCAGCGGTTTTCCCCAACACCCATGAGTCGGAAGAGCATTTCGACCCTCTCCCCAGACCCATTGCCGGAATAAAAAGCGAGCGAGATAAATTTGAATACAAGGCTAAATTATATCTTCTACTAGGCCGCGAGAACCCGAGAAATGCAAAATGCCTACCGAAAAGCCATGTCATCCCATCCCAGAGAGAACGCCCCCAGAGCCGAACAGATAAGCCCATTAGGATTACTGGGCAAGGAAGATGCGAAATCATCATGATCCAGAGCTTTGGGTGACAGAAATTGACGGACGATAGAGGATTATTTTCGTGTGTGTGTAAATAAAGGAGGAAAGGAAGAAGGAGAAGACGCCTGGGTTTAGAGAGATTGTTTTCCTCCATATCCGCTCCGTGTACCTGGCAGCATGCCGTGGAGTTCATGTTTTACTATTCGATTCCCCCAAACGTAGCAATGAATTGTTTGCTCCTGGTGGCTTTGCCCTATTCTGTTGATCCTGATCTTGACATATTTCTCGGACCTTTCATTTTCATCCATGACACCAGCCGCGCGTGCAACATGGACTTGGCTACTCCACAAGTAACAGCATATCCGTCCTTTGATTTGGCTTGCTAGGAGCGGGAGATTTTTAGAGCCGGTTCACACAGTTACTGGAGTAAGATTAGGTACCCAGGTAATCCATCCTTCCTGGCTGTCAAGACTAGCCTATCGCCCGGAAAGCCTTCTCTTTGGTCGTTTCGTACTATTTACTGCCGACCCAGACAGCCAGGAAAAGCCGTCAAAATAATATACCTAATGAAAGAAGCAACTAGCGACCCCTTTGTGAGCTTCTTCAGTCCACCACCGAATGTCCCAAATGTCCGCCCGGGCACCTGGGCATCACGGCCATCATGTGACCTGAAGAAAAACTGGCTGCAGCAGGATCCCTCATATACGAAGCGCTCTGCATAATCCCTCCACAAGGCTATTTATTTTACGTGTGAGAGGTGCTTCAAGTGCGCCGCCCAACGCCTTAAACCCGAAAGCTTGTCGATATATAGCACAAGCTATTATTACTGTGTAGCTATGTATATCATCCAGTCTGTTCCCCCGGCAGCCGGAGCAACTTGTGATCGGCTGCTCTGAGAGCCTGCGTGCCTGCATTAGCGATCCTCTCATCTTCCTCCTTCCAACATCTCAGGCTCCAACGCTTTGCCCGTGCATGCTCCGACGCAGGCAACCGCTGTTTATCTACACTACTGTATGCTCCCCCTCGCTGGCCGTCCGGCCGTCCGCTTGCCTGCCTGCCTGTCTGTCTGTCTCTCTGTCTGTCTGGCTGGCTGCCCGTCCGCCTCCTGCTCAGGGGTGGTCACGTGTCCATAATAGCGGCGCAGGGTTGTAAGGGGGCGCCGCGCCATGCCGAAAGGGGACTAGCGGTGGAGCCTGCCGCGCCAGAGAAAAAAAGACGCTGGGCCCCCGATGATATAAACATGCTGCGCGACCTCGATAGAAAATTATTCTCTGAACCCGGCACGCCCAAACAGCTTCCCTTTTCTGCACTGCCTCTCGCCCCCCTCCCTCCCCTTCCCACCACACACTCACCCGCGCCATACACCCACAGCCCTGCGCGGCCTGACTAAGGCTTCAGGCTCGCCCGTCATCCCGCCTGGCCCGTCTACTCCTTTTGCGCTGGCGAGCGAAAGTACTCTAATATCTACTTCGGCCAAAGGGGCCATGCTTCCCCCCAGCGGCCGCTTTCTACTTCCATAGAGGTCGCCTTGGTCCGCCCTATGAGCACGCTCCTCGCAGGCAACGTCTAATCTAACGCGCTTTTTTTTTTTTTTTTTTTTTTTTTTTTTTACTTTCACTTTCCTGCCGTTCTTCACTTCACCACTTTCTGCCCTGGCATTTTTTCCCATCTTTTTTAATTTCGCTTTCATTCGATGACAGGAATGATAATCACTTGGCTGCTGCGCTTAACCATTTCTACTTAATTCTTCCTTGCCTGTCGCCGACTTTGAAGGACGACCTTTTTATCTACATCGCTTTAGCGCGTCGAAAGTGAAAAAAGAGCAAAAAAAGGCGAAAAAAAGATGGGTTCAAGGTTAGTGGCGATCCAATCACGGGGCTTCTTCAGGCATCCACTTTGCTGACTCATGCTGACCTTTACCGTAGCCGGCTAGATCGATTAGTCACGTGAGTAACGCTGTTGGATGACTAAGAAAGATATAGAACAAAACTGACCATGGTCACATGACTACCTTCACCACCATAGCCTTCTAGAGACAGGGAGCACGCAGGTCATCAGGAACACAGCGGCCCAGCAGCTGGCAGACGTGCAGAAGCAGCACCCAGATGAGCTGTTTAACCTTCTAGGGCGTATACTCCCGTATCTTCGGTCAAAATCATGGGATACCCGGACAGCTGCGGCCAAGGCCATTGGTGGCATAGTCTCCTTTGCAGAGAAGCTGGACCCCAATGCGGATGAGGATAATGATATTAATAATGATATGATTACCACCAAGGCCGAGGTCAAAGATGAGGCCGAAAAGGAAAACGAGGGAGCGTCGGAAGAGCTGCTGGATCTCGAGACCCTGGACATAGTCTCCGTTCTTAAACATGGCCACAAGCTGCTCGGAAGTGGTGGGAAGGAATATGAATATGCGGTTGCTGGCTTAGACCCTATTTCTAGGTTACAGCAACAAAAGAAGACGCTGAAAGGGCGGTTGGGACTTGCTGGCGATTATCCCCAGGAAAATCTCATCCATGATACCGAAATGTCCAATGGTTCTCAACAGAGGAAGCCAAGCCAGATACAGATGCCCCCACCTCCACTGGACACCTCTGTCGGCGGCCTTGCTCGGTCACAGCATCCATTTAACCGCGACTCTCCACTAGAGGAGGCTCCTCCCTCGGCCAATGGTGATGATCACGGCCTCAGCAAACGACAGCTTAACCAGCTGAAACGGAAGAACAAACAGACAGCAAAGCTCGGTGCCAATAAGATCCGTATCGTTGATCTAGCAGTTCGAAAGGGGTCTGATGCTGGGTCTACACCAACTGAAGTATCTACTCCTCACCCGGTCAAGAAGGAAAATGGAGATGACGACCATGACACCAAGGATGATTACTTTTCCATCAAGAGAGAAGGTCCAGATGATGATTCAAAGCTTGTAAAGGAGTTCAAGGGTACTGTGGTCCCCGAGAAGCCATTTATTCAGAGCAGCTCTTCAGATGGACAAGACATTGAATGGCCGTACGAGCGGATGTGTGAGATTTTAATGGTGGATCTATTTGACCAGAATTGGGACATCCGTCACGGGGCTGCCATGGGCCTGAGAGAAGTTATTCGTGTCCAGGGCCATGGTGCCGGCAGACAGTATGGCAAGACACGAATGGAGAACGATGCGTTAAATCATCGTTGGCTGGGCGACCTTGCCTGCCGTTTACTCTGTGTCTTCATGCTGGACAGATTCGGTGACTACATTTCAGACAATGTCGTAGCACCCATCCGAGAGACTGTAGGACAGACGATGGGTGCTCTCTTGTCTCATTTGCCAGACGCATCCGTCACTCGCGTCTATCATATTCTTCATAGGATGGTAATGCAAAACGATCTGGACCTTGACAAACCCATCTGGGAAGTCTGCCATGGCGGTATGATTGGTTTAAAGTATCTTGTCGCTGTCCGCACTGATATTCTCATGAAAGAATCCAGTGTACTGGACGGTGTGATTGAGGCAGTAATGAGGGGACTGGATAACTACGATGACGACGTCCGTGCTGTTAGCGCAGCTACCTTGATACCCATTGCAGACGATTTTGTTAAACTTCGTGGCGGTTCTTTAGGCGCTTTGATAGAGGTGGTGTGGAACTGTCTATCAAACTTACAGGACGATCTTAGCGCCAGCACGGGGTCGGTTATGGATCTCCTTGCGAAGCTTTGTACATTCCCTCAAGTTCTGGAGGCCATGAAACAGAATGCCGTACACGACTCCAACTCCTCCTTTGGAAACTTGGTTCCTAGGCTATTCCCGTTCTTGCGTCACACTATATCCAGTGTTCGATCGGCGGTGCTCAGAGCATTACTGACATTCCTTGAGCTGGATACCGATGGCCAAAACACCTGGGTTGACGGCAAGTCACTTCGACTCATATTCCAGAATTTGCTTGTTGAACGCAATGAGGCGGTGCTCAAGTTGTCGCTACAAGTATGGTGCGAAATGCTTAAGGTGGCCGAAAATCATAGATTGATGGACGGCGACCAGCTAGTTGGATCATTACAGCCTCTTATAACGGCAACCATGAATCCATTTGGTGTTCCACGATACCCAATCCCGATGGATGCCTGCTTGTTCATCCGTCCCTCTGGGTTACCTTACACTTCTGCCCCTGCAGGGCCTAGACGTCAATCACCAAATACTCAAGTCGATCCTCAGCCCCCTGCCCGTGGCCGAAGACGCAAAGTTGAAAAGCAGGAGCCACCACCGGTCAACTCACACAACGTTGACGGTCACATGCTGCAGGGAGACATTGATTTAGTCGGCTTGGACACGATGATAAGATCAAAGATATATGCTGCTTCCGCTCTCGGCCGGTTTTTGAAAATATGGCAGGTTGTGAACGGTTCAGATTTATGGCAAGGAATACTGCCTTGCCTCAACTGGCCTGGATCCTCGTCTCAATTGGCTGCAGCCATGGTGATAGAGGAATACGCAAAGAATCGTGATCCAAACTCTCCATGTCCCCCAGTCCTGTCTCAGTGGCTGAACCCATTACTCGAAAACGAGCGACCACTATGGTACAGTGATATTGCGTGTTACTTGCAAATTTCCAGATCACAATGCCACTCTCTTCTTAATACCTTCCGAGACCATGCGCATGTATCACCTTCCAAACTACCTACTTTAGCTGTCGTTGTCCAAGGAGAGCCAGAAGCAGGACCCAACGCCTTTTCAATTCGAGATGCTGAAAAAGTTCTCGGATCTGACTTTGAACGCCTTAAAAGGGAACTGACTCCTACTCAGAGGCTGACAGCACTGCAAGTGCTTAATGACTCGCGCCAAACTGCCCAAGCTACGGTTGAAGAGGCAAAGGAAATCAAAGAACAACGGGATATGCGCATCAGAGCGGTAATTGCTAGCTCGCTTGTTTCTCTCCAGAACATTCCTAAGAAACCAAGCTACCTTATCAAAGCCATAATGGATAGCGTTAAAAAGGAAGAAAATGCGGAACTGCAGAAGAGATCTGCTACTGCCATCTCTTCTTTGGTAGAGTACTACACCAGTGCCGCCAAGCGTGGTCCTGTCGATAAGATTATTGGCAACCTCGTCAAGTTCTGCTGTGTTGACACTACGGAGACCCCGGAGTTTCATCATAATGCCCATTTAGAAAAGGCTGTGCTATCTCTGCGCAAGGAGGAAGATAAACGAGACCCGGTTGATACCGTTAAGTTTGAAAAGGAGTCGAAAGAGGCGAAAGTTATGCGTCGTGGTGCCAAGGAGGCATTGGAACAGTTGGCTGGGAAGTTTGGAGCTCAACTGTTTGATAAGGTTCCAAATATAGCCAGCTTGATACAGAACCCTGTTCGAGAAGCTTTATCTGGTGATCTACCTGCAGATATCAGAGATCCATCGAGTACCCTTGGCCAGGAAACCGTTGACGGCCTGTCAACTCTACGAGCCTTGGTTCCCAAGTTCGACCCCGGGCTATACCCGTGGATCATCCAACTTATGCCCATCATTGCGAAGTCGCTCCAAAGTGAACTCTCCGTCATTCGGTATGCTGCTGCTAAGTGTTTTGCTACGCTATGCAGTGTTATCCCCGTTGATGGCATGACAATGCTTGTTGAGAAGGTATTGCCCACTATCAACAATGCGCTAGACGTCCACCACAGACAAGGAGCTATCGAATGTATCTACCATCTGATCCATGTCATGGAGGACCAGATCCTCCCTTATGTGATTTTCTTGATTGTCCCTGTACTTGGGCGCATGAGCGATTCAGACAATGATGTGCGGCTTTTGGCAACCACGGCTTTCGCAACATTGGTCAAACTCGTTCCACTCGAAGCTGGAATTCCGGGCCCACCAGGTCTCTCCGAAGACTTACTCAAAGGTAGAGATCGTGAAAGACAGTTTATGGCTCAGATGCTGGACGTACGGAAGGTTGAACCGTTCCAAATCCCGGTTGGTATCAAGGCTGAACTTCGTTCCTACCAGCAGGAAGGTGTTAACTGGCTTGCCTTCTTGAACCGTTACAACCTCCACGGCATCCTTTGCGACGACATGGGTCTCGGAAAGACTTTACAGACGCTTTGCATTGTTGCTAGTGACCATCATCTACGCGCTGAAGAATTTGCTAAAACAGGGGCTCCGGAGGTTCGCCGGCTACCATCTTTGATTATCTGCCCTCCCAGTGTTTCTGGTCACTGGCAACAAGAGATAAAACAATACGCCCCCTTCATTTCATGCGTTGCTTATATGGGACCACCGGCTGAGAGAGCAAAGGTTCGACCACTTCTAGACACAGTGGATATTGTGATCACCTCCTACGACATCTGCAGAAATGATAGCGATGTCCTTACCAGCATCTCATGGAATTATTGTGTTCTTGATGAAGGCCATCTGATCAAGAACCCGAAGGCCAAAATCACACTAGCAGTCAAGAGTATCGTCAGCAACCATCGCTTGATTCTGTCCGGAACACCAATTCAGAACAACGTCCTGGAACTATGGTCCCTTTTTGATTTCCTGATGCCAGGTTTCCTCGGAACAGAAAAAATATTCCTTGAACGGTTCGCAAAGCCAATTGCTGCTAGTAGGTTCAGTAAATCGTCTTCCAAGGAGCAGGAAGCGGGTGCATTGGCAATTGAGGCCTTGCACAAGCAAGTTCTTCCCTTCTTACTTCGTCGTCTGAAGGAAGAGGTCTTGAATGATCTTCCTCCAAAGATTTTGCAGAATTATTACTGTGACCTCAGCGATCTCCAACGGAAACTATTTGAAGATTTCACCCAGAAAGAACAGAAAGATATTGCCAATAAGGTGGGCAGCAGTGATAAGGAAGCTAAGGAACACATCTTCCAAGCATTGCAATACATGAGGCGACTTTGCAACTCTCCAGCACTGGTGATGAAAGAGGGGCATAAACAGTACCACCAAGTCCAGAAGCTTCTCGCCTCGAAGAACTCAAACATTCGAGATATTGCCCATGCCCCAAAACTTAGCGCACTCCGCGACTTGCTTATTGACTGTGGTATTGGTGTTGATCCTTCAGCTGAAGGAGAGCTAGCCACCGGTGCAAGCTACGTCAGCCCGCATCGTGCCTTGATCTTCTGTCAAATGAAGGAGATGCTTGATATTGTGCAAAACGACGTCCTTAGAAAGCTGCTACCCTCCGTCCAGTTCCTTCGTCTTGACGGAAGCGTAGAAGCAACCAAGCGGCAGAACATCGTCAATCAGTTCAATACGGATCCTAGTTATGATGTTCTTCTCCTTACTACAAGTGTTGGAGGTCTCGGACTAAACTTGACCGGTGCTGATACCGTCATTTTTGTTGAACATGACTGGAATCCCCAAAAGGATATCCAGGCCATGGACCGTGCCCACAGAATTGGCCAAAAGAAGGTCGTCAATGTCTATCGGTTGATTACCCGTGGCACTCTTGAAGAAAAGATTCTAAAGTACGTTATAAACCTCCATCCATACTGGTTTGGTGTTCTGATTGCTAATTATACAATAGTCTGCAACGCTTCAAGATTGACGTGGCTTCGACTGTCGTCAATCAACAAAACGCGGGACTAAGCACCATGGATACTGACCAACTTCTTGATCTCTTCAACCTAGGTGAAACCGCCGACTCGGCTGAAAAACCAACCCAGGATGGAGCCGGCAATGAAATTGACATGGTCGACATTGATGGCGAAGTCAAAGAAAAGGGAAAGAAGGGCTGGCTCGATGATCTAGGTGAGCTATGGGATGACCGCCAATACGAGGAAGAATACAACCTCGACTCGTTCCTGGCGTCTATGAAACGTTAAACCGCGAAAGCGCCGCGCCATACTTTCTCTAGCAGAAACGCTGCATCTATTCCAATTTACACGAGACGATAACCCGAGACCCATGACTCCCATTTTTCATTCTGTTTTGAACGCATTTTCTTCTATTTCCTTGTTTTTATTGTTTGAACTTCCTCTGCTCCTTTCTATTTCCTGCTCAACTTGATTTAACATTTTTTCTGGGTATACGGCAATCATGCCTTTAAAATAAATACCCCTGATACCTCTGCCTACATCATTATACGGCGTCCGGTCAAGAATAAGGGCAAGAAAAAAAGGTGTTAGTAGGATATTTCTATTGTAATAGCCCACCTCTTCTCTTCTTTACTTTTATAAAGATTCCTTGTACAAGTACGATGTTATGTTGAATAGGGCTAATGAGGGTGAGGGTGCACGTCTGGTTTTTTTCACGGCCTTTGCTACATTATTTGATTGGAATTAAATACAATAGACATGAAGGCACAGAAATCATAATAAAGTATACTACGAACTGTTATTATTCACTTATTTGGAATCTTTATCTCCCTTTCCCTATGGTTTTTATGGCATTTAGCTAAAACCCCCTCTGAAGATAGATGGCCAGGTAAAACAAACATGTAGAAAACAATCCTATAAAACTCCTCCTCCCTCCCCCATTTCCTAAAACACAACCAAATCCGGAAAGAAAGATAGAAAAAGAAAAGAAAAAGAAACCATGACTGTGTCCATAAAAACTCCAACACCTTACCAGTACACATCTTGATTCAGAGCTAATGGGGAAAGATTGCGAGGATATTTTCGCCAATGTAACAAATGGATGGAACACTGGACTTAAAAACAATTGGCCTTAGGGGACGGGAAGGGTTTTAATTCCCCCTGCTGGTTCAATGTCGGATTTTGGGAGTTGCAAGGAAGTTCAGCCGACTAAGAGTAAGTCCTTTACCTTTCTGAACTTTGCTAACAGGTGTACCACGCTTTGGGGTCACAGTGGTGGGTAAACGTCTCTTGACTGGACTAGGCGTTTGCATAGCTGGAGGTGTTGTAGGATTTTGTTTAAGACGCTTGATGAATCGGTCATCGCGCGGGGTTTGAGGCTCTTCATCCGTATCATCACGACGCCGCTTCTTATTTGTAATCCCGTGTGGAATAGGAGGGCGCTCCAGACCTGGTTGAAACTCGCCTGTCCTCAGAGGGGAACCGTTTTCTTGAGCGGTAGGTGACGGGAGTTTAAAGGTGAAGCCAGGAACTCTCCTTTCGTGCGGCGGAGTGGTTGGTGGAAGAGTCGGGTAGAGAACATCCCGAGGGCCACTGCCTTGTGATTTTGAAGCAACAGCTGAGGGAGATGAATCATTGCAAGCATCCCGAAGTTTTGTGCTGGCCGAGAAATCCACGGTCTTCTTTGACGACGGGATGCTTATTGAGGATTTAAAGCTATCAGATAAGCCAAGTAGCTTCGTGTCAAAGTCCGCTCGTGGTAAAGGCTGGTGGGTACCAGCAGCAATCTTCTCAGGGTCATTGGAAAAGAGGGGTTGTGGCCGACGGAGGATGGATTTCAGCTGGGGCATCTTAGACTTGTACTTAATATCTGTCTGGGGGGTTTTGGGGGCCGAAAACAAGGATCTGCGCGCCGGTGAACGTGATATAGATTGGGCCTTCACAGTATGGGGGTATTTAATGCTTGCAGCATGCACAATTGTGGGTTTCTGCGGTGTAGTGAACTTGGACTTTTCCAAGGGAACTGGATTTGAAGGCGGCTTGTTCTGAACCTGTGAGCTCTCACCAGACAAGGGAGTCCGGGTAGATTGGCTGGCACTCGCTTGAACCCCCCGCCGCGGGATAGAAGGGCGTGTAGCGGCCGCTCTAGTAGCAGGCGTGATTCGAGTTTTAGTCGGGACGTCTTTTTCAGGGTCACCAAGTTGAGCCTTTGAGATTGTGCGTTTAAGGCCCTTGGCTGGAGACGCTTTATTGGGTTCAACACGAGCTCTAAAAGCAGACGGATGGCCCTCTATGGAGTCCATCTTTCGGAATTGGGCCATATGAGCTGAGCTGAAACGTCCTGCAATACCCTTGGGCTTCGCAATTTTCCGGGACGTTGGCTGAGCTTCAGCCTCCACGTCCTTACCCTGTTGCGCGTTTTTTTCCATCACCATCTGTGACTTAATCCTTGCAGCTTCCTCTCGAAGGCTCTCCATCAATTTCTTTGCCTCCTGGCTAAGTTGGGACTCTCCACAAGAAAATTTGAAATCGAAACTCATCTTGCTGAGCTCATCAACATTTGAAATCCTTCCCTTAGATGGTGTGTTTATTATAGAAGGCACTGACTGATTTGGACCTTTTGAATTATCATGAATGGGCCGGAATCCCAACTGGAGCCCTGAGTCCGGTTGCTTGGTAGTGCTTTGTTGGACCTTACTAGGATGCATTTCTCCCACGCTAGGTTTGATAGCGCTGTGATTTTCCGGAGTTTTGGGGGTCATTTTGTTTTTGGTTGTTGATGGTGGAACTGGAGTCGACATGGCCTTAGAGGGGTTTGTTTTGGGCGTAGAAGGAAGTGATTCAAGGAGCTTTTTGGTTTCTGCAGAGGGGTCCGCCTCACATCGCTGAGCCAAACGCTTAGACGGAGAACGCTTGATACTCGTGTCAATAGGCTGAAGAATGATAGTTAGCACTTTATCCCACCCTGAAAGATGGATTTCATGAGGATATGTTGCGTAGTTCTCACTTCAATTGCCGGCGTCTGGCCTCTTAATCGAGCAGACCTGCGGGTTGCCATGGCAAAGAACAACGCCCGCTCAATTCACAAACAATCTAATCAGATAATGACTGTCGGCTTGGAAAAGGGAAGATTTGAATAATGTGTGTTGACCGTGCGTGCGGAGATGAGTAGTTGTCTAGAGGCTGCTTTGCTCGTCGAGCGCGCGGGATGTCTTCTTGTCTTCCTCCACTCTTGACGTTCGTTGTTGTGGATGTAACGGATTCGGTAGAAAGTAAACAAACCGCGGCTTAGGTAAGCTGATGTCACGGGTAACAAACAGTGCAAACAAATGACATAACCAAAAACCTGATTAGTCATCATGGCGGACGTCATTTGCAAGACCATCAAACGTCAAACGCCAAACATGAGATTCGCAACCAAGTTCCCAGCAGTCTTCCATCATGATCGACAGTTTCTATTATGTTACATGAGATAGTGGAAGCCGATAACTGTTCCTGGCTACAAACATCAGCAAGTAATAACAACAGCTCAGAACTCGATTTTGTTTCGTCACTAACTATTGGAGCAGTTCACTGCAGGACGGTGGCTGGTGGTGCGAGTTACAACAATACTCGGATAAGTACTAATACAGGCGTGGCACCCTGCAGCAGCCCTCTGCATTCATTTTCTGGCTTGAAGTAATCAAACGACTTGCACAGCCCATGTTTTTCTTCAAGTTGTGATACAAACAAGCTCTGTCTGTCCGACATACCCAACTCCAACTCCCAGTTCAACTACATTTCAAATGGCTACCACAGACTCGGGATACGGAGTCACAATGCAAGAATTACAAGCCGTCATACCCTCGGATAGCCGCAGCGATGTTGGCTTAACAATCCAAGTGACCTTTGTTGGCTGCCGTTGACAACTTTTCATCAATCGGCATCATCCAATGGTGTTCCACTCCAGGGATGTTCTCATTTCTAATTATAGCTATAACAATAATGTGCAATTTCTGCAGGGCATCTGTAATTCTTGACTGACGAGCACTAGCTGTGATACACGAATTCGGATTTTAGATTCCGCACAGGTAAGTTCTCGAGATCTGCAGCTCTCTGGCGTTTTGTTATGCGGAATTCGTTTGATCTTTTTCACCCGCTCCATTGAGTTCACCAGATTGACTGTAGCAAGGCGTTGGAGTTCGAGGAAGCTATATGCTGCGACATTTATTCGCTCACAGCCCAAAGGGATAGGTCTCGTCCGCTCCAATATGGTCATGCGGCTGGTGTGTTACCAAAGACTTAACGGCCTCAGTTCTCTCAAACCAAATAAAGCCATCAAACTGGTCTGCGAGATCAGTCGACGAGTAATGCGAGGTACGTTCGGTCCTAGGGCGATAGATAACACCAATAAATCGCTCTAGCCGAGGCGACGCTATTTTCATGGCATGGAGCAGCTCGGCATTAGCGATATTTTTCCTGAGCTCAAGATAAAACACCTGCTTTTCTGACTGGTGAGCCAGGTATTCCCAAGAATCACTCCTCGAAGGCACGACATCCATGATATCCACATCCCCGCCCCATTCATGAGCTGCTGCGACTGTGCCGGTATGTGTACCACATCCAATCAGGGCAACATTGTCTCTGCCGAATTCTTCGCGACAAAGCTGGCCAATGTTCAGTTCTCCTCTGCGTCTCCCCATACTAGTATACCTAGCATCGCCAATGTGGCTATTGTGTGCCCAGACAACGACTTTGGACTCCGGTCCTTTGACATTAAGGATGCGTTTCAGAGTCTCGAACATGTGAGAATCTCTAAGAGACCAAGAGTCCACCGAGCCTGAATACATTGCCCTGTAATACGCCTCCGCATCGGCTACGAGATATGCATTCTGTTCAGCACTGTGGAACTCATCTCCGCCTTGGTGAGCTGCTGTGTACTCCAAACGCTTCTGGAGAAGATCGCGGAGCATGTCAAGAACTGCTTCTTCGCATGTTTTCATTCCACTGTCAAGGTAACTTGCTAGTCCGTATTCTGTCGGATCTTCAACCCATGGCTGCAGACACCCATATCGCTGGCGAGCGAGCTTCGCCATATTTGGATCAATTGCGTCCAGGTATTTGATGACAGCGTCTATGGATCTGCCCATGCTGTACAAATCCAATCCATAAAACCCAACTCGACTGGCTGACGGACGACTACGATTGTAGTCCCTCATCCAGTGCACCATATCTTGCACGTCTGAATTTTGCCACATCCAAGTTGGAAATCGCTGGAAGGCAGGCTCCTCTGGGCGTTCAATCTTTGCTTTAACTCCTGAACGTTGTCTAACGTATCTGTCTACTGCTTCTGAGTCTGGCCAATCTGCCTCGACAGTTACAGCATCAAATCCGTGATTCTGAATCAAGTGCTTGGTTATCTCCGCTCGAGCTTGATAGAACTCTGACGTGCCATGGGTTCCGTCTCCAAGTAACACAACTGTGTACTTTCCCAGATGGTCAAATCGAGACCCAAATGAGTCGCTTGAAAGAGGCGGGAGGGCCTTTGCATTTGACTTGATAAGATCAACAAGCCTAGAAGCAGCCATAATATCTTATTGCAATCTAATTGAGCTAAGCATATATTGATCTCGGAGGAGGTTCAGCTTCAATACCAGTAGCCCTTGATTCAACACGGCTTTATCAAAATAGAAATAAGATGAATAGGCCACGACCAGATGGACTACCGTGGGTAATAAATAAATAGTAGGGTGTTCAATTTGTGACGCCACTGATGACTTCATAAACTTAGTTATTTACCAAGACCCCGGTGCCTTCCCTGTTTAACTACATGTCTATATTATTGAACGGAAGGACTACAACAAAACAATTTGAAGGAGCGAAAAGATGTTAACAATATAAGCTGAATCTCTGTCGACAAAACAGCACAGGGTGATTCATTTTTGAGCGCCATTAAGACCTTCTGTTGTCACTGCCTGTCAGACTCACCATAGGGTTCAATATCTTATCCGCAGACTGCCATACAAAGGGCCTAGCCCCAAAACGCTCCAACCAACGATAATGGCTTTAGAAAGCACGGAAATCAAAACCAAGCTGGAAAGATTTGAGTCCGCTATGGAAAAAGTGTATGGCAATTATAGAGACGTTTCAGATCCGTCTGCCTGGACCCCTCCTCCAGCCCCAGGGGGCCATCGTGGCCGGTATCTATGGACAGATGCATTTGGAGTTGTAAACTTCCTGACATTGTACAAAATGCACTCCGAGCTAAATGCTGAAAACGGATACCCAGAGAGATATCTCACATTCGCAGAACGACTTGTGGAGACCGTCCATGATATTCTAGGAAGAACTCGAGATGGAACTTCCCGTCTACCAGGTGCCACCGATTCGGAGCCATTGGCTGGGGGGCTAAGGATTGGGAAAGTCCACGAGACCGGTTCGGATGGTGATGGACAATACCACCACTATCTAACGCAATGGATGTTTGCTCTTAACCGGCTGTCAATGGCAACGGGAAATCCGACCTACAACAGACAGGCGTATTCACTGGGCAAAGCTATTCATCCACACTTCTTCGTAGGAATCGGCACACACAATCCTCGTATGGTATGGAAAGTAGCGATGGACCTTTCACATACCCTTGTTTCTAGCGAAGGGAACCTGGATCCGTTGGATGGATTTGTCACATTCTCCTTGGTCCAGGCATCGGCCAAGAAATTTGGGGATGGTGAAGTATTCGAGGAAGAAATATCCAACTACAAGAAGGTGTCTGACCGTAGGGGGCAGCATCACCCTTCACCGGATTTCCTTGACTTGGGAATGACTCTTGTCTCAGTCCAGTGGTTTTATAATGAAGACTGGGCTGTCACCTTAGCATCTCGGTGTTGCAACATTTTGAGTAAGTGGGAAAATTTACTACAAGAAGGGCACTTGCCAGTCAATGGCGAAAATTCCTAGCAGTGTACAGAACTAAGCTTCATGTTGTTATAGAATCTTTGTTTGATGAAGGGTATCACCTGAAGTTCGGCTCTAGCCGTCTCGCATTCAGGGAATTTGGAGCGTGTCTCGGGGTTGAATGTTTTAGGGCTACAGTAGGTTCGGATGGAGAGTTATATGACTACTTCAAGGAAATTTCAGATGCGATGATTGACCAATATAATGATGGCAACATAGAGACTCCGGATGATCTGAAACCTATCACCAGAGTCATGTTCGCTTCTGCACTAATTCCAGGAGGTAAGATAATCTCATCGATATTCTTGTGTGCTTCTAAAACCGTTCTACTTACACTTTATCTATAGCATTCCAAGCTGGTTTCTTTGGCCCAGAGCCTATCAAGATAGGAACCTAGCTGAAAAGAAGACGGTAGAAAGGGAAAATTGCAAGATGTTCATGGAAGAGAACGAAGTCTAGGCCCGCTGTTAATAATTACCTGTATATTATAATTATTGCGATGAACCAAGGTTCCAGGAACTGAAGTGCCGCTCCCAACCCATGAGCGCAACCATGAACTATAAATGGATGCAGCAGCTAGATTTATTGTTAGGAAGGTATTAGTCTATTTCATTGATCTAAATTTATACTCCAGGCATGCCAATAAACCCGCGCCACGCTAGTAAAGAACGAGGCAGTATATGCACCAAATATACCGTAGCGAGAGCGAGGACCAAACCCGACATCTTTATTTAGGAGAAACTGTTAGTGAATGAAGACGGGAAACCCAAGAGCACGGAAAGAAGCAGCTTGTAGACGAAAGAAGGTAATGGACTGACCTTTTCAAGCCATGTATGAAACCATATCCCTGTCATGAGTAACATCCACAAAGATAGACCCACAATTGTCCAAACGAATTTCCTAGAAAGCTCCGCAAGAAGCTCCCCGATATCATCAGGCCCACACGCAGTAACTTGTTTATCCGTGGTCCTTTGCGCTGGCCCTCTAGCACCATTCACATTACCACTGCTGATAATGACCGAAGATCTGGTGCCCATTATCTCAAATATCAAAAATGCGCTTGCTAAAACAAGCATGAATGCATGGCCGCTCACATCGTGGCCACCTTTCCAGGTACCCCCTGACGCTTTGCACAACACTGAGGTCAGGACCACAGCTGGAGGTAAGTCGGACTGCGAAGGATCATCAATCATTTGTTGTTGGATCAATTCGCATCTTCCACCAGTGGCAAGAAAACCGCGATCAATTATGGGGGCCCCAAAGCACCACTGTGTCGTCAAGATCCAGGAAAAAGTAACGAGTAAATAGCGAAGGAGGGCTTGTCCGACGCGTCGCAGGCGACAGTTTGCGGAGATCCTTTTACTGGTAAACGCTTCCTGCGTTAGAAGCAGTGATAGGAATGCTAGGCTTGTCCAGAGCCATCCGATTTTAACGAAATACACGTTGAAGACATTTCCTTTCCGGGCAAAATAATTGACCGGCTCTTGAGACTGCGAAGATATCGATGATGGGCTTGAGGGGTTCGCGGTCGGTGATATTCGAGAGTAAATGGAGCCCAGAATAAGAGTTAGAGGATAGATAGCAAGCAGGTGGGCGGGAGGTTGTGAGCCAGTGTGAGTGACCGGTACTTTCGATTTCGGCACTTCTGATGCCAGATCGTTGGAAACCATGTTTGAGTAACTATCGCAAGGCCCAACTGTGGGCTTCAAAGGTGCGGATATTTAATGAAAGCACAGGAAAAGTAGTGCCGCATCTCTAGAGACTGTATAACTGCATATGTGTCACTGTGACACGAGCTTCTTCAAGAGTCTGAAGCAGCTAACTAGTCGACGATGTCTTTTTTTATTTGATGCCTTGAGAGCGCAAGAAAAAGTTGGATGTTGATGACGTTGAGATGGAAGTGGCACGTGATGAGCTTAGACTTCCGAGGTAAAAATAGCTTAACTCGAGGTCGACGTCGACTTTCTCCTTTCCACGAGACAGCACATTGTTGGTCTGGCTGGAGACAGCGGCCTGGAAAGATAGGAAGAGAAAAGGGCGTCCTGTGCTGGATGGGGAGTTCTGCTGCCGGTGGGATAACTGCTTTATCTCCTCGGAAACGGGCCTCCAGGTAGCTATTCTGGATGCTTACATCAAGGTCCCGTTATCCTTGCCTATAACTATGGAATGAAAATATTCCAATATCTCAGCGCCAGAGAAACAGCATGGATGGTTAAGAGGTTGTTGGTACACATGCTACCAGGATGAATCCAGTGTGCAGCCCCGCCATTTTGGTGATGGGCAATAATATTGGCCCCTCCTCCCCTCCAAGGGGAGCTTTGGGGCTTTCAAAGTACACATGCATCAAAGAACCAGTTTAGGAGACCTTGTTTACATCGAGTTTATCTCCCTATACCGCAGCACCGCCTTAACCTACTTCGGCCTTTATTGCTTCATTATCGGTCCTGGATACACATGTGCAACGCCTTTTCCGCCCCTTGCAGCTAATGTTTTCTCGAATCTAACCGGCAGATCTCCAGAGAGATGTAACAGTGTGCTTACAGGACTCTCTTACCTCCTGTTATTTACTATGTTTTTTCGAATTATTTAGCTGGCCTAGGATGACGGAAGGGTACGCCGGCGAAGGACGCCACCCCTCATGGCCCGGGAGCATTTGTTCCATCTCGTCCCCCTTCCCTTTTACTTTCCTTTTTGTTTTTAAAGTGACCTGTTCTTTCATCTAGGCTCCACTTGATAGCAGAGCTCTTGAGTAGTATTAGCTCGTGTTGCTGGCGATATCAATGATCACCGATTCCTGCTCGGCACACTCTTCGAGCCACGCTGAGAGGGCTAACAGAGGACTCTTGGATACCATGGGGCCATCCCGGGGACCGCAGGATGTTTCGCAATTACACAATGGAGCTTAAATCACGTATTCAACGTCACAAGTATTGCCATAGTGCTACACGGGCAGATCGTGATGTGCTTGGCGGCTACTACAGAACCTTGCCATGTACCATTTCTGTTTGAAGCTCTTTGAATAGCAGGGGATAATTTCTGCAGCTACGCCGTTTGCAAACTTCGAATCTGCAAAATTATCCCCTGTTTACTTGAAATTTCCAACCAGCCTCTAAAATGAGTGATGCGCTGCAGCATGCCATGCTTATATTGACCCTTATTTTCTACTGCCTCGAGACTAACACTTTACCCCTGCCCGGCCCGTCAAGGGCGGTCTTCTCGAATATAAGAAACTCCTGTATTCGAGATTCTTATCAACTGACTGAATGACCGTCTAGCGCCTGCGCAAGATTGGTCTGAATGAGTGTCATTGGACTTCCTATCAAAGTCTTCGCCGCTGCTGTGACGCAATACGCCCTGAGGAGCAGCTCGTCTCTTGCAAACGCGCTGACGACTACACCGTCATTATTGGCTATCCAGTATGTTGGGAAGGGCAATAAGTTGGTGAGCGGGTGGCTTTGAAATGGACACTCCTTCGCCCTCAATGGTACATTGACCGCCTAGCGTTTACTTCTATCTCTGAGGTATCCACACCATCCTGGCTTTGTAACGCCACGACATGGTGACAAACAGCTCACCAACAGCCCTGGTGTCCCAGGGCGTTATTTTCTTTTTTATAATTTTGGCTTTTGACCTTTGCTTTTATATTCTGTCTGCATATACTCCGATTCCCCACAGGAAAGGAATGAAGGCTTCGAAGTATTCGAGTAAAAAATATTACCGCCGTACTGCGCACGGATCATCTTGTTTCTGTACCAGAAGGAGAAAAAAGCAAAAGTCTGGGGCATCATATATACCGATAACCGATATAAGTACTCTGTGAAGTACACTCTTGATCTCCACGGCTTCCATACCAATTTACACTCGACCTCCTTCAACCAGCTTTCTCTCAACCTCCTTCTCACCAAGCGCAGCAACAAACATCTCTTAGGGATATTCATTTCCTTGCTTCCAGCCCTCTCATCATTCTACCACCCTTTTATCTCTTACGCAGACGAAATTTCCAGCACTGTTAACAGATGCCTTCAGAAGGCGTCCCCAAGTGCCAGCGGTGTCGTAGGGACCACAAGAAGGTTAGATGACTGTCGCATTACCCCTTTTACTTGCAAGCTCCTAACGACAGTCTAGTGCTCACCCGAGAACAGGCAATGGCCAGGGACAAAGTGTGATCGTTGTGAAAACTACGGTTACGAGTGTTCCGAAAATCTTATGGCGCGGAGGTCGTCTCAGAAAGAAATGGACACATCACGGCCAGCTAACCGTCTTATGGAGGCCTATCCACATAATCGATTCTTTGGCTCTCCCCAAGAATTATCGCGACCATTACCTGTGCGCTCTCAAATCCCAGTTGTTGGAGTAATGAACCAGCAAACCCATTTTCAGTCCCCTTGGGCAGGGCTATTCGACTACCTCAGAAATATCGACTGGCTAAGCTTAACTTGTTCTCCTATCCCTATGGCTTCCAACCCCTTTTTTACAATGTTTCGTTCGTCTATCTGCCCAGTGCCTGATATTTCAGCAACACCACTGGGCCAGCGATTAATGTATCTGGAAGCATTCGCGCAAAGTCAGAGATACATGCAGGACCCCTCGGTCGCGCTCTCTGCATCTCCACTAGAGACTTCTATCAATCTTATAGCTACCCGATTACAGAGGGACTTTCCCCGGATAGCTGGTATGTTCAGCTTCGATGAACTTGTCGTTATATGTGGAAACTATGTCCGTTACGGCTCTTACTGGAACGTGTTTCGGACTGCCCTCCAGACTGACGAAATCCTGCTTGTTGACCCTGCATTCTCATTCGATATGGACCTGCCAAAAACTACATTTGAGAGCGCCCAGCAAATATGGTTATGTCCTGAATTCGGGCTGAAGCAATTCTGTCAAAAGCTCTCTGGCGTCAGCCAGATGATTTCCGATCTGGCTCGAACTGAGCAACATTCAGAAGCACGGGCATTCCTCGCATCCAAGATACCCGATCGTATCGAGGAAGTACTTGGTCCTCAGGTTACTTCTTCAACAATACACAACTATCCTTCCCCCCTTTTCCCTCCAGATACGATGACAAGTTCCCCAGTCGAATTAACAGATGGCGATGTATATTCACCTTCCACTTCCGCGGGCGGCGATGGGTCCGAAGACGGCTATTCATTAGACGGGAGGGGATTCCAACCCATTACAGAGAATGGCCGCTACAATGATGCCTGCTTTTGGGGTAATTAACTGTCTTAGGGTATTTCCAACGTCTCGGCGCAGTTTACATGGGAGATGGTGGGTGGGTGGGTGGCAGGGGAAAACATGACCATAACTATTCTTTCAAGATAGGTAATTTCCGGGCGTTTGAATTCTCACTGGTTTTTGTTTTTTTTCTTTTTCTCGCTTTTTCTTCTTGGGCGGATCTTTTCCTTACCGCAATCACTCTGTTTGCCCTGCCCCTAATGGTGCATTACTGTTGTTTACAATGATTTTATAATTTTTCAGATTTTGGCTGAATAGACAGACCATCGGGTGGATCATCATGACCATTCCCACTCCCTGCCTCATCACAGGAGCTGCTATTCGTCGGAAAGCAGAAGGATGGGGCCTTCAATCTTGTATTCGTACGGTGGCTTGGGGCCTGGTATGACTTGCAGCCTGTCCGTTGCTCCGCTGCTAATGTGGGATCCATGAAAGCCGACGCCATGCAGCGGGAATAGATATTGCTGGGAGGTTTTACTATCATGAAGTAGTAGAAAGTGTTCGAAATTCAGCTCAGATCCCATAACTACCCCTTTTACCGCGTGAGTTGTCAGAATAATGACGTTCAGTCAGTATTTCTTGTTATTTCTCAAACAAATGCCTCGACTCCAGAGGAAGATGGAATGGGATAAAAGCGCATTGGCTGTGGCCTATCTACATCACGCAGCTTTTCGAATGCACCTGTCCTTTCGGCTTACTGGTTTCCCTGAGCAAGGGAAAGTTTGTGACAAAGGGGGCGGCGTACGGGGAGCCTTGACTAAACCCAAATCTAATACACGTAGCTCTACTTATATTGTCAACAGCTCATGGGCTTTCTGGTTCAAGAACCTAATCACCAGGCCGGTGGGCGGGCAGAGAGAAATATAACCAGGCGTAAGGAGCAGGATCCTTACTAACTCGCCAGCACATCGCCAATTAGCGGGCAGTTACAGTCCCAAACAAATCTGAACCCCAGCCACCAGAATTTGACGCTATGCGTGCGCTAATATAATATACCCTTGGATACGTCGGGCCAGCTGAGAAAACACTATACTTCTCCTTTTCCCATCATTTCATGTTCATATGCCCGCCTTATTTGGGTTAATGTCATGCAGGTATACCAGCCAAGCTGAGGGGACCTATCCTTGATACATGGTACTTGGTTTCCTGCCACTGGTTAGCATTTTACCCATGTCAGCTTCATCCAGAATGGCGGTACCTTACATGTTCTTTGGATTCCTCGAAATCTTTATTTTTGGATTAACTACAACTCTATCAGGGATGATAGACGTATGTATGAGGCGTAAAAATAGGGTGAACTGTGTAGGAAAGGGAGAAAACCATGTAGGGAAAAAAAAAAATCAGCGCTAACTAACGCACACAAAGGCCCATAACTGCAGAGGCTGTAAAATCTGTTAACAGTGAGGCCATGGGTCAATAGTATTGGGATGTCCTGTACTGCTATCCCCATGCTCCTTTTTCTCTGCATATGGTCCATCAGCCATGACGGATTTTTTGGGGGGTTGTATTTGTGCTTCGATTGTGGATGACATGTTCACCGCTAAACAGGCCATAGTATAGGTACACCGAGCATATAAAAAGTGATAGAAATGGCGGGTTCCCCTACATTGGCCCAATGTACTAGTGACGGCTTGGTGCATGCACGCCGCCTCTTTGCCAGCCTGTGGGTTCGATAGTATTTCCCGTCTCGGTGAAAGGTACATGCAGGAGATGTTACATAATCTCTCTGGAGGGTACTCCGTATAGAAATGCCCAAGGGTAGAAAAGAAAAAGAAAAAAGGAAAAAAGAGAGAAGGAGAGAGAGAGAAAGAGAGAAGGAAGGGAGAGAAAAGTGTGACGGCACCGGATTTTGATAGCACCGGGAAATCCCCATTCGAAATGATCCAGGAAGCAGTTCTCTGGTTGGGCAGATCACGATAGGAAATGCATGCCACCAACAAAATCAGGAGCGTTAGTTATGCAGGGAAACAGGTGAGAGCCTGGGGATCATGTGGTAAGGGTAACAAGACAGCAGGAGAGACTGAGCATGGGCGGCATCCTTGAAGCCTGATAGGCAGGGTAGGTTCCATTTTCAAACAAAGAAAACAAATGGCAGGAACAATACCTGGCTCCCTTCGACAGTGCAAACAGGGGGAAACAGAGCGAGGGGATCCCCCTGGAGTGAGGTTTCTGTGATCCTTGTGCTCCGTAACCGGTGTTTGCTTTTTGGGTCCCGAGCGGTTGGGACCAATTGGGATAGAAAGCTGTGAGCCGTAAGTGTGGGATTTGGGAGAAATAAGGAAGACGAGAGAGGGTTGGGCGTTGTTCCGTCCGAGTAACCCGAGTAACCCCCTTGTTAAACTAGGAAGGTCGGTTTAGGAGAAGCGTGATGACGGCGAGAGTCGATGGTTTGAAATCATTCAGCCCCCTGAGTATAATAGGATATCCTATTACAACGCTTGTGCCTTCGAGTTCACAGGCCCCTTGTATCCCTTCAGCACACGCATGCTAATGCATGATACATGATCGCTTTCCCGGTCCTAGCCCTCCCAAGTCATCTCAAAAGCAAAAATAGCAGACGTATCTATGGGGGCGGGTTACTCCGTATCGATCGCCAGGATGTCAAAATGGCGAGGTGCAGGTGACCTATAAACGAGAAGCGGGCTGTTCAGGAGTGGTACATGGTGGCCTCCCAGCAATCTGCCCAATCTATGTCACCCCGGATGCGTCTTCACATTTTGCCCTATAGTGGTGGGGTCTTGTGCCTCATGGAAACGTGGATGGATTGGCGAGACGTCCGGAGTATTCCAGGGCGGGGAGATCAGTCAATTCAAAGCCCTGTTTGTCCTTATACGATCTGCGTATATGTATCTCATCATCCAACAAGTCTAACACGCTTCTTTCAAGCCGCTTTCACTGATTGTCGGGAATTCAGAAATAAGGTTCCGGTCGGCTACTGAAGAATGGCTTTCGAGACCCGTCGGGTTGGAAGATTGCGTGTGGCATTGTTGGCGCCGGTGTCAAAGGATGATATGCGATTCTGATTGCGCCCCTTGACCCAATAGCCTGGCTGTTCGGGCCGGCAGTTCTAGTTCCGCCAAAAACCCACAAATGATATTGCTTCTTCGACTCTCCAGGCATGTCAGTTTGTTAGGCCCCGTCTCAGTCATGTACTGCATCGTACACCATAATTCTAAGCGTGGATGGTCCCGGTTTCCTCGTTTTGACTGTGTGACTGTGGCAGCTTTCAAACCCCGTCAAAAGAAAATGCGGCCAATAACCGATGCAAATCTGGTAAAGAGTCAGAGTTCCGTTACTCAGAACGTGGGGAGACAAGGCGAGTATATCATGTCTTGGAGCGGGATCCTCCAACTTAATTGGTGAAAAATAATTTCTCTAGCATAGCTATTGACTGGGCCTAAGATGCAAACGCCCTTAAACACAGCCCGGGTCATAATTCGGATAGAGTAATCCCACTGATAATAGGAATGTATAATGTTCACCAGTGCCAATATATTGATAAAAGGAAAAAAGAGTAAGAAACCATGCCATGGTCGTTTAGACGGGGTAACAACTTATGAAGCCGTCTAACAACACATTGTTGAAGAAATATTCATCATAACGGTTGTCAAAATGTTGGATGAAAAAGGTTCCTGATCCCTGAAGTACAAAAACCCAGGCATCAGCTAACAGTACCTCCTATGAAGGTTGGTGTGTACTAAGTAATTGGTAGGCCATTGCATCGGGCCACAGGGGAGAAAAGCCCAGTACCTTGGTATCACAAAGTAAGCAGAGAGAGGTACCAGGTATTTGACAACTGGCTGTTTGCTTTGTAAAAATCTGCTCTTAGGATGACTTTGGCTTCGGGTTAGCCTCAACACTAGCGGTTTCCAAAGAGCCTACGATCTCCCTCCCATGGAGAAAAGTTGCGAAAGTTGGGAATATAATCCACAGTCCACTAGGGTAGAGAAAAAACAATTACCTGTAAGCGAGGTTACACGGAATAAAAAACAGCGACATTTCATGCGTAGACAATGTACTTGTGCGATTCACGGTGACTCACTTTGGTAATATCCATAGAAAGACCAGGGTAAACATATCATTATGTCCGATGTTATCAAATCCAGAATACGCCTCGTTGAGCCCTTCAATCCATCATCAGATATAATTTGTGGATACAGGGGAGTCTCGGTTTAAAAAGTGATTTTAGGTGCCGGATATTGAGATTGCATACAGAACACTCACCGTAAAGTACTGTTTTACTTAAGGTCATGAGGCTGGCGCTAAATATGGCCAGTAACGCATAAGCACCAGCTGTCCCTGTCACAGACTTTTTCTGCAAGACAGACCATCCACTTGCCCCTTTGGATGATTTTCCCGAATTATGAGCGATGGAGACCGGCTTGGCTCGGGTCCAGACAAGGAAGAGGTAGTAGATATACAGTGCGCTCTCGACGATATTCAAAGAAGCCTGGGCGGATGTAAATCCATTTCGAGAGTTAAAGGCTGGCCAGCCATAAATGTAATCAATCGTCCCATAAAGCGCATAGGGTGACCAAAAGTGGTGATAGGCTCCCCCAAGCATACTGTGAGGTCGCAAGAAGACATAGCCCGTATCCCACAGGACCAAAGGAACCGAGAAAATCAGCCAAAGCTGTACAATAGGTGATGGAAAGTGGGCCCATTGGCTCAGCTGCCTGCGCGTAGCCGTCTGGCGTTGCGTATCCGAACTCTTGGATGCGGCAGAGCTGGAAAGAGCAGGAGGGGGGAAATCCTCCGGGTGTTGGCGCGTGCCCACCATTGGAAATAAGTAGTTAGCTTATATAGATTATTGAAAAACGACTTCACGGGTATAGTTATCGCTCAAGATAAGTGTCGCTGAAGTTGTTGTTAGCAGCGATGTCAACAAAGACGACCATCAAACGAAAATAGGCGCGGGCAGCGGCGGCGTCACCTGACCCAGGCTTGGCCCCTGCTGTCCAACCCGGCTGATGACTCAGCTTGGACCGCGCAACCCCTGAAGATTGTTGATATTGGTCCTTGTGACGGATAGGTATAGGAGGGAACGAAGAAACCAGTCATCTTCATCCTCCTCAAGGCTATATAAGTAAATACATTTCCAGTAACCCTGAAAATGGACGGAGCTGCCTCGAAACCACCCTTGTGGACTACTTTTGTAGTTGGGAGTCATGACTTTGCCTATGGCAGACCAACAGCCCAGATGGCTTGAACCGCTTGCCCATCCGGAATGTACTCTAACGCCTCTAAGGATTTGGAATTCCTTGACGCGATCTGAAACTGCCTTCATTCCGGTTGACTCTGAGGGTAAAAATGTCACTTGGTATACTTGCGGGCCGACGGGCTATGACGATGCTCATTTGGGCCATGCCAGGAATTATGTTACAACCGATATACTCCGTCGCATTATGCGGAATTACTTCAAGTTCGATGTCAAATTTGTGATGAATATAACTGATGTGGATGATAAGGCACAGCTATAGATACACGAATGGTTATATATTTGCGATGCCCAGCCAAATACTGACCTGTCAATCAAACTTTATAGATAATTACCAGAGCACGGCAGCAACACCTTTTCGCTGAATACAAGGCTAAACATCCTTTCCTTGATACCAAATTTTTAGACATGGCACAACTTGCGTTTTCAACTTTCCTGGAGCAGCGTCTGCCTCTTTAGGTTCTGACACACTACCGTCAAACTTCGGCCATGAAGCAAAGTGCAAATACGCGTTCATCCTAGGTGGAGACGCCCTGAATGGCAATAAAAAACCTGGATCGGACGAAGCCAACATTAAAGGGATATCAAGACCGCCTCAATAGCTGCGGAAGCTATAAAGAACGCGCTTGACAAAATGTCGTCTAAAACATCTGAACCAGAATTTTCCTTTGAAGCCATGAGTACCAAAAGCTTCATTCCAGGTGAACGCTTAAACTCAAGTGAAACATTATATGAGGCTTGTGAAGATGTATTCCTCGTCTATCTTGACTTCGTCGGTGGCTCCTCCATTTCCAGTTCCGATTTTTCGCTCTTCAGAACACTGACCAGGAATTTTGAGACGCGGTTCCTTGAAGATATGCGGTTTTTGAATGTTCTTGATCCAGATGAACTGACAAGGGCGACTTCATACATCCCTGAAATAATCCAGTTTATCGAGAAGATTATTGACAATGGTTTTGCGTATTCTACATCGGATGGCTCCATATATTTTAACATCGATAAATTCGCAAACGCTGGTAATCATTACGCCAAACTAGAGCCCTGGAATAGACATAATAAGCACCTTCAAAGGGATGGAGAAGGCTCCTTATCGAAAAACACGACAGCAAAGGCTTCAAAAAACGACTTTGCTCTCTGGAATGCATCCCGGGCAGGGGAACCAAGTTGGCCCGGCCCTTGGGGGAATGGTCGGCCTGGCTGGCATATTGAGTGTTCTGCAATGGCTTCAGCTACACTTGGAAGTCAGATCGATATTCATTCTGGTGGGATTGATCTTGCATTCCCACATCATGATAATGAACTTCCCCAGGGTGAGGCGTACTGGGGTGAAACCCAATGGGTCAATTACTTCCTCCATATGGGCCATCTCTCTATTCATGGCTCAAAAATGTCTAAATCCCTCAAAAATTTCACGGCTATAGGGGGAGCACTTGCCAAAGGCACCTGGACCTCGAGAAGTGTGAGAATTGTTTTTCTTCTTGGTAGGTGGCGAGAAGGTATTGAAATCACGACAGATATGGTTAACGCCGCACGCTCCTGGGAAGCAAAACTGGACAATTTCTTTTTAAAAGCCAGGAATATTGCGGTATTGCAAAAAACCATACCCGAGGAGCAGTCTGATAATGATGATTCGCTTACCCGACATCTCATATCGGCCCAAGAGAAAGTTTTTATTGCCCTGTGCAGTTCCTTTGATACCCCTGCTGCAATGAATGCCATATCAGAGCTGGTGTCAAACTATAATAGTATCGAACCCTTGGAGTTGAACTGCATTGTTTTTTCAGGAGGGTGCTAGATGGGTTACATCAATGATGAACATCTTTGGGCTAAATGGGCATGCTTCACCAGACAATCCTGACATCGGGTGGGCCGGCATTGATGTTCCCGAATATGCAAAGCCATATCTGAACACCCTTTCAGCTTTGCGGGATGCGGTCCGCCGGCTTGCAAAGTCAAATGCCCATATCACGTCTCAAGCTCTCGGTAGTATTATAAATACTATCGGCTCAAGCGCGGACCTGGGGCATTCCATGTCAGATCTAGCACTCCCATACGTGGAGGTTTTGAGGAAATTGAAAGACCAAATTGCATCCCTGATTGCATCCCTGAACATAGGTACAACTGAAGTAGACCCAAACCAGCTTTTGAGGTATTGTGATCGCATTAGAGACGTGGATATTCTTGACCTCGGTATCTACCTCGAGGATGAGGACAGTGGCTGCGCCATAATACGCCCAGTCACAAGTGACCTGGTTAAGGCCCTCCAGGCACAAAATCAACGAAAACTTCAGGCACAGAAGCACAAAGAAGAAGAGGGACGCAAGCAAGCTGAGAAGACGGAAACGGGGAGGCTCAGCCCTTACGAGATGTTTCGAACTGACGAGTTTACTGCATGGGATCAGGACGGCGTGCCAACAAAAGATTCAGAAGGGAAAGACCTCTCAAAAAACTGTGTAAAGAAGCTGAAGAAGGATTGGGAGAGGCAAAAGAAGTTGCATGAGGCATGGATGCCTGGTTAGTCATATTAAAAGATGCGGAAGCTATGCCTGATTAGAGTAGTTAACTAAGTTAATTAAACAGGCTAATCTAGGTACCCCCTGATCAGTTATGTTGATGATAACATTCTTCAACGTTTCAACAGCACAATCGGTGAGCGATGCTTGTGGTTATCTATCCCTCGATCAACAGAGTACAAAAACAGCTAAGGGGGACAAAAAAATCAAAACATACGATAGTCGGGATTCGCTGGTGGTCACCCACCCAACTACTAACCGACCGGCAAGTGGCTTAAGTACAGCTGAGCGGACGGGAAGCTCTGTTTTCCACTTCCTGTGATCGTATGTGCTTGTTTTCTATTGTGACAGGCTTATATAGTTAGATAAGTAGCTAGCGGGTTAATTACAGGAAGATTGATTAAGGTGAAGAATGGTTCCAAACCAACTGCTGGAGCTATCGTTCATGCGATTACTCCAATGCAGTTCTGATTGTCATTGAACACCTTTAACAATTGTCAAAACCCAGGCTTCAGCATTATAGAATATAGGTCTATATGGTTTCACTGGGCTTCATCGCTTCTCGCTCTTCAGCGTTATCCTTGGCCGTGCCTTTCTGGAATTTGCGCAAGCAAGCTGTTTGTAGAAGTTTCAATATTTCCTACCGGACAATAATTTGTTAGTTCCTTGACTCTTAATTTTCTTGGTTATCATACTAATCAACTTGCTGTATAGCAGCTTCGAAACCTACCCACGAGCTTTTTTCATATACATCAGGACGATTTTTATACAATGAAGACGCACGATTGCGAGAAAGATATGTCGAATTTGACGTGACTGCCCTTAAAGAGGCAGTGACCAAGCATACCGGTGCTAAAGTTACCAATCTCGCGAAGCTCGGCGAGGGCGGTTTCAACAGAGTTCTCAATGCGACACTTGAAAACGGACTGCAGTTGGTTGTCAAGATTCCGTATCCTCTCTCGGTACCAAGAAAGTATGCCACTGCCAGCGAAGTTGCAACACTTACATTTCTTCGCTCAAAGGGGATACCTGTCCCGAAAGTATATGGATGGTCAGCAACCAACGAAAATGCAGTTGGAGCTGAGTATGTTATAATGGAGCTTGCATCAGGTATAGGCCTTGATACCAGATGGTTCAGTATGACGAAGAAACAACAACAAACTGTGGCACTGGGGATTGTTGGCATAGAAAAGACCCTATTCGATATTCCCTTTGGTTCCATTGGAAGTCTATATTTCAAAGAAGACCTACCTCTCGAACTACAGCATAATCTCTATCTTCCTGGGGCCTCGGACCCTGATGGAGATTGCAATACCTTTTGCATTGGGCCAATTGCGGATTACATGTTTTGGTACGGCAAACGTTCAGAGTTGAAATTAGACCGCGGCCCTTGTGAGTATTCAAACGCTCCAGTTTTGGTTTCTTCTGACCGGAATTTTCGCTGAATTTAGTTCTTATAGGGAGTGACCCGTGCCAATATCTCAGAGCAATTGGGAATCGTGAGCTAGGATGGACGAAAAAATATGGAAAACCTCTTGAAAAGGAGTTCCCTTACAACACGCTTCTTCCTGGAACCATCCCTCATGAGCATTATGCTGCATTGCTTGAAAAATACTTGGCAATTGCTCCTTTTCTTCTTCCCAAGGATCCGCTAGACCCCGGTAATCAACCGACGATTCGACACCCAGGTATGTATGTTGGGCTTCTGCGTCCTTTACTACGCTGACGACTAGCGCAGATCTCACACCTGCTAATGTTTTTGTTTCCCCCGACACATTTGACATTACTTCCATCATTGACTGGCAACACACAACTGTCACTCCGCTCTTGCTTGCTGCTGGGCATCCAATGATGTTTGAAAATCCAGATGTAGAACCTCCAGAAACGCTGGAAGCGCCAAAGCCTCCAGAGGGATATGATACTCTTGACATTGAAACAAAAAGCCAGGTTGATGAGCTCCTCAGGCGACGTTATCTTTATTACCTATATCGCGTTTTCAACGGAGCTCGGAATAAAAGCCATCTCTCTGCCTTTTATGACCCTGTATTACAACCTCGACAGCATCTTGTTGACTACGCCGGTCGCCAATGGAGTGGAAACATCATAACTCTGCGGGGTGCCTTGATGCGGATGTGCGGATATTGGCCTCTTTTATCAACCAAGGAGGAATGCCCTATCTCTTTCACTGATGCAGAATTAAAAAAGCACTCTGAGGATGAGCCAATGTGGTTTGACTTGACTGCCCTGGTAAACTATTGGCGTGATGAGCTCGGTGGGCTTAGTGAGGAGGGATGGATAAAGTCAGAAATGTTCGATCACGCCGTGAAAAGGAATAAGGAGCTTCAGGAAAAATTCATCAATGATGCTGATCCTGATGAGGTTGAAAAGGTTGTAAAAGGCTGGCCATTCCAAGATAAAGAGGAGTTGTTCTAAGTAGGGAGCGAATGTCCAAATTAGCTACCGAAGGGAGAAGCTTAATATATGGTTCAAGGAGAAGGCCCAAGCTTCCCGGGGCCGAGGTGAGCCTTTTTTCATATATCATGTGACACGGTTATAATGGAACTCACCACGCCAAGAGCCTTTCCCGGCTCCAAAGGCTAAAATGGAAGGGTTGCGGGTGGTTGTTGCATATGTTATTATTCCGTACCAGCGTTGTCGTCGGGGCGCATGGCACGGCTATGTTGGACACTGGGTGGCGGGGCAACGAACTGTACGATGGGCCAAAGGCAGGGTGCCGAAACTGCATATTCCGAACACCGCCAAACCCAAGGGCTCAGACTCAAGATATGAGAAAACGGTACGACACAGAGATGTTACCGTTACAAGTGATTGAGCTGTTCAACCTGCAGGGTTGAGAGAGAGAATAAAGAGGGAATACTCTATCTGCATGCCGGATACGGGTTTAAAGCTAACAATGCTGGAGGTGGGAAAGCTGGGTATAACTAAATGGGTACAAAGTGTGGTAACATCATCACACTCGGCACGCAGACAAACCTCTTACAACAACACAAGGGCCTCAGGTAAAATGGTGTCCTCGGTTATGCTCACAACTGCTCTGTCTAGACGCTAGGAGCATCTGACGCCCTGCAAACAGCGAAACCTCCAGCTTGATGAGCTAAATCTGCTCATACTTTTCTTGGTGACTGTGATGATGGTTGCAAAAGGGCCAAAGGAGCAGGGATGCGAGCAGAAACTTATCTATTTCCCCCAGGGTAACCTAGGGTAGCTTGGTCCGAAAGCGGTGTCTGCAGCAGCGGCATCTGAATACTGGAAGGCAAATGACAGCCAGCTGACTGTTTGCAATGTCTCATTGACCGGGATAGTAGGACTGTGCACGCCTTGCAGCTTGATCCTGCGATGCCAGCAATTAATATATATGACTGCATCCAAAGGGGCCTGGCCTGGCTGGAAGCAGGCCGGAAAGCAAGCTCTTCGTCATATTACGAGCTAGCATATGGCCGAGGTGGAACAGTGCAGATCAGCGGAGATTGGGGCTTGCGGCAGAGTGGACAAAAAGTGACTTGTTCTCCAGCGGGCGCTCGCATATCTGGTGATGTACTGGCCATGTCGCGCAAGCGGCAAGGGGAGGGCTTGTCCATGGAGTAAAATAGGGGGGAGAAGCAGGTTGTTGCTGGGAACATGGCATGCTGGCATCGCTCTTCCCCACCGTGGCGTCCCTCGGGCGTTGCTGGTTTATTTGCTGTTTGCGAGTAGCTGGATCGTTAGTTTGTTGCGAAATGAACGGTTTAAGTCGATAGATTAAATAAAGGAAAGCTACCCCGTATATATTGATATCACCCCAGGCCTTCGCATTCCCGGGGATGTCTTCTTCTCTTCGTTGCTGTCGAAGTGAGTGACAACGTCATATTTCTACCCCGTACCCATCCGCGAGAAAGTCGACAGAGACCAGTCGGTCTGGGCCCCTATAGCTGAGGTTGCTTAACTACGGGCACGGAGTAACTCAGCTCGCGATGTTGTTCCGGTGGTGCCCCTTAGTGGCTCTGGCCATCGCTTCTGGCACAGCTGCTACAGAGGTACGGAAGGGCCAACGACTCGCGAGAACTGTGGTAATGTGCGATAGCCGATGCTGACTGGAGATGCGTTACTTAGCAGAGCTGGGAATCATCGCCATACTACCCGTCACCATGGACTAAAGGAGAGGGCGAGTGGGAAGCTGCCTATCAAAAGGCTGTCTCCTTCGTCTCGCAGCTTACGCTGGACGAGAAGGTCAACTTGACAACCGGTGTTGGGTATGTCTGGGGATAGTTAGTGGTGAAAAGGATTATGCAAGACGAATCAAACAGCTAATGGCTTGATAACTAGATGGATGCAAGAATCTTGCGTTGGTCAAGTCGGTTCAATTCCGCGTCTTGGTTTCCGTTCCCTGTGTATGCAGGATGGCCCTCTGGGTATCCGGTTTGGTACGGAAGCTCGAATGGACATTTTCCTTTACCTAACTTGCAATACTAACTTCTATCTACCTTATGTAGGTGACTACGTTACTGCGTTCCCGGCTGGAATCAACGTTGCTGCCACATGGAGCAGAGAACTAGCCTACCTTCGAGGAAAAGCCATGGGAGAGGAGTTTCGTGGTAAGGGTGCAGACGTGATACTTGGGCCTGCAATCGGCCCTATAGGGCGCGCGCCAGAAGGAGGACGAAATTGGGAAGGCCTTGGGCCTGATCCAGTCCTGGCTGGTAAGCTCGTTGCAGAGACGATCAAGGGTATGCAGAAATCGGGCGTGATTGCATGTGCAAAGCACTTTATCGCCAATGAACAAGAACGATTCCGGATTGCTGCCGAAGCTCAAGGGTATGGGTTCGACATTGCAGAGAGTATAAGCTCTAACGTTGACGATGTGACAATGCATGAGATATACCTATGGTAAGCTCTCGATCCGAGACGACGACTTTCGGATGGTATACATTGCTAACGAACGATGTCGCAGGCCCTTTGCTGATGCTGTTAAAGCTGGGGTAGGTTCAATCATGTGCTCCTACAACCAGATCAACAACAGCTATGGCTGTGGAAACAGTTACACGCAGAACAAGTTGCTCAAGGGCGAACTTGGATTCCGTGGTTTCATCATGTCAGACTGGCAAGCACACCACAGCGGTGTTGGTTCTGCCTTTGCTGGATTGGACATGTCTATGCCCGGTGACACTTTGTTCGGCACGGGTGTCTCCTATTGGGGTGCCAACCTCACCATTGCCGTTGCCAATGGAACCATTCCTGAATGGAGAGTCGACGACATGGCCGTCCGTATCATGGCTGCCTACTACAAAGTTGGCCGTGACCAAGTTCAAGTCCCCATCAACTTCAACTCATGGACCACCGATGTCGAGGGCTACCAGCATGCACTCGTGAAAGAAGGATATGGAGTAGTCAATCAGAGGGTGAATGTTCGTGACCATCATGCACAGATAGCCCGTCGTGTGGCCAGGGATAGTACTGTTCTCTTGAAGAACAAAGGTGTCCTCCCTCTCACTGGAACGGAGCAGTTCACAGCCATCATTGGAGAAGATGCAGGCCCCAATATTAACGGGCCAAACAGCTGCCCTGACCGTGGGTGTGATAATGGAACCCTTGCAATGGGATGGGGTAGTGGAACGACAAACTTCCCTTATCTTGTGACTCCAGATGACGCTATCCAGCGTGAAATCGTGGGCAAGGGCGTTGGAAATGTCATGTCTGTTCTCCAAAATGGTGACTTCAAAAACATTCAGGCAGTGGCTGGTCAGGCCGATGTTGCCCTTGTTTTCATTAACTCGGACTCCGGTGAAGGGTATATTTCCGTTGACGGCAATGAAGGTGACCGGAAGAACCTGACTACTTGGAAGGGAGGTGATGAGATGGTCAAGCAGGTGACATCTGTCTGCAATAACACCGTACTTGTCATCCATTCCAGTGGTCCAATCCTGGCTGGCCAGTGGCACGATAATCCAAATATCACTGCCATTCTCTGGGCAGGTCTCCCTGGCCAGGAAAGTGGAAATGCCCTGGTTGATATCCTTTACGGCAAAGAGAATCCTGGTGGTAAATCGCCATTTACCTGGGGCAGGGCTGCCGAAGACTATGGTACCACGATCTTGAGGGAGCCAAACAACGGAAAGGGTGCACCGCAGCATCTATTCTCAGAGGGTATCATGTTTGAGTACAGGCACTTCGACCAGAAGAATATCACTCCTGTCTACGAGTTTGGATACGGGCTGAGCTATACCACTTTCTCCTACTCAGACCTGAGAGTAAGGCCGATGCGTGCCAATAAGTATGTGCCTGCCACCGGCATGACCAAACCAGCACCACGACTGGGCCACTCCTCGACCAAATATGCCGACTACCTGTTCCCTGGTGGCTTCAAGGGGGTAACAAAATACGTATACCCCTGGCTCACGTCGACTGATCCCAAGGAGGCGTCCGGAGACAAAAATTACGGAATGCCCCTCGAGGACTATGTGCCTCCAAATGCAAACAACGGCGATGCACAGCCCGTTCTCCCCGCCAGTGGTGTTCCTGGCGGAAACCCCGGTTTGTTTGAAGACTTGTATGAGGTCTCAGCTGTCATCACCAATGATGGGGACAGGGTAGGCGAGGAAGTCCCACAGCTGGTACGTAACCTTTCTTTCTTCCCCCCTATTCTCTCTTAAGGTATCATCACAACTAATACAAAGCTCTCTTAGTATATCTCCCTTGGTGGCGATCGGAATGCGAAGGTTGTTCTTCGTGGATTCGATCGTATCCGATTAGCTCCGCGCCAGCGTTTTCGGTGGAGAACCACCATCACCCGACGAGATGTTTCCAACTGGGACCCAGCGAGTCAAGACTGGGTCATGACCGAGCACCCGAAAATCGTCTACGTAGGAAGCTCTTCGCGGAATTTACCGCTTCAAGCACCGCTGCCTGCGCCAAATCTGGCGTGAGATCGAAGCTCTCCGGTGTCGTTTTTAACGTTATTTTATCACCCATAGCGTTTCTCCTTTCCCTTCTTGATTCCACATGCCCCGTTTTGCTTTTGTATATCCTTTTTAGTAGTGTCCATAATTGATTGATTGGGTGATAGCCCGGGAAGTGGGCTTCTCTACCGTGGTTGAAGGAAGATTCCCGACTCTCTTTTTTGCTCCCAAATCGCTTGCTTTGCTCCATCCAACCTCGTAAGTGAGCGTAGGATGATGATCTGATCACGCACCCCTGAGCCTCGACGGGGAGTATATCTCCATAACATCGGGCTCTTTATCCTGTAGATCGGGCTTCTCGCGGGGCCCCTGACAGGCCATGAAACAGTCGATTCGTCGAATGATCTGCTCTCGAAGGGCGTTTCTTTCCGAGATCTTTGTTTTCTTTTGCCTCATGGGAAGGAGTTTTGACAACGTTGACTTGCTTTCCCTCCTCGTACAGCAGTTATGCCTCCCTCATCCCTGCTCTCCCGTCTCCAGAGCGATGGGACTGACATGTGGATGGAGTCTCGATCCAGCTCTGCTACTGTTGATGCTCTGGCCAGATGCTCGTTTTCGTCTCCTCGTTTCTCCAGTTTCACGACTACCATGAACTACACTTGCCTAGGTGCTGCGTAACTCATAATGGAGCTCCCCGTCATGCACATGCATGATAGCACTCCATAAGTCAATCTGATTGAACGAAGCATCGATCTGATATGCGGCGGCAAGCTGCGATAGAACAGCTATGCACTAATTGATAGCGGTCGAACAGACCTCAGCACCGCCATTTCCCACGCCTTGAATATACGGTGAACTGATCTTCCGCGTCCAATAAATAAAATCGTCACTCGCCACAAACCAAGCACCCGAGGTTACGTTTTCAACGACTCTAGTTTGGACATGACGACGGTGGCGTCTGGGTGAAGGTAACACCAGGGGAGCAGCAGACTTTTCGTTGGAAGCATCGAGGCTCAGCCCTACGCTTGGAGTGCCTGAACTGCTTGATATTGAGACTTTGGTGGCTTCAGGGCGATCCGAAAACGGGCAACAAACGGAGAACTTTTTGATAAGCAGATGTTATTATCCTTTTTTTTTTTTTTTGAGCCATGGGCCTGCTTGTGCTACAATGTTAGTATAAACTGGCTTGACTGTGGAGGAAGAGACGGGAAAGGGAAAAAAACTGGGACTCGAAGTCTATATCTGGGTCGGAGTTCTTCCGCGTGTGAGCTTGGATGGCGTTCGAGCCCCCTGAAGCTGGAGGTAGCGATAGGGATAGACATGGAGATGCGAGATATTGTTCTAAATGCATGAGGTAGTCGTTAGTTAAGTTTCCCCACAGGCCTGGAGAGTTCGCTGGCGAGTTCGTCGGGGGGAGAGCGGACATGCTGGTTGGGTAGTTAGTTGAGGATATGTTTTATATTGGCGCAGAGGCGCAGACCCTGAATCAGAATAATGTAAATCGTAATTTTATCTAGCCACCCAGGCATTGGGGATATGTGGTATGTACGTCTAAATGTGAATATATGTACAGTTTTTTCAAGTTTTGTTCACGAACTAATCTCGCTTGGCCTCTCTATTGGGTATCATCGGGCGGGAAAGTAGAAGGGAAGGGGGAAAAAAAGACAAGAAGACAAATTCGGCTATAGTATGCGCTTGTAGACAAGGAAGGGTTGTGTTGATGGGAGTTTGACGACAACGGAGTTCCCTGTCCCGATGGGGCAAGAGTTGGAGCATCGGCCGCTCGTTTTGACCATGGGCTTCCTCTCCACAGCGACCAGTCTTTCTCGCGGTGCCTGAGCTGTTGTGTTTTGCGGAAACTCTATCCCCCCTGGACCAAAACATTCCCCGGGGTTCCAGAGTGATGGGCTCCATAACTAGCAGCACGTCAATTATGGAGTAGTGGTTGTGTTAGCTGAAAAGGCGTGCTCGGTAACTAGCCTGAACCACGGTTCGTCTGCTACTAAGCGACTGTATTTCGGGTTTCCTCATTCGGCTGACCGTTGAATGAGGATCTTCATCTGGGCCTTACTTATGCTTGTGCTATATGTAATACCATGAGGGAACAGCTGAATCAGGGGGGAGAAAGGGAGGGCGTATCCTTGAAAGTCCAGCGAATATTCTTTCCATGGTGAAACTGCTGGCTTTGGCGCGATATGACTGGGGGAAATAGGACAGGACACCGGACTAGTAGCTGCAGACGGACCCACGATAGCAGGTTGGCTGCATGGAGTTAGAGTAACTAGTTAGTTGGGAAGCCGACTTGAATCCACCGCCAGGGGATCTCCCACTAATCGACAACCGAGTCGGCTCGGGGAGACTAGCAATCGTGACATTGAGGCGCAGCGTTAGAGCTTAAAAAGCTTAGCGGTATCGGAATGGATGGGCCTCTGTATTGAGCACGTACTCGTCGAGACTGACGACGTCTGGCTCAGAGAAGATAAGGTAGAAGTACTTGAGCGTTTCAGCAAACCAGAAGGACTCCATGCGGTCTGCTTTGGTTGGTTTGGGGATGGTGCAGTCATCCAGCGCCGCGTGGGCGATATCGGTGACTGTGTGTTTGATGATGGTGTCGAACATCCTCCATGCTCTGTCGAGCAGGGAGGAGTCTCCTGTTAGGCGATAGAGGATGAATATGGATTCAATTGCCTCAGGCCTTGTGCATTATTAAGGTTAGTTATGTTAACTATATGTTGGAAAAAAAAACTACAAGTATTTCGGAGCTTACCTGAGAATGTATCGCCTGTCTGGAATGCGGACAAACCCAGGCATTAATCCTTGCTCTGCAACATACTCGTAAAAATCGGTGCCTTCGGTGTAGAACGTATCTTCAACGGCCTTTTTCCATATTTCTTCGTTCCAGGGACAGTCGTTACGGTCCTGGCATCTTACTGTGACCATGATCTCAGGCATGATGCCCATGCTGCTCTTTTCGTAAGCCCAGAGACAACCTTCGACCAGCTTCCTTGCCGTGTCCATGTCATCGTTGCTTTGGAAGGCCTTGGCTGCCAGGCCAACCATCCCGCCTGCAAAGCAACTTAGATGCTGAGCGGTGGGCTCCGGGCGAAGTTCGGACAACGGTACCCTTTGACTGACCGTGACATCGCCGGGGAAGAGAATGTCTTCACCATGCTTTGTCATGGGGCGGAAGAAGATGTTTCGGTCCATGGCGGCAAAGGCACCCTTGTAGAGCTTCTTATATTGTTGTGAAGCCCCACCAAGCAGGATATATTGCTACTATTGTTAGCAACCTTGTATACTTTATATAATAATATATAGGGCCGGCCGATCAAAAAGATCTGCCATGTTAAAACGCACCTTTGGGAGATACTCGTACAGGGAATCCGCCATGCCGCCGATGGTGAATCGATTCGAGGAACGGAAATTCATGGCCTCTGCATCAATCATGAACGGCCACATGCCGGGAAGCTTGGTCTTGCTCTGCTGCTTTTCCATGGCGTTCATGATCCGCTGCACCGCGTCAAAGTACTTTGGATCACCAGTAAGCTGGGTAAGGCGAGTAAACTCCATGGTGAGAGAGCCAATCTCGGCAACGATCATCTGGTCGGCGGCCTTGGGCCTGGCGCCGGCAGCAGCCTTCTTGAAGTCCCAGTGGGCAATGGGCATGCGATTGGGCGTGTCGAAGGCCACGTAGAGCATCTGGCCTATCTCGACTGCCTTGCGCAGCAGAGAAGGGTACTTTTGCCCGCTTACGTCGTAGGCGCCCAGCAGGCCACCCAGGTAGCGGATGGTGGTTTCGAAGACATTGACTTCTTCCACGGTGCAGTTGTTGAAGTCAATGTCGTCAATGGCCTTGACTGCTTCCGCGAACTCGTCGTACAGGCCCATGATCCATAGCGTATCTATCCCCGAGTTAGATATCAAGTCGGACATGTATGATAGTAATAATAAAAAAAAAAGGGGGAGGGGCCATTTACCTAGCCCGTCGACCATGGAGGCCGCCCAACCGCCAAAGGGGTTCACTGCCAGGCCGGACAACGGCGCGACCTCATCTGCCATCCATGCATGAGCCTTGTAGCCGTTCCATGCATGGGAGAAGTTGCCCTTGACAGCCTCGAGCCGGCTGAGCCGCAGACGGCGTGCATCCTCGTCCTCCTTGCCTGAGAAACGGTGCTGAATCAGCGGAATGCTGCTGGGATCGCCACGAGGCATCTTGATCATGGACCGGACTGCATATTTCTGGGGTACATGAGCCCAGGAGAAGGCCCCGTCGGCCGGCGTGGTGGTGCCTGGCGGCGGCGGCCACGAAGCGCTGCTGGCGACGCCGCCGCTGCTCGATGGCTGGCGGAAGTTTCTGACCAGGAAGAAGGCGACGGCCAGCGCGAGCAGCAGCACGACCGGCCTGCGTCTGACGTAGGGCATCGCCATCATGGTCTCTCCGGTTCTTCTGCGTCTCCGGGCCTTGCTCTGCTGGCGGTGTCTCTCGGTTCCTGACGATGCGCTGGGGAGGGCGCTGGATGTCGTTGGCGAGTCGCCGGCCGCTGTTGTTGGCGCGTTTGGTGCATCTTTTTCTTACTAACCGCCGGCTGTGGCGCCCTTTTGATAGACCCCTGGAAGACGGAGTAGACGAGGACGAAGAGGAGAGAAGAGACGAGAAGAGAGAGACGAAGCAAAGAACAGGGACGACGGGCATCCAACATCTAAGATTGTCCTGGGATTCGCTCGCGGGCTTCAAGGGCCCCTGTAGGCAGCGTAGCCAACGTGGTTATACACAGTATTTATATGCCATCCAGCCCCTTTCTCGGTGTCCTCTGATGGCTACCGCAGCTTCAGTGTATATAGCTAGCTACCTAGGTCTACTGAGATGAGAGTGTACAGTGACTACTGTCGGACGCGCTGGCGTCTACCAGAGACGAGCTACAGCAACAACGGCGAGGCCACGCTGGACTACGGCGGATGGGAGGCAGAGTACGCCGGCCGCTGTCTCGCCAGCAGCAGCAATAGTCACTGTCTCTGGCTGGTGGCCGTCGACGAGCGCTACAGCGAGCTGCTCTCCAGTGAGTGCTTGCATCTAATATTCACAATCAATGGCCGGCTACGAGGTCGAGGTCGAGACTGCTAACTGACGGCCGTTGTTGCGAGTAACACACAGCTGGCATCGATATATCGCAGCCCGGACACAGCACAGTGAACATCGAGATCCCCGAGCAGATCCTGAGCCGGACGAGGCGGTTCAGGTTCGATATCAAGGGCTGTGACGGCGATACACACCATGACCACGGACAGGCGGCCATCTCATCGGACGAGTTTCGTGTCTCGACGTCGACGCGGATAGCAGTTAGAGACGCAGAGGACGACCAGACGCTGACGGTAGGCAGCAAGACCGGCATCGGGATAGGCATTGGGCTCGCCGTTATTGCCCTCGCGTCTCTCGGGTTCCTTCGTCTCTACCGTCGACGGCGACGGAGAAGAGAGATCGACTCGTATCTCGCGGCATCACGGCCAGCGCAGACAGAAGAAGCAGCAGCAGCAGCAGCAGCAGCAACAACGTCAACAATGGCACCCCCAGAGACAATAGCAGAGATGCCGACGGATAACGAGACCGTAACACAGTCCGTGTTCGAGATCGAAGGCCAGGGACAGAAGCTTGGGGAGCTCCAGGGCTCTCTGGCCGCCAGCGAGATGCCAGCCTCCTCCGCGCACCAGCAGCCAGCAGCACCCGTTGAGCTCCCAGGCAGCATCCCCAGAACGACATAGACATGAAATGAACCGCAGCATTCTCTAGACTTTTACGGTGTTACTAGGAAATACGGCCCGAGACAAAGGCTGGAATAGCGTTTCGGGCTAGCTGAGCATATCAGGATGGGCTATACGGAGTCAATCGGGGAGTCACCAAATATGATAGCACCCTTTGGACGCAGTTTTATGTCCGCTTCTTAGTGAGGTTTCAGATGGTCGTTTTATCGCCGCTCAAGAATCAGGACACAGCCGCCTAACAGGGCTTTTTCTTTTTAGCAACCGCCTGCACGATATATACATCTATCTCTCTCTCTGTGATTCAGCCGGAGCATCTCCAGGCCAGAGGGAGAAAAAAACAAAAAACAAAGAAAAAAAAAAAAGAAAGAAAAGGAAGAAGAGCGCTGACCCTTGGGTGGGAAGAAGCTTGTCTGGTGGACTCCTCGCTGCCCTCTTAGTGAGTCTTGCGCTTCTCGAAGGGGTAGCTATATCCTCCCTCCAGTTCCTGTGTCTGCTGGCCCTCGCTGTCGTTTGCTGTATATACAGAGTAATCTCTCTCTGGTGTCGTTTACTATATGCTGCAGGCTCCCCGTCCTCTTCCTCCCGCGCTTCGTACTGCTGCTGCTGCTGCTGCTGCTTTCCCCGTATGCCCTGTAACTAACGCATCCTTGTAGAAAAGATCGAAACTTCGCATATCTTCTGCAATCACATGCAGCCAAGGCGGGCCCCGGAAAGCTGTGGCTAGACGAGAGAGACGCAGAGACAGGGCAAGCCAGACGAAAGGGCAAAGGAAAAAAAGGTTGTTGAAGAAGCAGAAGAAGAAGAAACGAAAAGGCAAAAAAAAAAAAAGGCAACGCCGTTGGTATAAGTATATATTAGACTCAAAATGGGGGCATATATAAGATGGACTTGCATCATCCCTGACGGGCCCTCCTCCCCATCCCACCCCCCTACGCACCGCGCAAAAAAGAAACGAGCAGAGTCTTCACGCCTGTCGAACTAAGAGTGGCCGCTGGATGCTAGCCACGTTTCCCGAACCCGCGTGTCGACGCCATCTCAGAGTTGCTGGACGTATTGGGGGACGGCGCGGTCGTAGAAGAGCTCGCAAGGTCCCGTCCCATCCCATCGACCATCGGCCGTCGACCATCATCAGCCCCATAACCAGGGCGAGCCCCCGAGAAGAAGCAACCGCCAGAAGGGCACATCAATTATTATATTTGCTATTAACGAGGACGACGACGACGCCGGCGCCGACTCCTCCCTCGCGCAAGGACGGCCGCAAAGGAAAAAAGGACGGAGGAAGAAGAAAAGAAACGAGAAGACGAAAGCCAAGCCAAATAGCGCTGCCTTAGTCAAAAAGGTTCCTCTGGCGCTGGCTTTCCTGCTCGTCCACAGGAAGGCAAAAAAGTCGACCGCAGGCAGAACAGACAGCCGGTTGCTGGAGCGCCGGAAGCACACTGAGAAGCAGTACGAAGCAGAGTCGAGAGACGCAGACGCAGCGACCCGGAAAAGAAACCGCACGGAAGACCATGGCGGCGTGGAAGCCTGCTGCTCCCCTTGCGCGATAATACTACTTTACTCTTCTCGCCAGAACGCCGTCTACAAATCTCTAACCAACTAACTTAGTTGATATAAACTACACGCCCGCCTCGCACGAGAACCAACCAAAAACACCCAACGCTTTCCCTCGCCCTACTATGCTCCAGGCGCCCCAGTGATCCAGCATGATGGCCTCGGGGCTCGATCTGACCTACTTGCAGCGGGACGACGGGGATGAGCCCGCAGCCTCCTCGATGGCCTCTGGCTCTGTCTCCGGCTCAGGCTTCAGGGCAAACACCAGCGACACCACGACGAATGACACTGGTTACAGCACCACCAGCCGCAACGATTTCGCGGGAGACAGCAGTACCGGGATCGGAGCCGAAGAAGAACAGCACCAGCAGGACGTCTACCGTTCGCTGTACGACAACCCCGGCTCGTGCCTCATGGACGAGACGGGACACCAGCCACAGCATCTCCAGCAGCATCTACAGCAGCAGCAGCAGCAGCAGCAGCAGCAGCAGCAGCAGCCGCAACAGCATCAGCAACAACAACAGCAACAACAGCATCAGCAACAGCAACAGCAACAGCATCAGCAGCAGCAACAACAGAATGAACAGTTTATCGAACAACAAAATGATAATACAGAACAGGAAAGGCCATGGACGGAGCTCAAGACGAAGGCGGGCAAGGAAAGAAAGCGACTACCGCTTGCCTGCATTGTCTGCCGCAGAAAGAAGATCCGCTGCTCGGGAGAGAAACCCGCGTGCAAGCACTGCTATCGCTCGAGGATTCCGTGTGTATACAAGGTCACCACCAGAAAGGCGGCCCCGCGAACAGACTACATGGCCATGCTCGACAAGCGTCTCAAACGTATGGAGGAACGGGTCATGAAGGCCATCCCGAAAGATGAACAGCGCGACATGGTTGCCATCGGACGGGCGACCGTCAAGCCTCTGCCACCAGGGCACGCCTCCCGTCCGGCTCGGGCATCCCTCAAGAAGCGGACCGCGACAGAGGCCTTCAGCGCAGAGCTCAGCGAGTGGACGAAGCCTCTCACTATAGCGATGCCAACCACTCAGCCAGGGCAAGCGGAGCAGCAGGTTGGGCCTCCGGGAAAAGGGCAGGATATACGGACAGACATGCCCGCTCTGCATGTCAACACAGAGCACAAACTGCTCTCGCAAGGAGTCGAGTTTTTACCTTCCATGGAGCTGCAGGAACATCTCGCAGAAGTGTTCTTCGACTGTGTCTACGGCCAGTCGTACCTCTTACTACACAAACCAAGCTTCATGCGCAAGCTTAAGGCCGATGCAGTTCCGCCAGTCCTTACGCTTGCCATTTGTGCTGTCGCCGCCCGCTTCTCTACGCACCCGCAAGTTAACAACACCGAACCAGCCTTCCTACGAGGCGAGTCCTGGGCCAACGCCGCTGCAGACATCGCCCTCGCTCGACACGACCAACCCAACATCACCATTCTCACCGTCTTTCTCATCCTCGGCCTTCACGAATTCGGCGCTTGTCACGGCGGTCGAAGCTGGTCGTTTGGCGGAATGGCCTTGCGCATGGCTTATGCCCTTCAGCTGCACAAGGAACTTGACCGTGACCCTCTAGGGCAAGGTGGAAGTGCTTCAGAACTTAGTTGTACTGACAGAGAAATCCGACGACGTACCATGTGGGCTTGTATCCTGATGGATCGCTACAATTCTTCCGGCAGCCAGAGGCCACCCATCGGTAACGAGAAGTTTTTACAGATCCAGCTCCCCATCAAAGAATCTCATTTTTGGCGTGAGATACCGGGCCCGACCGAAGATCTAGATGGGGCGGTACCCAATCCCGTACCTGAAGGCGTAGGACAGCTCTCGAACCCAAAGAACAACATGGGCATATCTGCATACATCATACGCGGTATCATGCTCTGGGGAAAGATTGTTGACTACCTTAATCTAGGTGGAAAGGCCAAAGACCCATACAGGCTATGGGAGCCAGAATCTGGATACAGTCAGCTGAAACGATTGCTTAAGGGCTTTTCCTCCTCCTTACCAGAGTGTCTTGTCTTTAACTGGGAAAACCTACAGAACTACGCTGTAGAGAAGATTGCAAACCAGTTCATTTTCCTGCATATCGTCATTCATCAGAATACTCTCTTTCTCAACCGATTCGCCATCCCGCTCTCCCCTCGAGGTCGTCCGCCCAGAGACATCCCCAAACAGTTCCTAAGCGAGGCCGGCAAAGCGGCAGTCGAAGCTGCGAGCCATATTTCCATGCTTATCGATCAGGCATCTGGTTATATGCTCACAGTTCCCTTCGCCGGCTACTGCGCTTATGCGGCCAGTACGGTGCACATCTGGGGAATATTCTCCAAGAACCCACAGCTGGAAGCTGCTTCCAAGGAGAACTTTAGGCACACATACAAGTACCTAAACAAAATGAAGCGTTACTGGGGTATGTTTCACTACATGGTCGAGAGTTCCAAAGAGAGGTACAGACATTTTGCAGAAGCCTCTCTTCGAGGTCGTACGGTCCCTGAAAGCATGAAGGACGGTAACAACCAGGATGTGCCTATTTTCCAGTACGGAGATTGGTTCGACAAGTATCCGCACGGCGTATCGAAGCTGCGTTGGGAAGATCCGGACATAGACGTCAAAAAGGAGAGCGGCAGCGATGCCGTAATGTCCCAGCAGTCTGATCTCCAGAGCGTTGAAGAGTTCTTCACCAGCATGTCACCTACATCACCCTCTGACGGGCCTAGGAAGGAAGCTAAACGGGCTGGCGCTACAACTCCGTCAGCGTCAGAGAAGGCAAGGCCAAAGCTTGGATCAAGGGGTAACACCAAATCGCAATCTAGCAATTCAGTACAATCCCGAATAGTAACGAATATGTCCTCCCCAGAGCGACAGCCGCAGCCGCAGCAGCAGCAGCATCATCAGACACCCCGGTCACAGCCAATGCAACAACCACCCTCGACACATCCCGTCAGTTCTCAGATTCCTGCACAGCAGGAGCCTATGCCAAATCATGTTACCAATAGCTATACAACTTACAACAACCCGAACATGTATCCTGCCGACCCTTCTTCCTACGTATCCGACTATAAATTCCACGCTCATCCTGATCCCCTACCACAATTAGACCGACAACTTGTTTATGATGCCTATGCGGGCGTCGAAGCTATACCCCATCATCCTATTCCCATGCCATCATCCAATAACGCCACCATCCAATCACAGCACCCAGCCGGGCCACAACCACAACCAGGACACGCCCCAGACCCCAACATTAGTAACTCTTATTGGAACAACGGCAACAATAACAATTACCAGTCCTACGATATGCAGCCGCCCATGAATTGGAATGGCGAACTAATACAGTCCAGTGCATGGTTCTTGCCTTTCAATCTTGACCCAACCGGCCTTGACGCCCACGCTTCCCAGCCAGGTGATCCAGCAGGCATACCAGCAGGACCTTCCCATTCGCCTCCAAATCCAGTCGTTTCCTCCGGCATGAGCATGAGTGAAAGCGACTATTACGGCTCTCCGACAATAATGCAACCGGTTGGCATGGGTCTAGGTATGGTTGAGGGTGTACCTGGTATGCCGGAAACTCTCCGGGAGAGAGTGGGCTGAATATAGTCGACTATTCCCGTCCTGTAAATGCATACATTCATGCGGTGTTACCTGTCCTACAGGTGAATATCACTTTCTCCACCATACATAACTCCTTCCCTCCCTGCTGATACCATTTACTTACCATTATTATTGCAATTACTATGTTCACGTATATACACCACACCCTTCCCTTACGAAACCTCCTCTCACGCCTCACAGATTATTTCACCCCAGATTTTCGGCCAACCCCAGAGAAAAAGAAAATATCTCCGTATTCCTTGTTAAAGAACGACTTCACCTACTCATGACATCTTTTTCTGTCTTTTCTTTTGCTATATGTCGGATGAGGCTAGGCGATTTGGTATATACTCCAGGGCGGAAGGACAGGGACCTGCTTAAAACGGAACGGGAGTTGACATGTATTTATTGATTCTTCATTTTGCTGCTACTATACCCTTTCAACTTCACGTTTCATTTACTCGCCTGCGGTTTTTTTCTTAAATTTCTTATTGACTCGTCAACGTTCCTTTTTACTCTCAAATACTCGGCGAACTCTGTCACACATAACTTGGCTCGACCCTCGGTTCGTCCGCGACTTGTGAACTACGCCACAGACTGTTCTTACCTAAAAATGGTCATGATAAAAGTGTACAAGCCATCATATATGAACCTATCGTGTGCTCTATTTCCTTTCATCCTCTTCGTACAAATGACAGCCTTGCGGCACACAGGCCAGCAAAGAAAAACAAACAACAAAAAACAAAAACAAATACTTTATCCCACCTAATCATCCCATTCTTCGTCAAGCTGATCGATCAGGCGGTTCTCCTCATCGACATCCCGTTGGCCCTGTCTGTGATTGCTGCCAGCAGCATTTCTACCTCTCCCACCAATGGCTCCTACCAGCCCATTCCTTCCACCTCCAACACTGCCACCAGACGACCCGTTAGCGAGCTGGGAATAAGCCGATCGAGACTTGCGGAAGCGAAAACAGTTCGCCATCGACGACCAAATGATTATAAACATATCCTAGTTCCATAACTGTTAACTTGCTTTCCATGCATTCTCGCAATAAATAACACAATAAAAGAAGACAAATGAATAATGATTAGGAGCGTCGATAAGGTTTGGTGGAGTTGGTTTTCAGTTTCGCAATTAAGGTTTAAGAATGTGGAGCTAAAATGCTTATTTTTTTCCCCTCTCGGGCCAAAGCGAAGCGAAGCGATGGACAAGAGAGAAGGAGGAAAAAACAAACAAAATATACGTAATGGTGGTAAAAAAAAAAAAGAGAAGACGAAGGAAAAGAGCGGATAATCCTGGCTTTGCTCGTCGGTAGACGGATATGCGGCATGTACTTGACATGGAAAATGTTGATGGATTTAGAAGGCGTACCAGGAGGAGGTGGCAAAAGGTCGTTCCAATGAGCCCGCCATTGGAGGTAATCCAAAGTCGCTTGTTTGTAGGCCACAAGCTGAAGGATGCTGAATTGGCCACCACAAGGAGATGCAAGGAAAACAAAACACAGGCAAGCATATTCTATCCGCTAACATGCCTGGATGTCCCAATATATATATGGTATATGCATTCACGGTTGAGGGTATATCCAGTACCAAAACCAAGGAACCAAGAAATATCTATAATATGAACCAAAATGGAGCAAAACATATCAATCGAGCCGGGAAGTAGGTAGTGTGAGCGACGATCCCCGGCCACCATTATTTTGAAATCTCGACGTTTGGTGGTTACGCAAAAAGGGGAGCAATGAGAATATGGAGGTTATACATACCCCGACAAAACTGGCGGCACCACTCCACATCCCGTAGTTCGGACACTGCCTCCACCCTCGCTGGTGCATGACAGTTCGTTGATAGGCGCATCCACCAATAAGGTAGGCAGCTATAGCTATACCAGCACTAAAAGAGCAAAGGGAGCATTGTCATCAGTTACTCACGCTCTGACCCATTCAGTTGGGATCGTAACCCGGAATGACCTACATGATTCCGAAAATACCAGCGGGACCAACGCCGCCGTCTGTACTTGCGGCAACGCCTCCACAGGCAGCTGCGGTTCTGACCTCGAAGAAATAGGAGCACGAATCGGGGCTACCGACGAATGAGAAGGTAGCGGCCGGCGTAACGAGGTCTCGGTCGCAGAGGAAGGACATGAGAGTCGACTTCCTCCTTTCGACCTTGTCTTCAGGGTCTTTCTTTTTGTCATCTCCCTTTTTCTTCTCATCATCATCACCCTTTTTGTCCCCGTCCTTGTCATTGTCCTCATCATCGCCGTCGTCGCCGTCTACGATTTTGCGTCTGAATAGTTTATTTCCGCGGGATGGAGAAGGGCACGGTGAACCATCAGTATAGTTCAATACAAGTTTGCGTCCGCGGAATAAGAGTGAAGATGACTGTTGCCTGTCAGGACGTTAGCATTGCAATTTTATTGCATGAGGCCTGCTTTTGCATCAAACACCCCATGCTCAGTCTCAGGCGGCTTACCCGATGGAATAAGTCTCCCCATCCATCTCGTAGTATGCGCTGATATTCTGCCATCTCTTCTCATCGACTCCAACGACATCCGTCAAATTTTCTACCACAGGAGCGCAGATATTTATCGTAAAATTAGCTCCATAATCATGTCCCTTCACATGCCAACTTTCATCCCTCTGATGGTCCGCATGAGACTTTTTTCCATCCTTCTTATCAAGCTGTACTGAAATCGCATTCAGATCGAAATAGAGTCCCGTATTAGGCGAGTGGATGGTGCATGGCTTCTCTGGCACCTTCGGCTTCTCCTCCGCTGCACCCCAGGCAACAGAAGACAGAAAGAGCACTTGAAATAACGAGTTCAACGTATTGATATGCATGACAGGTCGTCGCGACAGAGCTCAATAGCTCAGGATATGTCGACGCCGCGAGAGAACGTGTTTATGGTTGGAAGTCCGCGATTCTAGGCACCTGGATTCAATGGAAACGTGGTCTTTCGAAGCTGGAGACCGGGGTGAAAGCGCAACCAAACCCCGGGCATATGATGATAGAAATGAGTGTGAGTAGTTAGAACCGTTCGACGTTCAAGGGTAGAATAATGAAGAAATTGCTGTAACAACTGCTTGCCATCGCCCGTCTCCGCTCCGATCTGGGGACCCTTCCATTATCAAGATGGATTATATAATCAAGATATTTATTTTCTGGATTGACTTCCCCAAAAACTCCTTTTCTAGCCAGACTTTCAACCGCCAACATCCAACAACCAACAACCAACAGTTAACCCCCTTTTGATGATTACGACGCTCATTAAGGGGTATGGAATATATATTTGAGGACCTCTGTTTACGAATCAAGGACAGGATCGACTGAAAGTTTTTCATTTTTGGTGGCTATATTTTATTCTATTTCACAATATTCGAATTTTCCTTTCTTATATCCCACCTATAGTGCCTGAGGAATTGATTGGCAATGGGGAAGGCGAATGGGTCAAATTCTGCTTCAAAGGCGGCTCAAAAACCTGCTGAAAAACATGGATATGAGTTCTGCGGCCCGTATGTACACCAGTCTTATCTTATTTTAAATAAGCTCACTTATTAACTTCTTTCTTTTTGGTTGGCTGCAGACCCGGTGCAACAGTTCTAGTACTCGGCTTACCTGTTCTTATCTATATCTTCCCGTTCCTTTGCAATGATATCTCAGGATGTCCTGCGCCGTCCCTTCTAAGCCCGTCTTCATTGTCCCTCGAAAAACTCAAGGCTGAGGTTGGTTGGCCCGAGAATGGAATTAGAGGTTTTTACAGCACGGAAGCTACACTCTACGTTCTGGGATACTATCTTCTTAGCTTGGTTCTGCAAGTCTTTCTCCCAGGAAGGGAGCCTGAAGGAGTAGTTCTCGCGTGTGGAAGCCGTCACAAGTATAAATTCAATTGTATGGTCTCCGGAACAACTCTCTCTGCGTGGCGCATTGGCTAACTTGCGCCCTATTAGCTTTCTCTTCCGCCCTCCTGATGCTGCTAGGCTGCGCTGTGGGAACCTGGATATATGGCGCTGAATTCCGGCTATGGACCTTCCTCTGGGAGAACCACCTTCAAGTGGTTACAGCCAACCTTATCATCTGTGTGTCACTAGCTGTGTTTGTTTACCTGAGGAGTTTCACGGTCCCTGCTCCAGGGCAACATAATCCTATGAACCGCGAGTTGGCTCCTGGAGGACAAAGCGGTAACATCATATACGATTATTTCATTGGGCGCGAGCTCAATCCAAGAATTATCCTCCCCATTCCATTTGTTAGTGAAAACTCCAGGACCCTTGATATAAAGGCATTTTGTGAGATGCGCCCTGGACTCCTTGGATGGGTTATCATGAATCTTTCAAACATTGCACACCAGTACAGAATAAATTCTGGCAACGTGACTTCATCAATACTTCTCATCACCGCTTTCCAGGCCTGGTATGTGTTTGATGCACTCTACATGGAACCAGCTATTCTTACAACCATCGACATCATTCTGGATGGATTCGGTTTTATGCTGTCTTTCGGCGACTTGGTATGGGTTCCATTCATCTATTCTCTGCAGACAAGATACCTCGCTATGTACCCTCTTCAATTGAGCCCCATCAATGTTGCATTGATACTTGGTGCGCAGGGTGTTGGATACTCTATTTTCCGTGGGGCCAATAACCAGAAGAATAGATTCAGGACAAACCCGGAGGATCCACGAATCAAACATATCCAATACATCGAGACTCGCAGTGGATCAAGACTGATGACTTCTGGATGGTGGGGTATGGCTCGCCATATTAACTATCTCGGAGACTGGATCATGGCTTGGACTTACTGCCTCCCGACTGGCATGGCCGGATTTGCTATGGTGGAATCTCTGAACCCTATTACAGGTATGATAGAGAAGCGTGCTGTTCAGACAGAAGAGTCGCGCGGGTGGGGAATGGCCATCACCTACTTCTACGTTGTTTACTTCGGAATCCTTCTCGTCCATAGAGAGCGACGTGATGAAGACAAATGCAAAAGAAAATACGGTGAAGACTGGGCTAAATATACTTCCAGGGTTAAGAGCCGAATCATTCCAGGAATCTACTAAACATGCCCACATAATGAGACATAATTTTTTTGTCGGAGCATTGGGGGCGCGTTGCACCTCTGAATATTGTTCATCTTGTTTTCAACATCGGCGTTGTGGGAGAAGCCGAATATGTATTCTAGTATAAATTTAGTACTATTTAATTTGAAAGAGGTCATGATCCTGGTGTACGATCTATTGTCTGGCTTCCTCTTGAAGCCTGCGGCTCTGAGGCTTTTCTTTGATCGGGGTATCGAGGACGGTGAGATCCCAGGCGTCATCCCCACAGTTCCGTATCCAATTCTTGAGAACAAGCCGTACATCCCTCAATACCTGGGCCCGAGCTTCCAAGTACTGGCTCATGACTGTCTGTGACTTTAAAAAGTCATACGAGGGAGCCGAAAGGACAATTTGAGATAAAGATGAGGCTTCGTTATCATTGAGCTGTTGTGGCATGAAACCGCAGTCGTTTAGAAGCTTGAAAATATCGCGCAGGAGAGCCCACATCCTAGCTCTAGATAATGCACTGGCCTTTTTAAACCCAGGCGAATTCAGTCGATAGCCCTGTTTGACTCCATTTATCAAAGACTCATTGAGGCTTGTTGGCGGCGTTTTAAAGTACGCCTTGTACCATTCTGGCTCCGAGAAAGTAGGGATATCATTCCCTTTGGTTGTGAAAGGTGGCCGTGTTGAATTCGACGGAGGCGCAGTCCAAACTGCAGATACATTGCCAGTTTTCACTTTTTGTTCCGATGACTTGCAGGTAGGTTTTCCGTACTTCCACATGTTTTCAAAATCCTTCATTGGTAGTGGAGTTATCTTAAAAGGGCGAAATTTATATTCTCCAGGGGTTTTCTGCCCAACTTCCCATATCCGTCCGTTTAAGGGCCTCATTCGACCTGACTCCCCACTACCAAATGACCTTTCACATGCTATACGGCTCAGTTCCTCCTCTGGCAGAACGATATTGGATATGTATGCATTTGGAGTTGGTGCAAGTAGCAGGCTTGTCGGGAAGGAGAGAATAGATGCCACCTGTTTCAAGGCCAGTTTGTCTGAACATGACTTGCTAAGGGTCGACTCTGCGTCCGCGCGGGAAGGCTTTCGGCGCACCGCACCTAGTATGGAAAAATGGGCTCTGCCGTTTAGCAACACTTGCTGCTGGCCATCTGGGTTTCCCGTATTTCTTAATTCAGGAACAGGAAGTTCCCAAGGTGTAGCATCCTCCTGTGCAGCCATGCATAATTCCATACTAGCATCTCCGCAAGGTGCACAGGAACAATACATCCATATCTTAATATCTTCCTTTATTCGAAAAGGAGGGCAGGGTATTGATGTCTGGGTATTGCTATCATCCAAATTCCATTGTAGGAATCCAGACCCAGAGCAATTCAGTAAATTGTTAGTTTTGCGGTTTGGTTTTTCAAGGGCTGTTAACATAGATTTGCATTCCTCGAGTAGCCAGTGGTTAAGGGCACGAAGGGCAAGTATTTCGGCATGACTGTCATGCAAGACAAGCCCGTTACATTGCGCAATTTGTGATGAAGATAGGCATTTTGCACCCGTTCTATGGGAAGTTGTTAGGCAATTAGTTTACATATACAGGGAGATACTATCTCCAATATATAAAGGAAAGATGTAATCATACTCACGCAACAGCAATGCAAGTTAAAGCTTCCTCGGGTGTGTTCTCATCTAGACAATCGATTAGTACACAGTTAGACCATTAGTGGCATAACTAACGAAGAAGTTGGTTGTCAAGCAAATGAAATCATCAGCTTGTCACGTACTAGTTACCAAGACAATCCCACTTAGTGGAATCCATTCTCTCATGCCATTGCCATGGATAGTCGGTTTGCTGCGCTGTGGAAGTGCTTCGAAATGCGCATGGACCAGTGATGCAACACGGCTTTCGAGTGATGGATTATGACTCATGAATACCTAATTTTCTCGATATACTCAACCAGTTATGGGGTATTCACAATGCCATACTTATCATATTTTTCTTTACATTAAATACTTCCTCACTCTCACAGTTACAGTTCCAGATCAAAGTGCTTGTGAGGCCTTAGTTAGAGTTTTATATCACGTGATTATTCCGTTCCACCGCCAAGCCCAACCAAAAAAAGGGCTGGTGGTGCAGGCTCTCATTATTGAGGTCAGGTTCTAAACCATCGCAGCATGATTCTGGTCTGGTGGTAGCATCAGATCTGCCATTTCAATGGAAGATACGAAGTAAATGTTCTTCGATAGGTCTCTGGTCAGCCGCAAGCATGGGGGCCAGGATCTCATCATCTCGGCCAAGCGGCCCCAGGCGGACATCGTGGAGTTGAGCAGCCAGCATCCTCCAAGAACTAGCAGCGTGTGGCTTTCGACTAAGACGAGTGGATAATAGCAGCTCTTGCAGCGGCGAGTACATCTGGGGAACGAGCCATTTAGTTGGCTGGCTAACTGGTCAGTTACTGAAGGGATCAGCTGGTCATGCTTAAAGCATCACGGGAGTGTTACAAATATCGGCCCAAAACGGTAAGCTTGACGCCAGTCTGCATGGGTTGCATCTTCAGTCCGAAGTATATATAGCTACTCAGGACTCCCAAATTTATGGCGAACCGGAGGACTTGTGTTTTGCCTATTTTTGACTCTCACAGGGCTGCTTCGTTTCGAAAGTGTCGGATACATGCTTGTTTCCTTTCTGCTAGATAAACGATTTACTCGCAAAAGTGATTCTTCGAGTATTCCATTGGTCAACCTCGATTCATCCTCACATAACAGTCAAGGTCTTGCTGTGTCGTGCAGAATCAAATGTGTCTAGACTTGTTGGCCGTTCTAAAACGGAGGAAAAAACCATCGTATAATCATGAAAGAAAACTAGGTTACAGAGATGACCAGGAAGTTTCCACAAGTAAGGTTAGCCGATACGTCTATCTCGCTCATGGAAACTAAATAGCCTTCTCCGTATAGAATTTATCTTTGCAGAGCATTGCCTGCAAGGTAACGCTGTATACCTGAAGGTCGGAGTTGATACTGAAATACCCGCAAGAAACCTTCCACTGAAACTCCCCAACGGCCTATCATTGACGTATGGTGAAATACTCGGGCTGGCTGGCGATCTTTACGGGACAGATCAACCTATTAGTGATGGTGTTACCCAAAATGAGCGACATCATAGGTTTCTGAAAGCGTTCGATACACTGGCAAATGATACCAAATATGCTCCGGAAGAGGCCGCTAAACTTCTTGATATACTTCATAATGAAATGGAGGAAATCAAGAAGGCCATACGGGCTGGAAAACCGGCATCGGAAGTCCATAATCGACTGAAAGTCAATCTAGGGAAAAGCCTTGGATTCGCAACTCTATTCCGACCCAGTGGGATACCATCCTTCTTAGGTCTTGCTCTGATCAACTTTGACCATTTTGGTACAGATTCAGAGACAGCGTATAATACTGGTCACAATGCTGCTATCCAATATGCTTTGCGTACGGACAGTGACCTGGCTGTGGCATATGCTATGAATGCCTTTGCAGACCATTTCCTACACGACCATTTTTCTTCCGGTCATCTACGTGTTCCCCGTCGTCAGCTTCATGGCAGTACTTTGAACTCTGCAGATGCTTGTTCTAAGGTAGGTAGACGCAGACAATTGTTAACTCTAGCCATACACGTGCTAATTACTTCCAGCTTATGCACGACGAAGATAGCTGCATCGGCTTGAAAGTCAGCAATCAGAATGGGGATTCATGGACAGCATATGGTGACTCACGATTGTTTGATGACGTGAGTAAGCGGCACCGAGAAATATTCATAAAAGCCCAACAAGCATCAGTAGATGAGGTATTCCAGGCTTGGAGAGATAAAGTCGTACCACCAACGTTCCAGGCATGGAAATATGCGCCTACCATCGAATCCGCCTTGTCACCTCATCAGCCTCTTGCTCCGTTGTTCGTTATGTCTACAGGGGAAGACAAGAAACCAGTGCTGTTGAGAAGACGAAATGTCAGTGACAGGAAAACTAAAGACTATATATCAGATTGGACGTATACGGGAACTATCATAAAGTGCAGATGGAGTGGACGGTGGAACTACCCAATGACTCTCGAAGAATAGATTCATGTACTATTTGTTACTTACACCCTCTTTATAACACATACGCTTGCAGCCTAATTTTAAACCCAGTTGCTGTTCATATTACCAGTCTGCTTGATATAGATCCATAGATTAGCAGCAGGACCACGATTTTCACGTGACCCCTTTGCGCCCGGGCCTCTGCGCAGGCCAACCTAACCCGATCTTCAACCTCAGTGACATATCTCTTCAACTCTCCACATCAACAAAATTCTCCCAACCATACCACGCCAACCCGCTATTTCTGCCTTCGCTTTTCACCATGGCCGATAAGCTGCGTACCCTTCAAAATCTCGAGGCACTTCAGGCCCGCTACATTGGCACAGGACACGCTGATACAACCAAGTACGAATGGACATCCAATATCATCCGTGACAGCTACGCATCTTACATTGGACATCCACCGCTTCTCCAATACATGTCCATCGGCATGGGCGAATCAAAGGAAAAAGTACGAGCCTCGATGGTTGAAAAGATAGTCCGAGGAGCAGGAAATCCGCCCGATGTGAGTTGCCATCCGGTCTCTACTTGGTGTTACCCGTTGAAAAGTCAAGAAGCTAACATGGTCATGATGGTGGTAGACAAGTGAATAATCACCTATAACTACCTTTTTGAACTTTTCGTCACGCGAGGATGTGATACGGATCAAAGGAGAGGGTTGATGTTGGCGATAAATCGTTGCCCCGTGGGCTCGAGGAGTCAAAAATGCTGATACATGCCGCAACGGATCCCGTTGAACCTACGTGAGGGAATACATGTGAAGCGGTGAAGCTAGACATTTGCCCACGAAGCATACGCTTATATTGACTTTCACCAGCTGTGAACATGACAAGGGATACGAGATAAGATATTGACTCTTTGCCACGGTATCTGGCCTGCTTCGCTCAGTTTGAGCACATTTTGGGGATTAAAACGCCCTTAAAAGCCAAGTTTAGAGTTAACTTGCTTGGTCAGGATTATCCCTATTTTCAGCGCTTACGGTGTCCAGGAGGCATAATACCAGACAAGCCGTTCTCGTGCTCAGTGCCGGGTATATAACACATGTTGTCTACAAGTTCGAACCCAAATTTTTTAGACGAGTCAATACGAATTACAAGCGCGGACACCAGTTTGGACGATCCAAAAAAAGTTGAATTTGATTTTTTTTTTTTTTGTTTTATTTTTTACGTATTTTTGAAAGTATAGTAGCGAATTTGACGACAAGCGAATGGAAGACAGACGCAAGTAGTAGACGAAGCACAGCTCCGATGAAAAATGAAAGAGCAGAGAGCACAAAAATTCAAAACCAGCATCCGATTCCTGGCTCTTGCTGCAGTTCCAGTCAATGGAGAGCATACAAGAAACACAGGCCGCTCCAGGGAAAAAAGTAACATGACCGAAATGAACAAGAAGTGAACAGCCAGCCTGGAGCAAAGGGGATGAGCCTAGTGAGATGGCCCCGGCGTTTCTGGAAAGCCAGAGATGCAGAAGCTGATGAAGAGAGAGCATGGCAGAGTCAACAAACACACTGCTAGTGAAGGGAGCAAAGGGTCGACGGTGGGAAACAATCGCAGATCGTTCGCAGCGGACACTCAGAGCTCCCGACGCGCACTCGTTAGCCACGAGGATGAGGCGGACGAGGGCCCAGCAGTGGTGGACATGTACCAGTCTTCCGTCCAAGAGCAAGCAGCATCCCGACCTGTCCTGGAAAGGGGCCGGAGCCTGGAAAAACGACGGGGTAACGAATTTCCCATACCAGATGAGAAAAACTCCCATGTCAATGGGGCGCCGTGTGTCCTCGTCCTCACCAATCCAACTGAATGGATCGCCTGTTCGGCAACCTGTACCGAAATGAGTTCCAGACAACGACACGGAAAGATGGATGGTTGGCTCCACTGGAAGGTTGATACCCGGACGCAGGCTTCGTGGTCGGTCTAGCCGCCAATACTGCCTATAGTGAGCGCTTGGGGTATATATACCAGTCCAGGAGAGACCACCACTTTTCCGCATCCACGACAAAAAAGGGGTAATAAATGAAAACATTTCCAGCCGCGAGGCATATCAGTCTTGATGATATCGTATGCGAGACATGAACAAAAGAAAAACAATCCTCCCTGGGACGTCATGAACAAAAATGAGGTAGCCGACCCGCCGGTTCTTCATGCAAAAAAAACAACAGAAAACATGAACGTGAAAACAAATCAAACACAAAAATCAAACGCTTGCTAAAGAACGCATCATATAATAAAACCAGACATGAGGGAAAATGGAGAATGAAATAATGCCAGATGAATGCCACTGCCGCTTAATGAGGATTGGAGAACGCCGTCAGTCATGCGGTTGATGCTTATGGTGCTGGGTTCCTGTTGAGACCGTAGGAATAGGTATGTTTGTAGTTTGAACTGTCACCGCCGGTACCGTGCTGTTCTTACTTGTTGGATATGGTAGCCCTTCTTTACATGGCTGTTCCGTACTGAAGGGCAAATTCAGGGTATCTATCAGCCCAGACGAAACCGTCCATGCCGGCAGCAGTACCACACTGATGTTGCACCAGCATGTCGGGCAGGAGGTAAGGTACAGCGGAGGCTAAGGTGGTCGGGCACTCGTAGAACTCTGACGTGGTGAAGGCGGCTGCCGAGAAGGGCTGGCAGTGTGAGGCTGGAGGCGAGGACAGAGACATGTCATTGTAGCCGATGTTGGGCCACATGTTCGGATGCGAGTCACTTGTCGTCGTGCTTGGGCTGGAAGGCAGAACATCCCAGGAGTCAACCGGGGAAGGCGATTGCTGGGTCGGGCTATGATGCCACCAATCATCAGGGCCAGTGGAAGAAGGAACTAATGGCGTAGAACGCACCACATCGACAATTCGTGGCGGAGGAGGGAGCAGAGGCACGAAGAGTCCCATGATGGCAGCTTTGGCTTCGTCTGCCAGGCCACAGAGCAGCTCTCCGGCGCCTTCTTCCTCCATGCCTTCTAGTGCAGAGGCGCTTGTCCGGTATACAAACCGGTTGACGGCCTGGACGAATTCCTCCTGAAGCTTCTTGAGCTGGATCTCCTTCTCGGGCCAGTCCCATGTCTTGCTTGCAGTGTCGACAGAGTAGATTTCCTTGTGATGGTCGATGAGGGTCTCGATAGTCTCTGGAGTTAGCTTGAATGCGACTTCGTTCTGCGAGACCATATCGACATGCACGACGTAGGCCTCCATGTGAGCGAGCTGGTAGTTGAAGAGGGCATCCACGAGCGGGTTCTCATCCTTGGGTAACTTGGACTCGGGAGCCTTGGGCAACATGATCGAACATAAATTCCAGATGGCATTCTGGTGGGAGAGGATCTCTGTTAGGCATCTGGTATGCTGCCCGACGTTATTCAGCGGTCTCTTCACTTTGTTCACTCGCTTTAGGGTGACGGTCATCCACTGTTCCACTCTTGATAGCACCACGGTAGGCGACGCCCTGGGGGCAAAGGCAGCAGCAGAGGCTGGTAGAAGGCTGGTCGGCGGCATCTTTGGATTATCTAGATCGCATTAAAGCCGTTTCCCTTTCCTTTGCATATATACTCCGTTGCTGGATCTAGGTTTTTATATATGATGGTTCAGTGTATAGCAGCAGCAGGTCGAGGGCAAAAAAAAAAAAGAAAAAAGAAAGAAAGGCAAAAAAAAGAAAGAATAAAATATATAATAAAAAATATAGAAGATAAAGACGTTAAATATATTTGGAAGAAGAAGAAAAGGGTCAGAAGGAGGTCGACGTGGGAGGGAGAGCAAAGGACGTTGGCACCTCTTCTTCTGTACGGGCGGAAGTAGATATAAAAGAAGCGGAAGGGGAAGGGGGAAGAAGGCTGAGGGGACGGCGGGCAGCAAGAGTGTATATGTATAAGATAGACGAACGTCCACCCACAACCCGCCGCGAACGAACAAGGCCAGGCCCGGTCAGGAAGAGTAAGAAAGGCAAAACCTTGGATGCTCTGCGTATGGATGCTTGTATCTCGTAGATACGAGCTGAGTTGCAAAAGCTTCCTCCTGCATATGTACGTTTAGGTTCTACCAGCGCCCGTCATTTTTTGCCTGTCGAGCACAGCACCTCACTCTGCACTTTTTTTTTTTTTTTTTTCCTAACTCTCTGTGTCTGTCCACTCTGCTCTCTCTCTCTCTCTCTCTCGCTACTCCGTCTCTTCCTCTCCTTGCCGTCATGCAAAAAAAAAAAAAAAAAAAAGAGGACCGGAAAGATGCAGGAAAAGATTTGTCGACTTTTGCAAGTTTTCTCTGTGGCGCTGGCTGTATGGAAACACAGAAGGGAAAAAAACATGCTGTAAGGTACTGTCGTTTATACGTACGGTACTGGCATTACAGGTCACAGGGACCCCATGCCCAAGTTACGCGCCGTCTCCGAACGCACGCTACAGCGTGAAGAAGGCCCTGGCGTCGGCGTATCCATGGTACGGTGCGGTACCGGGATGTCCGTCACGGTTCCGCCGTTACCATACCATACCATCCTTACTAAGAATAACACCAACGAAAAACGACATGCATGGCTTTTTCTTTTGCTCCTCGTCGTTGCATCATCGCGATGGGCTCTTCGGAGGAAGAAGCCTGATACTGACAGACGATGGCAAGCAGGACCCCATCGAGTGCCCATTTCTACGCAGATGGCAAGATGACAAGGTGAGCCACAGGTCAGCCCGGGTGCGAGATGTGCACAGGCGCCTCTTAGCCGGTTAAGGACAGCTTTCTTTCTTTCTTTTTTTGCATTCATTCTTCGCTGTGGTGCAGCTGGACACAGCTCTGGTTTCTCTCCTGCGTCTCCTGCGTATACGGGGACCGTCAGCAGTGGCAAATTAGTTGTCCCGATGCACCGTCCTCCTTTCTACCCGCATTCTCTACGGAGTACTCGGGAGAAGGAACCTCCTTTTCTCTGCTTGATCTACTTTGCTACGGTCTCCATATATCCAGCTTGACCGTTGGTGGAAACGGACAGGATAGGCGGCACAGTCCGTGGTCACGCTCTGGCCTATTCTACACCTACCCATTCACATTGACGCCGGGTCGAGTGGCCAACTAGATTCCCCAGACCTGTTTCCCCTGAGACTTCTGATACCCCGGAGGAACGCCATGGTTCTCTGACATGACAGCCATATTTGAGATGAATCTCGAGGGGGCCTATGCTAGGCGCTGCACTATCTATCGGCCTCCCTCTCGACCTTTCGATATTTTTTTTTTTTTTTTTAAACTCTTTATGCGCTCAGAGCTTTGAAACAAGCCCACCGGCTCCTCTTGACGGGGGTGACAAGCCAACCCCATTGAAGTCTCCAGGCATTGCGGGAAAAAGGCCAAAGGGTCTGGAAGCGATTATCCATCCATCACCGCGGATCTTTCAACACCTCTGTGTGTGTGGAGTGCGGACTGGAAGTGAGCCCAGACAGGGAAAAGGGGGATAATCATCCCGCACACACTCGCCTTCTACTACTAATCAACATGCATACTTGAGATAACTACACAAGCAATATAACCTCTGCAACTCCAACTCTCCTTCTCAGCATGGGAGGAACCAGCAGCAGTAAGAAGAACGATAACCGACCCACCGGATTCTCTCGCCATTCCCACGAGCCGATATG